AGATCGTTCTTAGCCGGATTGCTTGTAACGGATTCGCAAGCGTCGATGGATCTCTTGGGTCGATGTCTGTCTAGTCACGGGTTAACAAATTGCATGACTGCCGACCTGTCGGAAACCAATACCAATTGGGCGGTTCACGATCTAGTTGATTGCCCATGCAACTGTCGTCGACTGACAGGCGTACTAAGAGCGTAGGGCGGGTTGTGGTCTGAACATCCCTGATCCTGGTAGTTGTTAGTCTACCACTGCGCTTCCTCCCGAGGTCATACGGTTTTCCCTGCAAGAAATGGAAAGGGGCTCGTGAACAAATGATACAGGTCTTGTCCAAGAAAGGTAAGAGGGAGGAAGAACCCGACTGAGCGAGTGCATCTGTGTGTCGATCCTTCAAAGCTTATGCGTAGACTGTGAAACACAATCAAGCATGTTAGTAACAAGGCATAATGGTTCGATGTCTTTTGTATATGGCTGTACGAATTTGAGTACTGAGAAGTCGGGACTGGACTACGCGAACGTATGTTTTTCATACTTTCTTAGAAGGTGATGAAGCTCCTCTGAGCAAAAAAGAGATCACATAGAGGTAGTCCGTAGATATACTGGCAAATGGTCAAAAATACCAAAAAGAATTCGCTCTGAACGAGGGGCTAACTGGGAATCGAACCCAGGACCACTCCCACCCTAAGGGAGTATCGTACCACTAGACCATCAGCCCGCGAGGTTAGGACAGCGTGTTTCAGAGACTGTGTTCCAGTTATAAAACTTCGGCAAATATTCGGAAAGGAAGATACCCGGTGCCAAGGTACGAACCCGGGTAGAACAACTCCATAACCATCAATATGTGACTAATTCTGTAGATTCACAAGTTAGCTGATATATCGCAATACTTGAAGCTCCCAAGCTATGACCGTACAAACCCACAATCTGTCGACCGTTTGGCTGCTGCTCCCTCGATGTTCCTTCCTTCTGGCAAATTACGTAGGCAGCCACATCGCCACATGGCGCTGAAACGTTGCTGTACTTGCCTTTCCTTTTGTTTTTCTTGTTCCCCACATGGTTCAATGTCGGGTTTATCTCGGCACTAGCAACCACGACTCCACGAGATGCGTCAAGCCTCAGAAAAGAAAAGAGAGGGGAAAAGGGACATTCACCGATGAACTTCACGTTTTTACATGGTTTATAATATGTATCGCTTGATCTTGCTCCAACAATTCAAGATTTGCATAAAGTTTCGACCAGCGAACAACAAACACATTCACGTACAGGCATGGAGTATACACCCACCCCATGGCGGCTGTAGAGAGCGTCATTTTGTCTGTCAGATCGAATTGAAGAAAAGCCCGGGCTACTGGTTGACCATTACATCATTTCCCTGCCAGTCCTTCTTTCATAGTACGTAGTACATCTGTCTCAGTACGATACCGTAGCGCTCGCACTACGACAGATACGGCACTCCGTACTGTAGTGAGTCAATGGTCATAGTAATTTAGTTGGGGTGCTAGTTGACTAACGACGTAATCAAGATCTTACTTAGTAATTAATTTCTCAGGGTGGCCATCGAGGCTGGCACTGGCACGTAAGCGCGTCTTCGTGATGAGATACTAGTCAGCCGCTGCATTGCACCGCATCCTGTCGTTCCCGAGGGTGAGATCCGATCGTTCTGTGAAATCTACATAGTAGGTTTAGAATGAGCCTGCATAAGCCCAGAACGAGAGTAGAATTGAGATTTTTTTCACAATGAAGAGTCAAGCCAAACCTCGGTCGCGCAGCCAATGGCCGGGCTGGGCGCTGGCCCCTCACCCCCCTTTGTGCGGCCCGATACGTACGACTAGCGCAGAGATTAACTAACGAGATTTGAGATGCATCATCCTCATCATCATCATCAATCTATCACTCGAAGTTGAAACGGTCGACTCGATCGTCTGCGTATTTGTATAAATTACGCGCGTGCGTATCGGCCCCTGCGCCCAATGAGCGTCGTGTAGACAGATCGAGATTCGATGTGAGATATGATACCAACGGTTTCATGTTACTGGATTGTGATTCGACGGATGATCTTGTCGATAACCACTGATACAGGAATACTCTGAACATGAACAAGCATATAGTAGCAGTATTATAGCGACCACATCTGCACATCGAAGGAACAAGAAAAGTCAACCCGACGCACGTATGTACGTACTGATCTGTCTGCACGCCGTCATGCGGAAGTACTGCGTACCGTGACCATGTCGTAGGTACGTACGGAGTACTTACTACGATGTATGTATGTAAAGCAAGTGGAGCATGACGATGAAGCTCATTTGGCACTGGGGTCTCCCGGCTCGATACATTGAATATTTATTAAAAATAAACTGGGTCTGTGGTTCAGCGCACGATCGATGGATCTCTCCTGCGCTGTCTCTCTTTTCCCTTTTCTCAACGGAGTAATTTGGAATGCGGGTGCGCCCACACACCACTTTTGGAGCCTTCTAGCCATTGACAAAGGGCGCTTCGCGTGGGTCAGCAGCCAGGGTGAATCGTCCGTCCACGCGAGAGTCAAGTCGTCGATGAACTTTTGGGCTTTTTGCTCTTGACTGAGTAGTACGAGTAACGCAGCGTGTACGGAATAGTGCTTACTACGTACTCACTATCTACGTAGTAAATGGACTAAGCACGTACTAAGTAAGTGCTCCGTTTTTTCCCTTGTTTAATTTCTAGTCTGCACAAGGATCCCTGTGCATTCGCCGAGGACTAGCGTGTTCTCCGTCTCTCGCACTAACCAACTTAAATAAGTTAAATTGCCCCATCCCTATGAAGATTGGCGGCGGATCGTGGCTGTTGCTTGATGGAAATCTGACGGTACGGACGGTGTAATATTACGCCAGAGCTAACAAACTACATGACGTATTTCGTATCATCACCATACATGTGTCCCACCGCATGATCTGTTCCCTCTGGTTTGACTTTTACGAGAGACAACTATGCTTTTAGTCCCACGATTCTGTTTAGTTTGTTCTGCGATATAGCGCATAGTAACAACCCATATTGACAGGCATCTAGCCATGGTTTGCGAGTGGAGGAGTAATTGACTTTGAGCGCACAGTTCTACGGCCGCGTCTCTCGGAAAACTGGACAAATATGCATGGGGTATCGAGATCCATGGAAGCGACACGACGCAGCAAGATCATATCGTCGGTGATGTTTTCTTTCGTGTATCTGATCTCTTACAACTGAAGTACTCAATACCTGTGTATTGATGTTGTACGTACATAATAACTTACCCGACGATACGAAGGAAACAGACACGTACTGAAAAGAAAAACGCGCGAAGCGTTAAGTTACCAAATCTTTCCCCAATCTCCACCCCTGAGGTTCCATCGTAATTTGCTCCACCCGAAAAATGATCCTAGCCCTGGCCCAAATGGCAAACTCCACAATTAGCGCAGAATCTAGAGATCCGCAATTTCACGGCCAGTACAGATACAAGCATGTAATTTATATGCTAGTTTGACTACGTACTAGCTAAAGACCCAAGTTGGATCTTATCGCGAAATTAAACAAGAAAAACAAAAGAAAAAAAAGCGGAACCCCCATTCCCAAAAGCGTAATGTCATCGTCGGCTGTTGGTCAGTGAGGAGGATAGACTCAAGAAATAGGAAGAAGGCAAGAAAGAGTATTGGAACAGGAGGCAAATAACAAGAGAAGATGCGAAAAAGCAAAGGCGCGAGTTATCAGAGACTCAAGAAAGACATTCACCCACCGAAGTGGACCACTACCATAGGATTACATAGTATTTCTTTTTTTTCTTACTGCGTACTACTGGAATACAGTTTGGACGGGCTAGTTTGCTTAGTTTGTAACTTTGTTATACTAAGCTACGATCTCTCTCCACGCATCTGAACGGCTCAAAACCCACCAGTGGTCCGCCTTCCCGTCCACAAGACACGCTCCTCCCTTAATTCTCTCTCTGCACTTCTCGCATCGCAGAAGAGAAGGGAAATATAACCCCAATTTCTTCTTTCTCTCTCTTTTCTTCTCTCTTCCCCCCTCCCGTCACATTCCTCATTCTTCGCCTGTCCCTGCTTCACCTCTGATCCTCCCGGAGATTCTTTTCCTCTCACCTGTCGTCTTCCCCCCTCGCGTCGGCTGCCCGATTGCGGCGTCCCTCCGGAGATACATCACTCACCCGATACGAATCATATTGAGAGGGCATTGAATACGAAATTCCGAAGGGGAACAACCGAGACAAAAGCAAGAATAGGGAAGGTTCAAAAGCGGAAACTGGAAAAAAGCAAAAGAAAGAACAAACAAGAGGTCTATTGCATAATCCGCCAGCGAACAGAAACACCAAGTACATACGCACTACATACTACACACTACATACTACAAAGCCATCCCACGCGACATTGGCTTAAATCCCTTGCATTGGAACTCCCGTTTGACCCCTCCAACCACGTCCGTTGCTCACATTGCCGGTCTCCAAAACTTCGACGCCTTGCGGTTGCACATTAGGAACTACGAGCTCACATCTTAAATCGAACGAGAGTGATATCTGATTAGTGGGTTCGTTGGATCTCCTCCTTGGTTGCTTTGCTCTTTCCCACTTGCCATTGTTGTCGTGGTGGTTGTCGGACTACCGATTCGATCACCGATCTTCCTTTTGCGCCCATTTGCTCTCCTGTCACAAGTGCGTGGTCATTGGCCACATCTGCGAGATCATAACGGGCGATCAAGAGATTCCATATCTGCCACCGATCAAATCTGTCCATGACACATGGAACTAAAACCCTCACTGGATTGTTCAAGCTAGACGTGGATGGGTGCCGAGATTGGGATCTGATCGCAAACCAAGGTTCGTTCCTAGCGCTTAGTGACAGAGATCTGTTGGCTTGTTTTGTCTCTGCTTGCCTGTTCAACGTGGCTTGGTGAAAGAAATAATTGACTAACGCGTTGATTTCCACATTCTGCAGTCTCTCCTCGTCGACTTCTTTTGTTTACGCATATCTTCACTTTTCACACAAGCAATGGCGACAGGCGTCAGTGTCAACCCTGCCCCAATTGGGCCTCCCTCGGCAATGTATCCAGGTCCTTCTCATCAGTCCTATCCAACTCCTACCATGTCCTCGATACCGCCACGACTGCCCGGTCACAACAATCCACCACACGCTTTGCGACGATCAATGGATTTGGATCAAGAACCGTCTCCAGTTCAACCGCCTCGCCAATCGTTACCTTCCATACATGAAGCGCTCGGTAACGATAATCCTCTTCCTTACCCAGGGCCCTCCCCTTCGGGTCCCCCGTCGCATCCTCATACAACTCCGAATCTGCTCTCTCGTCCCAGCACCGAAGGTCCCGCAGGTCCACCCAATCCTTTTTCTTCGAACAATAATTCTAACCCTGCGCCATACTTGCGCGAACCACAGTACAATACACAACAAGGTTCGACAGCTGCGGTGGACCAACAACGGGTTAGTATGGTTTCGCTGTCCACCCAAGGTTCTCGAAAACAATCTCTTCAGTCTCTCTCCGGAAAATCTCCCACCAGCAGTTCGAAAACCGCTCCGACTACGATATCTCAAGGTTCCGCTCCCTATTCTCCAAATAGCTATGGGTCGTATCCGTCACAACCTTATTCCTGGCCATCACAGCAACCGGCACCCTACGATGGTCGCGCTTACAATGGTGGTCCTTGGAAGCCAAATGTAGACGAAAAGAACGGACACCGTCCTGGTATGCCACCACACAGCGATTCAGTGAAGCGACAATTTGACTCTTATGACGTCGAGTCTTCTTTGGCCGAGGTGAGTCTTCTCTACACATGTTCCCGCCCATAATATCAGATAGTTGAGACTAATTGAAAACCCGAAGATTATCGATGGATCCACTAAAACACTCGACTTCTCCAGACACTATGCTTCAATTGCCCACCAAAACCAACGCTCGGGTCCTATCCTAGGAACTTTACCGTCTTTACATGAACTCGATGATTTAATACAACAGCAGCAACGCAATAACGAGGCTCTTCTGCGCATTCGCAATGCTGTCGTGAGCCAAGAACATGCGCTAGCCGAACAAAGGATTCAACAACGTCATCCTAAGGTTGAAAATGGATACGATGATGAGCATGTAGGGTTATACCAAGATGGATTCAAAAGCCCTGGCGGGTTCACCGGTGGTGATGCAAAGAAAAGACGAGGCGTAAGTTGACACCTGCTACATCGACTGCCTACTTGGACTAGGTTACTAACGGGTATTTCTCAAATAGAAGGCAGCTCCTCCAGGACGATGCCATAGTTGTAATCGCGCTGAGACTCCTGAATGGCGCCGCGGTCCAGACGGCGCTCGCACTTTGTGCAACGCATGCGGTCTTCACTATGCCAAGCTGACTCGAAAGATGGGGCAAAACAAAGCTGCTGCCCTAGCATCGAACCTTAAACCAAAAAGTCTTGATTCGTCGCCAGTACACCGATGATATATATAACACGGTTTCTGCTAAATTATCACCGCCATTTCCCTAATGTTTATTCACTTCGAATTGTTTGACTGTTGAACGGCGTTGGACGAGATTGGATTGCACTAGAAGTTCCGGAAAGAGCTGGCGGAGCTGGCGTTTATTCCTTCACAGTTTATACTTGAGCCTTGTACCATTCCTTGTGTCTATTCTCTTGACTTTTCTTCTACTTGACCCGCTGGTATTCCCCTTGACGTTGATCGGCGTTAAGTTTTTCCTGAGTCATTTCTTTTGAGCTGACCATGCTATATACATACATATTTCTGTTACTATTTATATACCGACTACATATCCATTCGTGAGAAACACGGCTTTGTGCTAAAGATGGTCCGAATTCCTGGCGTCTGTCACCCTTGACTATGATCTATTTGACATTATGCAATTACCTATCATCATCATGCTTGAGCTGATCTACATTCCTCGACACGTTCCTCTGAGCATACCACAAGTGACATTATGACAGACCGGTTGATAATCTCAACATATTCCGGGATCTTTTTCCGACGAACATATACTACGTCTTTATATATCCAATTTGTCAGTAGATTTGACCCCTGTGCTAATCCATGAAGGGCAACTGGTGTTGGGCATCACATTTTCATAAMCCCGCCAATGAATTGAACAATTTACTGAATTTAACTTTTCATGGCTTTGCATAGTTACCGTCACATCCGGTCTGCTTTTTGGTAGGGCAACGTCAATCACGATTCAAAATCAATGTTGAATGTGACAGGCATGCCATGCCATCCCATGCACTAAGCACATCAATACCATCTCTCGGCATGAGACCAACCTTAGAACTATATGGTGGTTGTCGATCATTGAAGATAAAAAGTGCCAATCAACTCGATCGTGAACATCAATCTGGCCTCCAAAAATTGATGCTTAGTCGATCCAGGAGATCGATGTTAAAAGCCCGGTGTGATGAGGTATTGCACACCGATACTAAGATACTTGCATCTCAAAGTCGATGAAAATGCAAGGTTGCCCGATATTTCGCGCCATGCAAACCTCACTCGTCCCTCATATACAGATATTTCTTCAAAAACAATCGGATCTCCGGCACTGTGCCGGGCTTGCGTATCTACAGATCAGATCTTCAAGATTGCATGCATACCAGATTTCCCTACCTCATTAGGTAGGTTTAGTAAAACAACCAACATCGCATATGCTAGAGCCAACAAGAAACTCAGATTCAGCATAAACTACTGATCATTTGACTTCACTAAACAGAATCTGTCAATTTATCTGCATCTATTCTAGATGTTGCCTGCATGCGATTGGACCGATCGCAGTGATAGGTTCAGTTTAGTGGGAAACTCTGAAAACGCCGCCACGGGCCACGATGCCCTAATTCGACTAAAACGTACGTGAAAAGAGTTGCATCTTGCGATCGATGTAGCTACATAATATCAAAGCGTCCTGTGCGTTCATTGGAACCAGAAATAATTGGAATCATGAAAAAGCAATATATATATATATATACGCATCCATCCAATTGGACATCTTCTCTCATATAGTTGGCTGTCTGAGCGAACGATCGATCTCGAGCTAATGTATGTCAACTCGCCTATTATTGACATTTCCATCCGCCACAATCTGAGAAATTTTGTTTATACCTACGTGGAGTCCAAAACGAGTCAGAATGAATAATGCTTATTGTCATTTGTCTTCGATGCGCTGTTTAGTATCTGCGGTAGCTGCATTCATATCTAGTTGACGCGCGGTAACCCTAAAGATATCTGTCATAGGTCAAAACTCAAACCAACATGCAATGCAGACGCTAGATACAGATCGAAAATCGAATGTACGTACTATTGCGTCCCGAAAATGCCCGTGGCTGACATAGAGTTTTCCCATGTAATGCAAAATCTAGATCATGAGATCTTGACAAATCGATCATTTCAGCTGTCTTGTACGTGACCCCTCGACTATTGAATCCTTCATGTAGGATTCCGACGGCTTTAGCGTCATGTGCAAATTAGGGGGGAGGAGACTACCGAGTACGTAGTGTGAAATAACGGGCAGAGTTCGCGGCGAGCAATCGATACTCTCTTGGATGAACCAATTAAGTAAAGCTTACACTGCGAAGCCGCAAACTCCTGCAAGCCTTGGCTGTAAATTTGTAAGTTACTTGTTTTTGCTTTTTTTTTTCACGCGCGATTGTTGTACGGTATCATACCGAGCAAATGAGACGGGGGAATTACCATCCGTTTGTTGGTTGTTTCGTTACGCAGTACGTTGGTGGTATGTACGTACGAAGTACCTACAGCGGGAAGCCATCGTTGGTTCAGAGTCTCGACCATGGAACCGGTCGCCTCCTTGCAATTCATCTCAGATCTTGCACAGGCTGTAAGATTTCGTTTCGGCCCCTGCAGCCTTCCTCTCGGTTCCGAGAAAGAAAGAAAAAACCGGATCGAGGTAAGGCTTGTTTTCTAGATGACCCAAGTTACGCTGTTCCTTACTAAAATTTCTTGCTTGCTTGAAGTAATGCCGTAATACGTACGTACGGAATACATCACTAGCACATCCGGTCGAGATCGTTGAAGTGCTTGTCACCTGCTATCGTACTCCTTAGGGAGCAGTAATCTCTGTACGGATTATGGCAGTCAATACTGTATGTCGTACTACATTCCGTACGTATCTGAGACAAACCGTTGCAACTATGTAAGCATTCGATAAGCTACTTAACCTCCTTAATTCATCGTCGATCTGCGGTCAGACGAGCCCTGATCTCGTGGCTGGCTGTTGACCAACATTTTTTCCGACAAATTTGCGATTGAGCTAGTTACAGCCTCGCATTAGAACTTCCTCACTGGGGATATGATCAACACTGACAGTCCATGTAGTTATGTATGGAGTATGTACTATGTAGTGCATTCCGTAAACTTTAAACAATCGCTAAGAAGAGTTTAATTCTCGCTACTCCATTGGCAACGTCTCAGCGCGCCTACCGCAAGGTCTCGGTCTGAATCTCTCCTCCGTAACGCGATCAATCTACTATGCCCTGCAAGGTTCATTTGAGCAATTAGTCATCTCCGTGGTGTAACTACAAGTACAGGCTACAAAAGCGTGGCCAATTGCCGATGCTAGGGGCTCAGCCGTTCTGTCGATCGATCAACTAGCCGCTGCCAAGAGCCGAGACTAGAAGTACGTCGATTGAGATGAGATCTCGATTGTGGCACACGAGTGCCATCGCCGATGAGCACAGGGCCCGATCTGGCTACCTGCTCCGGCGGTACGTAAGATGTGTCTTTTTACCATACGTCATTACAATACAGGGCTGTTGTTCCGTTTCTCGCCCTTGTGTACGATGATGTATCATGTGGGACACTACTACGTATTATCCATACTCCGTACACACACGATCGGTGATCTGCTAAGTTGACAATTTGACAGATGTCAGTTACTGAGTTAAAGGGATGGATCATATTTTTTAGAACTTGTGCATATGCAAAGTCAATTTTCAGTTGTCATTCGGCGAGTGACAGGTGTGGCTTTGTAGGCGTTGTGACTTTGTATGCTGGTGTTTAACTGCGGTAGCACGGTCCTGCTCGTGTAAAATTGGGATATGGACAAGGGCTTGGGATTGAACCAAGGGAAGCACGATACGAAATCAGTCGGCAACCGGCACCTTACACTGTACAGAAATATGTACAAAATGGTTCGAGAAACTTGGTAGCACAACAGGGATCGCCGATATGCTTCGTGGGGATTCGCAGTACTTGAAACGCCAAGACGGATGAATCTTACCAAGCAATTTCATGAGATACACAGCCGTCTGTGCGTATGTATCTGTATTTCGTATCTTACACAACGCGCGTATTACTTACCAGGTATCCTGTAATTCATCTCTGTAATTCAACGTACTTAAATGCATTGTGCTTGTGGGTTCATTGTGCATATGTTTTCTGCGTGGTGTCGATCCTTTTGCAAAAGTACCGTCAAGTAGACAAGTACCGAGTACGTAGGGAAGACGCTTGGCGAGTTATCTTTGTCATCTGTGGAATACAGATTCATTGTTACAACGCGTACTCTGAGATGTCCTGAACCTACTACTAATCGAAAACACGGCTTAAATTCGAAGTTGACAATTGACATGCAGCCTTATACTTCATATGCTCGATACGCACGAACGCCATCCTCTCGACGACTCGAATTTCTTTTCGACTGTTCACGTGTACCATGCTTATCAAACGAAGCGGTCTAGCGACATACTTCCCAATATTGAGTGGTAGGGCTTCACATGTTTCAGTACTATATTCGCTCGGAACAACGTACCGAAGGCGGCATCTCAGAATTGAGAGACTCCATCGCACCTTTTTAGTCCGCCTTTAGTTCACCAGACTCACAGGGCGGATTGCACAGGAGATTCCCTTCAGAGAAATGGTCTCCTAGAAGCGTTCCGAATCTCGTCTTAGCGTTCCAGTCAGACGGACCGCAGCGATGATAGGGTTCCCACATCGTGAATCATGATGCCCAGAGGCTATATCCACCAAGTTGGGCCAGCCAAGAACCTCATTTTAGAGGCTCTTGAGTATCACCAGGTATTATCATTTAAGATGCTTCAAGCGTTCTTTGAGCATTTCCACTACATGTCATTAATCACTTGATGTTACGACAATGTAGTAACGAGTTCGTATGACTACGGATGTCCAATGACTGCAATATTGTACCTCATTACTGAATGAAGTTTATAGATATGCATCACCCTATCAGGTCGAACTCGAAATACTTGTGTTAGATCGTAGGATTCCAAAGCGGCTGGAGTGCCATCTCAATTGTGCAACACATGGGGTGAACATGGTGAACATTTCAGCGAGAAATGGGCATTTTCATTGCATTGATTGGTATCATTTCATTTTCTGATCTGCTTTGTCATAAACCATTGTTGTTCGTCGTAATTTTAACTACGTACTCCCCACGTCGTACATACGGCGTACTTCGTCGGATCATCGATGAAGTTTCATTTAGATCCGAACCGCAGCGTTGGTTCCGCTAATCGTAAGACTATTGAACCCCGGTGTGGATATTCCAGTCAGTTATAAGCAATCACAGACGAGTACTCCGTAGTACAAGGGGTTTTCCCATACCGTTCAAACTTTGGTGGGACCAGATGCTACGGGACCGGCTTAGCTTGTTGTATCTCGATCTCGAGTACGGACTATCGAGTATGCACATAAGCTCGTCGTATGCCGCAAAAATGCAGTAACTACTACCTGAGGCTTGTCCTTAACCTATTGCCTGGTCGTCAATTCGCTGTGGTGGTTGCCGAATTACAAATGCACGACAGACTTCAATTTATGACTGATTCCGTGCGTGTAGACAGGATTCGTTGAAGTGCCATATGTAAAGGAAAAATTTTTCAGGGAAGAATGAGTCTGAGAAAAAAAGTCAGGCATCCGATTCCTATTTTGGGAAGGGTCATCCTGCGCAAGTCATGGGCTATTTCCAAGATACCTTGAAATTACAACCATTTGAACCCTCGCCTCCACTTGATTCCGAGGGTGAATCAAGATTCGATCGTATCCCATAAGACTTTTTCTAGTTGTTACCGGATCTTTCATCCGATCCTACGGGTGATTCCGCAGAGTAGATACCCTTATTTACAAACTTTGACCTATCTAGGCATGTAGTCGACCTGCTTAACTATTTAAAGACACTCATCGGCGATCACCGCGAGTCAGCACAGGGAACTAAATCTTCAGAGTGCAAAGCTTGTCATCAAGTTACATTTAGTTACACTTGTGCCCACTTCCTGGATGGTGACTACCTAAACTAGTGTGGGCAGAAGACCCGCCCTGTGCTTGGATTTCAGCGTGAACTCGCGAAACAAACACTAACTGCTATTAAGTTGATTCGATCTTGGCACAAGGCGTTATTGTTAATTCTCGGGATTTAACGTGGATTTCCACAGAGTTAGTAAGTCGATTATGAAGGTTCTGGAGATTTTCACTTTGGCATATATATATATATATATATATATGACCGAAATAGGGCTAGCGCTAGGGCTAGAGTCAACTACACGTTCAGGCTCTCATGAAAGCAAACACGCAACTTTTTATTCAACTTTTATATATGAGCAAGTATCCAAACTCTTGCTCACTCATGACAATAAAGAGCAGCGATGAATGTAGTTTGAGTATAGAAATATAGAGAACGGACAAAGTCGGAATGATAACTTATTCGATTCAGAAGCCTTGTTCCTTTCAAACCCTCAAAAAAAAAGTCGAAAATAGTCCAAAGTATGGTGAGAATGAAAAAGTAAAGAGTATCTCAACGGATCGACGTATTGCTCCTGCAATGCATCAGAATGCATGGAACGATTATATGCAACAAACTCGACGTAAAATTGCTGAAAGACAACATGTGTACATGGTTAAACCGACAGAATGCAATGAAAACAGAACAACGCTCACACTGAATCATGAAAATCATAGTCTTTCACGAATTGGAACAAAAAAAAAAAACCCGGTCAACGCCAGTGCAGGTAGGCTAGGTAGCAGCCCACACGGCAATGCAAAGTGAACATGAACAATTAAAGAGAGTCAGAGACATAAGTGTTCCTAACTCGCACACACACACAGGAATATTGGAAAAGTGTGGCGTGAAAACACTATTAGCAAGTCTAAACGCGAGAGAAAATTTGATATATATAACATAGATCGGTCATCAATGACATTTGATCCATTCGTATCTCAAGATTAAAAACTGAAGAGACCACTCCGTTTCTTTCCCAAGGGATAGACAACTAAAGCAGCCAAAAACAGACCAACAGTAATTCCAATGGCAACCTGGACCATTCCATATCCGATGTCAAAGACGACTCCGCTGTACATCTTGCTGCTTCCGTAGAGTGACATGTTTTGTTGAGCCTCAAGAAAACCTTGAGTCCCGTTGTTGATAATCGAATAGAAAGAGGTGTTGTGGTTGATTTCATCAGCCGATGTGATGCCGGAAACCAGAGAGCCACTTGCTGCTAGACCTGATGGTACCTGGACAAATATAGCTGGCAGGATAGCTGCGGCAGCTAATCCATGCCGAAGTCGACTGTATAGATTCCCCATCACGCCAATAACAAAGGCACCTAGAGCGTTGACGACTTGAGTATTTGACCCAAATCTCTTCGTCGAGCAATACGTCGTCAGATATCCACAAAGGGATATCAGAAGCATCACTGGTATCTGTCGCCACTTGGACTGATTTATAGTTGTCAAGCAAAAAGTGAACATGATCACGAATGGCAGGCGCTGTAGGTAAGGATTTTCAATGGGGCTCGGTGGGCAATAATAATCTGAAGTGGCGTTGGGGTCTAACAGACCGTATACCGAAGTGCCAACAGTGATGCCGAATCCAAGAAAGAGGGAATAAATAATTGAATACACCATGCGAACTGAGCCGGCAACGATGCTACGTGACTGTAGTTCCAGGCTTCCACATAAAACCATATATCCTGGTAAGATAAGAGCGATGGATGACTGAGCAAGTGCGGAGAAACAGAAAAGACGACCTCCCTGATACGGGATACTGCCAAAGGCCCTTGCGAGGAAGGACGTGAGGACGGCAGCAGAGATCTCGAATACATTTGAGTATAGGTAAGAACGCGGTGATAGAACTAATTGGAGGATTCCAAGCAAGCAGCCGAGAAGAAATGCTATCGGCATATCAATAGGGCGAGCTCCAAATGCGAAAGGACCAACAGAAGCACTCGCGCAACCATGCATGAGGATGAGAAACCAAACATTAAACCGCGGTTTCCGTTTCATTATTTCTTCCAGTTTTCGCGTAGCCTCTGCAACTTCAATGACATCGTGGATCACTTCTTTATAGATCTGATGCACTTCAAACAATCGACCCAGGTCCACACCTTGCGCAGCTTTGACCAGTTTGACATCTGCAGTATGGGTAGCAGCATCATCAAATGATATGACCATACAGCCAGGAATGTACAGAAACTGCCCGTCAATTTCTAAAACTTTCGCCGTCATGCGCATATATTCTTCTAGTCGGTGCGTAGGTGCTCCGTACTTCATCAGCGCCTTGCAAAGGCGCAGTAGATATCGTTGACGGGATAGAGTCTCGGCAAGTTGCACAGTAATACACATCTCATCACGAGCATTTTCCTGAGCACGCATCTTCAACAGTCTTTGTATAGCTGGGGTTAGGCCACCGCTGCTTCGAGAACGTCTAAGCGGTGGCCGTTGCCCGGACGGGTGCGAGAAAGAGCTCTTGGTGCTTGAGTTTGTCCAAGATAGAGGTGGAGATGAGTTGCCTGAGTTCTTCTCCCACCATTTCCTCTTAGGAGGCTTAACGATGCCCGAATCCTGGCTAAGTGATCGTTCGGAGCTATCTGTGTCATCGAAGCTACCGTTGCGGAGATGTAGACTGTCAGGGTAGCTGACGTACTCTGGACTTGGACCGTAGTTTGTTGCCGCATGTCGCCTGTCATGAAGTCTTAGTAGGTTGGCAAGCACGCCAAAATTGTTGTGAGATCGCGAAGCTAGGCAATCATCGGGATTGTGATCTTCAGATGGTGTACTTTGCCCAGAGTGCAAGCCAGGAGAGGAGGCGCGGACCCGAGGGGAAATATTGAGGCCCCTTCGAGTCATTTGTTGAACAATTAAGAGAGCTTTGGGGAGCTTTATAGAACGTCCTGTTTCTCGTTCCTTAGCAGCCGACCCTTCCTCATCCTCGTTGAGCAAGTCGTAGAGTTTCTCTGTTAGAACGACCAGAGGTAGATCTTCACGCACTTTAGAGACGATAGGAATATTGATAGGTAAAATCACACTAAGGCCTTGTACGTCAAGAAACTTTGATTTTGGGAAGCAAAGGCAGAAAGGCCAGCGAGCTTGCTCTTGAGCTGCATGGTCTGCGGCTTTGAGTTTTTCTTCCGTGCCGATCCCATCATCATAATCATCGTCAGTGATTTCAGTCGAGCACTCGTTAGTGCTTGAAGTGGATCCACTAGAGGTACTGTCATATGAGGATGGGGATGAGCTATCATCTGAGGAAAGCCGATGGGAAGAGTCACCCCTCAAGCTATCAGCATAAGGAATGTTGGCGGCGATTGTGGACCCTTGAAGATGCGAAACCCCTTCCTGGGTGTGGGCAACTGACGTCGACATAGGTTGTTGCTTTTGCTCAACCTGTAAGCTACGCTGGTTGATAGTATACTCGACGCTATTGGTGACTTGTAGAATTCCCACATTCTTTGGCTTGCTTTGCGCATCCCCTGGTCCGGGCGTCTGCTTGTTAGAAGTGACGCCATTGGGTGATTTCAATGCTGATGTATGTGAAAAAGACTGGGAGGAAATAGATGTTGTTCTTATGAGTCCTCGAGGGGCGCGTCTTGAGAAATTCTTGCCCGCATCGTCGACGTGATCAGAACTAGGCAAGGAAATGGCAAGAAAACCGTCAGCCATCGTGGCAGAAAACAGTTTGCGGATCGTAGCTAGAATTCCAAGCTTGAGATTTCTTAAGATATGGTTGGACGACTACACCAAGAGGTGGGTTGCGTGCGAAAGCGAGAAAGTTTCACTAGGTTGTATCTACGGCAACGGTCAGCATATTTGTACATCAGTGCTGCCAAATACTGGCTCGGCCACAGTATAGTCTCGAGTAAAAGAGATGCAAATTCTCCTTAAGATTCTGGGTACGCTTACGAGAGTTGTGACTTACTATAATGTACTTTAAACGTAGATGTGGCGTACAAGGGCTGGTGCATCTGTAATAAGGGTTTGGTGTTACCAATGACCAGTGGCACGTCAAAGACGACCACTTAATGAAGCCAAACCGCAGAATATAGTTTTAGCCATGTAACCAGAGCGCTCCTGTTGATTTGTTTCTGTGATTCTTTGTCTGTAGAGTCTAGCCCAGAGCGCGCACGACAATATTGACTAGAACTCTGGAGAAGATCAGACTTGGGGTAACTCCAACATGGAAGCAAGAACCCGGCCAAGGCCCACAAGATCATGGGTTAGCATAGACAAGTGGATAATTTGTGCAGGTCCCGAGCCCATGAGTTTATTGCAATTGAGAGGAGAAAGCCATCGATCGTGATACATGAAGGAGGTGCATCCGCCGATGGGATATGACTTGGATATATACCTTGATCGCTTCTCCTGGAGGGATCAGCCGCACTGTTCAACTTAAAGTCCAATTATCTAATGAGTAAAGCTCAAGACAGGTAAGGCGTCTCATTGGCATAAATGACACTCAAGACCGGATGAACTCGAGCTGCGACGGCTTAGATTGCAGCCGTAAGCTCGTCCATGTGGACTCCGCAGCATTATAGAATACAAGGAAGATGAGTGACAGAATGTCTTGTTTAGCTGCAACCATGACAAGTAATTGGTCACATTCCCCCACGTAGAAAAATCATTATTTGACCCGCTTTCTCGAGCATTGTCCCTTCGCTTCAATAGTCGGCGATCTCAAAGCTCGTGTTCCCTCTGAGCCTAGCTAAACCTTACAAGCACATATTGGGCTCCGTAGTTGCCACCTTATTCCAGAAAGTGATATTCCTGCAGCTGCTATACGTCCATTCGAACATCCCATCGGCTGATTGAGCCTCTATCATCGCCTTCCATGATCCCGAGAGATGGATTGTGATTCGGGCCATGTCTTCGAACTTTCTTAAGTCTACAATCATATGCTATACCAATAACAAGGGGGCCGTTGACTGATATTTCAGACCTTTCAAGTGTCCCAACGCCGTTATTTCATAAGTCGAGCGTTGATTGATGGTGATGAATTTGGTCCATCATGCAGCAGTGAGGGTTGCATCAGCACTGGGTTGTACCCTTCAAGTGACACACGCCCCCCTCTTCAGCATGACTTGCATGATTGGACTGATTTCGAGTCTTGAAATAGGGGCAAATGTGGTCGGAGACATCAGGCGTCCATTGCGAATGCCCAGGGGCGACTTCTAGAACCGAGCTCGATACGATTCTATGACCACCTTGACCTCTCAAAATAAAGGTGAGCATAATTGCTGACGCATCGGGAACGTTGATACAGATCATCATCTTCGTCCAATCGGGATGTCCACCAGGCGAAGTGGGCTTTAGGGTAAGTGGAGTGCCGGCACAGAGCTCCATTAACATGGACGTTGGAGAGAGTGCACGGGGCCGCACGGCGAATCGACAGCCTTATTCTGGAAACAAACCCACTATGTATATCAAATACGTATGTAGATGCTAGATGGAAAGTAGGCTGAGACTTAGGCTCGGAGCCTTCGAATAGGTCCGTTGACCCGTGCGAGTTTGAGAAGCTCTTACCGGATGAATATACCTTGAACCACTTAATTGGTTCGAAGGCATGCCAATATGACTTTGCACATCTGACAATTCGTCTGGAAACAAGTTCAAAAGTGAAGGGTCATACCTTTTAGTCGCGCTGAAATGCAAATTACGAATGTGTCGGCAAGGAGTAACTTGATCAGGATTTTCATATGTACGTCTTGATTTCTCATTATCAGTGATTAGCCGTTCGATCTCTCCTTCATTTCCTGTGGACCTTGATCTCAGTATATATGTAGAAATTGCAATGGAATGAGGGTACATGATTCATTACGCGGCCGTTGACATCAGATTGTATGCGGAATGAGCAGACTATCAGGTTCTTCGTAAAAGATATGATTGGCTAACAGTCAGTAAATACCAGGAACTAAAAACACGTGCCTGCATTAGCCTTGCGTCTAATATTGTTGGGAAGATGTATGAGTGGTCGTTAACAATGACTGGACGAATTGTGCTGCTGAATTATTTTACTTGCTGGCTCCGCCGATTGGATTATTGTCAAGCTACCACGGCGAACGTCGTTCTTGCAATAAATTACGACTCTTTAGTTCTCTTACCTTTTGTTGGTTCCCGACTCTGCAAGTACATTGTGTGGCCGTGCGCAGCGTTTACCCGATCAATAACTACACTTCATGCACCGGATCTGCCGTTGGTAGGCTTATCAACGTTGGCCATTTAAGCTACACACCTAAGATTCGTCCTTTTTGGGCTGTTACGTACAATAATAATTCATAATGAAAGATACAGTAAGACTGAATTACTTGCAAGGAAGCAGGCATCGCGACCCATCAAACTTCGGCTGCTGATTTGCGACGCTCGGATCTAGGCCACTGATCGTTTGACGCATGACTGTATTGCCATAATGATCTTCTCGTGGCAACAATTGTTACGAAAGGGGTGTCTAAACAGGGAACAGAAGCCGACCAGCAGGGCTAACATGTGGATATACATGCCCGGATAATTAATCGTGACCTGTAGCATTGAAATATGGTTAGTTGTCAGTGGTCGTCTTCTTTACTATCAAGACTTCTACGTCTGCTGAATGAACTCACCTGTTTGACGTAATTTCTTCTACAGCCCCTATCGTTGATGCTAGAGTAAAGTCTCCACATCACCCGTTCAAATAGTCAACACCATTCATTCCTTTTTTGCCGGAATAGGTTTCGGTGTAGTGGCTAGGATCATCAAGAAGCATATGTAACATCTATTTCTTTCGCGGCCGGACCACTCACAGAGCCTTCTAGACTACCAGAAAAATAAAAACCGGACCTAATAGAAGTTCGCAACTTTTATTTGTTCATGGAAAACGCAGCATTATGACCCGTGCGGCAACGTTACATGTGCTGTTATGTACCTAAAGCTAGAAAGTCATCCGGTGTCACACCGATTCGATACAGTGCTGTACAACATGAGATTATAGAGATGTACCCATTGAGGTATTGGCAAGAGTTGTGGCTTTATTAGTCATGTCACCTTGGCCACCTATAGTCATATACCCAGTTTGATCATATTAAAATAGGTTAATCGACGTGTCGTGGGAGACTTACTTAGGGCATTCCCAGTAGGTGAGGCTTTGAGCCTAAAGGTAACATAGTACTTGAAGCTCAAGGGATGAAATCATAACGTAGGTCATCTTATTCTGAATTGCCACAGAGAATGCAGATATGATGTACTTGGTAAGCGACGATTGTTGATGCGGTTAATAACATGTGACAGTAGGCAAAATCGATGAAAAGCTGTACTCTCGCCACAAATCGGACTCCTGCACTGGCACACGCGACTTCTTCTGCTGAATCGTGTGAAGTATACTAATGAACAAGGTAACAAGATGTTTCTAGTCGCTTCTGAATTTTCTTTCTTTGACTTCTCGTCCCTGTATTTTGCATGGCCAATGCGGCCTTGTCCGAGAGACCAAAACCTGAATTCACGTTGGTTAGCCGATTTGCTGCCTACTCTTCTAGTCCTCTCCAACACTTGAAGCTATGTATTCAACAAAAGATGGCCTTCTCATGGCTCTAGAATTGCTCCAAGTTTGTTGGTCTGAGCGTTTTTTGGGTAGCACCGGAAGCTTTCTTGCGCTGTCGGTGCATTGCTTTGCCCCAGGCCGAGGCCTGCATCAGAAGCTAGATGACATGGGCCTTCGATAGGCCGTGGTCAAAAGATGATGTATACGTCTCCGGAGCTTTCACAAGGTCAATATCTATGCAGCCGTTGACTCTGAGCGCACTAGGTCTGATTGCCCGGACGTGTCACTTTGTGGGGCGTTGATACGAGCTAGAATAATAGAAAATGTGTAGATGACGCTGGGGGTCATGTCACTGTCATGTGTCGGTGACCCGATGTTCCGAGTGATGGGCTAGATTTTGAGGTACATACACTAAGTGCCATTGACTTACCTGCGGCTTTGAGAAACTCAAAGCGTGTACTATCTGAGCATGACCTCGAGGAGGACGTCAGTTTATCCATTCGGAGAAATTCACCGAGCTTCTTTATCTCTCTTCTCAATTTGGTACATTGTCCAATTTCGCGCAAAAGTTCCATTGACCACTATTTCCTGTTCTGATCTTTAACTTCTTGCTAGGGCTTTAGTCCACTTTCGAAACTTGTTTCTCATATCATCGAGAGAATAATGGACAGAAAATTTCCCTAAAGAGAAAAAGATGCGAGTCCTGAGTGCCAAAGGCCCACAATTTGACTGTCGTTCAGCACTCAATTAACTTCTCATACCAACAACCCCAACTTGAGAGCCGACAAATATCACTCATTATCACAGAGATCGGAAACGAGGAACAAAGGAGGAAATAGAACAATGAAAGTCAAAGGTCAAATTGATTCGTCGAAAACTCTGTGGCACGGTCCGGCCCGAAAGTTTGTACCGGTACTGCATAACCCTAACAGCCCTAACAGCAGCTAAAGCCCTAACTCGAAATAGGGGACCCTCCGAAAATAATATCAGATCATCATCATCGCACCAAACGGATCTGAATCCGACGAGACAGTCCAAGCGATGACGGACAACTTGACCATAAAGTTTTAGTCAGTACGCTTCAATAGTTACCCATACCCGGCATTTAGGAACGATCTCCGGTTTTCCCATAGTTTGAAATGAACAAGCATTTTAAAATCGACTACCTAGCGAGGTAAGCGTTCCGTTGTGTCGGTACGACTGAGCATCAGGAGGTGTTAATCCGCACGGAGTTTAACGAATATTGGGACGTTGCTGGCCTTTCTCATGTACTTATCCGTGTCTTGAGCCGCGGCGGGTTGACCTGGGGACGTGAATTTCCAAGATGGAAGCCAACTACTTAGGCGGATGACGACCTTAGCAAGCTTATTGAGGCGTGCTTTGAGTTAGAAACGTGAAAAGGAGACTAAGCATCACTACAGCGTACTTGAAATGCAAATAGCTATAGCTGTTGCGTGTATGTACATCGGAATGCAAGCCACAGTACACAGCCGGTAGACGTTTCACCCTTCCGAGAGCACAAGCTCAACGGATCTACGGGGAAAGATAAAATGCTTAGCTTGATGTCAAAGAATCACGGCCGTAGCGCTTCGCGCGGATACTGGCAGCCCAATTTCGCTGCTGATTTACCTAATTATTGTACTACATGCAAGCCATGTATTCGCGAAGAATGTGGGTAAAACGTTTGACTTCGGTAATTATGGGGGATTTTCCCGGATGGATTTGAGAGTTTTACATCTCCTTCGGTTCGCTGCAAGTTTGGTTTGATTTGTTTGGTGTTCGGCCGTAGTGAATGCAAACACGGTCAACCTTGAAACTGTTGAGAATGGGTTCGCATTCCTTCGTCACTATTGCCTCAGAGAGGGCGAAGTGATGTGTATTTGTTGCAATACATGACACAATTCATAGAAAATACAGGGTTAGAAAGCTGAGGAAGGGCTATCCTGGGAAACATTCCTTATCAACTAACAGCAAATACTGTCAAGAAACCGCCAATAATAGCTACATGGAGCCAATCCTCTCAGCACTTTCTCAAGCCGCCAATTAGACCAGAGACACTACATACATATGTATGCTGATAGGCCTACGCTCAGTTGTGGTTGCCTTACAGCAAATATGCATCAGATTCTGGGGTGCTTGAGCATCATGCAAGGTTTCCCTAGAACCAAGTAAGCCTGCATTCCCCAATTGCAATCTTTCTGCAACACCGTTGAAATGAGCACACACATAGCTGCACAGCATGAAGAGGGCGTGCCAGTTTCAACGACTGTCAAATTTTCCACAGCCAATAATTCTGCGCTGGCCTTTTGAATTTGGTTTTAAGTGTCATGTTAGACCGAATTCCTCGTAAGTTCATTATAACCTCAGAAACATCGAATATCATATTGAAAAGCTTGAAACGCAAGGCTACGCTTCTAACGAGAGGGAAATATGCACCTGGACCTGTATAACTTATTGAAAATCAATCTCACTTGAATGTCAACATGCTTACAATATGAGATCAGGAATATTGTAACAGCTCTACCCTAAAAGTTATGATAGGTCGTTGATGGGAGTACAAAAAAAGCCATTGTATACATTAATTGTAGATATCCCCCAGGTACTTAACGCTACTTCGCTAACCTCCTATCTGATATGAGATACGTTTTAATATTTCGAGCTCGATTGTAGCCAGTCATACCACTAAGGATGTATGTAGGCGAAGGAAAAGTTTTTTTTGAGATATCTTCTTACCCAAACTGCAGGGCTGAGCTCTGATTATAGTACAGTGTTTTATGTTGTGTATCGGAATAGATGTTAGGAGGTCATCTATTAAGCTAACTGCATACGAGTCATGTTCTGGTTCTAGACCGTTGAACTACATGTTGGTCATCCAACTACTGAATGTCTAGACATATAGAAATCCAGAGATTGATATTGCCTAACTGTTTAGACGAGCCTGAGCCTAAGGGATCTTGAAAGTGACCGCAACCTTTCAGGGACATGCATTTACCTGCACTCGAGTCTGATTTTCAAAAATGATAATAAACGGACAAACTCAAAGCCTTGAAAAGACATGGTCATCGCTTCGCTACATTCCACATAATCATTGCAATATCACGCATCCCGATCCCTAATAATAGAAGAATAAACACCGACACGCCGAAGCCAAAATCGACAAGTATGAAGAATCATAATAATAGACAAACAAGCCCTCGTAATGAAGACATGCAATGTAATGCGCCTGTAACCTGGTATCATTTCAAAATTGAAGGGGAAAGAAGAGAAATAAATGGTCCAAAAAAAGATTCCACGACTTTATATGTAGCCCTATTCTCTCTCTCTTTCCTCATCTCCTTTCTACACGACTTAGAGCCCCTAATATTAGACTGATATCTTCCTTTTGCTGTCTTGCTTGTCGTGTCCGCAATGCCATTTGGCGAGTGTCTTTGCTGTTGCCATCCCCATGCGAGTCGGCTTTGCTTGGAGCATCGTCTTCAAGGATGCCCTTTGCGATTCGGCTGTCTCGCTCTTCGAGACGATCGGAGCATACTTTCAGTATCTGATGGGAAAGACGATCTGCCGTGGAGCGGTAAATATCAATGTCATGAAGTCCTGAAGCAAAGGCATCCAGTGTCGGAGCCAGATGCGAAGTGATACGTGATAGGCGGCGAGATATTGTAGCAGGTGGTAAAGGCGGATTGGTCGTTGATGTAGGAAGTATGTTCTCGTCACTTGGTCCTCCTTCACGATGTATTCGAAGGCCGTCGGGTGCGAGCGTGGTTATTATTGTTCGCTGCGAAAGATCTAATATCGCCTCATCAATGACTGGCAAATTCTTTGAAGTAGCATCGTCTTTTGCTGTCGGCTCGCTAGGAGGCGGTCCTAGTGGTGGTATTGAAGGCTGTCGCAGTAACGCGTTGAGTGCGTGTCTCTCATTTTGTAATCTGCCCGTGGTTAGAACAAGAGTTGAAAAAGAGAAGTACATGCCCAGAATACTCACTTTCGTATTTGCTCCTCCAATTCTTTAATCTTCTCAGCATTTTGTACATTTTTCGGATTCGGCTTCTTGACAATGACCGCAGGAGCAGGTGCATCTTCTCGCGCAAACCAGTTCGTTAATTCGGATTTGTTCGAAAAATCCTGAAGTAGTTCCTCTTGTATGACTCGAGCTGGAGAATATTAGGATCTCGTTACCACCAGAAGTTGTTTATGCACAAGAAACATACCTGCTAATCTGGCGCTGTCATCATCAGAACGAGATCCTGAGGGCTTATCGTCTAACGCACGAGTCGCACACCAAGTCATCAACTGTCTCATCCGGCGGGGCTCCGGCAATCCATCGCTTGCGATGTGTTTATAAAATTCAGAGGTCGGAACCTCTTTATGCGGAAGTGCTGTGCCAGAGAAACATTAGCGGAATTGCCCGTCTGCAGGTTAAAGCTCCTTTGCGCCTCTGAGCAGAATCACACACCGTTTGATGCTCCTGAGTCTATCAGCGAGCTTGCTCGTCGACCTCTCATTCCCAAGCTATTCCTTCTTTGTCCCTTTCCGTCTCGTCCTTCCCTCATTTCCTTATTCCTTCTTATGACGGGCGTGTCGGCCACAGGTAAAGCAATTTTTGAGGTAGCGCCTTGAGAAGGCTCCGGCGATCGCAAGCTGATATCAACAGGAAGTTTTGTCTTGGCGGGTCGACCTTTCTTTGCAGGTTTCTCTATCGGAAACGGGGGCTCTTCGTCACGTTTTCGAGTTTGTCTACTCGGCACTTCAGCTTGTAACTCTGCTGACACCCTTTTTGGCCGTCCTCTGGTGGCTTTGGTCTTTTTTGTGCCAGCTCCAACATCTTCAATTGTTGTATCTTCGGCTGATTCAGCCGGATGCGATTTTGGCGGACGTCCTCTTCGCGGTGAGTGCACGACTGGTTCTTCTATTGCAACGTTATTTACAGCCGGCGCTGATTTCAACTTTTTGACCGTCGCTCGCGAAAACTGAAAGCCTCCAATATCTTCGTCGTACTCAGCTATTGAACCAGAAACCTCAAGATTAGTGACCAATCTCGCAAATAATAAGCTCGGATCTTATTCTAGAGAGCCCGAGTACACTTCAAGTCGCAAACTTACCGGCATTTCGTTTCGATGCATTTCGCGTAGGTCTCCCATGTGCTGATTTCGGAGGAGCAGCGCCCTCATCGTCACCATCGTCCTTTGCATTCAAGCGCGAGCTGGTTCGCGTCCCTTTTCCCTTTTCACTATTTCCGCGTACTGACGACGACGACGCAGGTCGGCCCTGCGACGCCGCCATATCGATCACTTTCAAAGGTTCACGGCGAGCGGTCCTTGTGGATGTTGCCGTCAAGACCGTGGTGGTCATAGCAGGTAATTCGATATGCGTCGCTCGTAGATCAATCAAAGAACCGATTCCGTAAATATTAAGTCCACCCGTCTCTTATATTGCGGTATGGCATACGCGAAAATTCGCAAGTTTTCGTGAAAGTCGTAAAAACGTTGTTGCTATCGTTCGTCTTGTTCGCGCGATCGTGGTACTTGGTGGTCTTCAGCGGATCTATGACCCTCACACCCCTCTTTCCCGATGGATCAATCGTAGTTTTCGACAGTAATTTGCGTGCTGTTTGTCCTCCGCATATGACGCTTTCTCGTGACACCGTTCCCATGCGCAAAATTCTGTCGAAGATGAAGCGACCCAGAGTGAGTAACTTGGATTGAAAAGCACGGGTCGCGCTTCCGAAGATAGACGCGCCCGACCGAGGCTTCTGATTCGATGAGCGACCCCACCAACGCAATTGACCCAACGCCAATGACCTGACGGGCGAACAACAACACTGAAGAAACTGCGGCTGTCGCTGAATCGAGACAAAGTGGTGAGCTGAAAGGGACGTGATCCGGATTGTCTTAAGCTGGGAAGTCTTTCTTGGGTCAACACGCGCCAACGTTGAACGACCAAAACAACCTTGTGTGTGTGGGGGCCACTAAGCCTAGCATGGCTTAGTGTGCATACTGTGACACGAGGGGACGATACTCTACTTAAGCACGTATTATGACTCTTAAAAGTAGGTAACTTGTGGGATGGAGCGGGCTCGTAAATCATCATGGAATACCAGCATATATACATCTACTACTTTATTCACTGGGGAGATAATCACCCCACGATCCTACGGTGAGCTTCCTCTTTCATCTCTTGGGAGATCTCCTGCTCCTTTTGCCGCACGTCAGGTTCGAATTGCGGCACATCTGGGCTGTGGCCAATGGACATGCCTACACGAATCTGTAAATCAGGGTGTCAGTAACGACTACGATTTGTTTTGGGTATTCCTGGATCCCACTTACCAGTGTTTCGAGTGCACCCTTGGAGTTGTCAACTAGATCACTATCAAAGTTGATTTTTCCAGGTTCAAAGAGTAGCACAACGGTGCTGCCGCCAAAAGCAAAGTAGCCTAATTCCTCGCCACGAGACACCTTCTCGCCGGGTTTCCGAGTGATCACGGTGCTTCCAACCATCATGGCACCAACACATACCGCCATTACCCGACCATGAGCCACAGAGTCAATGGGTACTAGTACTCGGACATTCTCGCCATACACATCGAGAGCGGAACGAATGGCCATCGGGTTGACTGTATAGTATTCACCTTCGATGGTCTTCGGGGTGTCGAGGATTCCGTCCACAGGAATATGGAAACGATGATAGTCCTGGGGTGCAAGTCGGAATATTCCAAGAGCGCCGTTCTTATAACGTGTAACATCTTCTGGATAAGCCTTCCCTAGCAGACGCTCTATAGAGAATTCTCGGCCTTTGATCCAGATCTTGGTAGCGTCTTCAATGCGATCAAAAACCACACTGCGGCAATCAGCAGGAGAGACCACGATTCTCGGCTCGTCGGGGGCTGAACAAGGTCTTGCGCCCGGCTTTAATTTGCGATAGAAAAATTCATTGAAGGTCTTGAAGTTTTCTACGGGTTCCAGAACCTCAGACATATCGAGTCGATGGAAACTGATGAAGCTCTCGATCTGACTAGCAGATGCTGGATCATCATACTTCTTCCCTTGCTTTATACTTAGAGACTTGAGCATCCTCCGAACTGTTGGTTCTTAAGTTAGTCATTCTTGTCTAAAAGTCTAAATCATGTGAAGGATCATACTTACTTCGTTTCTTCTCCATGTCGCGGCTTTTGATACCCTTGTATAACAAGCGAATACCAAGACGAACATAGACACTCATTTTCTCTTCGTTTATTTGACCGGTGATGCGGTCCTGCACCAGGATATTCGCCGAATTGGCACCAAGCCGGTATCCGCCATATCCAATTTTAGTAACAACTTTGCTGTACCATTTGCGCTGTGCTTGGCTGGACGTAACAAAGCCTCCCATAACAATATTATCAACCTGTCGCCAGTCTTGACTTACGCACGTTGCAAGATGGGTGATAATGTCCGCATCAGAGCGTTTGCTCAGACGTGGCTGGTGACATAGTGGACATTCCCCGATTTCAATGATGTGCTCTTCACCTCGCTCATCCGCAAGGTCATCAGGTGCCAATTCACCATATCCTGGAGAAGGCTGCTCTCCCTCGGGGAATCCAGACAGATCTAATTGCTGTGGCTGGCTTTCCATGCCCTCTAAATCAGTTGTCTCATCCGCACCAGAAGAAGTGTCTGGGGTACGATCCCCAGTCGAAGATAGAGAGCTGGGCACTAGTTTTCGAAGCTTGGAGTCGAGTCCGCCAAAGTTACTCTTCTGTACTTTCTGTAGAGCATCCTCCAAACAGATCACAGCTTGATCGTAGGTTAAATCGTTAAATTCACCTGACTCGTTCTCGGCAGAGAACCTGCTAAAGAAGCTGTCGATAGTAGATTCTTTCAGAGTCGACCCGAGAGTATCAAGCATGGTGGTAAGCTCAATTTTACTTAGCCCGCCGCTATCATCAGCATCGTACTGCTTGAGCATGACCCTCCAGAACTGTTGCCGAAGAGCTTTATACGGCATATATTTCGCCTTTATGTAAAGTTCTGGGGAGTATTTGTCCTCCCATCTCTCCTTATTCTTCAACAGAAGCGGAATTGTATATGTCTTGAGATCTTCGCTAGCCAGAGAGCCTTGAGGCGACGGAGGTGTTTCATCAATTTTTGACGAGAGACTACTAGTGCTCGGGACATCAAGAAGTGGAGGACTCATCTCAGAAGGAACGGTAGTAGGAGGGGTCGGGGGAGATTGATCAGACCTTGTTTGTGTGGTAAGAAGCGAAGGATTGGACGACTGGGATGTTAAAGTTGGTTTCGACGACTTGCTCAGACTACTTGCAGAGTTGGAGCGCGACATGGGCAGCCGAAAGCGCGATCTTTGAGACTGCAATGGCTGGCCTGGCTTAGATGGCTCCTGTAATTTGTACAAACCCGTCTCGGGGTCGGCCTCTGGAGCAGCTGCTATCAATGTCTGAAGTGGGAGTTCGGTGGTTGCCACAAGATCGTTCCCAGATAATTTGTCACGATCAACCACTGTGAAGCTCATGGTGTATGACTGTTCGTGTTTCATGACTTGGAACACCATCTTTTCATCATAAACAGGGTTCAGATTATGGCGGATGACCCTCGTACGAAGAGTCTTTCGTCCTAGTGATGTTACCACGAAGGGATCCATATCGAAGGAAGTTCGAGTCACTATATAAGGTCAGCTTTGGAATCTATCGCCAATCGCTTCTAGCAGTATTGCTTACCGTTTTTCTCTGGTGGGAGGTTGGTGATTTTATTAATTTCGAGAAAGATTACTCCTTGAACCCCGTTCGAGGCGCCTGAGAATTGATATGCTCTTGCGGCGAGTGATTTACGCTTCAGTCGCGCGATACGTAACCGACGCCTTCGCTTTTCCACGATTTCGGGTTTGGTAGGATCATCAGTCTCGTCCGAAGTCTCTTCATCTTTGTCATTTTCATCCTGATCAACCGAGTCTAGCGCGGTATCGTCTTCCTCTTCTGCAGCGCACACGATGGATCTGAATTTTCGATAGGTATCGGCAGGATTTGCGCCGAGATTGGCAGTGTCAACCAGAGAAAACTGGATAAGAATCTGCCCTGAGACTATACTCTCCTTCTTCTTGCCTCGTCTCCGCTTGGACTCTAATGTGTACCATTTGGGCTGGTATTATCTTAGCTTCAACCTGCAGTACGGTGCTTGGACCACAGTTGTGAACGGGAGGGATGTACCTGATGCTGAGTCTCGCCCTCGGCGAAAATCTCCTCTAATGGAATATCAAATTCTCCCATATAATCCCTCCCAAAGCGATCACGGTCCCAGCACACACACTCCAAGAGGGGTACGCCGCTTACGGGCAGCTCAAACGTGACATTCCAATCGGGATTCAGAGTCTTGCTGATCGTTGGGGTCGACTCGCGTGCGCTTCCGAGGGAGACGACCAGGTACTTCCCAGATGTTAGCCAGGGCCAAAGCGCAAAGTCAACGACTAACCGGGGAAAAGACTCACAGGATCACTCGTGCCACCTCTATCCTTTGCTGCTAGATCCCTTCCCTAATGTTTGTTAGCGTATTAGCTGGGCATCAGCGAGTGGAGGGACAACTAGATTGAAGTTGTTCAGTCGTACCTTGATCACATTGACCTTGAGTGTTAGTGTGGAATCCATTGGCGACCTCAATGGACTTGGGTTTCGACTCTGCTGGATGGGAGTTGTGCTCTTGGAGCTGATGAAGCGCTGGGGCAGTGGTAGACGGACCATGACGGAGTGAATGTGGGGTATAGCCTTATTATATCTGGAGTGGGTGGTATAATACGTAGCAGTAAAAGCAGCGCAGCGATGACGATGGCGCAGGGACTAAAATAGCAAGGAAGATCTCTGATGGCCCTATCCTCGGATACCAAGTAGCAATGACTGTGCTGTCCGTTGTTACGTTGCGTTGCGAATCGACGCAATCTGGGACTGGGCGCAATGGTAACTGGCCTGCAGTTGACGTGACAATTGTGTTCTTGGTCGTTGATGAGCTCGCTCAATTCGTGGACAGTGGAAAGAAGTGTATAGACATCATGAGATAAAAGCAAAGTCGATGGTTTAAATCAAGGATGGAGTACCGACAACTCCAAAGTGGCTGAGGTGAGGGGAAGGAATGATGATGGAAGAGGAGGAAGTCGCAAAGTTGGCGGAGAAAGCAAGCGGGGTGGGGACACCTTTTCTTACTGAGACTCACTCTCAGCCACCTACTCACTACATGGAACGTTCATGTACTGTTGGATTTCAATATTCTGTAATATCATTTTCACCAAGAGTTAGCGACCACTCGAGTCAATTTGTTTCAGATAATCCTTGCGCTGTCTGGCAAATCATGACTGTTAGGACCTTGGCCCATGTCGTATCCTAGGATTCAACTCGCCAAATCGACCCGCCCAGGGACAATTGTTTAGAAAACGATGGATACGGAACATTCGGATGCGAAGACATCCACAGCGTGTATTAGTACCGGCTGTCAAGTGTAGTTTTGTGCATGTTTCCCTGTACTAGTACCGGCTTCGGATGTAGTACTACGTCACGCTGGTCAGATCGTCTCGGATTGATTCTAAATATACTGCAGTACCAGCTGGGTGGGCCACCGGGCCATGATATCAACTCGTAAATGCGGTTGATATTATTCGTTAGATCTGTTTACGCTGATTTACAAGAAAAAAAGCGTGATAGGAATAAATTGATGGATACAAGATCTAATCTATCCGTCGTTCGTCAACCCGACCCCAGACCTCGTCCGGCGTGGATTTACCTTTTGTCTCGGGAACCCGGAGATAAATGAGTACACTAAAAACGCTGGCTAGGACGGCAAAGATCCAGTAGATCTGACCTTTTCCAAGAGCCGCGTTGAGAATGGGGAAAAATTGGGCGACAATAAACGTCGCAATCCAGTTGGCAGACAATGCCCAGCTTTGAATGGCCCCCACAGCCTCAGAACCCACAAGTTCAGAGGCAAGGATGAAGGGTACAGGGCCAAGTCCGACCGCAAAGCTAGCGACAAAGAGCAGACTTGCCAGTGCGGATACTATCTTCTGACCGATGGAAATACCAATGGCCAGCAGTACTGATGCTGAGCCCATGCCACCTATACTGAGTAGAAGGCAGGTCTTGCGACCGATCTTGTCCGGTAAAGGAGAACACACAAGGGTGACGACAAGATTCAAAGCAGAGATAATGACAGCTAATAGCGGAGCTGCGGTCGGTAGTGTAGTCTGGAGCAGCGAGACACTGTACATGATAATACTATTGACACCAGTAAACTGTTGTGCAAGCATGACAATGACAACTGCAATAATAGCAGGCCGATACTGTGGGTTAGTGGCCACGGTCAGTATCGTGACTCGTGGTTGTTGAGCCGAAGGTTGGTGTGTATGTTGTGACAGCAAAGACTCCTCCTCATCAACTCCGTTGTCATCAGGGAATCCAACCTTCCAATTTTGAGTTTCTTCTTCAATGTCCGCATCTTTGCCTCGAATACGTTGGAGAACTTGCCGCGCCTTATCAGTGTGTCTATGTTCGGCCAGCCAAGACGGAGTCTCTGGCACCAGAAGAAGGCCAACAAATTCAGCCAAGCCAAGACCAGCACCCACAGCGAGAATAATTCTCCATAGATTGTCTCTGCTGAAGAAATATCCAAGAGACTGGGTCAACAAGATTCCTACATTGGTCATGACTTGAGTGAAGGCACCGAAGAATCCTCTGGACGAAGGCGGGGCGATCTCGGACACGTAGATTGGGCCGACCACAATCGATGCTCCGGCTCCGACACCACTGAGAAATCTCCCAATACTCAAGACAGCGATATTCGGAGACGCTGCCTCAGCGACCGAGCCCAAAACGAAGAAAATAGTAGTCGCCCTCAAAGCCAACAGCCGACCTGACCGGGTGGCTAACGGCCCGGATACCAAAGCCCCAACCAGGCCCCCAAGAGTGTATATAGATGAGACAAGCCCAAATTGCGATGCGTTCATCGGAAGACATTGTGGTAGTCGTGCCGAAACCGACGTGATGCTCTTCTTCTCGCAGGTAATGACAGCTTGTGGGGCATTCAACTCAGCCTGGATTTATCCGGTTTTTCAGCTCATGAGATCATTGTTAGAGATAGCGCATCAGTACATACCAGATGAAAGCCGAATTGAAGGGGCCCCAGAGTCGAAACAAATACCAGATAAATGAGGAACACGGTAACGTGGGATTGCTTAGAAGCTGTAGACATTGTGGCAGCTTTGCTGTAATGCCTATAATAGGCTGCATATATATGTGGTTGTTCAAAAGATTATTGTCAGTTCAAATGACAGAGCGTCTTTCCTAGACTGAATTGAGGGCGTGACAAGTATGTACAAAACTAGTTCTGTTGTGGTCGTTGGTGTTGATGTTGATGGATCAGCCCCGTCTTCGGTGATCATGACGTGCGGTGTTGATTCTAGTACTAAACAGGACTAGCTCCTGTTGAGATTGGGGTTAGGGTTATGTGTAGGGTTAGCTATGTACAGGGATTTTTGGATCAAGCCCATCCTTTCTAGTTTCTTTTGCAAAATCAACTGATCTGGTGCTGTTTGAATATTGCTGGCTTCCACAATGAAGCTCTCTTCTCTACCCATTCGAAAGACGTTCCACCTGTTTGAACAATACAATATCGAATCGAGACAAAACCTTGTTCTAAAGCACTGGTAACCTCCATGCATGTAGCATGCGCAGGGACGAGACCAGTGGCAATAATGGCATCTTCTTCAAGCATGATAAGTTGCTCAACCTCACCATAGAGAGTGTGCGTTGGCGTAGTATCTCCTGCAGTGAACATGGGATGTGAAGGTGATGTAGTACAAGAGTATCTAGCAGCAATTCTTTTCAATTGTGCCGGCGTAAGGTGCGTGATGAAATTATCATTGTGGCGTAATTTTTCTTCAATTATGCCCAATTTGGAAAAGTATGCCCTCAGGTAATTCGAAATCGACTCAGAGTTGGCGTGAGATTGAGGAAAGTCAGCTTTATCGGACGACGTTAGATCATTCATATAGCACAACAACAAGAGATGGGTAGCTTCTTTATACAGCCTTAGAAAGCGTAATTTGTGACGCTCATTCTTGGATCCATTTAGGCCAAGGTGTTGAAGCCTTTGTGAAAATATTTCCAAGGTCGTGAAGAATACAGGAGCGTCCGATGAAGCTACTGAAGTTTCTGCTTGCCATAATACCAAATGGTCTATCAGACCAGACAGTTCTAGATAGATACCGAAAATGGTGTCCCGTAATTGTTCGGTCGTATATGATTTCGTACTCGGAATGCACGTACTCTTATACGTGTCCCTATGACCTCGGAGAGTCATGCCAAGCTCTTTTTCTATAGTGACTTTTAGCCTCTGTATAAAAGCTAGCGCGGCATCTTTCAACGCCAAATCAGGTTCACATGGCTTCCAGTTTGTCTTTATTATTTCATAACCCTGAGAGAAAGCGATCTTCAACCCATTGGTCAAATGCATGGTAACACACTCTGTTGAGTTTCGTAAACTTTCGGTTGCGGCAAGCATTAAAGACATTATGAAACCGGTTCTCACTGCCTCCGCGGTTGATGATGCTTCTGCCAGAGCTTGCCGGGCTTTGGAGACGGCATCAATATAAAGGATTGCCACTGCACTTTCCTGATTGGTCATATCCAGATTTTTTGTTGGACATCTGCGCTTGGATTCGTATTCATGATGCGTAGCAGCAAATGCCACAGCAGTGTATTGGAGCGTCGCTTGAGATATCGAAATTTGTGCTAACATGACCTCCCATAGCGTCGTGTCGTAATAAGTTGAAAAGATAGGAATCGTTTGAAACCGAAAATATTCTAGAAATGTCCAGCCGTAGCCTTCTATCATTAAGTCACCGTCAGAGATTGATAGATAGTGCATCTTTTGCTGTTGTGTTCGTGGACGACCAACAGCGTAGCCATCGCATTTGCGGCCCGTATCGACGCACCGTCGACACGTCGGACGTCCCTCATCACACTTCTTGCGTCGTGCTCTTTATTATATCTGTTAGCTTTGTAAAAATAAAGCCGATCGAGCAAATTTCCATGGTCATGTTGACTAACTTGCACGTGAAGCATCCGCCTCGCGACTTTTTGTGACTCTGAATGCGTCGTCCAGATGTGCTGTCACAAGGTTCGCGTGTGTTGGGGTAGGTTTTCGACATCCTGGTACTACAAAGATTCAAAGTAGAAATAAGAGACAGTCAACAGGAGGATTTCCAAATGAAAAGACGTCGAACAAAAATGCTCGGAGATCCTAAATCCGACTCGGAGATTTCGTTATCAATCTTATCTGATGGACGTTGCACGGCGACCCGCACTATAAGGTCCTTTGATTAGCCAGAGCGCATTCATGTGGATCTCTTAACCGTTTCAGGAAATATCATGAATATACTTAGCATCGTGGAGCTTCTAGCTAGTCCAGGCTTCAGAGGCTGATCTGACCGATACTCGGCATGAAAGACTGAGATTAAAATTTTTGAGGCAATTTCTTGAAAGTGGTATCTGCGAACTGGATATCTCAATTGGGCAGTGCGCATTCGGCATCTGACCTTTAACCATCTACAGAAAGTTCCTCTGAACACATTCTGAGTCTTAAAGATTCAGTTATATTGCTTGGATGCATCTCTACTTGCAAAATTATACGATTTCCAGTTTTCTCGGAGCCGAGGCGCCGGATGTTCTGGGGACAGCGATTATACAATCTACAAGCTGTGCCTTTCATATCTGCTGCAACATCACATCCCAAATTATTGATTTCACGAGATTGTTGACACCAACACAATGACCTCCAAAAAGAACTCTCAGATTGACGAAGACGTTACAACAGATGTAGAGACACCGATCGATGCAGAAAAGCCACAGTCCCCCGAGTCTACCGACCCCTTTTTGGTTACCTTTACCGAGCCTCATGACCCCGAAAACCCCAAAGACTGGCCAATAAGCAAAAAATGGGCTGTCACCAGTGTCATGTCAGCAACAGGGCTGAATCGAATTATGGTATCTACCATAATAGCTCCAGCGCTATCTGACATTGCGTCAGACTTGAACATGTCGGATATAGAATCTGTCATGGCGATGTCCGTATATCTGCTCGCCACAGCTTTTGGGCCCTTACTCATTGGGCCACTCTCCGAAGTCTACGGTAGAAGACCCGTACTACATGCAACCAACGTCTGGTTCCTGGTTTGGAACCTAATATGCGGCTTCACTAATTCGAAGGGCCTATTGTTCGCATCTCGTCTGTTGGCTGGCTTCGGTGCCAGTGCCATATATGCACTCGCAGGTGGCGTTCTGGGAGACATCTGGCGACCTGAACAGCGTGGTCGGTCTTTGGGATTGTACCTTCTGATACCCCTTCTTGGTGTCGCGATCGGCCCTATACTTGGTGGACTGATATCAGGTGCAACCACATGGCGATGGACTTTCTGGTCAACATCAATTCTTCAAGGTTTCATGGTAATTGGTTCCTTTGTGGTCTTTAAGGAGACATATGCACCTGTCATCCTAGAGAAGCGCACTTTGCAATTAAGGAAGAGCACTGGACAAGATCAATATTACTGCCAGTCTATGAAGCAGTCTGCTGGCCGATCCGAATTGGATGTGATACGCAACAGTCTCACTAGGCCTATGCGTCTTCTCATGTTTCACCCTATTATTCAGATGCAGGCTTGCCTGTCCGGCCTGGACTACGGAATCACTTATATTGTTATAGCAACATATGCCGACCTTTGGACGTCACAGTATGGCGAATCAGTGACTATCAGTGGACTGCATTATATAGGTATATCCCTAGGAGAAATCTTCGCTGCGTTAATCGGTGGACCCATCATGGATGCTATCTATCAGCGCCTCAAAGAGCGAAACCATGAGCAAGAGGGCCGCCCTGAGTACCATATCCCACTCATGCTGCCTGGAAGTATTTTGCTGGTGACTGGCCTGTTCATGTACGGGTGGTGCGCAGAATATCATGCTCCATGGCCAGTCGTCGATATTGGCGCCGCTATTCTCTTCATCGGTGGTACAATGGCCGGACAGCCTTTGCAAGCGTATGTTATTGACACGTACTCCGAGCATACCAGCTCAGCATCGGCAGCAACCCAGTTTTTGCGAAGTATGGCGGCTTTTGGCCTGCCGCTCTTCTCGCCCGCTATGTATTCGTCCCTTGGCTACGGGTGGGCCAATAGCTTGTTGGGCTTTGTCGCTGCAGCTTTGTTTTTACCATCTGTTCTAGTAATATGGCTTTATGGCGAGAAGATGCGAGCGAAGATGAAGTCAAGCTATTAATTACGGCGACCTTCCTTGGGCATTCATGTGTCTCTCTGTGTCACGAAGATGAGACGTTGTGAATCCATGCTCCGACCCAATCTTAGTTGATAGACAGATGCTGCATGTCTGTTACTCATGTCTACATTACTGACGATGTATGATTGATTTTCGAGTAGTGGATTTGACGTCATCATTCACTGATACGTAAACATATAGTACATTCAATGTCAACAAATTTCTCACAAGAAGGAGAGAGGTATTATATACAGGTCACAAAGTGCTTCGCTAAACGCCAACAAATGCTGCTATCCAGTCTATGTCAATAATTCCATAATATGTCAAACGCCTGTCTCCGGGGTATTAGCAAACTCTTCGTAGATGGTGTAGGATAAAGAGTGTTGTATGCTGCTGCCCACTTCGCAGCTTCCCTCATGCCTTTGTGGTTGTCTCATCAGACGCACTATCTTCTGGTTTTGTGGCATTCTTGTCTTGCGACTGACTCGCTGTCCGTCGAGCTTGCGAAATTGCCATGCGCCGAGCCGCATCTGTAGCCGAATTTCCCTTTGCCGTGGACTTGACGGCCTCCTTGAATCTCTTCAACCTTTCGGATCTTCCTTCACCAGGCAGGCCAGCCAACATGGGCTCAATTGCGTCAGAACGCCAATTTCCACGGTTGGTCAGTGCTAGACTGCGACTTTGCAGCGGACCCATACCCGCGGTATCCATGCCCTCTCCCCACATTCTCACTCGTTGGACTTTGCGCAATTTGGCAAGTCCGTAGAGACTGACGATGATGCTGCTAATGAAACATGTCACGGACACGGCGCCGAAGCCGAAATCGCTTTCTTCGATGAAGTTTTTCAAGTTCATGCCGTATAGTGCTGAGACTAGCGTTCCTGCGGCAAGTCCAAGGGTCCCAATGCTAAACTTTAGATCTAGAAGCATCAAGGAATTTCGGTTCGCATCTAGAATTGCTTTGACACTATTTGACCCAATTAGCGACTTGATAAATCTCAATACGTGCGAAATCAAGGCACTTTAACTTACACTTCCTCCGTGTTTCGAATAGCTGTAACCAGGTTACCGCTAGCTTGGACGATTTCATCACATATCTTGTGGTAAGACTCGAGCAGCATCTCTACTTCTTGGTGGTCATTCTCAGCTCGCACCTGCCCGTGGGCCCTATCGGACAAGTACATCGCAGCAAGGTCATCATCGGCTTCCAACAAATCATCAATAGCATCTCGTACGAGACGCGCTTTCTGTTCGAAGCTACCCAATTTCTTCGAATAAACAAGCAAATGTCGCAATTTGTCCCGGTCGATGTCTTCTTCTAACGCCCGCAAAACGCGAACGACCGGATCGCGCACACCTTCGAATTCGCTTTCCAGCCCACTGGTCACACTAATCAAGACAGACTCGAGCGCACGGAGTTCATAGGGCAAAGCACCCGACCCTGGAGCCTGACGCTGTCTCAATTTCCCTTCCAGATCATACATAAAGACAGACTGTGTATACGAGTCAGCTGAGCCATATGCGTCGAAGACGAGGACTCGATCCGCTTTGATCAAAACGCGAAGGTGTAAGAGCGAAATAAGAATTGTACTTGGTCGCACGAGAATGTGAGGTAGGACGGAAGAATCGATCTTTCGCAAGTCGCGATTCAGAAGACCGTACTGCAATATCATATAAGCGAGCGAGCACCTCTATCAAAGAATCATACAGACGCACCTTAGCAATGAGCTCACTCTTTCGGAACTCCCCATTGACCAATGTGACATTCCCATTCTCGTCAAATTCGGTGCAGCGCAATCGAGGCTCATCCAGTGTTTTAGAAGCCAGTGTCCTTCCTAGATTGAAGAGATTCCCTTCTGCACCGTCGTCTGTGAAACTCGTGATTGGGGGAGAGGTTGAGTTTTTCCACTTTTGGTACGATTCCTTCTTGAACAACCAGCTGTGCCACCAGCGTCTGCTTTTTGTCGAGACATTGCGCGAAGAACCATGCCTAGTGATGCTGACGCATTCGATTGACCTTGTTGCTTCCGAACGCGTCGTGAGTGAGGTACGTAGCTGGGACGACTTTCGCGGCGTTGAGATTTTCACTGCAGGCCACACAGGCAGAAAGGAGGCCTCAGTCTGCGCTAAACAAGGCGCTGGACTCAACCGTATCCAAGTTGCTCTGGTATTATTCCATCGATTCGAAGCGATCTTCGTGGTATTGACTCTCTGTTTCGTCGGGTTGGAGGTGAAAAAGAAAGACTCCGACTGTGATTTTAGGAACCGGAGTAAATTTGGCGAAGGTGCCAACGGCTTCAGTGAAGGAACCACCAGCATCTTACCAGATTGCAGAGAAATACTCTACAATGATGGAAATCGAGCGCGATGCTGGTAATTTATTGAAAACGTCTCAAACAAATCTGCCATGAGGGATAAAATGTTCTCCAATCCCGTAGCGTCGGGACTGCGATGGATGACATCGTGATTCCGCTGGTCACGTGAAAGCCCGTCTACTTTCGACTTTGGCAAGAATACTGCAAAGCATGCCATTCGCTTTACTGTCGTTCAGATTGTCAACAAATTTATGGGTGAATTGGTATAAGTTACAGTTGAAGGACGGCTTTTTCTTTGTTTACCTACACGACGAGACCGCTAAGGGGGCAGTTTCCGAATAGGGTAAGGAGTTAGGGCTATCGAATGTGACAACGTTAGCCTTACAAGCTATACCTAGATACCACAGCTTGATCGATAATAAGACCGTCGCGGCACATTGATGGAACAGTGGTTTCCATTCAGCGTATATTCGAGACGATGTCCGGATTGATTCATTGTAAGGTATCTGTCCTCTCACATAAGGCGCAAGTTCAATATATAGATATATACAAGTTCAAAATGATCTTTGAACAGTGGGCGGATGCGACCGTTTACTGTCTTCAGTCGCATTGCAGTTTGAGTTTGTCGACAATCGACGCATAGCGATTGAACAGTAGCCTTAGATTTAGATCGTGCCAACCGATTCATTAGTAAAAAGCAAATAGATTTACCAGTCATCTTCGTCCTCTCTCTCGTCATCTAGAAACTATTAGTATAGTCACGTCACAAATAAAAGATTCGCACATACCACTGCCGCTAACTTTCTTTTTCCGCTTGTCTAGTGCATTCTGTATAGCACTTGCCATGCCACCCGCAGGTGCTGCGCTGGCAGTTGATGCCGCTGTTTCGTTTGAGCCACCAGGAACCATTGCAGCACTGCGATCTCGCTTCTCCGTGTCGTTGACTTTGCGCAATCCGCCGCCGCCTCCTCCAGACGCTCGGATAGCTGCAAGAAGATCGTCTCGACCGCCACCGCCGACAGAAGGCAAAGGTGGTGGTGCTGCTCCTCCAGGGGGTGGCGGAGGCGGAGGTGCCCCCGAACTGGCAGGAGGAGGAGGTGGTGGAGGAGGTGGAGGAGGAGCACCGGCAGAAGGAGGGGGGGGAGGAGGAGGTGGTGGTGGAATACCAGCTACAGGTGGAGGGGGAGGAGGCGGTGGAGGAGCACCAGATGAAGGAGCCGGGGGAGGGGGAGGAGGCACAGGACGGGTATTTGATGCAGGAAGATGGGGAGGAGCAACAGGAGCTCGTACCGGAGGAGGGGGAGGAATAGAAGCTGGTGCGACTGCATGAGGGATTTTTGGTGGCAATTGAGGCACATCTCGAGGTGGTGGTGGGGGTGGAGCATGCGCGGGACCGCGACTTGGAGGTGCTGGAGGTGCAGACACTTTGCGTTCGCCTTGAAATGGAGGGGGGACACCATGACCCCTCGGTGGAGGAGGTGGTGATGCAGCTTCCTCCATTGGTGTCTTTGGAGGTCTGGGAGGTGGTGGAGGACCAGGTGTGGCACCGGGAGTCGCGCCAGATGACGCCCGCGGCCTACCAGGAGCAGTTACAGGCTGAGCAAATCTGCCCGCATCTGCAATGGGAGGCGGTGCCCGAAATCTTGGTCGCGGTGGCGATGGTTCTCGAGGTGGTGGGGGTGCAGGTGCTTCCGGCTCTTGGGGTGTTGGAGCAGCGTCTGCTCGTCGACGTGAAGGTGGTGGAGGAGGAGGAGGAGGGCCCCTCCTCCCACCACCACTGCCACCGGTGTTTTGAGGGCTGATTGTAGCAACTTTCGGCTGTGGTGCTGCCGCCGGGGGTGGTGGGGGAGGAGCTTTTGCTTTTCTTTGTTCTTCAGGTGAGGGAGACGATCGGTTGGAAGCTTCAGCAGCTTGGCTTTGAATATATGTCTTAATGAAACCTTCATTGTCCTTGATTTGTGCGTCGGTGATACCCATTTGCCGCAATTCCGCCAAAACCCCCTGTATTTCTGGATCCGTAAGATCTATTGAGGATGACGTCTCGTGTACTGGCGCAGGGGAAAGAACGGGGGGAGGTGGAGGTTGTACTGGAGCTGCAACCGGAGGTAGTGTTGCAGGGATAGTTGGTGTTGCAATTGATGAACTTCTTCCGAGGAGGCCGCTGAAAAGTGAACGGCCGGATTTCCCGCTGGAGACAATCGCTGGTCCTTGCCCGCGCGTCGAGCCGAATGGGGTGGCTTTCGTTTCTTTGCTCGCATGTTTCTCGCGCTCGTGCATTTTCTTCAGAAAGGTCTTTGCCTCTTTCTCATCCGAGAATGACAAGGCTGCTGGACATTCCTCGAGTTCGAACGTGTGAAAGAAAACCCGATCCTGATTATAATAAAAACCGTCGTAGAGCTCTTGATCCCAGAGTACTCCACGATTTGCAGGCTGGTGGATGTTAGTATACTGTATATCTTGATCTGCTCACAAATCCCGACTTACCGAAACATCCACGAGTTTCAGCCAGAATGTGTGACCAACTAGGTCATTTGCAAGAACGGCCGCTCCCTGCAAGCCGGTATATGTCCATTTTTGCGGATTGGGATGGGCGACGTATAGTCGCGCGACACCGACGGCGAGGATCTTGTTGCCCGGTTTAGGGACAGTCCTTTTGACCGTCTCCTTATCAGCGTCGCTTAGAATGGACGGCATGGCGAGTGAAGCGAGTTACTTCTGGAGGTGATTGTGTGAAGTAGGCGTAGAGATAGGTAGTTAGGCTTCCACTTAGTACCGCCGGTGATACATCGCAATGCGGGCACGAGAGTCGTTCAAGCAGCGGTCGCAATGTTTGTCATATAGAGGGGGTTCAGGAAGCACGAAATTCGCTGCGGTTCGATATGTGCAGAGACGAGGGAAATTGCGCGGCTGAGTGAGACGTGGGTGAACAATGACAATGGAGATGATGAACAGGAACTGGCGTTGTTGGTGGTAGTGGTTTAGGTAGCTAGGTTACTCTTAGACTCTTAGGGGAGGCAGTCAGGTGGGCTTACATGGTTAATGCCTGAGGGCTGAGGCTMCCGTACGGTAGTGGGGCCGAGCCACAATCACCTTCTCCAGGGCCTACGGAATACTGAGCACAATAAACCAGCAGACTACGTATGATCAGGATATGTCATGTGTTGGCAATGGTGAAATCTAAGATGCCACAGCCACAAGCTAGTCATCGATAATGGGCGGTTGAATTCAGATGGTGAGAGGATTTAGTTCGACAAAGCCAACGACGTCATTGAGCCGTGGTCTCCGTACATAATAAACCGGGCCTCCGCCATGGAGATTCGCCTCTACAACACCACAACACCGCATCAACACAAGAAACACCAAGGTCTTTCTAGAATCACTCTACATATCCTGCAAGAATATCCGTGATCATGCCTGTCGTCCCTTCTGATCCCCAGGATCTACCTCCTGCCACATCCAGCCGCGATCAAAACCAAAGCGAAAAGGCCTCTGCTCAAGATCACGTATCGAAAGGGCCTGTTATTCCCCGCGGTGAGTAATTATACATTCTTTGCTGAGCTTGGCATTCGTACTCATGATTCTCAAGAAATGCCGCCGAAGGCTTCCCGTGAAGAAATCGAAGCTAAGAAGAAGGAACTGAATCAGAAATGATGACCGAGGACTGTGGTTTTGACTTTGCGCTCAGAATATATATGATCATGTACTTCACGTGCTACGAGAGTTACCTGCAATGCTGTGTTAAACATGAATCAGCAGTTGAGATTATATTGACATAAACACTATTACTTGCAAATGCCCATTGACGTCTAAATATTGAGTCTTGGTGTCGGATGACTTCTGGAGTAAGGGCTATAGTTGCATAAAGCCCTGGTCTGCCTACCTTTGGTATCATCAAACTACGGTCATTTCTGATGCTCCTCTATAACTTCGCCTGAGGTTTGACTGACCCCCAGAGTCGCCTCACAATCCCAGCATACAATTCCGGATTCGAGCGTATATGCGCACAGTGTGGACTTTGCTCCAACTTATACTCCTCCACTATCCACCCTTTCCACCTCGCCTCTTGGGCATGGACGAGTACATGCCTCCAATTGGTGCTCGTATCGCTTTTCGAATATATATAATGAATATTCGAGGTGTCGGTATAATATCTATCCAGAATTATTCTACGCATCTGGAGGTGCGTATTCTCCTTCCCTCTAATAGTAAAACTTGCGTATATGGGGATTAGAATTGTGTGAGCGAGAAGCGAGACAGCCGCCCTTCGTGGCATGGATGTTTGGGAAAGGACAATTGCGTTATGGGTGTGATAATAGCCTCCAGAATCTGGAGCACTGTCCATTATGATTCCGATCAGAGGGAGAGGGGCATGTATCATTCCGCGGAGGAGAAGGAGGAGTTGGGTGGCAGTGAGGCTGCCGCCGTTGGAACATAAATGGAGTAATATCTTTGTCTTTTTCTGTCCTTGTCCCTGCTGTGTTTGTCCTCCATCATCTGAAGAAGAAATCAAATGTCTATCGGCCAAGGCATTCCCGACGATATACTGCGCCGCCGGTTTCAGGGCAGCTCTCTGCCACGTATAAGGCTGGAATAAATCCATAGACGAGGTTTGAATGAGCAGGATGCTTGCTCCAGGGGTAATCGCCCTGTGCAGCTGTATATATTTTGTGATATGTTTACGTTGAGCATCTGCCCAGCCGCATAATATAACCAGTTGATCTTCCTGGTCAGGTGGCTCGGGCGTGTACAACGAGATCCGGGGTGAAAGCTTTTGCCCATGCATCACATTTGACACTGCAGGCTACTGCAAGGAGCCGGTAAATGAAGGAGGGAGGTTTGACCGAGACTGTTTGTGTAGCTGGGTTGAGGTTATACAACTCTAAAACAGAACACAGAAAACAAAAATAAAGAATCCGGGGTACCTTCAACATCTGGGAACAGGTCATTGAGTGACCAGCACAATTCAAAGGAAAAGAATATATTCCTCGAACAACAATGATGTCCGAGATCAACCGCAGAATTATCGCATTGAACAGTGAAGCCTTTGTTGATCCCGGGGTTCAAGACAAAGTCACCCTGATAATGGCGATGCGGGAACAAAGAAGAGCTCGTCCGTCAAAGAGATCAATAGACCGGACGCAGGACCAAGACTGGATCATCAAACTCTAAAGCCTTTGTTTAATGGTTGGGGTACCTCGGTTCGGGAAGTTACCAAAACCTCAATGTGAGGTATCCAGGGTTCATGTACGGGAAGAGTTTGATACGTATATGTAATCTTGGAGCAATTGAATTATTGCGTCTTCCCGATAAAGGCACTTGACCTATGTAAGCCAATAAGCCAATGAAGATGGTAGAAGATAAAGTGATGCATGACAACCCTCTGAATCATTATGTACGCAAGTGGTACACAGCTCTATGGGAAGGATGGACCCGTTTCCCAATCGACAAGCACTAAATGAAGTATATCACCAGCTCAACGATTGATTATATCCTAAAAAATATCTATAGTAACAGTTCGTATCTTGAAACCCAAACCAACGCCCATAAATGCAAAGCATACATCTGCAAATCAAAAAACTCAAGGGGTATGGAACCCTTTCCACACCGGAGATGGGCAAGGATTCTCTGCTATATCTTTTTCAATCTTGGACCTAACCCAGCCAGACTTATACCTGGTGCCGTCTGATTTGCGGGTGCGCTTCTCGCCAAAGCGATATGAAAACGAGTACGAGCACTCCTTTGCCATGAATTCGTATGCATATTGCATGCAACGAGGATACTCGGCGCAAGCAGCGGCACAGTGCTCGGGGGACTTGTAGGCTTCTTCCTGCGTCGGTGTCATCTCTTCTGGTGGAATGGGTTTGTCTTCCTCTTGATCGGGGGCCCGGATATTAGCATCGTCTGAGTGATTATACCAATCGTCAAGACTATCGCCCTCAGGGAGGCGCTCAGCCATAAAATGTTGGTACATGTCAGCGAACAAAATAGGTTGCGACAAGTCTTCCCGCTGCTGTTCAAACTGCCAAACGGCATCCACGTCGAGAGGCGTGACGTGATGGAGCGACATCAAAGGTTGACACCAATATCTTTCCCCTTCGTAGCGTCCAGGCCCGTAGCGCAAATTGCTAGGCGGTTCTCCTTGCAACAGAGGTTTATAGAGACCCAACTCAACCCCCTTTTCTTTCAGTGCTTTCATCAGAACATAATCGCCATAGTACTCGTTCTGGGCAATTTGGTCATAACGGATGGTGATGTCGGGGTCGTCGTCCAAGACCCTGGCCATGGCGCCTCTGGAGATAATGAATCCACTTCCACCGTGAGCGAAACCCTCATTGTTGACATAGGTCTGCTCTCCCAAATAGTGCAGTCCGTTCGGGTCGAATTGTTGCAACCATAACAGAATATTTGTCCAAAACGCATACGTGTCTCCCTCGAGGAAGACATACCACTCGTGGTTCGGTCGCATCATCCATGTCTTTTTCAGCATAGGGATAAACTTGTATTTGTCCAATTTCCATCCGGCTTCTCCTTCGGTGCGGAGTTCGCGCACATCCTGACCAGACTTCTTGTAGTCTTGCAGTTTGCGATAGTAGTCAAAGTCTGGACCATTCTTGATGGACTCAGTGATATTGTCAAGCACATCATAAATCTGGTATGAGCCGAGTGTCGTGGCAAGGTCAGAAAAGATAAGGGGATCTTCGGCGCAACGCCAGGCCGAGAGAAGTTGGAAGGGAATTTTATCGTAGAGCACATTGGCACCTGTTTTGACAATTATAGCGACATCTGGGGCGTTGGGGACGGCATTACAACGACGGTCTGTTGTTGCGTCAAGTTTTGCGTCCGGTCTGGGTGTTGGCGACGGCGTTGGAGACGGTATCAACTGCAGCGGGGGCGGCGGCTCCAAAAATTCATCATTGTTAATGCCATCCTGTCCCTGATTCTGTTCCAAAGGCAGCGGCTGGGTCAGCTTGCCACGTAGGGTGTCGATACTGGTGATGTTTAAGGCGTTGATCGACCACAGCACCAGCGACAACACGAAAATGGCGATACCAGTATTTAACACATAGCGCGGCACACCTGAAGGCAGTCGGGGAAGCTGCATCCTCGAAGTCGCATGCTCGTGCCGAGACAGGGGCTGGAAGGTAGTTCGCTCGAGTACCGAGGATGGCTGTGAGATGGGTGATCCTGTAGAAATCTAAATCATTGTCAATGCAGGAACATGAAGTCCATGGCAGGCAGAGATAACGCATACGGAGGCTGCGGAGTCACGTTGTCAGGGTGCGGTCACCGTGTGGAAGCACGACTGGCGACGGAAGCCAATGATTAGCTGCGCTGGGCCAGGGTCCACTATTACATGCATACTACGAGTAGTAGGAGTTTCTCGATCAACAAACGCAGTCAATCTAGCCGAGTCATCCATGGACAAGCGTCAACGGGCGCAGTTCACGATAAATTGTACTTATTGTAGTTGTCAATTAATGTACCATACCGCATGCGGAGTCTTGGTTTGAAACCCAAGTAGTATTAATGATGTGCCATCATCCCAAGGCGTATATGCCGGATTGATGTCTGTGTATTATTGTTTCAGATTGTTACTATTTATGTCGTATTTAATTACTAGCCCGTACTGATCTGCTGTGTGAGAGAACGGCTGTCCGTATTGCCGTTACACCGCTCTGACTCCTTTGGTTTTGTCCGCCAAGCCTGTCCAGCCCGACGCCAAGTGGACAAAAATAGCAATTTCAGGCCAATTGAGGCAAAGCGCGTTGGCACTAGTCCAGAAATAGGCAAAGGTGGTTGATCTTGTTCTCTCATTGGACAAGTCTCTGATGCGCGTTTCCGATCGCCGTTAATGTTATCATTGTTATGCCAGGTAAACATGATTCCTGATAGATGCAACGCGGCATGACCCAGACGGCAAGCCACATGGAGAGCCATGCGCATCCAGCATGAAGCACTGCATTAGATTCCATGTTGTACGAATGTTAAAAGTGGTTGAGGGCTGTGGAGTGCTCCTGGTTACTTTGCATCGTAGGTACAAGAAATGGGAGATCAAGGTCTATTAGGGAGTCGATGAATTGGCCAAGCAGGATGAAGTGGTACGCTTTATGCTTATCGGCTTTAAGCTAGTGCGGCTGCAAGCCTACCAGAGTCTTGGTTGATGATGACTAATCGTCAGCTATGCGATCAGAGCCTCATTAAATTTCTAGCACCTTTACGGACGCTTGAGTAGACGAGACACAGAAAATGCCATAATCTGGATGAACGAGCCTAGAATGGTTAGTTTCTGATGATCGTAGTACATCGTAGTTACCATCAGAAGAGCCTTGCAAATACGTACTACGTAGTACATTGTTACGAGGCCATCACAAAACGCAATTTCAAACCCGTATGCTAACCATATCCTGTTAGTAAACAAGCACTAAGACGGGCGGCTAACTCGAACAGGCTGAAGAAATACCGCCAGTGAGCTTGATCAACCACTCATAACATGCAATTTAACTCCCCGCCTCTCACAAGGTTGTCGTGCTCGTACATTTCGAAATCTACTAATTTCAGCTGCGTTTGCCAAGCGAACGAGGTTGGGCGGACTGGCGCGACGCCCACGCTCACTTTTTAGCGTCTGCTACAGGATCTTGCTGACTTCAATCGTTTGTCGTCGTGCATCCTACACCTGACTGAATTAAATCTCTCCAGCAGCAACGACAAGCCACATCCTGAGGCATTATGGTAGACTTGTCCTTTCGAAGGGCCCTTTGGCTCCTCGTCTGGTCGCTGCTCTGGTCTCTCAGTCTTCAGGATGACACTTACACTTTCACAAACCCGCCTCCTGACAGCTCCCAGATATCCAATCCCTCCTACGTCGTTGGGAGCGATATCGACATTGAGTGGGTCGGAGGAAACGACTTTGTGTCTGTCCGCCTCGTGCACGTCTTGCCCAACGACAACTATGACGAGTTTACCTATGTCTTCCGTATGTTTGCGCTCGCGCTTTAATCGACGACGTCGATAGTGATGGTATGACTAACGCGCAATTTTTGCTAGGAAACGTCACCAATTTGGGTGGACATTACACCTGGGCGATCGACCTGGGCGGCATGAACCTCACGAGTTCAGCAGAATTCTTCTTCAACATCTTTGTCGAAGGAGAAACGTCACCGCGTGCAATTACTCATTACTTCAACTTGACGCAAGCCGTGACGAGTACCACCGCGCCTGCTTCTACTAGTTTTACCACGTCTGCATCGACTTCTTCTTCGACCATTTCTACCACATCGAGCTTCACCCATTCAACGACCAGTGCTGCGACTGCGACCAACACCGTCGTTCCTTCAAGCGGTGGACTGAGTACTGGGGCCAAGGCTGGTATTGGTGTTGGGGTCGCAGTCGGAGTCATCGTTCTCCTCGCTGCAGCAGCATTCTGGTGGCGATCACAACGTGGAAAAAATGGTGCTGGTGGTCCAACAGGAGGAGCAGAGAGTGGTCAAGCCACTGGCCCGCCATACCAGCCCGTCAACCAACAACCGCCATATGAATACTATAAAGCCCCTGGCGCGCCGTCAGAGGTACCGGGCGACTACACCGCGTCCGAATTGGCTGGCTCTGCACCCGAGGCACTTGAGATGGCAGATACTTCCAGAACACATCATTAAATATGCGACAGACTAGACCGTGAAATGGTTTTGCGTTGAGATTTCTTCAAGCTGGCAATGTTATACCCTGCATCTGTAAATAGGTTTCGTTGTTCGTTTCTTTCTCTTGCCCTGATTGCATTACAGTCATAATGCCTGCGACTGTTTGTGTATGGAACTATCCGTTGAGATGAATGAAGATGCGCTTTCAATTAGACAAGCAGACAGGAGTAAGGAGTAAGATGATGAAACCCGCGGGATTCGGGTTTTTACTGTCCTGAGCCGATGCACGAGTTATGCAAGATCCGGCGTCACGTGGAGATAAGACGGTAGGACTCGCAGATGCCGTTTTTCCGGAGAAATTTGATCTCCAGCCAATCATACTGCCTCTAAAGCGGGGTCTTCGCCATGCGGGAATAAATCCTTCGCTGCTGATTGGCTGAAGCCGGGCAGACTGAGAGCGGATTTCAAGTACATAGTACTAAGCACTACTACATAAGTTGTCGGGTGCTTGTACATACTGCGTAGCTACGAGAATCTTATGCACTGCACACAGTAATATCGGACACATCCAAAAAAAAAAGATTTCTTTCTTTAAAGTGGCCAGTCCCCAGCTGCTGTCGACATCCGCAGTCGAACACCGCTCAATGCAGCATTGTCAGGAAACATGGCCGACTTGGAAAAGGTGGCTTCTGCTGCCTCGAGGAGATCTGACCGAGCCCCGTCCCTGAGCAGAGTGTACTCTGCGCCTCATATGGATAATCAAAATGCATTCTATGCTACGTCGAAGGAGGCAAATGGCCAGGAGACAGACTCTGTGGTGCCGTCATATACTGGAAGAGACGATGACAACGCGGATCTGGAGAACGGCAACGGTAGTAGCGATGGTCACGAGGATGATCTGCAGCCAACCCAAAGTTCCAGGTCTCGACGCTCTGAACGAGATCCCAAACTGGTATGCATTGGTCTGTTTCTTCCTAAAATGCTTGCTTGCATTTAAGCTGACTTTCTAGGTCACCTGGAAAGGGCCTGACGACCCTGAAGATCCAAAGAATTGGTCAATGAGGAGACGCTGGGCCGCTGTTTTCGTGGTCTCGTGCTACACCTTCATATCACCAGTATCCTCATCTATGGTCGCGCCAGGCTTGACCGCCATTGCCAAAGACCTAAACATTACGAACGAAGTCGAACTCGAAATGACTCTGTCCATCTTTGTCCTAGCATACAGTATCGGGCCGCTCTTTTTGGGCCCGCTCTCTGAAATATATGGCCGAGCGATCGTCTTGCAGATTGCCAACCTTTTCTTCCTCGTCTTCAATATTGCCTGCGGTGTTGCTCAGACAAAAACGCAGATGATTGTGTTTCGGTTCTTGTCCGGCTTAGGCGGTAGTGCGCCGTTATCAGTAAGTTTGACTTTACGTATTCCAGTGGTAAATGCATACTGATACGGTTCAGATCGGAGGCGGCGTCATGAGTGACTGCTTCAGGGCCGAGGAAAGAGGGCGAGCAGTATCCATCTACAGTCTTGCACCCCTTTTGGGACCCGCAGTTGGTCCCATAGCTGGAGGGTTCATTGCCGAAAACACAACTTGGCGATGGTGCTTCTATTCAACGTCCATTTTGACCGGCGTCATACAATTTATCGGGCTTTTCCTTTTACAAGAGACATACGGCCCGGCATTGCTGAGTAGAAAGGCCAAGAAACTACGCAAAGAAACTCAGGATCCATCCTGGCACACCGAATATGAAGACGCAAACCGCACTTTTACCACTCTCCTATCCACATCTCTACGCCGCCCATTCATCCTCCTCGCAACCCAACCGATTGTCCAGGTTTTGGCGTTGTTCATGGCGTACATCTATGGCCTAATGTATCTCATGCTGGCATCTTTCCCCGGTCTCTGGACCGGCGCAAACCATTACAACGAGTCCGTTGGTATCGGAGGCCTCAACTACATTTCCCTGGGCCTCGGATTTTTCCTCGGATCCCAAATCAGCGCACGTTTGATCGATCTCATCTACCGAAAACTAAAAATGCGAAACGGCGGCGTCGGCGCCCCCGAGTTCCGCACCCCGCTGCTCTTCATAGGAGCATTAGCGATCCCCATTGGTCTTTTCATTTATGGTTGGACGGCGCAGTACAAAACACATTGGATTGTACCCAATATCGGTGCTGTGATATTCTCCGTTGGCGCCATCATGACCTTCCAGTGTATCCAGACGTATCTGGTTGATGCCTATACACGATATGCGGCTAGTGCTTTGGCAGCCGTCACTGTCTTGCGGTCCCTGGCTGGATTTGGGTTTCCCCTGTTCGCTCAATATATGTACAACGCACTGGACTATGGTTGGGGTACTAGTTTATTGGCATTTGTTGGGATAGGCATCGGAGTTCCGGCTCCGCTGCTTTTGTGGAAATATGGTGCGAAGCTGCGGGCGATGAGTCCGTTCGCTGCTGGATAGAACCGCTCGAGCAGGAAGTGAAGTTTTTTGTCCAAATTTGAATGATGAACATCCAACACGAGATGATTCTAGCCTAGTATGTTAGGCCTATGGAGATATTTCGCTGCATCCGTGCTTTACCACAAAAACTTTTCTCGGATCATACTTTAAAAGGCCTAGTAGGGAAGTCTGGTATTAAAACATATTTTTATAAGTATATATAGCTATGATGATCAGTTGTCATCAATATTACATAAGCATCAACATGAACATAATCGTAACAAAACACCTCCTTTCATGCAAGGTCATGACACCGTCAGGGGTATATGTATGTTGAATGCGCACATGTTTGAAAAATAATCCAAAATGAAACGAATAATCCACAATTAAATCGCATCCCAATATTCAAGCAAGTCCTTCGACTTCGATAATTTACACACATCCAGCACAGCTGACTTAGACAGTTTGCTGCTTGGTCTCTTCGTGCTCGGCGTGGACCATGCCCTTCTCGGTAGCGAAGGTGGTGTGTGGGCGCCACTTGGCAGAGGTACGAGGAGTGGTCTCCTCCATCATTCTGTCGACCTGCTCAAGAGAAAGACCCTTGGTCTCGGGGACGAGGAAGTAGGAGTACACCAAGCAGGCAGTGCAGAGACCACCCCAGACGAAGAAGACGGAGGACTTCATGTCACCGTGGTCAGTGCCGACCATGTAAGGGGTAATGACGGCAATGATGGTGTTCCAGAGCCAGTTGGAGGCAGTGGAGAGAGCAACACCGCGGGAACGGATGGGGATAGGGAAGATCTCGCCAATGAGAATCCAGGCACCAGGACCCCAGGTAGAGGCGAAGAAGAAGATGTAGATGGCGATAAAGGCAACTTGAGCGTTGACAGCGGGGATGTTGTCGGCGATAGTGCCACCGCTGCCATCAGGGTGGGTCTTGTTGAAACCGACAGTGACACCGACGATGGCGACGATGAACTGGCAGATGAGCATACCGAGAGCACCGAAGATGAGAAGAGGACGACGACCGTACTTCTCAACAGTGTAGAAAGAAATAGGAGTGGAGAAGACGTTGACGAGGGTGAAGATGAGCGACATCAAGAAAGTGTTGCTAATAGCACCGGTGGACTGCAAGAATGTGGTGGAGAAGTAAAAGATGAAGTTGACACCAGTCCACTGCTGCATCATCTGGAGAGAAGTACCGAGAATGGTACGGCGCAAGTTGGACTTTTGCTCCCAGAGAGAACCAGTGAAGCAGTTCTTCCAGCTTCCGAACCAGCCAGCATCGGGGATGACGCTGCGCTCGTATTCCTCGTTGGCAACAATCTCAGCAATCTCGGCTTCGATGTATTCGGAGTCACGGGGCTGGCCACGGAGTTTGCAGAGAGCGTTGATGGCATCATCGACACGGCCCTTCTTGACGTAGTAACGAGGGGAGTCGGGAAGGAACAAGAGACCGGTACCGAGAACAATGGCCCAGATGTACTGAATGCCAATGGGGATACGGTAAGAACCAGTGTCTTTGCGATTCTCAGTACCGTAGACGATGCAAGAGGCCATCATGAGACCAATGGTAACGCAGAATTGGTAGCATCCGACGAGAGCTCCTCGGACAGCCTTGGGGCACTATTCAACGAATTAGTATTGAAAGCATATTGGCTGTCAATAGAAGGAAAAACTTACAATTTCACTCATGTAGAGAATGACTATGGCAGATTCGAATCCAACACCGAATCCAGCAATGAGACGGCCAGCGACGATTATGCCAAGGGCACTGCCACCAACACCAGTGAGGAGCTGAATGGTAATACCGGCGGCGTAGATCCAGCAACCGCAGATGACAGTCCATTTACGACCAATCTTCTCGGCAACGTCACCAGCTATCAAAGCACCGAAGAAAGTACCAGCGGAGAGAATGGAGACGATGAGAGACGAGTGGGCGGAAGAAAGGCTAGTCTGACCGGGGTCGATCATGTCAATGAACATCTTGATGCCATTGACACCGTTGATGTATCCGGAGTCATATCCGAAGTAGATACCACCAAAGGATGCAAATGCACAGAGGAGGTAGGCCTTCCAGGTAACTGGCGCCTCGATGTGGTTGATATCGGCGGTGGCGTGGAGACTCATTTTTGGTAGAGTCAGGAGGGCACAACAGATAGTAAAAAGGGGTCTGGGCCCGAACAGAAAGCCTGCTGGGTGGTTTCTACTAAGGAGGGAGAAGAGGATGTCGAGAAATGAGTAAAGATTGTAGAAGTAGGAGAACGACCGGGGGAATTGAGGGGATTATATAGTGGTGGCCCACGGGGTAAACTTTTAAAACGGCACGACACGAACCCGACAGCATCATGCCAAATTCAGACGAGGCATCAGCTTGCAGAGATTTTTCATTTCATTTGACCATCGAGTCCCCGCATCTCAGCAGCTTGTTTCCGAGGCGTCCCCGGAAGCGTGCCATGGGCCGGGGACTGCGTGGGAGACTGGAGCCGTCATTCTCGGCCTGGGGAATTGTTTCAATAATACGGAGCAGGAGAGTCATGCCGTGCAGAATTACCAGAAAGGAGTGGGTAGTTTGCTGTGCCAGACTGCCAGTGAGCAATAAGGTGCCAGAGTCTGGACTGGACGAAATTGGATATGGGACGATGGCCAATGATGCTCTCGGCAAACCCACGGCGACGCTAGACCGCGAGTGGAAGTGTAAATCGTACTGTAATTAAGGCCATGTGACCACTAGACGCCCATACAGGTCGCAAACGGTTTTTTGTCGGTCATAAGTTACCGATCTGGACTAGCCTGTAACCCACAGCTAGCGTGGCTTGGATGTCTACTTGGCCGCCTGATTGGCCAAGAGCCGCATGGCCTTTTCCGGTTCGTAACTTACGACGGTCATACCACACTCTGCCGAGACTTCTTAACTCGATCAGACCACACGCAATGACCTATCCTGGGTATTATGACCGTTGATGCAAGGTGCTTAGACAGATCAGCATGTAATCTATTACGCTTTCACTCCGAAAGTTTGGCACATGTGAGTAAGGATGCCTCAGGGAAAAGAACGATATTGGCGACCACGGAGTCACGGAGTAGATGAATCTAATGATCCTGACATTAACCAGACCTGGCAGGACAGGACGACGCGTTTCGGCGCGTACCATTCAAATGATCAGCAAGTAGTCGATTGCGGGAAAAAATTTGCCGCCCAAGAGTTTTTGATTGGGCCAAGCTTACTAGCTCCTTCCGCATATGGCATGGTCAAAAATACGAACATACGCTAGATGGTAAAACCTTAACTCTTCTACCGCCTTCCTGCATTTAATTCTTCTGGCCGCTTCCAGCATTTGTCAACTTGCCATCACCTGAGAGAACGACTGATGCCTAAGCCACATTCTTCTCTCTGCGTGTGTAGCAATTACCAAGTTCACGGCGAGAATTCTCAAAAGCATTTCAATTCAGACTTGAGTAAGCGCTCGGCCTTCCAACTCATCTGGGTGAAGATGCCGAGGAGCCAAGGTCTTGGGTGGATTGGCAAACCCCGATTTCGAAATATGTATTCTGGATGGGGGCTCAGACGGCAAGCCTCCTGCTCCAGCACTGGAGCTTGAGTCTTTGTGAAACTTTTTTCCCTTGGAGAAGGGGCCCGAGGGCAACCGGTAGAGTTTGAACTTTGCTGTCTGTGCCAATATTCTGCCAAACCCAATCTTCGAGCGAAGCAACATGGCTGACACTGAGTTCTGGATATGTCGTGGCAAGTGACCTTGTTTCTTGGTACGGAGTTCTCCGTGAGGGTCTTTGATTGAAAGGATTGTCCCCCCTCGTATGACCAAGACTTCACGGGAGCTGCTGCAACGATATGGCATGACCCTCGACGTACACTATTGTAGCCACTGCCTGATTACTACAGTGCGGGGTTTTGGTACTGAACAATATAGATTCATCAATGTTGTAGATGAAGCATATATTATCGAGATGAAGCTATGGTTGTGGGACTCATTTTCTACTTCGTCTACGGATATCAACACAGGTTGCAGTAAGGAAGCGATACACAACACGTATTTACTCTTGATTCACTCTGCTATGTAGTAGTAGTACTACATACTGGCATGTTACTTCTTGGTCTACCAACCGCCAAGCTTCATCAAAGAAAGACTGTTTAAGCCAGCCAAGCTTCATCGAACATCCATTGGATAGACATGCCGAGGATTTGCCGCTGTGGCGTCTTGTTTCTTGTAGAGAAAGCATCCCGCAAAAGTTCTTTTCCAGATGGAAGTCATGGAACAATATTCTAACTTTGATACCAAAAACCTTGCTCTTCGTTGAGTTTGGATTTTCCCATCCCGACGCCTTGATTGGTCACATCGAGGTAAAAACCGACTTTGGCTCTCGTAATTCGGAACGTCTCTGATTCCCAGTAGGTTTCAATAGTGACATGAAAAAAAAACGAGCAGTGGATGCCGAGGCGACGCTAACCTGGAACCCGAAATGAGGACCCTCTCGGAACCCACTGCCAGCATTTTTCTCATCCAATCCCGATTTTCGGCATGCCTTGACTTCCCGAAATTTGTGCCGTCCCTTTGCCCCTGGCCTTTCGCTGATTGAAGATTGTTTAGATACATCAGAGGGTATATCCATTCTAGTCACATGTACAGCAGAAATTTCCATCATGAATATCACAGCATCCCAAGATGTAATTCATCAAAAGACCGGGAGGAGATGTGGGTTTCAGCCTTCTGAAACATCAAGTCAAACAGATTACACGGACATCACGACCGGTTTGCCTCTATATCCGAGTCCCAGCATTTCCAGACTTTCTCTACGTAAGAAATTCATTTGTAAGAGCCTACAACCAACCTATGAAAACCATACAATTATGTTCAATATTGCTAAGACAAACTCTAAAATGGAAAAAAGGCCCATCATCTCACGACCCACGCCCCCTTGGTTCCGAGTTTCTGCACCGATCAACAGCTTCAACCTTTCCGTAAAGATTCACCGGAAGCTCTCAAACGTAAGATTATTGATTCCAGAACGCCATGTTATATCCAGGATGCCCAAGGTATAATATAAAGACTCCACCCGAACCAAACAAACTATTATCATAGAGTAAACAGGCTATTTTCACTCGTCATCATCAATCGGAGCATGGATTTCCCGATGCATGTAGGGTTTAGCCACAGGAATACCAGCCTTGCGTTTTGATTGAGGCTTGGGACGTGCCAGCGTATACCTAGAGATCATTCGTCAGCAAACAGCTGATGCTTTATGTATTCCAGAGACTTACTTGGCAAATGCCCTCGATAGAGCTTTCTTGCAGCTGACTTTTTGACTTCCAATGAATGATTCTACTGTAACCGCAATGGCTCGGTCAATGTCTTGGGACGAGCAGTACTCTGACAGGCGCATCTTGCAAAAGGCCTCGGCAATACGCATGATTGCTTCCAAATGACGGACCTATCGCATCAAGTCAGCGCTATTCTCATCTCCGCAATTTGAATCAGATCCCCAGATTTAGTCTTACCGTAATGGGATAAGCACCCGTAACCAGGGACTCCCGTCTCATGTCTGCAAAAAGTCGTGCCACCTTGTCCTGGTCGATCTGATACAGTTTCGGATGACATCTCTCACGAGCGTAGAGAATATATTTTCGTAGCAACTCTTGCGGTATTTCTCCTTCTTTCTCTTCTTCGGCCTTTCTCCGAGCTTCTGCCCGAGACTGTTGCTCCTCTGGAGTAAGCGGCAGACGATTGCCAGCCTTGTCAACACGGTAGCCTTCTTCATCAATAAGCTCCCCTTCCTTGTTGATAGTTCTACCCTTTTCATCTCTAAGAGGCTTTGCGGGGTTGGCGCGGGAGTGTGACTCGACAACGAATTTGGCAAGTCGCTCATCCTCAGCTGGCTGCACAGTGTCCCGCACTACGCAGAGTATATCGAAACGAGAGAGAATTGGCTCTGTCAATGCAACGTTCTGAGAAAATGGGATTGTTCCGTTGTATCGACCGCCTACTGGGTTGGCCGCGGCAATGACTGCACAGCGAGCTTGGAGTGTTGTGACGATACCAGCTTTAGAAATTGAAATAGTCTGCTGCTCCATAGCTTCGTGGATTGAGGTTCGATCCTGGTCATTCATCTTGTCGAACTCATCGATCAAGCAGGTACCTCGGTCGGCGAGCACTAGAGCGCCTCCTTCCAAAGTCCATTCACTAGTCAAAGGGTCTCGTCGGACGCTGGCTGTCAGACCGACTGCACTAGCACCTTGACCCGTTGCGAAAACAGCCCTATGTGCTGATTTTTCGACATATTTCAACACCTGTGACTTTGCAGTTCCTGGGTCACCGAGCAGGAGAACGTTGATATCTCCACGAATGGCCATTTTGCCTTGAGCTTCTTTTCTCACACCCCCAAATAAGGAGAGTGCTACCGCAGTCTTGACGTCTTCATGTCCATAAATACTCGGCGCAATCGAACGCACGATTTTGTCGACAATGTCGGGCTCCCTGGAAAGCAACCGGATTTGCTCAATATCTTGCTCAGTCAAATGGAATCCAGCCATTTGATCATGGGACTTGACGACGTGGTTAGCCTCGAGGATCGTTGCAAAGACAGGGAAGCCGTTTTTATTATTGAGTTGGGCGTCGTAGCTATTTCTGTAGATACCAGTGACCTCGACCTCATCACCAGGCTTGGCAATATCAATCAAATCTGCGAGTAGAATGACTTCTCGTTGACGGGGGAGTCGGCCAGCAGGTACTGAGCCAGGAGACTCTTGTAGAGTCAATTTCTGATAATTTCGATAAACAGTCTTCTCTGAGTTCATGGTGAAGGGACCTCGGGATTGACAATTCTGGCAGAAAGATATCTTGACCTCCTGGGCTGCCTCTTGTTGGAAAGGACCGAGCGTAACTTCACACTTATTGCAGCGGAACATGACGAATTTCAGCTGAGGGAACACTCCAGTTCGCCTAGTGACGACACCGTTTACCCTGACCAAACAGTTGAGATGGGATTGGCGGAGGTCTCTTAGTGAGTAGCAAAGAGGGAGATCTGTAATGCGCACGTGGATCTCATTTTGAATATCAGCGAAATGAGGATAATGGTAGAGAGTAGTTTCGAGTGCAGCCTGGTCGAAAATCTTCAGCACTTCTGTCGGTTCGTTGGCAACAAAGAATCCCAGAACAGCTTTGGCTGCCACAAGATGGTCGTAAGAGACTTCTAGAGATGCAGAGTTGACCTCACCCAAGGTCTTGATGCGCTCACCATATACGGATCGGCCGGAAGCATCAATGAATTCGGTCATGAAGGCTTTGAATTCACGGCCAATGGTACGCATGACTTGTGGTTGGAGAATCCACTCTGTTAAGTTTGCAGACTTGACATCGCCCAACTCTTCCAGAGAGAGCTCCTCATCCAGAATATCTTCCTGCATATCCATATCATCTCGGTCCTCGTCATAATGGTGTCTTCTACGACGCACTTGACGGCTGAGGTCCATATTAGTATCCTCGTCATCGTCCTGGAGGAAGGCAGCGGGCATGCGTCTGCGGCGTGCCAATTCCCGATCTCGTTTATTCAGGCGGGCATCAAGCTGTCGTCGAGTCGCCATATCGAGTTCTTCTTGCTCTTCGTCATCATTGATATAAGCGCCACGGTATTCTTCCTGGTTGGCGTTGTAGTCTCGTTCAAATCCATCAGCGAAGAGGTCGATGCCATCTTCATCCTCTGCCAACTCTTCAATGTCGTCAATATCTCCTTCAATCTCATCCTCTTCATCTCGGTCTAGTTCATCGTCGAATGGAAGCATAGGAGGTGATGATGGAGGTGCTATACGTCGTCAATCAAAATTCGGTCTGAGGGCTTGCAGCTGTGAACACCTACGACTTGATGGAGGAGCAACCGATGAGGTTTCATCATCAGGCTCTCGGTCTCTCTTGCGACGACCCAAACTACCCAAGCCGCGATTTGCAGCAGAGTTGCTGGGGCGCAACGGTGAACTGCAAATTTGTTAATCCCGATCACGTAGTATGTTGTCATTTTTCTCACCTCATGATGGGCCGGCCGGGTGCTCTATGTAGAACAAATCAAGCGAAGAAATAAGTCGGACCAGAGTCAGTACATAAAAATGGAAAAAAGACGATTGTGGTAGTCAGGGATGGTCAGTCGATTGTGAAAGATGCTCTCATGTTGTCATTGCGATCGAAGGGGGTTTGATTGAGTTGGCAAGTGGGCGCCAACTTTTTAGGCGGCCCCCTCAGGAACGCGTCGACGCGCGATCTTAACGCGTTTCGCTTTGTGTTTCAATTAAACCCTTTTTGGGTAAGGGTAAATCACGTGAGTTGGTGGCAACGTGACTTGATATCGATAGCTAGGTCCCGTGATCAACTAGTCCAAATAAAGTAACATTCGATTACGTCTCCACGCGTCTCCCGCGTCGCAAGTTATTGCCGATAGTTGATGGTTAATGTTGCGCCGGACTCTAAGATATCACATCAATAAATTATCACAATGGCTCCCCCTGCTGGCGGCGATCGGCCTATTGAGGCTCAGAACGGAGGAATTCAAACAACTCGACGCCGCGAAAGCTTTGCTTCACAGGAATCGCAAACCGCGAAAGAGTACGAGGCTATCCGCGCCTTATTATCAATGTGATTTCATGTTTCGCTGACTTGGCCGTACAGTTTCATTGAATCCCAACTGCAACTCGAAGCCGATGCGCGCGAAATTCTTCCTTACGTGGGTGGCTTTTCATTCCTTGGCAATTACTTGTGAGATTGACACTGATAATTTAGTCTTTTGACTCTTGTACCCAAGAGCTAGGTCCACTCCGACAGACGCTTTTCTCTTGTTTGACATGTAATCCTCCGCACAACAACAACAACAACAACAACAACAACAACAACAACAACAGCAACAACAACAACAACAACAACAACAACAACAACAACAACAACAACGACGACGATCCTTACATCCCGGCCGCTGTTTGCTATTCGTGCTCTATATCTTGCCACGGTGAACACACTTTAGTTGAGCTCTTTAGTAAGAGAAACTTTGTGTGTGACTGTGGCACAACACGATTTCCCGCTACATCAGCTTGTACTCTGCGAGTCGATCGGAAAACAAAAGCGAAGGGCGTTCGCTCTCAGCCTCCTGCGGACGGAAACAAGTATAACCATAACTTTCGTAACCGCTTCTGCGCTTGCAATGAAGAGTACGACCCGCACAAGGAGAAGGGAACTATGTTTCAATGCCTCGGCCTAGGAACAGTTGAGACTGGAGGCTGTGGGGAAGACTGGTGGCATCCTGAATGTCTTCTCGGCCTTCCACGGGGACGTCAGGATACGGCTAAGGAGACTGAGGCAACACCAAAGAACGAAGAGGCCGAAGCAAATGTCGACAAGCCAGCCGAGGACAACGTGGACGAAGATGAAATACCTCTACCTTCAGGATTCCCGAGTGAAGACGATTTTGAGACTTTCATCTGCTATAAGTGCCTGGATTCGAATCCTTGGTTGAAGCGCTATGCTGGAACTAGAGGATTTTTACAGCCAGTATTCAGGAGTCCGTCCACTGAGAAATTCGAAACATCAGAAAAAGGCGGAGAAGCAAAGTTGCAAGAACTCACACAATCGCGAAAGCGGAAAGCAGATGACGAGGATGATAAGAATCAAGATACAAAAAAGGCTAAAGTGGACGGTCAGGATGGTCTAGAGACAATCCAAGAGGAAAAAACATCTACAGAAGTATCCAAGCACAAGCATGAGTTGTTACCGTCAGAAAATCCCTCTGGAACATTTTCACTCTTTCTCAAGGAAGATTTCCGTGAACACTTATGCCACTGTCCCGATTGTTTCCCTCACCTTATCCCTCACCCTCAACTTCGCGAAGAAGAAGAGACATATGAACCTCCCTTATCCGAAGACGGTGAGGACGAGAACAACGGCGCAGGTAGCCAGGGAACGACGAGCCTATTGGATCGCGGCGAGGCAGCACTCAGCAATATTGACCGCGTACGTGCCATAGAGGGCGCTATGGTGTACAATCACCTGCGGGACAAGGTCAAAGCTTTCCTCAAACCGTTCGCCGAGAGTGGCCAGGCTGTTAGTGCGGAAGACATCAAGTCCTATTTTGAGAAGTTGCGTGGAGATGACATGGCTATTCGCGAAGCTGGTGGTCAGGCTTCTGCCTCTCATAACAATGGAGGAAGTGGACGAGACAGTGATCAGGAAGGGGGCGGTTCTAACCGGAAGGAACAGAGTGGTATGTAAATGTATCTGACTTTTTCTCTGCAACAGTCTTTCCGCTAACTAGTAACCTCTAAGGCTATTAATAATTTCTCAATACCACGGTGTCATATAAGGGAAATGGGTCATGTCCGGTCAATAGTGCATATGGTCTGGAAAGGGCCACTCGATTTCTTCCCGTTCCCCCMCCCCCCCCATTCTTTTACTGTCTTCTTCACATGTATGAGAGCATGCATCCTGAAGAAAATTGAAATTGAAAGAGACTCCAATCTAGTTGGGTTATAGTCATCAATGTACATTATCATGAATTGAACTATCTGACGTCTATTATAAGAAAGATCATGAGTAAATATAAACAGGTAACCAGTTTTGTAAACACCATTCCCGACAAAAATAAACAATAATACATTATCGCTAGAATATTATGCATGATGCAGAAATGAGATAAGGTATATGCGACTTTACTCTTTGAGACGTTTGGCTACCCGGCCCATGAGGCTATCGTCTGGAAGTCCACTGCGTTTCGTGCCTGGAAGACTACCAGTCCGAATATCGTTGCCTTCTTGACTAACTCGACGAGGAGGATAGGTAGTTTCGCAGCCCTCGAAGCAATTCCCACTAATCGGACCGCCATTTGTGAAATATGGGTGTTCCAGGGCCTCCTCGGCTGTGATTCGTTTGGCTGGGTCGTATTCGAGTAATCGTGACAAAAGGTCAAAACCGTCAGCGCCAGGGGTGCCAACATTACTGCTTGAAGAGTAGCCACCCGTTTTCAAACAACCCTGGTACCATGTATCAAGGCCGGAAGGCTTGTTGTAATGAAGAGCTCCTCGAGACGACATCTTCATAGACTGCATCATAGATTGCATTTGATTGAACTCGGGCATCGCAGCCAAGCCAGGCCATGTTTCTTGTCGTGGAAAGCCCAAGATGTCCACAATCTTCATCATTTGATTGCGTTGAAATGGAACAGTCTTCTTGCTATCCATCTTGGCTTCTTCGCCTTTGAATATGGGCCGTAGCGATAACAATTCAGCAAATATACAACCCACAGCCCACATGTCCACGGCCGGTGTATAATGCCGACTACCTAGCAACAATTCAGGCGCACGATACCAAATCGTAACCACTACCTTGTCGCCAGTAAACAGGGAGTTCAAGGGTTTGTAGAACAAACGTGCCAGTCCAAGATCACCTATTCGGATAGCGCCGCTAGCAGTCACAAGTATGTTGGCAGGTTTCAAGTCACGATGAAGGACCCAGTTGGTGTGTAAATAGAGCAACCCGTTCAGTAATTGAAACAATATAGAGCGGACCATTTTCGCGGGTATTGCATATCGCTGTTGCTGGGTATGGTGATGGATGATTTGAAGCAAATCGTGTTCGGTGTATTCAAATACCATGAAAATACATTTGTCCTCTAAGATGATTTCTTCAAGTCCGACTACATTTGGGTGATTGAGTTCTGAGCACAAAGCCATCTCACGAATCGCAGATTGTGAGAGACCCGTGTATTGAATCAACTCTCCTTCTTTATCGGGTTTGAATCTGATACTTTTGTCAGTATTGATGTGTTGGTATGGCCGAAAGGCTGCACTGACTTTTTAATGGCAAACTCCCCCTTCTTGCCATTCTTCCCGAGCGCCTTGTAGACACGTCCATAGGTACCACTACTAATGAAACCAACGATATGATATCGCTCTCTGATATGGACTTTACTTGTGTATCCACTGCCGGATCGGCCGGAATCTGTAGAATGACAAGTCAGCAAATCGTCGAAGGCAGCAATGCTCAGTCATTTAGATAGAACCGTAGACAAGGAGCAAAGAGAAGTCCAATGATAATTGTCAAAAAAGGCCCTGCATTTTGCCTAGTGGTCTCGTGACACACGGTAATATTGAAGCACGTGACCTCAGTGGGAACAAAGGCAGACACCACGCAACAGCCAGAGAGGGAAATTACCACGAATATATGAACCACCTAGTGAGTTTAGGAAGGAATAATTTTTCCCGAACATGGTGAACAGATAAGTATAGTTCGGCTGAAAATGTACGGGGTGCGAAAGAAGAGGAACCGTGCAGTATTCGGAACATGTATACAGGCCATCTCAGATTGAAAGAAGGCCGGAATGACAAGAATGAAGAGTTCAGAATTCATAAAATCAAGCACAATCCATGGCGACGTTGCATGCCTGCAGGGGGGGGGAAGGAACGTAGGAAATAGAAAAACTGTCTATTTACCGTCAAAAGCAGCCTGCACGCTTCTCTTGAGGTTCAGATTGGCAGAGGAGACGTTGGGCCGGATGGAGGAAGAGGTCGTCAGGGGCCCACCGGTAGACGAAGGTGGATTAGTCAGGCTCATCAATACCAACAGTGAAGCGCCAGCTCCGACATGGACAGGCAATTGAGTTAAGAATGTATGGAGATCCGGAATGAAACGATCAGATCTATGGGGGCAAAGTGGAATTTTCGCACAAATTAGTCGACTCTAGGCCGTGGGGTGGCGGGAAAGTGGGCGCACGCGAAGGAGCCGGAGTAGACCACGACACAGCTTCACGAGTGTACTTCGGATGTATGACGATAAGTGAGAGGATGATGTGGCCGGGTTCCGAGAAGCAAGTCAGAAAGCAGTGAGCTTTTACTAGGAAAACCGTTGGTCAGTCGTTGCCACGTTGAGATGCGCGGTGTCCACAGTGCTCGTTACTCCAGTCAGAATGTCAGCCTCCACCTGTGAGGGGGAACAGGGAGCAGCAGGTCAATGACATTAACCGGCGGAATGACCAGTATGCGGGGATGGGTTGCATGCGTTGTCTGCTTACAAGTTCCAAGACACTGGCCCGATGGCAGTTTTGTCGCGCGTCGTGACTCGTTTGTTGGCTATTCGGAGTTGAGATGAAAGGGTGGCCCTTTGGCCCTTTCGGGGAGAGTCGACACGCTTCAAGATTTACCCATCCAATCGTCTTGAGCCTTTCTACACCGCTCCACTTTGGCAGCTCTCAACGATCCCCAGATCCTAGTATGAACATATTTTGTTTTATTATCGATTGTTTAGCAGTGGTCTTCCTTCATATAAACGACTGTCCGATCACCGCCACGTTCCTGTTCCTGACAGCTGAAGTTACGACACAACCCTAACCCCTTCGTAGGGTTCGGTTCGGAAATAAGCCGACAACGTCGGCTTATCTCCGGGTGAACAGCGCTAGTTAATTATTGCTTAGCGCATCTTTAGTCAGCCGTTATATCACATATGATTGGTTCAGTGTTGGCCTCCTACATCACGTACTGTTCGCGACAGGAACATGTAGATATTCTGCAACCTCACTCTTAAACGCCTCAACGTCGCCCTCATGACTGAACGTCCTGCTGCACCTGTCAAGCTCTCTCTGCCACTAGTAAGCTACTTAAGTTATTGATTTTGTTCCCTCCTAATCATTTCTCGACAGAAATATCAGCAGGATTTGTTCAACGAGCTCCGCAACGAAGATGAGCTCGTCATTCTCGCTCGAGGGCTGGGCCTCTTGCGGATCGTGACCAATCTACTACATGCTTTTGATGCAGCTGGTAACAATCTGATCATAGTGGTTGGCGCCGATGAGAGAGAAAATGAATGGATTGGCGAAGGTACTGCCTTGATATATCGTTGACTTAAACTTACTAATACCTACTTGTTCGATAAGCCCTTGCGGAGCACTATGCGATCAGCAAGTCTCCTCTGGCAAGAGGATTGAAAGTGATCAATACAGATAGAGCCACTGTTCCTATGAGGTGTGTTGAGCTGTAATGTATACGCACATGAACTGACAACTGACAAATATCAGAGAGAAAACGTATAATCAAGGGGGTATATTAAGCGTGACCTCGCGCATATTGGTTGTTGATTTACTGTCCAGTAAGCAAGCTGAGCCGTGGTTTGGTCTACCATCCTTTAACCTTATTTCAGAGCTTCTTAACCCGGAGAAAATCACCGGTATAATTTTGTTGCATGCGGAAAGGCAGGTCGATTGGATCCCTACTAAGACTTGTGCAATGATAACCTCAAATCAGGGTCATTGCAACCGCTCTAGAAGCTTTCATCGTACGAGTATATCGCCAATTCAATCGAAATGGTTTCCTCAAAGCGTTCTCTGATAGCCCCGAGCCCTTCACCACTGGATTTGCGCCTTTGTCCAATATGTTACGAAATCTTTTCTTGCGGAAGCCGTCGCTCTGGCCTCGATTTCATGTCACTGTCGCCGAATCCCTCGAGGGTCGGCGCAAGGCAGAAGTGATTGAACTGGAAGTCCCCATGACTGACAAAATGAGAGACATTCAAAATGCAGTTATGGAATGCGTCGAAACGAGTGTATCGGAGCTAAAGAAGGCTAACAGCGGTCTCGACATGGAAGATTGGACGTTGGATAGTGCTTTGCATAAAAATTTTGATGTTGCGATACGTCGACAATTGGATCCGATATGGCACCGTGTCAGTTTCAGGACTCGACAGATTGCCAATGATTTGACGGTGCTGAGAGCTATATTACAGTAAGACAGAGAAGATATCAAATTGATTTACGTGACTAACTTCTACAGCTCTCTTCTTACATATGATGCGGTTTCTCTATTAAAGTACTTGGACACAGTCGTTGCAGCTCATTCGGCCCCGCCAGGTTCAACGAGACATAGCTTTTCACCTTGGCTCTTTTTGGATGCAGCACATGTCCTTTTCGAAACGGCAAAATCTCGTGTGTACCGCGGAAAGATAACTGGCGCCGAGACATTAACAACTCCGAGCGCATTTTCTGCTGCATTACAACCTGTTTTGGAAGAGCAGCCCAAATGGCATGTGCTTGCGGAAATACTTCAGGAGATTGAACAAGACGCATATTTGAATCCGACACAGCGCGGCGATTCAAATAGTACAATTTTGATTATGTGTGGTGATCAGCGCACATGCAGACAACTTCGAGATTTTCTATCATTAATGCATGACAGTCCCCTTGCTGGAACTGACGAGGAAGACGAGGCTCTAGATGAGAAAAAATCACCCGAAGATAGTACGTCAGGAGAAATACTGATGCGAAGGAAATTGAGGGAGTATCTCAATTGGAAACAGAAGTTTTCCCGGGTCAAGGATAATCTCTACGTGCCGAAACAGAATTCAACTGATGCAACAAATCGTGGGCAGAGTTCTGCTTCAGTCCCAGGAAGGGCTCCTCCAAATAAGCGTCGACGTATGCGTGGTGGTGGTTCAAACTCTCTGGTCTCTGCTCGTGCTCCGAATTCAAGTGTGCAAGGCCAAGATGAAGCCCCTATCCAAGTATCCGAATTACTAGAAGATCTCCAACCCACTTCAGTGGAGGAAGTGCTGAAGGAAGACAACGTCATCGATAATTTAGAAGATATGGAAGATTACTACGAGCTGTATGATATGAATGACCTCGTGATGATTCACCCTTACGACGGCGATATGGATGAGCGAATTTTGGAAGAAGCTCGTCCACGATACATTATCATGTATGAGCCAGACGCTGCATTCATTCGCCGAGTTGAGGTATACCGCAGTTCGCACAGTGACCGTAACGTGCGAGTGTACTTTATGTACTACGGTGGCTCGGTTGAGGAGCAGCGCTACCTGAGCGCAGTGCGACGGGAAAAAGATGCTTTCACAAAGCTCATTACAGAAAAGGGCGTAAGTTTGTTCCTTGTCTGAGATCACGGATGTTTGCTAAATTCACCCATCGTAGGGTATGGCTGTGACTCTTACACACGACAAAAGTCTCGAAGATCCTGAGGAACAGTTTCTCAGAACAGTAAATACTCGAATCGCTGGAGGTGGACGATTGGCTGCCACTGCAGCACCACCTACGGTCGTTGTGGATGTTCGCGAATTCAGAAGCGCGCTCCCTTCTCTACTACATGGTCGGAGTATGGTCGTTGTTCCTTGCCAACTGACAGTTGGAGACTACGTCTTGACGCCTGATATATGTGTTGAGCGTAAGTCCGTACGTGATTTGATCAGCTCTCTGAAGAACGGTCGTCTCTACAACCAGGCCGAGACGATGCTAAAACATTACAAAAATCCACTTCTTCTGATTGAATTCGACCAGAATAAGTCATTCACCTTTGACGCTTTTGCGTCCGCTTCTCTACCTAGCACGAACTTTCTTTCGGACTACGTCTTCACGTCATCCGGTAATCCTGCATCAGCCGCAAGCAGTTCTCTCGTCAATCCATCCACCCCTAAATCGGCACAACACATGCTTGTCCTCTTAACACTTGCATTCCCACGATTAAAAATCATTTGGTCATCGTCACCATATCAGACCGCCGAAATCTTTGCAGAATTAAAGAACAAAAACCCGGAACCTGACCCCATAAAGGCGGTTCAAATCGGTCTCAATGTTGATATTGCCACATCTTCGAGTCCAGGCGATGTCATGGCTGCGGCTGGTATAGAGCATCGTGTGTTCCATCAACTTCCGCAGGATATGCTTCGTTCCGTACCTGGGGTTACGCCGGTTGTTCTCGAGCGATTGAGTCTGGAGACGAACAGTATACACGAGATTGCGAACATGAGCGTGGAAGAGCTCGATCCGCTTGTTGGGAAAGAGACGGCGCGGAAGATTGTTAAATTCTTCAGGAAAAGTGTATTTGAGGATGAAACAGAAGTTTCATGAACTTACTCACAGCATATCTGTATATCAGCTTTCAGGTCATTCTGTTATCAATATACAATACTTTTTAAGAATCCTACAATTAGACTACTAGTAAAGATTTGTAATTACCAGGATTTTCATTCTATTGCTATACAATGCATAAGAATTGGCAGGTATAAACTCTCGTAAGCAAAGGCAGTCGCAAGTGACGATGCGATGAGAACCATGACTAGAGCGAGCTTTTGAGTGAAGAATGAAAAATGTGATAGTTCATAAACCATGACATGCAGTGAATGCGTATGTGGCAAAACGTCAAAATCAAGTAAACACTTCGTTAAGTCGTATCGCGACCATCATCCGATTTGATGTGACCGAGAAATGATGGGGCATAGCGCCAAACAATACAACAAAGTCCGAGCGACGATGGGTCCCTGGCCGTATCATTCTGGACAACAACATGTAGCTACTCAACCAATCGCTTCCTGACCTATTACGCCTCTGGAATAAACTTCGGCGCGAGCCCACCAAGTCGAAGCGGTCTATCTTCAATATCAGGTCAAGAAAAGCGATATCGTGAATGGCACATCATGACTGTGTTCCCGAATAAGATTTTCCCATGAATAGAATAACCCAGATTATTCAACAATGAAAAGCGACCCAGATCGACCCATGGCACTCGTGTCCCGTCGGGGGCGAACCACTTTTGGCTGAAATATTTGTGATAACAAAAGTGGTAAGCTAGCCGGGGATGTATAAGCGGTGATTTTTTAGATCTCATCGACATCGATCTCCTTTTCGTCTTCACTGTCACGGTCCTCGTCGAACTCGACGTTGTCTTCGAAACCTTCGTGACCGTATGTATCGGTTTCGTTGATTTTGGCGGTTTCGGGCAACTCGCCATAAGCCTTGAGACTACGAGCCTCGTCGGCGCTGTATTTCATAATAACATCGCCCTTCTCGTCTTGGTAGTCGCGGAGAGAAAGCAGGATGATATCGCCTTGATTGATCCAGACCTTCTTGCGGAGTTTTCCTCGGATATGTGCGAGACGCTTTTCGCCGTCAAAGCACTGAGCTTCCAGACGACCGTTTCCTAACATCTTGACGACCTGGGCGTATTCCTGACCATCTTCCTTGAAGATAAGTTCGCGCTTTTCGTTGTCATTCTCGTTCTTTCCACGACGTCGGTTCTTACCACCCTGTTTTCGCGTGTCAGCAAGCCATTCAGGCAACAAAAGCGGGGTTGTGTGAAAATCTTACCTTTCCCTTATTCTTAGGCATCTTGATTTGATTCCAGTAGGTTCAACTTGAAAATTCAGTGTTTCATATGACAGCAAGTTAAATCCCGCAGGCCGGGGTTGTGGGTAGTGTGTTCTTGTCGGATTGTTGGAAGAAGAAGAAGACTCGGGAGGTTTTTATACGAATAGCGTGAGGGCTCACAAAAGAATTTGGTGGGGGTTTGGCGCCTGAAAATCGCCTGATTCCGCCTGTTTCGACTGCCTGCCTGAGGCGCCAATGCGTGGTTTGTGTGCCTTGCTGCCTTGTTTTCGGCGCTTGCCACCCGGGTCTTTGCACTCACCGCCCGAGGTTATGCCGATGCACGCACGTCACACGATAGCACTTCGACCACAAAAAATGGTCGGTTTCAATACTAGAGGTAGGCTTATATCAAGTATGCAATTGCTTTGAATGCTTCGCTAATCTCGACCTAGTCATCCCAGCAGTTGGCTCGACTGATTCCTCGTTATGACGTGTCTATCCACGCTGAAACCGCGAAAACCCTCTATTCCCAGCCAGACATGATACTTCTCCCTTTACCTGCGCAACCTATACGGCCTGCCTACAAAGTATTCGGTCATCATCATATCCTGTTCAAATACCATGTCGGATCGTTCTTGACCAACTGGACGATATTCCGCAGCCGCCAATATGAACAGCCGCATGTTCTGAAGCCCAAAATTCACGAGTTTTACGATAATCGCGATCCTAATACGCTATGGTGGAAGGTTGCAACACAGCCCATGAAGGTGAAGAGGGTCGTTCGAAGTCATTGGTCGCGCCGACTACGTCGAATCTTCCGCGAAGAACTGTATTCAAGAGGATATGATGAGACTGGCAAGCCTCTTCCACTCGAAAAGCTTCCCAAGGGAGTGACTCTTCGTACGGCTCCGCTACGTGGGACCCTAGAGATAGAGCCTATGGTGTCGCTAATCACACAAAAAGATACAGCGGTCAAACGACTGGTGAAAATCCAGCTAGACCGTGTCATGGAAGCCATGAAAGAGTGGCCAATTGATAAGCGCACGGGAGCTTACCAAAATTCTCCGCCGTGAAGAAGGCTTCTACTGACGAGGAATGGTATCATAGTGCTACAAAATAGAGTCATCTGTAACAATATTATTGATCCCAATTTTTTATTATCTACTACAATCGAAAGTCCAAATCTAAAATCGAATGATAGCATATTGTGGGTCCCATTCGTCAGCTCGGCCTGTGATTGGCGCATAAGCATGTACCTGGCAAGTTTAGCACGTGTCGCTCCTGAGAAGTCGCAGAGTCCCTGAGCAAATTGAAGTACACATCAACATCATCACTTGTTCGTCGCTTTCCACCGCTCCTGGCGCATTGATATCGGCACAGTAGTCATCTCTTCGAAATGTTGGTATCCTTGACTGTGGGCAAGGTCGACGCTGGCGTCGCAGTCTTGTTAACGCAAGATAACAGATTGGTAGGCAGCTCCATACCGGACCTAACGTCGCAAACATCCTTGACATGTCGCGTGATGATAAGATTATATTTGTGCATGAAAAAGCTCCGACTGTGGCGCTAACAATTTGATTATATAGATTGAGTTTCCCTCCGTGCTACTGCCCAAGAATATCAGCTCGGGAAGCATCGTGGATATCGACGTCTCACGAAACCATGCTGCCGAATCCAAGAGTATAGCGAGCTTCCAGTCACTTCAAAAACGTATCCTCAACACCTATGGTCTTGAGACTCCCTCTCCGCCCGTTCTACGTCTTCGAAATGCTACACAAACATCCTTGGTCCTTGAATGGGAGCCCATTAAACTTGCTACAGCCTCGTTGAAATCGCTGTCACTCTATCGCAACGGATCAAAAGCAGGATCGATACCCCGTCCTCTTGAAATGATGAGTACCAAAATAAGCGGTCTTGCGATTCACGCCGAGTACACATTCCACCTCGTCTTGCGTACCACAGCCGGGACTTATCACTCGGAAAAGCTGACTTGCCGTACTCACAAGATGACTGATCTTTCGGGCATAACGGTTACTCCAGGCATCATGCCTCAACCTCAAAGAGAGGCTCTTGCACGCGCCATTGATAGAATAGGCGGAAAACTCATCGACACTGTACGGATTGATACCACACATTTTGTTTGTACAGAAGGTCGGGGTCCGGCTTGGGAGAAGGCCGTGGAAATGAACCTGCCCGTTGTGCGACCCGAATGGCTTGATGCATGTGAGGCCGAGGGGACTATTGTTGGGGTAAGAGGTTATTACTTGAATGCGGACCCGAAACATCGACAGCTAGGACCACGTCAAGTACCGCAGCAGCAACAACAGCCGACTCCTGAGTCTGTTGTTTCAGAAGCAACAACMCCCCCAGCCAGTAGCCACTCGAACCTGCCAGTGCAAAATGCACCCGCAGCAATTCCAGAAGGACCGCCCACACCGTTTCCGGGTGGACCTACAGAAGTCACAGCAGCCGAGATTCAACCAGAGCATGAAGATGATCATTCCGAACCTCCCGCTCCACCTCCGAAAGACGAACCTGCTGAAGGGGTGAAAGATGACGAAAAAGACGACGCCGACGAATCCGACGGCCATGACGAAGCTGAAGATACTAAAGAGACCGATGTGAAAGAAGGCCTTGAAACCGTACCAGCCGTCGAAGCTGAGACATTGAAAGAGATAGATAAAGTTCAACCGGAAGGCGAGGGCGAGCTAGAAGAGGTTTCTCTTTAAATTGTCACCCGCTTGTACGAATGTTTTCACAGTACAAAATACGAGGCCAGCGCGTTTTATATGTTTATCTTCTGCTTACTTGTCACGGGCTTGTAGATTTTCGGCCGTGCCTGGGATATGTGCTAACAATGATTAGTGATTATTGATACCATTGACTATGCAATGTGTGTTTACATGTATTAGCTTTCGGCGTATCTACAAGGTGTAATATAATTCATCATCATTTATTATTGGAGATCCTGCTTCTTGATAACAATGACTGTTCAGACAAGAATATATTTACAATCACAAATAAGAACTAGCGTACTACCAAGTAATAGGCTTCGCAATCGTACTTTCAACAGGCGGAATCAACGGCCTCAACGCATACCCATAATCACCCGCATTCGGCGTACGAAGCAAAGTATGAATATGGAACTTCTTCGGCTCCTCATTCGTCAAAAACACACCCGAGTGATGATCAAACTCTACAAGGATGACGGGGCTCTGTAGACGGTAGTAGAATGGATCATTATCCTCATAGCCGCCGATCCAGGAGAAGTATGTTTCGGCCTCGTGTTTCTTGATTTGTTCGATTTTGAGGTCGCGGGATCGCTTGGGCAGGTAGAGGAGGTATTGCTCTAGGATACTGTAGACAAGCTCTTTTTGTGCGGAGGTGAAGCCCGAGACGAGGACACCCTCGTATGGTATTTGTCTGTTGTCACGGTACGCGCCGCACAGGTGTCGCTGGTCATCTTTGTTGGTACGGCCAGGAGGCATTTCGGGGTCGTTCATTTTCTTATATGTTTGAGCCTTTTGCTGGACTTCAGCCGGCAAGGACTGCATGAGTTGAATACCAAGAGTCTCCTCGACTTGTAGAATGCGAGTACCCTTGTATGGACCAGAATCAATCTCGTTAGGCTCGGCACCAGTGAACCATGGACTAGCGACAATTTGTCCCTTGTAGATGAAGATATTGAGGCAGAGATGGTGACCGTAGAATGTCCATCCCCAAGGCCGTGTAGTAGACGGTCTTCCGAAAATAGCAAAGTTGTACGAAAATTCATTCATGACTTTGGAGGATTCAACCAATTCGCCGAGATAATGATTGATTCGCATCGCTTTGACAGCTTTGTCGTACCCTTCGGGAGAGAGGGTGGTCTCGAGGACTTTCATAATGGCTTCTCGGACGGGAGCATCAACTTCGTCTAAACGCAGGCCCTTGTGAACAAGAAGAAATTCGGGGTTTGACCATGTTCGCCATTCGGGTGAGTCGATGTGGAATGAGATGGCTTTGCGTTGGTCGTCATTCAGGAGTTTAGTCAGGCCTTCGACTGAGGAAACGATGTCTTCGACTGGAAGTCCTTCGTCTTGGATGGGGAACAAACCCTGACGGATGGTGCCTTTATCAAGTCAGCAGCACTCCAGAGACGGCTCTAATCAGGCATACCATCTGTAGAAATTCCCTGATAAGGCTCTTCATACAAATCCCGCCAATGCTCAAACAAAGCATATAACCAAGGAGGAATGTGCTTCGTCTTGAATGCATGAGCATACTCGTGCGCATCCTGGGTCTTCATGGTCGTGAAGCGTGGAATTCCCAGGTCCGGGAGATATTGGCGGTATTCGCCGGTAGGCTGTTCTTCTGGGATGGACATTGTGTAGATGTCTGATGGTAAGTATTGGGAGTGGAGGAATTGAATCTATTTTCGGGTATAGGCCATCAAGCGGGGGGACTACGGATATGAATGAACAAACAATAAGATTTTGCGCTGGAAAAAGATAAAAGTGCAACTCCTTTTCTCAGCAGTTCCGAGCTCCCCATCTTTTTATATGGCCATCCCTTCTCGCGGGGAAATGGGACACGGGTGGGGATGCCGGGATAAGCCTTTTGCCGCCTGGATACTCTTTTTTCCGCAATGCTTCCCCGGTTATTGAGTATCTAGTGGGCAGTGCATTCAGAAAATCGGTCATACGATTCAATGGATCATCTGAATGTAGAAAAAGACACTTCAAAGCAGCATCTTGTTCACTTATTGACTGACCTTCGTTCTGTAGCTAATCGATAAGCTACCTTATCGTTGTGGCACTATACCGTATCTGGATGCTTAGGGCTAGATTGGCTCGGAAAACCCGAATACTTCATCATGCAACTGCTCAATGATCGGAATCTCCATGAAAGGATGTCTGGACTGGTGACAGATTTCAACACTTCCTATCAATGCTCTCCTGGCCATTTCCAGTGGCGGCTTGAAGCCACTTCTAGACTCACGCACGAAGCATAGGATTCTCAATCCACCCCAGAGGTACAATCCTGCCCCGAGCAAGGCCACACCCGTGCAGCCAAATACCCATAATTGATCTTCTGTCCATCGACGTCGAGGACGAGAAAACGATTCCTCGTACTGTGGCTCTGCGTTTTCTTCTAGGTCTATCAGTTCGTATGAATCGGAGATGAGATTTGTCGATCGTGATGTTCTTAGCCTCAAGGCTGAGTATAGAAACATATTGCAAGATTGTAACATGGAAACAAAACTGGAATAGCATAGGTTGGGAAGCCGAAAGTTTTTAGATGGTGTAAGAGTTTTTATGGTGTTTGAGAAGAGAGCTGCTTGAGTAATAGAGGGAACCATCCTCTTATACAGACTCTAACTGTATCTCTCAGCCATTGTTCCGGTCAAAATAAGTCTAGCCTTTTTGTTCTCTAAGAGCATTCACAGTGAGTAAGCTTTTGAAGTGAATGGTGTTTTTGACATACATTGCGTGCTAGTGTGTTTTAAAAATATAAGAAAAGGAGTGGATATATTCATATTTGTGAATTCAACATTTACCAGGAAGCATGAAAAGAAGACCTGACCCTCAGAGACCGACCAATATCCATGGTTGGCTGAAGATAAAAGGAGAAGTTTTACACAGATTAGAAAAAGTGTTGGTGATCATTATGCTTCATGTTCTACATGGGGAATACCTTGAGAATGGAAACTCTATTTTAGAGTATTCATTGTGATAATCAGCCCTGAATTTTCACGGGTTACCTAGGTATCAGTATCGGCATAACCTGGAACTTTCGAAGATATAATGTTAACAGGACCTCCCGTCGACGATACTCTACACACATTATTGCTCGTAGGCAGCCACCCCTTCATATTTTACTGTTCTACGTATCACTCGCACTAAACACACTCCAACTGCCTACTATCTACGTCTCCTAACATATCTGACGACTATCAGGCCATTTTCCACACACTTCTGAACCCTGGCAGCGGGGAAAAAGTCCATCACCCTCGGTGCTCAGAAGTGGACTTTGCACGATTCGAACGGGAATTCGAGCGAGGAGCGCGCGACGGATTCGGCTACAGCAGCCTCTCGTTTGATGGCGAAAAGGAGCTTGTCAAGTTTGTCACTAACCCGAATTCTATGCACCAAGCTTCACCGACTTGGCTTAACTGATTGTTTCCTCATCTGGGCCTTGGTCAGCGTCTGGGACGCCGTGCGGAGCTCTTAGAGATAGGTCAATCAAGGAGACCAAATGATTAAGTTACTATCCCTAGATAAGCATCCCGACACGGTACCTTTTAGCCCCGATAGCGAAAGCGCTATTCGGTAGAGCCAAGCAGCCTGACGCAGGTCTATTTGTGCTCCCAACCGACCATACCCTACCGTTACCACCACCGAAACTGGATATTCCAAAAGCTATGAGGAGATTGTCGAAGGTGCGAAACTTCTCCTTGGAGGGACTAATGGATGCACTGGTGTCGTGATCCTAGTCAAGCTTACGTCTCTCGGACCCAGAGAAGATTGTATCAATTATGGGTTTGTGGAAGTCTGGTCCAGCCTCCCGTCAAGAAATCACACTGACATGGGATTTCATTCTGCGTGAAGAGCACAAGGCTTTTTTGCACTTGATCACCGATCCAATACCACCTTTGAAGCTTGACTTACTTTGCAAGGCAATCGATGCGGCTACGTGAAGCGAATTTACACGAAACGCGAGGGGGCCTGAAGTTCGTCGAACCATCCATACGTTCGAGAACCCAAAGAAAAGAAAACGGAGGGAGTATATGACCGGAGAGAGGTCGGCGCAGATTTGATTGGGAGCATGTACGATTGCTCATGCGCTTGCTTATCACTTGCACGTACGCGATCTCAGCGCAGGTTTATATAGAATCATTTACACTGGTCTAGCTTAAATTGACGGGAACTTGACACTGATATGATTAGAAGCACATACAATTACTTGCTTATTACCTAATTCATTTAGGAGCTTCAAGTAGATGATGAAGCATGCACTAAATTATAAGTGCATATCCTAGTCATGTGGTTGTAGATCTTGTTCAGGAGTGCTTAGGGTCTCCAATACTAATTGATGATCGATTATATTACTCCTAATAGATACGCCGAAAGTCAATAAAAACACATTGCACAGTCAATGGTATCAATAATCAGAAAAAAGAAACCAAACGAGGGTACAGACGCGATACTGCCTCGTTACATCAAAGTCGAATATATAAAGAAGAAAAGAGAGTATTGAGTTATGCGCAGAACAGAAACTACTGACGACTCTTTCGAGTCGAGTCTCCCACATCGACATCACTTAATATAACCTCAATTTCCCTCAGACTACCATCGCTGCGGGAACTGGTGGTCTCGAAACTCCCGCGACTCTCTTGTAATGCGTCGTCGTGAGCGTAAGAGGCATTGCGACTTTTGTGGTGCCTTTGCGACGATTTTCCCTGCACATGACGAGCGGTATCGACACCCAAGCCATGTGGTGAAAGCATAGATCTTTCACTGATCGTTGGTATCCTCATGGAGCCCAATGACGGACTTGCAGAGCGGCTGTGAATACTGTCGGCGTCGTGAGAAACGCCCATGTCGAGAGCGGCAAGTAAAGCAGCTTGAAGCATTTTGTTCTGTCGCTCCAGCGAAGCCACGCGAGACTCCAAACTCCGCACAAGATGGAGATAGTTGGTTTGAGAGCCACCAGTGAGGACTGCATCTTGGGTAGTTTGAGAGATTGAAGATAATGGTTGGTGATCATAGACCACCTTCTGCTTTCCGGCAGTCTTTCGTTCAGATGCACGAGCCTCTAGCAGACTATCCTCGGCAGGATGTGAAAGATGTTTTTGCCTCTCCTCGTCTGAAGATGGCAGCAACGGCGAATTAGGTTGAACCTGTCGTTGGGTCATATGTTTGGTGGTATCTCTTGCCGGGTAAGCTGCCTTCCCATGTCGGATAGAGAGACTTTCATTGGAGCCGCTAGTCACACTGACACTGCGAGATAAACCTCCTTCGTACCCATTCGTAGTTGCGATAGACCCTGGCATGGACGTCGCAGAGTTTCGTCGCCGGTGGTTTGGCGTGCCTTGAGCATTGACGGGTGGATCTCTGGGAAGTGGAATCCCAGGAACCGCACTGACACGGTGCTTTCGACTTGACTTCCGTGCTTCTTCCTTCCAGCTTGGAGAGCTGGGCTGTGCAATGACAGTGTTGCTAGGTTTGATTTGTGTTGCATCAAGATCGGGCTCAGACACAAAGGCTTCTTTTTTCTTGCTGGCATCCAAATCCCGCATTCGAAGCGCATGAACTTGATCGGCTCGGCCCCGTCGAGATTCTGGTCTGGAAAGAGCGGGAGACCCAGTTCTCGGTGTTTGATCGTCGTTTATACTCGAACCATCGGAGGCATCATTGCTCCTGCTTGAGTATCTTGACGATGGCCGGGGCCCAATCCAAGACCTCCGGAGTCGCAATTTCTGAGTATTCATCCCTAGAATAGGGCTATCCCTGTCTTCCTCTCTATACTCCAAAGGAGCGGAAAATGGGTGTACTGGTGTCGAAATATTCCTGTCCCTTGGAGCAGGCTTGTTGCCGATATTGGCGCCTGCACTCTGTGGAATAAGAGGCAGAGGCTTTGCCGGCGGAGGTAAAGGAGCAGTGTTTGTGATTACATACAAGGGAGTTCTCTTTACTTTCTTTCCCTTTTTGCTGGTGCTGTCAGATGCTGCAACATCCGGAGTCGCACTGCGAGAGCGACGAGATTGAATGGGCATTGGAGAAAGAAGAGCTTGAGGACGAGGAAAAATCGCCAAGCTTGGGCCAATAGAAGAAGCAGAGCGAGGGTGCACCAAGGCCGAGTCACCTGTCAAACGGCCTTGAAATCCAGCCTGAGGACGGGGATCGTGCGGGCTCAACGGCTGCTGTGGGGAAGTAACAAGCCTAGAATTGGTGGGAGACATGCATTCAGCGACTAGTTTTAGCGGTATGGGGCCGGCGTTGAGAGGCTTTGACAGGCCGGGTTCAGCTGGTGACAGGAGTGTTGGTTGGTCTGTTCTCCTGGAAGTGGAAGCTTTAGTGCTTAGTTCATGGGCGGCTTGCACTCCGTCGATTTTTTCTTCCACTAGCTTTCTTCCAAATAAAGGAGTATCAGTAACACCTTGGTTAAGGGAGTGAGGCGGTCCATTGTTTTCTTCAGTAGCGGCATTTACAATGACGGTACTAATAGTCGTTTTGGTAGGTGCAGTTCGATTTGTAGTGGCAGCAGTAGAAATAGTGGCAGATGTAGGTGCGGGTTCTCGCGGGTTTTGGGTATCACTTTTCTTTTTCTCAACCCCTAATCGCTCCGTAGCGCGGAGAAGCACTGCGAGGCTTTTCGCGTCATCACATTCACAATTATTGGATCCACAGCAGCTATCATCGTCATCCTTGTCTATATTGGACTTGCTCTGGGGGGCCTGTCTGCCAGTGCTAACGGCTCCGGCGACACGGTGCCCCTGGACACTTTTGTTCGGTGCTAAACTAGCTCCGCCAACGCGCGAATCTCTACTTTGACCTCCACTTGGGATTGTCCCCGGCTGGTCATCTTCATTTCCATTGTGGGTTGCTTGAATTAAGCGTCGATCCGTTGCTGACACCAATGGACTGTTGACAGTATTGAGGCTAGAAGGCTGTTGTGACTCCGGCTGAGGCTGAGAGTCCGATTGAGCCCGGGCTTGGTACGGCGGTGGACTTGACTCGTGAGGATACAGTTCTGGAAACGAGACAGAAAATTCGACTAGAGCAGCCAAGTCCCCTAGACTTAGAGATTCACTGCGCAAGTCGTGAAGAGGTAGCGTAGTCTGCGATGTCGATCTGTCGCCATTGCTTGTTGTTGATCCCAGGGCATGATCAAGCCATGGACGGCCAATGGCTTCTACATCTTTCTTTGTCCGCGATGGACTAGATTTATCGGTCGAGTCTCCTAGGCCTGGAAGTAATCCTTCGCGTTGTAAAGCTGTCAATTGTTGTCGTTGGACTGTGAGTTTTTCGGATGAACTACCCGACGCATTAGAGCCTTGACCTGGTGTTTTTTCCGGTTTGGTCTGGCCGAGGTATCGCAGACGGCGCTGGCCCGCCTTGAACAGGTCCATACTTCCGTTAGTAGACTTTTTGGGTGGGTTGGCTTCCTCCGTGTCTTCCTGTGCTTGAAAGAAGCGCACTAGGTCTGCGATATTCTCGTTTCGCATTGGGCGACTGGATGCTCCAGCTGATCGAGGTCGGGCTTTGCGTATTTTTGGTATTAGTGGAAATTGCTGATAATTCGTTATGGCTGCTGGCATTATAGTATGTCGTGGTGTTGTGCTGAAGGTCTTCTTGGAAGGCCTGTATGTTGGGATGACTGGGCTCGGTGCGGCAGGGCCGTTGAGCATCGAGCGGGAATCTTGAAAAGTTGTTGATAGATGTCGTTGATACTAAGATGCAATGTCTGTTGTTGTAAGGAAAGATTGATGTCGAGACACGGTTGAATGGTGAGATGGTGAGATGGTACACTTTTGTAGTGTCGAAGATGACTGAATCCGAGTCGAAATGAACGTATTTGGCCTCGTATACTCTCACATCGGCCACAGAAAGAGATATACAAGATCGTGGCACAAAGTTAAAAAGCCACGGCGTCGTTAAGTTTTGCGTGACATCTTGTATGAAATGGCCGGGGCCCAGCACCAAGACGCTTACTTCGATCTAGGGTTAAGGAAAGAAGGAAATGACAGGCGACGGCCCATGCTATATAGGACCAGCATCGAGATGTAGCACAGGCCTAGAATAAATGTGGCCGGAGAGAATAAAAAAGGAAAAACCTAAATCAAATATATGATCACACTCGGTTGTGGATCTATCTAAGCGTTGGGGTAGCCACTGGGCCAATGTTCGACATAGAACACATCGGAAGCACAATGAACTCCTCCCCCCTTGACATGATGAGTAGCAGCTAGCAATGGACGAAATGGACGCCATGCCGAAACATGCATATGCGTCGGCTCGTCAAAGACAATGAACAAGCTGGAAGAGGGGTGCTGGGCATTAGACTCCTTTGTTGCGTAGGATGAGATGTATGAGTCCCACGCTAGAGTAGAGCAGGGACAAAGATATGAGCCGAGAACACGGATCACAGTAGTGACGATGCGATTATCATTTCAGCATCGGTCTTGAGAGGATGATTGCCTGGTCCGCAGTTACTTTTCTTGCAATAAGACCATTGATGACGATCCGACAGGGTGAACCGGTTCGTTGCGTATCCAGATCGATCATCAGTTAAAGTTCGAGAGGGGCCTACTAGGCAGTAGTCACTTCAAAGAAATGGTCTAGTAACTAAAGCATATTGCTGTGGAGTGCAAATAGCACTGAGCACTGACCATCTACTCAGTGTAACCAGTAGACTCTCAGCGAGAACCACGCTGTCGGGATACATCAGTTGACACGGCTCAGATCCGGTCAGTCCGGTATTTGATTGTGGCAATTTGCCCGACAGAAGCAAGGGACGCAGTCATGCAAGCCATGTTGAGACAGATGAGATAATAATAAGTTTGAGCAGAATGAGATAGATCAATTGACGGCGGGGAAGGKGGAGATTAGAGTGTCCGGGGGATGTTCAGGCCACTTCCTCCCCTTCCGATTTGGGGACCAGTCATGTTCTTATCACTGTTGGTGGCGCCTATATGAGAGATCATCTGCTGCTAGCCCTAGTTCTCGTATTCTCGCTGATCTGACTGTCGAGACAGCAAGGGATGCGCACTAATTAGCTTACATGCATATGTCACATCTGCCAGATCAATGCACTTCCTGCTGGTCCAGGTACCAGTTAGAGTCATAGCTACGTACCAGTTGACTCTTTGATTACATGGCCTCAAGCATTAAGATCATGGGTGCCATATGCTATGCTGACTGCTACCGTGTCGGGTGCAAGGCACACGGAAAGTGCAGAACATGCTACATAAACGCAATAACATGCATGGTGTCGGAGTACATGAATCTAAAACCGCATCCTCTCTACTGAGTATATAATCTATAATTTGAGTATTATACATACCTAGGCAGATGAGCTGAAATGTCGGATTGCATAACATTGGAGCATATCAAGATACGGGATCAGTTAGTGTTCTGTTTCTTTGCCACAAGTATAAGTATAGCCACAATATCCAGGCCATCAATTGTAAAGCATTTGCAATTCTCAAGTTCTCATAATTGCAGATATAGAAATAAATGGGTTATCGAAAAACTTCAAATGAGAGAGACCGACAAAGTGCACCAAAGTCTAATCGTCCGGATTTATCCAAGACCCTTCAAAAACAAAAACCAAAGCCTTGAACAATAAATTATCGATGAGCCCAAATCAACGTTCACGAAGACTTCAGTGCGCTGCTCCGAATGCAGTGTTTACCACGGTGCAAAAACAATTCATCTGCGGAAAAAGCAAAGAGAGCGAACCGCCACACCGTGCTCATATAGAAGGTCGCCAAAACGGTGAGCCTAGATAGTACAGACAGACGAAGCGTAATCAATAGTTTTGAGTCTTCATATCTCTTCTCAGAACCTTAAAAAGAACGAACCCCTTACGCTTTCGTGGTGGATTTGTGATTATTACCCCATTGGGAAAGTTTAGGTTCAGGGTTGTCGAGTTGCTCCCCCTACCCAGGATGTTCCGGCGACTCCGGTTTGTTTACCCGGCGACTATTGATTTGTACGAGATTGCACATATCCTACCTGTCATTCATAGCCCAACCCAGGCCGTCTCTAATGTATGTCAAACCTCTGGAATAATGCTAACCAAATGCAAAATGCTTCGAAAACAAACGCCCCTGAAAATGCAAGCAATGCATGAAAACAAACATTCGTCGCAAGGAAACATGATGAAACAAAATCAACCCCAAAGAGAAAAAATGCGCAAACCCACAAGACTATATGCAAACAGCAACATGATGCCGAGGTGGGCAGATGGTCGCGCCGACTTGCTCCTTTTATAGAATTAACTTGTTTATACTGATAGCATGTAAGAATGTAGTTCATCTTCTCTTGGGCCGGATGAATGGATCGGCCTCTTTCTTTTTTCGCATCGGCATCGGAGGACGTGGTGGTAGATTGGTAGATCCGGGTCCAGGTCCAGGTCCAGGTCCAGGTCTGACTCCTTTGGGCCCGCGAGGCGCTTGTATCAACTGCATAGTGACGTGTCAGTGATAATCTTCTTACTTCGATGATGACTTACATTATTATCCACCAATACTTTCCCACCATTGTCATTCATAGGGTTTTTATTATGTCCGATATGTTGATACCCCGGCCCTTCTCGAGAAGGTCTCACCAAGTTCTTCGTAACTATCGTTAGTCATGATGATCAAGTGTAGCAGGACTAAAAGAACTTACACTGGGAACTTCCTGCGGAGTTTCTGCGTCTATTTTACGCTTCGTATTTTTTGCAAACGGCCCACTAGGCGGAAGTTTCCTTTTCCCTTGTTGTTGCTGACGCTGTGGAGGCGGCGATGGAGACCTAGTAGCCTTGACGACGGGAATGCCAGGATCACGTGCTAGAGTGTGTTTTTGTTTGATCTCATCACGTTTGGCCTGTTGTGCTCTCTTATGCCGAGACTCTTCCTGGGCAATCCTATTCAAATCTTTCTGAGGCAGGACCTCTTTAGACCGACACGCTTCAGCCAAGTGACCGATTTCACCACACATCAAGCAACGAGGTGCAGTGCATCTAATCTTTGTGTGACCTGGCTGCTTGCACCGGAAACACATACCCTTGGCAAGTTCCAAAGCTTCGGCATTATCACAATTTCTCGTAAAATGATCAAAGCTGCCGCAGTTGGCACAAGTCTTCGTATCATCGAGTCCATTAGAGCCTCCAGATGGACCGCTAAGTACGGGAGTAGGAGTGTTGCGAGCCGACACCGATTCCATCTCATTAGATGATCGGGTCTCGGTAGGCGTGTGCACTGTAGACGTAGATGATTCATTGGCATCTGCATCAGCCATATCCACATTTCGGTATCCAGTAAACTGTGGACGTTCCAACATCGAAAGGACATCCCCATCCGTATAGACATGACGCTGTCTAGCATCAGTAATGAGCTTCTTCCAAAATTCGCCTTGAACAAGAGACTGAGAATTTCCGAGAACCCAGAGGGACGACTTGGCACGAGTCAAACCGACGTTCATACGACGAATATCTGACAAGAAACCAATTCCCTTGTTCGAAGCGCGGACACAAGAGAAAATAATAATTTCACTTTCTCTACCTTGAAAAGCGTCGGTGGTGTTGAATTCAACCTTGGCAAGTATTGAGTTACCGTATCTAGCAGCGAATCGCGTCCTCAATTCTCTCAATTGACCTTTGTAGGGTGTGATGATACCAATCTTGCCAGAGAAGTCGTATGCCTTGAAGTCAGTAAGCAATCGCTCGTAGAGTTGCATTGCTAAGTTCAACTCGGCAATGTTGATAAGAGAGTGACCCTTGGAAGCACTCTGGTGAAGACCCTGAACGTCAAAGAAGCGGTAAGGGCTTAGCAACTGACTGTTGTGCCACGGCCGAGCACGAAGTTTAGCCATATCAGGTCCATCTTGCAACAGACCGTCGTAGAACGTAATACTGGGGAAGAGACTAATTGCCGGATGCATACGGTATTGAATATCCAAGAGATGCACGTCGTTAGGGTGGTTGGACTGCATTCTAACGAACAAACTCTGCTCATATTGGAAGCGAGAAGCCTCTTTAGACAGCACAGTGGGCGGAAGCTGTTTAGGATCTCCGACAAGAATGCACTTGGCACAACCATACTTAAGAGGAATAAGAGCGCTCAGCTCGATTGACTGAGCAGCCTCATCAATAATCACAGTTTCGAAGTCAATGCTTAGATTCTGAAACATCTCGTGTCCACTACCACTAAGCGTTGCACAAATGACATGGGCACTGTCAACAATCTCTTGCTGAACACGACGTCGATTTAAGTCGTTGTTGCGAGCAATTTCGTTATTACGATCTCGAGTATTGTCAATTTCCTGACTGAGCTGTGTTCGCTTCTTCTTGAGCAATTCGAATTCGCGGAGAAGATCATCGGGAGGCACTTGACCTTTTGCTCTAAATTGATCAAGTTTGGAGCGGATTTCCTTGAATGCAGTATCGGTGGATTTATGATCCTCGAAGATTTTCTGAGGATTCTTCTCCTCCGAATTTTTCTGGACTGCTTGATTTAAGCGTGCATTCACAAGCTCGTCTAGAGTAACATCCAGCACGTTTGCATTGATAGCATCACTGCGACCTAAACGAAGGACATTGAGCTTCTCTGATCTACCGTTGAGCGTCTTGACGCCAGCTTTGAAACGCATCACCAGTTCATCAACAGCTGCATTACTGGGAGCACAAACAAGGAGTTTCTTGGTAGCTGTGGTAGGTGCTTTAGGCGTTGGCGCCTGATGAGCGCTAGGACGAGAAATAGACACGCTATGTTGGTTGCCTAAACTCCCACTCAACAAGGCACCAACAAGAGCAACGATTGTTTTGGTTTTTCCAGAACCTGGTGGACCTTGAATCAAGGTAAAAGCATCGTTGTCTAATGCAGATCTGATAGCTTTGGCCTGGGCTTGATTGACGTTATAGTTGTCCACTAGTGGCTTCAAGCTTGCATCATTGTATTTCAGAAGTGGAGAGGGTTTCGCTTTGATAATCTCTTCGCAAAGATCGTAATACTGCAAAGCCTTCAGTGCTCCGTACTCGCGCTCCAATGGTGTCAACGACGAGATGCGTACTGCCCACAGGGTGGATCCCGGCGACAGAGCAGATACCATTGCACTGCCGGGATTAACGCGATATGATACCTCGACATTGCCCTTTTTTCTATTGATGCCTGAGATTCTGGCCAAGCAATGAGACGCTGACTTGTCATTCGCAGGATCTCTAGATTTGGACAGCAACACAATATCTGCGTCTCCGAGACCGAACTCTTTCAAGTCTGCCGCACTCCTCAAAGTCGTGCTCACCTCCATGAACGAGTCAACAGATAGACGAGTGGCCACTGTGATCTCAAATGGCTTGAAGTTGGCTTCTTCCTTCGCAGATTGAAAGCCCTGCCATGCTTCCAGGACCAACAATGGCTCAAAAGTGCGTTGATATTCTATGGGGTCCCTGAAAGTAGATGTAATGAGGGAGTAATCCGTGCGGCCCGAATTGGGCGGCAAGTCACCGTTGGCGAAGAAATCCCATTCGAGTAGGGTATGGTGCAGCGATGAGAGATCTGGAACTAAACGAGCACGCATGTCCTTAGCCGATCGCCACTGTCTAACCTTCTTCACAGGACCTTGTTGCTTGAGAGCTCGTCGTTTGCTTTCTTGATACTCCCTGACGGCCGCGGGAGTTGATGCACCCTTCTTTCCAAATAGCTCCGCATCAACCTCATCATCACTTTCTTCTGATTCGGATTCAGAAGCCACCATCATACTATCGGCAGGGGKATGATCTTTACCCTTAATGCCCCCTGATACTCCAGAGCCCTGTCCGGCAGTCTGTTCTGCCACACCGAGTCCTGGAATATTCTTTTTGAGTCGTTGCAACTCGGCAAGGTCACGTTTCTTCTTAGCTTCCCTCTCTTTTTCTCGTTTCTCACGGAACGATTCGACAGATACACCAGGACGAGTTGGAGGCTTTGAAAGTACAAGAGGCGACTTAGTCGTCGTGGGAAGCTTCTTCTGAGGTTGACTGGCGACACGTGCTTTGTTTAATTCAACAGACCTGGAGAGCTGCAGCAACGTTTCATCCAGCGCGGAAGAATCACCGTATTCATCCTCGCTTGTTGATCGAGCTGGCGTTGACCGGCCAGATGAATCGGCCTGTTTAGCAAACGCAGTAATAGAACTTTGTTTTTTGAATGCTGCAGTTGAAGCGGTTACGACCGGTTTCTTATAGTATGCTTCTAGAGCTCTCACAAGCTCGGCCTTTTCTCGCGCAGTCAACAACGTCTTGGTCGCTCCTGTCACAGCAACATTTTCAATGGTCTGAAGGGCGCTGCGTTCAACAGTCGTGATATTCAACTCGCCTAGCCGTCGAAGAATTTTGGAGACGAGACCAACCAAGGTCGTGGCAAGATATTCGTCCTTGAGTCGAAGCCACTTGACCATGCCTTTCATCGTTCCTGTCGGATACTGTAGTAAAGTTTCCCTCACAGTATCTTCCTGCGATGCGTCACCACCACTCATGGCACTCGCAAACACGGGATATTGAGCAAAAAGAACGTCTGCAAATTGAATAGTATCACGGCAGAATTCCAGCATAACACTCTTGTCATTTCCTCGGTTGTGCCAGTCTTCGGTCATATCAAAGATCGTAGTAAGAGATGACCATTGACGTTCCCACAGATTCTGAATCTCCGTGAATTCTTTCTTGTTAGCCAATTTCCGAGTCCTAAGAATACCGGTCTGAGTATCACAAAGTACATCGATAATGTCTGTTCCAGTATGGATCATCCTCGGAGCTGAACCAAACGTTTTGAGCGCGCTGATCCGAGAGAACGACCAACCAAACCCGTAGACAGCCGTAGAAAAAAAAGATCTCAGGAGATGCGAAATTGCATCTCTTCTCGCTGACTGACCGCTTACGTTTTTGATAAGATCGACAGCTGCTTGATAAGTATTTATGTCGGCGGAGAATAGTGCGGAAATCAAGGCACAGGCAGTATCTTGACTAGCAAACAAAGCATCCAGATGCTCAGGGTCGAATTCAGCTAATCGCTCAAATATTAGAGCTGATAGGTGTGTGAGATGGCCATAGATAACATTGTACTTTGTCTTCTCTTGGCTATCCTCGCCTCGTGTAGGGAATTTCTCGAGACCGACCAATTCCAAAATGCCTTTAAGCGCCGCAGTCGATAGATCCCGGTTGCTTTGACTTAATCTCGCGATAACGGCGTCCCAGATTTCTGGCGAATAAGTACTTTTTCCATGTTGCATGGAGGAGTGGTTCAATAAGACTTCATAATCCGTCTTCAAAGACTGACATTCAAGAGCAAGCGTGTTGCTGACGACGTCCATGCAACCATTGATAATCGACTGTGCCCTATCACCAGCCCCATCTAATTCAGGTGTGACAATAATGTCGATATGTTCCTTAACAATCTCCAATGTTTCCGATAATACCACACGTGCAACGGACCCGCGCGATGATTCATTGTCAGTAAAAGTCCGCAACGTACAAAGCAACACCTCGATTCCACAGAGAAAACACTGAAAGCGCGCAACTGAGGGTAATCTCTTATCTTGAAAACGCTTGAATAGTTGCGATACGATGTATCTGCAGGCGGGAGTTTGATTGATGCTTTTCAATGAGGACATAAAAGGTGATATCCATGATAGCATGTCGTTTAGCGGAGATTTAGAGAGGGTGACATCGTCTTTGGCCTCTAGGAGGTAAGCATCAAATTGAGGGTTATTGAAGACTTGCTCTGCAATCGCTTGGGGAGATATGGCCTGCATGGCGTCCCAAAAGTCAACTGGCGCTTTCTCTAAGAGTAGTTGAATAGAGTTTAACAGAACCCTCAGAACAGGTGATTGGATTCCAAGATGTTCGATAGACAATCGACAAGGGTCAATGTCCAGACCGCGGAGGTGATGAGTGATTTGATCTTTATCGAGTCTCATTATGATGATTCGTAAACCTATCCAAAGTCTTTGAACGGCAGCAATATCCAGGTACTGCTGTTGAGGTGAGGCAGAAATGAGAGCACGAGTTAAGCCGTCTTTGACTGCCCACTCAAATTCGTCTGAGGTAGGCGGTCGACGAAAACGAGACCAACCATGCAAGGCCCAATGATTTCGAATAGGGTCGGGATCAAACAGAAAGTTTGTTAAGCCTGGAACGTAGTCGGTGAGTTTTAGAGTCCGTTTGGTCTGGATCATTCTGAACGGGGCGTCAAAGTACTCTCTGAGCAAGGCAGCGTTCTTTTGCATGACCTCAGAACTCAGACATTCGAAAATAGCGAGCAATGACGACGTCCTTAAGGCGTCTAGACCTATCTTCTCTGGTGGAACTGCATTAAGTTCTTCAAGAGCTGTCGTCAGATTCCTCTTCATACGTTTGATATCCCACTCCTCCAGCAACCGCATCAGTTTCTCGATATCCTCCTCGTCATAGCTCTCCTTCAGGTTCTCGACCAGCGTCACTTTTCCTCGATGATACTGCCTAATGCAAAAATCACAGCTCTCTAGCGTATCGTTGAACTTCTGCCATAACCAGTCTTGTAATTGTCCGAGGCCATCTTGACTGAAAGCTAGGATGGGAAGGCACGATAACGCCTTGTCCCTGCGCTCGAGGGCACGCTGTGCTTCGTACTCGCCGTCGGTATCGTCGTAACGGCCGTAATCATCGCGACGTTGGCGAGGGCAGAGGAGATGGATACCGTCGGGTATGGTTTGGAGTTCCCTGAACCAATGTTTGTCAGTCGAAACACCTGGCATGACATCTGAAAGAATGCCCACCTTATTGTATCCAAGACCTCCATCGTGGAGGGAGTGGATTTTCCACGATCAATTCGACAATGGATTTATTCAGGCTCAAGCTAAGCGTTCAAGTATCCATAGCCAAAGCTAATCAGGCTTCGGGAATCACTGAGCACCAAACAGGCCTAAGATACTGCTGATCGAAAGTTACGGCGAGAGAGTGTACAGTGCGGACCAAGCAAGAGCGGGCGAACACAGGTAAGAAATAAGACAGAGGCTCCCCGTCGATGGATGCTGCACGCAAGAGAATAAAATACACAGTAAACCACGAACGTGACCTGGAAGAGTCTGACAAAAGCGAAAAAGAAGGAAAGAAGCAGCTGGTCGTTATTGCAACTTCGGACAGTATGTATGTTATGATATTTCTTGCTTGACGCAGTTCTTTCTTTGCGGCAGATTGCGGGCGCTGATTGGACGCGGAGGGAAAGCGGCAAGCGGCGGGAACTTCCACTTAACGCGTCGCGTCTTTTCTACTAATTAGTACTTGCACATACATTATGGACTAGAAAAAGTACGCCTGCGACTGACGGTTCAATAAAAAGGACAGTTCTCTGACTTTGGTCTAATAATTCATGATATTTGACTTGGTATCCGATAATCGATACCCTATGCTGAGAAGAAAAGAAAACACTCGCAGTGAGATTGATAAATAGCTCATGGCGTAGAAGGGAAGAAGTAAAAAGACATTGAAACGGGAAGATGAGATATCATAATCGAAGTACATTGACTTGTTCAACAAGAACAGAAAAAGAGGAACAAAATGAAATGATGCATGAGAATGCGAGAACAAGGTGTTAACCTATGGACGCCACCAGCCTTTTCAACCAACGCCATCTATGTGAAACCGCGATATGGAAACAGGAGACGAAAAACGAAAAAGAAGACAATCCGCTTCAGATCGGAATGAAGCTCATATAGACACATATAGAAATTTTTGGAATCAAGAATGAAGTGACATCAAAGACATATAGTGGAATGAAAGATACTGACATGAGGAATTAGACTATACAGCATGTATATCATGCGGGATCCTGAGTGGACTGTGAGGCGTCTGGGGCTTGCCGTTGGCGGATTCGATTCGCAACAATGGAGTGCCGTTCGAAAAGTCAGTGCTTGTCACCGAGGGATTCTGACCGTGGTGTATCGTTAATCCTGCTTCGGGTTGTTCCCACGAATTGACAGCAGGGTGTTTGGTACCAAAATCAAAGCTGTCCGCCGTAAATGTGGTCCCGTTGCTACCGTTCTGACTACGCGGATTGTGAGTGGTGTTTGTCGGCGCGATAGAAGGCGGATAAATCGGCCGCTCGTCCTCAAGAACTCTGGGATCACGGCTCACCTGAGGCTCGATGGGTTTAACCACTGAAGATACCGCTGAAACATCGCTGCCAGCGGGACTTCCACCTGCGTTGGCCTGGGAAGAACCGAACGCGTCATTGTCGGTTTTTTCGACACGGCGATAAATGCCCTGGGTGACCTGTTCGCGTATAATGTCCACATCGGTGGGGAAGAACACTTTCTGGAAAGCTTTGATGGCGAATCGGGGAAGGAGACAAAGCACGACGGTGACGAAAAGCACTGTCCAGTACGCTAACGTTCCGTATACTTCGGCTGCGTGATTATAGAATTGGGCAGAGGCGGTGGTGGCGGTCCATACGCCGGTCCAGAAATAGAGAAGGAGACTGCTGACTGCATTGATCAAAACAGTCAACCAGTCCCAACGGTACGTGTTCATGAGAACGTATGTATTGCTGGAGATGACTGCGGCCGAGGCGACGAGAATACCGAATTGCTGACGATCATCGAGACTCAGACCGTCTCCACGCTGGAACCTAGCCTGGTTGTAAAGCAGATACGGCATGAAGAAACACATCAAAGACTGGTACAGGCCATCAAACATGTAGAGCCTATAAATGAGGTTAGATAATCGAATATAAACGCGCACAACGATACTTACCAGAACTTGCGCTGGCTCCATTCTTTGCGCTCGATACCGCGCATATAGAGCTGGGGAACTTCAAGTGAAACCTTGTCACTGACATCCTGGTCGAAGATGCCCATGAAAATGACAGGAAGTGAGGTGAAAGCCAAGTTAATCAGAATGATATAGGTGTAATCAAAAAGATAGGACCCATCAAAGCTGTTGTAAATCGAATACCAGAAAAGAGCAAAAGTCCAAACGAGCGTTTTATAGAAGAAATTGGCAGTGGCCTCACCAAGGCGTCGATACGACCATCGGCCATGGACAAGAAGGAGACGCCGTAGGAAGCGGAATTGACCAATGGCGTAGTCAGATGACATGACGGCCTGTCTGCCCTCTTCACCGGCGATACCAACACCGACGTCTGCTTCTTGAATCATAGCTACATCGTTGGCACCGTCACCTATAGACAATGCCATGATGTTCAACCCATTCTTCACCATTTGCACAACGGCAGCCTTTTGTGCAGGGCTCACACGGCAACAGAGAACAGACTTGCATCTTTTACACAAAAGAAGGAACTTCTGTTTCAGGTCCTCGTCGAGCATGAGTTTCAGTGTGTCTCCGTCGATTATCAAAGCGTGAGTGGCAGCAGGCGGAGTATGATCCTGGCGAGCCGCGATCAATTCCTCGTCAGTGCCCTGGATGCCAAATTTGTCCAAGTATCGTTGTAGTTCTGAAGCAGCAGCCTCGGGCTTGTCGGCGGGAACATTAAAAACTATCAACTCCATATTGTTGTTTAGAAGGTTGCAGGAGAATCCAATGTTGATGGCGGTCTCAACTTTGTCCCCAGTCAAAACCCACAACTTGATACCAGCATTGGCTAGCAACGAGATGGTATCCGGTACGCCGTCTTGCAGTCTGTCTTCGATGGCAGTTCCTCCCAAAAGCATCAACTCTTGTTCAATTACGTTGGCGACTTCCTCCAACTTGTCATCCCGATCGACGAGAGCAGCGGCGGCCAGATCATGCGATTCGTTCCAGACTTGGTATTCCTCTTCACTAAGGACCCGCTCCGCGATACAAAGAGTTCGAAGGCCTTCGCGAGCAAATTCCTCCAGATGGTCGGCTGTAGTTTTGCGAAGCTCTTGTTGCTGACCACGTGCAAGTCGCTTGTAGATGATACTATCAGCTCCTTTGCAGAATAGTCGGATAGTACCATCGGGCATACGAATAATCGCACTCATTCGTTTCCTAGTAGAATTGAATTCCAGCAAATTAAGGACAGTGTAAGCACGTTCCTCGCCCAAGACATTGACAATCAGATCATCGCCATTCCTTCCTAGCACGGTAAAACCACAGTCTCGGGCAGTAGCCACTAGTGCAGCTTCATCAGGCGATTGTGCCCTAAATTCGATCTGCGGGGGGTCGCCCGGGGTGTGTTCGGTAATGACAGTGTGACAGAGAGCTAGGGCAATCATAAAGCTCTCAATTGCTTGCTTTTGGGTGGTATCATTGGATTGTCCAGAAAGATCCATCGCAAAGTCCGGAGAGATAAATGTTAAGTTGTCGTCGATCAAGTACGGATTGTCATGAATCTTTCTTAAAAGCTCCAGTGACCGCACCTTGCCCTGAGCAATGACCTGTTGGGCTTTGGCAGCTACAGCTTCAACGTCAACGCCTTCGCGACGCTGCATGCCAAATTGAGCTTCTGTGAAAGCTTCGCCGTATTTGACACCATTGATGCTACATTTCTTGAACTCCATGACATTTTGCGTCAAGGTCCCCGTCTTGTCGGAGAAAATGTATTCAATCTGACCAACGTCATCGGAGATGTTCCAAGACCGAGGAACACAGGCCATATTGAGGCGTTGGTAAACCATGTCGAGGTCATAAAAGATGAAAAGTGCCTGGACCGACCGGATGATCTCCAGAGTGATGTAGAGAGAAATCGGCACAAAGTTCTGGAACAAGATGAGACCGGCGAAGAAAGCGACGATTCCTTCAACTGGCGGGCTGCCACCGTAAGATCCATACTCAAAGAATGTCCAAGAACCTTGCGAAGCCCAGCTGACACCGTTGACGATACCGGTAACCAAGCACAGTATGAACAAGATGGTGAAATTAGGGATGACTTGGAAGTTCATTGCCCGAGCAAGTGCTGGTCGTTTGGTAGGGGTTTCTCCGGAATTGAGCATGATTTTTGTCTCGGGGCCGGTGAAGACAACAACACCCAGAACCCACTCAGTATTTTGGAGACTACACCCACGAAGAAGAAGATTGTTGATGCCGATGGGCTCTACCATGTCCTTGGGTGGACCATTGGGAACATTCTCGTCGCGCTGTTGCCATCGAATTGCCGCACTGTAGTTGTGCAAGTTCTGGTGAGGAGGTTCACTCTCGATGAAGAACTCGGTTCTCTCGCAGTCACGGGCGTGCTTGACTAATCGTCCACAGTTCAAGGCCTGGCGCACTTTCAAATTCGTCTCACCATCCAGGTTCTTGGTTTCGATATTACAAGCTCCATCGGGATCGGAAGAAGAAAGAATGACGATATCAGCTGGAATTTGGTCTCCGTTGTACAGCCGAACGAAGTCGCCAACCTTGACACTCTTCCAGTATTCTCGCTTGAAGCGCGCAGTTTGTGGCGTCTGTCTCGAGCGGTCGAGAATAGTGCCCGCTCTCTTTCCGCCGGGAGCCACGCTGTCTCGCACAGCCTTGGCAACTTGCAGGTGTTGGTTGCCATCGTTTGGCTCATTTGGCCATCCGTTTCCCTCAACCTGCGGATCCGGATGCGGGGACGCAACAGGAGTCATCTGAATGCCGTCTTCGGCGCCATCGCCGTAGTAAGACTGTCGTTGAGAATACACGGATTGGCGATAGGTTGCCATGGAAAATCGCCTGTCATCCTCCTCGGCGGAATCCTCCTCCACCTTCTTGTTTTTGTTCCTTTGCATCGATCTGTATGTTTTGATGATAAATCGGGTGCATGCTTTTTTGAAACGACGCCACAACGATACGTCCTCTTCACTGACATTGACGTTTGTCCAATCGACCAAGCGATAAACGGGGGAATTATTCAATTGATTGTCCTGAACAGTACGTCGCCAATCTTCGATCGCATCTTTGATGGCTGTCACGATGATAATAACAATCAAAGGCACGGCGTTCAGACCTGGATTGGTGACACCGAAAATGGGAAAGAACTAATCGCATAAATATTAGTATGCTTAATCATAACAATGGAAGTGATCGGACGGTAGACTTACACCTAGAATGATAATGAACAAGAAATAAAGATTTGCAATGTTTTGAAACTGAAGCCACAAGTTCTTGGGAATGAAACTCAGCGGCGTATATTTCGCTGTACGAATTTTGTTCCGCGGATATTGCGCTTTCAGATACCCTTCCTCGTCGCGTTCTTCGTCTGGTATGGGCATATTGAAGAATATTCGCCGCGTCTCTTGTTGGCCGTCAGCGCCGGCGCCTTCGTTGGTCGCGCCATCGTTCCCATCGCCGGCACTGCTCCCAGCTGAATTCCGCTTTTCTTCTGCACCAGAGACATTGCGTTTATGGAGTCGGTCAACGATCGAAACCCGCTTCTTTAGGCCGCTCGAGTTTCCTAAGCGCCGAGTCGCCCATCGTTGTCGCCTCGTCGGTTTCGAGACTTCACTATTTGTTGGGTGTAAGGAATTGCCATTCCCTTCGCCGCCGTCTTCGAACTGAATCCGAGACATTCGGAAGGCGTCACGTCGGCGCGCAGAGCATGTATCGAAAGATTGATAATTGAAAAAAGGAAGCGGATGAGGTTAATTAATAGAGCATCCGATCGAAGTGGCGGATCCTGACGATGCAAGTCCGCCGTAGCCGCTGCCGTTGTTCCGCGCCTGAAATTAATTCAAGTTAACAAGTCAGGTTTTTGGCGAGTTCAATCTCCCCTTGCTAACTCAGACAATTGTTCGTTCTGAGAATGCCAGCCACGAGACTGAACTGAGGGAGTCGATGGGTGTGTTGTGAGAGGGGGCGATCTGGCGATAAGTGAAACGCAGCCCCAGAGTAGTAGGGGAAAGGAGTCGGCTGAAAGCAAGCGCGGCAACGGTGTCAGCAGCAGCAGCAAGTGGCGTCCTGGATTGAGGCAGAACGAGGCGTTGGGTAAAGACAACGATTGGGAGGCGGTCGTCGACAGGGAGGCGGGATGGGGAGGAGGAAAACGAGTGAATGGTGGTGGTGGTGGTGGTGATGTTATTATTATTACTATCAGGAGGAGGAGAGGAGAAAGGATGGGAAAAGACGCCAGGTGTATCTTAGTAAGAGGTGTTGGCTGCGAAGCTGATCAAGGAATTGTAAGCAGCAGTAATAATACAGCGGGAGTCACGGATGACTAGCGTGGTCAGGAGCTGAGCCCGTGGCTGTTCTGTGCTTAGTTCGGCTTGGCGCTCCCGGCCGGACGATTCTACACCCGATGTTGGCCTTCTATTCTGTATCTATAGTATAGATGAATAGAATAAATGACTAATCTGCGATGATTCTATATCTTGCAGAGAGATACAGTGGCCATAGTCGAGTCTACCACGTCGTCCCTGGCCGTCCATCGATGTCAGTCAGGACAGTGAAACTATGGAGTGCGTACCTCATGTAACCCACAATTAATATCCTGCATAAATAGAATTAAATACAGTACAATTACGGAGTGCTCCGTACAGTACTGAATAGTCAATGCGCGCCCTCTGTGTGAGTAGTACAGTAAGTACTGTTCGGCCTTCGACGATCACATACATCCGGGTGGCACAGACAATACCATTGTTTACTACGTAGTAGTAGTAATTAGGGCTGTCCGTTATGTCCGGCGGCGTAACATACGGGGGTTAGACTTTACGTCCGGCACCCCATTACGCCAAACTTACCCGGACCGGCCTATCAGATCCGAAGCCTCCATAGACTTATTGAAAGTTTCATCGGCCCCTTTACTTTTAGAACACCCTCCTACATAGTACGTATGTGTAACTACGGAGTACGTATACTACATAGAATAGTAAATTCCAGCCCGTAGATCTGATCCAGTCAATGTGTTCAGATCTATTCTCCTGTCTTCCTTGGATTACTCAGCTGTTTGCCGTCCGATCAGAATTTGTTTTGTTTTCCATGGTTCAACTGATAAAAAAAAAAAAAACCATTTTTTTCGCGTTTATCCTTCGGCACGTTTTTCTTGGGACAGGGCCGTCATAGCCGCCAAGTGGCGTATGACGTTGTGAGAACTCCTAACTTGGATCAATTGACTTGTTTCAATGTTCTCACAGATTTATATTCATTACAGTATCATGTTCGGCAGTGTGTGGCATACTATGTAGACAATGCTTTGTTGATGCAAATCTTATTTGCAGCACTAACTCAGCTCGGCCGATCCACCACCGGCCGTTCATCGGCTTGCATGAATAAATGCCTAGCACCAACAATGACTACAGAAAGCCATCTGCGATCGTTCCTTTCAGTCCCCAACATGAATGAGCCGAAGCTTAACCAGACTAACCCACCATGGCCGAAGCTCAGGTATCGGCAGGKTCGGRAAATGAACTGACAAAARAACCATACAGAGAAAAGACCACCAAAATCAACCCGGGGCTCAAGCGCTGCTCGAGTCGTACAGCAAAATCGCACCAGATTAAGCCGCCCAACATGTTTTTACTCTGCGCGACGAGGCATATGTCGTATACCACTATGCTTGTATTGGCCAGATGAGATTTCTCTCATTCAACGTCTCGCACAAGCCATCCTACCCTCGCCTTCTGCAATTGCTCAAATCCTCATCCACTGGCGGCTTTTTATATGCTGGATGTTGTTTTGTGTAGGAAATTCTCTTCTTAGCAAATGAAGGGATCCCGCATTCGCGACTGCACGGGTGCGATTTGGAGAGGGTGTTTATCGATGTCGGATGTCGCCTGTTTCTGAACAAAGGCAAACAAAACGTCAAATTCGTGACTGGTCATCTAATCGAGCCAGATGAGGGCGCGTATCAGGGTGGACCATTGGCACATGAACTGACTGGTAGGGTGGTGGCTATCTTTGCATCATCTCTTTTCCATATGCCGGATTATGAAGACCAGCTTCTGTTTGCTAAGAGAATGGTGGCCATGTGCGAAGACAGAATGGGTGTCATGATCACCGGTCGACAATTGGGGAGCTACCTAGGTGGCCGATATCCGATGACTGGTATGCGTGAAGATGGATACAAGTTCAAGAGTTGTCGGCATAACGAACAGACTATGCGAAGCTTCTGGCATGAGGTTGGTAAAGTAACTGATACTCAATGGACCGTTGATACTGCTACGTACATGGGGGAGGAAATAGAACAGATCAAGAATGCACCCTTTGCGGAGCCGGATGTGTGTATGATTGGTGGCGTGCTACACGAAAAAAAAAAGAGGGGAATGTTATTACGACTTCAAATGTTAAGTTCAATCATTCAATGTTTATCAATAGCCAGGTTGGTATTGTTCAAGTCCTGATAAAACTATGTGTACCCTTATATACAACCCTGGAGGTACCTATGTACCCGTGGGCACATACATCAATTGATATATCAACACCAGCTGACATGGACGCTTGCACTACTGGTTCCAAATCAAAACACCCTTTCCATACAAGCCCAATGTGATGCCAATATTGTATACCGTGTCTCTCAACGACGTGCAGCCACCAACGATTTCGCTCGTCGTCGCGTATAAAGTCTTTATATTTCCGTCCGCAGACCACTCCACCACCTTAGTAGGAGCCTTGCCATCAACACAATCCGGATTGCCAACAGTGCTATTCAAGAGACACCCTAATCGCTCCACCCGCATTTTGTCCAGAGTTGGGGGATGCGGGTGACCAGTAATCAGCAACACGCCATCTTTATCTATAGACAGATTATCCGGCATAAAGTCCAAATTGACTGCACCGGTTTGCTGGAGTGATCGATCTAAAGACATCTCATAGAAGCGTACCGCGGCAGTACTTGTAGATGCAACAGCCACAGTCGTCTCATTTAGCAATGTAATACCATTCGAGAACGGTACACGAGCAACAGTGCGGAACTCGTTGGTCAAGAGATTCACGTAAACGACCCCGCCCAATGGAAGTCCGAGATACGTCTCGATCCAGGCTAAAACAGGGTTGTAACGTTTGAGGAAGTAATGGTCACTGCTGACATACAACTCGTGCTCGCTCAAAACGGTAATTGCATTAGGCGACCTGATCAGCGGGCTAATGATTGTTCGCTGATATGTAGCAACAGGAGTTTTTGATGAGTCGCTAAAGTCAAGCGCAAAGATCTCGATTCGAGACCCGTTCAGACCATGATTGCAGACATACAATGTAGAAGTCGGCCTATGGTACTCGATACCAAGGGGGTGGAACTCTTTGGCTCCGGGAAAGTCGCGGAGCTCAATAGTCGTAAGCTTCGCCTCCTCATCGGAGGCATCTTTCTGGCTGTATCTGTACAAGTGAAGATTGCCATGCGGAATAGTTGACAGATCCGGAGTAAAGGTTCCCATAACGGTGTTCCACACATCTCTACCGGGATCACAGCTGAAGATTGCTACGTGATCCTCGTCAATCATGAGCCCATCTTCGCAATTGCGTATTCGATCGGCAAATTTGACTGAGGAGGCGGCGAATGTGTTTACTGCGGTGAATTTGTGAGGTGCATTGTCCACGAGAAGCCGTACCACACGGGCACGCTCTGCCAGGAACGGATAGAGCAGGGCGAGCGCAAGAATTGACTGCCAATCAAATCAGCAGTGGTAAGAAAACCATTGATGCCACTCACCAGCGATATCCTGATTACCGAAACCATCTTGAGACCGTTTTTATCGTCTAATAATCACAGAGACAGATGAGAAAACCTACATACCTAGGTAGCGAACAATAAATTTTTTTGATTTAGAAACATGGTAAGCTGGAGCTGAAGTAGGCCCAGCTCAGCCGAGGGATCATGAGCTAAGCACCAATCCGGAGATCCATAGGATTTAGAAGATCAGCAAGGAGTACATGGAAGAAACTCCGGCCTGTGAAAATTACTTTGTTGTACGTATCAACTTGTATGCGTATTCAACCACCAATCGGCATGGAACCCTGAGACGGGGTTAGGGTAACCCAATTAGGAGTTAATTAATCGAGAATCTCACGTGGCTTCGTGGCACCCGCGTGCCTGCCTTACGCGTAAATTACCGCTCGATGGCCAGCTCAACACCTTGAACAAAGGGACGTTCATCATGTACGTTAGCTCCCAGACATAAGATTTTGACGAACCTCGCTTGAAGCGACATGTCGCAGCCACGCACCATTAAGGATTACTTCAAGCGTCCGGCCTATGCACCTCCTCCCACCGTCAACCTCCCCGCGCTCAGCCAACCCTCCTCACCTCTGAGTGATCCGCCGTCTGACCTTCCATCGCATTTTTCGTCATCCCAACAATTACCAGACCCCCTGGAACGTCAGACAAACAGCAGTGCACATGATGTAAGGAGCCCCAACCGGACTGTGCCATCGTATACTAGCGATTTCACGTCCTTTCGTCCAAGCTCCTCCCTCAATGCCAGTTTCAACTCGTCACAGCGGATAGTGAAGAATGGGAAGGAGGTCGTGATAGATACGGACGCAGAAAGCGCCAGCTCCGAGGAATTAGAGGACGTCGATGAGCTATTGAACAAGTTCCTAGGCAGAGCGCCGTCTTCAACTTCGACGAAGATAGCAGAATCTCGCGACCTCAAACCAAAAACAGCATCAAAACCACCCAACCGCCGCAAACAACATGAGTTTCGCAACTTTCGAGCAAAAGTTGGACTCGATGAGAAGAAATATAAATTCAGTCTGGAGTCATTGGTGCAGCGCTCGGTCGATGATGATGAAATCGAAACGAACGTTGCTAAAGCTAAGGCCATACTCGAGACCCAGGACCAAACGATTCCGACGGTTAACGGCTTCAGTAACAAAAGCCGGCCATCGAATCTACGTGACGATATATTGGCATCAGGGCTGTCTACCGATGATACAGGCTCTGATTTCAAAAGATTGCTAAATGCGGTCAAGCGCACCGAGGCTCTTGAGCAAGAAAAGTCATGGCTTTTCTTTGGAGACGGTACGAAGAAGCAGGGCCTTCCCGAGTTTCCCAGAGATTCAATTCTTGCTTCATCTAGGGAAGCATTTTTAAGAGGTAGGACAACGTTCTCTCGACCCGCTTCTTGCCTACTAATAGACTCGCAGAACCTTTTACTCGTGAGAGGGCCTTTTTCTCAGGAATCATTGACTTTGCACTGTCGAGAGACGTGATGCCTGTTGAAGTTGTTATATGGATATTTCAGTCCGGTATACTCAATGCCCAAGAAATCCAAGACCGTTCCTCTCTAACAACAAACAGTGTCATCGGAGCCACGGGATGAACTAAGATACGCTTACTGCAGAGCCATCAAGGTATTTGCTTACATGTCCGACTCACTCACAAATCAACTGACATTCTCTAGAATGCCAAGCGTGAGCGCATTGAGTCACTTATAGGACAAACAGATATAGATCAGCTTTTCTTTAGTCTTGGTGGCCACCCAACAGCAGTGGATGCGAATGAATCCATACAGGCAGATGTGTCGTATTATCAGGGTAGGAGCTTTCCATAAATAAGTCATGTCTCAAGCTGATGGGAAGTAGCGGAGACGTCTCGCAATTGGAGCTTTCTTCTATCAGTTCTCCAGATGCTCAGAGATATAGCTGTTTGGTTTGTCACTTTGTTTTGAAGCGTATGAGAATGAATTTTCTAACTAGATATCACTAGTCTACATGCTGATACGAGGGAACATACTTTACACATTTTACTTCGTTTGACGTTGGATACTGCCGTCTCGCACAACGATATGGTCATTGCATCTTTGGAGAATACTATAGATTATCTCCTTCAGAGTATACCTCGAGAAGAGTTTGAAAATGTCGTAAGTCATTTCTTCCAGTGATTTCAAACTGTCAAAAGCTAACATTCCTTCAGGTACAACCGATTGGGAAGACTCTGCTCAAAACAATCAAAGACACCCAATTTCAAAGCAAGCTGCTCAACCACATATTATCTTCAAATCGTGAAATCGCAATCTTCAAATGCCGCTTAGCAATGGCATTCTTGACGAAGGACGAATCTCTACTTGACAACTTTAGAGAAGAAGTCATTCCTTTCAGACAAATTCTCAATTATCTACGAACCGCACGATTGGACTCCCAACTGCATAAAGCTCGTTTGGATCCTGACTACGATTATATGGAAGTAAAGGCCGTTACATCTCTATTGAACATCGTCATCGACACCGGCCGAACTACACTTGTCTTCCCAAACAAGGAAGCAGAACGCAAATTCAATGAAGTCGTCGATAGCCTAGCAGAACAAGTGAAACGGATATTCAGCGCCATGGAGGACTCCGGAGCATCCCATTTGAAGCGAACAGAGGCCAAGCAGGGTCTCGAAGCTCTACAGTACCGAATTCTATACTCTATCCGGACTAAAAGGCGGGTCAAGTCGATGTTTGGATATAGCAGTCCGATCAAAAAATTAGGCGACTACGCGGGGTTCAAGAACACCGTCGAGCAATCCTAAGAAGTAAAATCAGTTCCTGGCAGTTCACGAGGTTTACTTGCTTGATGATGACATGACGCAATGAGTAACGACTCACGAGGTTCGGTTGCTATTCTCTTTTGACACGTTACACTAAAGCAGCAATAGAATTAATGTAAACAAGTCGAGAAGCATGAGTCGCAATCCGCGGTCTATTAGACTATTTTACGCTGCAGCTGAAGCAACAATACGAGTAAAAATTCGCCTGTGGACAGAAGTATGGAATGCAACTGAAACCACCAGAGGAAGTATACAGTATAAGATATATAGCAGAACATCAGATGAACCAATTACTAGTTCACACAAACAGGAAACAAACAAGGACCAGACACGGAAAAAAACAGAATGACAAATCTAATCATAAAACTTGCGGTTTGCATTCTTTCCGAACAGTGTCTCGCGAACAGCAGGCAATGCGTCGATCTCCAAAAGTCGCAGTCGCTCTTCGAAAGTATTGTTGATATCGATCTTGCCGCCACCACCGACAATAGAAACACCACCCGCTCTGTATAGAACTGTTAGTCCATGAAACAGTGTGATCAAAGGAATGACACTCACGATCCATCCGGCAGCGGGTCGCTCTCATCAAGATCTATCGTCACATCCCGGCCAACCTTTTCCTTGAATTCCTTTTGAGCATCCTCAATAGCCTTCTTGACCACAGCATTATCCTTCTTCCGGGCTTGCACCGCCACCTTATCTTCATTCAGATAGTAGAGACCCTCCAAAATCAAATTGGCCAATATACTCTGATATTTCTTCGCATCCTTGGTCGATGTGGTGACCTCCTCGCGTGCACGCTGGAAGAGCTCATCGAGCAACTCCTGACGAGCAGAGAGGACTCGCAGACGGGTGCGATTCGAGAGTGTGGAGCGGGTGATTTGCTGGGACATGGCGGCTTGTTTGAATTTCTTCTCGTATAGGGCGTCGATGGCAGCGATCTCTTGACGGACCAGTTTAGATTTCTCAATGGCGAACTCCTCGTCGGCTTTGATGTGGATTTCCTTGGATTTTTCGAGAGCTTCCTGCTTGATGAAAGCTGTCATCTTGCGGAGCTCGCCGGCGACCTTTTCATAAAGATGTGATTAGCAAACGCTGCGACACCAATTTGGAGGCCCTCAGTTACACACCTGGTCGTCTGAGAGGGCATGGCGTTGCGACATCTTGACTGTCTATATGTGAGGTCTTGACTGGGGAGGTGGGATGACGATGCTATATGGTCGAGGCCAAGGTTTGCTTGATTCCCACGATATCGTAAGGCGCGTGGGTGTGGATAGGAGTTCTGCCGCGTGATTTCACGTCGTACCGAAGCGGCCCGAAAGAATGTGAAGCTGATCGCGACTGAATGATCGTAGTTGACTTGTCCAGACTCCAGAGGTGATGGAAGCAGCAAGCTACGAGAGTGGGTCCGCTGACGACGGAATGGGCCAAGCGTCCGCAGGCATCAGCTGCCCCGGCCCAAGACATGACGATTCACTAACTACATAAACTACTTACTTCAATACTCAATAAAATTGCATCTCTATCTACTATATATCTCCCCTCCAAGTCTCTCGACATCTTCGCAATCTCTTCGCAAGCACTCCTCGATTTCTATGCTTCGCCTCGTATAACACGTTGACACGGCGACATGTCCAGCATCTGCCACAATCTATACACCTCCGCCAAGTGAGTGAGCATATGCGCCGCGCGCTTCACTTCGCAGATGGGTTTGCTAGGTGATATATCGCCTGAGGGGAGTATTGCCGTGAGTTTACCGTTCATCTTTTCGCAATGCAATGAGGGGGTCCGCTCGATTTCTGACTTTTGTCCATCAGATCGGCGTAATTGTCGGTGTCATTTCTACCAGCCTACAAGCAATCGGACTCACCCTCCAGCGAAAATCACACTTACTAGAAGACGAAAAGGCGCCATATGAGGTTCGAAGACCTCCATACAAGCGAAGAAGATGGCAGCTGGGCATGTTGATGTTTGTCGTTGCGAATATTGTTGGGAGCACTATACAACTCACGACATTACCGCTGCCGGTTCTTTCGACGCTGCAGGCTGTATGTGGATTTCTCGAAAAGTCGCTCTGCTCTTACTAACTGAGTGATGCAGTCCGGCCTAGTTTTTAATACAATATCCGCGACGCTCATTCTTGGAGAAACATTTACAAAATATTCCTTCGTTGGCACAGTGCTCGTATGCATTGGTGCAGTCTTAATAGCCACGTTCGGCGCCATCGGAGAACCGGCGCATAGTCTCGATGAACTCTTAGAGTTGCTCGATCAGCGGCCATTCGTGGTATGGATGGTCATGACCGGCTTGGTGGTTTTGCTTGTCCTTTTTAGTTCGCGCATAATCAAGACCATTTCGACGCCGGGCAGCTCCAAAATCTTTCGCTCTATACACCTTCCTCGTTCTTTTATATCCCCCCACCAAGGGAAATTCTACCGTGGGTTAGCATTCGGGTTTTCCAGCGGAGTCCTGTCGGCTCACACGCTGCTGCTGGCCAAATCAGCGGTTGAGCTACTTGTCCGCACGATCGTTGATCATGTGAATCAATTCAATCGATGGCAGTCCTGGATGATTTTGATCGGGCTGGTCCTTCTCGCCCTAACCCAATTGTACTATATGCATCTTGGCTTGAAGTTGTGTAGCACTAGCGTTCTTTACCCTTTTGTTTTTTGCATCTACAACATTGTCGCGATTTTGGATGGATTGATTTATTTCCGTCAGGCGTCTCAACTGACGGGACTACATGCTGGCCTCATTGCGCTTGGCACTGTTGTTTTGTTGGCGGGTGTTTTGTGCCTTTCCTGGCGACTGGAGGCGAACGACACTCACCCGAGTCTTACATTGCCGAATACAGCGCAGACACCTTTGGGAGCTGGAATGGGCATTGTGGAAGAATACGCCGAACCTGAAGAAGACGAAGAGTTCATGGATGGTGAACGGCAACCACTTTTGTCGAAAGGGACCGACACATCGCATCAACGTGCTCCAAGTCTACCTTTAATACCTACATATCGATATCGATCTCACACCCTTGACGCTCATACATTCAATAATGAATCGGCACAAATCTGGGCGGAACTCGATGACTCCGAAAATGAAGGCGCCGGACGACGGCGGACATCGACGGAATCTCCATCGAGCTCAACGACACGAAAGCGGATTCTACAGTACCCGCATAGGCGGACATTCTCAGTTCTTCCTTCTGAAACTCGAGGGCAGAGACGACCATCGTTAGGAGATAACGAAAGTCACTCGTATTTCCGTGTATCCAAGACCCGGGATGCGAAGCAACAAGCCGATCCTCCATCGGCGTTGTCGCGTTGGAGTCCGCGTCGCTTGCAGTATCAACGAGGGTATACTGGGTCATCGAGACGCACCTCAGCACCAGTCTCATTAGGCAAGAAGCCAGGTTTCGGTCACGCACCGAGCCCGATTCGTAACAATCAAGATGAACTGCCGCGAACTTACGGGGCGACCTCTCATAGCAACGAGCAGGGCAACACTGAAACTGTTGTCGACAATAATGACTCGGATTCAGGCACAATCCTCAGCGCTGGTTGGAAGCGGGGTGTGGTATTATTAAAGCGGTGGACGGGGATATCATGGCCTCGAAGGAATCGGCGAGACTCGACGCATTCCCCTGTTTGATGAGTTTTACTCCTACCAATACATACGACTCTACAAAGAATACGAAAATGTAATGAAACATGCTTGGAAACGTATTGATAACTGCCCCTAGACGTAATCGTAACATAGAAGTAGACCGATATAGTACGTAGTAACGTCGTATCTATCAAAAGAGTAAATTATTAGATTGTGAGAATTTACAAGCCCACTTTAACTTGCAAGGTCCAACAGAAGCACGAGGTGAATGCAGCCCTGATCAACATAGCCAAACAGGGAAGCTTCCATGTACAGTAAGTCTTACCGGATTCGGGTCAAAATCGAAAATGTCCCTGTCGGTTGAAAATTTATCGGCAAATAGCAAAGATACATAACCTTGGAACAATCAATACGTAGTCCATCTATATTTCAAAGTCAATAATTCTTACTTAGAGGAGTTTCTTGCTTTCAAGCGCATGGTAGCTTCGATTCTGTTCTTCACAAGCCTAATTGCACATGTAGATTGATGAAAGTTTCTGATACATGGATTTTTGAGCAAAAACAAATCAGACACTCCAAACTCGTCGCCGAGTCTGTGTATGAGGGAAACCAAGGAAATATCCGTAATTGTGAGAAATACATCAAGAAAAGAAAAATCCCACAGCAAGTCAAACTAGAACGGATGAATCAAAGCCAGCGCAAGAGTTGTGAAACTGTCAAAGAATATAAAGAAAACACATACAGCATATTCAAGCAGTGAAAATAATGGAAATATCGCAGTCAATCCGAACGCAAATAAACGAGTACCGCAAGACCACACACTCCGAGAACACCTCATCTTCACCGATGATTAGACATGAATCAAGCGTCGACAAAAGAAACCCCGACAGTTGTTCCACACCTAAGCATTGAGCTTTCACCAGTTTAGTATCATGAGAGGTAAGAAAGTTTTGTTTTTTTGCCGAACCCTCCTTTGTCACTTTTCCTCGTCCGTTTCAATATGTTTGGTATCTCTCCTATGTTTTTGTGACGAGACAGATGATAATTGTGTCTGCAAAGAAAAATCATGATGACCTGGTCCCAAAAGATAACACAATATGACTGTTGAACTCGATAAGGTGAGATTGAGAATTGTGCCAGACTGGGCTGGGGTCATTCAGAATACACAGGGTTTTGTGCTAAGGCAACTGTATAATGTTGGTGAAAGGGTATCAAACGAGCAGAGGCGGGAAGGGCATCAGGATCGTAGATGGCGAAAGTCGAGGATGACGAATATAATAAGAAAGGAACACCGCAAACAAGGAAACACCATGGCCACAAACMCCTGCCACTCTGGTATAATCAACCATTAAAAGAGCCGCACACGAATTATTTAAGCAGTGGATTGATGTTGGGGTGGCATTCTGCCTCCGACGGGCATTCCTGGGTATTGTCCACCTGCTTGTGCCTGCTGTTGCTGCAGACCCTGGTAGTAGGCCATCTGCTGCTGCTGCTCCTGTGTCATGTACCCGGGCTGGATGCCAGGCTGACGAGCCATGTGTGCTTGCTGTGCATTGACGTTGTTGTGAGAGACATCTTCGGGAGACTCGGCGGGAACATCGGTGGCGTCGACACCATTCTCGGCGGAGGGTTCAGGCGCATTCAGGCAAGCCTAAGTCAATCAGGATGACGTCCACTCTGGTAGATTCGTTTTCTCAGCTTACCTGAATAAGGTTCTTGCCCTCGGGTTTGGTGACCAGAGGTTGTAGTTTGGGAGTGGTGAATGTGTAGACGAGACCAGTCTCGGAGACGACAAGCAGCAGTACTTGAGTACCAGTCAATACGGACAATTCGTAGGCCTAACAATTAAATGTTAATCATTGAATATACTACCGTAACAAGTATATCGAGAAACAGTAGTGGGAGCTCAGGACGCCTGTTTGAGGCGCGGCGGAACGCGACTGGACGTACCTTCTTCATGATACCGGCCTTCCGCTTAGAGAAGGTGATGTGACGACGCGACTTGTCTTGGATGAATTTGATTTCGATCTTGCGACGCTCACGACCAGGCTTATCATCATCGTCGTCGTCGTCGTCACCAGCAGCACTCATACGGGAGCGCTTGCGGTCGACATTGGCACCGTTGCCCATCTGCTGTAGCTCGTCCTGCGAGGGCGAGGCATGCTCGTCGGAAACAATGTTGGCGGAGAGATCAGCCATAATGACAGAGGCAAATGGGATCAAGGGCTGATTGGGAGAGCGGAATGTTATATTTGAGATGAATAAGTGGGATGTGAGCGTAAAGCAGGAAGCTTTGTTGGAAGGCAGTTGAAGAATTGAAGATGAAGTTCCCCAAAGAGGAATGATGCTTGGGTTGATGGATAGACGGCCAAATCGAGTAACGCGTTTGGGAGAGGGAGTTTTTTGGGTAAAGTGTGGAAGGAAAGCAGGAAGGACCTTTTTCGGGGGGGGGGGAAGGKGCGGGKGTGGGTAAAAAAGGGAAAAACGGGCAACTGGTCAGGCCTGGTAAACGGTAATAAAACGACGGAGAGGCAAAAACAGTACTAAAACACCCACGAGTAACGGCGCGCGGCTGGAGAAGATGGGCCGGTGGTATCGTATCCGCCAATGATAAGTGAGTTTGAGGAGATGGACTCCTCCCCGCGCAGACAACATCCAATCAGATCCGAATGTACAAGCCAGTGGCGCTGTTACAGTCTCGTGCCATTGGCTATATAGCAGCAGCTGGCCCCGCTGTAAAACAGCAGTTTCGCGGTCTCGACCCACGAAATTGCTGTTTTTGAGGCTGCACACGGCAGGCGGTGACCATTATATTGCGTAAAATTACCACAGTTACGGCCCCATGAGGAGGCTTGTATTGCCATTGGCCACGGTCTGGTAGCAATCAATTAAGCTGTCTCGCACTGCCAGTTTCCAGAGTCTACCGCTGCAGAAAAAGCATTTAGTCACATAGTAGTTTTACTATGTAGTATAGACAGAAACAGTTTTTTACATACTGTGCTCTACTAGAGTAGTGACCCAGAGATTGTCCCAAATTATTGAAAAACATCAAATTATCAATGTCGCACGAAAGGACGAGTGGAGCGACCCACGGAGTCGATTTGAAGGCTGAAGCTGTACTAATACGACTGACCCAAACACCGGAAACAGCTAGCGCCGACACACTAGCGACCTACCAGGAATGGCGGCCTTAGCATCAACGTGACGTTTGGTCTTACCGTATTTTACGACGTTCGGTGAGTTCTGTGTCAATACTATGTATGTACATTGAGAACTCTGTCAGGACTTCCAAGGGAAGTACTCTTCTAGATCATCTAGAACATTACTATGTAGGTGCATTGCATACATAGTAATTGTCGGGTGTCCTCATCAACACCACTCAGGAATTACCACAGCATATGTCAGTGCTGTTCGAGCTGAATCAATCCATTGGCGTTACGTTACAGCCTCCGTACGATAGGCCGAGCCTAATTTTGGTCTCAACTTACTACGGAGTATGTAACTAGTGCTGATGGTCCTAGCAGTCTCCAGAATTCATAACTCAGATACGTCCTGCAGATCGCGCTAGCTCAATCATCTACATAGTAACGTGTACCATAGTACGTACTCTGGTCGAGGCCTTGCCTCTGTCGGATGGTAGGTGCTATCCGTGCTGTCAGGTCGAAGCTTAGCCTTTTGTCAGTCTGGATGATTTGCACAGATGCCGGATTGGCATCTACATACACACATCGTATCGATCAACATTGTTGACAGCTCCAGATTGCGCTAGACCGGTTTCCACAGTCTGTACAGTGGTCAGATGTATGCTCATCAACACAGAGTACACTGTACCTATCCACGATAAGACTTGTACATGAGTGTAAATAAACAATGGGATTTGCATCAATATAAGCTCGCTTTCTGTGGCTGTTTCTTTCTCTCCTTGACACAACACGTGTTCATGCCATCACTTTGTATCTGTGTATTGCTGCTGAAGGTCCGGATGGGCCTATTAATGTTGTGCAATCAAGCCTAATTCACATAGTTTGGATGATGAGCTTAAGTCTCTTTTGACGAGCTGCAGATGACGGCTGCATTTGGCATTTGACGGAAGGCGCTTCTTCCTTGTGATGTATGAGTAGCCCCTTCCTTCTTTGTCGTCGTCGTTGTGTGCCTGCCCCTCGGCATCATCCTGTGAAAAACCTCAGACTGTCAACCATCTTCCATTTCTCAATTCAGGCTTCACCAGACTGCTTCAGGACATTCAGCGACCTGGACTGAGATATCGATGATTATACTTCTTTCCTAGTGATGACTACCGTCGGTACACTTTGTTGTATCGGAATTTGTCACCATGCTGCGGCGTCATCCTGTATATATCGGTTTCTGATGTCTGATTTGACTTGACGCAAAAATGAATCGCTGTTTTATACCACCTGAAACCCGATTCAGGTCACTTCATACAAAGTTTCACACATCCCGCAGACAGCGATAAACAGTACTCAAGGTACTGTCGTCCATTTATCGGTCTGGTAAGAGATACATCGGCAAGTATTCAGATCACATTGCGATAATTAAGGATACTCATATGTGGTACAACTTTAGATCATTCTCCTCTCATCAAGATCGCTGTGCTGCCCTCTGTTCTGGTTAATCATGTGGTGCCCAGGGTGTACGTATACGGATACTGATCTGAGACGTTTCGCGTTGCGGCTTCTGCCTCACCTACCGTCAGCGGATGCACACTCCGGTAGACTATTGCGAATATTAATTAAGGAGATGGCCCAGAATTCTTTCAATTGAATCGAACGACTTTGTGAATTTCGAGTTCCAGCCTCGGTAGGGATATTCACGCCCGCGATTTTCGATTCTTTCCGTGAGCCGGCTCACCTTGATATTTCAACTGGATTTAGATTATACGACATCTAGTCTCTGGCAGACTAAGTCACCGTTCGTTTAAGAAGCTCACAAAATTTTGGAGATCTCTATCGCTCTCTATCGTCAAGTATCAGCAATACTATACCACGCCGTTAATCCGTTTCACTGAAACCCATCAATCACCGTCAACATGAGAGTGGACAAGATCCTGCTGAGCTATGCCGGTGCGAACTTTCTCTTTATGGCCGGCGGTATAATACTGTTGGTAGGGTCATTGCTATTCAGCCAGGCCGTCAATTCTACCCCGACGATGAACAGTGCACCTAGCATTCTTTTACTCAAAATGGTGCCTGAGAAAGGTATGTAGTGGAATTAATCCAGTTACATATACCCATGCACTGACAGATCTTCCTACATAGTGGCCTTGGTTAATGCTATCATCGTCTTCGCTACGTTCCTCCTCGCTCTTCCCAGCATGATCATGCGCGACAGTCGGCTATGGCTTCAACTTCAGGGATGGCTGGTCATTGTCTCTGGAGTATTCACACTCGTCATTGGACTGATCATTTGGATTGAGACTCTCAGGACCCGCGCAGCATTGAATACCTCATGGGGCCAACAGACGTCTGCTGTCCAGAGTTTGTTACAACAAAGAGTATGTCTTGTCCTAATTCGTTGAAACAGAACCGGCACTGATTTGTTTGATAGTTTGACTGTTGCGGTTATTACAACAGCACATCCCCACCATTCGTTACCGACGCAACTTGCACCACACCTCTGGTTGCAGCAGAGAAAGAGGGATGTGTGGGCCCATTCTCTAGCTTCGTGAATAGCACCCTTGACGCCATCTTTACTGCTATCTTTGGTATCGTCGGTATGTATCCACCCTATCCCTCTGTTCGTATGATGCTAACTTGCTGTCTAGCACTTGATATGATCCTCTTAATTTGCGTGGCAGTCTTATCAAAGGATCGCAAGGAGAAGGAGCGATACCGATTGATCGATGCCAAGGTCGGACTGCAAGCCATTTGATTAGACATCGTGGTCAATGGCGTTTGATGCGAGTCTACAACCCAAGGCTGGATACTTGAGTTGTACTTGATCAGTAGACATGGAAAGCGATGATAGAACACTTAAGGGGTTTTAATTAACAAGGTCATTCGTTTCTTTGTTTGTTAGCGTGTTATCCAATCGTTCATTACATATACTGTTCTAATTTCTACCACCAAATCCTGCTATATAAAATCATCTTGCAGACATAAATCCMCTCCCAAAATCATTCCCGCCCCAACCTCCAGGTCCATGCCCTGTACCGCCACCAAAAGTATTCAAATAATTGACAGCATGATTGTTAATATTCGCGGCAGACGAATTCACCGGATCAATAGACATAAAGGTGTCTAGATCCATAGTCGAAAAGTCAAAGTCCTTCCAATCGATCGGTATATCTGCATGCGTAAAGTCGACCATGCCGATATCGTCGGCTGATGAAATGGTGTTTGCGTTGTTGGCACTGCTTTCTGTAGAACTGACAGGAGTGGCCATGAGATTTTGCCCGAGAGAAGTGAAGAAGGTAGATGGGTTGGTGTAGATGTTGTTGTTGTAGTCGTCTAGGAGTGCGGTGGGGGAAGGGTTATATATTTGCTGCTGTCGAGCGTACTGTTGCTGCTGTCCGCTTGCGAAATGTGCATCATTGGACATCGGGTTTCTTGTTGGTAGATTGTAATTACGTTCGCTCAGACTGCTGCTGACATTATCCCCGAGTGACGATCTGTCATACACTTCGCTATCGAATCGATTACTATCATCAGGAGACGAAAGATCCGGACCTGTAGCAGTCTTTAATTCCGGAAATACAGCGATGAGCATTTGCTGGACTGCATTCATGGTGAGGTAGGTTTGTCCTTTGTATTCGCCCTCTGGTATCATGATGGACATGCACCGTAGGCCTAAGCGGACCCACGGCAGATGCTTTTCGGCGGCTTGAGGGGTCGAGTGCATCATGTCGAAGGCGAGGGTGAAGCAGGCGGTTTCGAGGTGGAAGCCATGGTAGTTAATTTCCTGTCTAGGGTTAGAATGGCAGTTACTTCAGTAAAGGATAGAACAAGTGCATACCCGAACATATTGATTGACTTCACAGGCTCCGGAGAGGTTCCGGATCATGCATCGCGCAGCTTCCAAGCAGCTCTCACACGCTTCGTCGAGCCACGGAGGAGTGGCGCTTTGCTCACTTTTGTCACTGCTAGCCGATGGATTCTCATTTTGTTTCATGATCCCATCTCGGCGCCATCTTGCTCTAAAGACGAGGAAGGGCCGGAACGTGAGAAGTAGCGTATTATGATACACTTCGTCATGTCAGACACTTGAAGCAGAAATAGCAAGGGAACTGAGTGACTTACATAATTGAAGAACGATTTGGCAGACACCAACCTCTCCAGTCTTCGGAGAAGCATCAAGCCCAAAATTCAAGACACCTTGTACACGGCGGGCGAAAGCTTGAGCGTCCTTACGGATTTCTTTGGCACTTTTCCACATCAACAGTAAAGAATCGTGTCGTTGACTGTACATGTTATGCGCAGCTSGAGCCATGATACGCGCTATTTCAACAAGGGCAAGTAACATTGGCTGCTCCTTGGGGTTTGGTATGGTGATTTCATGGGCTGGTATAGTCATCGAACGGCCGAGACCGAAGCATATCCAACTGAGAATTGTCAGTCTTTGCCACGAGCGTTCCAGATATTAAAAGAGAGACAAACATATCGTAGAAAAACAAACTCCAAAAAGTCAGCCTCTTCTCCTCGGCATCCTCTGTCGTCTGTTCGACCTTGAAACGCGTATTCTTGTGCAATCCAGCTGCAAGAGCCTTTCTTGTCGCGGTTCCAAGGCAGAGAAAAGCAGAGTTAGGTCTGGCTTTTTCGGATTGATAATGAGCGTAATCAAGGGTCAGCATAGAAGCATCCGAGCAGGGAAGGTTGACTTATCATCAGTATTGGCACTTGTATTGTCTGAACGTTGACTATTTCATCAAATGCTACCGAGTTAGCTTTCGCCTTTTTGTAGAGAAAGTCACCCATCTCGTCATCCCTCATCTCGGCTGCACCTAGTGCTAGCATGAGAATTAACAGTGTCGTCTGCGGATTATCCGCAGACATATCATTATTTGTCTGATACAGGCCATTGAGCATCTGTCGATATCTTTCCTTGGACTTCCAAGGGCAAAAGTAGTAAATGGTCGACAAAAATCTTTCAAGATACTTTGAAGCTGTCGAAGGATGAATGAAGAATAATGAATTCAAGCCCGATCCCAGCCCTCCAGAAAGAGATGCATCCTGATTACCCGCGAGGTCGCCGAAGAACAGGCGACGGAAACTGAACAGATCCAGCCCCGGCCCGACTTCTTCGACTTCGTCTCTTCGTGAAGACGATGTGTTGTTGCTTTCGCTGGCACCAAGCCCATCGACTAATTGGCGATACATCAGCTGCATAAGTGAAAAATTGGAATGCGGGCCGTAGTATAGCTGAATCACGCATGAAGGTGAAGCAACATGCGTCGCGGCAACGCTGTAATCAACGAGATCATTTCTTCTGCTGCCACCTTCAGCAGCAGCACCGTGACTGGGACCTGATATCGACCTTGAACCCTTGCGATTCACCGCAATGCCTTTCCCTCGAGCTGACGCAGAAGCTGTCATATCCAGGATTGCCGCATCATCCCCATCTTCCCCATCATCAGTCTCACCAGTCTCACCAGCATCGGCAGCATCCTCATTCTTACTTAGAAGCTCATGCTTCCGTTTCCGCTGTCGCACAAACCCGCGATACTCGCACTCCAACTTTTTCTGCTTGCAGTGCTGACAAGGCTCGCCGCCATCGCAGCGAATCTTCCTGCGTCGGCACTGTTGGCATGCTTTGGATATTCTCCACCTGGGCGCTCCGGCCCCTGCGGCCCCTGCTTCGGATGAAGCTATTTCCGTGTCGTTGGGCATGATATTGGTTTCTTGGGATTGCTTTTTCATGCTGAATTTGTGCTCATCCTTTGAGTTCATCCTTATAATTCTCTCGCAGACTGTATAGCCACAGCCAATCAATTCTTCAATTCAAGTACACGATGTCGAGAAGCTTGAGTGGAGCAATTCATGCTGAACAGACTATTTCTTCACTTCGGCCTTCTGCAATTATTGAGTAGAGGTGTCACCTCAGATTGCGATAATAGTTCGTTTTTCTCTGCATTGTCCACTTTTTCCCACCACGATGACTCGATTTTATAAGTAAGCCATTAGTCAGTTCTTACAACACACGGTAGAGATAATCGAGAGTTTGGGTCACGTGGCTCCAGTGACCCTATTGGTTGACTAGTATCTCATGTTAGAAATTCATCGAGCTCCCAAGTGCATGTCTCAAACGCAAGTCAGGTATGGAACACAGAGAAAGAACATTCACGAGTATATGCATTACATCAAGATTGATACTAAATTCTAATCTATATTGGGAATCAAACATGTCATCTAAGTAAAACAAAGCAAGAAAAGGGAGCAGAAGTCCCCATAAGGTCAAAAGAATATATGGATGCAAAGCAAATGCATCTACAATCATCAATCAGCGATACATTGCACCTGTGCACTAGTACATGTCTCTGCCTGCGAGCGAGCGAGCGAGAGAAGGAATGCCACTATCCAGTCCGAATCCAGACTTGCTCATAACTGGTCTCAACGATACTATTTATACATATGATCTCAGGATCTGGTCATCATAGAAGGTAGAAAGGAGAAAGAAAAAGAAAGAAAGGAAAAGAAGGAGTAGGAAAATATCCGAGTCAAGAATACACCGCTTCAAGGAGTATACAGCAAGACTCACAACCCAAAATACCTCTCTCCATGATAAAACACGTCTGCATAACCGGTGATTGGGCCGTAGACACTGCAACACATGCGAAAGGAGTCGACACGGAGACAGGGTAAGATACAGGAAGTTCAAGTTGAAAGTACATGCCTCTCAAACTCTCTTCGAAAAGAATCTGAAAGGGAGAAGAAGAATGTGTCATCACGATTGCCCGGTCTTAGAATCGCGCCGTCGATGGAAAGTGCAAACCAGCCAGTGTGTAAACGCCATAAAATGAGGACAAACAGCAACAGGACTGTAGAAAAGTGTGTAAAAGATTCACATGTTGAGGATATCTATTCATACGCCGCCAAATCTTCGGGAGGTCGAAATTGAAAGTATGTAAAGGTGTAGACGAATCGGAAAGCCAGACGCGTAGGCCAGCAACGAGGCGGAGAAGCTTCGCTCAACGAAATAATGTGCAAGAATAGTATGTTTGCAAAATGTTCAATATCGTATATTTAGTTAGGGTTTCGTGAGCCACCAGCGCTGGCTACGCTGCCGGTCGTAGTAGTGCTGCTGCCGCTCTTAGGGCCGAGCCAAACTATTTCGATGAGACTATGACTTGTCTCTTCTTCTCTGGTATAGAACTGATGAACGTTATCTCCAATGACGATTGCGTCTGTCAATAAGTAGCGCTCCTTGATCACTCCGTCTTGATCTCTTTCTCGCATGGCACCGAAGCGCTGCGTGTAACCAACCATGTCCTCTTCCCAAGTCTTCTCAACATGGTCAAAGTTAATGGCGTCATTTGGTGTACCAGGCATTAGAGTGTATCTGACAATCGAGTGTCCATTCGTCAGGACCCAGAATGTGCGATACGACTCCCCCGTGGACTGGTCGACGAACTCCTGCTGATCGAAGACCCAGCGGCGGAGAACTGATCGTTTACCAGCCGCGGCAGCAACGGCACCCATCTTCACGACATCCTTGGTAAACCAGGTACTCCAGTGGTGGAGACTGTCGATTTGAAGGCCGGACTCGAAGATACCATCGGGGGCTCCGGTCAAGTCCATCTGATGTAGCGATGGCCACAAGGTGAGAGGGGTATTACTAGAGCGCTCAATACACTGACCCAATTTCTGGTCACCTGGTTGTTCGCCCCAGGATTGGCACTCGTCGTAGTTCTCCATCAAGATATCCAATAGTGGTTTCGAAACGAAGATACCACCGCCGCCAAAGGCCATGTGGCCCCATGTATCTACCTGCCAGCTTGCTTCCGAGAGCGAGCCAATGTAGTGTTTCTTCGAGGAATCAGCTTGCTTAAGCTGAAGAGCAACCGAGGGAAGCGACGGGAAAAAGGTGTCGTCGTCAATGAAGCCAACCCATTCGGTTTGAGGGCGCTGTGTTTTGATGTAGAGACTGCATGCTTCAACAAGTCCGAAATAACGAGCGGTGAATTCTAGTGGCGAGCTCTCGAGGGTGATGTCGAGTCCTCGGGAGCGGAAGTATGCCTCCTGGGCTGAGAGGTTATCGTCCGATTCAGGCACTAGGACCAAAAGACTAGCCTTGGTGCCGGCGAAGGAGTATAGCAAAGACGGCAACAGACGTTCCAGTCGGTCAACTGTTGTGGCGAGACCAAATAGCAATTTCGAGGTCTCCTCAACATCGTGATCCAAAGCCACATTGACATTGGCGACGGTCGGACAGGGGACGGTTCGGTCGTTATTCTCATCGGAAATGATCAAGCCGCGTTCTAGCGCACGGAAAGGGGGTAATACGGGGGTGTCGATATCTTCTAACGAACGGAATTGTGTCTGGGCGCTGACCTGATTCGGGCGGATGAACGCGCGAGTGAAGTTCTTGCGAATGAGCCATTCACTGTACGGTAGGGGAGGCGCAGATGCGGTATCAAACTCGCAGTTTCCGAAGGAGCTATGACTGGGTAGCTGGACCTGAGCGGGCGGGCTCTTGTTCGACGTTATCGAGTTTGCTGTATTCGAAATCTGCTCGATGGGATGTTTGATTTTCGACGACAGGGCGGCACGATCATATCTGTCAACACACCAGAAGAAAAACCCAATAGACAAGATGGCGACTAAGGGGAAAAGTGTTTTGAGCCTGAAGAAAGGCATCTTGACGACCGGACCAGCAGAAAATGATGACTTCGGCGAAGTCATCAAGAAGCGTGACGGACCAGTTCTTTTATTCGCTTGACAAGACAATGGCGTGTCGGGAAAAAAGAAGGGGCGACGTGATGCTTGGCTGGTGGTGTGCTTCTTTTTTTTTTTTTGTTATTATTATTATGATCCTTTCCCTTTTCCTTCTCCGGGCGGGCGGTAGGGAGTTGAGGAAAGGAGGGAGAAGGGAAGAAAGGGTTGTCTGGGTGTCCTTTCCCGTAAGTACGCAACGTCGTTGGTTAGGGAGGCAGAAGAAAGTGGACCGGCCCAATCACCAAAACTCAAAAGACGAGACGCTAAGCCTGGGAACAGGTAAGACACGATCGATTTAGGTCAAAAAGACTGGCAAGACAAATGAAGAACTAATTTCGAGGATGTGGTAAGCGAATGTACGGCGTTGTCGTTGTCTCTTCTGAGCAGTGCGACGTACGCGGCAGAAAGAGCCAGACGATGCAATTGACAGATCGAGAACAATGAAAACTACGGACAGACTGGACAAAGTAATACGATGACAGCCACGCAGCGTGCGAATGCGGGAAAAGAAGAGAAGAACGCAGACAAAAAAAGCTTTTTCGTATTCGTCTTTGCCTGGAGATAAGACAGGTGCATCTTTTTCTGAGCTGGATGTACGTAGGCTAGAATATGGGGATCTAAAATACATGGTAGTGTCAGATACCGTGAAAGGGGCAGCTTGAGAGTGCGTAATCACTGTTACAGTACGGTAATACGGGTCGGCCCCAGTCCGTCACCCGCGCACGCAGCGATCGGCGCCGTGCACTGAGTTCCCGGTACACGTATTCCTCCTGATTTCATAGAACGCGCAGGTACCTGTACTTGCTACTTAGGTCATTGATTGACAGGCGGAGATAGACATAGTATGAATATCACTTGTTTCAGGACGAAAGATCGCCTGCACTCAAGTATCAGGGCACGAAATTTACAGTCGAGTCCAGACTGCCGGTATCTTTGCGTGGCTTTGGTGGCTTCCAGGTGCTGGCTGGCAGTGGCTGCATTTGCCATTCAGGGAGATTATGGCGACGGGTCTCTGGTCCGCTAGTGACGTCCTCGTACTATTTAGCAACTCTTCGGTGCGTATGTGTAATACCAGCTGATGCTCTCACCATACGGAGCTAAACTATGTGAATGCTAGCTTCAACTATCGTATGCGAATCAGACATCAAGGCGAGAGGATCGCGGTCACTGTGGTCCTTTCCAGTCCAATCATATTACAAAATGAGCACGGCTAGTGGGGCATTTTGATAATGATGGACATAAAGCGATTACGATTACCGAGCACATTACGGTACTTGAAATCGTTGTATTATAACGGCTCCGAGCACGTGCTCTCAATCAAGCTATCTGCACGATATATCTAAATTTTCTGTGACAAGTTGGAAACGACGAATCAGAGCTGTTCCGGCTCATCCTGGTCAACGTCAAGATTTGTACCTCCATGGATTGCTCTTCTAGGCAGTATGGCAGCGACGCCGGATGCAGCTCAACAGAGATAAGCAAAACAAGACTTGAAGAACCGTTTCCGTTCCTGGCCTAACCTTCCGCTCGGGACGGATTATGAAAGGAGAGCTAATATATGGACGACATTTAATTTAGATGGATCTAGACGATGACGACTCCCTCTGGCTGGCAATATGACATGGGTCAATTGATGATGGTGTTGTTGTTTTTCCATTTGCGTAATTTTGTGTCCGACAAAAGACCACAAGAATGCATCCGGCACTCGATATACCACGCTCTTATCAGAGTCACTTGACGCAGTGTATTTTCTGTGTTTAAATATCTAAAGTTTTGATAGAACTTTCACGGTACTGAGGATAGAATGCACTGATCGCGTGTCGTTGTGTCTCATAATTAAATGTATTATGGCCCGTGTCATAAGGTTACGTCTGTGCAATGCAAACATACTCCGGCGACGCTTAGTTTGTGTGAGACATGCATGTACGTATTGAAAAGTCTGAAACAATGTTATCTAAAATGTAACCAGGTCTTGGCCGGCCACACATGGCTGAGACATTAGTACTTGATTGCATGCTTACGCGTTGATTTATTGTATCACACGCCGTTACATGCGGTGATATATAGAGGATCGGTTACCATGGACGATGAAAGCACCTGACACCACTAATCGTCATCATACGTCTCTCTATCCTCAAAGTTCATAAACGTATCGTCCTGCGCTTCTTCGCCCAAAATCGCTTTCCAGCATTCTCGCACACTTTCCACAATACTATCGTCGAAGGCGAGATCCAAGCTAGGTGGCGCAAAGTACAATATCTGATCAGACCTTGTGCTCTTGTATAAAACCGGAGAAGCACTGGCGTCATTAAGAGTCCCGACTTGAGTGAAGCGCATGGACCATAGAACAGCGGGTTTGCCTGTGGCATCAGAAAAGGAATCGAGTAGAAGATCGATCGCTGTCTCTAAAAGTCGTTGGCCTTCTTGACCAGGTACGGAGACGCTTCCGTAGACAACACCTATCAGACAGCCATCCATTAGCGCGATAAGAAAGAAAAAACAGATGCAATCGAGAAAGACAGAAAAATGCTCTCATCAGTCGTTGATAGTTGATAAAGTTTTCATCAATGTCCATCAGGCAATGTAGATAAGTTTAAACGATCATCATTGAAGAGCTTCGATTGGTAGAGGCAAAGGAAGAAATGCTTATCAACTTACATTGTCCATCTGGGCACTCTCCAGTTTCACTAGAGTGAAGTAGCAAGTATACCGGTGTAGCTTCCGAAGCTTCATCAGTTAGCGCTTCGCCAGGAATGACTGCTACGGCTCCTGCAGGCATAGGACCTCCTTCAGCAGTGATTGGAAAAAGTCCTTTTAATGGAGAGGACACAATGGATATTGAGCGAGCAACCTTCTGTGTCGATATCAAAGGACTTCCAGCATCGTCTGGTAAATCCCAGAGAGTCCCTGCAACAGATTTGCTGCGTATTTTCTCTCCATTCGACAGTGTAAGGTGGTGAAAGCCCTCGTTGTCTTTCGAAGGGTCGACAGATTCGATCCCTCGACCTAACACATAGACACCGCCACCAACAGCCAGCGCGCGGCAACCCACTTGAGCAATCTCTGCGCCGCCACCCCACTTGGCAACTAAGCTTCCAAAGCCAGGTCCAAATACACCCAGTGAACCAAGGTGTCGTTTGATACGAGGAAGTGCGAGGTTCGTAGGGGTCTTATGGGGGGCCTGCTGACATAATGACAGCGAATGGATAGGGTCGTGCAGCTCGGAGGGAGCATTGAACTTTGTGTTCAAATATTCCGAAAGGAACATATTCTTATCTTCCTCTGTGGTGGGGATTTCGGTGCCCTCATCAGTCTGCTGTGGCTGGKTTACATTTCGAAGAAACCTGATCAACATTCTCTTTGCTTTCATACTGATCTTATCATCAGCGAATATGTCTTCGCGGCTGCTCGGTACTCGACGTAGTCCCGATACATCGTCATCAGGGTTTGCTGACTTTCTATAAATCCACCAACTTCCGACGGCTTGAAACTCGAGCTGTCTATAAACTCTGGATGACACAAGCGTGGGTAGCAGCTTCGAGCGAGTATAAACAAGCTGTGGTGACAATGAAAGTGTGTAAGCCCTTGAGAAGGACAGCTTCTTCCCGTCTTCTGACGCATCCGAGGGCGAATAGATGGAGACATCCTCAAACGGCTCTCGGCCAGGTGCTGCAGTCACAAATGAGCAAGAGCCGTGTGCAATAATCTCGACTTCCAGGCAAACCTTTTTGTAATGACACTACCCATTCCTGTGCCTCTTGGATGCTAAAAGCAGCTTCGGGTCCTCCATAGTATGTGTTCTTATCCACGTGAAGAACCTTCTTACCTGACCGGGACAGAGCTCTAGGATCGACTTTAGTGGAAATCGAAGCGAACTCAGGAGAGCCAAGCTCACAAGGCCAGAAGTGACTGCGCAAGCCCCGTCCCGGATACCGTCACATCCCATGGGGTTTCTGCTAAGGATTCCATGTTGACTCGCGCCGACAGTGAGTTGTCCTATTCTACAATGCAGAGAAAGATCTTGTATGAGGATCCTCACACTTCTTTGTCACATCATCAAACTGTTCCAAAGCTCAAAACATAGCTCATCTTTTCAAAGATGACGTGCATCGATGTGTTGATCTGAGGCAGAATAATTCGTGAGAGAAAAAGAAAGCCGGAGAATTACCGTCGAAGCTTTCATCATCCGCGAAGCTAGTGGATCACGTGATCTACACGGTATTATCGGTGTGAACAAAATGCGAAGAGCTTGCATACAATTCTACATACTGTTGGAGACATTAGCGTAATTTTGGTAATCAAAGCTTGTCCAACTAATTAAAAGAGAATCTGACGTGGTTTTGATTCTGTTCTATCGGACATTAGCAAATTGGAAGGAAGAATTGACTCTGAAGTAGAATGTATCGCCATTCGAGACTGCGTACGATATTTACCACTAGTCTAGATAAGGTTAGTGATTCATCTACCCATTTAAGTGCAGAAAAAATCGGCTACTTCATCTTCTTTCCATCACACCACTCTTGCGCTCTGCGTAGACACGCTGCAATGAATCCTTCTGTAGCAGCTTGTCAAACTACAAATAAACCTTCATTGGTCTATTTTGATAAGAGTGGTAGATGAGATTTGTCACCCTGTATCTGCTGCCCTGGATTTAAAGTGATGGGAGCGGTTCGTAGGTTGTGAAACATTCATTTTAATCTGTAGCTACATCTTCTCCGCATATTTTAATACATTCTGCGCAGTCTAGCTGCATCCTTCCAGCCTCGGATTTTCTAGAGTGCTCTGACTGTCTATCAAAGACAGGGCTTCGTAATCCACGTCAATGGATCCAGGACCTTCGCAAAGCAGGTGCACAGTCCTTACACGACGTTTCCAGTATGTATGCTCCTGCTGCGCAAGCCGTGTGTACCTAAGAGGACGTTTGTTGTAGCCGTAAGGTATGCTGAAACCCATCTCTGCTCTGCTTGGTATTCTATCTTCCAGTCTCCGGCATCGATTCAATCCTCTGCACCCTCCTCGATTAATCGCGCCTTGATAATCTTGACCGTATCCTGAGGACGATCTTCAGCGTCGGTCTTGACTAAGCCCATACGCTGGATAACTCTCATTCCGGTTTTTATGCGTCCGAATATCGTGTGTTTCCCATCGAGCCAAGGCGTCGGAGCTAGAGTAATGAAGAATTGACTTCCGTTCGTGTTCGGTCCGCTGTTGGCCATGCTCAAAATACCCGCCCCAGTATGTTTCAATGAAGAGTGTATCTCGTCTTCGAATTTCTCGCCGTATATTGAGCTGCCTCCGCGTCCAGTGCCTGTAGGATCGCCTCCTTGGATCATGAAGTTCGGGATAATGCGGTGGAAGATGACACCGTTGTAGTACCCTCTCTGAGCAAGAGTCGCGAAGTTTTTGCAGGTCTGTTTATTGAAGAATGAAGTAAGAATATGTGCAGAAGGCTGGTGTTGAGTCCTGGAGCATACCTTTGGCGCATGGTCATTGTAGAGTTCCACGACGAAAGAACCCTGTGAGAGTTAGTGACGGCTTCAAGACGCAAGCAAGAATACATACCATGGTCGTATCGAATAAAATATCGGTCGCCATGTTTGCATCAGTTCAGATATACCAATGGTGTTTTGGAGCTTAAGCTGAGTGTTGTTGGTGGTGGGATGTACCTATGCCGATAAATTCTTAGGTTTCCGCCCACTTGGCACTATCACTCTCCGCTCCGTCATAGAATAGCTTTATCTTAGCACGAACCGTTAAACTTGGAATTTACCTATTTTCCTGTTGTTATTTCGTACAAGTTGCTACGAAATCCAGAAATATCCTTGCGCGCATCAGGCGCGACCTCCATAGCTACCATGGCTGACATGAACTCCATTTTCGAATCTCTGCAGCCGATAGTGGAACAACTGAAGGACATGCAACCCTTTCTTCCGACATATGCGCATCTCATCGTATCCGCCCTTATACCGATCTATACAGGAGCTCATGCTTCTTTATCGCGTCCCTCATCAGCGGCCAAAGCAGAGAAAAAGTCCAAAGCCGAGACTGATTCCGAAGACGAGGAGGAGGATGAGGGAAAGGACACAGGCAGCAAGATGGAAGGACTGGAGCCCTCAGATGCTCTGATGTTCCCGTTGATGKCAGGCTTGACTCTGGGTAGCCTATACTTGATCATCAAGTGGCTGAAAGACCCCAGCATTCTGAACAAGATTCTGAGCTTCTACTTTTCGCAAATGGGCCTTTTCTTTGCTGGTGCGTTGTTAAGGGATGGATTGAAAGTACTGCGTTCATACATCTTTCCTGCGACGTATTCTTCTGGAGATCATCAATGGAAGGTGAACCAATCTAAACGTTTAGTCGCAGCCATCGTGCACGAGAAAAGCTCAGATACCGCAAGCCCCATCGAACGGACATCTCCCCTGCCAGGCTTTTTCGGCGCCATTCCACTACCTGTCACGATTCGAAACTCATTCTGGGGTCTGCGTGCCGTCGCATATCAAAAGGTACACCTTCGAATTAAAGCACTAAATTCCTTTAAAGCTAAGGTGCGATTCGATATGCTGGATGTTACTGCAGCCGTTACTGCTCTGATTGCCGTCACTTATTTCGCCTTTTTCGCGAAGCCATGGTGGTTGACAAACCTGTTAGGTTTCAGCTTCTGCTATGGCTCGCTACAAGTTATATCGCCATCAACATTTACAACGGGCTCCTTGATCTTAGCATCACTGTTTTTCTACGATATTTACTTTGTCTTCTTCACCCCACTGATGGTGACTGTGGCTACGAAGCTCGATGTTCCTATTAAAATGGTGTTTCCTCGTCCGACCGGCCCTAATGAAGACCCCAACGAGTTATCTCTTGCTATGCTAGGACTTGGTGATATTGTGGTTCCCGGTATGATGATTGGCCTCGCTTTGAGGTTCGATCTTTTCTTGTACTACAAGTACAAGAGCATGATGTTGTCGAAAAAGGAGTCTTCAGTAGAAGGTACTGAAAAGGCGATCTATCAGCGAGCAACCGGTGGATGGGGAGAGCGATTCTGGACACGCTCGAATTCTTCGTCTTTTCCCAAACCGTACTTTTACGCCAGCATTGTCGGCTATATCAGCGGCATGGTAGCCACCTTGGTTGCCATGCAATTTTCTCAGCACGCCCAGCCCGCACTTCTCTACCTAGTACCTGGTGTCCTCATTTTCCTGTGGAGCACTGCTTACTTCAGGAATGAGCTCGACTCTATGTGGTCGTTCTCAGATATGATGGAGGACGAAGATCCCAAGGAGAATACCGAGGAAGACAAAGAAAAAGAGAGAAAGAAGACTACCACCAAAGCTGGACTCTTCTCCCGCATCTGGTCAGGGGACCTGAAGCCTCAACTTGATAATGTCGAAGTCAAGAGAGACGACGAACAGGCGACAGAAAAGTCACTTGTTGAAAAGCCGTCTAGTAGCGAGGAGACGCCCGAGGGTTCACCAGATGATTCTGTTCCTCCAAAGACAGACGAGGAAGACGAGAAGTGTTTGTTCTCTATGTCTATCTCAGTGCCACGGCAAAAGGCATAATCCTGGTTCTTTCGGTCTTGTTTCGGTATGGCGTACTATGTAGGCTAGAAAAAATGTGTTGGTTATGGTATAGTTACTCTTGCATTTTAGGCGTTGTGTGATGGATGTATTTGGTGGGTAAAAGGGAATCTTATTATTACATTGTTTCAAGATAGAACATCTATCTCATCATCTCTTTGATACCCATGATTTATTGATATGCCGCTGTGGTGGTCATCACTTAATGTAAACCATCATAAATAGTCTTCACATGCTTCCACCTCTGTGTCGAAATATCAACAAGCTTCCTTAGATCCTCGCGACCCACAGATAAACCACCATTCTTCTCCATACCCAAGATCTTCGTTTTACCATTTTTGTCGTCCCGGTCAACCATCATATATACCCGCTCTCGACACAAGCTCTCCTCGAACCCATCAGGATCAGCCAAAATCCATCTCTCCGGCTGCTGAGAGGTCTGTTTTACACCTCCATTCTCATCTGCATCTGGAACGGCAACAGCGCGCCAATCAGCAGCAGCATCCGCCTCAAAGACAGAGTACGAACATGACACCGGGAAACCGCGCAAGTTGAGCTTTCGTGACTCTGAGACCTTGTCAGAGCATAGAACCATGTCGTTATCAATATCCCACCAAGCCTTCGGTAATTTTGTGTCTTGTAGTGCAGCAACGACAGACGCCCAGGCGGCGTCGAATGGGTTACCGGCGAGAGAGATCATCATGACATCGATGTAGAGGACCCAGAAACCTTTGATCTCTGCTTCAGGAGTAAACGATTGATCCACTGATTCGGTCTCCATTGCGTCGTCGCCTTGCTCTTCGTTGGCGAGAGCATTCAAGTCTGGTGGGTGATGCCATATTTGTAGGTCCTCGGAACGGATAAGATGTGTAGTATGTAGCATACTGAGCATTTGATGTGAGAGTGCCTGAGCGAGCGCCGATGGAGGAGCACTAGGTATAAAGCCAGGCGCGCAGCCCGTACTCAGAGAGATATTGGGCACAATCAAGTTGAGATTCTTGATATAGTCATCGTCTTCTTCATCATTTTCCTTTTCTTGTTTGATATCTTCGTCGTCATCTGAGATAATTTTTCTCCTCTTGCGACTCCCAGATGAGGTAGAAACGCCCCACGAAGCTATATCTTCTGTATGTAATATCTCCGCGCGCACACCGCAGACGGCAGCTGTATCTCCAATTCTCACGACTGCACTTCCATTCGTATGCGAAAGAGAGCCCAAATTGGCGGATGTAGCCCGGAATTCTAAAGGTGCGCGGCCATTGGCTCGTAAGGGCGACTGTTGTTGGCTGGAAGGAGGKGGKGATAAGTGCGCGAGAAGGTAGGCATGAGGTTGAAGGCGAGCGAATTGCGATGGTGGAAGGGCGAGTGAAGGTGACGATGGGCCTACGAGAGCCGGATTTGTCGTTTTGGTACTTGAAGCCATTTTATTTTTTCAGTGCGAGGGTTCCGTCCACCCTTGTTGTCGAGGGACGTCTGACTAGCTTGAAATTCATTTAATTTATTTGATGATGGCTTACGGCAGAATAAATTCGATCGTAGAGCGGTGAAGAAAGCACCCCACATGTTTCGATAGCCCACCCTTTAGTTAGGGTTAAGGAGAACTATACTAAGAGAACAGGAACAAATTAATCGTTTATATGGAACTAGCTATGAGATTAACAAGAACCGATTCCAGCACGCTGTTATGAAGGAGATAATTGAGAACCAGAAATAGACCACTACACCAGAAACAGAACCTCAGACTGACAAACACGACCTACGTGACCTCAGGAAGCTATCGCATCTTCCTTGAGCTTTCGATAAGGTTCGGAAAACCGACTTCGACTACGAGTGAGGGCCAATGCCGGTTGCGGTCGCGAGAAGTTCCAAGTCGCCTTGGTTGGAAAGCGGCAGCTGCTCGTTTTGTGCGATCGAGCGCCCGAAAATGTGCGCTCCCGATGGGTGTGAGCTTCTTCTCGAGTTTGTCCTTGTTCATCAGTACTGGATGCTTCATTAAGATGGATCCGAACTTTGCGGCCGCCGTGCTGTGAGGCTCGTATTCCATTTTAACGAGGAGAAGATTGCACTACGAAAGTCAAGTCAGCAGGGTTGGGTAACTAGATTAAACACAGAGTATTTCATACCAGGTAGATCGCAGAGGCCACAGCGATATTCTCTGCTAGAAAAAGAACTTTAACGGCCCATTATGCACTAGACTTTGACGGTCATTCTCCTCGATGTACTTCTCGATCCACTGAAGCTTCCAGCATTGCTTTTCATGTTTGGGTAGTATATGGATGATCTCTTGGCGCTCGTTCATCTGCATCTTCGCCATAACAGCTTCATTTTTCGGCATCTATGTCGTTAATGTTTCGCTTCGCTCTTCCAGACGCTTTTCGCAGCCAACCTGGACCGCTTCCGTATGCGGCAGATCTAGCTTTTGCATACATGAAGGATCAATTGAGCGACGAGGGTGAAGTCCATTTTTCTGAATTCATAGCTTCATGCCAATCAGCACTAGAAAGAGACATATATGTGACTCGCTGGTAGAGGAATAGAAGAAGTGGAGGAGTAGGATGAATGAGCTCCAGGAAGATTATATGAGAGCTGGACCAACGCGCTAGTCCCAGGAGGGCACCGCGTTTGTCATTTTTTTTGTCGGGCGCTGGCACTCCTCGTTTGTTTGCAAGTCACGAGGGCTGCTTCTTCACACAATATACAGGGTGGGAAAGAGAGCTCAACAATTGATTTCAACGGTGTACTGGTGTGGATGAAAGATATAGATAGTCAGTAGCTGGTGGACAGTTACTTTACAGGTAGTTCTGGAAAGAGCCCATCATGTGACAGTTCTATTTATATCGCAGATTTGCCCGCAACCGAGAGCTCCCTCTCTTTTCCCCTCGTGGCCTGATGGCACTTGCCTTCTTCGATCATCAAAGCTTCGCTTGTCAACGCTACCTCCCCTCTTCTAGTCTTCTACTATCACTCTGCTCGTACTCCGCTGCACAAAGTGACTAAGACGCTACATCGAAAATGGCTTGTGCACATCGCATCGCTGCTCCAGTTTTGAGAGTTCCCTAGTGCCCGCCGCCATGGCACTCGGTCCAATTGGAATCAACATCATGCAAGTCTGCAGAATCAATCCTCACACTACTGCCGAGCTTGGGCCTGTATCACGAAGAGCACCGAGTGCAGGCATCCCATTGGGCCGTACTCGGTCGAATGACAGCGTCTAATCCCAACATCCCATTCGTCAACTCCGTTTCTTGCCTGCTGATTGCTGCTTATCTCCAGTACGGAGAAATTAGTCGTGATCGCCAGGAAGCGAGCAACGGCCATTCACGTCGAGGAATGGCGGTGGACCACCTTGGAGACAATGTCCGGATGTCCAAGAACMCCCAGCCAATATGCAACGATTGTTTTCTCTACGCGCAGCCATCGTGGCCCTCGATGTCGGGGTTAAGCTCGACCTACTCTCCCATTTGTTGAGCCCTCGATAGGCCCAGCCGGATTGCCTTGATAAGTTGATCACATCACCCGCCGCCTGCATACAGACAGTTTATTTTTGGTTCATGGGAAGGCAAAGGTTGCATAATCTACTCACAAGTTCGGTTGGGATGCCGGTCAAGAAGCACTAGGTTCGTCGCTTTCGTCGGTCCGATCTAGAATTAGAATAAGAAAAAGAGTTTATAACTTACTGCTATTGCGCCAGCTGTCCATCTTCCCCGCCCATCCGATCAAGAACCTTTCTCTCTCTCTTCTGCACCTTTGATTCTTCGAGATCTTCGCGCATGGACCTGTTGTGCTTGTGAAGAGCAACTTGCCATGATTGATGAAATCTGATTCATTTTCATTGTTAAGCTGAAAGTGCTTGGCTCTGCAACTGAAAGCTCTGCGAGCTTTGCAGAGATTTGGTTGTATGTTGTGCTATTGCATTCTGCTACAACTGAGATGTATACAGATACTAACCAAGCCAGAAGTCTGTCAATATAGCAAATACTCCGATACAGCACGCGACTCTCTATTTCATTCCATCCTTCCGCCTAGCTGGATGCACACAGTGGTGGCTGCCGATAGCCAAAGGTGAAAATGGCTGGAAACATGTTCGAATCACTGGTTTCGCTGGCGAAACGCATCAATGTGCCAATCACAGCATCAACCACTGCGGCGGAACAAGCAGAGATGCAGAGAGATCCATGGTCTCAATCAGGGAAATACGCATTAGGCTGGATCTACTTCAGCGTTGTTATTGTCGTATTGACGTCTCTGGTTCGCGTATACCATCTCTTAAGCGATCGAGTTCGAGTAGCCGCTCACAGAGAGATCAATCTCCTGTCACCTAATGGAAATTCAGCGGGCACATCAGAACAAGAGCTCACGAGCGCTGCCACCGACAGCTCAACCAGGAAGTTTTTTCCAAGAACCGGACCACTTCCCTCGTCATCTCGACAACATGAATCTTCGTTGCTCCGTCCGATGAGTGTTGTCATTGCAGTTTTCCGATGGGTTTTCTACAGGCCAATCCCGACGCTGGGTATCGGCAAGATGCGCATAGTTTTCCCGGCTCTTTCGACGATAGTTCTCGTTTCAGCAGGCTTAGTGTTCATTACACTGTACTGTTTCCTTCCACAACCGCTGTATTATACGAGTATTGCCTTGGGTTCACCGCCGTTGGCTATTCGTGCTGGAATGATTGCGGTTGCCATGATACCCTGGATCACCGCTCTTGGTACCAAACCCAATGTCCTGGCTATAGTGACGGGTATCAGTCACGAACGACTGAATGTCATTCATCGGTGGCTCGGATATTTATGTCTTTTTATGTCACTCGTTCATATGATACCTTTCTACATTACCCCAGTATGGAGTGATGAGGGAGCTTATGCACTTTTCTCACAGAATCTCATTCCTCAGGGCGTACAAATGTACATTTACGGTACTGGAATTGCAGCGTTCGTCCCACTGGCAGTCCTCTGTCTTCATTCCCTTTCCTTTATACGCTCAAAAGCCTACGAGCTTTTCGCATACTTGCATGGCCCCATCGCCGTTGTATTCTTGGGCATGCTCATATGGCATACGAAGAACTTCCTCCTGTCTTGGAATTATCTATGGGCTTCGATAGCAGTGTGGTTCTTTTCGTACTGCATCAGAGGCATCTACCTTAATTGGTTCTACCCTCTACGAATGTCATGGCTGATTGGGGAAGAATCATCGGTGACGATACTTCCTGGAAATGCCGTGAAAGTGACTATTCCGACAGAGATGCGATGGAGACCAGGACAGTTTGTTTACCTTCGAATGCCGGGCATATCGCCTCTACAAAATCATCCTTTTACGATAGCCTCCCTTTGCAGTGACGACTTCCCATCAAATTACGGACCCGAATACCGTGATATGGTTCTTGTGTTCCGGCCTTTTGGTGGCTTTACGAAGAAAGTCATGGAGACTGCAAAACGAAAGGGACCTTACAAGATTTACCGATCGATGCTGGACGGGCCCTATGGAGGTATGCAACGTGAACTCGCTGCATTTGACGACGTTGTATTCTTCGCGGGTGGTAGTGGTATCACCGCTATTGCCAGTCAACTTCTCAACCTAATCAAAAAAATGAGAGATGGCCATGCTGTAACAAAGACTGTCAGAGTAGTTTGGGCACTGAGACGTCCAGAGACAATGGAGTGGTTTAAAGAAGAGCTTCGAATTTGCAGAGAATATGCTCCACCAAGCTCTGTGTTTTGCAACTTCTATCTGACGGGTACCGACAAAGACAATGCTTACGCTACAGAGACGGTGAACGAGATTCTGCACGGAGTTTCCAACAAGCGAAACTCGGCGTGGATTCGCGAGGCAGCTGGCGGTGACCTGCAACAGGAGAAGGAGCTTCGTCGGGAGAACGAAGATGATATTGCTCCTCTCCCAAATGCACACCTTGCTGGAAGCGTTGGATCTAGTAGCTACCCTCCTCAAGCGGCCTACGTCCACTATGACCCGTATGCGCCATATACCTATGGGGCTCCCCCACAGAACGTTCCATTCGGAGCGTCACAAGCCCAGCACCAGGGATTCAATTTTGGCTTCCAACAGAACCAGTCACCACAGCAGCAGCAATATAATTACGATCAATATCAGCAGTATAGCCAGATGATGCAGCAAACACCACATTMCCCTCCACAACAGCCACATCCAATCTCAACAACCGCCCTTAACACTCGAAACACGCTGACGCGGTTCGCTTTCCTTCCACGACAGAAACAAGATAGCTGGCGCACTGACTATGCAAGACCGAACATATCAGAGTTGTTGCAAGAGCAATCAAAAAGCTGGGGTCGTCGTACCTGCGTTTTTGTCTGTGGGCCACCAAGTATGCGAGTTGAAGTAGCTACTACAGTGGCACGATTACAACATATTGTTATGAAGGATCCGTCAAAAGACGAGATATTCCTTCATGCGGAGAATTACGCGATTTGATTACGTATAACTCTTTCCTCCGACCATTGACCTCAGAGTCCTGTTAGTACTTCATACCTGGGTATGATGATCCTCTTCGAACAGTATATATTGACGCATCTGTGGCTGGCTCTATGTATATTCTCAGTCACTCCAAGCCTCTTTTCTCTTTTGATTGTATTTAGTTTCAGGATACCCGCTGGACATTGACGGAAGTGTACATCTAATTCATTCATTTTGAGAATCTATTGAAGAAGTAGAACAAACTCTCAGTAAGTAGAATCTTATAGACAGCTTAAAAGACATTGATATTTGATATACCTATAATCTATATTGGGTATGATGGACGCACGTGTTGGCTAACAAGACGAAGATATGAAAATAGGGCAAATGCAATGCAGGCAAAATTCTAAAATGCTAACAAGAACCAAGAATAATTTTGTGCCTGTCTATTTATGCCTTTTTTGAAACTGTTCAAGATCGCGTTTACGTTTACCGGAGAGAGATGCCGTCGATGTAGGAGAATTGTCATCTAGGATCTGACTGTCTGTAAGGTGTACAACGCCGTGGTCATCGGCATCGTCCTCTTCGGGCTCGAGCTTCTCCCAATCGTCGTCTTCATCATCGCTTTGTTCCTCGTTTGCGGATATGGTGGCTTTGGTTACGTCCGATGACTGTAGTGAGTTTTCCGAATCTTGCTGCTGTTTACCTGCTTCCTCTTCCTGCTCGTCATTGTCCCAATCCAGATCTAACCTGACGATTCTCGCTCCACCGGGATTCAAACGTCTGTAATAACCCTTCACGACCCCATCTTCAACATGGAACCCCCTAGCAACATACCACCTCAATCCTTCATCGTTGGTCTCGTGAACATGAGCTGTCACAGTATGAATGTTGTAATGCCTCACCAGAGACGAAACTCGATACGACTTTGAAGATACCGACGGCGGTTTCGCAAATAACAAAGCATTCAGGAGTGAAGCCGCAACGCCATTTCCTCGATGCGGTGAAAGTAAGTGTAGAGTCTGTATGTACAGATTCGTTGGCGGTGACCTGCTATCTTGTCCGTTTAGACCTGCGAATTCGGGAAAGAGCCGTTCGAGGCGGCATCTGATTCCTCCTATGACTTTATCTGTGCCGCATAGTCCTCCTGCTCCGCCTCCTGCCGTTGAGGTTGGTGATTGGCGTGTTGCTCCAAATGTTGTCTCTGTAGATGGCCCGCTGGGAACGGGATGGTCATGGTACACCGCGACGCGTGATAATGAAGCAATGACCGGGTCGGTAATACATGCCGTGTAGAATGAGCTGGGGTATCGGATAGGAAGTAACAGCCCAGTTATGCGGCTCAAAGAAGGGATGTGTGCAGTTCGGACTGGATCGATGGTGACATGTGGATGGGGAGTTTGGTAGGTAATCAATGGCTCCGAGAATGGTGTCGGGGTAAAATTCGGGTCTCCAATTGAAGGTGGCCTATGCGAAGACGAAGAAGAAGCAGATTGTGGGAGCACCAAAGGCGCAGGATGGAGGGGTGGCTGCTTGGCCAGCAACGAGGGAGGGGAGAGGGGCGGAGAAGTCGCAGTTGTCGATGTTGTATTTGCGGCTGTCCGCTGTTGCGCCTGCGCTTTTGCGAATACTTGATATGCCATTAACTAAGCGTAGCCCGCCGACCGTCTCTCAAGGATCAGACGTGTCAAGATCCATGTAATCTTCGTGCTGTGGGAGGGGAGAAGGAGAGCATGCGGAGAAATGGGCACCGATTTCGCGATAAGAGGGCCTTATCGGCGTCCGTTGTTTACATTGGCCTAGCAGAGGGCACTAAGCCGTTTCTGGACTAATTACTCGGTGACCCGTCCGTACCTAAAATGATCGCCTTCTTAAAGTCTGTCCATGAACAATTCATTGACAGCGCTTTTCTCATCGAACTCCTCTGCAGTCTGCGACTTGTGCCCAGCTCAGAACTTGATTATTTTCTCTGTTTCGTGCACTCAGGTAAATTGTCCTTCTGTCCAAAMCCCTGCAGCCCGCGAGCCGCAATGAGATCCACTCGCTGAGCTGGCTCCTTAAAACTGTCAGGAGCATATCCTTTGTGAGACAATCGGTCACTGACACTTTATTGACTTTCTTTGGGCAGATCATTCGATATCTTACGAGTCATCCGTGTCACACAAGATACTTTTCCCAGCCTCGGCAGCTTTTGTTACGGCTTGCTGGATTTAACCGAAGCGCATCCACCCGTACAAACCGATCACAAGCTCCCGAAATTACCTAAGATCGAGTATCGCACAGCTAAACGCAGCCTGGCTTTATGAGATAGTAGTGGGTGTTATATCAATGATTGGCAGACGGGTGCGGCAACTTCCTTGCTGCTAAGCGATTGTGAGAGTACTGTTGACGCAGCCCAGTGTAAGTAGAAGAAGTCGATCAGAAGCATGACACTTCCGGCGTTCTATAAGGCGTCTCATTACTGAACCTATAAATAGAGCCAAATTTCCACGAAATGGCAGGCCTCGATTCAAACAAGACTGCAGAGACTGGGTCTCGGGTCTTGACTTCCGCATCATTCTCAGAGCTGGTATGAGCATCTACTCCGATTGACTTATTGTACAGCGATTAAACAGAAATACAGTCCAAGGATATTCTGAACGCCACTTTCTACAACATTATACACGACATCGTGGCAAAAGTACACCGAGATGAGAAACTCGCGAGGATGAGATCTGCCGTCGTGCTAGCAAGACAAAAAGCTGAAGCCGAAGCCGAGGCGGGAGGTGTTCCGGAGAAGAAGGTACAAGTAGAAACAGAAGGTGCTATCTGTGAAAATGGCAAGGTATACCTCAAGGGCAATCCGCTTGTTACAACCAAAGAGATTGTTTGTCCGTTTTGCCGGCTACCGCGTCTATTATATCCAACCATGGGAGTCGGTGCTCGTCCACCTCCAGACCCGTCAAAAGAATATTGCACAAAACATCCTTTAGTCAGCAGACCTGGATACGACGTTCATGGTAATCCTTTTGCTACCGACAAAACGAAAAAGAAGAAGAAAAATACCAATACCAACACTCCGATATCTAGCCCACCGTCAACTCCGGATGCAAACGGCTCATCCAAACAGAACGCACCCGATTACCCAACGATTAAATGTCCCAATTGTCCACGCTACTGTCAAACAAACAGAGTATCAGCACATCTTGATCGTTGTATGGGCATATCAGGTCGTGCAGCCGCCAGAAATCGTGAAGGAGGTTCGGCCACACCCACAACTTCAGGACCACCCAAGCGCCCGTTTCCAGACGATGATGCTGCGCCTATGAATTTCAAAAAGAAGAAACCCAATACCCCAAAAAAGCTGGGGACTAGTAAACCGGCACCTCCAAGCAAATTGAAGAAAGCAGCCACGCCAGACACAATGCTGGCGGAAGAAGCTGCGGAGGCGGCTGAGGCAGCAGAAGCCGCTGAATCCGCAGAATCATTTCATGACCCTTCAGTTGATGGCGAGGAAAAACTCGAGTCTTGATACACCGAGCATTTTCATATGTTTATATTGCTTTTTGCTCAAAGTTGTTTATTTCATAGCATTTTCGGCGTTTGGATTCGTGGTTGTGCTTGCCGGAAGTTACCTTCTTCATGATGCTTCTTTATCACTTTTTACAATAATCCACGCAGCTGGCTTAATTTATGATGTGGGTCGCTGTCTGGATGCATCTCGCGTGCATATTGCTTCTGCAATAATCTGCTAACCCAGCCTTGAACATGTATATTATGTACCATTGAATTACATTGATTGTTGGTCTTGCCATTGACTTCTTTAGGCGGAAGAAGAAGAAGAAGAAGAGAATAAGACAATCGAGATCTCACGTGGCGGTGAATGTACGGAGAGTTAGGGTTTCGTATAGACCACTCGTAACAAATAACCAACAGCCTTCAGCCCACGTCCTCTACCTTCAAAAAGCCATGGAACTATCAATAGCACGAGTATTTTCAAGTAGCCAATGGCTTGAAACCGGGATATGCTCGCGAATTAAAGTTGCCGTCATGAATAATAGGCCTCCTCGAGCTTGCTCCACGAGTAATCCTCAACGCAACTCTCTGTAGGCCCCCAAATCTGAATAATAAATGGCTACGCTCATGTCTCCTACGAGCAGTGCGGTGCGAAGAGTCGGATTGTCGTGGTTAGTTTGGAAATTGCGGATATTGCGGTAGTGACCGGTAGCTAATTTGTAATCCTTCTCCTCACAGATGAGACCCTAGATGATAAATTCAGCACATGAAGGTTTTTTAGATAATCAGACCAATATCGGTGCATTACCGCTTCATTCTTTAAAGTTCGTACTTTGGGTTACTAATATTCCATATCCCGACCAGCCGCAATAGGTATATGATACGAGGCGGGGCAAATTGTGCCTCTGTATTTAACCTTACATCAACGGACCATCTACCCACGCCTGGAATCAAATTTCTTTCATATACTCTTTACCTGTTATCTTGCAATCATAAGAAAAGCGCTATCTGCTACGATGTCAACCACATCTACAAAGCCGGTTCTGCATTACCTGGATATTGGTAGTCTAGGTCGAGGAGAGGTTGTCCGGTAGATACAGTGCTCCTTTCTCTTCGTAGTACCGCTAACAAGACGCTACATAGATTGTTCTTGAAAGATGCCGGCATTGATTTTGAAGACGTCCGCTATGCGTATGATCATACCTGGCCTGCAACCAGTGAAGAACTGAAAGGAAAGGGTATTACGATTACGGGAAATGTCCCAGCACTCGAGTACAACGGCACTATTTTGACACAGGTTTATGATCTTTTTTATGTCTGTGTCTGTTGCTGATACTGACCTATTTCTAGCACATTCCAACCCTGCGATATCTAGCCCGAGAACTGAATGATTATGACGGCCAGACAAGTCTCGAGAAATGGGTCGTCGATGCCGTAGCTGATATCTATATAGACTGGAGAGTAAGCTACACCGTTTCTAGTTCTAGGCCATCAACTGACTGAATCCTTCCAGTTCCAATGGGTTGCCAACCTCAAGAATGCATCAGATGAGTACAAGAACAACCACGTGCCGAAATACTATAAGATCATAGCGCACTATTACTCGCAACGTGGCGGCCCTTTCCTCCTAGGTGACAGGGTTACCTATACAGATTTTGCAGTCTATCAATCTATTGAAAATGATCAGAAAACTGGTACTCTTCCGGTATGTGCTTGTTATACTATTGGGTGAGAGTAGTTGTCTCATTGACATGATCTCCAGGAAACCCTGCCCAGTGTCATTGAAACGTTCAAGAAGGCTTTTGAGAGCCGCCCTCGTGTCAAATCCTACCTTGAAAGTGGCCGCATTGCGAATGTTAACCAGTAAGGACGAAATTTGATCTATGAAGTTGATTTACATTGGAGGAAATCCGTAGTGTTTCGATAGGGAAAAGCCATTTCGATTTGAGTGTTGGGTCTTGACGTGGAGTCATCTAAAATCAGTACTCAAAGGTAGATTTCACCAATAAATAAAAAAGAAAAAAAAAAGAAAAAAATTACATTCGTTCATGATCCTGAAAAATGGATAAACAACTTTGCATTGCAAAATAGGGTTATGAGGGTCAGTGCTAATGTTAATGACTAAACCCGAAGCGGTCTCCGCACTGATAAGTAGCGATAAGAAACGATCATCATCTTCCAAAGAGCTGCGTCTTTTGACATCACAAATAMCCCCGCCATGTCGAACTCCCTGGTCACTTGGGCGCTTCCCAAGCTGTCCAACTTTCTCCCACTAGATGAGGAGTCACTAAAACAGATAGTCACGTATTCCGCCGGTCTATCAAAGGAAGAAAGCGCCGAACATTTGAAGAATCTCCTCGGCGATGCGCCACCAGTTCTCGAATTCATTTCATCATTTAACTCACGACGAGCTGATAGTGGTACATCGACTCCTCAATCAGGTGCAACTACACCTCGTACGACTCGTGATGACGCCGGTCCGTCTGAGAGGAATCATGTGAAGAAAAACAAGCGAACCAAGGCGCCATTACACAATGCCGGACCTCCGCGAAGACCAGAGAACTACGGGAATGTCTCCGGTGGATATAAGAAGGCAGACTTGGAGCAAGATTATATGACTATATCAGGCAGACCTGCCTCGTTACAGCCGGATATCGGATCTGGATATGGCTCGTCCTCGGCGGACTCACGGAATCCATCACCCGCCCCAAAGAGCAATAGTACAAAAGCGCCGCCGTCGGCAGCAGGACCTTTAATATCAGATTACTTGCCCAATGTGAAATCAAAGACAAGCAAGGCACACCGACCAGCTGGGACTGGGTCTGGGTCTGGACATTCAACGCCTGGTAAAGGATCGGTAACGACGACAAATATTGCAGATTTGACGTCTGCGATTGCGGCTCTAGAGGTGTCTACGAATCCTACATCTGCCAAGAAAAGACAAAAATGTGACTGTAATGCATCAATACATCCGTTATTCACACCTGCGCCGAATTGCCTCAGCTGCGGGAAGATTATATGCTCACTCGAGGGTTTACAGCCATGTTCTTTCTGTGGCGCACAGTTATTGTCAAGCCAGGAAATTCAGAGCATGATCAAAGAACTTCGTGCAGAACGAGGACAAGAAAAGATGAGAGCCCACAACGAAGGAGTGCACCACACAGGGGGCCCGGGTGTACCTGACAGTGGACCACCAAGCAAACTCGACGCCGCCGTCGCCCATAGAAACAAGTTGCTTGCTTTCCAAGCGCAAAACGCCCAACGAACGCGCGTAGTAGACGAAGCCGCAGACTTCGAGACGCCTAATATCGGATCTACGCAATGGATGAGTCCCGCGCAGCGAGCGCTAGCCCTGAAAAAACAGCAAAAGATTTTACGAGAGATGGAAGAGAAAGCGAAACCGGAGTGGGAGAAGAAGCAAACGGTTTTGAGTTTGGATATAAAAAGTGGTCGAGTAGTGCGTTCGTATCATGCTGCTCCTTCAGCTGCTGTTACTCCGGAAGAGGAGGAGAAAGACGTTGACGATACAGCCATGGTGGATGCTCAGAGGAACGAGACTGGGGCCACAGGTGCAGCATTCAGCAAGAACCCTCTACTAGCAAGTGGTGGTCTAATGCGGCCTATATGGAAAAGCCGAACGGATGGGGAAGTTGGAGACAAAAACAAGGAGGTTAGACGCACATGGCGCAGAGTACAGGATGATAATGACGATAACGAGCAGTGGATATTAGACGGTGGTGCTCATGGGTACAGCAACGACAGCGGTGCTTGATATATCCGCTTAAAGGAATACAAAATCATGTACATAGTGTAGGAAAATGGCTTTGAGCGGAGGGGCAGATATCCAATATTTCAATCTACTATAGAACAGGTCACAAGACTCATGACACCTCTCTTAGGACAATACGTACCTATCGAAGGCGCGGATTGTAAGATTATAAAGAGAAGAGGGAAGAAATATCCGGTCCAGTTTCAAGGTTCATCGGCTATACCCGGATTTTGGCTCACCATTGCACCTGCTACAAGCAACCCGCAATACATCTGATGCTCTTAGTAGTATGAATAAGGATTGAAGTTCAGCTTCTTTGATTATTTACTTGAAATAGGTATATGCGAAGTGACCAGGAAAAAAAAACAATGAAGAAGATGGAAGGCGATTACCACGAACCAAATACCCGGCCATAGTTGACAAAATGATACAATCAACGTTGAGGTAGAATATCGGCACCGGTTATAGCCGCGCTTTGAAAGACTATATAAGAGCGTGCAGAATCCTGTCTATCTTGATGTTTAAATTATTTATTTCATACGATTAGAATCCATGATTCGGGGTGAAGCCAATTGATCCCGTTTGCGGAGACAAGGTCACCGAGCGCATACTGGCGGATAATCACGGATACTTACTACTAGCATTTTCTGGGGAAGATTGAACGATAGAACGGAATGATTTCCGAATATTTTGGTCTAGCACGCTTTGTAGCAGCTGTCGGCATCGCGGGCATTGTGATTGCTGTAAGTTCTTTTTAAAGTAAAGGCATGGGCTTCGCGAGACTAATCGTCTAGACAATTGGATACGTCGCCTACAACCGTTTCTTCCATCCACTACGACACATCAAAGGTCCCTTCCTCGCAACAGTTACACCATGGGTACAACTCTACCACGGCATCCAAGGTGACAGACACCTATGGCTACACAAGTTGCACCAACAATACGGCTCCCATGTCCGCGTAGCCCCCAATTTCGTCTCTATCAATACCGCCAAAGGTCTGCGCGATATCTATGGTCATGGCAAACAATTCAAAAAGGCCGATTTCTACCACGGTTTCGCCGCTATCAAGGGCGTCTACAACACCCACAATGCGATCGACAAAGCCATCCACGGTAAGAAACGTCGTGTCCTAAGCCATGCATTCTCCGACCACGCTCTCAAGGCAATGGAAGATGTTATGTTGATTCACATCCGTCAGCTGTGTGCTGTGCTTGGTGAAGAGCCTCAATACATGAGTGATGTCATTTTGCCAAATGAGTACAAGACCGAAAAGGGCCAGATTGTGCGGAATATGAGCAATTGGTTGGGATTCATGACTTATGATGTGCTGGGAGAGTTGTGTTTTGGCAAGAGTTTTAATCTGTTGATTGATGGTGCCAAGCGGAATATGGTTCATTTGGTTGATCGGGCTGCGTACCGTCACTATGTTGTGAGTTCCCCCTGTTCCGCAGATATCATATGGTCAACTCTAACGAGGATAGTGCGGCCTTTGGATGCCTTTAGATAGATGGGGACTCGACAAGATCTTCATTCGGAAACTCACCATGGATCGATGGAACTTCATCATGAAGTCTCGCGCCGAAGCTACAGAACGAGCCAAAGAGCGTGTGGAAGCTGGCCACGGCGCAAAGAAAGACTTTTTCTATTATTTGTTAAATGCCAAAGACCCCGAGACCGGAGAGGGCCTTTCAATGAAAGAGCTATGGGGCGAAGCGAATGTGCTCATGGTTGCTGGGAGTGACACCACGTCGACAAGCATTGTAGCAACACTGTTCTATCTCGTTCGCCACACGGCAGTCATGGAGAAACTTAAGAAAGAAGTGAGGTCCAGTTTCACGGATGTGGAGCAGATCGTCAGCGGACCTCAAATCAATGACTTGACCTACCTTAAAGCATGTATCGATGAGGCCATGCGCTTGTCGCCGGCTGTCCCTGGATCCATCCCTCGTGAAGCAATGGAGGGCGGTGCTGAAGTCGATGGGGTTTTCCTACCGGCTGGTAGTGAATGCGGTACACCGGCATACTCCATTCATCGCTCGCCAGACTACTACCGCGAGCCTTTGTCATACATCCCCGAACGCTGGATCGAAGGCGCAACATGCCAGACTCGCTCGGGACGGCAATCATGGGTGGCCGCAAAGCCTGAAATTGAGGTTGCACGGAACGCCTTTTGCCCATTTAGCATTGGACCTAGAGGGTGTATTGGAAAGAGCATGGCATTAATGGAGATGCGTATTACATTGTCTAGATTATTGTTTTTGTTTGATATTGAGCTGGCTGATCGGACTGGGGAGGATGCTGATGGGTTTTTGGCCTTGACGGATCATTTTGTGTCGGCAAAGACCGGGCCAAATGTTCTCATTCGACGAAGACAAGATTTGTAAATAGTCTATCTGAGCAATCAATTGATCCGATTCATAATTTGTTGACCGGCGCGTTTCCTATTTTGTGCACCGCTGTTGGGGCGACAGTTGCTTGTTGCATGCGGTATGATAGAGGAAGTGAGTGCCTCCATCATATGTACCTAATATCCCTCTCACAGGACGTACTGATCATGGTTGCTAGTGCCTAATCTACTAAAAGTGTTTTCATCTGCCTGGATTATTATAAGCGTCGAAGCCTCAGGCTAACTGCCAATTTCCAGGTGTTGCCTACTACTCAGTCTAACCATGACTAATCGCGTGACAATTTTACCGCCAAAAAAGTTCCAGCATCAGTTTCATCATTGCGTAAAATATAGTTTGGGGGTTGTAGGAGTGAAGTTTCGGATGCTAACTAGTGGTTGCTAAGCTTGCTAAGACTAACAAAGCTTAAGGCCACGTTCTCCGCCGCAGATCAGCACAACATCATGACAGTTGACTACAGAAGTCATTATGTTGCTCTAATTGAAGCCGAATACCTCATTAAAGCACCAAGGGGTCTTCAAATACCTATCAATACCTCAAGAATTCGAAACAAATGAGGGTTACGCCCCCTGCTAAATAATCTATGGCCAGGACGGACTCCGAGTAAACAATCAACTTCAGCTTCAACCATTACCCGTGGACGGAATAACATGTTGAGCCCTCGGCCTTTCAACGTCTAGGATTAATTACTCCATGTTATCATCACTACGATAGTATCAGCGAGTACTTTCTTCTGCTGCTAAGTCAGCTGGCCAGCAAAATGCCGTCAGCCCTCGCCGTGACACTGATCCAATCAACCTTTTTCAATGCCATATCCAACATCCTAGCTCAAATCATAGATCAATGGCACAACGAAGTACCTCCCACATATTCACAAACTCTATACATCAAATACTGATGAATTATAGGAACCATTTAAATTAAACATCCTGGCATTCATCCAATTCCTCACATACTGCATTATCATCGTACCCATCAACTTCTACTGGCAGCGATGGATGGAATCGCGCTTCCCGGGTTTCCCATCCTTTAGCTGGTTCTCCTCCTCCTCTTCCTCTTCCTCCGGCTCTGTCACTACCGCAGGAAGCAACAGAGGCGATGCAGCAGGCGTCGTAATCCCCATTGAAGATCTAGCTGTCAAAGACAAGAATATAGCCGACATCCACCATCTTCCGCCACCCTCTTCTTCTTCCTCTTCCTCTTCGATCAGGAGGTACTGGACGCCGAGAAAAACATCTACTACCACCACTCGGCCTGGTGGCAGAGGAATTAAGAACTTCCTCAAAAAATTCCTGCTAGATCAAACCATCGGCTCGGTGGTAAATGTCTGGCTCTTTATCGTGCTCATCAACTTACTAAAAGGGAAATCGTGGGGATATACATCCACGCGGGTGAGCGAGGATATGCCGGATGTCATGATTGCGCGACTCAAGTATAGACCTATTGTGGCGGGRTTGATGTTCACCGTTATTCCGGTGGATAGGAGGGTTGTATTTGGGAGTTTTTGTGGAGTCATCTGGAGTGTTTATTTGAGTTTGCATTCATTGTCGAGGTGACCTCCATACTATTATGTTGGGTAGGCGGTGATACCATGTACTTTTAATACGATTGAATTATTCCAGAAAACATAGCTGTCCATATGTGTTGACAGTCCGATAATGCAATAGGTGTATACATGAACCAAACGCAGAGGAAAAATATATTATCGTCATCATCGTGGACCAATGGCATATCCCTTGTGAGCAACTAATGCAATAAGAGCTGCGCCGACTCCACTGCCGTCTTTGGCAATACCAATTCTTACTTTTGATTCCTTCTCACCAATGCCTTTGATTTCTCGCATGGCTTCGCGCATATAGTCCACGAACTTGGGGTAGAATTCTACAAGGCTGCCGTCAACACCAATATCGACAGTCTCGTCCGTGTCTATCCGCTTGGTGTCTAGTAGAATGGCTGCAAGAGCTATGGCACTAAGACGAGCAGCGCGTTTTGCGATAGCATGACCAATAGCTTTAATTGCCTGGGCGGCATCAGTAGAAGGATTGGTCACTTTGAAGTGTTCGGACAAAGCAGCCTTTGTTGCGGAGAGGTCGGACGTGGTGTCTGCTTCAATAATACTCAAAAAGCTGGTGTCGATGCCCCAGATCTGGTATAGCGGTGAGTCGGAAGGTATCGAGCTGCCGTCAGCTTGCAGCAGCTTAGCTGAGGCATCCTTGGACAATGCCAAAATAGCACGGCGAAGGATCTCTCCCAAAAACATGCCAGACACGCGCTTTTCAAACATTTGGATACCGGGGTTGACCGACTCTGCGTCTAGTTGCTGATCATAAATGGTGTTGGGAAGGACGCTAAGATGGTTATCGAAGCTACCCCATTCCGTGTTGATGACCATTTGATTCTTGTTGTTGTCAATTGTCTTGTCGTTCTTGACATCGAGTTTTGTGACCTTGTCAAGCTTCTCGACGTAAGCGCCGTTGGTTCCTGTGCCGAAAATAGCACCGATGAGAGTCTCTGTTTTACCCGGAGCAGTATAGGAACGAGCCATCAATGTGCCAACGGTATCATTCACCAAAGCTGCCACTCGGACGGGAAGGCGGAGTTCATTGATAGCATCTTGCAGCATCAAACAGACATCCTTTCCGACAGCATCCGGAATATCAAATCCTTTCGTCCATCGGATTAGAGTACCTCTGTTGATGGATGTTTGGTCAACGGGGAAACTGAACGTAAAACCGAGATCAAAAATTTCCTCGCGGCGGTATTGATCGGTGGTGCCGGTCATGCGGCGTCGTCGGACGGTGGCTTCAAAGTGGTCGTTGTGGTGTTCTTCGAGGAAGGCTTCGATTTGACTGGCGAGGAACTTGAACAATTCCTTGTATGACGGAGCGACCATCATGTCGCGGGGAATTGCGACTTTGTTTTGTGTAAGGTCAAAAGTGCTATCACCCTTAAGGCTGATAGAACAGACCCGGAAGTTGGTCCCACCGAGGTCGACGGCCAAATAGAGGCCCTACCAAGAGGTTAGACATTGATTGCAACTAATTGAGACGAATGCGAAAAGTAGCACAAAAACCTCGGACGTTGCGTCATAGATGAGGAGGAAAAGATATCGCGACAAGACCGAGCACACACCTTTTCGGTACCATTGGGAACGCTGGTCACGTATGTAGGAATCTGGCTAAGGGTTGTCCCATTCTTTGCCAGGCCTTCGCCCATCTGGCTCAGAAATTCGTCAACCCCGCGCTGTACCTGGTCGGAGGGGAGATCGAACTCGCGTGCTACCCGCAACGCGGCGTCGAGGGAGGGGCCGGGAGCAGCCATGATCATGCCGGCGGGGGACGACGTGGAGGAGGGAAGTAAAGATGAGGAGAGGATATTCAGGGGATTGGCGCACGTAGAAGTGAGTGAAGAAGAAGTGCAGGCAGAGGGAGCGTCGCAAAGCGGATTAAATGAAGAATAAAAAGTGTCGGGAGCGATGATCTCAGTGGCAGCCGCGGATGAGGGGCAGCTGCTTGCAGTGGTACCACTGCTTCCAAGGAAGTCCGCGTCTTAGTCAGTAGTTCGTTAGTTAACCTAGCGACATAACGTAGCGACAAATAATTTCTCGAAAACAATCCAGTACAACGCGTCATTATATTGGCAGACCACGGAAAGCCTCATCCACTCCGGATTCAAAACGCTCACCGTTGCTCCCGAAACAAATGCTGAAACATTGAAACAACAATAAAAGAAGTGGGCCGGAAACATTCTCACTGCACAATACGTAGTGTATCGTACGTAGTGGTAGTACTCACAATAGTTTTCATCATTCGCATATCTGTGGTGCATTCCTCCGCCAAACCCCAGCAGCCCAGCAATGGTCGCTGCAAACACAAGCCCCAGAACCCCCAGCCATGCAGTCCACGGCTTGCCGGTGACCTCAAACAGGAAGCCTAGCCCCGGCACGCTGGATTGGACGAGATGAGTCCATGTTGCGTCTTCGCGCGGGGACGCAGACTGAGAATCGGACTCGGAGAACTTGGCCGTCATAAGGCATGCTGTTCTCAAATAACCGAACAACTGATAATCGCAGACAACAATCGGCTCACAGTCAGATCATAGTCAGATGGGGCATTAAACTACGTGGTGCGGATAAGTCCGGAGGCAAGCAGTCCGCAATTTGCGTACCGTGGAGTATCGTCGACGTTGTGGAGTGCCTGACTCGTTTGTGAAGCGACGGCCGATGTGACCTCCAGATAGCGACACCGAGGGATGCAACGATGAGGATGCGATTGACCAGGGGAGATAGACTTTGACAGGTCACTGCAAAAACCGCGAGCGAGGGATAAGCAGAATGCAGAGTGCAGTTGGCGTGGCACTAAAACCACTAGTAGTAGCAGTAGGCCCGGGCATTTAACGGCAAAATGCAAGATGCCCAGCCCAACATGCCAGTGCGCGCGTTGTTAATGTATTGTATTGGGAATTGTAATGCAGATATGCATTGAGATAATATTCAGGAACAGGATCGAGACTGGGGGGGGGATAACTATAACATACTAAACCTCAGCTGCCCCGAGACAATCCCTCGGCAATTGCTCCGAGATTCCTATGACATCTTTGGAATTATGCGTTGTGCAACACTTGGTTAAGAAACATATAATAACATATGGAATGAGTCTATGGCTACAAATATCCGGACATGATGCTGTAACTAAACGTGCTTGTTCCACCAGAATAAATCTATCAGTACAGAGTTTATAGATAATCGTTCATTTTTCACCCTACAACCTTATCCACAAAAGCCTGCTCCAGCTTCGCAACCTCCCGCTTGAACGAGTCAACCTCCTTCCAGCAGTCCAGAGGTCGTCGGTCGTTTATTCTCAGGCAATTCACAACCTCGGTCTTGGCGCGCTCAACATTCTCGTCAAGTGCGGACAGTTTCTTCCGTGACTCGAGTTTGGTTCGCAGACGCTCGATATCCTTCAACACAGCTTCGCGCGACGGGTCGACGACGGCGGGAGTCTGCTGAGAAGGTGCTTGTGGCGGGGCGATGGTGGCAGGGTCAATAGGGAACAAAGGCGCATCGAATTCTCGTCCGGCAAATGGGATTCGAGGAGCATCCAGGTCCAAAGATCCAGCCGGTGCAGCAAATGATGTCGACAACGACGGGGCTGTTAACCCAGAGACTTTTCGGTCCGGTAACTCGGCGGCAACGCGCTTCTCAATTTCTTCCAGAGTTTGTTTTTCCCGTTGTCGTAGGCGTTCTAGTTCTTCAGCGACGCGCGCTTGGATGTGTAATTCGAGAGATTTGGCACGGGATGAGTCGGTCTGTTTCGTGAATTAGAGCTGCGATTGTGTGGCTTTGGTAGGAGTCATACCTCTTTGCTGGATTGTAGAGCCTCTACCAAATTGGCAGAGAATTGAACCGGCGTTTCGCTGTGATCATGGAATCATTAGCTTCAAGCTTCTTTCCTTCAATAAAACATCGTGCTTTTCAACAAGCGCAGCCCCAACCCAAGCCATTGAAATCTCTGAATCGAAATCCATATAACAATAGTCGTATGTTGCGACGCGGCTACTCTCATTGGCAATAACATGTATGCCATTCGTTCCCTGCAGATAAACGTACCTGGCGAAAATATGTTTAGCGCCAGCCGAAGCTTCTGGTTTCGAGCCCCCAGCACCCATATTGCGCTGTCAATTATTCCTTTTAAATATATCCCAGATATTATCGACAGCAATCGTAATACCCTCAATAGGTCGCAATCGTGTTGGGGATCTGACGGGTGGACAATTGGTATTTGTTGCTGTCGACCGTCAACATGTTTCTTGGAGTTCGGCGTCATTCGGGACCAAATTGGTAGAGAGTCACGTGATATACAATCGTGCCTCAGGTGTCTGTCTTACTGATGATTAGGGTATACAGTCTTGCAGCTGTCAATAGATTGATTGGGAAGTCAAAGGGTATCATGTCATTATCTAAACGGATATATCTATACTTTGTCATACAAACTCCCACAGCCCAAGTCTTCCAACCCGTTCGCCCGCAGACCGGACAATACACAATCTCCTCTCTGAAGAGCCTCTCTTTGTGGATTGATCTTTCATAGGACAAGATTCAATCACTTTCGAAACGAGTATTGATCCAATGCCAGTACCCTTGCCTTCTGTGAGATTGTAGTTACCGGATGATATGAAACCGATCAGATCATCTTCTGGAGGGAGAGGAACCTCCGGGAGTGGCTCGGGRGKGAAAGGGKCAAGTAATGATGCCGCAAGTTCCTGTACATCTTCATTTCTTTTTATTCCTGGATCAATGCCGTCGGATTTTGACTTCGAAGATGGCCGTATTAGGGCTGCTTTTGTGCTAAGATCGCTCTTGGACGGAGATGGTCTCGTAGATAGCCACTGTTTGCGTAGTTCGTCATTCTTCAACGGAAGACGATATATACGTGCACACGAAGTTGGCGTTCCGCGTCCAAGCAGTGTGACCCTAACTGTGGCCAAATACGGTTTATCGTCAGGGAACTTCCAAGTTCGTGCACTTGTGTTCAGTTCTGATGCGGTTCTGGCATCCAATCTCCAATGTTCAATACTCAGCTGGGGTAGGGTATCCGACTTGGAGTCTAACGTCTCCTTCAAGCCGCTGCTCTCTGTGTCCTGTGTCTCATCCATGATGTCCGACTGCATCTTCTGGACTATCCTTTTCCAGTCACATGCCCAACCTCGCCCGATTTCTCCTTTCTGACCATTACCTAGGTCAAGACTGTCATATTCAATTCTTTTCCCCTTGGGCCTCCTTTCCCACTCTTTCTTCCGTTCTTCGTCTTCCCGAGCATTCCATTCCCAGCCGGCACGTGTTCCAGGATAATCGCCCGGAAACCATGGCTGCCCATACTCAAATGCTAACTGGCGTTGTTCCTTGATACCGCCAAACCGAGGTTTATCTCCACTAGATAGTGGGTAATACATGAGCACATACCACAGAGGCGTGACACATCTCCAGGGTAAGAGAACCGTCCAGGTACCGTGATTGTTCATGTTTGAACCGCTTTCTGGCCGTGATGCATATACCATGACGGGTATTTGAGGATCAGTATTTTGCGCTTTGAGTGGCACTCCCGGGCCAGCCAATGTCCTCCGCCGATTCAAGGCTTTTTGGCTCGGTAGACGACGGCTTGCGGTCAGTCGTGCAGAGCGGTCGAACAGATCTGGCGAGCTCCGGTAACGATCTGGAGGCCAAGAAGACAGTATAGTTGCCAGATTATTCATATCTGATTCAGATGTCGAGGGCTTGAGAGTTTTCACAGGGTAGTGTAGTCGAGGGTCGCTAATGGAAAAAGACAACAGAGCTCCTTTTGGTAATGAGGACGGATTCGTAACACCGAGAAGAGATTTCCATGTCGTAGAGTGATTATCACCATCTTTCTCCTCCGGCTCATTTGACTTGAAAGGACGCATCGTAGCAAGGAGTGCCTCCGTTGACCCAGGCCCTGTGATCTCAATGCTTCCAATATCAAACCGCAAGTCTTGAACCGAGACAGGCGGATTCTGCTGCTTACATACTTGCAAAAGCGTGTTCCAAAGTTGAAGAAACGCAGACGGATGGACACGAATGAACAATTTGTCGCGTGCTTGTCGCTTTTTCGATGCTGATGTATCGCCAGAATTAGACATTTTTTGATCCTCCTCGACTTTCGGTTTTTTAGCACACCATATCAAAGTCACTGGCGCTATAGGTTTCTTGTCCTCGCCTGCTTCGTACACCCATTTTTGAAGCACTCTTGTACCTTGTCTCCATTTCCTTCCCTTTGATCCCCAATACTCATATCCCTCAATACGTAGACTCTTCAGGACAATTTCTAATGCAAAAAATGTCCCCTCCAGTTGAATGGTAGACATATAGCTCGAATCCCATGCTATAGCGCCCCTCGCTCCCGCAGCTCGATGAGTAGGCCGATAACTCTTTTCCGTGGGCGTCAATGGAACCGCAAATCTCCAAAGCGGTTCTTCTGGAGGAGTCATATGTGCCCGTTTTGCGTGAAACATGTGCGTAGGCAGCCAAGTCTTTGATTGCTGACGTTTCTTATACTTCGATGCGGGCGGTAATGGTTGTGACAGTTTGTTCTTCTTAATTTTGGGAACTCGTGGAGCGATTTTGTGAGTATGGCTTCCTTCAGTCGAAGCCTTGCCTTGTGCTTCCTCATCTCGCTTTGTTTTCAGAGCTGCACGTTTCTCTTTTGTTTTTTGATTTAGGTTCTGAAGTCGGCGCGCTGTTTCTAAGCGGATTCGCAGTATTTTGGTAGGCTTTCGTCGTCGAGAAGTCACCGTGGGAGTATTATCTTCTATCATCTTGTTTGCTTTAGCAAAATAAATTAACAAAACTGGGTTGGACGTGCGAAATCATACCTCCCTCTTAGCTCTTGCCCGCAACCTCTTCGGCACCCTCTTCACATTATGACTCGCAGTCCTTCTCCGCAGCGACCTAGGCACTTTCTGAAACGCGCGACTCGCCAGCGCCCCTTTCGATTTATCGATACCAGCTTCCAGAGCTCGAATCTCATATTCGCGGGCTCCTACGTAGGCGGCAACATCGAGCTCCCCGGTAGCAGAGAGAGCTGCATCGGCGGACTGTACGGCCAGAGCACGAGCATCGTGATTTTTGGCACGCTTGCGAGCTGCATTGTCGGGTTTTGAGTCGGTTGAGGAATGAATAAGCGGGTATTTTCTCTTGGATGGCGCAGTTGCAGCCATTGCAAGTTGGTTGTTTGCGTGAAGATGTTGGCTGTAAAAGTAATTTTCCGAAGATCGCTATGTCAGATCGCGCCAAGGTGGGTCCTCCAAGCCAGCTACAACGCGACTACTAGTACTAGTTACCTAGTATGCAGTACTTACCCCATAGCTACCTTAGGGCTAGAATCATGTATGGTGCATCGAGGATTTGCGTAGCCATTACATTGATGACTGTTCAAAAGATTACTAGTTGGGAAGTGGTTCAAAGAAATTCCAGTCAATGATGCCACGTTATTTACCCGGTAATTGCCTAGTGATTGAGAAATGTGTTCTCTAAGCCTGCTATCATATCATAAACTATTAACACCTTACTGTAACTGAAAAAGATGACAATCCGTTGTTATAGCACGGAGATACAAATCTCACGTGTGAGGCCTTATGTAATTTGGTGTGCGAATCCTACTTTCTATTGATTCACACTTATTTATCAATTTAAGCCCACGTACGAGGCCTTATCTTGTTGTCGAATTTGGTGCACGAATTCCCCAACCTGTGACAGGCGGCCAATCTAGCTACCTAGGTGCCTACGTACAACGAATATCGAAAATAAGGAGGGAAAGAAGAAGAAATTTAACACCCCTCACCAATGAGCTCTTATGTGCGCTTCCTTTGTCCTCCTATTTGCTAATATGGCACCGCTGAGGAGATTCCCGTTACGGCACTGCCTAGGGTCCTTGCCCTAGATGCGGATTGCTCCGGTCAACCCCCAACAGCATCATATCAAAGCTCCAGAGCTCAGGGAACTGTCACACAACCCCCGGATCTAATTGACACACGCTCATGTACGAATCTAGGCTTACAATATCACCAACAAGGCCTCATTCTGGTGTTGAATTTGATGCGCGAATCCCCACAACCCCCATTCTAGTTGACATGCGCACTCACGTACAGATCTAGGGCACAAATCTACATTGAGCCTACGAACGAGCCTACGTACATACGAGATTGGTGGTGCACGTGATGTCATCAGACAAAGTGTCTTTGTTCAATGGAGATAACCCGTCACTACGCTCTTACAACAAACCACTATTTGCCGCTATTGGTGAAAGTATGCCTAATAGGCTACAACTCCAGCAGCCAAAACATTCTACCAACTCTACCAACGTTTTCAAGTGCATCATCTTTATCTATTACTGGTTCTTCCCTAGCGAGTAATTTTGAAAAAGATTACTTTGCTGTTGTCACTTCCAGCGAAGGACACAACATTGCACTGAACCTTGGCATCTAGGTACAGTACCACGAAAATAAGTTTCCGCGCTCTTGTGCGGATAATATGGGTACGAGGGGTGCGACAACTTATTTCATCCCACTGTAAGTAAGCCATTATATGCTTTTTGGTCCAATATGGCCATCGCAGTTGAGCAGGTCGACACTCGCTGGCCCTATCGGGCAGGGTATCCCCGTCTTCTTCGACCTGAGATTATCAACGCAGACGACGAGGAAGAAGCCAGCCCGATTTATAAATCCGAGTACAAGGAACTGGAATCTCGTATCGACACGATTATCGGTACTTACAACATCCCTAAAGGATCACATCCTCCTGAAGTATGTCTTCGAGCACAGAAATTCGGCATGTCTAAGCTATGGCGCGTCCTAGTGGACTGTACCTACGAGAAGGGGAAAAGCGACAGTAAAATGTGGGCAAAAGCCGTGACTGAAATCCACACAGCAGCAAAGGAGGTAGCCAAAGAAGGGAGAGAGGTTGGTGTTGAGCTCTGTGATAGGGCATTTGAGCGCAGTTCTCATATCTGTACGCCTCCTGATTCTAGTAGTCTGGAGGCAAACTGGGACGTGGGACGAGATTATTGCCACCAGATTCTTCAATTATTCGAGAATCGCCCTACCATGTTCCAGATTATGACTCCCGTCGGCCGATGCTCACGGGGTTGGCATGAATATGAATGGACGACAGTTGTTCTATTCGAGGCGATAGATGCTGAGGACGTTGCATGGGATTTCCTAGAAGAACGAATGCGCGCTCTACTACCAGATGATATCGGTATTGAAATCCGCCAGCGAGCGAACCCACTGTTCTGTTTTGATGGTGCTCCTGGAATTATCGCTTACCGACAGCTGGACCTCAAAGCATATGTGAGACCTCCTAAGCCCGGGTGCGAATTCAGTCAACATAACCAAAATACAAGAGCAGGAACCATGGGTGGCTACATCGTCACAGAGGCAGCCGATACCAAGATGAGAACGACTTTTGGAGTGACGAACGCGCATGTGGCGCTAGGAAGTAAGTTTCAAACACTGTATGCCACCTGGATAGTCATTTGCTAAGAGAAAATTTCATAGGCTACAAAGAAATGTCTCTCAACACATCAGCCGATTATGACATCAACTTTCAATCGCCGAGTGGAAGCCGTCGCATAAAACATGAAACTGTACTGCTCAATGAAATCGCGAAAGCCGAAAGCAGAATCCAGACTCAGCATGAGATTATCGAATCGATCCAAGAACAAGACCCTGTTCTCTTTCAGCGCTTAGGAAAATCTCTATCAATCAATCAGGCAAATCTTGCTTTCCTGAAAAAGGACCTCCAATTAGTTCAAAGCGATCTCCATATTGGATCAGTATACAAGGTGAAACTCGGCCATAGTGAGTACAAAACAACCGCAGGACAGACAGAGAGACTTGTGATGGATCTTGCCTTGCTCAAAATAAAACCAGACTGTTTAGCACATGAAAAACCTCACGAGATCCATTGGAAGGAGAACTTTGAAGACCCGATAATCGAAAAGGATACAACATGTCACTTTTGGGAGGTTGACTCACTGGGGGAGCATATCAAAGTCGTTTCAAGACTATCCCGGTCAGGATCATACACAATGGGCACTGTGAGCAATTTCCAAGCCTACTGTGTAGAACATGAAGAGGAGGGCCGCTCAGGAGAATTCAAGGGATTCGCCTGGGTGATTACCTGCCCTCGGAGGCATGGCAATCCCGATGAGCCGGATGCACGGAGGCCGTTTGCCGCACCTGGGGATTCCGGTTCGTTCGTCATTGCCGCTGCAGATTGGAAGTATGATGGAAAGGAGAACAAGATAACCATGCTACCTTCAAGGGAGGCTGCGGTGACCAATGATCCGTCACAACATCCATTCACTGTCGGTCTACTTTTTGGCGCATCTGATTCGTCGGACATAGCATTATTCATTCCATTCGATGCTGTGAAATCAGAAATTGAATCCATGACAGGGGAAAAATTAGTATGGCCACAAAAACGCACGGCGTCCCTTAAGGAGGCGAAAGCGAGCTTGCCCTCTTGGATGAAGGATGGACAAGATAATTTATGTGGATGAATGCCCTCGGCGGTTGATTCGTGGCTATTATTATCTAAAACATTCCCATTGAAAACAATCAAAGTTTCTCGATACAAGATGAAGGCGTTGGGGAGGGCTTCTGTTCGCTATCACCAGATTCTGCTGTAGTCGGCATAGCTTTTATATTATGTATACATTAGCTTTAGCTAGCTTTAGCTAGCTTTAGTGAATTCAAGACTGATGCAATAGATAAAGGACGAAGAAGAAGAAGATGAAAGAATGAAAAATTGAGTAATAACTACTCCAAAATAGCTCAAACAACTGACCAGCACAATGCAGTGATTATTCAAAGAATGACAAGAAGAGAAGTAAAACAGTCAAACTATCTTCGATGGGAATAATTGCTCAGAAAAGGAGAGACTTGACATATATGAGATACGAAGGGGACATGCACCTAAGGCACATTATCTAGAATTTTGACCATCTTTTTGGACCGGACTGGGTCTTCAACGACAAATGACCGCCGTTTCAAGACCAACTCCAAGGTATCAACGACTTTATGAAAAGAGGAAGCTGCACCGCGCTCTTGACGGAATCGAACGAGACTTAGATTGGCGTGTCGTCCGTGTTCGAGCACAGTGAAGAACTCTGCAGAGAATTCGACCGGACGTAGATTGAGGTCTGCATACACGATTAGCTTTAGCCACGAACCATTAGGAGGATACTTACAGTTCGACTCGCAAACACGTCCCCGGACTACATTCTCAGCCCTGTCAAGGAATACACCGTCCATTCCGTAAACTTTCCACTCACGAAGCGTTCTGTAAATCTCCTTACGAATCTTCACTTTCGGTATCTTGAATGCAATAATTCGTACTGCGGGCTTGACGTGGAAGAATCTGGCAAACCAATTCTGATTGGCACCCGATAGTCGACGTGTGCGGTTTGTAGAGGGAACTGGAACGTGGCTCAGTGCAGTATCATTTGATTCAATCTGACGTAGGGCATCGTCTTGATCATGCGATGAGTCTCCTATTTTGTCTTAGCCTGCCACTTCTGATTTGATATCAGCTCACTACTTACCTGTAAGGCTGTCACTGTCCGTCTTGTCTATTTTCCTCTTGCTGAAAATCTTCAGGAAACTAGAACGAGACTTTTCTGCGGATGCTTTTCTTGGAATCTTCTTTTGTTCTGTGTCTAGAGGAGCCTCAATACTGATTGAACCTGCCGGAGCTGTCTTTGCGCTCGGTAAAGTCGCTTCCTGATCGTTTTCATCATGTACGTAGGACTTGTGTTTACCGAACCACGACCACTTCTTCTCGTTGGATGATTTAGCACTGGATCGACGGGAGTCTGGGCCTTCCGATATCGTCTCCAATACCATCGGAAGCCGTGAATTATATCGTAAACTGGTTGCAACGGAGTCGCTGCTTGTTCGTTGCTCGGATGCAACACCTTGCTTGCGAATATGAATGACGGAGTCAGCAGAACTGTGGCGCGATCTGCTTATCGGAGCAGGAATCCCGGTAACAGCACTTCTTTTTCGTATTGTCAAAGGCTTGATGTCATCAATGGATGGTAAAGAAGAGTCTTTTGGCACCACCCTAATGGTAGATTTTGTTTCAAGATTCTGCGAGACTCTAGGAGAAGGTTCGGGTGTAGCATGATGATCAACGCGATGTAGATCATAGCCACTTGATGTCTCTAACGGTGTGAATATCTCTTCAGATATAGAAGGCAAATAGCCCGTATCCACAACAGGTTTCGGAAGTGGCTCAGACAGTATACGCCTATTTGGGTTTTCAGCAACAAACTCGGACTTGGCCTTGCTGCGCGCGATATCTTGCTCAATTAATCGATCGAGATGGGCTATGACTTCGCACAGATAGTCTGGTAGGCCTGCAGCCTCGGCCTTGGTAGAATGCTCGATTAGTTTGCGACGGGTTTCGGCAAGCTCCTTCACAGTGTAAGATGCTGGCAAATCAGCAATCTTGTCTAGTGCCTCGCTGCTTTCACCTGCATGGGACCTTTCTGCTGCTTCCTCATGAATGGACATAGATGTGGCAGTAGTCGCAGTGCTAACAGCCGTATGCCCAGTAGAAACCGACGATCTGTTGAAGGCTTCCTCGCAAATTTGACTGAGCTCGTGAGAAACTTTTCTCGCTTCTTCTCCCCAGAAGTTATCCCTTATCTTCCTCACCAATAAGTCTTGCTCTAGACTAGCAACAACATCTGATGTACGGACAACTGCAGGTTGCGCTGGAAGCACAGGACTGCTCATTCGTACGGAAGATGGTGCGGCAGTAAGTAGATTGGAGCTCTTATCGTTAGCCAACAAATGAGCAATGGAACCCTGCGACTTGGAATAATCTCCTGCTGATTTAGCTGAGGAACCTCCACCGGATTTATTTCTGACATGGCGAAATGATACATTCCGTCTATATCCAGCTCGATGTTGAGGTGCGGGACTATAACCACGACGGGACGTGGCCAAGGAACTTTTTGACTGAAATGAGCGTTGTGCCTTCTTTTTCCTGTTCCATTGTATAATTTCGACGGACGAGCTTGCAATGATATCTGCCCTCGGAGGAGAAGACGGGGGAACAGCATCATCTTCCACTTCCACAACTACATCCTCTGGTGTTTTGTGAATAGCATCATCTCGATGAATGGTAACCTTCGCATATTGCACTGTAGACGTAGCTACCGGAGTTCGAGATGCTCTGAATGGGTCATAGCTGGCAGATGATCCGGGCTCTCTTCCACTATTACTGCGCCGACTCGCTTCGGTAAGGATAGAGAACTGAGATCGACGGCGACTATGTCCTTGCATTCGACCATTTTTCGAGTGCTTGGCTACTGCTCTTGTGGCAGCGGGTGGACGAGATATGTGATGATAGTCGCTTGCAGAGTACTCAAGGGGCTGTCCATGGTAGTTCTCCAACTGTTCGTCGCGAAATTTGATGAGGGCATTGTAGAACATCTTCTCGTGATTTGGCCTATTTCTACTTAGAATAATGGATCCAGAAGAAGAAAGGAACGATACTTACTCTAGAGAGAGAAGCCGCTCTATTAGGCTTTCCGTATTAGCACTATGCCACAAAGTCTGAAGGCTTCGCAGAAGCTCCAGGTCAATGTCGGCACGAGAGGGTACGGCTGGACCACAATCTTTGGCTGATAGAGGTGGTGGAGGACCAAGTTGATGTTGAGACATGGCTTGATGTAAGATCTCATACTTTTTGAGAAGGGGATGATTGAACATGCTTTGTATACTGATTCGGTCCTCTGGTCTCTTTTGTAGAATCCTCTGAATCAAATCAGCTGCTTCTACCGACAGCCATGTGGGTATATGATAGTTTCCCTTCTTCACCAAATGTAAAGTATTCGACAGGTCGCCACCATCAAACGGTAAGAAGCCGGTCAATAGTGCAAAGAGAATAATTCCACAACTCCAAATGTCAGCTTTATCACCGCGATATCTTCGACCGTAGATTATCTCTGGAGCCGCATAATGAGGACTTCCGCATGAAGTGTTGAGCCAGTGACCCGCTGGTTGTAGAGCAGCCATGCCAAAATCCGCTAGTTTGATGTTGTGATTCGGATCCAAGAGTATGTTTTCGGGCTTGAGATCACGATGGCAAATGTTGAATCTATGGCAATATGCAAGTCCAGAGATTATTTGCCGAAATAATCGAACCGCTTCTTCTTCGGGAAGAGGGCCGTGAGTTGATACATAGTCGAAAAGCTCGCCGCCTTCGACATATTCGAGAACAAGATAGCTGTCAAAGTAAGCAGCCAAGTCAGAGGAGTGATGCATTTGTTGTCAACTTACAGTTCGCCTCGGTTCTCCCAGATGTCGTATAAATTGATAACGTTGGGATGTTCAATCAGTTTCATAATTACTACCTCTCGCTCGATTCCAAATGGCATTGGCCGTGTAGCCTGGTCTCCTAAAATAGATGCATTCCTATCCATCGCAGCTATACTTTCGCTCTGGACCATGGCCGCAGATTTTTTCGACACGATTTTTATCGCCGCAGCTTGCCCTGTCACCGCATGCTTGGCCAATCTAACGCGGCCAGTGGCGCCTTTGCCCAATGTCCTTCCCAATTGCCAAGGTCCAACATGTGTTTTTCGTTTTCCTTTCCCTGAAGCTGTTGAAGTGGTTGATATCGCTGAGTTTCGGTTCGAAGTAGCTGGTGAATCAGTAGCTACAGAAAGCCGTGCGGTATCTGCCACCACTACAGGCGAATTATGGGTAATTTGAGGTTGTGTGGTTTCAATTGACTTGAGACGTTCGTGACGGGGTGTCGTCGGATCGACTCCAGGTGTTATAATCGTTGGACCGTGATTTGAACGAGCAGCAGCATCTGCCAGGGGCTGCCTACCCTGTGCCGAGCGATTTCCAGCATTATCCATGGCGTACCCTGCAAGTACGTCCGTGGTTGCGACTAAATGGCGCAGTCCAGTATTCAAAGGCTCGATATCATTCCACTTGAGCTTGGTTGTCCTGGTTCTGTCGGGCGTATCAAGGCACTACAGGCGTAAGATCTCGTCTCGACCGAGACAGTACTTCTTTGTTTCCTGCAAGTTGTAGACGCTCTTGGTGTTGCAAGTGTTGTCCAATATCGACGAGTCCAGCACAGTCAGTGGCAAGATATCGATTGTAGGGATTCTATGTATTAGTCAAAAAAGCAAAGTCGAGAGATAAAAAGCAAATAAAAAAAAATACTTAAATGAGGATGAAGAATAATAATGAGTGTGAAACCTATAGAAGTGAATGTGACATGGAGCGAATGACGAAGTGTCTATAGACAGACAGCTGGACAGCGTTGTGGTGCTAGTTGTTGGAGATGAAAGAGAGAGAGAAAGAGACATGAGGGAATAGCGAGACCAGCATGACTGAGGATTGGATACACACAATGAACAAGCAAACATAGAGGAAGAATGGGATCTGGAGTATGAGGTTTGTTGATAACCCCGCGCCCATTCCTGGTGGCCTTGTTTTTGAGGAATGTGCATGCCCTGGCTCTTTCCCTTTCTGCCAGCAACCACTACCACAATAAACATCCCACGTACAACTCTCTCTCCCAGCCTTAAAACAAGGGTTTTCTCTCGTGTATGATTTATCTGCTATCATACTGTCAGTCCTGAGATGCTCTGTAGAAGGTAGTCTATCTTGATACTCGAATCATGTCAAGTATCGTTGGTAATAGCTTTCATTCCACGATCAAAACAGCTAATTCCAAGCGCCGATCAACAACACTACTCTGTTATCGCCCAATCGACGATTAGCTAGATTCCTGGAGTGAACATTCCAGTTGAGGCATGATGATTTCACAGTCAAGGCCGAGGCATTCATACATTGAAGAGGTAGACTCTGTTCATAGGCATTGATATTTATTCTAGGAGATTCGCTACTGAGGGTGTGTGCCGTACACCTAGGTATGACTGAGTATCGTATTGGCTGATGTCTACCTTGTGGTGGTGCCGAGTCGCGTGGATGCATTCCTATCCCTTCCTGGCCAGAAATTGAAATCATAGCGCAGAAATGACTGATAGAAAGCAATTCTGCTGAAATGTGATTCGTATAAGCTTGAACACCATAGTTTGGTAGTTATTAAAGGAAATAATTCGAGAATGCGTAGTTGAATGGAGATGAGGTTATTCTGGCTCACACAAACTGCCTAATACGGTATGGCCGGCCCTCTCACGCAGAACAATCGAGAAAACATCCCTTGCTGTGCACCTGATTACCAATGCTGCTCTGAAATCTCGGCCTGGTCGACATCCACCCCTTCCACAAACCATCGACCTTCGCCATTCCCATCGGACCCTAAAACAAGGTCGTTCCCCGACATCTGGCGCTTCCGCATCTTGCCCGTTTCATAGTCAAACGTCCAGTCTTCCAGACCATAGCATCTCTTCCACTTCATCCCATCGCTGGAGTCTTGATACTCGTACCAAAACTGCACGGCGATGCGGTTGTCAGTAAACGCAAAGAGCTCTTTGCGGAGACGGTAGGATTTCTCCTTTTGCCATTTCTTGACAAGAAAAGCTTTGACCTCATCTGTGCCTGAGAGGAAGGAGTCCCGGTTGCGCCAGATTGTGTCGGGAGTATATGCTTTCGATACCCGTTCAGGGTCTCTGGAGGGTGTTAGCATCTCTTCCTCCTGCGCCGGCGTCTACGACGTACTGGGTGTTCCATAAGTCTTGAGCTGCCTTGACCTTCTTGCGGGCAGTCTCTGCAGTGAATGGGGGTTTGATGTCAGCCATGATAGCGATGATTATCTCTCTTCGGTTTCAACTAGTTGCTTGCTTATATATTCGATTCTTGGGTGGCACTGTGGACGTGCGAGTAAATATATAGTAAATAGTTAACTTAGCGCTTGATGGAAGGATGACACATCTGCGACATGAGCTTATTCAAGGTTGCTCCACTAATTGCCTGTATAAGCAAGTGCAACCGTGAGATGATTCAATGATTGATTAGCAACGCTCTAAAAGCTCGATTAGGAAGATCTAGACGGCCAATCAGATATGCTCCGTCTCTTCTACATACCACCATTACTATGTATTATGTATGGTTCTTTGAGTAGAGCTGTAGTTCATATTAGCTGTAGTTCATATTAGCTGTACCGCACCTACTACACTACATAGTAGCAGTGGTGGATCATGACGGAGAGAGACATGCTCAGGTCCTTCCGAATTCGGCATAAAGTGCGCGCGCATCACGTGGCCACGCGTCACCTGCAAGTCAACGAGCGTGTCAGTTCTCCGCTAGTGAGGGGCAACTCACGCAAACTCGGAAACTTCCCGCCGAGATCGCTGATTTTTCACCTTCTGGTCGGCTCTGCTCTTTTCAACTTCTGGCGAATTCGATCTGCTTCGGCCCACTCTGCCATGCTATCTCGAGTGGTCTGATCTGATGCAATTGGACCGCCCTGGATTTGTCATGGAGACTCGCCAGACTCCCAGATTAGTCACATCGACGTTCTGGCTCGGGTCGGGTTCATCATCGGCTCCTCCTGGACTGCTGCCACGCGGATTCATTCACCTTCCTGTCTAACAAAAAGCAATTGGCGACTTGAGCGGTTGTTGACTGGTCCGCCTATCAGATGGATCATCGGCTTGCAATTTGGTATGGTATGACCAGTGAAAAAACACATGCGGTGAAAAGACGGCCATCGGGTCCGGCGACGGCTTATCATGCGATTGTACCGTGTACCCACAGCAATCTCGGTGGGCGAGGGACAACCAAGGTACCACCGAGAGTACCTGGGCGAACCTATATAAGGCCATGACATGTCTATCGTGCCGTCCGCCTCCGTGACATTTATCTGATCTGATAACCTTTCACATCACGAACTACGCTCTATCATTACAGTCCAACATCCAAAACACTACATACACACACTTCACAATGTCTCTCCAGCCAGGTGACCAGTTCCCCGAGAACGTTGTCTTCTCGTGAGTGCTCTCCCTGCTGATTTTTTGTTGTATGTCGACACTAACCGGTCACAGCTACATCCCTTGGGTCGAGGAGTCGGCTGATATCAAGTCCTGCGGTATCCCTATCAACTACAACGCTTCCAAGGAGTGGGCCGACAAGAAGGTTGTAGTCTTCGCCTTGCCTGGTGAGTCCTGCAAACTTTTTCGCTTTTGCTTGAGAACCAGCTACTAATACTCCTTTTGCAGGTGCCTTCACTCCCGTCTGCTCTGCCGCCCACGTTCCCGGATACATTGAGAACCTTCCCGCCTTGAGGGCTAAGGGTGTTGATGTTGTCGCCGTTCTCGCCTACAACGATGCCTACGTCATGAGCGCTTGGGGTAAGGCTAACGGCGTCACTGGCGACGACATTCTTTTCCTGTCTGACCCCGAGGCCAAGTTCTCCAAAAGCATCGGCTGGGCTGACGATGAGGGCCGTACCTACCGTTACGCCATCATCATTGACCACGGCAAGGTCACTTTCGCTAAGAAGGAGCGTTCCAAGAACGTTCTTGAGGTGAGCTTTCTCGCATGCTTTGTTGATTCATTCGAAGTCACTAACCATTCCTTCTCATCGAAATAGGTTACCGACGCCGAGTCTATCCTCAAGGCTCTTTAAATGTTTTCATGACTTGACTTGCCAGCGTATCCGTGACGATCAATCTCTTCGCCGACGAGGGCGAATTCTTGGACGAGCGGAATAATGACCTTTCCTTTGTTTTAGAATTTGCTTGAGATAGACTACAATGATAGACATAGAATCCACGAACAATTTTGTTGTCACATTATCCATTGAAAACTCCTGTTGGTCGTTTCTATGTCTCGGCATAGAGATTACACGTACTAGTACGTAGGGCTATCAGATCGGGACGTACTCCGAGATGCTGAGAAGAACCACCTCCTGTCACCCAATCTGACTTGGTAAACCATAGAATGACCGGCATAAAATAAACACACGTTCCGGGTAAAATTCACCATGTTGACTATTTCACACCATCGCAGCTCAACATGCCGGTGGCGATAAGATCGGTTTCATTCCCACTCCGTGCGATGGCTCGGAAGATCCTTGAGCTGATCACAGAAGTGCAAATAGGATTCAATTATCTGCACGATGTTTAATACTTTCTGGGTCGCAGCTGGTGCCATGCCTACTGTTCCGTTTCAAAAGAGGGGACGGTCTTGACTGTACCCCGGCTCCCGCAGTCGCATATATATTTCTTGCTTTCGGCTATCGGTATAGTGAGTTCGTCATCATCAAACTGGGGCAGTTTTCGCTCAAAGCGCATGTTGAAGTGTATCTTAGAAAAACCTATCAAGATGAATGATAAAATTAAAGAGGATTAGGAAATTAGGTCAAGCCCTACGTAGCTCTTCTACAATGACGCAATTGATCACCATATGCACTAGTCCTAGCTGAGCCTAGTACGATATATCTGCTTATCAATGATCTGATATTGAAGACGGCCCCTTCGACTGTACCTTTTCTCACCATCAACAATCACACTCCAGTCATCCTATTGATGTTGACGATGGAGGATGTCAGATATCGGTTCTATGGGCATTAACCCTGCAGACGCAGTCGCTGCCGCGATAGACGATGGCAAGACACATCTCCTTTTAGCCTCGGTATTCTTCTCCGATTCATATTGACTTAGCATCGTTCCACTGACAATCTGTATACAGAGTGGCTCTGTTGCTACCATCAAATTACCCTTGATAATATCCGCTTTGCGAAATCATGCCAACCTCGCGATCCGTGTCGTCCTCACGAAATCCGCCTCTTACTTCCTTCAAGGCCAATCTGCGGAACAGCCCACCATCGCCTCCATAGCCAAGCTGCCTAATGTCGAAGCCGTATACCAAGATGAAGACGAAATGACTGAATCATGGGTTCGTGGTGCGGGAATCTTACACATCAATCTGCGCAAATGGGCGGATATACTGGTCGTTGCGCCGTTGAGCGCAAATACGTTGGCCAAGATTGTCAATGGGATAAGTGATAATTTGTTGACGAATGTGATACGAGCTTGGGATACCTCTGGTCTAGTTGATGGAGGTGCTAGAAAGAGGATATTGGTGGCTCCTGCGATGAATGCAGCTATGTTTGTTACCTTTGCATGTCATATATTTGAATATTTACTGATCGGATTGGACAGGTGGCTGCAACCGATTACCAAGAAACAGATCCTCGTATTGGATAAGGAATGGGGCATTGAGGCTGATGCAGGAAATCTCGAGCATCAAGGATGGTTTGAAGTGTTGAAACCGATTGAGGTATGACTACAACAGAGGTGCCTTTGATTTGACCAATTATAGTTGCTGATTGACCTTTAGAAATCCCTTGCTTGCGGGGACGTTGGTGTTGGAGGCATGATGGAATGGACAAATATCGTAGGAATCATTGAACGACGACTAGATCTTATTGCTCCAACGAAATAAGATCTATATGATTGGCATCTCTGTTCGAAGCGAAGCGTTCCAAAACTGAATAGACTAATATACTAGAGTTTGTCCGGAAAAGTATATAGTGGATGATCAAGTACATTAATTGCTTACAAATAGGTAGTTAAAGTGATGGTCTCATGGACCGTGTTTTAACCATTAAGACTAGGGTATGTAGTAACGACCTTCCAAGTCAACGTGATCATGTCTTAACTTCACATGTATCGTTCAATGTTACATACGGTTTTATTTATTTAGCGGAGATTTGAATAAGTATGACTCTACGGATGAATGCTGAGGTATAAATTCAGGTCCATGTTAGAATAACCTATCAAATGATGACCCTATGGTGTTTACACATCTAGACTCTCCACGTCTGAGGAGTCAAATATATAAATAGTACAGGATTCGAGACTACACTTACCATTCAGGCTCAATCCAATAATCCCTCCAAGCACCCACTTCTGCATCCGCGAATACATCTATACTCCCCTGCACTCCGTCGCTGCCAACACTCCAAATCCCATTCTCCACAAGCTCACGCCACCGGTCCATCAACTTCTCCAATCTCTGAGCCCGCCATTCCCCTCCAAACGGATGGAACGCTCCAAATTGGAAAAGCTGGGTGTGTGATCCTGCGTCTACGAGACTTCCGTCACTCCGCCTGACTGCGTATTGATCCTCGTTAAAATTTGATCTCAGACCAAACGGCAGTAACAGTCGGAATCCTTCTTCGGCAATGTCGCCATCACCTCGGCGGATAAGTTCACTGTACAATCCTGCTAGGATAGGTTGTCCATCTTTGTATGGGACGTTGGGCTGTAGATCGTTGGCGGTCACGAATGTGCGACGAATCTCCTTGTTGAATCCGACGGTTCGCCGTTTATCTGTAGCTGCGAAGATGAGGACAGATGGGATGATTTCGTCACCTTCTTCATTACGAGCTGCTTGAAGGGCTGTAAACTGTTGCTGAGCTACGAATTTGGTAGCGTCATGCGGTACTTCTAGACCAGGTGCGATGTGTCTGAAGCGTGGAGTCCTGACTTTGGTCAGAACAGAGCGGATGAAGCAATCCCGTGGGACGGATGCTGCGTCAAGATCTGCATGGGCCAATAGTGGTGTGTCGGGTGTGATAGTTAACAATGAATCAGACGGCATTCTCGCTTCGATGGCGGCCGAAAGCTTCTCAATCGCCGCAACGGCACTGTCAACCTGCGCGAGACTATAAGGCTGCCACATCCACGGCCCAAGTTGATCAGCAGCCGAGGTCCCTGAACGGCCGTCATCATCCCACACCCTCTGCGGACCGGCAGTAACCTTCCCAATTCGTAGCATGTAAATCCAATTGGTAAGCATGGTCTCTAGCGGAAACCACATATCGAGATGCTCATCAACAGGGCTTACACTCTCAATATTCTCTTGGCAAAGTGTCATGGCTACTTGATGACGCTGCTGGTCGTAAACCAGACCCACGCTGTGCCCCCCATGCTCAGACCAAGAGCCGTAGAGAATGACGAATCGCTCTTTGTTGTCCAAGCTGTTTTCTTCAATGAAGAAGAGTTCATCCGCGGGTATGACTGCCACATCCGCGACCCAGTAGGAAAGCCCCTCATTCGGCACCGGCATGATGATGGACTCTAGGTAAGATATCAGTCCGGCGTCCAAACGGCCACGCGAGATTTCTGAGTCATCATGCTGACGCTCAAAGTACTTAGGACGGGCTAACAACTCGTCGAGATCTTCAGGACTGCGCTGGTGATATGCCATCCAGCCGTAGGCCACTAGATAATTGTGCAGTCTTGCGCAGCGCTCATAGTCTAGACCTTCCGTGTCGGTGCGCGCCGGGTTCAAGTCCGATACTAATGCATCGTCAATGTCGAGAAGGAGTCGAGGGTTGGCCATTAGGTCTAAGTTGCTCGTTGCAGCGCTAGCTGTAGGAGCGTCGGCTTGCTCTTCGCCAAGTAGAAGGAGAAGAACCGCTGCCAATACAATTACTAACAGCCCGACTATTTCTGACGGCCTGGATGACAGGAGCGGCATATCGTGTTAGCCAGAATCTGTTTTCTGCATTTCTGCGTGTGGTTGTCAGCTGCGTTCTGCCTGAACCGGTTCTTCCATGATCGAAGGTGAGATCTTGAAGGAAGAACATGGGTACCTGCGGCAAGCTAGTTAGTCCACTAACTAATTAAGCACTAAAGCCTTGCCCTCGTCACCATCCTCACGACTGAGCATGAGCATGGCTGATTAAATGTCAATCCCGTCAATATCCAGATGCATTTCAGTGCATATCACAAAATACACCGGTACCAGACGAAAAGCTCCATACCAAAATAGCAATACCAAAATTACCCCGTAATGTACGCTACGATGCATGCGGCAAGGAAGCGTAACTTACTGCGTAGTACAAGAAAAAGCAAAATTAATGGGGGCTGAATACGTAACATACAACTAGCTCTTGGCGGGACGGGCCGCTTGCTGGGAACAACGCTACGTAATTCTACTTTCCGCAGGATTCTACTAGTAGTTACCGTGTCTGAATGGAGAAGCCTTTGCATACCGTATCAGGCACAGTCGTGTTTGCAATTCATCTAGTATCATTCCGATCATCGATCATCACCGCACTGCCAGCCTGTGATCTGCGTGAACAAAACATTTACTTTGGGCGTTGACTCGATGTCGGGATCATCCCAGCCGAGGTATCATCTCTATGAAACAGGTTCAAATGCTACTGCAACTGCACCTGTCTGTAGCATCTGGAATAGAGAAATTTTGATAGAACAAGTAATTGATTGATCAGACAGCCGCCCATACATAAACATAAAGTAATCAGTTATCCACTCAAACAAGGGGTAAAATCTAAAACAAACACGCAATCTCGAACGCAAACACAAAATAATCAGATAGCCACCCAGAAACAGAAACAACATGGATTACAAGTCGGCATAAAACCTGGAAAGTCACACGCGCACCACACAAGGATCAAACAGATTCGGACCAAGTCGACATCGTGCTCGGACCCAAAGGGTTCCAGACCAGTCGAAACGCAAGTAACAGTAAATCAGCAAAATGCCGCTAATCTCGCAACTTTTGATTCCACCCATGCCATAACCAGTATCTCGTGCAAAAAGGTCCTTGAAGCACCAAACGACCAGTAACCCGAGGATGAAATGTCACAAGAACCGCCCGAAGCGCTCAAAGAATCACGAAAGTGCCACCGTACGACAGATGCATTATTTGGAAAACGAAAAATTCGCAAACTGCCACCCGAATATTTTGGCGAAAAGAGACGAGAAATGATGCCGCCCCGTTCCCATGAATATTTCACATGGTGTAAAAACACAAAAGACAGATGTCCATCCGGAAATATATCGCGACCAGAGTACCAACGGAATAAAAGAGAAAAATCAGTGCAGCCTCCCGTGCAGAAGAACAAACATGGCGTAGAACATGGAAAGTCATTGAAGACACATTAATGGGTCGCCCCAAGTATTTTATCAGAATGAAATCTTCCGTCTTTCAATAAGTCGATACGAAAGAAAACGATGAAGCAGAAATTCGAGTAAACAATCGTCCGGAGTCTCGCAAGATATTGAGCTAACATCATCAAACAGGACTGAACCCGGAATGTAGTCTGAATCAGTCCTGTAGTCTATGACGTTCGCCTTCGAGTCTTCGTTTCAGAAAGCAAAGAGATTGTACCCTGCGCCAGGCAGGGAAGAGAGGATCTAGTTAACGCAAGCGTCCTGCAATCCTTCCAATCCAAGGTAGTGGATAATCCAGCCATTCACTACCCAGCTGTCTCGGAAAACAATGTTGTCGCGTACAAGAAGAGCCCCAAACAGTTGTGAAACTGCGAAACAATGCGTCGTGGAGGAGTAAAAATGATAATGGTGGTAATAAATGATAGTACAGCTTCGGCTCGCCGTGCGCAAATTATGGAATTGGTTGTGCGACCTGCACAGGGGTTCATAGTCCATCGTATCGTTGAGGGAGCAGTGTCGCCTAGCATCTCAAACATATTTTGTAATCTTTTTTTTCGTGTAGTCGTATCGTCGCCGGGAGTTCATAGACACCACAGCAAGTCGCACATGCTGACTCAGAATCGAATCGCTGAGTTTTAAACCTTTCGATTCAATTGGTTGAGCATATCGCTGTCTGTACTGGACCGGCCACCGCTTGCGCTGGCTGCATCACCAGGAGGGTTATTGAGAATATCTCGAACATTCAATCCTCCACGTGAAGGGCCTGGAGTCGCAATTGGAGGCGGAGTTCCATGGGCTGGCATTGGTGGATAGCCTGGACGATCGTAGGCATAAGATTGTGGAGACGGACGTCTATCCTGTGGCGGGCCATGATAGTAGGGTGCTGGAGGGAAACCTGGTGCTTGAGGGCCTGTGGAGACTGGCGCGAGGTTGATGGGCTCGGGATACTCGAAGCCTGCACCTGAGCCTCGTCGACCTCCCTGCTGGCGCTAGACAGTATGTTAGCCCATGATGAATCGCAGACAGAAAGCTATGAACCAAACTTACTTGATCGTGAGGCACATGGTGCTGTATAGGAGGAGGCGGAATTCGATCATCCATATGAGGAGGACGGCCATAGGGAGCTTGATAATAAGCACCTTGTGGTGGAGGAAGTGTGCTCTCAGGCATCGCTTGCTGTTGTGGCGGGAGAGGTTGGCCATGAGCTCCATATAACACGACGTTATCGCCGGGATAGCCACGACCGCGCCCTCCTTGGGTTTGCGGACGCAGCAAGTGAGGGTAGGCTGCATGGGCGGGAACGAAGGCTTGCGCTTGCGAGGACACCGGTGTGAACATGCATTCCTGGTTGAATCGAACACAGTTGGTGCAGCGTCCATCAGGGGAGCTCTCGAAACCGGAACAACGAATCTGTATGTCTTTTGGGTCAGCAATCATTCTTGAAGATTGTACCTCGTAAATGTAGGGAATGGCTGACCTTGCGACGACGACAATAACGGCAAGCTATAGCTGTTCGCTGCCTCGGGGCGGCGGCTTGGTAGACCACTTGGGATCCTGGTGGAGGTTGAGCGTACATGTCGGGCGGTCGTTGGTAAGGACCAGGAGCAGGTGGAGGAGGTAAACGATGGTAGGGGTCCTGAGAACCTTGAACCTGAGAGTGTACTGCAGCCATGCCAGATGGTTGTGCCTGAGGGTAGGCAGAAGGAGGAGGGTATGCCGGTTGGGGATAGGGCTGTTGGTTATACGGAGCTGCAGGATGCGACTGAGGATAAGAGGAAGGGTAGGTCGACGGCGGCGGCGGCGGGTATGTTGACGAGGGACGTGTCGATGAAGGACGCTATTGTTTTGGCGAGCTCTGCTGTCAGTGACGCGTTGGAAGATTGATTGGTCTGTGGAGAGATCTTCGAGGTACGAAAATATGTGGAGATCCAAGACCAAGATCTTCCTGGGGTAGTAGTAAAATAATGAAGGGAGCGGTCAGGAAGAGTGAGTTGTGCCAGGACATGAGAAGTAGAGATAGGGATGAGGGAGGAAGAGGTAAAGAAGAGGAAAGTCTAAATGACCAAGGTCCCACCACTAGGGGCGAGTCCAGGTATATAAAGACTCAGGTGCGTGTGACTCAATGATGATGGGAAACGGGCGGAGGAGTATTATTAGATTGACTTACGTTATTATTGTCTCCGGCGTTCCACGACTGCTGCTGGGGTGGATGTTGAGGGTTGGGTTTCTCGCTGTTCCACGATTGTTGTGGATGAATGCCCTGACCGCTATGATTTGACATTGAGGAGTCTAGGGTGCAGACGCGTGAAGCTGCAGTCACAACAAGTGGAGAGGCGAAAATGGGAAACGAGAGAAGAGAGGGGGGGGGGRGGGAGAAGAACGAAGGAATTACAGGAAAGGAAAAAAAAGAAGTGTGATATCAGGTTGCAGGGCCAGTCAGCTTGGGAATGTAGAACCGGGGGGCGTGTTGGACTTTGGGCTGGCAGCTGCACAGTGGTGGACACAATCCGACAGGGCCGACAAGGGCCGGCGCAGAGCACTCGGATGGGGCCCAATCAGCACCAGGGCACGGCGAATCACAGCGATTACCAGCGTGCTCGGCTGATGCACAAGACTAGCATTCGCGTGGTAGACGGGAACGGCTGGAGACGTAATTCGTACGCCGGAAGCCGTCGACAACTTTCGTTGGTTGGCGGATCTAATGGGGACGCTTTTTTTTTGTGGGCAGGGAGGGGGCTGTGGGCGCGGACCACTTGAGAGAGAGCCCACTGGCACTCTCGACTCTCTTGAAGATTCCAGAGACGACAGGCAACGCAACAAAGACGGGACGAAGGGACGGATGGAGGAGGAGGCAAGGGCTTGCGAAACGATGATTGCAGCAGCGTGGACCGTGGATCGCAAGGGACAATTTCCTCGGCAGGATGATACTGATTGGTGATAGATTGATGATTCGCAGTAAGCCGCTGTGGACACGAGGACTAGGATTGATTGTATTGCATATTAAGGATTCGAGAGGAGCGGCGTGTCTTGGAACTAGCGGAAAGAGGCTGCAACTTTGCGGTCATGGAGTCTGTAGGTAGTACAGATGGATGGGTTGAATCGGTGAATCTGAGAATTCGCAGGAGAACGGCGACATCGACGGAAGACAAAAGACGAATAATCAAAGAATGAGCGGAAGAAAGCAGAGAATGCAAGATGAAGTTGTTCTCAGAAGGCAAGAACCATCGTGACAATGCCACTTGGCAAGAAGTCGTCGGTTGGGTCCTTCCTCACGTTGTGCTGGTGCTGCATTCAGGCAGGTACTCGGTCGTTCCTTCCTTCCGTATACAGTCATCACACGCAGGCGCATGTACCTCTACCTACATCTACATCTACATCTACACCTATTCTGCATGCACTTCACACAGTCACAACGTCCTTGCAAGTCCAGGTCAAGTACGGTGTACTCCATTTTGGTACAGCGTACAGCGTAATTGTACGTACATGACCCGTACGGTACTAGCCACTGACTAGTGGAGTGGCACCAGAAGCGGTGTACTAGTAAGCTGTACTAAGCACTGGGTTACCGCGCGCGGTCACTATCGAGGCCATCATGCAGGCGCGGAATGGGGCTAGCCTCTACTACTACCATAGTAGAACTCTGCTTAAGGCTCTAGCCTAAGTAGTAACGCCGGAAATGAAAATAAAATACGAGTACAGTACTCATGAATTTTCACGGCGGAAGTAGACGTGTCATAAGCAATTAAGCCGTTAACTACATAGCAGTGTATATAATGTCATCGACTCTTGTTATAACCGCGCAGAATCATAATACTCCTGATATAGCCAACTTGATATGGCGGTGGGTAGAGATTGACGATCGGAAGACGGCAAGGCGCGAGACGGAACGGGAAGAAGATGGCTCCAAAAGAAGCAATGACGGATCGTGGATCTACAGTCCTCGAATGAGCGTTCTCGATGCAGCCTTCGTTGGTAGATTAGTAGATTCAGAAATCAATTTTCTCCTCCGTCTGCTGTCAGTGCAACCACGTCATTTTTCATTTCATTATTCGTTATTTCATTATTCGTCATTCATGTGACCGAGAGACGGCAGAGTTGCTGACTGAATATGATCTCGATTGTTCTCTCCGCGAGGTTTAGATAGCTGAAGAATGAATATCCTAGCACTCATCGAAATCTCGCTTTGATTGGGATCTCTTTTGGGTCTTCTTCTTGGTTTGTCCAAGTCTGTCGACTTGGCCGTGAGCACTTGGCTACGTCCGTACTAGGCAGTGTTTAACTTTGCACTTTCGCGGCGGAGGGAGGAGCCGGTCCTTTTACGACCCAGTGCCATATCCATGGATCAGCTTAATAGCGCTAGACCGGGATGCACCGCTGGTGTCTTACTGGTAATACGGAGTACCGGTATCACTGATACATCGACTGAGCGTTAGGGCTGTTTTCAGACTGCAGGTAAATTTACCGGTACGAGGATTTGCTGCATCGTCAACTGATCACGTGTATTCGACTCTACTACTTGTTGATGGTCGAATTCGGTACTTTTATTTCGAGGATACTTAATCGCACGATGGATCTACATGTTCATTTTTCGTTTTCTTCCAAGTAGACTCGGCACATGTTCTCGCCCTCATGTACTCCGTACGTGACGGACTCTTTCTGTGACTTGGATTTCTGCACAGGCCGCCAACAAGACAAATCAAACGGGGAACGGGTTGCATATGCATGAGCGCTTAGCCGGGGGTGTTCAGCGGGCCGCGCCGGCGTGATATAGTTGACTTCGCGGGCCAACGAAGAATCGATAAAAAATCAAATTGGCTTCAGGTTGATGTGCAAGCGCAGATTGTGGATATTGAATATCTTAGTGCTGGTATTTGCTGCGTGGTGTTTGGTCGAGCTTAGGCGAGGCTGCGAGCTGGCTTGGTTTTTTTCATGGAATTTACGAGCTAGATCAATCAAGGGTATGGGCTGGTCTCTTGCCTAGAATTAGGTACCTACATTATATTAAGCCCCGTAACGACCCCAAGCATGATGTATGACAGCACTCGAACAATCTACTAGTACTGCGAGAACGAATCACGAATAAAGTCCGAGGGTCGTATATCAGTGGCCTAATCTGAAGAAAAATCGACAGGGATTGCTGTCATTAGAACCATGTGCTGACGTCCACCTGATTTGTTCATGTCTCCAATGCGCCATGAATCCTTAACTGGTGCAGGTGGTGACGATAACGTATTGCATTCAGCTGGACTACCACATGCCACTCCAACCCATACCGAGTAAATCTTGACAGAATCGCTGACTCTACAGAGCTGCGTGTCACGACTTTTACAGGGGGGAAACCATACACCTCTACTCCGTATTAATATTCTATCTCCGACTCACCCGATGAAACCCGCTTCGAAGCGTCGGCGGCTTGGAATTGTGAGTTTGTGACTGACGGTCACTCCGACGGGGGAAAAATCGTGCGTACCAAAAGTTGAATTTTCATATGGGCTAATGTGCAAGAGTTCGCCATCACACTTTGTGTATCCATGGTTCGTGTGGTTTGACTAAGCTGTTAGTTGAATGGGGGGAGTGTGGGCGCGGACGAGCCGTCCCTTCCCTTTGACTTTTGTGTTCTTTTTGTTCGACCTCAGCTGAAAAATCTCATCAACGCGGAACCATACAATTTGAGGTCTTTTTGCCACCGCGGACGAACGGCTCACAGAAATTGAGACAAAATAAATGAAAGAAGAAAACAGGATTCTATTCGTCACATTCAAATGACATTCTCAGCCAATCATTCCTTCCTCAGCCACGATTCATTTCCTTGTTTCTTGGAAATCTACCGTCCGGATCTGCTCTTTCTTTCGAACTTCCTGCGCGTCATCCATCCTCGGTGGAGCAGGGACCTTTCCTCCGTGAAAAAAAATAAATAAAATAAATGATCCACCATTCTCCGATCTTAATTCCCTCTTTGCCTTGACGTGACTCGACGAACTTTTCTTGCTTGCTGGCTTTTCACTGGATCCCGGTCACAAAAATCATTTATGCAAGAACGGCCCGTGTAGCCGCTGCACGTACGTGTAGATTATCTTGGTAACGTATATAGGGCTATGATTAAATGCACTCCATGAGATGTCATCTTTACTAATTTGACAAGCTACTTGAGTATCTGTACAGAGGTGCGAGTTGAATATTCCATCCAATCGAAAGTATAGAAACAGGTGGAAGTACCATATCCTTGACTCGTTCCCGGATTCTGGTCACCGGGTCAAGGAGCACATTTCGCATCCATGGTTCTATTTCGAACCAGCGCATCTCGAATGCTTGGTACGACGGCGTAGTCCGTTTTCATTATTACTTACTCCGTACGTACATACCGTAGTATGGCGACTGGCAACAGCCCAGGATGATGGATCTCGGGACACACTCGGGATTTCGCACATGGGATCCACATCCCAGTCCACTCCCCCATGGCATTTTAGACGAAGGTCGACAGGTCGCGCGACGAATCAGCTTTGAAAACAACGGTTTTCCGGGAAAAGAAAAAAGGATATGTGACCGTCATAGATGTGAGACATCTGAGTAAATCTCGATTCTCGAGTCTACTTCGTTCATCCGAGGCTAGAATTTCGGGTACCTGCTTTGATTATGTGAAAGTTGATTCAGCGGGATCTGTCCTATTCGGTACACACATAGATGTTCAATCTGGCCAAGCCGTAACGACACCCCACGGAATTAATCAATATTATCACTCACAGTCATGATGCTACTCACCTGACTATACACCACGGAAGCAGGTCCCTTGCACCGTCTCTTCACCGCTCAATGGTCACCCTACATCAATCTATCCTGTGGATGTTGACCGCCAGTTAGTAAGGGCAAGTAAGTGTCATAGCATGAAGGCACATGCAGAGAGGGTTAGTATAATACGTACAGTACAATACGAAACACACCAAAAAACAATACAGTTAGCGTCCGGTACTTAATGGAACAAGCGGCAGGTTTCTCCTCCCTCTCTTGCTGCGTTGGGTAAGGCGGCCAAGGACTAAGGATGAGCGGACCGAAGCCACGCTGATTACTGGGACTCCAATCAGACTCCGTAGCCGGCTGATCCACCTCGGAAGCCCGCAGGCAGTTTCGGTCACATGCTCTACTAGTGGCCAATGAGGCCCAAGGGCGATGTACTTCTATTCTACTTAGTACTTAGTATACTTGCTACTATAGTATTTACTAGCACTAGCAATCCCCCATCAGAATCAGGCATTCATGCCTGAGTCTTGCCTGTTTTGTCAGTCGAATTTACTGTGTAGTCATTTCTGTCGCGCTGATATTCTAGACTGCGCTATGCATTGTACTCCGAGGCAAGTTGCATACTGTTGTTGGCTTACTATGACTTGCATGTTTATGTAGCGCAACACTCTACAAATCAGCTAGGCAGCTTGAGAATACACTGTGAATATGTTATCATCCATGTTATCTTCTTCTCTCCATTGTAGTAAAAAATTCCCAATCCGGAAGGAGGACCTTCCAGGAACAAGGCAATTGAAGCGAGCTGTGAAGGAAAGCGCCAACCTCGAGTCAACAAAATACGCCATCACTACCTAAATCAAGCAACTCAGACACACATGCTAGCAATTTTTGAATTTGTGATAATCTCCCAACCTTGCATGAAAACCAACATCCGTCGTCCAGGCTGAGCCAACCGAACAACTTATTCGGATACCTACGGACGTGGTACATGTACATGGTACTACTACTGCTACTATTACCAAGACTGCTCAAATATCAGATGTTCAACCGACTATCTGTCTTGACACGAAACACTCGCCACGTTGGTTTAATGCAGGGCTGTATGACATCTGGGAGGAGGTCAAAGCCAACTCATCGTCGGGCGTTGAAACTTGGTAAGAGAGTCACGCTGTCGATGCATTCATGCCAAATCACTCACTGCGCCGTCAAACGTCTTCATTCCATTATGACAACGCTATAGTGACGAGGCTCTAGACTGCGTACTCGCTTCATTTCCCCATGCTCCATTCTGGTTTGTTGTCTTTCTCCCGATATTATCGACAAACAATAGCCATTGACCTGCAACTAGCCCAAATCAACGCAACTAGCATCTGACTTGCATAACGCCAATGGTCTTCTATTGACGTGGCTAGTAGACAACTCCTACATCCGAAAATTTAGAAAATGTGATGAATCACAAATTTTCGAAAGGGATCATTTACGGCTATATCTTGATGGGTTGGTTGGTCACGAAAGCCGAAAGCTTATGACTAATTGGGTGTCTTAGTGTAAAGTATCCCATGGATCTCGACATTCCTGCGGTCAAGGTCAAGGCATGCCTTTGGGATCAGGGATTGTGTCACGCTGCACTTCTGAATGTTTATTTGCAGGCGGATGACCTCGGCAGCCTTCGGCAGCTTGTCAAGTTATCAAATTCTTGTTGATGGCTAGTTTGACCAAAAGGGATGAACAAAGGTAGGCTTACGGCCCAACTTGGCTGGCATTGAGTACTACCTTCTACACAAGGAAAGGTTAATGCCGGGTATGAATTGGCCCGCTCAATCTAACAATTACTTCATACATACAAACAAGTCAAGATCGCTGCAAGGACAACCATCACACACAAATCATCCTCACAGCCACTACTCACTTTCATCGTCTTGGTCATTCTCATCATCACTTGGCGGGTCATCGGGCATCACAACGCTGTTCAGATACGTTACCTGCAGATGATTGTCAGCGCCAGGTCTGATATTCCTCGTAAAGGAATGGTGCTGCGGGTATGCCCGAGAAAGGCCCTCATGTTAGATGTGGAAATGAGTGAGGGATTATTAAGTTTCCATCTAGTCGATCCCCAGAGCCAATTGATTGACTGATATAGCACAGGGGGACTAATAGAGAAGACTCCCCCTGTCACCATGATGCAGTGACATGCAGTTGAAATGCAAGCCTGGAATTCATTTCGTCCTCTAGAATGTCTCTTTCTCTGAATGGAGTTGACGAAGGAGGGGGTCAACGCCGCTAAAGCGGACCGAGAGCGGGTGGATCAGAGCGAATAACGAGAGGTGAAATCGAGACCAATTCCCACAGAAGGGCAAGTGCGATTGTACTTGCAACTTGTCGGTGGATCATTGTGCTGCATTGCCATGGCATGATTGCAGAAGGTGGAGGCAGAGAGGCAGCTGAAGGAGGGGTGAATCGATGGAAGGGAAGAGGGAGGGGACTACTTACAAAAGGCACCAATACTTGTATCAGGCTCTCAATCCGTGCTTGTGCATCGGGGCTGAGCAGAATTTCGTCCGAGAGTGGTTTACCGACTGTGTAGCTCCGCAATCTGAGTAAATCAATGTTGGGATTATCGTGTTCGTAGCCCTAGGAGTGTCTGTGTTAGTGCAAGGAAAATTTTTATTAAGGACTTAGCAAGGATCCAAAGGGACGGGAAATGATGGTGAACCATGGAACAAAACGGCACTATGCTGCGCCGTCGAAGCCATCGCATCGGCAGATTGGACCAGACATTGAACACACAGAGCACAGCATACGAAGGGAATGACTATCAAGCTCCAATCACAAAGAATGACTCTCTGACCATAAAGTGTTATGCGTTATGGCGGTATTTGTACCACGCCTTGTCATAGTCATGCTCGCTCCGGGTATGATTAATGGGGTTGGTGGTTGACAGCCTAAACGGGGCAATCACCAAAGTCTGGTACCAATGGACCTGGACTGTCACTGGCCGTCCCGTCCACCCGCGGCTCCCAACCATCAACCTTCATCAAGTCAATCCGTGTCATGCCATCAGTTTGACAGTGAGAGTGCTGACTCTGACAAAACATGGAGCAAAAGCATATCACGCTTGTATTCATGCCTTGGTAGAGCATTTTTGATGCCTGGCGCGAATGACCTGGCAGGCCAGGGCGATCCACGGCATCGACGCATGGTTAGTGGGAGATTGAAAGCAGCAACCCCAATGAAAAGAGAATTTAGTGCTGACATTCAGGAAGGGGAATGACCCTTGAATTTCATTGCCGAGTCGCGCTTCGTTTCTTCATAACGGACCTTGAACCCTACCAATGTGTATCGTCGAATGTCGAACGTCGAACCGCTCAGGACAACATTTTTCGAGCCGCGTGATAATAACAGAATAACAAACCAGGAACTGTGGAAAAAGGGCAAAGAGTCCGAAGCAGAAACTGAGTGGATGCAGGAAGAAGATAATGAACCAGCTAGCTCACCTTGGGTTTGGTTTTGAGGGCACTCTCCTGATTGTGGCTAATAAAAGCTTTTACAGCTTTGCGCTCATCATCAGGTATGCCCTTGAAAAACTCTCTTCTGAGGTCTGCGTTCCTCAGAACCGATTTAAGTCGCGTGGAATTCCGATCGACGTCCCTTCGAAGAAGAGCTAGTTTGCTTCCCTCTGGCATCCATAACCCGGCACCTACACATCACGGACGCGTTAACAAATCCGCACCGGAACAAAAACACAACCTCTAGTTGTTATGTGAAGTTCAAGTCTGGCTCATGGACAAATTGAAACGTATAGCTGGATACTGCGTGTAGGTTGCGGATCCGATCGTGATGACTCGACCGGCACGGAATTGATCGCTAAACGAGACGCACATACGTACCTATAAAGCAATGGCCGGGTTGGAGGTGAACATAATACGCTGCATACGGTCCCTTGCGTCCCGTACGACTCCTGTGCCTGGGTTAGCCAGTTCACGGGTTGTTTATGCGGCAGATTATACCTACCACGCAGCAGAAAAATGAGTCTGTGAATCCGTTAGCCACGATCGATGCTCAGCAGGATGCCAGAGACTGAGGCTCTTGCAACAAAATGGAAGGAGCAGCATCTTACCTTATAGGGAGTGGGATCATTACTGAATCTGACATCCCTATGGATGCGGAAAACCTGACGATCGTTAGGATCTGATGGACTATAGCCAAACGGACGGACAGGGCTAACCAAATCTTTGGCAGGCAATTCCGGAATTGTTTCGTCTTTCTCGACGATTTTCTCGGTCAGAGTCTCGACGAATGTGTCCCAATCTTTTTTGGAAGCTCGATAATCGGCATCGTGTGCTGCAGGCTGATTAGCCCTTCAGGCCCGGGGATTGTGGCATCAGGCAGGGTCAGTACCTTTTAACCACTGTCGCTCGTTGTTCTCCTTGAGATCTTTCAAAAAGAGCATAGTATTCGGGTGAATTGTATCGTCCTTATAGTCTATGCCGCCCAGGTCTCGTGCTTTCGGTTTCTTAATAAAGACCTCCTTTCCCGGACCTAGTCCTGTCTTGMCTCCTTCCCGCCATAACTCTTTCCCTTTGGCCATCTTTTCGACAGGTGAGTCTTCCGCATCATTACCCGAATCTTGCTGCTTTGTCTTTGCGCTACTTGACAGACGTCCGCGCCCTTTTTTCTTTGGTTTTTCTTCTTCGTATTCATCCTCGAAGGCTTCTTCCTCATCGACTGAATCTTCATCCTCGTGAGCTGCTTCTTCTTCCTCATAGGAGGAGCCGGAATCGCCGTCAACGTCACTGGCTGATTCATCGGTACCAGAGCCTTCGAAATACTTGCTCTTTTTGGCGGTACTTTTCATTGTAGACCCCGCAGAAAGTCGTTTCCTCTTAGTATCCACCTCAGTAGCTGGTCTTTCGCCCAATGAGAGCCTTGTCGACCGACGAGGCATGTTTTCTTTGCAGGTGTTTGAATCTAATTTGAATTATGCCGCTGTAAACCTCCAAAAAGTGCCCGTGAATGTACCCTTGTAGAACGCAGTCGCGAAGCTTTGACCCGAAGAAAAACAAGCTCTCTTTACCGCTCCGAATCAGCGACAAGACAAGTCGAAACAAGTTATATCCTAGGTAGCCTACAGCACCAGGAAAGTCAACTTTTATCGGTGCCAGAGGACAGAGAGACCCGCCTATAATAGCGGGACAGACTTAATCACTAAGCACTTATCCTTCCAACAGACGAACCTAGCGTTAGGCGTAATAAATACCCGTAGCGGCCGCTTACCGCTTCTTTCACAATAAAATACGCGCCCGCGGTAAAATACATCTGACTCGTTTAGAAAAAAGCAATCTCGTCTTGTTGTACGTACTGTATCTGCCACCACGCTTTAAGTGCAATTGCCAATCGCTCATTGTTGTGCAGCGCTAGCCAGAAATAGCCAGCATCGATCGGTGGTTCTTTCACGTCATTGCATTGCAGCAATCTGAGAGAAGCATAACGATTGGTTGATTATTTTGACCTGCATTTTCGACCCTTGAAGTTCGAGTAAGAAAGCAAAGCAGCATTAGAAAATGGACGCACCATCGCAGTATGGCGATGCTACCGTTACGCCGGGTTTCGTGGCACGTAAGAGCAAGATTTTGTCTGATTTGTCAGTTCCCGATGCAGAGTATACGGATCTGTCGCCGAAGGGTTCGGTCGATGAAGGCATTCGCGACTTGATCAAAGACATCAATGCTTTGCATGGCCTTGTTACCACCAGCAGTTGCGCAGGTAGAGTAAGCATCTTTGTCGAAGGTAGCAAAAAGACGATCAGGAAGCAAAAGACGGAAGTAACCTCACAGGCTACTGAACAAGCTGCTGGACAAGTTTCAAATCAAATTGATAATGGCGAAATCAATGGTCAAAGCCAGAATGAGAATGAAGATGAGGATGGGCTCGCCAACAAGGAAGGTGATGCTGGGTGGAAGTTCGCTCTTTCCGGCGGAAAGGGCGAGGGGAGGTGGTTGTACGTCTCACATGACCCCGTCGACAACAGCATCAAGTCTTCATACCATGAGCTGTTTGGCCTGGTTCCTGGGAATGGTATTCCCAAAAGCAGCACTTTTGGCGATGCGAGTATGCGACTCATTCGCTTTCACTATGATCCAATGGTACGTGCCGCGGTATTCGACGACATGTTCACTCTCGTGGCTGCAAGGCTAACAGCTTCCAGATCTTACACGTTATGGCTGCTACACTTTACCACGCCCATCCAGTTCTAGCCGCTGCATCCCATGCAGGATTTCGTGAAAGTGGGCTTCAGAGCTTACGGTGTCTTGAGGTCTTACACAGCGGTGGTCCAGGTCAGCATTCGTCCTCGACAGACCATGCATCACACAGCCCGATTGTCGCCGTTCGCTCAGCTGGGCTGGCTCTTGAATCCGTTATTGGATACTGTGAAGATAGTAACGACGACTCAGAACCACTGCTGCGCAGTCTAGTCACGGAAGAGTACTTACGGATGCTGGTCGCTCTTGCCAATGAAAGATTTGAAGTCAACAAAGAACGTGTTCAAAGATTCCGATCTAGACTACTTGACCTCTATAAGGCAGCACTGGATACAGCACCCGGTACTGCTCAAAGAAAGAAACCCTCGGATTGGGAAGATCCACAGGTCCGAAAGGAGAGAAAGCGACTCGAAGGTCTGAAGAGACAAGCAGAGAAAGCTCAACAAAAGGACAACGACTCGAGACCTGATGACACTGATGTCGATATGAACATAAGTTTTTGATGTCAAAATTGACAAAAGGACTTGCTACTTCCGTACTACTCTCGGGCTACCCATAGAACCCCTTTTTCCCGCAAAGGTTGGGAACAGTGTGTTCAATAAAATCATGTTGCATTCAAGTTCCCTTTCAGGACTATTAACCTCGCTGCATACAAATTGAGTGACTAGTAGGGTGCAATGACAGGAATTCGACTTTGTCGTTTCATGGTCAGAAATTGGAAAACAAAACACCACTACGTATAGAAGGAAAGAAAAGAATGACGGACGATTGAGACAGGCAAGCACATCAAACCGCCACATAGTGGCTGTTCGATTCACTGTCGTGCTGCTCAACTTTCATTCGAAATTGTTCATTACAAGGAAATGGGAATGGGAGAAGACAAATTTGTGGCAGAAAGCAGAAAAGTTGCAGTCATAGGAGCCTTTAACATGCAAAGGATCATCACAGTGCAGAGATGTCGATGGTCAAGTCAAGACTTGATAGGAGTGCCTTGACTAAACACATCCTCCTCATCCTCTGACAGAATGGTGAGGCCTCGCTGCTGGCTCGACACGGATAGATTGGAAGCGTGACGGCTTGAACGCTCGCTACGACTGACGATGTCTCCTTCTGCGGATGCAAACGCATTCTTGCTTGGTGTGGTAAGAGGAACGCGGTCAGATGCAGAAGTCGACCAAATTCCGTGCTGCAACATGAGAGTATTGACATTATGACTGTCGCTCGACTTCACATCTTGATCAGCACTAACTTTTGAAGGGAACAGTGCAGCGGCTTGCGACATCCTGCTAGCAGAACGGGATAGCAAGGAGTGGTCGTGATTGTCTGAGAGTCCACTGATGCTCTGGATGGTAGGTGGAATCGAGATGCTTTCCCTACGACGAGCCGGAACGAGACCCTTGAGATCGGGTTTTACAGTGAGGGGCACAGCGGCCGAAAAAGACTGGCTATGCTGATGCCGATATTTAGGCTTGTTCTCAAGTGATACACCATAGATGCCACTCTCAGTAGTAACCAAACTGCCGTTAGTTGAGCCAAACTGACTGACTGCTCCTGAGAGAGTAGAGCTGGTGCCAGACCGAAGACGAACGCCTCGGAGAGCAGAAACCAGGCTCTCATCATCCGAATTCGAGTTTGACAAGATTTTCTGATCGCAAGATTCAGGCGAAGGTGAATCGTGGTTAGAGACTTCACGTTTGGTAACCTCTTTGGCCCAAGGATCTAGAGTCGTGATAGACTGGTGAATCAAGCTGTGCTGTGTCGAGATTGGGCTGCTAAGAATCATAGGCCCTGCGAATGGTCGAGTTGCGTTCTGGACTTCGGCGTGCAGAGCAACTCTAATCAAGTCACTAGCTAATTGGATCTCGAGCTTTGCGGCAATCTCAAAAATCGTTGTCTTGTCATGGAAGTTCCATTCAACCCACAGGTGTCCCCAAGGAGATTCTTTCATCAGACCAGCTCTATTGCGCCAGTTGTTGCGGACGATCAGATTGTCCTTGTCGCATGTGCCAAGGGCTTTGCGAGTCAATTGGGCGTAATACTAATCAACAGACACATAATTAGCTTGGGATTACATCAAAAAGGTGTGGAGCCAGGAAGTGTATACCATAACCTCGTACTCGCTAGCAGAGTTGCTTTTCACGAGACAGTCGAAAGGCCAATATTGAAAGTGGTTCCGGTGGACGACAGGAGAAAATGCAGGCATCTCAGCAGCTGCGATCAAGCAAAACCTCTGTCGTTCATTGAAGGAGGGACACTTGAAACCAGCACGAAGGAGATCCACAAGCAGCGATTCATTGAGACCGATGATACGACGCTGTTTGACTTTCTCAGACAATTCCAAAATTTGTTGTATGGCTGCTTGATAAAGCTCGTCTCTGTCGGCAACGGTGTACATCGAAGTGGCGAACCAGGGAAACTATTCTTGTGTTAGCGATAAGAAATTCAACGAGTCAAAGATGAAGAGCGTTCATACCTTCCACAATGTGGAGATCAAGCATTCATAAGTTCGCTGACGGCAACGTTCGGTAAAGGGCGACTGGGACGAGAAACATATCAGCGTTACTGTCGATAGGAGTATGGGGTCAGAGGAAATACTTACACGAGCAGGTACCAGGGCGTGAGACACGAGGCCGCGAATCTCCTCGCTGGTCAAAAAACCTTGGAAGCCGGCGGAGTAAGGATCGTTGTTGGGAAGCAACTGTGGCATACCGTTCTTCCATTCAACGCACTTTGCTCGGGGAAACAAGTCGTGCATCAATTCGTCCTGAGAACTTAAAGCGATGTCCACATGGCGTGTGCCCAGGCGAGGATAACGCCCAGATTCCGTGAAGCTGAGACGACGAGCCGCTGCTTCGGCGTCCTTTTGCGTATTGAACTCGACAAATGCATCCATAGTCTTCGCAGTAGACCGTTCCATGATGATATGGATGCCACCACCGAGATCAGGACCGACAATGCCAGCATGACGTCCCATCAACTGATGAATCTCGTGTCTAGTGACGGCGTAAGGAAGCTTGAGCTATGTCAGCAAAGAGCCTAAAATAGGCAAAAAGTGATCAATGTAAGAACTTACATTGCTGATTTTGACAACTCCGTAATCCTTGGGCTGTTGTTCGGCTGCCATGTTCTTGAAGGGGAAGTTTTGGGTATCGCATGCTCCAGCACCAAGTCTAGCCTGCACCTTTGATATCTCAGACTTGTCCATGTTCTGCTGATCGATCTTGCGTTGAACAGCCATACGCTGCTCCATCTGCTGCTGAATTTGCTTTCGCTGCTCATTCAAGAACTGCTCCATCTGATGACCATAGAGCTGACGGTGGTTGATCTGAGTAGGCAGTGGACTGTGGACTTGCTGCTGGAGTTGGACTTGGGGCTGCGCATGGTGTTGCTGGTGGTTTGCCTGCGTGAACTGCGAACCAGAAGCGAAGACCTGATTCCGCATAGAGGGAGGCATGTATGGACCAGCTCCATACCGTGATTGTCCTTTTGCTTGGAATGGACCTCTGCCAGCAGAGAATCCTGGAACTTGGTGATACATGATACCTGTGTGCTCGTATGTTTTGAGTGAGGGACGAGAATTGAAAGCTGGAATGACGACTCGAGAGAGAAACTTGACAACGGAGAAGGGGAAAAGAAAGAAGGATTTGAAGCTTTGAAGACTGCCAAAAGTCAAGATGTTCGGAGGAAAAGAAAGGGTAGATGTGAAGAAAGGATATCAGGATGAAGGCAAGAGTGAAGTGAAGGGCAAGATTTCCGTTTTATATAGCTGTGAAATGAAAACAGAGCCAGTTATGCTTTTTTTCAGAAGTCATTCATAGTTTGAAAGGGCATATTGTCCCAGTTCACTACTTGAAGTGAGTCTATTCATATCAAGGGCTGTGAATAGGGCCCGCTTAATGAGGTGATAGTATGCATCATTATGGATCTAGGCGAGCTCCGCTGTATAAATCATCATTATTAGGCTCTTGATGCTTGATAATGAACATGCGGGTCTGGTAGGTCACTTGGTGTCCCCTTGTCAGTGAACTCGTTGAGATACTAGGGCGACAAAGTTCCTACAATAGTTCAGAGTGAGACTGAATAGGATGAAGTAATGGAGAAGATTGAACAATCTTAACCTGCTGGTCAGATGATCGAGGATGCTACCCAATGGAGTACAGAAAGTCGGCGAGCAAGTGTAGCTACCAATGGGAGCAAGTCGACTTGGGTTGTTCTGTTTGAGATCCAGTGTGTAAATAGTTATTCTCTCGAGTATCATGAAGCTACCCTAGATTGGGTCTTGAGTAAATAGGTTGCATTTCCAAGTACATATCCGAAGTAGACATCTCATCACATTCGCCCTGAACTATAGATACCGTCTGTATATGACTTTTGTATCATAGAGACGAACTCATAAGATGACAGATACAGCCTCAGACCTTATCTTGAAGTGAAGTAGCACAACTTCTTAGACAAGCAAAGTGTCTACAGTTACAATAGAACAATGAATAGAACAATAAATTGTTTGCATTTCATAACAAGGCTAAAAGACATCATTGAATCAATCAAACTAAAGAGAACCCCATTGTTAGTCTTAGGGCCACATGTGTCACGGGACTAGATGCTTACAGGGGTAAGGAAGGATTCGGCGACAAATCGAGCTCGAGCATTCAACTGTTGAAAAATGTCAGCTCAATACAGACAATAGGAAATAGATCACTTGAAACATACAAAGAGTTTCATCTCTGAGATCTCCTTATCAACTTCCTCCATACTATGTGATTGGTTAGTTTTCAGACTCCCACGGTTTAGTAAGGCAAACGGCTAGGCATCCAACAAGCAGAAAGACGTACAATTGGATAATGAAATCGACGAGCTTGTGTTTCAACATGGCTTCGGTGTGGAAGTTCGTAATTAGGAAAGAAATATCATATCCCTTCATACTAGTCAGAATTCGTTGAGAATCCATATAGACGTGCAACCGTAACATACCCTCACAGGTTTACGTCGCAAGATGAAGAACGACTCTGCGCGTTGAGTCAAGAATCTCGTAAACTTATGTACTAGAATATTCTCGATTTCGTCGGCTTGCTTGATACGGATGCTAACGCGCACACTGTTCACACTGGGCTCGATCAGGACCCTTTCACTCTCATTGCGGGCCACTGTGAGCGGGTTCAGAAGCACTTCGGGGGAACTGGCAGCTTCAATTTCGGGGACATTATGTCTCTCAGAGGTCTGGGAGGCGAAGTTCGATACGGAGAGAGCCGCCGTCAAGGAGGATCGGACGCATTGGAGGTACGGGCGGAGGGATTGTGACTGAATTGTCAGCTTGGTATCGAGGTTGGGTATGTGGATGCATTCCGTCTTACCATAATGATAATCGGCCAGTGGAATATCCTGCTACTCAATCATGTAACTCAATGACTTGTCATACAATCAAAAATTGTAACGAGAGACTACTAATTCGACACGGCCGTTCAGATGTTGTGCCAAGTCATAGCATTGAATAATCGAAGCCAACGGAGATGTTGTTGCGGGGAGCTCAGGCGGCATGATTGATTGTGATGATGGCAGCAGCGGGTCTACGTAGGACAGTGTTTGCACTGTTTGCTCTCTCCCATCAACAGTGTCGTCAATCGCTCCCCGCAAGTGGCGGTCTTTGTTTACCGCTTCATCAAACTCGTTACAAGTTCATAAGTCTCTTTTTTTGCCTCTTTTACCTTTTAGAAGTGGCTACGTGACTTGTCGTTTTTATATACACTGTCTCGCCATGGCTACGATACCAGGTTTGTCCTTCCCCTCCACCTGAAGCTTAGCTGTAAGAGCTACAGTGCTGATTAATCCGAAGTCATCGTCAAGCATCAGGGCAAACGCTACGATGTCGAGCTCGATCCATCATCGAATGGCGAAACCTTCAAGTTCCAGCTATACTCCCTCACCGGCGTCGAACCTGAAAGACAAAAAATTTTGGTCAAAGGTGGCCAGCTCAAGGATGAAACCGAACTTTCAACCCTCAAGGCAAAATCTGGACAGACTTTTATGATGATGGGAACTCCATCAGGAGCTGATTCATCAGCTATTTTGGCTCGTCCCAAGGAGGCCGTCAAGTTTGTGGAAGATATGACGGAGGCAGAAGCTGCCCGAGCGGAGGGAGCCACTCCAGCTGGTTTGCAAAATCTGGGCAATACTTGCTACTTGAATTCAACTTTACAGACTCTACGAGTTATCCCCGAATTACAACAGGAACTATCACGGTACAATTCGACTGGCTCTGATGGAACTTCTCGCTTGGGTGATCTCAGCACCCTCGGTCTCGGAGGTCTGGGCGCATCATCAGATTTGACCGGTTCATTGAGGGACTTGTACAAGCAAATGTCCGAAACCCAGGAGGGATTTCCGCCGTTGATGTTCTTGAACGTCCTTCGAAACACGTTTCCGCAGTTCGCACAAAAGGCACAGAATGGCCACGGATATGCGCAGCAGGACGCTGAGGAAGCTTGGTCACAGATCTTGACCCAGCTGCGTCAGAGGTTGAAGGTCAAAGACGGCGAATCTGAGACTTCGTTCGTTGACAAATACATGAGTGGCCGCTTTGAGTCTACTCTCGAATGCGATGAACCTGCTGCCAAAGAAGCAGGTGAAGAACCTGTCAGCTCATCTGATGTCTTCCTCAAGCTGGACTGTCACATCGATAAGGACATCAACCACCTGGGTGACGGAATAAAAGCTGGTTTGCAGGAAAAGATCGAGAAACGCTCAGCTGTCCTAGATCGAGATGCCATTTACACTAAGAAGTCAAGCATAGCTCGACTACCTAAATACTTGACAGTTCATTTCGTTCGATTTTTCTGGAAACGGGAGAGCCAGAAGAAAGCTAAGATCATGCGCAAAGTCACCTTTCCAGCTGAGCTTGACGTTGTCGAGTTTTGCACCGATGAGCTCAAAAAGAGACTGATCCCCGTAAGGGACAAAGTCCGCGAAATTCGCAAGGACGAAGAGGATGCTGAGCGCGCCCGCAAGCGACAGAAATTGGCTCACCGACAAGAAGAGGATCGAAAAGCAGATGGCGAGTCAGGACAACCAGCTGAACCCTTACAGAAGAAGAAAAAGGCAGAGGAAGCGGAAACCAGCAAGGGCAGCGACAAAGATGGCGATACCGCTATGGACGAAGTGTTCAAGTCTGACGAAGAATACGAGGCTGAGAGGAGAGCGGCTATTCTCAAAGCGAAGAAAGAGCTTTTCGAGCTTATTGATCCAAGCCTAGCGACCGATGACGGTTCTAATCAATCGGGACTCTATGAATTGAGAGGAGTGATTACTCATCAAGGCGCCAGTGCTGATAGTGGTCATTACACTGCATACGTCAAGAAGCAGGGCCGCCTTGTTGACGATGCTCGTGCCCCTAATGGCAAGCGACGCGAAGACGACGGTAAATGGTGGTGGTTCAATGACGACAAGGTGACCGAGGTAGATGCCGAGAAGATCGAAACCTTGTCCGGTGGAGGTAAGAATTGACTCGTGCTGTTGTAATATTGCTTCTTGCTAACAAATATTCTAGGCGAATCTCATTCGGCACTGATCCTTCTGTACCGGGCCATTGACCTCCCCAGCAAAGACGAGCTAGAATCTTAGTCGTGATCGGCTTCTGATTTCCGCTGCCCGAGCTACCGATTCCAAAATATAAAGGTCCTCGCGACAATGTTTGAACAAGCAGACATGAATGGTTTCATATCAGGCATCGATCTTGGGGGACAATATCGGATGGTAGAGCATGAGGCGAACGATGCTTGGAACACAGCAGAGGACACTATGCATTAACGATAAACAAGATATACACCATGTTCAAACACACCTCGCAAATAAAAGTGCTCAGATCGAATTTAGACAAGAATAAGACAGGCATTTGTAACCGTACTTTCATTCACTCTGCTTTAGAACTTCCTGTAAGCTGCAAAAGAAAAAAAATAGAATCATGCATGATATCTCAATGAAAGATAAAAACATAACATCTGAAATTACAATGTGCGACGTCGGCATGATTCGAACATGCGCGGGCGAACCCAAGTGATATTTTGGTGATGGCAGATAGCCGACCACGTAATAATTCTAATCACTCTCCATAACCACTCGGACACGACGTCTCAGCTTATAGCAACGCACTTCTCATTTCAATGTATATAGAATTCTTAGATCTCCCTGCCAAATCGTTAGAAATATTTGTACTATTTCAACGCTTCCGTGGCGCGTGCGAATATCTTTTAAACGGCCTGATTGGGCCGGAAGCAAGAAAGAAAGGAGAGAACCCCATGCATATGGAAGAGCAGAAATCTACGTGCAACCTGAGCTTAACTCTTAGGCATCCAATTCAACAACAGTAAACGTGAGTTGGCATGTAGTATAAAGATCACGACGCGGGAATAGAGAGGAACAAAAAACAAAATCGACGTCGGCATGATTCGAACACGCGCGGGAACCCAAGTGATATTCGTCTTCAGCAGCAGCAAAAAGGCTAAGAAACCCGAGTCACTCTCCTTAACCACTCGGACACGACGTCCTGCAGCGAGGCGTAGAAGTAGGCAGTAGACCGCCGTTTTTAAGCTTGCCGAGGCTGAAGGCAGGAACTACGATTGCCTCCATGCCAGTCTGTTGGTCTCTCCAACCCAACATCTCGTGGCACCACGGAGTGTACTTGTACTCTCTGGCGGTAAAGAGGCCAAGATGTTCCACACTTCAAGAACACAACACAATGCTCTATACTTTCTCCATGGCGTACCTCGATCCTTCCGCCGCCACGTTGTTCCCACGCAATTGACCTCCACACCTCTCCGTCACAACACAACTGTCGCGTTGGAAACCCGACGTGTTCCACGATTCAAATGGACGCGAAGGATATTCTGGGGACTGCTTTTTGGTGGTCTTGGATACTTTTCAACAGATTCTTCACTCAAGCGGTTCTTCCACCCTGCTGAGCCAGGTTCCAAAGAGGATGCGGCCAAGTTGGGATACCTCCGAAAATGGGTCGATCGTCTTCCAAGGGTCCAGGAGCTGAGATTGAGGCCCAATTACGAGGAATGGGATGCATATGAAGATACTACAGACAAGGAGCGGAGACTCACCAGTGGTGCCTTGAAAGGCAGTCGAGCTCTAGCAGTCCAAGTAAGCATACGGCGATTCCAGATCATGACTGCATCCCAATGATGGTGTTCCACGCTGACACTTTTCGAATATTCAGAAAATATTTTGGAACAAAGCGGAAAATGCATGCATCAATGTAGTTCAATTTGGAAATAGTACCGATGGCTGGCCGACAGTCGTTCATGGTGGAGCTATAGCAACTGTCCTGGACGAGCAACTCGGACGTGTCGCCATACTATCTGTACCTGCACACACGGGTGTTACCGCTCATCTCGACATTAATTACCATCGTCCCGTCTCTAGCGGGCAATTCTATACAATCACAGCTACGCTAGACAAGGAGCGCTCTACGGACCGAAAATCGTATGTCACCGCCGTTGTATTCGATCAAGAAGAGAATATCTATTGTACGGCGAGTGCTTTGTTCGTTGTGCCTAAGAATATCCCGCTTAAACCGTTGGAACGCTTCTGAAAAGTGTTTCAGAAACTCCATTCTCAAGGTGGTAGTTCTTCGGGGGCCATTTCCTTCGTTCTACCATGTTGGCTGAGCAGATATGGACAGACACTCGTTGTACAAGACTTGAAACTTGAAATTTGACAGATTTTTGTCTTAGAACCAAATTTCAAGGACTACAGAGATGTATATACCCTGCAGTATAAGACTGTGTGGTAGATACTTCGACTAATGTACCATTACCACCGACATTATCAGAACCAGTAAGCGATCAGGGTGTCGTTGCAGACACGGCCGAATCGTCGAGTCTCATTCTTCGTGTCGAATGACTTGATTGATGTCTTCAGTCCTCTGAAACACATGTTTGCCACGAGGCAAATTCACATATGCAGTCAGGATAAAACTGCCACAGAGAAATGCGAATATGATAATATCTCTTGAACATCTAAAACAAAAAAGTGTGGGACTTTTAAAATCAGTTGTGAGCTATAAGAAGCTCTGCGATATATAATGTTAAATTCATGCAGCAACCCTGCCATTATCTACCACGCGCTGTTCAGGACGAAAAGCCACGTACTTTTTTGCGTGTGGAGAAAACAGACTTTTTTTTTGTGGTCTGGATTCTCAGTCAATCAACTCATCAAAGAATTAATTGTCTTGTCAGACGAAAGAGTCGAGTAGTCATACCGATTGAACAGCCAAACACTATTGAACTCGAGGTCTACCTTGTTCTGTATAGGTTCCATGACAATGGGGTATGTGTACGAACTGATATCGGAGTCACTATAGTCTAGTTTAGTATATCTTCACCGTCTGTGCATCATTAGTCTAGTCCATCTTCAATCTAAGCTTTCGCTCTTTTGACCTAATCCGACAGGGTGCTCCGACAGAGAAACCAATTGTCTCTAGTCCCGGCAAATCGACTGTAGACATTTCAAGTTTCGACGACAAAGATCCGGAGGGATTGGCTTGTCAATGCCATGCCACGCTCCACTTTCATCGCAATCTACCCAAGCTAAGATGCTCAGAAGGTGGAAATGCGGGGGAATCCCCTCGAGATATATTGCAAATGCGGGCTGTTGATGAGGAGAAATTGACGCTTTACCGAGGGACAATGTCAGAACTTTATTACTGCATGTTCTTTCCCACGCGGTGAATGCTAGAAGCTGCACTTCTGCCATGTGCACGAAGTTAAAAAAAAAAATAGGAACTGTCTTGAAACGCTTGTGGGAGCGATGGATTTGACGGCTTCATCCTACCAAAGTCCGGGCCGCGGGGCCCAAACCGTCTTTGGGGTTAGTTAGCCGCTCACGCTGAAAGTTGGACCTGTTTAGGCTTAGTCTTGGGACAATATTTAAAATATGGGGTAAGGGTGTACCCTCCAAGGTGAAATGACCTACACCACTACTGCGCCCAGAGGCTAGGCCATGTATCATTTGATCCAGAAAAAAAACATCCCGCTCGTCTTGTCCAAAAAAGAAAAAAGCGCCGACAATCGCGGCCTGCTAGTTCCAGCATATGGGTCGTCTGCAAGGCGGGGAGGAAGCATAGGTCACATCCCTTGCTCGATATCCAATCCGCTTGAGGCTTGGAGCGGTAGAAATCGACATACGTATACATTTGCTATCCAGAGACAGTGGCCACTGACCAGCCATTGCTCTTTTCAATGCCCGCCGAGTCAGACCCAAGAACTGATGGAAGCGTAGTGAAACCTAAATGCACGTTGCGCTAGATAGATATGAATCTAACGCATGTGCCTAGCCTGATCTTAAAAGATCTACGACATGTATAAAAAGCTGGTCCAGTCTCGTCCCTTGCGCTTCTGAAACAGTGCAGATACTGGCCAGCCTTTTTGACCTATTCAATTTCTCACTGACGTATCTGGAAAAATCGTCCTAGATATAAGTTATAAGTTGAGATATCCTGATTGCCCCCTAGAAATTTCTTCATATTGATAATCAGCGAAGCGACATTGGTTGTTGCCAACATGGACACCAAAGAAATGTCGCCGTCTTTCAGCCATGGCACGACTAATAGCATCCATTCAAGCCCTAAGAGCAACTTGGAGGCGATACCTATTGTTGAAGTAGTTGGAGACTCAAGCTCCGAAGCACCTGTATGTCAAAAATTTTCATTGCTCAAGGCTCTGACCACCCACTGATCAATTTCAAGATGACGATGAAGAAGTTCTTGGGTCTGACTGCAATGGCGTTTCTGTGGACTGGTAAGTCAATCCAATATTCAATTCATAACACAAACAGATCTGATGTCGAAGTCATATTCAAGGCTCTCAGATTCCAATCTACCTTTTCGGCGGCATACCTCCCTATATCTATGCATCAATTGGTGGAGCAGATCGTTGGATATGGTTTGTACGTAGTCTCCTACGGATAAAAGGGTTCGGCTTGAGCATAGCTAATATACATGCAACATCAATAGGTCTTGGCAAACTTGCTCGCTCTCGCAGGTATCTGCCCATTCGTCGGTAGTCTATCAGATCTGCTCGGTCGTCGATATGTCGCTATCATCGGTGCAACACTCGTATGTCTTGGTTTAATTGTATCGAGTACCGCCAACACCATGAACACTTTTATCGGAGGAATGGCCATTTCGGGTGCTGGAGCAGGTATTTCTCTTCTAAGCATACTTCTTCTCTTAGAAATTACAAACTAATTGTGAATATGAAAAAGGCATCAACGAATTGACCGCCCTCTCAGCCACTGCCGAAATGGCACCAACCCGCAAACGTGGTACATACGTCGCTGCCCTGATATTGACAATCTTGCCGTGGTCGGCCTCAGTCATGTGGGCTCAACTTATTGCCTACCATTCAAACTGGAGATACGTCGGTCTACTAGCTGGTATCTGGAACGGTATCGGATTGATTTGTACTGTGTTCTTCTACTTCCCACCCAAGCGAGACAATAGTCAAGGTCTATCGAAGAAGGAGATTATTTCCAGGATTGATTTTGTGGGTGGATTTTTGAGTATTGCTGGCTTGATTTTGTTTTTGGCCGGGATGCAATGGGGTGGTTATCAGGTGCCTTTCTTTGCCATAATTCTTCATCGGAAACAGTCAACTGACCTGTATGCGAACAGTATTCGTGGAAGACAGCTCATGTCTTGGTTCCCCTAATCCTTGGATTTTTCATTCTTGTCGCCTTCGGTTTCTGGGAAGCTTACGGCGCACGGTATCCCATGATCCCTAAAAAGATAATGCAGGAACCTCGCACACTCGGTCTGACGCTATTGATTACTTGGATCTCCGGCGCAAACTTCATATCTGTCATTCTCTTCTGGCCGACGCAGAGCTTTAATCAATTCGGTCATGATCCCGTGGGAGTTGGCCTTCGTTCTCTACCGGTTGGATATGGTATCTTGGCTGGCGCATGTATCACACTTTGTTTGTTGTCGTATATGAAGGGTCAAATCAAGGCGTTGATGATTGGAAGCAGTGTCTTGATGACTGCCGGTATGTCTATATCATCCAGAGATGGGACTATAATTGACAACGTCTAACATGATGCAGGATGCGGAGCCATGGCTGTTGCGCGAACCGACAATCTCAGCACTCTATGGATCATTCTGATCATCGGAAGTCTTGGAATTGGTGGTATTGTCGTCCCAGCAAGTATTATGACGACCATAATTTGCCCAGATGTAAGCCACGATCCCTGATTGTGAGTTATAGGAACACAGACTAACTATCACATAGGACCTCATCGCCACAATCGCAGCCCTTACACTCTCCATCCGCGTCGTCGGCGGCGCAATCGGCTACACCATCTACTTCAACATCTTCATCAACAAATTCACCACAAACTCCGTCCACTACATCGGTGGTCTGATGGCTACCGAACTAGGCATTACAAACGTAACTTATATCACCGAGGCAATTGAACTAACCACCGCCTCGTTGCTGGAAGAATTGCAGACTATCCCCGGTATTGCCGGAAACACCACTGCGTATGAGATGGTTGTTGCGGCGGGCCAGGTTGCGTATGCTGAAAGTTACAAGTATGTTTATTTGGCATCTATTGCGTTTGGAGCGCTGTCGATTGGGGCCTCGTTGTTTTTGGATGATATTACCAAGTATATGGATGATCATGTTGCGGTTCAGTATCATTGATACTGACATTTCTGTCCACAAACATGGGTGATTTGCTAGTTCTTGTTTTTGTACAAGTATGAGTCCCGATGTTATGACTTGATGAACGACTGTATGGAAGTAGCGATGAATTAAAATAGTACAATAAAACCTTGACTAATACCTTGCTAATTCGGTTTAGTACTAATTGATAACCTTTCAATTCAATGTAGGTAATAACCTGATAAATGGGTATCAAAAGACGCCATGCTATGCATTATACAAAAGACAGATTACATCGTCTCAATACGATCGATTTGAAACTTCCTGTTCGATGAACTGGTTCGCCTACTGCGATCAGTTGCATTTGCTGTCAGAACACGACTGAGACCTCCTCCAAGTCCACGAGCAAAGTTTACCCCACGCCATGCATCCAAATCAGCGTCTGTCTGCCCAGCCATGACACTCTGTCGAGATTGAGACGCTATTTCAGGTCTCAGGCGATGGTGTGCACCGAGTAGATATCCCCTCTCGTCGTAGGTCGGCGTCGCAGCCGGGGAAGGCATGACTACTGTCTCGGAGTGCTCAGTACAACTACAGCCACACGGACTTGGACAGACTAGATCCGAAAGATCTTGTGCTTCGCCTGTGTGCGGCTGCTGTAATGAGAACCATTCTTGGTGACACTCGAAACAGCATACGTGACCACACTCTAGACATGGTATGAACATTCCAGAAACAACTTCTCCACAAATAACACATCCAACGTGAGCAGATAAAGGTTGCACGGCAGCGCATGAGGGGCATTTTGGAAGCGGCGGTGGCTTCACCATTTTGCCACTAAAATCTTCTGGCTTAACAGAAGAGAAAACAGATCTGAAGAGGGCATGCCCGCACTCAGCACAGTGTCGTTGGACATCGAGAGTATCACCTGACGTATCTTCTTGACCACGAGTTTCGAATGACGACAGCTGCTTGGGTGTTTGATTTTGACGTTGTCCCACTGGCGAATCACTTGCAACCTCTGTTGGGGCACCTATTTTCAGTACCTCGCTCCGCTGGATTGGTAGTTCCCAGACAAAAAGTAAATTAGCGTATGAGTTGCGGTATGTTTGAAACAATGCTTCTCTTTTGCGGTCGATGAACGGACTGGCCGGAGAATCATCCGCGTCAAACGCGGTGCGATTCTTGTGTGATACATGAAGCCTCATCGGTTTACGTGCATCTTTCTTCTTTTCGCTATCCGCCTCCGAATGACTTCTTGATGTAATCACCATCGAAGAGTTGAGGTATTCTGGTATCGCTGAGACAGCTCTGTTCAGCAGTTGAGAAGCACTCCATCCGACCGCCGCTGGAATGTTCAGGCTTCCTATTGGACTGGTCTTTTTCTTAGCACTTGTTGTTGGCGGCGAAGAGGCAGCAGAAGGGCCAAATGTGAATGATCGTGATAACGACGATGCAAGTGCCGTACCCACTCCTGAACCAAGTCGGGATGGACCATGACTATCTGGTGACGCGGAAATAGAGAGTGCAGGGGTCTTGCCTCCTAATAGCCTTGAATGTGTTGCAATAGGAGACGCTGAGCTGGAATGCGGTGTGGTGCCCATACTGTTCCACTGCTCGGCTTGAATCTCAGGACTTTGTAGCGCACTGATATTGACGCTATCTCTCGAGTATGAGGTCATTGGAGTCGCAGCCTGAGACTTGCTATCAGGGACTTTCGAAGAGAAGAAGTCCAAAGCAATCGGACTATGTGCTTGCTGACTGAAGGATACTTCCTTGTCTCGTCGCCGACCGAATCGATTGCGCAAAGATTGCTCATGAAGAATGCAAGAAAGCATTGCGAGCATTTGAACATCTCCTACTTGTTCAAAGTGGTCAAAGAGCGCATTGATTAGCCAGCGGCCTCCGAAGGCGCTATTGTTGAAACCAAATCGATGTAGCACCCCTTTCGAAGCTTGCTTCGTCTTAATGGAATTATACGCCACTTGGCCCCCCAATCGCCCCGCAAGGACGTCCGTGTTTATATGCTGAGATCGTGAATCGCCATGGTTTTGTAGGACCAGTTTTAACAAGCCCCAGACCTGGGCTAGATGATGATATCCCGAGTCCGCAGCCACTGCTGCGTTATGCGCACAAACATCAGCACCGCGTCCGAATATCTTGTACTGACCAGCCAAGGCTCTCTTTGCAGGCAGTAAGTCACTAAAATCGTGGATGGCAATGATGTTGTGTGCGGAGTCTGACGATTTCACTGTACCGATGGTGACTGCGGGTCCACCAACTGTAGATAATTGGGAATTGTCAGCGGATCTTGTACGATAGGTACCGAGGGTCCCAACACTACGCCACATAGAGGCGGTCTGATATCGATTGGGTAAGCCAAGTATCATGCCTGAGGAATCAGACGAGCTTGATGAAGCCGTATCTGAGTCGTCAGAGTAATCTGAGCCGCCATCATCGGTTGTACTCATTGTGCCAAGTGCTTTTCTGGTGGGTAGGCGGCCAGGCGAGCTTGTATGCAAGCGGCCGAATCCCTCGAAGACCCTATCATTACGGGTGAGCCGACTTATGTCCTTGAAGCCAAGGGAGTCGAATAGAGAACCAGGCTTGTCTTTCTTCGGCGGGAAAAAGCAGACGAGGCGACCGTCGTGGCTCCAGGTAGCACCGCAGACCTTAGCAACAGGGACCATGACATTGGCATTGATAGGGCGCAGCAACTCAGAACTCATGCTGAGATCCTGTTTATCAAATTGACCAACGTCTTCATCCTCATCGCTGGACTCGTCGTCCTCTAGTCCCGCAACTGGGGACTTGATGGTATCAATAGTCTCCCCGAGTACCAGAGCAATGCTCTCTTCGAGACTGCTTTCTCCGAGAAGATAACGAAGTGCACCTTCAAGACATCCCCGTTTTCGAGACATGTATGTCTCCGAGATTGTTCGCAGCTCAGATACTATCTTTTCCGATAGCTCGTTTGTCATGGCAGAGGTCTTTTGAATTTTGAAAGTAGGTATGGCCGAGCGCGGATAATCTTCCGGGAATTTGATATCGAGTTTGAGAAAGAGCGAGGTTCCTTCTGCTGCCCAGGGCCCATGCAAGGAGATTGTCACTTTTCTTTGACGAACATCCACTGTCTCGAAATCTACTTTGGAAAACTTTTCGCCCACATGTGTGATCTCGTCACCTAACGTTTCGACGTCCCAGACAGAAATCTTTACACCCCGCATCCAAGCGATCGGGTTAGTATTGGCCCGAATTTGTGTGCGTCCCTGCATGCCAATCCTGGATTCAATGTGAATCTTATGATTGATAACACGAGAGTAACGTGTAGACACATTATTCGTCCCAACACCAGCACCAACCTGAGGCCGTGTGCCGGCCGAGATCACTGTTTCTGCGTACAAAGAGTCCTCGAGATTTTCGTCATTTGGTTCATCACGAAAAGTTTTATATGTAGCGCCTTGTCGAGTGAATCGCATGCTATAATCAACAGTCTTTCCGTTCTCGTAGCCAACGTCGCGAAGAATATCCGCATCAACTCGGTGTAGTCTTAGCTCTCTGTCTGCACCCCACGACACTAGTTGGAACTCTCGGTGATCTAGTCCATTCACAACATTTCCTCTCGGTCTCCACAAAAACTCTTTGACTTGTCCTTTGTGCCCAGGAAAGCTATGAACAAGGGGCATAGTATGAACAGATGGATCTTCTGTTGAGCTGAGACCATACAAATGGAGATCATTGTCGCCTCGTTGAGGCATAGCGAGGATCCCACAGCCGAATGGTGTATTCCTTGCACGCCAAACTGGAAACCGTGTTTCAATGACCTTCTCAGGAACGTCTGCTTCACCCTCGGAGTTCCAGACTTTGATCGTTTTATCCAGTGAACATGTAACAATACCTTCCCGGCGTGTGCGATCCCAATCGACACCATAAATTTTTGTGCTGTGAGCTTCAATAGATTTGAGCGGTATTGCTCCCATACGATCGTCCCAGATTCGTAGATATTTGTCGTGTGAACTTGCAACCACATGAGGATCCTGGCGGTTCCACTTGACTTGAGTTGCGCCGGCGAACCAGTCGGAAAACGAGACGACAGGCCTGGACGGTGTTCGAAGATCCCAGCAGTGGACGAAGCTGTCAACTGCACACGTAGCGAGGATTTCGGCATGGTGGGCAGAAAAGTTGATATCGGTGATAGCACGTGAGTGTGCATGCAAGACGTATTCTATAGAGTTTTCCCAACTCTTCATGGATAGGTTCCACACCAATGCCTTTTGATTCGAGGTGCTAACGACCCAGGAATCTCTATGCGAAAAAGGTGACCATTGAACATCGGCGACCTCCCAAGGCGTATGGTGTGGAAGGTACCGAGGCGGTGAATATGGTGAGTCAAGGTCGATGATATGGAGACCCTCTCTAGAGGCTAGAACCACGTCTCGACCACAGGGCGAAATGGACGCTGAGCCTACAGGCTGCTCTACATGGAAAGAGCTGTCCTCGCCAAACGTGGGGCTCTCAAAAGCCGACGTTGGGGCCTTTGAATCGGCAGGACTCGACATGATGACTGCTCTTCGATCGGTGAAACAATCTTAGATCAGCGATGCGGCCGACGAGCGTAGGAGTAGGGCAAAGCTAGATTCGAAAGAATTAGACGTCCCATCGGTATGATTGGAAGGACCGCGCATTGCGCAGCACAGCGCAACTACAGGCGAGGCTCTGGTAAACTGTCTATGAAGTCGTGTTGTTGAAGACAATGGCCAAATGATCGAAGGTTTGTGCTTATCGCGAAAGGCCCTTGAGGAAGCTGCGGAGCTTGAACGAGTGTCCACCAGGAAGGTGCGTCGGACCCAGAATTCATGTGACTTTCGGCCATTGGCGTTGCTTAGGATGACTAAGCTAACCCAATCAAGAAGGTAACTAACTAACTAACCCATCGGCCTTACCTTAGTAGTAAGTCAAAGGGCAACAGCAAACCGCAGGTCGGGTGCCCCTCATTCCGCGTTACCAGGCTTTTCTTCCGACATCAAATAAGCTGCGTATTGAGCCTCCCGGGAAGGCCGCTTCAACGGCTTTATTCGCTTTTGCCACATTCGAAGGGAAGGCTTTCGTCTCGGATATTTGATTTGTTTTGGTTGTTTTGGTTGCGGAGTACGTCCGGAGTATCAACTCACCCTTGGAAGAGGTCCTTGTTACAAATACGCATCGTAAACGGTTCATACACTCGTTGATCATCAAAACAACAACACAAAATGGCGGGCTTGCCGAAGAGAATCATCAAAGAGMCCGAACGTCTCATGGCSGAGCCGTGAGTGCAGCCACAACCTAAATTCTACAAGACACCGTATCTGACCATCAACTAGGGTGCCCGGCATCAACGCAGTGCCTCATGAGGATAACCTTCGGTATTTCGACGTCACTATTCACGGGCCAGCCCAGTCCCCTTATGAAGGTAGGCAGCGGACTCGTTGATGCAGTTGGATACCCACGGCTCCATCTTACAATGTGAACAGGAGGCATCTTCAGACTCGAACTCTTCCTTCCTGACGACTACCCTATGACCCCTCCGAAAATTCGATTCCTTACAAAGATTTACCACCCCAATATTGATCGTCTAGGACGTATTTGCTTGGATGTTTTGAAGAGTATGCCCCCGACACGGCTCAATCCATGCTTATGAAGAGGATACGCGACTAACACGCGACAGACAACTGGTCTCCCGCTCTACAAATCCGCACAATTCTCCTCTCTATCCAAGCCTTACTCGGGGCCCCCAACCCGGATGATCCGCTAGCAAACGACGTCGCCCAACGATGGAAGGAGGATGAACCGGCAGCGATCCAGACAGCCAAGGAGTGGACGCGAACCCATGCGATGGCTTAAATGAAGAGCGATAGAAAATGACGTGGGACGGTTGGAGAATTGGGCATCATTCTATCTGGTGCAGAAGAACACGCCAACAGAATTACGAATCCATGAACAGCGCAAAATGGCGCCATACACTGCAGTGCCGTGGGAGGTTGATACGCAGTGTCTTGCGTCTTCCGACACAGGCACGGCTTCGAAACTTGACCGATCAATCACCTTTATCTTTATACTATTCTATATGTTTTATGTCCGTTATGAATAGATATTCGTCTCTTGCTACACTTTTCCAAGTTATCGTACCGTACTCGTGGTAATGGAAAAATAAATCTGGAAGCTTCATGACGAGAATTCAAAATATCCATGGCTTCCTGTTGCAATCAATCGATTTTGTTCATATGCTATTGCCCATATTTAATTGTTGTCACAAAAGTACGAAAGTAAAGACATGCAGGAAAAGCTAGCGGGCCGCTTTTTATAAAAAGGGCAGCCGCTATCACGTGACGGATTTAGCGAGTTAGCGCGCACCACAATTGATATCATCGGGAAACGGGTAGCCACCACTGCGAAAAAGAGGACCGTTTCGACTCTTTGACCAACACTTCAATCCGCCAAACGACAAATCGACCGGTAACGCATCTCCAGCATTCAAGATGCGTACCTACGACGACTCTTTCTCCGGCCAGAAGATCTACCCTGGAAAGGTGCGTTGCGTTATCTGCATTCGAGAGTTCGAGCGACCGGGTTTGGAGTGGTGATGTGATCATGGATTCACAATTCGCTTCGAAATTCGCTTCAGCGTTGTCATATACATCTTTCGATCCGTTTTCTCGATAAAAAAACTCTCAAATGCACGGTGTATTTAGGTCGATGAATTATGTGCTAATCTTCATCGATATACACAGGGTAAGCTGTACGTCCGTGGCGACAGCAAGATCTTCCGCTTCCAGAATGGAAAGTCCGAGTCCCTCTTCCTTCAGCGCAAGAACCCCCGCCGCATTTCCTGGACCGTCCTTTACCGTCGCCAGCACCGCAAGGGTATCTCTGAAGTCAGTATACCCTTCCTTCAAAATTCGAGTTTGTTTGTCATACCTGGGGGATAGGAGGATCGAGATGCGACCTATGGCGGATATTTCACACGAATAGAACGTCATGGGGACATCGCATTCTTCGGAAACCAATGACTACGACAACTGATGGATGAATATGTACTGACGGATGAAAACAGGAAGTCGCCAAGAAGCGTMCCCGCCGTGTCGTCAAGTCCCAGCGTGCTATCGTCGGTGCTTCCCTTGATGTGATCAAGGAGCGACGAGCCCAGCGCCCCGAGGCCCGTGCCGCCGCTCGCCAACAGGCCATCAAAGACGCCAAGGAGAAGAAGGCTGCTTCCGAGAGCAAGAAGAAGGCTGAGAAGGCCAAGTCCGCTGCCAGCGCCTCTGCCGGCAAGAACCGTATCCAGAGCAAGCAGGGTGCCAAGGGTGCTCCTATCAAGGTCCAGGCCAAGTCCCGATAAATGTTGAGAGTCTGATGATATGGGATTGGAAAGGTTTATGACGGACGGAGCGGAATGTTTTCTCAAACCCTAGAGAGCTTCATTTTTCTATAGGAACCAAAAATGGGGTCAGCTTTTACTGGGATTCTTCTTTTTTTTCTTGCCACATGTTTTTATCTGGAGCTGGGACTGTGTTTCCATGTTATTCAATGAATAAACAACAAAACAAAAAGGGAAAGGGAACATGTTATTGTGCATCAACAATACAGTGCTTCGATCCGTCGTCTCGTCTTTGCATCTGGATTGGAAGGGTGTTCTAGAAATATAAAGTAGAAACTCTCGCTATACGATGCATTAGGTAGTAATTAAATGATGAAGGAATTAACCCTAAGTCTTTCCCGCTAGTTAGATAGTGTTTGGGGGATGCCACATACCCTATTTCGGACATCTACTGGTAATGAATGACTATGATAGAAAGAATATACGTGTATTAGTACAATAACTATAGTCTACGTAGCCTGTTACCCCGACAGACCACAGTGTATCCCTCAATGAAGATAGCCTCCTTTTCCCGGACAGTAATGAAACAAGACTTAAAGTACACGCTTATGGATAGGCCACAAACCCTTTTCAATGTGCAAACGAAAGAACGAAAGAAATAAAGCAGACACAACGACGATGATCACTAACTACATACTCAGTAATAGTGCGCCATCTCGAGACCAGCACGTTTGAAGCCGCACTTGATATAGAAGCCCTCGTTGACTTCGGAGCAGTCGAGAATAGTCTGCACAAAATAGAATTAGAAAGAAATACTTCAATACGTGGGAAAGGAAGGAATACCTTATAACACCCAACCTTCTCCGCAACATAATCAAGCGTCTGAATAATCCTCAAACCTAACTTCTTCCCCTGCTGATCTTGCGCAACCGCAATATCCTCGATATGGCCCACCAGTCCCAGGGCATGAATAAATTTCCGCTCAACAATCAAACTGCCTGTACCCACGATCTTGCCGGTTCCGTCGCAAATGACGATCATGTAATATTCGTCATTTCGCTTGAATAGGTATTCGTATCGCTCGTTCCACATGGACTCTGATATTTCGCCCACTGTGGTCAGGACGCGTAGTACGTCGAGGTATCCGAGGTGAAAGTCGGAGCGGCGTAGGGGTCGGGCTGTGTAGCCTTCTGGAAGGATGGAAAGGATTTCGGGGAAGATGAGAGAGGGGGAGAAGAGGGGCTCCTCTTCTTCTGCATTGTCTTTTGTTGTTACATTCTCCAGTTGTTGAGAGAGTTTTTGGATTATGCCGTTGGATGCGTTGTGAGTGTTGTTGTTAGTTGTTGCTGTGGCATCAGTCTCGTCGGTGGTGCGGAGTAGATTCGTTGATTCGATGCCGTTGGAGGCGGGTACAGAGTAGAGGTCGGTAGTCATTGTGAGTTTTTTTCTGGAAACAACTTGAAGTTCACTTCAATTGATTGAATAACGAGAAAATTGAACGACGTTGTACGTCAGGAAGTCGAATGGAAAGAAGGGGCTTTGTTGTGCTGAGGGGTGAGACAGTCGAACTAAAGGCCGAAAGTAAAACAGTGGGTGGGTCAAAGCCAAGTTCGGAACAAAACAGCTTTTGTAGATTCGGAGAAATAGAAAGATTCAAATTATTTGAGTATATTGAACAACAGAGTCAAGTGGTTTATTTAAAATTGAATTGATGGAGGAAAAAGGAGAACAGAGGCCTCGCTGATTTTGATATGAATCAGATCTGTCATTGTACATCCTTCAGCACGGACCAGTCAGATTTGCTGCTATTTTCAGCACTGCTCAGCCACTGCCCTATCCAGGGGTACAAGCCTACAGGGCTGAAAGACAATGCATATACAGAAATGGAATACGTGAGAGGTTCGATCAAGTTAGTAAACATTAAAAATACATTGTATGCTCATCGACATCTAGCTGCACCGATAGATGCTTTTATATATACGTGCGCCCCCGTCTATTTCTTCTCCTTGGGGCTGATCATCAACTCAGGACGCACATACTTGTCAAAGTCCTCCTCGCTGAGAGCCTTGAGCTCCATGGCACTCTCCTTCAAGGTAAGGCCCTTCTTGTGTGCGTTCTTGGCGACCTTGGAGGCCATGTCATATCCAATAATGGGGTTAAGGCAAGTGACAAGCATCAGACTATATACAATTAGTAATGGATTATTGATCAGACACGAAAAGTAACATACCTCTCGTGGAGAAGAGAGTCAATGCGCTTCTCATCAGCTTCCAAACCGTGGACAAGATTCTTCTCAAAGCTGGCCATGCCATCAGCCAGAATGCGGATGCTGTGGAGGAGGTTGCGGATCATAACGGGCTTGAATACATTAAGCTCGAATTGACCGTTCATGCCAGAGATGGTGGTAGCAACATGGTTGCCCATGACTTGAGCGCAAACCATGGTCAAAGATTCACACTGGGTGGGGTTGACCTTTCCGGGCATGATGGAAGAACCAGGCTCGTTCTCAGGAAGACGGAGCTCTCCAAGACCGCAACGAGGACCAGATCCGAGGTAACGGATATCCTGAGCAATCTTGAACAAAGAGGTGGCAAGAGTATTCAAAGATCCGGACGCCTCGGTGATGGCGTCGTGAGCAGCCAAAACTTCAAACTTGTTAGGAGCAGTCTTGAACTCAGTTCCGGCAAGCTTGGTGATCTCAGCGGCAACTTCCGCATCAAAGCCCTTGAAAGTGTTMAAGCCAGTACCGACAGCGGTACCACCCTGGGCGAGAAGACGGAGGTCAGGGATGGTGTTCTCGATGCGCTTAATGTTACTATCGAGCTGGGCAACATAACCAGAAAATTCCTGACCGAGGGTAAGGGGTGTAGCATCCTGCAAGTGGGTACGACCAATCTTGATGATGTGGTTGAAAGCCTCAACCTTGGCTTGAAGAGCATCACGGAGGCTCTTCAATGAAGGGAGCAAAGTGCCCTCGAGCTCGAGGACGGCGGCAATGTGCATCACAGTAGGGAAAGAGTCGTTGGAGGAAGCGGACATGTTTACATGGTCGTTAGGGTGAACAGGCTTCTTGCTACCCTTTTGTCCTCCCAAAATCTCAATAGCACGGTTAGAGATGACTTCGTTGGCGTTCATGTTGGATTGGGTACCGGAGCCGGTTTGCCAAACAACGAGAGGGAAGTGGTCGAGGAGCTTGCCTTCGGCAACCTCAGCGGCGGCTTGTTGAATGGCCTCTCCAACCTTGGGGTCTTCTTTAATTAGTATCATGACCTATATCCAAGTCCGGGGTTTCCGGAGATCGTACCAAGTCCGTATTTCATGTTGACAGCGGCAGCGGCACCCTTGAGAATACCGAAAGCCTTGACGACGGGAGGAGGCATGCGGTCTTGAGGCTGGTTGATCTTGAAGTTACCTAGCGAGCTATATACCGTTTCATTAGTATGTTGTTCATATGGTCGTCCAAGCTATGACGTACCGCTGAGTCTGGGCACCCCAGTACTTGTCATCGGCAACCTGTATAGCATCACCACGTCAATCGATTGTTCAAATATGCATTGTCCACAGCGACACGAACCTCAATCTCGCCAAAAGCATCGGTTTCAATACGAGTGTTGGCAGCCTATTTAGTAGATAGCGAGTCAGCATAGTTCAAGAATGCGCCTCAGGCTCCGTCGTATAGCTCCTCAGACCCCAACGTCAACCCACTCACCATTCTTGCGGATGAAGCAAAGGTCCTCTGATTCGAAATAGATTGAAGACGAGCGTATTGTGAGACTCGCACACTACCTATAGAGGAGAATTGTGAAGCACGAGTGGGGGTAGAGAGACAGGTGACGCGGGGAAGATTGGACACAGCTCGCCCAGCATGTGTCAAGGTTCGGACCGATAGCCGAGATGCCATTATGTGCTCTTTTTCTCTGTTGTAGGTGCCAATCAAATCGGTAATCGAGATTGCAAGAACAAAAAGACGCTAATTGCCGTTGACAAAGTAATCAAGCGAGAAGAAAGAGGCAGAGGACAAGAGAGATGAGTATAACTGAAGAAGAAGGATGTTGTTGTTTCTTTTTTTTCCATCTTGTTCTCCTTCCCCAAGCATCGCTTTGCCGGGTTCTTCCGTGGCGCCGGTATTTCCATACATAAAATACGTCATTCTGTTGTGGAGTATCCTTGTAATTACGGCTGTTTACAGTGTTGCATGACTAAGCTATTGATATCCGATGTCCTCTTCCGAAAACAACTTCGGAACGTCACCATCACAAGCTATCGACTGTCAAACAAAAATCCGTCCTCCTAACAGTCTCAATGCAATTGACAATGATACCACATATAATGGCTAACTTTTCGAATTGCAGAGTTAAGTTTTTGGGTGGTGGAGTCTTACGAAATGACTAGGAGACCATTCTATAAACAAACAAAGCATGAAGACTCACCATATCAGACACAACCTTGCTACTGATGAGCCACTCGCCATCAAACTCCTCCAGCGTATCATAGTACCGCTGGAAATAACTGCGTATAAATTTGCTGATCGACATCCGTCGTCTAGAAAGTGCCGGTGAAAGACGTAATGGCAACCGCCAACTTTCCATCCTGGCTTGTATCAATCTTCTGGGTGCCAAAGTCGTGCTGATTCTTGAATTCGGTTAGGAAGTCACCCAGAATGCGAATTATGTATCGGCATAAGATTTCAATGCTTTGTCTTGGCTAAAGTGCGCCTCAGCAAGAATCGCTAGGACGAGCATCAAGAGGAACGAGATGAATGCAGAAGAGAAGTGAGTCATGGCGGTAAGAAGAGTTAGAGAGGTATCTATTGCCCGGAAGAAAGTACTGACTACACTTTCGAACCAAGCTCTTTGCAAGCGTTTGTACCTTTATTTTCAAAATAAACCTTCATCCTTCCTCAACTCCTTCTTATGCTAGCTGAACAATGCGTAAGATTCTCAGCTTCGGATTGTAGGGAACTCCGCAGTTGAGACGGAAGCTTGCCGGAGCTGAGGCCGGCCCTACCGGCATTCAGTTTCACCAAAGAATAAATCTTGTAGATAATTTCTTTCAAATGCTAAGGTCTTACTTATTTAAGCCAAGTAGCTCGATTATCGGAGCTTTGATGTCTGAATTAGCATTGAAACAAAGAGCAAATAAGCATATCAATTGATTGAATGTATTGTTTACCATCATTTGAAGGTAGCTTTCCTGGATCTGATTGATATATACACAACTATGAACTTTACTATGTACAACCTTCAATGTTGGAAATTTGAAATCGGCATGATCAAGAATTTCCTAATGCACGCAAAGCCTCAGCAAGCGTAATGACATGAAGACCCATTTTAGGCAGAAGAATGTCGAGCATCATACTGGCCACTGCTTCAGTCTGTTCAACTGGTAATTCAAGCACATTGTCCCTGATCACATAGATCTCGTAATCCAGATCGAACAATCGATAAATAGTAGACATGGCCACACCAGATAGACTCAAACCACACTGTACACTAACATCAACAAATTTCTATAGGACTTGATAAAAATTACCTACAATAACAACAGCCTTGATGTTTTGCGCTTTCAGGATTTGTTCCAAAACGCTCCCTGTCGTTGCAGACCAACGAGTCTTCTGCATAATGAAATCCTTTTCATCAACCTGGAAAACATCACAAATCTGCACTTCAGAAGAGCCGCTCCTGAAATCTCCAAACGGGCCAATCAGCCTGGAAAATGGCGAGTCAGATGCAACTTCATGCTGACTAGGGCTAAATGAAAGCGTGGAAAAAATTGTGAGAGGGCGAGGAGTCTTGAGATGCACGGCGTCGTTCCATTTGGTGCAATTGGCAATCATAACCTGGCCTTGTGGTGTGTCGCTCACTGTGTTGATGAGGATTGCCATCAAGTCTAGGTTGAGGATAGCATAGTTGCTGCCGAAGGTGAGGGAGCTGTTGGTTGTAGACATGATTCGATATGGATGAGTAATTGCCAGAAGGATGTCTTTGGCACTCGGATCTATCTCTACAATTTCTGGGCATACAGCTATTTCAGGTTTAGCATTCCAGGAGATTGGATTGCGCTAAAGCAGTACTCCCTACCGACTGTAACGGAACTGAGAGCCCATTGACTCTCAACTCCGATGCGCACCGGAGTTGAGATGTTAGATTTCCGCTTGTTATACATAGTGGCAAACAAACTATTGACTATTTATACCCAACCGCATCCACGAGTCAGATGTAGCTCAAGGTCAATCCTCAATGAGCATGAATCTAGCGTAGAGAAATTTGGAATTACTCACACCATGAGCTCTGAGAATAACGCAAAACAACCTGAAAATGATCATGCTCCTCCAGAATCAGCTTTAACCATGAAGTCGCCAGAGCCCGGAATCAACGAGCCGCCATACAGCATATTCGATAAAAAACAGAAGTGGCTAATTATCATAATTGTCTCGACAGCTGCAACCTGTAAGTTGTTCTGGCCTCGAATTGTATGATTAAACGTTAACAAAAATAGTCTCCGGCTTCGCATCGAACATCTATTTTCCGGCCCTACCAACAATCGCATCCGACCTGAATGTCTCACTTGAATTAGTCAATCTCACTGTCACATCATATTTGATTTTCCAAGGTCTTGCACCTAGTATTTGGGGCCCAATATCCGATGTCAAGGGCCGTCGCACAGCTTATATATGCACATTCCTCGTCTTCCTAGGAGCATGCATCGGTCTCGCCGAGACTACTAACTATGCCACACTTATAGCTCTGCGATGTCTTCAAAGTACGGGAAGTGCCAGTACTATTGCAATTGGCTCAGGCGTCATTAAAGACATTACAACCCGTGCCAATCGAGGAGGGTATATGGGGATTTTCCAAGCAGGCCTACTGGTTCCCGTGGCCATAGGACCAGTGATCGGAGGCGCAATTGCTGGTTCATTGGGCTGGAATGCCATCTTTTGGATGTTGACCATCTATAGTGGTGTGTTCCTTTGCTTGTTGGTTATTTTGCTGCCAGAGACGTTGCGATCCATCGTCAAGAATGGGAGTCAGTTACCGTCAAATCTGTTGATACGATATCCATTGAAATTTTACCAGACGACCACCCAAGTCGATTGGCAAAGGAGAGCATCAGACAACCAACATGCACCCAAGAAACATGTTGATGTCCTAGGACCGCTACGAATACTTTTGAGCAACCATGCAGCACCTATCATCATTTTTCTCGCTGTGTACTATGCAGGCTGGCAGATGAGCATCACCGCCATGTCATCTCTTTTCAAGACTCAATATGGTCTGACCGAGATACAAATCGGCTTAACCTTCATCGCCAATGGCGTTGGATCAATGGTTGGAACCTTAATAACGGGCAAGATCCTCGACAAAGATTATCATCGTGTCAAGGAGAAATACGAGGCCTCCTTGGATATTGAACGCAGAGAAAGTAGCCAAGAAGAAGACTTTCCCTTGGAAAAAGCTCGTCTCAGGCTTGTGCCTACTTTTTCTCTACTTCAGTGTCTTTCCATTCTTCTTTTCGGCTGGACCATCCAGTATGCTCACAAGGTTCATATTGCAGTCCCGATTATATCGACTTTTATAACCGGATGGGCAACTGTTTCGACACAATCTCTCATTACGACTTATCTTGTGGACATATTTCATGATAGGAGTGCGGCTGCCAGTGCCAGCTTGAATCTTGCCAGATGTTTGTTTGCAGCTGGTGGTACGAGCTTTGTCATGCCGATGATTAATAGTGTTGGAGTTGGAGTGGCGTTTACAATTTGTGCTGCTGTCCAGGTACTGGCATTGATAGGCCCACTGATTCAGTACAAGTTTGCTGCAGGATGGAGGCGGAAGAACAGAGAGAAGGCTGAGCAAAGGAGGAGGGAAAGGACGAGTGACATGTGATTGATCTTCACGGGGAGGGGTGGCCATCAGATCTATGTGGTACTAGCCTCCAGGGCTACTTCGATAGCCAAAAGCTTGAGATCTGGAACAGGGTCAGGCACGGTGTTTTTGATATCCTTGCGCCAGGGGAAGCATACTTTGAAATTATTGTTACTTTACAAGATAGAATCATAGTTCATGGTATACCTAGGTACTAATTAACTGATACAATTTTTAACCTCTACAGTCACAAGCAAATTTTGTAGATTAGTATATTTCTTCTCCATCATAGTGAAATTGTCCACATCTAGAAAATGACCTAGGAATATTCTCTGGATATCAAATTGGTGACTGTTGACCCTCGTCACCCTAACCCCAACCCTAAAATAACCGAAGACGGCGTAGAAGAGCCGGGAGTCAGCGGCAGCCCGGGCTTAGCTTCCAAGGGATAATGGGCCCCAACGTTAAGGGCGCCGTTCATTACACACCACATATAACAGAAGCACCATGTCACTTCATTTGTTTTCTTCGCACCACTTCCAGTTAATCACGCAACAAGGCCTTTGAATTCTCTAGTACATGTGTTGTAGTCACTCGATAGTCAAACTTCATGTCCACCGACGAGGCACGCCCGTCGAAGCGTGCCAGACAGGCTTGTGAGCCATGCCGGTGAGTCGTGTGCCGCACTCAAAAGTGCTCTACAGTGTAACTCGATTTTATGTTTCTATTCTAAATGTGGTGATTCCAGCCGGAAAAAGTCAAGGTGCCCTGGGGAACGACCTGCCTGCTCGTATTGTGAACGTCTGGGCCAGCGTTGTGAGTACGCTGATGTAGGCGACGAAGGATCCGACTTTGCTAAGAAGATGGTGGGATTGTCCATTTCCCGGGTCCCAATTTCAACAGATGGTTCTAATATATATGTAGGAGGAACGTATGTCTGGCATAGAAAGCAGGCTCGAAGCTTTGATGGATCGCTTTGAGTAGGCAGATACGACCCTATCCATGTACTGGAAGCACTTCTGCTGACTATGAAAGTCGGGAATCTGTTCGATCTATCATACCATCTCCAACAGCAGCCTTTCAGAAGAGGCCAGCTTATTCTGAACCTAGCGAGAATGCACCACTCCATGAACCCATTACTCGGTGAACCTTCTTTTCTGATTTCCCAAGTTAGCGTTAACTAACAATAACATGTGGAAGAACCAAGCAAACTGTTTTTTCTGCCTCGCGTCTTTTCCTGACTTATTGTAATTGCCAGCCGCTCCCGTTGTTCCACCATCGAAGTTTCTCTTCTTCAATCGATGCCCGTGATATCGAGCTTCTAGACGCAATCCAAGCGCTGGCATTAAGGTTCAATGATGGAGGGATTACAGATCCTGATATCGAGCAGCAAATCAAGATTCGAACGGAAAGCTGTCGCAAACGGGTCATGAACCGTGTTGCCAACGGGACTATCGAGTTGAGTACATTGCAAGCCTTATGCTTGCTCACCCTAATTGAATATACTGGTATTGTGATTCATGCGTCCTGAATTTTACTATCTATCTGTTACTAACTTTTTTTCAAGCTGGTAATGCAACCCGGGCTGGAGCTAATCTAAAGCTTGCTAGCTATTTACTGAAAAGCTTGAAACCGAACTGTCCAGAAATTCCGCGAGATTTGGAAGATATGAGAGATGAAATTGAGTTATGTCATTGGAGCATTCATATGCTTTGCAACTTGCTAGATGACCCCTCTCAGTTGAGTGTGACCGCGCCTGGTAATCAGCCATATGGATTTCCCCTGCAACAACTGAGGGAATTCTCAGAAACAAGAGGAGATCATGGTCTTATTGCTTGCACAATTCGCCTGGGTGACGTATGGAAATTGGCAAGAATCTACGCTAGCGCTCACGTTGACCAAGTATCCATTCCTCCATGGTCGCCACAGTCAGACTACTCAATCGTCACCTTCAGCCATACTGAGGTGGAGAGTCGCACTCCGCTTAAATACAGACTACATGCCAGCGGGTTTCCAAGTACATCTCTTGCTGACATAATGGAGAAACGTGAATATTGGGGCCCCTGGCTCTTTATCCAACTAGTTTGGCATGCCATACCTTGCATCCTCAATCATCCATTCTTACTCTCAATGCGTCTGAAGAACTTTCGACATACGATGCCGCAGACCTTTTTGCGACACTCATTCGAGCAGATTACATTGCATACCGGCTGGATATTGTATTTTGTTGACCTGCTCGAAACAAAACAGTACGAAATCTCAGATCCCACGTCGGGCCAGTGTGTAGCGGTTGTTGCGACAATATATCTGCAGCACAGTTTTGTTGACGAGCTAACTTTTAGGGAGAAAGCACAATCGGGGTTTGAGAAGTGCATGAGATTCCTACGGCGAATGGCAATGAGATGGCCTCATATCGAGAAACAGGTACGAAATTTACAACAATTAAGGGATAGCATTTCTGCAAGCCAAGTACAGCACCAAGATCCAAGCTTGCAACCTACGCGGACCTCGGGTCGCCACTGGCTGTATAATGTCAGTCTACTAAGTCAGATACTTGAATGCAATAATGCCAGCCAAGCCTTTAATGCTCCGGGAGATATTTTCGGTCCTGGACTCGCCAGGGATAAAGCTGCATATGCTTCTATCACAGCTAGCATCACACCAGATCCGGATTTCAATTTTATCGGAGTACCGGGGATTTCAGGACATAAGACTGTGGCTAAAGAGGCAGTAACATACCCACCTGATCAGTTGCAACCGCAAATCGATCTGGATATGTACCATGTTTCACCCAGTGCGCCTATTGATCTATCCAACCTGATGGACAATCCTCTACCAGAGCTGCTAGATGCGCCCGAAGCAGCTTTCTTACAACCACACGATTATGGCAGGGCGATTGAAAATTGGTTGAATTTCAATGCTGGATAAGTCATCATCTAGGTAGTTGATAGGGCTTCATTTAAAGGGTGTCTTTCATCACCATTCTCTCGTTTCATATGACTTGCTCATATAGCTAGATGACTACCAAGATAATGGGCCATTGCCACTGTTTGTAGCCTTGCAGTCCTAAGTATCACAAAAATCAACCTCTTCCTGGAATTCCTTAGTCACCACCGGTGCAGGTGTAGCTGGTCAGAGGTCCCTCCCTTGCTCTGTTTCCAACGCTCGATGGCTCATCACTTGCTCTTTCACTCGATCTTGAAAGCAGAGGGGGCCCTAATAGAAGCTTCAAGCACAATGATCCTCTATATAGTAACGGTCGGAGGCCGAATTTCTCATCTGAAGAGTTCTTGCTTTGACATACTTCATACTCCATGAGGGTTTGCGAGTCTGATTTCGGTATACGGCGCATCATGTAGAAGAAGTGCTTTCTGGATATATTGTAAATCGTCAGTAGCCGCTATGAGGACGATAAGGACTGATGTATGCTTACGAAACAGTTATTGAGGCATTCGGGAAGTAGAATGTGCTATAGATTCCCAAGCCCTCACGATCAGGCCTATTGTTGTCGAAATGTTGGAATGGCCTCCTTTGGTCTCAACCCAGTATTTTGATAGATCAGAGTAGGTCATCATGTTGGTATGACCAGTTGGGCAGTGATAGCACCGCAATTCCTGTCAGAATCTAGAATAATCTGAAGAGATGATTGGTTTCAGCACTCACCTCATCATAGTTATTCACTAATGTTTCCCAATTGTTACCTCCTATCATCTCCTATTGATGATCAAACACAAACTCAGACAAGCCGAACTGCAGCATCCGAGGCTGCTCTTCAACACCACCACAATCGTCTTCCTATGAGATGCTTGGCTTATCCGAGGTTTCCAGGTTGGACAAATGAAACACAATTTTTCTGATGTGGATGTGTACTGGAAAGAGTCCGTTTTTCTCCTTTTCAATGTTCCCAATGTCATCATAGCGAAGTGCTTCTGCGAGCTTACCATTGAGCCCATAGGACCAGCCTAGTATTCGTTGCATCAACATTGAGATCACTCATACAATAGTTTACACAGGTAAGATAGATGACATACCATGGTATTTACAAGCTAGTATGTTCATCTTGCCCTCCTCTCCCAGCAGAAGCGGATACGCACGATGTCGATAGATATTGTGGAATCCACTTATGTTTCCTTGCCGGTCTTTCACTAGAATGAACGAGAACCCTGCCTCCTGGAGCTTAATATATTGATCAGGTTTGGTAAGACGAAGTTAATGAGATACCACGATTCATTACTTGGAAAGGATCGCTCGTCTCTTTAACTGATACATGGCATCGGAGCGATACCATAATGCTGGTAGACTTCTGTTCGGAGCATCTTCCTGCGTAAGCATACCGGTTGGTTCCATATATATAAAAAAAAAAGAGATTCATTTTGAAGTCTAGAATAAAGGTAAAGGAGTTCGTGATTAAATATGATAGAACGCTTCAGGATGTTGCGCTTTGGTTTCGGATTTTTTCTACATCTGCACAAACAGTTTCCCGGGGTGTTTGTATTGCCCATCTCATCTGTCTATTTACACTTGTACACTTAAGCCGATAGCCCGATGTTTCTCCTCGTTCCTATCTTCATTTTGACTCACCGTCGCAATGTAAAATCCCTGAAGTTGATACTGTATCTGTCTCCGTACCCACTCTGGGGACGGAATCCGGCCCGGATCCGTGATCATACCATGTCATTGAGATAGAGCTTGTTCCTTTCTCCAAATCCCCTCCTAGACTTTTTTTCTTCTACGTTAACAATTCCCTGATCTCTGAACCTGTCGAGGTAGTAAAATTTCCCGCAGAAAACATTTACAAGACTTCTTTTTAATTAGTCGTGAATCATCGCAGATCAAGTCAAAATAAACGAATCGACATTTTCCAGAACGACCCTCAAGATGCCTATACCAAAAGACAAAAAGATTATCATAATTGGCGCTGGCGTCTTTGGACTCTCAACCGCCTTGGAGCTTTCGAAGCGAGGATACAATAACATCACGATACTCGATCGCCATGTACCGCCAGTAGTTGACGGAAGCAGCGTTGACATCTCAAGGATCATTCGCTTTGACTACGCAGACCCATTATATGCCCGAATGGCGAAGGAAGCCTACCAAGGCTGGCAGAAAGAATATTCAGACTTCTTCTACCAGTCAGGGTTTGTAATGCTCGCGAAGGACGCCTCGAATGTCTACGTGAACAAGTCGATGGAAAACGTTCGGTCTCAGGGTGGACAAGTTGATGTGTTCCACAACGCTAACGATGTTAAAAAGCTCTATGCCGGTATTACATCTGACTTTTCTGGCCTATATGCAACGCACAATGCTAGCGGAGGATGGGCAGATGCGGAGAAGAGTATTCAACGATTAGCGAGCGAATGCAGTCTTGCCGGTGTATCGTTCATTACAGGGCCACAGGGTACTGTTCACTCTCTGCGACAGGAAGGCTCACGGATAGTTGGAGTTAATACGGTCAATGGAGGGACGATCCTAGCATCGCAGGTGATCCTATGCACCGGAGCGTGGTCAAACAGACTGCTCAACCTAACCCACACTGCATCTGCTTCTGGCCAACCTGTCGGGTTTATTAAGCTAACTCCAGACGAAGCCCGCGAATTGGAAAACACACCAGTCATGATCAACATGACTACCGGTGTCTTCTGCTTTCCGCCCACTCCAGGCACGAACATCCTCAAATTGGCGCGTCATGGCCATGGATATGCAACGGAGGCAGTCTCGGAGACAACTGGACGTGTTATATCATCGCCGAGGCGAGAAGGCAGTAACGCAAAGTCCGGGTATCTCCCAGACGATGCTGATGAAGCACTCCGAGACGGACTCCGACAATTCTTTCCTAAACTCGAGGGTCGTGCATGGATGAGACGGCGTCTCTGCTGGTACACGGATACTCCAACTGGTGATTTCATTATTGACCACCACAGCGCATTAGATGGTCTATTTGTTGCGACGGGAGGAGCAGGACAGTGAGCGATCACCAAAAGTTTAATGAGCGAGAAGAATGTGCTAATTGTTTCCCAGCGCATTCAAGTTTCTGCCGGTCTTGGGTCGATATATCGCGGATTGCTTTGAAAGTAAAGCCCCGTTGGAAATACGTGAAAAGTGGAAACTACGTAAAGAAGTTGAAGAATCTAATGCCCCCCTGATGGTAGGAGACGGTAGTCGAGGAGGGCCACCTTTACGGAAATTAAATGCTGCTGAGCAATCAAAGCTGTAGCGAAAGACGCTATTTTGAGTGGTTGAGATAGATAATACATAGTGTCAGGCTTAGAAACTCTAAAAAGAATGATAGATGATTCATCCTTGCATTCCTGGCTCAAACGCTGAAGTCAGGTCTAGAGTTAGGGCTTGATGCTCATAGATAAGGAGATGGCAATCCGGCCCGTTTCCGGATGGGACGAGAGAGGAAATCAAGTGTTCGTCGCCGAACATTGACAGGGAGCAAAGTGAATAGTATCATTGTTATACTATGTGGCTGTCAAATGTTGTGCAACTGAATTATGTCCAAGTCGTACAGTCAGTACTTTCGCAACATTCATACAGCATCGGCCTTTCAACAAGAAAATAGAGAAAATGTCTAGCAAGCGATTGCGTATTACCATGATAGGCGCCGAGTAAGCTCTAAGCTGTGCATTTTCCATGGTTCGATTGCGTCTTGTACTAGTCTGGGCCTTACAACCCAGCATGTCCAGAGTCTTGATGGGTACGAAACTTTTTTTCATATCAATCTGCCAATACATTTGATGATCTGACCGAAGGATTGTGATGGCCGCGTACAAGCTACAGGAGCATGAGCTGGAAGCAGTAGCAGCCATTAAAAGTATCAGTAAGAGAAACGGATCTGATTATGTTGCACAACATGCGGGCTTTTGCTATCCTGTGGCCGAGCAGCGTCATTGTCAGCATATTGTATAGCAACATACGGCAATGTGGACTCACCGGTCCCTCTGTTTGTCTCTTGCGGGTTGTATCTAGCTATTGGGGTTACTGGGCTGCTCTTGCCGCTTGAACCTTCAGCGGCTGACTTTCCCATCAATGAATAATTGCTGAATCAGCACTGTGGAGGGATTTTCTACTTAGCCAGCTAGGAGGGTTTCGTGACATCAATGAGCTTAGTCAACTGGTCGTGGTTATCTAGGGAAGCCAACCGAGTAATTTCGTTACTGTTAAGTAGCCGAATCTTCATTCATAGAGTCTAAGTATCAATAGACATTTACACGCTCCGACAACATGACTCCAAAGATGAGGTAATAGAAAAAGATGCCGCGTATAACCAGCAAAACCTGCTTGTATCAACGTTCGTCACCTGACAAGTGATCTCACTTTAGATCAAGTTCTGAAACTCATCTGACCAGACGCAGGGGGCCATGGCAAGGATGGATCTGAAATGTCGGCATTTGCCCTATCATTCGCTAATCAGCAATTAGAAGCAGTGGCTATAGCATGGGTTTATGCATAATGTAACAAAATAGCCGTATCAGGAAGTGCTGTCGCTAGTTGACCTCGTCTCAGATTTTTTCACGATAGGGCACCAGACAATGGCAACAAGTCGTCTATCATGTTTAATAGTAAATAGTGAGCAATTGTAAGAAATTGAAGTTTAAGTTGGAAGTCAAGAGAAACAGCCGAACATAAGCGGCAATAAGCCCCCGGGTGGAGCCGGCAATGTCAGGCTATTTGGTCACTTTTTCTTCACTTTTTTCTCCCCCACGAATGAGATGGCAAAAATGGCCAAAGGTCAAGGGTATTTTACTAAGTAAGGGCGTTCATGCTATGAATTACCCCATGAATCATTCAAGCAGTATAACAGTAAATCTGCAAGTCACAACTACAAGTTTGAGGGCATAATCGTGAGTCACTCAAACAGTAAGACTCGTAGGTACGGAAAACATAGGTACCGCTTCCAATTCTTCCCCATTTGGCCCACGCGGGTATTTCTTCCCTCTTTTTGTTTCACAAGATACTTCCCACTACACCTCCTGGACACCAACTAGACCGGCAATCCTTGACCTCATACTGTGGCATTGGCAATAAGATAAGTCAACATGCTCATTCAAGATCAATCGGCCAAGTCGACCCCTAAAGCATCTTCCTTTTCCAACCTCCCTGATGCCCCCGTCGACGAAATCTTCAGTCTCAACCACGCCTATGTCGCCGACCCAAACCCCAACAAAGTAAATCTGAGCCTGGGTGTCTACCGCACTGAAGAAGGTCAGCCATGGCCATTAGCCTCAGTTGAGCAAGTAGAGCAGGAACTTTACACTCAAAACGACCCCGCTCGCCATGAATACTTGCCTATTGAAGGTGACTCAGTCTTTTTAGGTCATGCGCGCGATCTCATGTTTGGCTTCAACAAGCGCAACGCAGATGTTGGAAAAGAGCTCGAAGCCAAGAAACGAATTGCATCCGTCCAAAGCATTTCAGGCACAGGCGCAAACCATCTTGGCGCAGCATTTCTGGCGCATCATTTCAAACCGAAGCATGTCTGGGTCTCAATCCCGACCTGGGCTAATCACCACACGATCTGGGAATTGCAAGGCATAGAGCGTAAGGGGTACCCATACTTTGACGCCGCGACATGTGCATTCAACTTCGACGGCGCTATTGCCGCGCTCGAAAACGAGGCTGTCGAGGGAGATGTCATCTTACTCCATGCCTGCGCGCACAACCCGACAGGCGTTGATCCATCAAAGGAGCAATGGAAGAAAATCGCAGAATTGTGTCAACGCAAACGCCTCTTCCCATTCTTCGACTCGGCTTATCAGGGTTTCGCATCTGGGTCGGCAGATGAAGACGCCTGGGCGGTACGATACTTCTTCAATCTCAGTCCCCCGCTCGAAATGTGTGTTGCGCAGAGTTTCTCCAAGAATTTCGGTCTTTACGGTCATCGGACTGGTGCTTTCCACCTGGTTACAAACGGCGCAAACCCCACTGAGACGGAACTCGTGCGCAAGAATTTGTGTCATATTATTCGTGGTGAATACTCCATGGGTCCACGATATGGTAGTACGATCGTGAAGAGAGTTCTCGGAGATGAGACCCTGCGGGCACAGTGGCAAGATGATTTGACGGTCATGAGTTCGAGGATCAAGCGCATGCGTCAGGCGCTGTATGATGAATTGAAGCGACTTAACACGCCGGGATCATGGGAGCATATCATTAACCAGAATGGGATGTTTTCCTACACTGGTCTTACGCTGAAACAAGTTCTGACCTTGAGGGATGAGTTTCATATTTATCTGCTCAAGTCTGGTAGGGCTTCTGTTAGTGGATGTAAGTAATTTGTTATCCCCGTTTCACATGATACATACTAATTCGATGAATAGTTAGCGAGAAGAATGTGGCATATGTCGCCCAGGCTATTGATAATGTGGTGAGGAGGGATATACAAGGCTAATCTGTTCATCAATTGATGTATTTTGCTTCGTGTTAACCAGGTTTGCATTTTACCTAGATTCTGCTATGATATGTACTTTTATGAATCTAAAGTATACCTAGGTATACAATTCAATCAAAATTCACAATATCCCAACCAAGATACTAGAGAAAAGCTCCACGAAATCATTCACCTTTCTTCGTAAACGCCCGCTATGCAAATGTTGAATATTCCCCTCCTCCGATACATGTTGTTAAAAACGGCTTTTTGATCGAAAATCACTTGGCTGGTTCAAATATGCTAACCACAGTCCGTAACTTGGTTATCATCTCATCCCACTCCCCTTGCGGAGTACTCAATATAGTCACCGCGCCTCCTGCACCAAGCCGCCATACCTCTGGCTTTGTCGCGCTCGCTGCATCTTCATGATCTGAACAGCTGAATGCAGTTCTTATCAGAACCGAAAAACTGCCCGAGCCACCCAGGTCCAGAAAGCCCATGACGCCGGAGTATATGCCACGTTTCCATCCCTCGATTCTGTCGAGGTGCAAACATGATCGTTCTTTGGGTGCTCCCGTCATTGATCCCGGAGGTAAGGTGCGTTGCAGTGTAGTCAAACCATATGCAGCCATACTATCATGCTTAGTGTCTTTTGCCGTAGTTCGATCAACTATACCTTTCACATGAGTAACCATCGAATATACACGCCCATAATCCTCAACATCCAAAAGTTTCTCAACATGCACATTTCCCGAGCCGCAGATTCCATATAAATCATGACGGATCAGATCGGCAATCATGAGATTTTCCGCCATTTCTTTGGTAGTGGCTAGGATCTCTTTGGCTTTTTCCAAAGTCATGCCTGGCGATTTCCGCACTGTCCCTTTCATAGGTTTCATTTCCAGAGTAGAGGTTCGATCCCAAATTAGAAAACATTCGGGACTGCTACTTGCAATCTTTACTTTGCCCAAGCTTCCATACGCGCTGAATGCTGCGGGATTGTATGTTTTTAGTTTCTTGTATATCAGCCAAGGGCGGAGTTTGCGTAGTCTTGCATCAGAAATTGCTGGTAATGTAATGGTTGTCTCCCCAGTGAGACAAAGCTCGTATGACTCGCCGGCCTTCAGTTCTTCTTGACATTCGGCAATCTGTGATTTGTATCTCGTTTCGTCAGGGATCTTGACCGTGCTTCCTTGGAGAAGTTGATCGACAAGTTCTCTTTCCGCAGAAGTCAAAAGACTATATTGCTCCAAGGCGGCTGATTTGTGTCTGATGTCAACAACTTGACTTGCCCGTGATTGAAATTGCTCAATCTTTTGATATATGGTGTCTAACCAGCCACCTGCCTGGTTGTCGATTTCTCGTGTAGATTGAACGAAAGCTGTTTGCAAGACATTATCAATGACGATACTTCTCTCAACCCATAAAAGACTAGTATCTGGGACGGAGGATTCGTTTTTCTGAGTAGAGCCTGAATCCTCTACATGAGATGCCACAATTGGCGATGTCTTGGGATGAGACAGCCCAGCGAGTCCCATCTCATATGAAAAGTAGCCCAGAAAACCGCCCCAGAAAGGGATACTGCCTTTTCCAGAAATGACTTTTTTGGTATCCATGACATGTTTCAGAACTTGCCAAAGGGTTTCGACGGAGATGTCCTCATGGATAGTGGTATTTGTTGTTACTCCGAGCTGTTCAATTAAGAATTTCTTATTGGAAACAGAGTATTCGAGTCGCCAACTTCGGGGAGATGGAAGTGACATAATGCTGAATCTTCCATTCGACTGGAACAGGACCGAAGGGGAACCTGGTGTATTGAATAATTCAAAAATATTTTCGGGATAGAATTCGTATAGAGGTAATGAGCGATGAAAGCACGTTTTTGAGGACTCTGCAGTCAATTGATCGAGAAAATGGCTGATACTGTCTTGGACATCCGGGATTCTCAGAGCGGATGTCAATACGTCCTTCAATATTGGTTGTATGACACGTTTTGATGTTTGGTTGAATTCTACACTTGCTGCCCACCAATTCCGCAGGAGCTTTTTGCAAGCAATTCCGTCCGACTTGCAGGACTCTGGATGAAACTGAAAGCCCCAGAATGGTTTAGATTTGTGACGCACACCCATCGGAAGCCTTCGATGAACAGACCCTCCTTCTGCGACCGACAAACTCGCAAGTAACGAAAGATTTCCCGATTCTGATAATATATCGGCATCGATATCCACAGTGGCAAGAGTTTCAGAACCTGTCGAAGCGTAGAGAGAATGATATAGTGTCACCTCGAAATCCTGTATACCAGCAAATACGTCCTTATCCACGACAGATATCCGATGCACTTGACCATGTAAAGGACACGGAAGTCTCTTGATCGCCAACCCCTGACTCAAACACAAACTCTGAAATCCAAGACAAATCCCCAACACTGGTATCAAGTCCTCTCCTTCCAAAGTCCATATATCATTCATGATGCCTACATCCGATGCACATTCTGGATGACCTGGGCCTGGACCCAGCACAACAGCATCAAAGCCACGCAGGAAACACCGCATGTTCCCATTGGGCCATTCTGAGTCGACTGTTATGACTGTGACTTTGACGTCCAAATTTTCTTCAAGCATTGAGATGACATTGTTGGAGAATGAGTCATAGGCATCTAGATATAAAACATTTTTCCTGCTAGATACCGATGCCGATGGTGCTCTGACATCGATAGAATGCATTTTAATGAGTCTTCAAAGAGCGAACAAGCCAAGTACGAAGCTCGTTGTTCGCATGCGAAAAGACTTCGTCAATGGCGAGAGTATGAAAGGTGGCAAATGATTGGCGGAAAGCTTGTTTTTAGGGCAAAAAAGTCTTTCATGGAACCAATCAATTTACCGACATAACGGCTAGTTGAGGGTTATTCCTAACTTGAGAGGATTTCTGGCGAGACGTTATGTTTAAATATGTGAAAAGACGATAGATACAATTAAAGGGTGAGCAGGCCAGAAAAAAAAAAGGTGCCATATTTTTAAGGTTTCTCCATGGATAGCCGTTTTGCGGGAGATTCTACGGAGACCGAGAGAGCCTCCGGTTCCTTCCCGAGCAGATGATTGGCCGTGCCCTAAGTCTCTCCCCCCAAGTGTTCTCGAAATACGACAGTACATTGTAGCTGAGATCATATCTTCGTTATTGTACAAGTTTTGGATCTAAAGTCATGCTCTAAACGCTCAAAATGATCAAAGATGTGTCTATCATGAAGGTTGTGGTGTGTTCGTGAGTAACTTTTCTGCAACTTTCGAAAAGTACTGAGTAACAAATCCCTCTCTGTGACAATAATGTCAGTATATTCTTCGTGGAAAAGGGTAATGGGATACTAACGTGTAGAAACTATGGTCGGAGCTATGGTCCTCAACCAAATTATGTGCTAATTCATGGCAGAGAATTACCCACCAATACACGAGGGCATCAGCTCGACCGCCAATCGGATCCTGTGATAATCGGGCCTGATGTAGCTGCTTGAAGAACAGATAATTGCAGAAAAGACTACCTGAACGGTTGAAAGCAATAGTCTTGCCAGCAGGATCATAGAACACGCTGATGCTCTCCAGTCTCACCGAAAAGACGCTTGCGCACTCCACAAGTACTTTGGCAAATGCGTTGATGCCTGCAGAGTTCTCCGCCAGAAAAGCAGATCGGTCAGCGACTGACTTCGCGCTTAGGAAATGCAGACGTGATGGTAGAGTGGCAACATATTCAAGGTCATGGCTTGGTCGCTCGTCGCAGTAGGATTTAGTCTCGCTAACCTGATTAGTAGCAGGACGGCTATAGACACCAGATTCACCATGTGGTCGACAAGCAGAAATCGCAGAGAGAAGATTGTTGTGCAGCTGAATTGGTGAGGTGACAGGTTTTGGTTCGTTAGGATTCGAGCTTGAGCCTTGGTTTTGACCCCTAGGGTCCGTTTCTGAGTACGGAGGCGGAGCCGATACTTCACTGCTTGGCCCAGGTCCGCCATCTCCCTGTGTTGTACGGTTCTTGAACAGGGACTGGAAAGGATTCTGTCCCCGATTATTGTCATCTAACCCAAAGCGCTTGCTCAAATTTGAGAACAAGCCACGTGGGTTGAAGTCTTGATCAATTCCGGTATGCTCTTCCTCACCGTGCCGCTGATTTGAAGGGGAGTCTGGGAACACTCCCGGCATCGCATGTTGTTCCTGCTGAGAATTTCTGTCCTCCACTTCGCGCTGACTTTGAAGTTTGAGACGTTCAGCTTCACGTTCCTGAATCCGGCGTCTCTCTTCTTCCAATTCTTTCTGCCGCAAGTCTTCGGCCATTCGAGCTTCCTGCTGCTTCTTCTTAAGAATGCGCTCAACGTTGTAACCTCGAGCTCGTAGCTCATATAAATCAGTTTTGAGTAACATTTCCAGTGTGAGAATCGAATGAAGCTTGGGGCGTGCGAGCAGAATATGTACAAGAGCTTGGCTGATTTCGTAAAAGTCATACTTTCCAGGACTAATCCACAACGTGCGATCGCTTCCCTGAGATGTGACAATTGCATGCCGTTTTTGACTATGTGTCGCGCCCATGTTCTTCAGAGACCGCCGAAGTGATATAGAATGCACAACAACTATGCCGAGGTGCTTCTCCAACCACTTCGCATCATGCTTGACAGAATCTGGGCTATGCTCGTGTAGAAAGAGCCTTGTACGTTCACTGATGATCTTCTGTAGCTTGGCCGCGGACGTCTGATCTGAGGACTTAGCTCCCCAATTCGCGCGTTCTTCGACAAGTGTGCTCAAGATCGGCGTCCCAAGTGCTGCATAAAACTTCTCGAGGCTCTCCTCTTGTGGTGCCGCGAAAATATGTTCTTTAAATAATGTGTAGCTTTGGTAGTCATCTACTATGACAGCATCCTTCGCTGCGGTAAGCCGCCATTCTCTGATACCTTGTTCATCGTCTTCAAAGATGTCACTGGCCTCATCTGTGGTAGACTTGCTAGCAACCGCACTTGAAGCTGCTGCGGGAAGCTCCTTACTTGCTAGCAGAAAAGGTGCTTTCATCATCTCACGGAAAAGATCCTTGTGACGTTTCAATGTAGACAGATTATCGGCAAGGCTTCTCAACAGATTTAAATATTTCTCAGGACTCTGGAACCTAGAAGATATCCTCGCTGGTTCTTTGACCAGCATTTGAGCAACCTCAACTTTTGTTGGCTCTTGTTTTGATCCAACAGCCTGTAAGAAGAGATTTCCCATTTGCCCAAAGTGGACAAAATCGAAGATATCTTTGAAGTCTTCGCTATCGCCAAGATAACAATTCTTCGGAGAAACATAGCGCATGGCAGGTCTTTTCTCTGACGTGGTGCCATTAGGAATGGGGATTATAGCAGCGTCACCTAATCGAGTTGTATCTGCTCCCTTCAATTCCGGAATCCTCACAGCCATGTAAGCAAATACACTCCTGGCTTCACTCGGCGTTTTCGGTGGAGCCTTGAGAATGCTTTGTACGCACTCCATCACAGGAGGATGCTCACGGACGCCAAAAATTGTTGAATGCGGATGAAGATCACGTCGCAAGATATCAAATCCGAATAAAGCTGCTCCTTCGTGAGTGAAGCAGTCCTTTGGTGCGCTTAATTTCTTGTTTCCTTCAGTTGGTAAGAACGGGATAGTCACTACTTCCATATTGACCTGGTTATACTTGTTCGCATGATATTCTGTAATGAAATATGACATTGACTTGGCCTGAAGAGCTGTATCTTCAGCCAACGCTGCCTTTGCCATAATTTCGATGACTTCGATCGCTGAAGGATGACGCTTAAGCCCCAAGGTTGACAAAAATTGCGCTTCTTTGCTGTGAGACAGGTACTTTCCATGCCAATCAATTACTAGGAGGCCTAGCTTCCGATGAGATTCTTGAGGTTCAAACAGCTCAGATATCCTGTACCGTTTTCGACTAGACGAGTTTTCCGCGAGGCAAATCTTAGCTTGTTTGAGCCTCTCTATATCTTTGGCAGGTATATCGTCCCTCACCGACGTGAGATACTTGATCAGGTCAACGTGGCTCCATTTTGGCTTTACACTCTCGGTCGACACTGTCGGATCTGGCTCGTTGAGCAGCCTCTCGAAAATAACACCAAGCTCGACTGTCTTGCGGACTCCGAGAGCAGCCAGAAACTTATCCTTGACACCTGAAAGACCAGTAACCACTGGCAAGTCATCAAAAAGACGTACTGATGGAAAATACGCTTCTTCTGGTCTTTTCATGCCCTTCTTCACGGGTATGACTGTCTGAGGTTGCAACAAATCAATCACAGTCTGTCTGGAGGACTGGCTGAGCAAGTCCCATTGCTTTGACAAGACCGGCAGAATTTGAGCGGCAAATGAGGCAGCGTGGGTAAGATCTTTTTCGACCGATAAAACATTTCGATTCCCAGCATTTTCCACCAGCCAACGAAGCCAAGGAACTATTTGTAGTTCCTYCCAGCCGATAGCATCCAATTGGCGTTTCTCCAATGACTTAGTGTACTTGAAAGGGATTACTGAAGGTGGTATAGGTAAGTCAGAAGGTATACGTGCGGGATTGAGATAACAATCGATTCCATTCAATGTTAGCAACCGGCCGGGCTGTCCTTCAGAGGGCTCTTCATTGGCAACAGCTGCACTGAGTAGTGACAAGGTGGTTTTCTGATCGAGTTCACCAGAGGCAGCACGCTTTCCAATCCAAGAGAGAAATTCTACAAGTTGGGCGGAAGTCAGAGCACTGTTTTCGAGTTCCCGCTTGATATCTGACACTGTCACTTCTGTCACAAGACCAACATCTATCAACTTTTTGATAAAATCTTTGGCAGTTTCCACCAATGCATCGGGAAGAGACGGGATGCCATCCATGAAGCTAAGATCTTTTGGCGCAATTCGGACATGATGACTCGGTAAAACACCACAGGTAGAAAGGATTTCAATAGAAGCATTCTTGTTGCACATCCAGAAAGAGTCTTCTATAGTCTGGCCCAGAGTCGCAGACGGGGTAGATTCCCGGAAGGAAAATTGATTAGCTGTGTGAATGGCTTCGGAAATGAAAGGCATGATATCATCCTTGCGGACTTTTGGACCACTTTTTAAAGCAATCCGGTTCTTGATCGATGACATATCAGCAGTCCACGCAATTCGACAAACGATACCTGCTGCTCTAAGCATCTCAATATTCCACCTGCTAATGTACCGTGTATTGAGATCGATGCTTTCCCTCTCAACCGTCGGAATGACAGAAGGCGCGGAAATATGTGCATTTAATCCAGTAGTTTGGTGCGTAGGGAAGCCTATAAAGATCCGCCCCGACTTTGATGGTAGCACTGATGAAAGAATTTTAGAATTCTTGGAAGAGTCATCTGTCGAATAAGATGGCGTGAGGATCGCGATGGTCGTTCGCTTTGGTGGGGGCTTTCGGGTCGCTCTTTCTAGTTCACTAGCGAGAGAACTGCTTATTGATGGCTGGACAGAAGCGGTATTAATATGTAAAAACACGGAGGCCTTTTGGTTTTGGGTGAGATCTTCTCCATCCCCCAATCTCTCCACTGACTCAGTGGGAGGCTTGTCAGAAGTTATAGATGTGCCGGTAAATTTGGAGAAAAACGAGCGAAGCGTAGTTGTTGTATCTCGCATGCCTTCCAGACGAGCAGCAAGAGTGGTTTGCGGGCTCCATTCAATAATCTTCATCCATGCAGCGTCGACTTGAGCAACCTCCCTTGTGACACTAGTAACCTTCATGAGACCCTCGGTGGTCTTCGTTTCGACATCTCGAGGTATGGTGACTTTCTCGCTCGGCGCGACTTTCTTGGTTAGTTCAAGCAGCTTCCAGTTGTCTACCCACAAATCAATATTCTCTAGACCGACAAAGGTGAGACTCGTAGCAAGAAATTTCGCAAGCTCTAGTAATGAGGGAACGGGCGAGGAGTTATTTCGATAATCAAGAACGAACGTTGTATCCGTGGAAGCATCCGATCCGCTAAGTTCCAATCGCCGGGTGAAAAGTGAGTTTCCCTTCCAGTAGAAAGCCATGGCTGCATTGCCAGATGAAACAAACGGCTCTTCGCAATCATCGAATACACTATAAAACCCAACGCCAAAAGCGCCGATTTTTGTTTCATCCGGGTTGCCGTCCGCAATTCTCTTCAGTCGAGCCCAGTCCTTCTCCGTAAAAGCGTGTCCGTTATTCGATATCATAAGCCTCCGAAGGGTGTGGTGTGAGATCACATGCTTTATCGTTGCGGTTTGGTCTGCTGAGTTTGGGAGCGGGACTGTGGTAGAGGGTAGAGTCTCGAACTTGACGGTCACTCGAGTAGCCGAAGCATCAGCGGCGTTCTGTATCATCTCACGCAGTACCGTCCTAGTAATTTCGAACGATTAGCATGGCATCAAATACAGTTTGAATGTGAGTAACAGTCAACACCAAAACCCACCATTTTCCAGAGTATCGCGATAGAACTTTTGAGATCAAACCTCGAGTATCAACGGTAACAGCCTCCTCATCGTTACTAGACCCCATGGTCCGCGCTTTCAGCGCGTTGAAATCTATCGAGTGCGCCATGGTGCTGGTAGTGATCTTGAAAGATCTGTTTTCTCTCAAGGTGATTTTTGTAGAAGAAAGTAGTAGATAGAAGCCTTCTTATTATTGAGTAAATACAACCAGCTCCGAATGTGGCGGGGACGGGKTCTTCCTGAAGAATATCAACAAGACCGAAACATTCCATCAAACACCAACGGGCGGTGCCATCAACGGCAAAATTTAGACAACGAAGTTTGTAGATTGTGATATAGGTCAAGCGGATAGAAAGTATCGCATGCAGCCAGGCTGTGGCGATGATTGAGTGAGCTGGTTGTTGAGTGTCAGTTACCTCGGAGATAAGCGTGGTCATGTCGATAAGGGTTATCGGTTTCTCAGATAACGCGGCCCCCTGACTTGATGCCTCAGGCAGCAACTGTCACCTCCGTATCACCACGAATCAACATCCGACTGTGGAAGGAACGCCGCAACATACAATACACAACACGCTCAATGTCATTGGCTTGAACTATACCTGCGACAATTTCTAGAGGCMCCCTGCCACTTCAAGCTAATATTCAGGCCATTTCTTATGGCTATCCCACATGATTTATAATTACAACAGCTCTTTCGTGGAAGCAGTCCTGTGCGCCTCACAGACTGTCTCCGCACTGCGGAACAGCTGCCACCACCATGGGCCTTGATCTGTTCTCTCCAGTCGCCCCAGTGCGTCTGAACATATTGCTACTTCCGGTCGGCAGGATCAAGCGATCCAGATTTCTTAGCTTTGCTACAAGATTACAAGCCGAAAAACTCGTCCGGCTCGGCGACATCAGCCCTGATGAACGTCCAAATCGAAGTATGACTCCTCAATCGCCTGGTCAGAAATACACAAGCTGACTGAATATTTTGCTTTAGATATGTTTACACCTCTGGCGTTTCCTAATGGATTGATTCTATATAATATTTCATTCTCCGTGCCGCCCACCTCCCATCTCGAGCTGTTTCCGTTCGAAATATTTCGAGAACCTCTCGTGGTGATTGCTATTGCCGACGGCGCCGAACTACAGCACGATCAAGACCCGGAGAAGGAGACAAATGCAAAGAGGAATAGCGGGGTAGACATACCTCCAAATCCCAGTGGGTTAGAGGATTTAAAACGGGAGCTTTCGTGGGTCAAAGAGCAGAACCCCAGGGCCTTGGTTAACCAACTCCTTATTTTTGATTATGAGGGTCTTGAAAAGTCGATAAGCGGTCCGGACGACGTCATATGGGTGCCCGCTCCTCAGTTCTCTCGGCCCACTACGATCAAGACGGTCTTATGCGACATAACTTCTCTATTGCTCGGCGAGATGGACGGATTTGCGAAGCTTATGCAGAGTATACCAGCTATTGATTCCCCCAAAGCTTCTTCGTGGGGTCCTCGAAGAGGCCCAGAGCTGCGTCCACGACCTATAGACAAACTCATGCACAGAATGACAATGCCAGCTCAGTTTCCAGTGTCAAATGGCGACTCACAGTCGGCAACAAGCTCTGGTAGATCTTCTCCGGCTCCCGGTAGCCATGATTCCCCAACAACCTTTGATGAGATCACTCGATCTATTCAAGTTTCAAATCGATCTGCTACAGGCACGCAATCAAAGGAGAGCAGTCGTGATCGAATGTCTATTCAGGGCCTTAGTGCTGCAGATCGTACTAAGAATAGGATCAAGGGTCGTCTTGGTGTAGTTGTTGGTACGCTTTATTTACAAACCGGCAGGTGGCCGGATGCATTGAAAGAGCTTGTTGAAGCTGCAACCATGGCCCGGGCGAGTAGTGATTACCTTTGGCATGGAAAGGCACTCGAGTCTATTCTCTTGTGCCTTTTGATGCTCGGGTGGGCCGGTATGGACTTCCAGGTAAGCTATTTGGTTGATGGTGCGGAAAGTGAAAGAAGCGGATAATTAATTTGCCACGATCAGGTCCCTCAAATCTGCTATCCTGTGGCTGAAAAATCCAGCTCTAAATCGTCGCATTCAACTCCCGTGCATAGCGTGACGGACGTAGTCGGCTCCGGACAATCAGCTGCTGGAAACCGGCTCATATCATTGCAAAATCTTACGAACCTTTTGCCCGACCTTTGTAATAATATTCTCCACCTCTACAATCGAGCTGCCGTGATTACGGACGAACCACTTCCTCCTTTGGTGTTTTCAGAAACAGTCATTCGCCTATCACGTGTACTTTGTGCAATTCGACTCCGTTCCGGTACCCTTGACGACAATGCGCTAAGACATATCGTCATGAATGAAACCCTCACGCCTTCACATACTGAGTGGCCTCGCGGGGCGCCTGTCTTGAAAAAGAATGATATTGCAACCTTTCTGTTTCGTGCCATGCCTATCTCTCTCGGAGTTGAGCTACCTATCACCGATGCGGCACCTATTCTTGTTGGTATATCATCTGTTCTTTCGATCCTCGATCTTCCCCGGAAAAAGGCTCTTGTTCTGAGAGAATTAATCTTGCTCATGGTTCCTGGGCTGGTGGAAGCTAGGAAAATTGGAGCTGCCGAAATAGGTATCCACCCGGCTGCAGGACTCTCGACATTAAGTGAGGCGGCTTTTGAAATCAATGCATTGGATGTAGGTCGAGGCGATATGGGGGAAAGTACACGTGCCCTTCTCACGATGATTGGTGAAATATACGGTGTTCAGCCTTCCATTTACCAAGAGCACAAGAAAAGCGAGTTATCGTCAAGGCCTTCTTCTGCCAAAGGCAGCGGGATGAATGAGAAGGAATATGACTCAATTGCATCTATTGTCGAACGCGCTTTTCGTCATGTGGCTCTTGACGGATATGGTGATTTAAGTCTGAAGATTGCCATACTCAGAGTGTCAATCAATCTCTGCGAGGCCCTTCCTGATTTTGAAGGCGTACTGCAATACACAGTCGAACTGCTTCAGACCATCAGAGGGCATCTCATGCTTCCTGAATTTGGGCGAAAGCCACCTATCTTATCCTCCGACGAACAGGTGCGGTTACTCAACACAATAAAGCGGACCGTTGGCGCAGCTCATAAATTGGGCGCCACTCATCTTGAGTCGGAGTACTGGGATGACTTCCTCGTTCGTGGAGTCACGTTACTAGAATTTCCGGAATTCAAACGTCTGTTTCGCCGAACGAGAAAAGATGTAAGCATCGCAACTGTGGCTGACGAAAAATCAAAGAAAGACCCATTTTTGTATAATGCATTTGCAAAAACAGACTATAAGACATCCGAGGCTCTAATGATCGCGAAAGAACTCGCAAGTTTCAAGGTTACCCTTCAAAATCCTTACGACTTTGAACTTGAGATCGAAAGTCTGCAGTTACAGGGTGACAATACAACTCTTGATGCTCGCACGTACAACATAATAGTACCCCCGTTGTCTCTGTACGATGTTATGGTTCCGGCTATTATCAATGAGGTGGGTGCGCTCAACATTACCGGCTGCACAATCAAAGTCAAAAATTGTCGTTCCAGGACATATCCAATATTCCAATTCCCTTGGAAACCGACCCCTGAGGTTAAGCTCAAACGCACCGGCCTAGCTGCTAAAAAGCCACTTTCCGAACGACCACTATCATGGAGTTCAACCACTTCAAAGGACGGAAAAGTTCTTTCAAAGATTGGACCAGAGACTCATACCTGTTCAGTGAAGGTCATCCATCCGCAGCCTTCAGTTGTCGTTCACTCCACTTCGCTCTCGCAATCTGCTTTGATGCTGCTGGAAGGAGAGACCAGAACTTTTGATATCACTTTACATAATGTTTCCTCGTGCGCTGTTGGTTTCATTTTTTTCACATTCCAAGATTCAACCACCCGGCAGTTGCAGAACGCGCTTAGTAACAAAGATCTCCTCCCGGCCGAAATATATGAGCTCGACCTCCAGTTATCCTCCAAACCTCCCTTACGCTGGGTACGCCATGGAAGTAAACCCGATGATGTGACGATTGAAGCTGGGGAGAAAGCAACTTTCACTATCGAAGTCTTCGGTAAACCTGGTCTACAAGACGCGGCCGTCCAGATCGATTATTGTCATCTGGGAGACAAGCCGGATTCCATTCCCGAATACTTCTATACGCGACAATTATCCATACCCATCACCGTAACAGTCAACGCGAGCGTTGAAGTGGCACGATGTGATCTTGTTCCACTTTCGGGTGACATTTCATTCTTCAACAACCAAGTCAAGGACTCATCAATGTCATCTCAGGTTGATAAGGTGTACTCCTCACCATTGTTGGCAAACCACACAGCTCAAATCACATCTACCCTCTCTCATCTTAGCTCCGATTCACATTGTCTTGCTGTCCTCGATTTACGCAACGCATGGCCAAATCCTCTTTCTGTTGCCCTTGATGTCTTTCGAGAGAAAGATCAAGACGAGTCCTGGGTTACTGTCAAAGGCACCATACAGCCTGGTCAGATCTCGAGATTTATTCTTGTACTTCCCAGGATTTTCTTAGATAACCCTCATGCTGCTATCCCCATCTTGCACTCTGTGCGAAGACAATTCGTTGTCAGTGCAAATAAACTTACATTTGAAGCTGAAGCGGCAACTCGAGAAGCATTCTGGTTCCGTGAGGAACTATTGAGGCGTTTACGAGGAACGTGGCGGGAAGAATCAACAGGTCGAGAAGGCTCGGTTGACTTCCGCAGTGTCAGATTTACTCCAAGAATGGTTGATGCAATGCGACTCGAGGACCTAGAGGTGACTTTTGCTCTGACTTCCTCGGATGATCAACAATCTGTGGCCCAGGTCAAGAGCTCCAAGTACACCGCGCAAACCAATGGCTTCCTTGAACTCACAGTCGAGATTCAGAATCGCTCTTCGCGACCCGTACATCCAATACTCCGACTCCAGCCGGGTTTATGTAACCAGCCCAGCACCATTGCGCTTGACCTCTCGAAAAGACTAGCGTGGACTGGCACTTTACAGCGTGCGTTGCCTGTGGTACCTGGCGGGGGTAAAACCGCTGCCAGCCTAGGGCTTATATTTTTCTGTCGTGGGGAGTATGAAATCGGGGCAAGCGTGGAGGAAGTTCGCCTCATGAAACCTGTGACAGGGAGCAAAGATACGTCACATGTTACCAGGGACATCGATGAAATATTCATACCGGACACATTCCCTGCAGATGGAGGAGCCAGGAAGAGGCGCATTTGGCACGCTAAGGATCATTGCGTGATTGCCGCGTACGATTGATGTGCTACGCATATCCAGAGAGTTTTACATGTTTGATGATATACATAATTATGTTGATGTGATGCAAATCTGCTGTATATACCCTGATTTTTCAAAGCGGCTTTTTGCATTTAGCTTGAATTGGGCATGTAGATGTATAGAAAAATCTTTGCTTTCTGATTATGAGATAATACATATATCAAATCTTGAACTCCACAAATTTAGACCACAATCGAATAACGCAACGAGGACGTTATATTGCACTATAACACAATATTTGGTTCCACTCTTCCCCGGAACCTCACGCATGGTCCCTTAAGTAATATGTAGGTAGCTCTCAGGCGTGGGTATGACCAGTAACGACGTTTCCTGACGGGTATTGTCCGTGGACAATACGTTTTCGATTGACACGGCGGAAGGCCGTTTCTTTCATGCCTAGTCTACCGGAAGGTAATGTGCTGGTGCCTCTCATACTCATGTAGCATGCACCGCAACATCTTCTATGTGCCCATTCACAAAGTACTTTCGATAATCCGTACATCAGCTAGTGATGAGCAGGCTCCTGTAGCGACAGCAAAATTAGCTTCACCTTCATTAGGCAAAGCCTCAAATGCATTGCAGAACAAGATCTACAATCGCAAAAAATGCATCTCGATCGATCTGAGATGCATTCAGCCCCAGGCCAACGAGCAACACCCTCTTCTCATCCGGAGTCTTGGTTGCGATGGCACTGCCAATCTGCCGCGCAAGAAGTTGATTCGTCGTTTCCTGTCCAGAAGCATGGCCCCCAAGAAGAGTAGTGGCAGTCAAAGAGGAGAGAGGAAGTAGACTGCTATCTGCGTCTCCTTCTGAGAATGTATGGAAACCATCGGTTCCTGGATTATTGTTCTCAAGCGGGACATGGAGCTGGAATGATATAATGAGTCTTCATATAAGTTGCTAAGGTCTAAGTAACTTACCCAGTGAGCTAATCTGCCTTCTTGGGATACAGTGACTAAAATTTTATCACTGAATCCCATGGAAAGCACGTCTGTCAAGACACCGTTGATCTTAACCGAAGCTTGTTTGGTCTGAGCTGGGAAGGGGAGATTCAAGATCTCACTGAGGCTGTTCAAGTCAACAGTTTCTGCCATCGCGACGAGTTTAGGCTTAAAGTCCTTTTTATATAGCGAAACGGTATGCCTGAGTTGTAGAGGAGAAGGTGTTTGTATGCAGAACGACCAGACGTTCTCATTCGCTGGTCATGGATTAGTCATCACAGCTTGATGAGGGACAAAAGCGGTGAGCGCGGGCGGTGAGATTTACGTGGCCATATTTTCGGCAGAACCTTTTACTGCCGCCAATTAATTTTTTGATAGCGCCGAGTTTTGTTTTTGAGCAAGTCGTTCGATTTGGGCGGTTTCCACAACAATCATGCCTCCTTTCAAGCCTAGGGATCGCAAGCAAAGGGCCAGGCGACAAGATGGAAAGTCCACTGCCGCGCCGGTCGACACCAATGTCACTGAGATCATTCCTGTCTCCAAAGCGGAGAAAGAAGCGAAACGGCAGCAGTTGAGGGAACAGTTGAGGGAGCAGCAGCCAAAGATGTCGTCGAAAAAGAAGAAGCGTCTTGACAAGTATATTGTATGACTGAACTCGATTTGCAAGTGGAAGATTCATCGTTAACGAGGTTGTAGGACACCAAATTGAGAAAAGACGAAAATTTGGAGTTCATGAAAAAGCTTGCGGAGACGAAGCTCGACCTTTCCGAATTTCGAAGCATCAAAGACATGAGTAAGAAGGAGCGAAAACGACAAGGGAACGTCGATAGCACATTACAATCGTTGCAAGCGGGACTATCGGGCGATGAGTCGGACGAATTAGAAGCTGGATTGAGTGAAAAGAATGCTTCGGCACCGGATATCCCAAAACCTGCTCCTCAGGTCCAAGTCGGAAGCGGTCTAAAAAGGCCACTTGATCTTGGTGCGGATGGATTTCCGATCCTCAAGAAGCGCAAAAGGACCAAAAAAGCCCAGCCTGTTGTTCAGGAGGTTACTTGGGAAGGGTTCGATTCGGGCGAAGAAGAGGCTGATGATATGAAGGATGATGACGTTTCGGATGTTGATGAAGTATCGGATTCGGAAGGACGCAAAAGGAATAAATTGGATGAGAATGAGAATGAGAATGAGAATGATTCATCGCATGGTGAAGATAAGGAAACGAGTGATGCAAGTGACGATGATGAAGATGACAGCGACGAAGACGATGATGATGAAGAAGAAACGGACATACGAATTCGACCGAGGAACTCTGCATTCAAATCCTGGGCCACGCAGCAAATCAATGAAGCTGTAGGCTTCAAGCCCAGTTCAGACCTGCCTCTTTCGGAACAATTGCCTGCCTCTTCTGAAATATTCTTGAAAGCGGGCAAGCTACCGAGAAATACAGTATACGAGGAGGAGCCCTTGCCTCTAGAACTTCAAGTTACTACCGGAGACCCTAATCGCAAAGCGTTCACCGTGAATGTCGAGCGACGAGAAGAGATTCAGGAAGCTCGTTTGAAGCTACCTGTGGTGGGCGAAGAACAAAAGATCATGGAGGCTATATACAACAACCCGTCCATTGTGATATGGGGAGCTACTGGCAGTGGTAAGACAACACAATTGCCACAATTCCTTTTCGAGGCGGGATACGGGCATCCCGATGGCCCAAATCCCGGCATGATAGCTGTCACTCAGCCTCGTCGTGTTGCAGCAGTGAGCATGTCGAAGCGTGTGGGAGATGAACTTGGTCAGTGTTCAGACCGTGTATCCTATCAAATCCGGTTCGATACCAATGTTTCCAGTAATACTGCCATCAAATTCATGACCGATGGTATTCTGCTACGAGAAATTGCCAAAGACTTCTCACTAAGCAAGTACTCAATTGTGATTATTGATGAAGCGCACGAGCGTAGCGTCAATACTGACATATTGATTGGTATGATCAGTCGAATCGTCGACCTCAGAGAATCCATGCGCAAGGAAGATCCTTCAGTCAAACCGTTGAAAATGGTCATCATGTCGGCCACGCTCCGCATTTCTGACTTTACACAAAACCAGCACCTATTCCGCCACGGAACTCCACCATTAGTGCAAGCTGAAGGCCGACAATACCCGGTTACTATTCACTTTGCACGAAAAACTCGCCGAGATTATGTGGAAGAAGCGTTCCGCAAGGTATCAAAGGGCCATCGAAAACTTCCCCCCGGTGCGATGCTTGTCTTTCTTACAGGACAGAATGAAATCAAGCAACTATCAAAGCGGTTGAAGCAAGCTTTCAAACCTACACAGCGAGGTGAAACGGTTCAAGGAAAGCTCCAGCTATCGGCCGCTGATGCACCTCTGGAAACAGAAGACATGGAACTAGGCGACACCGGAGCTGGACCACAAGGAGGTGACGACAGCGATGTCGATATTATCGGGCTGGATGATGACGAGGACAGTGAAGATGAAGATTTTGACATTGGCGAAGAAAGTGTCTCGTCTTCCACCAAAGTGCATGTACTACCATTGTACTCACAATTACCGACCAAAGAGCAATTAAAGGTCTTCGAAACACCTCCAGAAGGCTCACGACTCATTGTGCTAGCGACAAACGTTGCCGAAACCAGTTTGACGATTCCTGGAATTAAATATGTCTTCGACTGCGGGCGGTCGAAGGAGAAGCAGTATGATTTGAATACTGGAGTTCAAACTTTCCAGATCGGCTGGATTAGTAAGGCCAGTGCCAGTCAGAGAGCTGGTCGTGCTGGACGTACTGGTCCCGGTCATTGCTACAGGCTGTACTCCAGTGCGATATACGAAGCAGATTTCGAGGAGTACACTGAACCGGAAATTCTACGAACTCCCATCGAAGGTGTAGTGCTCTCAATGAAGAGCATGGGTCTCCACAACGTGATCAACTTTCCTTTCCCAACTCCACCCAGTCGTCAAGGTCTAGCGAAAGCAGAGAAACTTTTGAGATACCTCGGCGCACTGAAAGCTGATGGTCAGGTTACTGAGATTGGAAGGAAATTGTCGCTGTATCCTCTATCGCCCAGATATGGCAAAATGCTACAGATTGGTCATCAGCATGGTTGCATGCCTTATGTGATTGCACTCGTATCTGCACTGGCAGTTGGTGATCTTTTCATTCAAGAAAGCGAGCTTGACTTGACACTTGTGAAACAAAATAAAGATATGGAAAAGATATACACGAATGCGGACAGGTTGGAAGACACGCAACGCGAAAGCCGTCGTAAAGACTTCAACCGAGTACAGCGATTGTTAAGCAAACACGACGACACCTCCGATGCCTTGAAGTACCTTTCGGCTATTTGCGCATATGCATACTCGAGCGGCTCTCCCGATGAGGAAGAGTCCTTCTGTGAGCAAATGTTCCTCCGTGGAAAAGGTCTCAAAGAGGCATCTCAGCTTCGAGGTCAACTCACCGAGATTGTCCGCACCAACAATCCAGGCCTCTTAGGACCATACGAAGCTCGTCTCCCGGAACCAACAGCTAAGCAGGTGAAGGCTTTGAAGCAGATCGTCACTGCCGGATTTATCGACAACATCGCTATTCGCGCGGATACATGTCCTGATCCCCCGGAAATGCCGCGAAAGCCACGACGTGCCATCGACGTACCTTATTATACCCTCTTCAAATCTCGAGAAGGTCGCGCCGCAGAAATTTCTGAAAAAGCTGTATACATACATCCTTCATCAATCCTCGCGCAGTTTACACCCAAGGAGATGCCTCAATACATAGTCTACTCGCACCTCCAGCGATCAACAGCTTCCCGTGTTCCGGTATCAGCAGACGACATTCCTAAAATTCGAATGTTTCCCTTGACTGCGCCAAGTGGTCCACAGATATCAGCCCTCGCGAATGGGACACCGCTCCTTGAATACGGTAAACCGATTGGCAAAGTTGAGTCATTGGGCGGGGTACCTGAGCGTCGTCAGTGTGTTGTCGTGCCTTCTCTTGTGGGTGAGGCCGGCACTACGGGATGGCCTTTGCCTGCGAAGAAGGTTGTGCAGGTCAAGGATTCAAAAGAGGGATGGATCGTGGAGAAGTTCTTATAAAATAGTGTATCTGCACGATCTCATTGTATATAATGAAGCCTAATGATATAGAAGCATATTGCGTTGATTGAGTATCGATATGTCCAAGTGTCGTTGAATAAAGACTTGATTTTCGTAACGCCAGTAACCGCCCGCCAAACAAGTAACGCCGTTAATGCTGTACAATATCATGTATACGAAGAAGAAAAAGCATCAAGAATATCATCGACGACGACTCCGCTCATCCCGTTCTCTATCACGACCACCTTCGCCCTCCTCTCTCCTTTCAACCTTCTCCTTCTCTTTCGTCGCCGAACCCGCATCTTTCTTTTCCCAATCCTCCTTGATCCCCAAAGCCTTCCTCAACCTCTCACTCTCCTGTATCTTCGCCTCCGCCAACTCATGCACCTGATAGCTCTTCAATTGCCTCCTATCCTTCTCATACTGTCCACCGCCACCACTACCACGCTGTTGCTGCCGTCGCGAGCCCGATTTCTCCCCCCCTTCCTCCAACTCCTTCAATAATCTCGCCCTCAACGCATCGCACCGCTCATCAATCTCCTCCTCCGTCAAGACCGTTTTCTTGTCTTTCTCAAGCTCGTCATTCTCTTCCTCAAGCCGGTCGCGCTCTTCCAGGACCTGTAGCTCAATCGCGCGTTTCCGGTCGTGGTCAAGAATTTTTTGATCAGGTTTGCGTTGACGGAAATTTCCTAACCCTTTGTCATCGGATGATGAGACGGGTGGGTAGGGGGCGCCGTAGCCTGCATTGCGTGGTTTGAGGAAGGCGCTGTTGCGTTGGACGTAGCCAGATGTTCCGCTGCCACGCGGGGTGGAGAGGCCGACGTTGGAGGACATTTTCCTCGGTTTCACGCAGTATCAGTTATTGGGTTTAAAATTTGACGTCTGTTTGAATGTAGCTTGAATGGAAAAGACGGTTGCCCCCAAGTTATCATATCAAGTGGAAGATGTTGCGGCATGGCAGTCCTCAAATTACTCCATCGATGCGGATCAAATTTTATCCGATGGATATGAACACAATATCGACGAAAGCTTAGCTGCTTGTACTTGACACCGTCATTTTAGGGCTAATAAATTAAGACTCTGATCTTATTTTAATAATTTAATTAGGGGGCAGTCCATGTATACAACGAGATGTATGGTCCGCCGACTTACTCGATCTTATTCATGCTACCAAATAGACCCATCAGAGTGCCCAGGTGCACTCATCAAGGTTGAATATATTGTGGCCGCAATATAAGTCTTGATGCCCAATTTTTGCATCACCCGTTGATATCACTTACCTACCTAGGTATGTATCTACTCTGGATACTCGTAGGACCTTTAACAGGATCTCTGGTACATGTATTGATGGATGGATGGATCCAGAGATCAATGCAACCTCTTCGTCCGTTGGCCAAAATCCTTGGAAGCCCAAAATCAACCGAATCGAATACTATATACAAGCAGATTCCCACCTCATCGCATTAAAGCTTATTGGTACTTGGAAAAGATCAAATCTAGATAATGATACTAGCCCTTGGACGCTATCTCCCTGTTTTCGTGTTATTATTTATGACGTTTGTGTACATTTACACTTGTAACCACATGATGGTGGTATAGGGCTGATGCTCTTTAATTAAGCTTGTTTTTAGGCACCGGGTACCCAGCCAGCCGGGCCGCGCGCCATTCTAGGGCCGATCTACTCCCAACATTTAATCTCCAGGCTAGCCTTGGCTTAGGAGGTGGAAGGATGGATGTAAAGCAATCTGAATTAAGTATCTATAAGAATAAAGCGGATCACATGTCGTTGCCTCTAGCATATTTGCATGCTCACATTTTCCATCCGTTTGTTTATTTGAATGTTTTCTTTTCCTTTCCTTTCAGCTAGAATAATAAAAGCAACCACACCGTATTTCCCCGGCGATCCGCAAAGCAAGGTGAAAAGAACATCAATCAAGCGAGCAATCTCCATAAAAAAAGGACGCCACAGCCCACGCCATCTGAAACCGGATATGAGTGACGGATATTAAACCGAGTATAAATAGGCATATCTTCGTGGCAATCGGGGTATGCAATCGAAATCCATCGCACCGTCCCACGCCTCATCGCATAAAACAGAAGGAAGAAGACTTGTCCACTGACACAGTATATAGCCCCATGCCAGCGTGTCCCACACATGAACACAATGAAAATAATAAAAATGAGCAGGGAGAAAAAAAAAGAAAAAGACACAGGAACAGAAATTTGAACATGAATAAAACCAGATATATCTCCCTTGAAGAATTCCTGTATGTATATGACCCTCCCGACGATAATAATAGAATATAAAACACAACAGAAATGAGAGAATTAGTAATTTGCACCGCTGAAAATGGGACCCCGTCATTTAAGCTCGTGATTCAGATGGAACACTGACTGCCACGGTGACCTCAGCTCCAGTCTGATGGGTAGTCGTGGTAGAGTCAGGTATGGCAGCAATGGAAGTGGTAGCCAGACCCTTGGAGGTTTCGATAGGTCCGTCAACTGATCCATCAGTGGCAGACCCTTCATGAAGACTCTGAGTATCGGTGGGTGGAGGKGTAGGAGGTGCCACACCACCAAGTGGTCGCATGTCGGCAAGCGATCTGCGAGAAGGTTGTGGTGAAGACTTGTGTGAGGCTGGTGGCGTGGTTGAAGAATTTGCAGCAACGGTTGGGGCGTTAGGGTCAACAATAAGTTTCTCAATAGCCATGATTTGCTTGCCATAACTAAATTTCTTCAGCTGACTGAGCAATGGCTTAATCTCATCGATGATCATCTCTCGCTCCGAACCCTTCACTTGACCAAGGACTTTTTCTGTACCAGGAATTAGCACCATATCGTATGGTAGATAAGATAGATGACACAACTTACGAATTACATAATTGCCGTATTGGTCTCGCATCAAGGCTAGCAATGGGCTCTCGCCGCGGTCATTGTGCACTGTAAGCAGTCGAATGATTTCTCGTCGCTGGCTCTCTTCACCAAACTCGATACTCTTTTCCACGACGTTACTGGCAAACTTATGCTTGGAGAAGTTGTGAACATTCTTGACGACAGATTTGATCATTACAGATCGATCCTTCTCCTCGCCATTTTCAATGACGTGCTGGATGACATAGTTGCCGAATTGGTCAGGAATCAATGATTCTGTGCAGACGTGAAGCTCAGCAAGAATCGATTCACGGTCGGCAGTTTCACAATGTTCTAGCATTCGCTGAATGACTCGGCAGCCGTACGGGTGAGTGGCAAGTTTGTTGACATTACCCTTGAAGGCATCAATTATGAAGCGAATGTGTTGCGTGGGAACTCGCTCAATAGCCTTTTGAATGACATGGTTACCATTTTGGTCCCGGACGCATTTCATGACATGCTGGTCTAATTCCTTCACCATGGCGGCTTGTTGGTCGGTGAGGATATGTTCCAATGCCTTTTGAACAACGCGGCATCCATACATCTGGGTGGAGAGAGCCAAGATGTGGGATTTCATCTGATTCGCAAGAATCCTCTTCTGAGACTGATTCCCATGCTCAAAGAGTTTCTGAACGACGTAATTGCCAAAGACATCGGTCATGAGTTGCAAGCAGTTGGGCTGAATTTCGCGGAAGACTTGGTCTTTCTCATCGCTGTTGGCGGACTCGAGTTTCTGTTGGATGAACCGAGATCCATGTTGATCACCACTGAATTCCACAATGTGGTTGTAAATATCCTGAAATTTTGTCAGTCATAATTCACAACGACGATGAGTAATTGTATTACCTTGAGCTCGTATCGTTTGTTTGACTTATTGTGAGTCCGGAACTCTTCGAGGAGAGGGCTGCGAACAACCTGACTGGGGTCTGGTTCACGGTGGGAGACGCGTTGAACAATGGACGGCGGCAGATTGTTGTATGGCATTTGTAAGTATTGGGGAAAGCTATTTAGCCGAGCAGTTGAGTACCCGGAGAGATCGTAGCCATTAGGAATCGAAATACGTTGTTGTATAGCAGTCCCTGCAGCATGACTAAAGTCTTGATCCTGTTGCAATCCTCGCAGCCTACGGTCCAAAAGTGCTGCTTGTCCATCACTGATTTGAGCAGACATGCGATGACCAGAAGAGGGACGAAGTTGACTGGCTGCTACGGGAGGTGTCCGGGCACTGGAATAGAAGGAATTACCCAGGCCTCGGCCATAGTCACCAGGAGACTGGTCACGTTCACCGAGTCTGGATAGTGATTGATATGGTGCGAGTGGTCCATCGTTTGAGAATTCGGAGACATAGTCTTGGTAATTGACATCATCCGTTTGTACATGATTGAAGCGGTTGCCAGAAGAGATATCGAACGAATCTTGTTGACCATATGCATTGCGGTGAGCATTCTGATAGCCGTTATCGTTCAAATGCAGTTGATTTAGACCGGCGCCGATATCAATTTGCCCGCTGGATAAACGGGAACCTAGATTCTGAGCTTCGGCTTGGTAGGACTGATAGGCCGAGTGAGGATAATTGTTGGAACCGACGTGACGGGTTGAMCCAGCCGATATAGACTCTGACCCAACGTGTGAAAACGCGCTAGCTCCCATGGACACAAGGACTTCTTCAGATCGTTGCGTATTCGGCACCAAACTCGACTTCCTTTGGAACCCACCTGTAGTCTGGTTGTTCGAAAAAGAGGGGAATTGTGCCTGTACGGAGTGTTCATCATTCCTGAAGTTTCCGAAGTTCGATAGTGATAATCCCTCAGTAGCAGGTACTGAATAATTTTCCCCATTCGACCCAAGATAAGCCTTTGAAGCGCCGGTGCTTCCATTCTGACCGATTGCAGCGCTGCGTGGTAGTGAAAAGTACGAGTTGTTATCACCACTACCAGCGCTGGCTGGTGCGCTTCGATCGCCGGAGCGAGCCTCGATGGGAGATGTTTTGATGCTGTTCAAGGTCGACGCTGAGCCAACTGTATTCCAAGGAAGGCTAGCACGGCCAGCCCAGCCATCGGATTCCGATGTTGCCAACAAAGAGGACGAACCAGACTTTCCCTGAAAAGCGTTTTCTATCGAACGATGTTAGTCTTTGTCAGGTTATAGTTCCAGACGGTGTATTCGTACCTCTAGTTACAGTGCCTTCCGACTCACTGTCGGAACCAAACGTATTTCTAGACCATATGTTGTTGTTCCAGCGATCTTTACTGGCAGGAAATCCGTTGGCCATCCCAGCATTGTGTGTAGAGTTTGTACGGTCGCCGTTGAGTGTTGATGTACCGATACGATTTGGCCGGACCTAAAGACAGTTAGAATGATGCTGTTTTCAAGCCGATCGTAAAATTTGAGAGTCGTACGTTATTATGGACGGCCGCTCTGTTTGTAGCCATAGTAGAAGCCATGCTGCGTATCTCGTATGGCTTTGAGGTGATCTGTATGTATGTTGGTGTTTTAAGTCGACCGAGTGGGACTCGGGCGATGAGATGAGGTATACTGATTTATGAAAAGAAAATGCTTAGCAAACGAGCGGACGGTGAGGTTAAGATCGAAGTGCCTCCAGACCTGGCGATCTATGGGAGCCAACACCTCGTGAGAATGGGAGTCACTAACTTATCAGAGACAGGAGGCGAGAGGACACGCCAGGGTGAGAGATATGTGAATGCAATCCGAAATGGCGAGGATGTGCAGGTATTGAGCCAAAGACCAGGAATCGATGGAAAAAACTTCCGGCGTTGCAAAGCGTATGAATGCAAGGCAAGGTATCTCCTTCGACAAGCTCACTCAATCCTCGCAACGGCGGCAGACAAATATTGGTGTCTGTTAGTCGAGTGAGCGAGCGGATACAGTCAATTGACCTATGCTCCGTGCATGCCCCAGGAATTCAAGCAGTTGCAGATCGCATTCATGAAGGTTGTGGAGACCTCGAACGGGAGCCCTTTCTTCGACGAAAAAAGCAGCTAGGCGACGAACTGATGATTGGCGGAGGCAAGGGATGGAGGATAAAGGCCCGATGCAAGAAGGTAGGAGGAATGCTGTTTATCGTGCACGCCGACAAGTCAAGAACTGATAGTCGGTGTGGGAATGTGTCGAGGAGACAGGCCCGCAGGAGTGTGGCAGGAGAAATAAAAAAAAGAGTGAAAAAGAAAGAAGTGAATCCCAACGGCGACTTATTAAAGGTGCTTTGAAATGTCACACAGAGGGGTTGGCACTTTGGACTCCGAAGGATGGGGACACACGACAGCGCTCGATCGATAGAAGTCGAKCTCTCTATTGTATCCCGCCCGTGAACGCCTGAGTTGATGTTTTATTTTGTTCTATCTTTATTTGAAATGACCGCGAGGATATTCGGTCGGAGATGGTCGAGACGGTGGATGGATGGTCGGAGTTGAGGATACGCAGGACGTGAGGGTCGTACAACGGAAGGCGTAGTTTCAGCGAAAGGGGAGGGGGATAGCGTTTTGAGTTGGTGGAGAGCAGGAAGAATATAAAGAATTCTACAGGAAGAAGCGAAGATGAAAAAAGAATAATTAAAATAATGAGAATGGCAGTCCTCAAGTGGCTGAGATGTCCAGGTAAAGAAAAAAGAAAAAGAAACGGGGGAATGGCGAGGAATGATTGATGAACGAACAACAGAGGGAGGGAAGGTTCAAAAAAAAAGCTGCGAGGTTCTGATAAGTTGCGCTAGTGGATGGAGGAGGTGGATGCGATCTGGCTGGGCTTGGCGGCTTGCCAGAAACCCAAGGCACTTACTTGCCCGAGCGGGACTAGCGCCTTCCCTGGATGCAATCGAATACACCCAGGAACATTGGTATACATTGATAGTTGTTGTATTCCAGGGTTGTAATTGGATGCAACGAATATGGATATCGTCAGGCGGATGACTGCGATATTTGGCTCCGTGTTTCTGCCAGCGAAGTCCCAGGGGCAGCAATGCCAGTATCCGTTGGATCAGCGGCTGAAGATACAATGAATGAGGGAATAAATACTCCGCACACTCGCTACAGTGAAAGAACCTTACGGCTTACAAGCAGGTCTGTATAATACGGTATGTGCGGTACTTGTACTGGATGCGGTGGTGAGCGCCTTCCTTGACTCTCAGTACGTGCTGAGGGGGGTGAAACTAGCAAGTGCTTACTTGAGAGTCAAGGAAGGAGCGTCGGAGCAGACTTAAACGTCAGTGCCGTATTACTTGTTCAGTCTATGATCTGTAACTTACGTTCTGTATTGAAACCACCTCAACAAAGTTCCCTTGACTCAAATCTACCCCAAGCAGATGATACTATTGCCCTGGGTCTGCAAAGGCTATTTCCTAGTCCATCGATGATCAGGACATTCCTCCTCATACTTTGTACTGCTCCGTACTAGTCTCGTATGATGTGTAGCATTTGCACATCTAAACTAGCGAAATAGTGTCATCCACATGGCCATCTCTCATCGATTCCATGCTCTAAACAAGGCTGACAACGTCACGCCATCCACTTGTTTCTATATGTCTTGTGCTGTTATCCCGAACGACACTACACTATGCTGACATGCGAATAATACCCTCGACTCCCACATAGAAACCTAACATACATCATCGACTTGAATAGTTCAACGGCAGAGTTCAACAGAGTCTTCGGTCAATTCCAAGTTGTTTATTGAATCTAATTCTAAATGCCAATCACGATGAATGCGGGATGGCCGCCCCACCAGTATCCACCCGACACAAAAAGCTTCTTATGCCGCAGTTGGGACTCTTTGATCAGTGAAGCTTTTGGTGAAGTTTATGTTATGCTCATGACTAGACGATTCTTTAAGGTGCGGGCGGTGCCCCTGCGGAAAAATCGCAGTATGGAACCGATGAGACACCCCAATGAGTTATTTTTCTTCAGGTGACGGTTCCAGACATACAAACACTCTGGATGAGATCTAGCCAAATCAAACGGACAGTATGAATCATTGATATTCTGTCTAGAATCAATAAATGCGAGTCATACAAACTGTTTGTACTGATCTTGACATGCTAAGGACGTATCAACGTACTGTCATGGGTGCGATACTTCGTAGTACAGTTGCAAGGGCTTTATTGGAGGATCGACCGCCAAGGCCAGAGCTAAGCTTAGCCTCGTCAGTAGCGTCGGAGCCAGGCGCTGCAAGTGCTAAACTAGCGACATACATATCTCCCGAGATCAATCTAAAACAGTTTCAACAGCMCCTGCCACAACATTCTGCCACATCCATGTATACATTCACTATGTCTACATGTCCTTCAAATGTAGTATGTGAACTACACACAGTCGTCAGGCCACCGGGTTCTTTTTCCACTCAATCGCATCGTGTCCCGTCACTGATCACTCAGTAAAGAAATCAAAGGAAAATATTTCCGCCACTGCTCAGGAACCCCCAGGTACCGTGTCCAGCTAGCATTTCCAAGGCGGACCAATAACTGCCCAGAGAAAGAAAAATTCCATGTCGGCAGTGTCTAGGCATGTGACACATCCGATAACAAATTAAAATCTACCTTGATTCTCGGTGTATTCACGATGTGGCTCCTCTGCAAGTTATGCAGGGATGGACAGAAGGAGTAAAAAGGGGGTACTTATATTTACTTATCTGCTGGGTACCTATCTACGTAGGGAGAAGAGCTAGATTCAGTCACTACTCAAACATTGCTTGTTTGTCAGAGGTGGCTCACTAGGTATCCCTTGCTTGGGCCGATACCCAACACTCTATTGCGAGAAAAGTTACCTGCTAGTACGTACCTGGTAGGTAACGAAGTCTAGTGATATACGCAACTCAAAGTGTGCCTCAGGCGGGTCATCCATCGATTGATCGGGGTCGATCGATCTCCGAACGTTGTCGGAGCTATATCTCTTTTCTTTTTTTTCTTCTTCTTCCTCTCGTTCTACGCATTAATTTTTTTTTTTTTCTTTCTTTGGCAATCGAGCTCGTGGTGAAGAAAGGTTGGATTAATACTAAGAATAAAGTCAACTGGATCAGGGCTTAGGTAGGAAGCAACATTTTCATTAACCCTACATTCGTCCCTGCAGAATCGTTGGCTTTGCTCGGCATGGGACGCAAGGACGAGTGATCCTTTCTACTTGATCTCTATGTAGGTACAGATCTAAGCGTAATTGACTACGTCGGGGTAATACAAGATGTGACTACACTCCTACATAGGTACCAGACCTAGTCGCTCACCAGAAACTCAAATAGTGAGGACTTGAGGTAGGGTGCTAGCGTTGCAGTTCCGTGGGTGTTCATGTGGCATTTCTTTCCATTCTTTGGGCATTGCGGCGAGGTCGTATCTACCGTTCCTATGTACCGTATATCTGGACCTAAGGTCGTCCTTGGTATGTGTCGTTCGCAATAATTATTCTAGGTGACGCGATAATTGGAAGTCCTCCAGTGTGCCGTTATTGTTGATGATACGTCGTGTTGGAGACAATGCTTCGATGACACGTAAACATTTGGCGGTGTAAGAATGATGAGACAGCAGCCTACTAGTCAACGAAGTCACGTTCCCCATTGTCGTGATTAAAATATTTCGCACAGTGGGTGATTCGTACGCCCTCGATCTTGAGATTTTGCACAGTATACATTGGAACTTTGACACTAGGTCTTACGATGTCTAATGTGCGATGTCAGGTGTGTCAGTATAGCGACGGAGCGGGGAGGCAGCCTGAGAAATCAGGCTTTTTATTCCGTACTTAGTCCTCCTTAGCCCTAGCAGAGCACAATACGGAGATTTGTCGAGGATCAGGCATATTGACAGTCGTCTTGTCAACAACAGAGTTGTCGTGGCTACCCAGGTAGCTCGACAATAACAGACTTGACATGGGCAGATGAAAACAAAACACTAGAAGGTATGCCTTACTTCATCGATTTAGAGTTCATTTTGTTCTGCAGAGTATATACATTGAACTGCTCGAATAGATGCAGATCACTTGATCTTTTGCTTGACATCATCCAGATGAGCTGTCTCCACTGGACCTAATGGAGTCGGACATGGTTAGTCAGCACTCCTGGCAACACTTACGTTAACTTAACTAACTTGACTGGCTGTATTGATTATACTAATCATTGCTCTCACAAGAGAGTGGTATAAACTTCTTCAATGAATAGCGAATAAGATTCTGTATAAGCTCTATCTCAGAACAAGACAGTCCCATGATGAAGACAGTATCGCCGTGGCTTGATTTAATCTAGCACCAAAGTGCTAAAACACAAGCTGACTGGCGGGCAGCAGCAAATTGACGCCAACGAAGCGTGCGTTCCTGAGCGGCGCGTGCAGACCTTGCCGTTTCGGGGCCTAGCTCAGGCACCACAGGCCCCGGCTAAGCCCGTTCAGGCCTGAGGCACTGCGCAGCCTCGCCGTTAGAGCTGCCCTAGGCCCAATCGAGGCCCTCTCGCCCAGTCCAGCCCCGGCGCTCTCCTTTCCTGCCAATTTCCCAGTGCCCACCCACTTTTCACTCTCCTTCTTCCCCTTGTTTTCTTCTTTCCTCATCCATCTATCCTCTTCAACTCCTCTCACATTCCTTCACTCCTACAATCCTTTTCTCGACCGTCCTCGACTCTCACTCTAGGTGTATGCAGCTTCACTCTTTCAGCTGCTCGCCGCGCCATTCATTCGACCGTCAATCGCTCACTCATTACCGCTAGCCGATCATCCCGATTGTTTATTGACTTACGCACACCAACCATATCAACCMCCTTCATTTCGCACCAAAACAAACGACACGCCACACCAGCGTTATTCTATTCTTGGAGATATATCAAGAAGTCTTTATCACGAAAAATCAATTCTGCAAGCAAAATGGCCAACATGCGTGTTCTCGCCCGTGACGACTCGGATGGATCATTGACTCCCAAAACCATCAACCTGTTGATCTCGCTCTTGGTTTTGATCCTCCTTGCTATTGTGCTGTCCGGCAGTCTGCTGCTACTCCGCCAGCGTCGTCGCAAACTCGAGCAACAGTCTCAACTCCCACTATACAAGAGCCAAGCTCACCAGCGCCGCCTCACAATCACGCAAAACAGCCGAACTGGGTCCATTCACGTCTATAACGAGAAGCAAGATTTGACACAGAGCTCCTTGAGCCCACCACAAAGTCCTGTGCCCGAAATCCGCATCACCTTCCCCGAAGAGCACGACGAGCAGACCGGCAAGCCCAAGGCTGGTCGTGTTGTTGTCGTCCACATCAGCGAGAATGGTGGCGTTGGGCTGTCACCTGCCCACGACGAACTTCCTCCTTACCAGACAAACGAATCCGGTCGTTTCCAGTCGCTCGACTTGGAACGCATGGGTGGACTGAAGGAGAAGGAAGAGAGGTGGTCATAAAGAGGAGCGCCTTCTACCCTCTTGACATCTTCACTGCATCTCTAGATACCATAAATTTCTCTTACGCTTCAAAATTTCCTTCTCGCTTCTCTCCATTGCTACGACCCCATCGGCATGATGATACCAACTAAGGCGGGCGTGATTCTCCACCATCTATATTTCGCTTCCAACTGCACTGTTTCGGAACTCGGTTCACCTCACGAACAGGCTTCTTCTTGAATTACTTCATTTTTGCACATATGCAAACCTTATTGTCTATTTTCTATTATCATTATCATCCTTGGGATGGTATGATCCCTTACCACCGAACCGACACCTTCCGCCAGTCAATCGCGTTCGATTTGAATTTTTATGATTGTGAATATTCTGAAATTTCTTTTTCTACATTGCTACTTGGAGCAACCTTGTCTTTTCTAGGTATTTTCTAAGTACTTATTTATCTTCTCTCCAACCATCGATCCGCCTGCTCTCGTTCGTTTGAGCCTGGAACGTCATGAGGTCCTACGATGGAAGCAGACTACTACGGATCGGGTCAATTTCATTTTCATATTTTTTTCTACTCGGTTTTCTTCCCAAATTTGTCGATTCCTTGGGGCTTTTCACATATTTCCTCTGCAACTGGATATTGCCTAACAGCTTGGGCAGACTGTACTTAACCGCCACAATTAATCTATAAGTTAATTTGGTGTGAATGATGATTTCTTTTTCTTTTAGAGAGTAACATGTAATTGTTAATGACCATAGCTAAGTTCTCCGCAGGCCAGCTCGAATTAGCCAATTGCAGCCCCCCATGTTTAGACGTGGATCCTAGCTATCCACACTTCTGGCAAAGCTGCCACTTTCAACGGAACACCGCGGCATGATTTTTTGTCCATGAGCCGCCAAGACAGCTGCTCCGATCAATAACTCCTGTAATAGGCCCTGCACTCATTACCTTCAACTTTTCTGATATTCTCTTCTTTCACTCATTGAACGGATCGGACTTCATCCAATCGACCTTCGTCTCTTAACTGGTGCGATGTCCCCTCCTAGATTGGATCAGTGCAGCAACATGAATAACGCCTTGCTAATTGAAGCGTCTACAGCTATATACACTCACTCATTCTCCTTGTTACAACTATGATGCTCTCTTGATGGAGCTCGTTCCCTTTTCTACTTCTTAAACACCGACCACCCACGAATCCTTTGCAGCCGTTACGATGCTCGCCAACAAGCCCCAAAAATCGCCAGGCAGTCATGCTGCGAGATCCTCAGATCAGCCGAAAGCCAATTCAAGCGATTCCTTACAATCGTCGCAATCACCGCAGAATGAAATGAGAGGGAACGAGGGGAAAGCGGGATTGACGACGAGTTCGCAACCGTCCAAGGCTGAGATAACTAAGGCATTGGAAAGGGACTTCAAATGGAAGCATCTCGGTGCTGTGGGCATTCTTCTGTGGATTTGGTGAGTACTGCATCAATTGCCTGAGATGCTTAAGACTAACAAGTCGTAGCTTCTTGCATATTGTTGGCGTGTACTTTTTCACGAAAGGCTTCCTCCTGACTCGTCTTGTTCTTGATAACAAATCAACCTGTGACGTGGTGCCCCTGGATGTTGTTGCCACCAGCGGGGACTCAGAAAAGGGTTGCTGGCACCCTAAAACTTTCGATAAGGCCGTCTTCTTGATCATTGACGCCCTGAGATACGACTTCACTGTTCCCTTTCATCCGCAATTCGAGGGCGACGAGGCACGCATTTACCATAATAACATCCCCGTTCTCTACGAAACCGCAGTTCAATATCCCGAAAGAGCTATCTTATTACCTTTTATTGCTGATCCACCTACGACCACTTTGCAACGACTAAAAGGCTTGACTACCGGAACATTGCCGACTTTTATCGACGCTGGCTCAAACTTTGACGGTTCTGCGATTGATGAGGATAACATCGTTTCTCAATTGCGCGCTGCTGGCAAAAATTTGGTTCATCTGGGAGATGATACTTGGGACAAACTGTTTCCGGATTACTTTGATTCTGAGCTGTCGCACCCGTTTGACTCATTTAATGTCTGGGACCTGCACACCGTGGATAATGGCGTAAATGACAATCTCTTTCCTCTTCTCCATCCGACAAATTCGAGCAAATGGGATGTCGTTTTTGGACACTACCTTGGTGTCGACCATGCAGGCCATCGATATGGCCCAGATCATGCCGCAATGGCAGCTAAGTTGCAGCAGATGGACCAAGTGATTCGAGAGGTCATTGATAAGCTTGCCGACGATACACTGCTTATCGTCATTGGTGATCATGGCATGGATTCCAAAGGCGATCACGGTGGCGAATCTGATGACGAGGTCGAAGCCGCATTGTGGATGTATTCGAAAAAGGGCATCTTTGGTCGCACAAATGAGGACCACAAAATGCCGCCAGCGACAGCAAAGGAACGAGCTGTGCCGCAAATTGATATCGTCCCCACGTTGTCTCTGCTTATGGGTATACCGATCCCATTCAATAACTTGGGCTCTCCGATAGAGGAAGCATTTGCAGGGCCCTATGGAGCAGACATCAAAAATCTGGCGATAGTAAATCGTATAACGTCGGGGCAGATCAAAAGATATCAACACCACTACTCCGTAGCGCGAGGCGTGAACGACAGCCAGACTTCCGGCCCTTTATCGCTGTTGGCCGACGCAGAATTGCAATGGCAATCGTTGAGCAAGCTGAGCTCTAATTCCGAAAAGTACCGGACAGCATACAATGCTTACCGGGAATATCAGCGTGATACTTTGAATGTATGTCGCGCTCTATGGGCTCGATTCGACGTTCCGAGTATGATCCGAGGGATTGGAATACTCGCAGGCGGTATTGTCATTCTGATAGTGTACGCGCGTGGCATACGCAATGAATCCCGGCCAGATTTCGATTCGCATTTACTCCGTCGCATTGGCCTCGGTGCTGGTTTTGGTTCTGTTGTTGGTCTCATCGGAAAACGAGAAGACGCATTCTGGGCAGACATCGTCGCATTGTCTGCTGCAGGTGGCAGTATCGCATCTGTCGTGTCGGGCGCTGCCTTTGCTTCTTCCAACTTCAAATCACCCTTACCAACGTCACTTTGGAGCTGGTTTGCAGTCATCGTGACCGTGTCTCAGTCCATTGGCTTCGCGTCAAATTCGTACACGATCTGGGAAGATGAAATCCTCCTCTTCTTCCTCAATACTTTCGGCGTCTTGGCCGGGATATCCTCGATGAGACAAAAGTTGACATCTGACAGGGTTCTTGGGGTGTACCATTCTATCATTTTCATTGTCATGACGCGATTGGCATCACTCTCTCGTCTATGTCGCGAGGAACAAATGCCGTTCTGCAAATCGACCTATTATGCTTCGGCTTCATCATCAACCTCAGCTCCCTGGCAACTTGCCATTCCATTCGCTGTTGCTTTACTCCTTCCCGGTGTTGTCCGCTCGTTCTATGCAGGATCAAAATCGTACGAAGGATCAGCTACGCTCTGGATTGGTGTTGCTTTCCGGGTTGGGCTCTTCATCTCCGCAGCGTTTTGGGCTCTCGACGCTGCGGATAATGGCGAATGGTTATCCTTCGGAAAGGGGGCATTCAAGTCTTTTCAGATTATTCTAGCGCAACTGGTTCTTGCGATTGCGTTTGCAGCGGGAACTACGACATTCATTTGGGCTAAGCCATGCATCAGTATCAACGTTACGCCCGGGACAAGTACGGACCAGGCAGGAAACACACAACAGCCACAACCACCCCAGCGAACAACCATCACCATTCTTGGCTTCGGCAATGTCCACGGCACCCGATTCTTCCTGCTGCTCATCAACTTCGTCCTTGCCATCACCTTACTAAGTAAACCCATGGGCCAGGGCGCCATTGCCATCGAAACACTACAAATCCTTTCCCTGCTTGAAATTCTTGACACCAACGGCCTCACCACAACCAACTCGGCCATCGGCCCTATTGTTTTGGGTCTGCTAGGCTCATTCCACTTCTTCAAAACCGGCCACCAGGCCACACTGAACAGCATCCAATGGGAAAGCGCATTCTTTGCACTGTCATCCATCCGCTACCCCTGGTCCCCTCTCCTCGTGATCCTCAACACCTTCGGCGCCCAGATCCTCGCCGCCGTCGCTGTTCCCTTGACAGTACTCTGGAAACGCCCCGTTGATACACACGGTCGTCTACCAGTACAAATTTTCAAAGACGAAGACACCTCCTCCTCTTCATCAGATGGTACGATAACCGACACCAAACCCAAGACCGACAGCCCCATGCTCCGCCTCCTCTCGGACATCGTCCAAGCCGTCTCCACACACATCCTGTACTACGCAACCATCAACCTCGCCACGACAATGTGGGCGGGCCATCTGAGGCGTCATCTGATGCTGTACCGCATCTTTTGCCCGCGGTTTCTAATGGGTGCTGCTGTTTTGGGGGTGGTAGATGTCTTTGTAATTCTCGTTGGGTTGGGGTTCGGCGTAAGAGCAAATATGTTAAGTGTTACGGAGGTTTTTGGATGGTAGTCTTTTTTTCTTAAGAGCGATTAGAATATGCGGTGGTATGATATTGGATGGATTTATATGTCTATATAATCAGTATAGTATTTGTGCTAGTCTCGCAGTTTATCTCTCTACAACCTTTACCAACCGGCCAATCCCCAACTACGGATTCCAAAATGTATAAAAGGTGTATTCCAATCATCTAACCAGAATACACAACTACATCAGCAGCTTTGACTGAGAAGAGATTTTTCTTGGGAAAATGAAAAGAAAGAAAAAACTTTTGTTGTCATAAATAAATAACAAGTCCCATCCATCCATAATATTCCTATTCATATCCATATCTCCAACATCGCCAAACCAAAAATTAAAAAAGGAAGAAATTTTCAATCGAACCAATGTTTCGATAGGGAGCTTTTTTTGCGGAAAAAGGACAAAAGACAAGAATGTACCGGTTACATGTGACATGTTTGCTTGCGTTCGTAAGATGCGTGATATGTGGTCGTTGCTTCGTTAGAATAATAGCGTTACAAGATAGAATTTCTTTCCCCCTTTTTGTGTTCATTTGTGTGTTCGAAGGAGTTCTTGAATAAGTCGTGAGGTTATCGAGGTTACCGGGTCCATCGCGAAAAGTCCAACGCCTGAGAAACGTTATCGACATTCCATTCCCCGGACACGTCAGGACGTATATGTGCTCGTTGACTCGCCATCTCATCCTCAACATGAATGTTTGTGCGTGTATTACGGCGATGACCCAAAAACCCGCTCTCGGTTGCATCGACCGAAGACGCGCGGGACGTCATGACTCGGTCACGTAAACGCTTGATTTCGCGCAGTCGGTTCCTCCATGAAGAGATGTGTTCGCCACCTTCGCGATTCCATACCAAGGAGAACACGGAGGCGTTGATGGCTAGGATGCGTACGTATGCGGCTAGACTGTTGCCGGAAATGACTTTTGGGGCTGATGCAGGTGATAGTTCTGGAAGGCCAGGCTTGCTCATCACTCTGACGACGTAAAAGGATTTGCTGTAGTCGCGAGCGGTGTCTGGGTCGTTGCTAAAGTCGGATTCGGCGATACGACAGACTGGGGTGATGACGATATTGATCGAGTTGAATTGTGATGGGATGGTCTCGAAGTTAAATGGTCGGTTGGAACGGTTGAAGATGATGTTGACAAAGTCGTTGCCGACATGACGCTTTTTGGCAACGCAGGCCGGATCACTTTCAAGATTCGTGGGCATCATGGTGGTTACGTGATAGACCATTTCAGTCACGCGATCTCTCCAGGCGTATGTGAATTCGCCATCGATGTCATTGTGAAGACCCTGCGTGTTGAATTGTGCCCCTCGGATAGAAACCCTAGTACCGAGACCGTTCAAGAAATGATTGTAGTCTGGACTGCCAGCTGTGTTTGCCAAAATCTCGGCTTCTGTGGTTTGATCCTTATCAATGAATATGACACCAACTTTGTGCCCATCGACAATATCATTCCTATCAAATGAGCTGATAGCTCGACGAGTCATGGCATCGTCGGGTAATGGTATGGGCTGTGAGACTTTTGGTGTAGGAAATGCAGAAGTGACCATCTGAAGCAAAACATGAGAAGGCAGAATGGCCGTTCGACTTGCCGCATCGAAAGTTGATAGTGTATCCGGCGTGGCAGGTATCTGATGAGGTAGCACGGGTGCAGTACGTTGACGGTATTCGGCATAAGTCGTCCCAGAGGCCATTCGTTTGGTGATTTGTGTCAATCCGGAAACAACCGCAGTTTCAACCGTGATAATACTCATTCCAACAACCCATGACTTGCTGCTGACGGGTCCGTCCTCTGGCGATGGAGGGAAGGTTTCGTAAGGTATCGTATCACCCAAGTCCGAGTATGTCACACGCTGCATCAAATCGATAAACACTTCCGTTTGCTCTTCTACTACCTCCTGGCCCAGCTCATCCGTAAAAACGAGGCGATTTGTTATCCAGTTCACGTGATTCGCGCGGTCTTGAAGCTTGAGCGAGAGAAACCAAAACACCAAAACGTGGTACGTCAGTGTGTACACATAGTTGGACATGCTCTCCTGCCATATGTTCGCTTCGGAGGATTCAGGTTGCATTGCGGCTATTTCTCTCAAGCCACCACTAAGCCTTGCGGGTATTGTACTGGCACGAGCAGCTGCCGATTCGCTTTTCAATCGTTGCTCCCTACTTGTCTGGATGAAGCGAATGCATATACCAAAGACGGTACGAATCTCTTCTTCCCGAAGATTGACGTAGACATCAGGGAGTCGAGCCAAAAGTGCTAGGAACTCCAATATATGGACTGCCACGTGGGCCATTGTAATCACTTTCGACATTTTGTCAAGAATAGTATTTAATGACTTCGTCACTGATAACGGCATCTCGTGGCAGCACACAGACAAAGCGTGAATACATCCTCTGGATGTACCGTCCCAAGATCCAATTCCGAGCATGAATGCGCGTACCAACTCATCTTGCTCGCTCTTCGCAAAGTATTGGTGAAATCCCACAAGCATGGCCAAGCAATCAAAAATGCAGATAGCGACATCAGCTTTTTTAATACCAGCTATAGCCGGCGGCTCCCGAAACATTTCGCCCTTGATCTGACCGCAGAGTATGTTGCGAAGCATCTGAATCTGTGGGACTGCGCTGGAAAAGAAATCCCGGTTGCTAAGTTGCGGACCGAGATGTGCGAGAATGTAGCTGTAAACATCCCACGGGGTATCGCGTTTTTGGAGCAGATCGATGATCGTCTCTAGATAGACATTTATTTTTAACACTCCCGTGGCTGGATCCGATAGTTCGGTATCCCCTTCAGCTACCGTCTTGTAAGCATAGACAAATGGACTTGCAGCTGTTGATGGTTCGTTGGGGAGACTTGAGTCTAATTGCACCCAACTTGGAGGCAATGACTTTGTGCTGCCTCGCAAGTAGGAACTACTCATGCGAGGCATCGACCTTTGCGTTTCAATGGATACAGATTGATTGCGCAGAGACAGTCGTCCTGTACTTGCAGTAAGACCGTCATCACTATTCACAGAGGATCTCTCCAGAATGGATCCTTCTGTAGTTGTAGACTGCTTGACTCCAACATCTAGGCTTCGACTCAGTACAGCCACTAGAAAGTCATTTTCAATGTCTGTGGTGACCCAGATTGCGCCGGACGAGTCGCAGCGTAATCGGAATAACAGCTTGAGAACTGTGAGCATGGCGTCGGCTGGTCTTTTTCTTGACGTCTTGACAACGAAAATAAAAGTTTCGAACAACAAAGCCGCACGTTGGGCCGATAAGTTCAAAAACCGGAGGAATAGTCGAACAAGACCCATCATGCAAACATTTGATAGAGATGGCCCGAGAACGGAAGAAGAATTGCGGCGGTTTTGTAATAGCTGTCCGCTCAAAACAACTGGGTCATCCTCTTCAAGCAAGTCGGAACTCATGGGTGAGCTCAGGGCATCAATAATAACATGAAACAGGTCACTATTCGCCCGTGCCGCAATTTCAATCATCACTGAAACAAGCGACGACATGTAGATTGTGTCTTTCTCATCTGCAAAATTCCGAAGTAAAAGGTCTATTACACCAGATTGCTCGAAATTGATCAAATTGTTATCCTGGAACATGGCATCTTCAAGTGCCTCCAAAGCAGAGGCACGCACATCTGACACCTTACCGGGCGCCTGAATGAACGAATCAACCAGCCACTTGGCATCCTGATCCCAATTATCTGTCCCTGGAAAGTAAGATTTCTTCATTTTAATATGATTAATCAGAAGACGCGCCTGGGTTGGTGAAAGATAACGATGTGATGTCCTTAGAAAGAGACTAATTTCGGATTTTTGTTCGGAGCTCAACTGTTCCCACAATTGCTCGATTAGGGCTGACAGTCGAGAAACGCTAGCTGCAAGATGATCGTCGTGTGTCACACTTCTCGTTGGGGAAACAACAGGAGATTGTGCGCTCTCGGTGACTTCTTGTCCAAATCCGCGAGAGCATTCAATCAGAAGTTTCGCAAAGCTCTTCCAGTCAGGTTCCTCTATGCAGATGGAAACAAAATCGCCATCTAAAAGATTTGCACATAAGTCAAGAGTAGCTGCATGAAGTCTTCCACTCTTTTGTGGCACGACTGCCTGAAGACAGTTGATCAATCTTGTAAATGATAGTTCGGGTAATTTTTTTCGGTCATGAGAACGGATGATGTCTGTGAATGTTTCAACCGCGCCACGCACTACATTCAGATTTCGGCCATGGTCTTCGGGAACCTCCTCTAGGAATGAGTATAGTAGCTCAAGCATGGCCAACCTTTTGGACGATTTGACAATATTGCGCATCACCTGAGAAGTGCGGCCAGCGAGAGTCTTCACAGAAGCGTGGATGCTGCATAAAACCTCTAATAGCGGAACAAAACTATCATCAGGCACTTCGGCGCAGGAGATAATGGCGTCGAATATAGAGAGCGCACTCTTCAGATCGTCAGGAGATGCTGTTTTCCTGCAAACCTTCAGAACTTCTTCAAGTAGTGATGCCGTGTCGTTCTCTTCAAGTGGAACATTCTGAAGAGTGATGACATTGAGGATAAAATCAAAAAGGTTTTCCAAGTGCGATTCTTCAAGTTCAATAGTCCGCGGTTGTTTGCTCTTCTTTGCTTTTGACCGCAGGTTGGCGACGGCCTTGAACAACGTAAATAGGGCAACCGCTAGGGCGGGCAGGACATTGACCTGCATGATGTCCAATTTTCTGCCATTGTCGGACAGCGTAATGAGAGCATTCACTCGTGTAGGTATCACGTCAGCCGGCGTGGGAACTAATATACTCTTGCATAGTTGAGTCTTGAGGTCTGTTGACAAATCCGGTCGCCCCACGATTGTATCCAGAAATCGAGATGATCGTTGCCGGGCATCGTCAAAGTCGGGCTGACAGAGGAGATATGAGCTCGCTTCCCACAGAGATATGATTTGTTCCGGTGTGAATTTGCTCGAGTGCTTGGCAAGAACCTCCACCTCATCTATAGCGAGCACCGGATTTTTGAGATTCTCGAGCGCAGCCTCATAACTCGGAACGGCGGCATGGTCTAAGGAACTGTTGGAGATACTTCCGCGCGACATCCCTTCAAATCCAAACGTCACACGGGAACCCCTGCGAGTGTCGATGCCATGGCTTGGGAATTCGCTAGGGCTATCGGAAGCTGAGAGAGGCGAGAGAGATTTCCGGCGACCTGATGCTAATGTCTTGAAAACGTCTGCAAAGGAAGATGCAGCTGGTTTCGGAGGTGGATCATTTTCGGAAGACATCCGCAACGTGAGAACGACGTTGGTACGTAACGAGATCTCTTTTTAATATAGCAACTGGACCATGCGCAAGCTCAATTAGCACAGTGGATATAGGATTAAAAGACTTGGAAAGACTGGCGATAAGTTGGGGATGGTTGCGAGCAGTCTCGAGAGTAACAGCTCATTGATTGTTGATCGAGGTGGAAAGATACCTGGTATGAGCTTTTTTCGCACCATCGAGCGATGTGCAGGGTAGCAGTCAAATGTAACTAGCCTAGAAGATGAGATTATAACTGGGGCTCGGAGGTCTGGGTGGCCTTCCCCATCCTCATCAAATGACAAACACTCGCTCAAAGATCGAGATAAGCGGGTGACCAAGTGGCACTGACACCTGTATTGCGATAGGGACCGGTATCACGGGCGGAAGGCTAACAGGATTCGGGCATTGGGCTCATGACCGGCGCATCCAATAGAACAGATCAAGACGAATACATGATGAGCAGATGAAGAATACTAAACAACAGACGGTATGATCGACAGAAATCCTGGCTGGGGGTTCAGCAACTTCCGTTCGCTGCGTCGGACGTAAGAATCGACTAACCTTGGCTGCCAGCATTGGCGTGCCAAGCCGGCGTCGACCGATCAGTGCTGCGGGAAACCACTTATTACGCAGTCACATGATCCGGCGCTCTCAACATTTAACGGAGCCGGAACAACGATCTGCCGCCTCCCCGCCATGGTTGCCGCCAGAAACAGCCTAGCTCTCACCGCCTTCAGAAAGGTCCCGCAGTCTGCCAAACAAACTGCCAGACAAGGAAAGCGGCGGTTCACTTTGTTCTTTAGTTTTACATTCAAAATCTTCATCAAGCAATTGGTGGTTCTGCTAGCTGCTTCTTCTTGAATTATTTCTTCTGTTCATTTCTTGTCCGCATTTTCCATCCGCTGTGCGTTGTAGTCCAAAATGGCAAACAACCTGGGAGCTGTCGCACAGCTTTTAGAAGCCAGCTTGGATCCCAGGCAAAACAAACAAGGTATGTCATGACGACCATCCCATCACTTCAAACTGCCTGATCATATCTGAATTTATTTTTACAGCTGAACTTGCACTTCGGCAAGAAGAGAAGAAACCCGGCTTCTCGTTATTCCTGCTCCAGATCACCGCGTCCGCAGATTTTCCATACAACACTCGGCTCGCAAGTGCCTTATGCTTTAAAAATCTCATCCGAAGAAGTTGGGTCGACGAAGACGGAAATCACAAACTGCCGCAAGATGAGGTTGTCACAATCAAGCGGGAGTTGATCAACCTAATGATCAATGTTCCCGGTGGAATTCAGACCCAACTGGGCGAGGCAGTCAGCGTGATTGCAGACAGCGATTTCTGGGAGCGATGGGATACCCTTGTGGCTGTACGTTCGAAGCCAGTATATGTGATATTACATACTAACCCAAAGCAGGATCTAGTGTCACGATTAGACCCTAAGAACCCGGTTGTCAACAACGGAGTCCTCACAGTGGCACACTCCATCTTTCGACGATGGCGTCCCCTCTTCCGATCAGACGATCTTTTCACCGAGATTAATCATGTGCTCAACACTTTTTCCACGCCGTATTTGGCATTGTTCGAGGTAAGGCCGGCCTTCCATTCCGCTTATAGTGATTTGCAGGATGACTGACGACTGTTGGCAGGGCCTGGACGCTTACATCGAAGAAAATAAATCAAACAAAGAAACTCTGTCACAGGGTTTCAAACAGCTCGACCTTATGATCAAACTTTTATACGATCTGAATTGTCAAGATTTGGCGCCACTAGTGGAGGACAACGCACAGTCTATTGCTAATCTGCTGCTCAAATACTTGCTTTATGATAACCAACTGCTTCACACCGACGATGAATCTGAAGCGGGAGTTTTGGAGTTTGTCAAAGCCGGTATCTTTGAAGTATTGACTCTGTTTGTCCAAAAATATAGCGATGTTTTTGAGCCTCATGTCGGTCAGTTCGTTGGAAACTCTTGGAACTTGTTGACGACTGTCGGCCAGGAGACAAAATACGACATACTGATCAGCAAGGCACTTCAATTCTTGACCTCAACCACAAGCATGCCTGAGCACGCTAAAATCTTCGAAGATCAAGGAACTCTGAGCCAGGTCATTGAAAAGGTCATTTTGCCAAATATTGCGCTACGAGAATCTGACGAAGAGCTTTTCGAGGACGAGCCCATTGAGTTTATCCGCCGCGACCTGGAGGGTTCAGACAGCGATACCAGACGCCGAGCAGCTACAGACTTTGTGCGCCAATTGGCAACCAAATTCGAAGACTCAGTCACGAGAGTGGTTTCTCAGTACACCGATCATTACCTTGCTGAATACGCAAAAGACCCAGCGTCAAATTGGAAATCAAAAGACACCGCTACGTATCTGTTCTCTGCCATCGCCGCCAAAGGTGCAGCGACGGCATCTCACGGTATCACAACGGTCAGCAAGCTTGTTGATATCGCAGACTTTTTTCAAAAACACCTTGCGGCCGATTTGGTTTCCGATGGCGCAGTCAACCCTATATTGAAGGTTGACGCTATCAAATATCTCTACTTGTTTAGGAGTATCATCACACCTCAACAGTGGCAAGAGGTATTTCCTCTACTAGTCAAGCATTTGGGTTCCGACAACTATGTGGTGTACACTTATGCAGCTATTGCTGTTGAACGGGTGCTTGCTTTCCACGATTCTGCAGGTCAGCCTGTCATCTCACCGGCCAACATCACCCCCTTGGCCAAGGAGCTCCTCGAGCATCTATTCCAGCTCGTTGAAAAGGATCCCTCACCACCTAAGGTGCAAGAAAATGAATTTTTGATGAAATGTGTGATGAGAGTTTTGATTGTTATCAAGGAAGGAGTTGTTCCACTTACTGATGCAGTCCTGGAGCATTTGATCAAAATTACTAGGATTATCAGTGCTAACCCTAGCAACCCGCGATTTTACTATTACCATTTTGAATCGATCGGTGCCTTTATCAGGTTTGCTGCTCCTGCCAAACCTGAGAAATTGGAACAAGCACTTTACGCACCTTTCGCTGAGGTTCTTCAGGCAGATGTTCAAGGTAAGATAGTCTAATATTGTGGAGGTACAGTTACTGATAATATTAGAATTCATGCCTTATGTCTTCCAACTGTTCGCTGCTTTACTCGAGGCAAACTCATCCGCGACATTGCCAGAGTACTACCAGAATCTGATCGCACCTATTCTCATGCCGGTCATGTGGGAGTCTAAGGGCAACGTTCCTGCATTAGTTCGGTTACTCTCTGCTATTATTCCTCGCGGCGCACAATTCATTTCCTCAAACAATCAAATTGAACCAATCCTCGGTCTCTTCCAGAAGTTGCTCTCGACGAAAGCCAATGAGAGTCATGGATTCGACCTTTTGGAGAGTGTGATTGGAAGCTTCTCCGCGTAAGTTTATTCCTGGTTATCGATCAGCTGAGACTGACTTTGGTAGTAACGCTCTGGAACAATATTTCACCTCCATCATGCAAATTATCCTGACTCGTCTGCAAAACTCCAAAACCGAGGTCCTGCAGCTGCGATTTGTTCGCTTCTACCACTTTGTTTCCGCCCGGGATGATCAAGGTTACAGTGCAGACTTTTTTATCCAGGTCACGGACAAGGTCCAAGCGGGGTGAGTATTTTGACATCTAGATTTGGTATGATTTGGCTAATGGGTTTAGACTATTTACTCCCCTCTATCTGAATGTCATTTTACCAGAATCGCAAAAACTCGCCAGGCCGCTTGACCGCAAGACGGCAGTTATCTCTTTCACGAAAACACTGGCCAACTCGGAAGCGTTTGCGCAGCAATACAAGAAGGGTTGGGGCTTCACATGTGAAGCTCTTCTTAAGTTGTTGGAGCTACCTCCTGTTCCAGTCACCAGGGATGATATCATCACAGAACACGACGTGGATGATATGGCATTCGGAGTTGGGTTCACACAATTGAACACTGTTCGACCTCGCCCGAAGGACCCATGGCCGGAGACCGGAGTCGACTTAAAGGCGTGGACCGGAAAATACCTCACGGAGGCCAACTCGAAGCGGGGTGGTCGAATTAGTGGATTCGTTCAGGAACGACTCAGCCCTGAACTCCAAAAAATTCTTGCCAGTTATATGACGGCGTAAGTTGTTTATGAGCATGTGCATCTTTTGTTGATTTAGACACTCATACCTAATCCATTACCGCGACTTCAACGAAGGTCGTGTCGAGTAAAGTTCTGTCCTTAATTAACAATTATCGTAGATGTTGTGCTTCAAGTTCTAGCAATGAAGTCCAGAAGTACTCGATAACACGTTTCAGGACCGGAACAATCTTATCGTGTTGTTGTAGTTGCTGTCGATTTTTCCTCGTAATAACTCCCATCCTCTTCCACCTCAACCTGTCCTTCTTGCTCCTGCTTCGACTCCTCCAACGCCCTATACTTCCTCCTTTTCTTCTTCATCGAGCTCGCTTTTCGTTTTTTCTTCAACGCGTTCTTGATCGCTTCCCGACTCTGCTCCCCCTTTTCCAAAGCCTCGACTTTTGCTGCTAGGATTTCTTTCGCGATCTTTTGGTTCTGGGATCGGGAGCGCGTTGCTTGGGATTTGACTACGATGCCGGTTGGTTTGTGGATGAGTTGGACGGCGGAGTTTGTTTTGTTCTGTGGTAATGACCAGGTGTTAGATACGATAAATGAGCCTACTATTAATGAATGGTACGTACAATCTTTTGACCTCCCGGTCCCGTTCCTTTAAGGTACGAACCGGTGATCTCCTTGTCATCGAGCTTTGGACGCGGGGGTAATTGTTTGACGGCTAGGGCAGGCCATGTTGAGAAGGAGGTCAATTGCCTGCTCGTGCAGCGACATGCTGTGTAAATGGTATTTGGAGTCTTTGACCAGAAGTTCCGCATTTTGCACTCATGCGCGAGGAATGGGAACAGTTCCGAGAGGACCGGCAGACTATACGTACGGACTGCGGAAGAGAGCCAATCCGATCCGGCCGTATTCGTATCTCGTACCTAATCCGAACGAAGCAATGATTGGGTTAACCGGGTTCCTGTAGCTAGTCAGATCGACTAGGACTACCAAAGTCTTAGATTGCCATGTGGATCCGCAGAGAGTTGAATTTTGGCATCGAAAATTTATACTATGAGTAGAGAGGTTGAGAGGCTCGCATCCACCTCTCATCCATCATTGATCAATCAAGACGTCGAGCTCCGTCAATCATATGTCAAATCTATTCGTACGGAATTGTGGAAACTAGAAAGCGAGAAGCGCACAGGATACCTATAATCAGATCCGTTCCGTTTCAGCTTTCTGACCGTGCATAGTCGGTATTGGGACGCAAATGCACCGAAGGCAGCAACATTCGACTGAGGGAGAGATTTTCAGTATGAATATTACATAGTATGTCATTGTGGCTATACTCCGATTAGTGCAGCGCATAGAGTAGTGATTCTAGTGAAAGCGATTCGCCAGTCACAGAGGAGAATGAGTTGTTTATGCTATGGTCGTAGTCTGAACTTTGATCCTGTCGCACACTTTATCCGCGAGGCCAAAGCTTCCTCTTCCTCCTCCCTTCCCCATCTTATTTATTTTACTTTCATCTCCCTCCTTGGTATTTTGTACATTATTCTACGCCATATCGTTACCTTAATACGACTCAATTGCAATTCTTGATTCCAACGATTCAAAAAGTACTTCGTTGCCGCCGCTTCGATCTACGAATTTGTTGCCGTCGCCACTCCCCCTTTTGTCTCCGTCCTGTCACGATAAGAAAAAGTCACCTCCGTGCCACTACACTCTTTGATCACCTCGATTGCGATTCAAATCAATCAGGGCGACCTTTAACTCGATAATCACACCATCGACACTCTTCAATTAAATAAACCTCATATATTTTCAACGATGGCCACTCCACCCTCTCCCTCGGTCTTTACATCCTTTTTGCGATGGCTGCGATTGAAAAACTACCAGTACGAAGTGACATTCGCCTTGTACATGCTTACACCCACCGAGAAATTCATCTTTAGTACGTTCCCTTCTTTTCTGGTCTCTACTCTCGGGACTAACGTAACTACAGATTTCATCGTCCTGACCATCGTCTCCCTCTTCGTCACTGCTGCCTACGTCTACCTCCCCGACCACGTCGCACAGATCTACGGACACGTTCACTACTACTTCACCGCCGACGTCTCCATGATCAAAGAATATATTCCTTCGGCAAGTTCCATCCTACAGGGAAACGGCGGCCCGGCGACCGGCGCTCTCAATGTCGTGTACGACGCTGCATCAACTGCCGGACTCGACGAGCTGTGAATGACACACGATGCTTATAAGGAGAGAAACGAACATAAGGGATTATGCTCCCTCCATAAGAATAGGCGGTTTCACCTCTTGTGGATAATTTTGGATGCCGGAAAACATAGGCTTGCAATTTGACCGGCTTGTATTATTTATATTTTGCATTTATCGTTGAGCGAGGCGCTTGATGGTGTTTTTTCCAGTACTCGGTACGACGGTATCATATGAGGTGGTGATTTGAAGATGGATTTTACCTGTAGATTGAATAAAAGTTTTTTGACTCAAAAATGTTCAGTGGCAATATAGTAGTAATGGAGATGCGATTCATGACATGCAATTTGAACTTTCCCAAATCCAACGCCTGATAAATGATACATAAATACATAGTGATACATAATTACAGCGCCAGACACTATATATCACGTACGGTAGCCTGACTTTTCGCGCCGTCATCGTCCGGTGCAAGGAAAGCCCACCTCACGCCGTTCCCTCCCCCGACGCCTGCGCACCCATGATCTCCTGCTGTCTCTGCCTCGCTTCCTCTTCCTGCTGCTGCCTCCTCTTCACCCTGACCGCATCTAACGTCCTCATCCTTGACAACTCCGCTTCAATATCCTCCTTCGTCTCCGGAATTTTATGTGATTGTTCGACCGTAGGCCAGAAGCCGGGCACGGAGAAGCGTTCTTCGAGGTTTGTGCCGAAGTAGTACATCCAGCCGATGGGGAAAAGGATGTACATTCCAAACTGTTGGTAGCCAACTTGTCAGTCTCTCAGTCCTTAGAGAAATTGGATGAAAGGATAAGGGTGATGCGGATGCGGATGGGTGAGGTACCTTGAAGACTTCTAGGTTTCCGCCTTGGAGGCGGCGGAGAATGTTGGACATTTTGATTTAGACGAAGTCTCTTCCGATTGAATCAAGAACGATCAATAACGGCGTAAATGATTTGGATGTGATAGAGATCGTACGTTGAAGGGGCAATTGTATCTTGAGAATTCGATCGGATTGTCGAATGACTGCACAGCATTGCTCACCGCCCTCATTCCATCTGACTAGGCCGTGTTGGGGAATGGATGGCTAGCCCTAATATGTTGTAACCCTAACCCTACACCGTCAGAGTCTTGCTATCAGATGTGACCTTCACTTGGAACAAGCATTAGATGTTGCGTAAATTATTGTCTGAAGAAGAGTATTATGCTAGTTAATATAACAATGTCATATACGAGTAAAAATCAAATCAATAAGCCGCTGTTCATCATGCATCTTTTTCACCTCATGGACCTTCACGTATCCTAACTGACTTCACTTCTCTTTCCAGACAACTCCCCTGGTAGCCACTTCTCAAACAGGTTTTCAATCGCAGAGTTATCCATTCTTGCAAGCTTTGTGCGCTTATCTTGGCTCGTCGCATCATCATCATCAAGAAAAGTAGCAGTATCTAGACTTAGATATGCATTGCCACTTTCAGCGTCAATCAGTACTGTATACTGGTTGATATAAAACCAGTCTTCTCGCCCACCCCAGTATAGTTTTAGATCATGTAGACGTGAAGCTTCATCTTCAATCTGAGTCCTCCATCGCTGAGTTTTTTCAGTGAAGTCTGCTGTCGTTGTTTCACTCTGTGCAACGACATCCGCCAACGACTGGGTGTGGGAGGAAATGGTGGGAGAAGATAACAGTATACCAGCTACTAAAGCCTGGTTTGTTTCTGCATTATGCTGCTCGTCAGCTGGATCAGAGTTTTCAGATGCAGAAGCCACATCTGTCACGATACCCAGAACTTTAGACCTTCGAGTAGCGTACGAATCACCCTTCTCTTGGCCGTATTTAAATAAGCGAAGATGAGCTTCTATGCTGTCCAAGGAACTGTTGTTTATCTCGCCAGTCTCGAAATTCGTAGAACTTTGTTCGCGACCTTTAAAATAGCAGATGAGTCCATCAGTTGTCCGTAACTTGTGTGGAGGACGCCTCCAATCTGCCTCCTTGTCCAGCACCGTCAAGTCGCTACTTGGGTATTCCGGGATGGTTTGCGGCATATTTTTAAACGTAGCGGCAGGTTGTAATTCGTACGCTGCTACAACTTCTGGGCCTTCGATGACCACCGCCCGCACGCCGTCGGTTCCTTTCTCGTCAGCGACAAGCTTCAAGTGATATGCTGGAGTATGCAGGTAATCCCTCAAAGTGATCCAGTGTGGTTTGACGGGACTTATTTCCTGCAGCGTGCTCATGGAATGGGAGACAATCAATTCAAAGAACTTGTTATAATTATGCAATATCGATTTGCCCATGCCCAAATCCTCGCCTAGCAGAGGCCGCCAGAGCGAGTGGAAGGTTGTCCCGGAAACATCTTTCTCGTCCACATGGATGGTGAATCGGATACCGTTTCGGTAGAAAAACGTCCAACTAGTCCCCTTGTCATCATCGCGCATGCCAAATCGGCCGATGTGGGGGATATCGTCAAAGTATCGTACAGTTGACATGATTGAGTTGGTGATTCTGCTTCGCAATGTCGGAAAGGATAAGCTTAATCCTATGAAGTTGGATGAACGCAGGCAAATGGTGTTTGTACAAAAACAGGGAACGCTGCTGCCTGAGTACACATGCAGTGACGCATAGATGCTTACTGGGTTGTTAGTTTCTTTGTTACAAATACGAGGCCTCGCGCTCAGCCTGGCAAGGATCCCGAGCTAGCACCATTGACGGAGATAAAACCTGTATATCTTCTGTCGAAACGAGTGATCCAGCAATGAAACTCTCCAGAGTTAAAGCAAGATTATTGATTCGTTTAAAAATACCGTCAATTAAAACTCATAGACTCCTTATGTGTGCAGGATTAAATCCATATGTGGCAAGATCAATCAATGTGTTGCAACGAGCTATCTCTACTTAATAATTAGTCGTAAAGAAGCTCGTTGACATATCTCATTTTAGAACAGATGTAGAGTCGACTAGCGATCTGATCTACGATAATCTTGGTATTACCATAAACGTAAACTAGCCTTCAATTAGGGCTAATCGCAGCCCTCATTATGTGGTAAAGTCCAAATTGGTGGAGATTATGCCAACAGGTCAAACAGACTGTCGAAGATGATATATATACACATTTGGGATAAAATGCAAATCCCTTTACTACAGGAATATGAGGCATGTTACATGTCTTGGCTACCTCATCAGCCTCATTGGATGGACATTGAGGGGTCGGGAAGATCTACATGACAACTCATACTACCAGTTGCACTGAACCGACATAGTATCTCAAACCATGGACCTAGAACCTCTAGACTGGAACACAGGCGAAAACTCCGGCCTCGTCAGCGTCGGCACTCACAACTTATGGCTGAGCGTATACGGCCCTGACCGCAAGGATAGCGAACCGCTGGTCATCCTTATCCCCGGCTTAGCAAACAACACCACAAGCTGGGCCGCCGTACGCCGCGGTTTAGCTACCTCCACTCGAGTCTTGCAATACGAAAGATCCGGTTACGAGAAAAGTGACATCTCGCCCGCGAAGCCCACAGCGACGACAATCGCCACGGAGCTGAATCTGCTTCTGAAAATTGCGAGTCTACACCCTCCCTATGTGGTCGTTGCGCATTCATGGGGCGGGATTTTGAGTCGAGAATTTCTGGCTTTGCGTCCGAAGGATGTTGTAGGGATGGTCTTCATCGAGGCAAATCAAGAACGTACGCTCGAGGTCTTGGATTGGCGACTTTTGGCACAGTCAAGTTTGTTAGCTGGTGTCAACTATCTCGACGCCACGGGCATATCGGAAACCCACAAACTCACGCATGAAGAATGGCATGTCTACCGGGACACTCAAAGTACAGAGAGTCATCAGAGACAGGCAGCTCTAGAAATAGCCGAGTATGCTAACAGCTTTCCAACGCTGAAGGCAAAATCGCAATTACATAGAAAGCCCCCGTTCCTGGGCGACCGTCCAGTCTGTGTGATTAGGGGCAATAATAAAGCGGACTTTGAAAAGCTTCTGAAAGCAGGGTTAGCTCGCGGCAATGGCGACGGTGCGGAACAGGCTGCTTTTGAGGGGATGCTCAGTACATGGGATGAGAAAGATGAGTCTTTGCAGTCCGAGATATTGTCGCTCTCGTCCTGCACACGCTATATTGAGACAAAGAATAGTGGGCACAATGTACAATTAAGTGAGCCGGATATCATTGTCGAAGGTGTTGGATGGGTTTTGTCCCAAACTATAGGATAAGTAACTCAAGGAACTAGGCAGAATCGAATCCTTCTCAAGTATCTGCAGAGCAGCGACGATGAGCTCGAGTTCTGTCCTCGAATGGTATATGTCTATATCTATGGGTATCAAGGTGCTATCAGACAGCACCGTAGGTCTGTGTATATACAAAGACAAGAAACATAAGAAATCATATGTAAAGAGGGGACGCTAATTGCCTGGTTCATCCCAATGTCTCACTGGCAAGAGAGTCAGACAGCGAGGGCTCAGTTTGTACAGCAGCATCTTTGACAGGCTCAACCTTAGCGACTTCTTTCGCAAGAGCTTGTTTTCTCTCCAACTCGTGCGCTCGAGCAGACCAGAATTTGAGAAAGGTAAGAGCCATCACTGATACAGTTAGCAATGTAGTAACAGTTGGGAAAAGTAGACTTACTGGCACTGAAGACAATGGCAAACGCTGCACGCCGTGTCAATACCCATCTTAACCCTTCCGCCTCGCTCTTCCCATCACTGGCTAGCGACACGGCTATTTTGTAGTTGAGTTCCTGGATACCCGTGTCCTGGCCCTGTTGTTGTTCTCGAGTTGTCATCTTATGATCATTCCACATTCCTTTCAGATCATCATTCATTTTCGCCAGTTCTTGAGTAATTCGCATATTCAGAATATCCACTTCATGCTGTAATTGTGTTCGCGAGCTTCGTTGTCGTTCAACCTCCAAATGCCGAGATGCCTCTAGCGACGACCGCAACTCCGAACATGCCGCTTTGAAGAGATACTCTTCGTTTTCACTATCTGACTTTGACGTCAGAGTCGCTTCGGCCAAGTCCAGCTTTTCCTGCAGAATGCCGCGAATCCCTTTCATTACGGTAATGGCTTGTTTCTCACTGAATCCGCCTTCTTCTAAATTCTTGACGAGTGTATATGTATCGAAATGATGGATGTACGGCGCGGGTTCAAGATGCGGAACTTCCTGCCCGTTGGACGGTAACCTCGCGAGACCCATGTCGGACGGGTGTGGCATTTGGAGCACAGCGTCCATTGGGTTTTTGGGCGGCGGCACTTCTTTAGGCATGGAATCTGCAGCCTTTGAAGCATCAGGTTTTGCTTCATCTTTCGCAGGTGATTGCGATTCTGCGGATGCTTCTGCTGGTTTGGTAGTGTCCTTGTTTCCATCTTTGGCATCTACCCGCTGAGCCGAGTTCTCTTTTGAGACATCTTTCTGACCCTTTGTAGGTGCATTGCGATTGGCCGATGAACTACTCGCTTGTCTAGCGGATCTCTTTTTTGGTTGCGTCGGCGGAGGTAGCTTGGACTCTATCGACTGTGCTTGCCGGCGGGAAACGGTGGATTGATTGCGATGACGGGTCGCATTGAACGCGGACGAGGAAGGACGAAACGAACGAGCGCTGTTCTCGTATGCCCTGACCGAGCGGAACAGCTGGGGGTAGAGGAATGGCAGTCGAGGGGTTGCCATGGTTGAATGAGTGAGTGGTTAAGAGAAGACGAGGGGTGGAATGGAAAGATGAATCTTTAAGGCGAGATTCCCGCGGAAAGCAGCCTCGGCGGAAGGGGCCAATCAGACCGATCCTTCTACAGAATATGCTTTTCGACATAAGACACGGAGAATAACATGTTGTTAATATCAGAATGATAAACTGTGGTATCACTAGCAAAAAAGCCACTATATGGAATATTTTACACCAACTTTTATCATCCCTTCCCAAAATACAGTACAAAGAAGTGACGAAATCCATATTCCAGTCCAAGTCGTATCCCAAACGCAATCCCATATCCAAAACCAATCGCCTAAATAATCAATTTATACATAACACGCTCGTCTCCAACGTTATAGTGTCAGCCAGCTTGACAATCATGAGTTGTCATCCTCACTTTCGACGGTGACTTCCCTTGTTTGCCAAATGCCCTGTCGATTATCAAGAGGCATCTCGGACTCGGACTCGGGGCGCTGAAAGCCAGAATGAACGGCTTTCGACGAAAGCTTGAATGCTTGCGAGGAGTGCAAGTGTGAGCCGGTGCTGTTGCCAGAGCGAGAACTCTTGTTGGTGAAGACTTTGCGGAAGAACGGGCGCAGTGTAGGCACGCATGCAGCGACGATGACTACATTTTGCTCGATTCTGCAGAAGTCAGTGGCTGTACAAAACCGAAGGGGATTGAGTTACTTACAGGCCCCAGAGTACCAGTGTTACGACGTTATAAACTGTAAATGTCAGGAGATATTCAAGAAATTCATACTTGATTCAAACCGAGGGACAGGACTCACGAGGATCGGTATGGTCGGTGAACAAATGCAGATAAGTCGCTTTGACAATCGTGACAATCGCAGAGAGCAAAGTTAGACTCATCATGATACACACAGCCACCTTGGTCGATGTGCGCATCTGCAACTTCCAAAACACAGTCACCGGGACAATGGCCAGAACGATATCCGTCATGGTCGTGTACGCACTGACCCAGTATGTAAAGTCGTTAAAGACGTCGGCGCTCCAGCACGACCCTTCAGAGAGCAGTCTCGGGTCCCAGAGGATTGCTGTTGGTTTACATTGCACAAAGACCAGGACGGCGGAGATCATAGCGAAGACGACTTGCAAAACGGCCATCACATAGAGAGCGATTGTACGGAACTTGTTTGGGTCCAGGATGTTGTTGATGAGGATTGCAATGGAGATGTTGGGGAAACTGAAGGAGCCTGCATCGATCAGTCCTCGAACAATGTCTCAAGATTGTAGGTAAACCAACCAATATTGAAAGCTAGAGAGGTTAGCCTTGAAGATTTAAGAGACAAGCTGGATGAGTACTTACGAAATGCTATTATCTGCCACTTTGCAGCTGCGGCATACCCATCCATGCCCTTTTCAGCAACCACGGCGGCTGAGTGTCGACCCAGTCCGAGAGTGACGGCATACGACACGAAGGCCGTTGCAATGATACTGAGGCCCTGCAGCCCAGGGTGGTTAGTGGATTGATATTACGGCATTGGACTGCGAAACTCACCATCGAAAAGAAGATGAAAAAGTCGTCCCAGCCCAAATTCTTTGCCATATGTCCCCGCGCAAACAGTTTAAGACCGACGGTGGCAATGGCGATGCCTGTAAAGACCCAGCCGATGACATTGATTTCGACTCCACGACTTTCGTTGAAGTCGACGTCTGTGTTGAAGGACGCCATTGTGTGCTTTGATAGAGCTATAACTCGTCACCCCTCGGAATGCGTATTTTGAAACGGAGAAGAAACGGATTTTATGTTGGCTCGCTTCGGCTGTATGTCTCCCAGTCGTGATCTCGATCTCCCACTTCCAGTCCTGTAGATCATTATCTGGTCGACATTTCTGTTATCCCTGACGATAGAGAGTAATAGTTGTGGTAGATATGGCTACCCCGGAATCGTCGCACATTATAATGGTGTGCATGTTTCTGTTAAGAGACTATACTCGCAGCCGGAAAAGCAACTCCAAGACGCTTACCAGAATAGTAGAATTGATTCGATTGATTCAATTCACTGTTCGTACTCCGTACAATCCCTGTCAATAACACTCAGTGGAGTTACGTAGTTTCGAGAGGCCCATATTCCGACACGTTCCATCAATAAGAATTTAGAGGTTGGTGGATGACGCCTCCACTGTACAAAATTTCAAGTACACGGAGTACTAGTACTACATAGTAGTACGTAGTACAGCGTACCGAGGAAGCAGAACACGGTAATTACTCAATATCAGAAAATAAGGGGGCAAAAGAAAAGAAACGAGAATAATAACAGGTTCCCCGCACTGACTTAGTACAGAAAGTATATCCCTATGATATATTAACTACTATATAGTGTGTACTGCATCTAATACAATCTTATCCAATGCCGCATACACCTTGTTGACTTCAACTGAACAGAAACTCTGAGAGAGAGAGAGAGAGAGAAATGATACTTACCGGTTCGTGTCAGTACGTACTATGGTACCTCGTATTGTGCGGACACTACTGCTTAAAGTTTGTACTAGCCTACTAGACAGTTGTACTAAAGGGTACTAACGCCCTGGATTTTGGCCACTCGCCGAACTCCAACCCGTTCCACTTTATGTGAGCCAAGTGCAATTAATCAATTGGGAAGAAAAGAAATGATATGAAACTGAAGAATGCATACGTAGTGTGTAACTAGTGTGTTGGTTGCCGACGTGGTTGCCGAGGACTATTACTGAATAGAGTCAATAGACTCATGTTCTCACTTTTCAGAATGAAGAGGACAGAATGTCAGTCAGTGTCAAATTTCAATGGAGTAAGATCGACGGCGGCCCGACTCCAGTTCCAAACTTCGACTGAACTTTGGAGATACAATCCCGGCCATAGACTTCGCTAGTACGTATTTACTTAAACTTCTACAGATAGCGCATTTACTGTGTTATAGGCCTATAGGCGAAGTACATGGGTTTGACTCAGTCACTGCGCTCGATTTAATATTTAATGCATACATACAAACTTAAAATAGTGTTTCATCACGAGTCATGCAATGCTTCAATTACCCCTCCTGTCAACAATGATCAAGCCAATTCCGCCTCAATCAAACTCTCCGCAACACCAGGATACGTGTAGATATTGACAATCTTCAGGCCAGCCTTTTCAAGGAYCCCCCGCCACTCCGCCTCGGTTCGTTCCCGCACCGCGAAATGGGCTAACATCATCAGATCCATGCTCGTCGCTGCGAGGGTAGGCTTCTCCTCGCTGACGACGATCTCATTGAACAGCACGCGCGAGTACCCCTGTTTCAGCGCCGGAACGAGGTTCTGTAGAATCTTGACGCCGTCTTCATCACTCCAGTCATGCAGAATAGAGTGCAGCGAGTATGCGCGCGCACCCTTGATGGGCTGCGGGGTGAAAAAGTCGTGCGCCTGTGCTTCAAAGGGGAGGTCGTCTTGCGTAGCCGCCAGGACACCAGCAATGACCGGCTCACGGTCTTGCAGCACCACTCGTCCCGGCGACGAAGCCTTGTGCTGCGCACAGAACAGCGCCATGTCGTGGCCTCGTCCACCACCAACGTCGACAAGCAACACGTCACTTTCGGCGGCGTCGAAACCCGTCACCATCCGCTCCGCAACAGGGTAAAAACCTGGGTCGTACCAATTCGGCTTCCCAGCTCGGTACGCACTCATAAAGGAGTCGAAATGCTGTAGATTCGGCGGTGTAGCAACTAGCCACTCAAAGAAGGGTAATTGCGTGTTGTGCGCACTCTGAAAGGGCCCATCGAGCGAGCCCAGGCCGGGGGATTTGTATTCTGTGCGTTGGAAGAATTCGGGAAAGCCGTTGAACGAAGGGCGCGCGGTATCGTAGCAGAATGCGATGCTGTGCTGGTAGTTTTCCTCGGCGAGACCGTTGCTCATTTCCGTGGCGTGGAATGCGCCGTTGCGGAAAGTGAGAAGAAACATTGCGACGAGGTGTCGCGCCAGACGCTGGAGGAGTACAATATCCATGCCCGTCTTTGCAGACAAATCTTCGGCGCTGAGCCCGGCGTCGCCGGCTTCTTTGAGATGTTGGAATAGTTTGACATTGACGGCGATACGGATTATGGCGGATTGAGCTGGCTGTCAACTGTCAGTGATTATTCTCTTCTCTTTGTTGGCGAAAGGATTACCTCAGCCCAGAAAACGCGCTGTAAGAATTCACTGGGGATCTCGAGTGAAGTCACCAATGCGCGACTGTTGTCGATGAGCGCCTCTCTTGCGCCGGGCTCATTGTTCTCGTACGCCTTGCCCGCCGCAACGAGGTTTTCGATTATAGATGATACTGGCGACATGCTGATCTGTCAACACAATTGCCAATTACAATTTCCAGGAACGTTTAAATTTGGATAAAGGAGAAGGGCTACGTATCTATATTTCAAAACTGAGTACAGTCGGAAAAACTCCTGGCTACCTTACTGCCTGCTAATGATTTACCCCCCTCATCCCCTCATGCTCCCACATGGTTCACGCTTATCTAGCCTAGCCCTAATGGTAGGATGGATGAAACCAGTTGCGACGCCAGTAACGGCCCAGGAGTCAGTTCCTCATCTGGACAGAGCAATACAGAGTCAGGCAGTGGGCCTAGGATTGATAGTTTCGCACTTAGCTGCTCCACCATAGCAGTATACGTATGTACCAGTAACAAGGGTACCACAGGTACCACACCAGACGTAAGAATCACTACAATCCTCTACTACGAAGTAGTCTGTGGATAAACACGAATCAAGTTTATTGAGTATTGCGCTACAAATTAGTACAAAACTCTACCTCGGTACGAACGCCACCTGGAGCAATACGCCTTCTCGTCGGAGTCCAGTCTGGAAAGAGTGTAGTGAGCCAACACTCACTACTCTGTGGGTGTCGATTAATCTGACTTAATCTGATTCAATCTATATTCAACACCTAAAAGGCTAGAAGCAGTGAAAAGGGTCCGCCGCATTGATAGATTGTTTAGCGTTTACCAACGACGAATACAGGTCACAACTTGCCCAGAATTACTTACTACGTAGTACATGACTCGAATCATAACATGCATTGTCTAGCTCCACCATATAGAACTACTACGTATATAGCAGTAGCACGGTCGGGGCCACGCGCGCACGATCCTTGGACCTGCTGTAATGCAAATTAGGTGCATTAGCGCCTCCTCGGCATTCCAACGAGGTTCGTCGATTTGGGATTGATTTTCTTTTTGCGGTTAATATCTTGATACGTCCTTTGGGGCTAGTTCACGGCCCCTGATAGGCGCGTCTGAAACATCTCCAAAGTCAGACTTCGGGATTAGCCCTAATTCTATTTTCGGCGCTTTCTAGAACGAGGCAGTATAATTTGTACACTCAATAGTTAGTCAGAGCGTCAATATATGTATTTACTGAGGTTTATATTCAGTGATCGCTCAAAAGCCCAAAAAGTAGCTGTGTTCTGTTCCAGAACTCGTGTGCCGATTCTTGTAGTGTTCCGGCAATGCCGTCTTCATCGATTTCCCCCTGTAGAGTTTCGATCAAGTCGTCGAGAGGGTTCGTGCCGTCGATCTGCACTGATAAAACGCCTCGAATATAGAAGGCGTCAAGCAATAATTGGATTTTCCAGTCTCGCGCAGTATTCGGATCTGTTTTGACGGACGTTTCTTTTTCCTCCGCCTCGTCAGCATCATTCTTGTCCTCGGTACTGTCAGCAGACTTGAGCTGCTCCAACTTTGAGGCAAATGAATCAATAGCGGTTTTTTGTAGCTTTGTTTTGAGGATATTGACAGCAGGAGGATTCCATAGATCTGAACCTAGATCTTCCATGGCTTCCACAAGGCGTTTAAAGTACCTGAAAGTGGATGGCAAAGGCTGGATAGGTAGTTCTGGCGTCTTTTCCCAAAGAGATCGTCCGGGAAGGCGCGCGATGTTCTTGACAGGAGGAATGATATTTGACGCCGGTACTTTGGAAAGAATCTCTTCTACCAAAATTTCATGCAACTCTGGTACAATTCCTTGGGCAAATTCCAACTCATCATCCTGCAAATTATTAGGGCTCTCTCGTCTTAGATCCCGAATGAGTCGTAAAACAAAAGCAGCCTTTTCACTATTCGAATCAAAAGTTTGAATTCCATCTTCGAACGACCCTTGCAAATCGAGCAAAGCCTGCCTGACTGTCTTGATCTGTTCTTCACGTAACAAATAAGGATCATCCTTGGTGAGTAGATCCACAGTGCTGCCCTGGAACTCTTCGTCTTCATCCTCGTCAAGCGTGTCTTCCCATTTCGTATCTTTCAAATCTTCGATCAACTGTCTGGAGGTTTCAATGGTTGCAAGCCAGGAATGGTAGACTTCTAGCACACTCGTAATCTTTGCATCTTGGCCGAGCAACGTCTCGGTAATGGCTTTTTTAAAGGTAGCTGCACCCTCAGAGACGTCCAATGATAATAGATCAGGATCCCATAACGATTGCGTTCCACTGGCTTCGGTCTTTTGCCATCCTTTCAAATGCGACTTGACCGAGTCGCTCACGGATAACAATGCTTGGGCTTCTTTAAGCAGTATATTCTTCAATTGAGTGTTGAAGAGACCTCGAAGACCCTCTAATACACTTGTCGACGAATGCGTGAGTGTTGTAGAAACGGCAGCAAGCCAGATATCTAGAGTCTTCTTGCGCAATGCAAGGACTGCCGCAAAGTCCACAGAGCTCTCAAGAGTGGCTGCTCCGCGCTCCAAGAATGCCTGGAATGCTTTTTTGGACCACGCCTTCAGAGTTTGTTCTGCCGATTGCTTGGTCAAGGCATCCGATTTGATCCAAGGTGTAAAGTTCTTGACATCCGGAACCACCCATCGTCCAAGGATGTCCAGGTCAATATCATCGAGCTTTTGAATATCGTGATCGTTCAATAGAGGTTGCGCTTGTAGTTTGCCTAGCGCATCTGATAACCGACGGGAAAAGAGAACTTTTGTATCTTGGAGTGTTTGGATATATAGACTCAATGCCTTTGGGATACATTCGCTTCCATTGTCGCGATCAAGTCGCTTTCCGATATAATTGAGCCGGATGTTGTGAAAGTGTGAAATCACATCTAGTGATGATGCATTGTTAGACAGACAAAAAGCTGCCATTGAATCGATAATGTCTTCAACACTCGAGTCGGCAGACCCTAGCCTTCGATCAATCCTCCGGCGTATTAGCTTCTGAACGTAGCTGAGCTGCGAGCGCAACGACTCAAGAAACGGCGGAGTATTTTGATGCTGAGAAAGGGTTTTGTAAAGCAATCTCGAAATGACCATCAACTTGGAAGCTAACAGCGGCGAATCGTGTTTGCGTAATAGCCTTCCTGTCACGGTAGTACAGCGATGAAGGAGCGCAAGTTGCCCGGCAAAAGCTTTGTCTCCTTCTGTTCGTCCCGTCGATTCCCGGTTGATATCGGTCAGATTAACAGATTTCTTGCCAATCAGATTCGTATTGCAGCGGATTCCGATACTAGCTAGTCTGGACTCGACTTCGGAACTCTCGATATTCATTTCGATGATCGTCTCAGCGGTTCCGAGTAGCTCGCGATAACGTGTACTAATAATCTCGTAAGCATACACTCATTAGCAGCAAGGACAAAGCGTATGGACATACCCGACCAACGAACGCAGCTTCTCTCTGTTGCTGGCAATGTCCCGTCGCAACTCCTGCTCCACCTTGCGCACGGTGGGAATTGGGTATTGGAAAGCTTCCTTCCATGACTTGAGGTTTCGCACATCTGGAGTATCGGTGGCCATTTTGGCGGTTGCGCGGGCGCGCACTTCCAATTGGGGAGTTGAGAGTCGAGAAACAATATTGCAGAGACAACAGACCAACGTGTAAATAAGGTGGATGCACGGGCCACGCGGAGACTAAAACGTCACCGCGGAATTTCTATCAAAGCCGTGACTCATGATTTTCATTCTTTCATGGCCATACCTTTACTTGCGATAATCCATTGACCTTTAGAGAATACCGTCGCTGCGTAATTTAACATTCTTTGTCTTGCCCGCCAGCTTTCATCACACAATAGACTTGTCAGAAAGCGGAGCATGTGAATGTCGCCCCACCAAGAAATATTTCATCTATTGCTCATCGAAAAGAAATTCATCCTTTAACATCCTACTTTGTCGATACAACTTCCCAAACATTTCACGACATTACCATGGCGTCTGTCGACTCTGTGCCAGTCGAGCCTGTGGAAGCCCAGGACTCTGGTCCTAAAAGGCTTCCCTTCCCTCCAGTCACTCGGAGTCACATATTGCACTGCTCATACCATTATTGGCATCCACTGTGTGTATATCGAGACTCAACATTTGATTTCAGAGCTGACTGTCTAGTTATCGAGCTATTACTCCAAAAGCCCGTCTCATTCCACTCTCTGATGCCTTCCTTTCTTATCTTCGCGCCGACGGAATCGTCCTCCCTCCTGAGAATCCAAGCCGCGCTGCAATGATGGGCGAGGATAGCGGCATAGAAACCACCGATTCCGAAGAAGACGACGAAGAAGAAGATCCATCAGTCGAATGGCGGGATATACATACACAGGTTGAAGAGACCATCCGCGAGCTTGACGGCAAAGTCACGCCAAAACTTAACTGGAGTTCGCCCAAAGATGCGACCTGGATTGCGGTTACAAACGATCTCCAGTGTCAGACACCAAATGATATCTACATGTTGCTTAAGAGTAGTGACTTCATCACACATGATTTGGAGCATGCCTTTGACGATACAGACCCAGAACCAGAGGGCTCGAATGAGAATCTCGACACGAACAACATCCCATACCATCTTGTCCTTCGCAAATACTTCAACCTCAATCCATCTCTAGAATTCCGCTGCTTTGTGCGCAACCGAACTTTGCTGTGCATGTGCCAGCGTGACTTGAATCATTTCGACTTCTTGTTTCCCATGCGTGACATGCTCGTGTCGCGCATTCAGTCCTTCTTCGACGAAAAGCTTAGAGACACTTTTCCAGATGCAAACTTTGTGTTCGACGTCTACGTGCCACCACCTCATGAGCGGGTTTGGCTTATAGATATCAACCCGTGGGCTATCAGAACAGATCCACTCCTATTCAGTTGGTTGGAAATCCTGACCATGAAGGATTTAGCTCCACTTGAAGACGAAGTTGTGCGTCTATCCATCAAGGACGATGGCCCGTCTGCGACGGCAGACTCTGAGGTCGAAGTAGATGACTCGGAGGAAGAGATCGAGGATCTTTCATTCATTCCAGAACTTCGATTGGTGGAACGTGATGATCCAGAAGCATATGGATTTACTTCGCCACAGTACTCTGCTCACAAATTGCCTCGAGAGGTCGTGGACGCTTCTCAGGCTGGGACTGGCGGTATGGCATCTTTTATGCAGCAGTGGAAGGACCTACTCGCTCAACAGACGCAACAGCAGCAAGCGGACTCCAGTGATGATGAGTAATGTCGAGCCGGAAAATATTAGATGCATGCCACACAGATGAAATGATTGAATTGATCTATAACATGCGATATGTAGGTATGATTATCCACATAGAATGATCTCACAGCTTATGCTTCTTCTCACCAGTGGCGAGCTTCCTGAATTCTTCCTGCGGGATACCAGCAACAAATCTGTCCACACCCCCGAAAACTTCCAACAAATTTGCTCTATCAAGTGCCTCGCGTTCCGGCTGACGAATTAGTCTCTTAATCCCAAGAAGACTAGTCTGGTTTAGATGCACGCCCAGTTTGTCATCGACTTCGGCCAAAACAGCTTTCAAAAAGCCGTCTGAATCTTCCTTCTTTCCAGATGGTGCCGAAATGACCTTGTTCACGAATCCAGTTGCCACTAGCTCTTCGCATGTTATGCGCTTACTCATGAGTAGCGCCTCATTTGCTTTTGAAATACCCAGTCTCTGCACAAACCCCCTCGAAGCACCACCTTCAGCAACCAGACCGAGGGACGAGAAAGGCGTGAGAAGGAATGTATGGGGAGCTGCATAGATGAAATCCGCAAACGAGATCACAGCAGCCGTGAGTCCGACAACGGGGCCATTGAGCGCAACCACCAGGATTTTTGAATGGTTGTACACTGTGCGTGTGACGTCTAGATTATTTACCAGGAAACCGCGCATAATCTCTCTGCGCACTTCTCCTTCACTTAGTGATTTATCAACTTGACGATTGACACCGTTGCCACGGATGTCAGCTCCTCTACATCAGGTTAGCTAGAGCTAGATCGTTAGATGAATTGAAGGCACTCACGCAGAAAAGAATCGACCCGATCCCGTCAGAACAGTAATGTAGATATCGTCTCTCTTGTCGATCTCGCGCAATCGCTCCCCCAAGAGATAGTAGCAATCGCCATCTAGGGCATTTAAGACCTCGGGACGGTTGAAGGTGATGATTGCAATGCGGCCTTCGTATCTAAGGGTGACTCGTTCTGCCATGGTTATAGTTATCAATAGGGATCGTAGAACGTAGACAGTTAATGAAGAAGAGATGGAATGATTGTTGAAGAATATAAAGCTGAATCGTTGTTGCCAGGGTTCAGCAGGACTAGCCTCCGGCCGAGTGCCGAGGTCCCGCTGTAGCGTAGCTCGCCTTACTTTAGTGTGCTCACTTTGTGGGGTAGCTTTCTCTATATAATTTCTCCGCGCTCTTTCATCTGGAACTACTATGGAGTACATGTATGTGCTTTAACAGCTAAATAGAAACATAATGCAGCCATTCGTCGTCTTCCACTAGCCTCTCCATCTGGTGTTGGAGGAGATGGACCTTCAATTCAATACCTCCGGGGTAGCGATATGAAGCACCGTCTGAGGACGATGTCTGCCGCATCCCATACGACGGCATCACCAAAACGTACGACGGCGTGATCGGCGAATCCATGAGATTTCTCATGATGCAAAACTTGCCCACCCCAATCTCCATTGCCTCAAGGCTGGGGTAGAGATGCTCCCACGAATTGAAAAAGACATCCTGCTCCAACAGGTTGCCAGGCGGGAAAATGCCGGCTTTCGTTTGACGGAAAATGAGCGCGTTGATTGCGCGGAGGTTGCGGTCGGTAGTGTCCGTTCTCAATGTGCTTTGAATTGGCTTGATGATATCTCTGTGCTGTTGAAGCAGTAAGGTCGACAGAGGTACCCTCGCCACGACTGGAGTGACGGCATTGCCGAAATAATCGGTCGCCAACCGAGGGACCAGACGATTGCGTATATCGGCGGCAAAGAACCCGTTGCTTATTGTCGTCTCAACAACTGTGTTAGAGTCGGCTCGTGCACGCGCGAGACATTGCCATGCATGTGCCATGACAGACTCAAAGATCGTTGGTCGATCCTCAGTATGACTGTGCATTTTCGCTCGGAGACTCTCTAGGCTCTCAGGCGACAACCAAAAGATCTTGCTTTGGATCCCATTGTTTCCCATTAAGGGATTCTTGTTTGCTTTTGCTGTCGTCGATGCTTCTTTGTACAGGGCCTCCCAAGTCTTCAAGCCGTTGAGTTCCTCTACCGCAGTAGGCGATTCATCGATGTCTCTCAATAGCTCGGACTTGTCATGAATGCTCATTTGCGGAACCGCTTCTTCATAAAGACCATCAGCGATCAACGCCTTTGTCATCTGAAGCCACTGCCGCACGAACCCAGCGTATCCATACCCATCCGTAATGGCATGATGAATCTGCACCACAAGCACATATCCTCCCTCGATAAAGGTCAACTGCACCGCGAAATTATGCTTACTAAGCAAATCACTGTCGTCGAGTCCAATCGCAAAATTAGTCTTCTGGATTCTCTCTTCCGGAAAGCGTTGTGCAGGAGATAAGTCTGCAAAGATGATGTCTGGTCTACGAACGACGGTGAATGGGATGCTAGAAGACTCGTCAACCGCTACATGCGGTGGACTCCCGTCCTTGGGCCGCACGACTCTACCCAGCAGCTGGGGATATGCTGTTTCTGTCGGTTCTTTGTCTTTGTCGAGGGGTTTCAAAAATGTTTTTAGGCTTTCTTGCAGAGCCGCGATCAAGGTGTGCTCTTTGGTTTCGACCTGATTGTCATTCCGGTAAATGAACGCTTGTCGAATAGCCCGTGGTGGAATCAACAGGTCACTGGGCGACAGGGGATAGACGCCTTCAAAGCTGACCTCTGCCCGAACGGTATATGTGGTTGATTCCATCGTAGCTGAGTCCTTGGGTTGGTTAATGTTCTTCTCTCGGCCTGTGCACGGGTCATACGTACTACTTATATACCCGAAGACAATTTCGCACCCGGATATTTCGGACATCTAAAGTCATTTCTGTGTATCATGATGTTGGTTCAGCCGCTCAGCCGCTCAGCCCCAGAACGAAAGCTCAGCACTAGAATCAAAAGTCGGTGCTGGTTCATCGAGCTCAACGTCAAAAATTTTTTCAGGCTTAGCCTTGTCGTTGTGGTCCGTATACAAATTAGTATCTCAGTAGCTTGTTATGTGGGTTTGTAGATTATTACAGTATATAAATGGGCCGATTAATGGCCGTACGCTATGTTGAACTGGTAATTTGGTATATAAGCATGTAATTGGCGCCATCAAATCGTTGTATCGATGCCCTACAAGCTGAAAGGAAACAATGTTTACAAAAACATTGTCAGTACTCTGTTGAGAATTCGCCCGATGAGGATGAAACAAGTAGCCCAGCATATCAGAGCAAACCTAGAAGGCATGGAATACTAGCATCTTCTGCTACATCCCGAACTTCAAACAAGCACAGAAAACAATAGGAAATGACAACCCAACAGCAAGAGCAAAATCAGCAATGTCAGTTAACGAAAGCTAGCTAAGTTCTAGTAGAAGCCGCTATCCCAGGTGTGCCTGAGCCGGCAGGCCACCCCTTTCCGGTAGGGCTTAGGACTTCGGATATCGCCTCCAAGCTTCCTACTGCGATCCGTCAGGTCACAATATCAATCTATATTCCCTAAGAGATATTGTTCTTATAATTTTTCAGGCTCGCTTAGATGGAACCGGGTGAATGAGATGATGGTTTCTATGTATGTACGTATAGATTTCGTAGCGGGTACAAGACAATCGCAATCTCGATTGGATTCCGAAGAATACCGCCAGCCAATCGAATAAGGGTTTTGAGTATGGTCTGATGCTATCAAATATGGAGCCTGCTACAAACCAAAGGGTACATTTGGTCTTTGGTTTACTGTTTCGGTTCCGTCATCGATTCCTTTCTTTCTGTTATTAGATCAGGAAGAGCTGCAAATCCTTCGCCGCACATATCTGACCCATCCTCCTTGCCAAAGTTTGGATTTGTTAGCGGAACTTTTACTCCTACGCTTCATCGAAACAAAGTGCTTACCTCTAATGCTGTCTCCTTTACCGCGACCTAAACGGCGGAGAATTACTTCTGCCTGCAGTTCATGCCGCCAACGGAAATCTCGAGTATGTTTCAATTGACGCAGCAAAGCCCAGCACATGTCGAGCAGGTTTTAGAACAACTGCTCGCTTTCTGTTTCTGTCGCATGTTTTGGAGACTGAGTACTGATTCCTATGAACATAAAAGTGCAGCGGTGATAATCCTTGCACTCTGTGCAAGGAACTTCAAATCGAGTGCATCTATCCCGAGGATGTCTTCCCCAACAATCTCACAGTGGGGAAAAGGTATTTTTTCCCCTTTCACCTGAAAGTCAGTGAAAAGCATACTAATGAAGTCAGGTACATCGTTCAGTTGGAAAAAAGATTACGGGAAGTCGAGAGAACAGTCCAACAGCTTCAGCAGGCACATCCACAAGGCCCAGCAGATCTACAATCGCCAACCGAAGTTATAGCTCCGGAGCAACAACGCGACAACACCTGCACATCGAGAAGCTACAGTGTATCTGTAATGGGGGAGGCCGACAACTCGGAGAATTCTATAGATGGGATGGGTGCGATGAGATTTACCGATGAGGAAGAGCGAGGCTTTTTCGGTATGCCTTCTGCGTCAACCAGAAAGATCCACGTGATTGTTGATTTGGAGTAGGTTCTTCATCCAACATCGCCTTCATGGGATACATATCTCGAGCAATGGCGACGGTGAATCCTGATCGCGCATCATTTTCGGAAATATTACCATCAATACAAAGGCCTGGTGGCGTCGTGAGCGTGACTCGCTCTCAAGCTCCACCGATTGATGAAGCGGCCATGTCAGACCCATCTCCCGCCCCGACACTCGTGAAAATATATGCTTTACCGCCAGAAGATCGGGCCTGGAATTTGATTGACCAGTATTTCCAGAAGACGGGTCAGCTACTCCCTTTCATCCATGAACTCTCTTTCCGGGAGACATATAGTCAGATGCGGCGTGAAGGTTTCAATAAAGTCAGCCGGACTTGGCTCGGGTTATTTAACATAGTGCTTGCAATATCTGCGAGCCTGTCAGCCAAAGATGAGCTTCCTCCAGAGGAACGCATTAAAGAGTCTGATATTTATTATCAAAGAGCCAACGGTCTTTGCGACAGAGACTCCAAACGTAGTACAAGCCTTGAAATGGGTAGGTCAAGACTACTTTTTCTCCTGTGCTCCACCTCTTTCGCTCCATTCTGACAAAACAAGTGCAATATCTTTTGATATTAGGTCAGTATCTGCAAGGGACGCAAAAGTCAGTTCAAGCATGGACCACCCATGGACTAGCTATATCTACCGCGTATCAGCTAGGTTTACATTCGCCCGATGCAAATCAAGGATATCCTGCGTTGGAATGTGAAATTCGGAAACGAACTTGGTTTGGTTGTGTGCTCTTGGATCGGTAAGTAAAGCTTCGAATTCTCGAAAAGATCTTGCTAATGCTGAGTCAGAACTCTCGCTATGACTTTCGGTCGCCCATGTTCAATCCCCGAGTCATACATAAAGTTAGATGCTCCCTCTAAGGATATCCACATGCTGAACTCCAGCGATGAAAAGGCTTCTTATTCCCCGTTTGACGGTGCTTTTTATACTGCTGCAATGTGAGCTTTGACTGATATTCCCTTATTGATAGCTACTAATGCTATCCAGACAATTATATTCCATATTGTACAAAGTGTTGGATGTATGTTATGGACAAAATCTTAGTCTTAAAAACTCAATCCACGCCTCAGACTGGATGTCGCATATTCTCGATGGGCAGCACCAGCTCAGTCAATGGCGAACTAAACTCCTGCCTTCTTTAGGGCTGCAGATCCAACCGGACTTGATGACCCCCGAAGATGTGATGAAAATGAATACCCGCTTTTTCATCCTTGATCGATTTAATATCGTCCTCTCTATGCGCTATCACAACCTACGGATCCTGCTACATCGACCTCGACTGGAGAGCTTCCTGGAAGCCTTTTGGAGTACCGATGATGTGGGCGACCAGGAGAAACGCATCATTATGCAGATGGATATCGCAAGCGTACAGAATTGCGTTGAATCAGCTGTTTCCATCATCTCCATAGCCCACAGCATTACCACAGCGTCTTCTTCACATCGCGAGCTTTTGGGCGCGTGGAATTATTCACTATATTACAGTAAGAAAAAGGGTTCTTGAACATCTTCAATAACAGATTGCTGACGATATGGAAGCATTCAATGCTGCGTTGGTAATTTTCAGCTCTCTCGTGGTTGCTTCCAAGGAGCGCGAAGGCAATCCATCAGCATGGAGTGTGGTCGATGAGTCTCGTCCCTATCACGACAAGGCAATCGAAGTTTTACACCGACTTGATCATGGAAATCGCGTGGTGGGACGATGTATTGAATACCTTTCACAGCTTTCCCTGGTGCTTAATACTTTGAGTACGTCAGACCAGTTTAATTCCAACAACAATGGTCTATCCAATTTGCTCTCGGGCTACACAAGCGACTTTCTTGATGCTCAATCCACCAATCCATTACCTGCCATGGATCTAGGGGAATTTATGATTGATCAGGACTTGGACTTTCTAGGAAAAGTTTTCAATACAGCTGTAAAATGAGGTGAAACTATGGCCACACCAGTGGAGATCTGTAAATTAGGTTCATTTCAGCAAGTGTTGTTCACTGAGATTTGGATTGTTTTCTTTTCATGTTCTGTCTTTCTCTTTCAGTACTTGTGCATCCAGAGACAATTGTAGGACTTGTATGCTGATATGAAAGTATTCAACCGTGGAGGACAAATATTGATTTACCTCATCGAGGTTATCTGTATGAGTGCAACAAAACTCGACGCCAATATTTCAAGCGATTTCGTATTAACATTATAAAACGAGACACAGAGAAGTGGCATTCCAGGACTCAAATAAAGTCACGTCCCCCAAAGCGGTAGTTGATTTCTGATTGTTAATCTTTTTCCCACCCGCTCCATCGTTCAAAAGTTCCCGTATCGAGGTTGAACAAATCCAGCATTCTCCCTACACTCTGGTTGACCAGATCCTCAACCGACGAAGGTTTAATGTAAAATGCTGGCACAGGTGGAAAGATTATCGCGCCACTCCGTGACACAGATAACATATTCCGCAAATGTATGTCGCTCAATGGTGTTTCTCTGGTCACCAGGACCAATTTTCGTCTCTCTTTCAACATGACATCTGCGGCCCGTGAAATCAAATCATTGCAGAGCCCGGAACTGATTGCTGCAAGTGTCTTCATACTGCAAGGCACAATGATCATGCCATCTGTGTGAAACGATCCACTAGATATGGGAGCTGCCATATCGTTGATATTATAGACGTGATCGGCAAGAGCCTTGACGTTGGAAGGATGGTAGTCCGTTTCGTATTTGATGGTTGATTCGGCCCATTTGGACATGATTAGGTGCGTCTCGACGTTAAGATGGCGAAGGGCAATGAGTAAATTGATTCCCAGCGTGGCTCCGGTAGCGCCTGTTATTGCCACCACGATCTGCTTGCGTCGGTTCCCTTGGCTGGCGGACATTGTCTGATTATATGAGTATTTGAAAGCGTACTCCCCAAGTTATCGGAGCTATCAGAAAGAGAATTAAAAAGTAGGTATCCTGTTTTTAGTATGAAAGAAAGCGATGACTAGGGGTACAGAAAGGATCCCCCTCCTTTAAATATAACATCTCTTAGCCATTAAAGTCATTTTCTGTCTTGCTTGAAACTGGCAATCGGTGCCCGGGTGTAAATTCATTCTCCCGACGCGGAAATCGCATTCGTGGATAGGTAGACATCATCGGCTTGCCAGCTGTCGAAGAGTGGCAATCGAATTACTATGGATAGAGCGACCGGGGAGATAGGATGGCTTTGAGAGGTGGCGCAAAAGTGGACTCCTGGGGACTTAGGAGATAATTCGTGCCCCTATCTCCCCGGTAATACTTACACCCTAAGTCGGACGACTGGGAGAGAAATATGTTAAATTTGGACCTCAGCGCAGTCTAAGACAAGACAATCTCTTTTTTAAACTAATTCGATTTCTTCGATCATCTACTGTCGCAAAGCTATTGGAAGACACCTCGACAACAAACAAGCAATTCTGGGACCGACCTCTCTGTTACTGTCAACCCTTTCCGGAACCCTCAAAAATCAATAATCGAAACATGTCTACGGAAACTCTCCCTGCCGCGCTATCCCTGCGTACCTTTCTTGAAGAAAGTAAGGCGGAGGGAGATGTTGTGGAAATTGATATGGAGGWAGATCCCTATCTCGAGTCTGGTGCCATATCTCGCCGTGCATACGAAACGGGTAGTCCAATGCCGCTCATCAACAACCCCAAAGGTAAAGATGGTCCGGAGGGTCTCTTTCGTATCCTCGGTGCTCCGGTGGGTGTCCGAAGTGATCGAGAAACTAGATACGCTCGTCTTGCGAAGTCCATTGGCCTTCCTTCCAATGCAACTGGACACGACATCATCCAGAAGCTTCTCGCCGCAAAGAAAGCTGAACCCATTCCGTCTGTTGAAGTCTATGATGCGCCGCTCAAGGAGCATAAATTATTTGGCGATGAAATCGACCTTCTGAAGATGCCAGTTCCAAAAAACCACGCAAGTGACGGGGGCAGATATCTTCTCACATATGGCCTGCACAGTGTTCAAACTCCGGATGGTAAATGGGTTAACTGGGCCATTACCCGTTGTATGGTGATTGGTAAACGACAATTGACTGGCCTGGTGGACGTGAAGCAAGATATCGGGGCCATCTGGGCGATGTGGAAGGCTCTGGGAAAGGACACGCCCTGGGCCTGCGCCCTTGGTGTTCCGCCGGCAGCTGTAAGTTTTTGATATTTTGTATCACGCTTAAGCCCAGAATGCTGACATTTGAAAATTTCCAAGGCCGTGGCTAGTGGTATGCCGCTTCCCAAATTTGTGAACGAGCCGGATTATGTTGGTGCTATCACAGGAGTTCCTGTGGAGGTCATCAAGTGTGAGACAAATGACCTTTTTGTGCCAGCACATTCGGAGGTAGTGCTTGAAGGAACTATATCTGCAAACGAAACGGCGATTGAAGGGCCCATGGGAGAATATCACGGTTTTATCTTCCCAGCCAAGAAAGCGCCACAGCCGGTCATGACGGTCAACGCGATGACTTATCGAAACAACCCCATTGTTCCAATCACTGTCGCAGGTCGTGCTCCAGATGAAACTTATACCGTTTGGGCCGTGGCAATCTGCGCTGAAATTCTCGACTTGTTGCAACAGGCAGGTCTACCAATCACCAAGGCTTGGTGCCCGTACGAATCCCAGGCCATCTGGTATGTCGTCCAGGTCGATCGGAAGCGGCTCGTGGAGATGAAGACCACGCCTGAAGCATTCTGTCGCCAAGTCGGGGAGATTGTTTTCTCTTCCAAGCCTGGTCGATTTGTGCCAAAGATCTTTGTTGTCGGCGACAATATCGATCCCAGTGACTTGCATGAGGTTGTCTGGGCTGAAGCGACCAAGTCTCAGCCACAAGACAGTGACTTCTTCTTTGTGGGCAATTACCCAACTTACGATCTGGTGCCATACGCCACTCACGGCTTTAATCCTCMCCAGCCGCAAGCCAAGGTAGTCAGATTGTGTATGTTGCCTGCTGAATTCAAGACTTTGGACCGGCCATGGGTTGAAGCTTCTTTCCGTGGATCTTACCCGAAAGAAATCCAGAAGAAAGTCCAGGATAACTGGTTGGCATACGGGTTCAAAGAGAATCCTGTAAATCTTTAAGAAATCAAGAGAGTCAGGGTTGCCATTGCATATATACTGCTGTATCGTTTGTGTCGCTGACTTACAACGAGGCAAATTGAATGTGATTTGTCAATCTTAACTCCTAGAATTGCATCTATATCTACTTACCACCCTTTACTTATGCAATCAAACTTATCCTTTCCTTAATAGCTATGATATATACTGAAATCAGACAGAGAATCCTAATATACAAGCGATATTCTGCAATTTCCTGTCAAAGGCTACTTACTGTATGGACCTGTGTCTGTCGATCTGCTCAGCCAATTTTAGGAAAGATCACCATGCTCAGTGAGTGTTTGCTAAGCGACAACACTGTTCCCGATGTTAGTAAAAATGTCACGTGTTTACAGCGAATACAGAGTGCTCGCACCCGTTACCAATATCGCCCCATTAAGGGGAATTCCTTTTTGGTAACGCGGTATTCTCTCAGTGAGCGTAACTCCGGAATGAATCTACTCAGTGAGCCGGACCGTGAGTGCCTTCACAAAGGCGGCGGCACCTGGTAGGGAAAATATGGGTTGTATACTCCAGAGTAGTCACCTAGGTAGTAGTAAGTACGTAGTGCCTTCTTATAGGAGACCCCGCATTATGGGTTCGGGGGCTGGAGCTTAACCTACTTCTCCGCATTCCGTACTTCTTCCACTCCCTCTTGTTGCTTCAATATTATTTCTCAACTGCGCAACAATTTCCAGAACGATCCGTACAATCATAACATGCTCCTCACCATCCACCCCAATGCATCGTCATTGACCACCGCCATCCGCCTCTTCCTCCTCTTCCTCCCCCTCACCACCACCGCCGCGTCCTGCGCCGGCGTCCTCCTCCAAACCATCGCCACACGCTGGGACTCTCTAGGCTCAGCGTACCAATCCGAAATATGCGCCCGCGGCTGTGAACCCGTAATGTCCACCTGGGACGACTGGACCTACAACAACGCCTTCCTACCGCTTATCGACACCATGGCTTCCGAAATGTCGCTCTCCGACAACTTCAAAACCACCTTCACGCGCATCGGGCAGGACATCGCGTCTGGCACAAAGAGTGAATGTAGCGCTTTGCTATCTCCCGGCCAACATTTCTGTACTGGCGGCAACACCCCCGCAGGCGACAAACTGGCGCAGTGGAATTGGTGTTTTAAGAAACAAGCCGCAAAGCAAGCATCGAGAAATGCTTTTACGATGCTCAGATTGGTGTCGAGTGAGATCTGTAAGGGGGAGGCTTATAAGTATTTGGAGGATGATAAGTTGTGGATGGAGGTTTTGCCGCAGTATATGAGAAAGTATGCGGATACTTGTCAGCTTCCACCGCCTAAAGAAGAGCGGAAACAGAAGGAGATGAAGGATGAGTTATGATTGTACGAAGGTACGGCTGTCTATACGAGCACCTGGCTAGAGCCAGGCGTAAATATGTTATATTATTCGGTGGTATCATGTATATACTGTATAATAACTATTCAACGTAATCTTGGTTCCCCATCACTAATATAAAGCTAAAAGTCCATGCGCAACTCGATACTCGGCGTAGCCTTCTGTTCCTGCGCTCCGGCATCCCTGGCCTCACCAGCAGAGCCAGCGCCAATACTGCGCAGAACATCCTCCACAAGGACCCTTCTTTCAGGATCCATACCAGCGATGAGTGCACGGAAAATCACAGGGTTTACTTTGCCAATCTCAAGCAATCTAGCGGCCATCTCTTGATAGATTGCTGATCCTTCGTTTTTGGCACGTGCCAAAAGAGTCGAGACAACTAGGGGAATTGCAGTGGAGACTTTGGGAGGTGGGAATGCAATAGGGTTGCTGATGTACAAGACTAGCGTTTGGGAAATAGCTGCTCGTGAGTTCTCCGGGTCGATTGGTGGCTCGCCTCGATCGTTTGGAGTTCCTGCAACGAACGCGATGAGTCGTGGGAAGAGATACCGTCCAATTGCTGAATCTGTGGTCGATAACGGCCCGCTTCGAAGGAGCACGGAGCGAATACATCCGGCAGCAACACTGGCGAGGCCGACATCCTGTAGGCAATCTAGGTATTCGTCCAGTACTCTTGCAACAAGAGGATCTTGTGGAGGAATGACATGACTGCTGGTGCTAAGTACTATGGTCATGGCGAGGAGAGTATTCTTTGCACAAGGTAGAGAAGTTTCTGATTCTCGGCGTTGTGCAATGCTAAGTGTCGTGAGAAAGCGTGTCAAGCAGCCACGTACTTGTAATGAGACTGCTTCGTTTGTCGGTGTACCCTGCGAGGTCATGCCTTGAACGAACCTGCGGAATATTGGAAGAGCATGAGGGACAACTTCAGCCTGACAGATACCCGTTGCTAATATAGTACTAAAGATGTGTAGAATGCATGCGTGAAGGTCATGTCGTATGATAGCCGGAAATATAGCGGCCACGTCAACCAGGGCAGAGAGTGCCAGACGAATCAAAGTCAAAGTCTCGTCGGAGCTGACGTTGAAAGTGCGAGAGCTCGAGTCACCTAGATTCGGGAGCAGGCCCGCTAGAACGAGAATAATGTTTCTGGTGAGTTCGAAAAGCTGTTCAATATCGTCGGACAAGTTCTCGGCACGATCTTGGCCACCTTTTGCTGAAGGATGATCAAGTGACAAGTTTCTGGCCATCTCGACAATGACCGTCTGAATATTGTGGCCTTCAGTGAGAACCAAACGATCAAGAGTATCCACTGTCTCGGAAAAGACCGCATCTTGATAGATCGCATTTCCGGCAACAGATGGTCTCAGTATTTTGGCGAGGGCTTGAAGAATCTCCAATCTTTGCGAAGGCGACACAGATTGATCGACCAACGCCTCAAATGCTAGTCCGAAGAGCACGAAAAAGAACGCAACAGGTTCGTCGCGGTAGTTGATACTGTCACCCTTCCCGGAGGGCACAACTCCCTTCGCTTTATTCTCATCGACATCGTCACCTTGTGCCTTGGATTTGTTGTCCAATGCATCAAAAACAAAGTCGCTGTCTTTTTCGACAAGACTTGCAATCGCATCAACGAGATTCAACCAAGAATCTTGATAGTACTATATCTGGTCAATAGAGTGATAAATTGATCTGTAGTCCAGCACTTACGTTGAGCAATGTTTCTCTATTCAATGCCGCGTAAACTTCATCAAGATCCCCAGTCGATGGAGTACCGAGGCTTCCTGAGATATCTGGTTCGAACCGTAGCCGAGCAAATTCTTGAAGAGAGGAAAGCCACAACGGTGTGAGCATGGCAGTGTATGGCTGAACGACATTGACCAAATACTGCTGTTCAAGGCTTGCCATTTGCAATCGCGCCCATGCCGAAAATAGTGCCATTTTCACCATTACCCGTGCATTCGAGTTGAGCCCTTTCAAATCACCAATCTCGGTAATGTTAGGGTCATCTTGAAACGTTAGTAATTGCCGTAAGTATCAGAAAAGTTAACTTACTGGCGAATTGCTCCAATCCAACAACAAGCAGTCGGAAGATTCTGCCCATTCGGTCGACATTTGTGACGATACCCGCAGCAACAAACGTGCCACATACATTGATAGCCTCTGAAGCCAAATCTGGAGACGAATCAGCTGCAAATGCCGGGGTTAGGGCCGACCCAATCTGCGCTTGGTATTGCTCTAGCAGAGATGCTTCCTGGAAATCAGGATCGGGAGTTTTGCCAAACATCTGTCTCGAGTTAGCAAAATTCGTATCAGGTTAGAGTAAGCTGTCTTACCTTGAGAACTTGGTCAAGAATCTTAAGGCCCCAGACTCTTAGCTCTACCACATTTGCCGTAGAAGCAGAAAAAGCCATGCGAACAACATCGCCGATCTTTTGTTGCAAGGCAACTTCTGCAGGAATGGTCTGATCTGGAAGGATTTTATCATTAACCATAAGCAGCAGCTCACCTAGACAGCTGACTGCAAAATTACGAGTCTGCCATTTGAGCAACTCTTGCCCGGTGTTAGCGCTGCTATCTCCCTCTTCCTGATCTCCACCAGCAACAGCAGATGCAAAACCCGCAACTTCGTCATCCTGCACTTCAGAGGCAGTAGCTGCTCGCGCAAGCTTTTTGGGCTGGATCTCATCTTTCTTTGCTCGTGTCTTGGTAAGCACGTTGTGGAGACGCTGGATCCAAAGTTGAGTGTGGGAAAGTCCACTCTGTTGTAGCCAATTGCGAATCAAGCTTCGGAGAGATGTAGTTCCAGGAGAGTCGTCCAAGGCAAGCCAGATATCGTCTTCCAAGGTCGAAGTATTGGATCCTATGACAGCTTCAGCATCTCGTTTCATGAGATTGTCGAGTCCTCGAATTGCTGCTTCGCGCATCAGCGAGCTCTTCGACGTGAGTCCCGCATGCAGACGCTTGACGAATGCCGTGAAATCAACGTGTGACGGTGCATATAAAGAAAGATGGTCAAGGCATCTGGAGCTCTGTGTGTTCATTGCCGGAGACTCTTCGAGCTGAAATTGGCGGACCAAAGTTAAAATCAAGTTGCGGGTCTTTGCGATATCTTGCAGGTCAGGACCCAAAACATTAATGAGGGAATCCACCGAACGACTTATGACGAATGGAGTAGGGAATGAGACTTCCAGGTTCGAGGTAGCCAAGGAAGCTGCTTCCTCGTTATGTGTATCCGCCACGTAAAGTTGCGCAAGCATGCCTAACGAGCTCGATGCATAAGGGGAAAATGTCAATCCAGCAGACTCGGCAACTCTTTCCAACCCATCTATAGCCCAGAAGTGCACTACCGGGTGAGGGTCACTGCATAATGACATGAGAACACCGACGATTGTCTTTAGGTGGAATCCTGCAGCCATGCCACCAACTCTCGAGTGAATGCAGCCGAGAGCCGCTGCACATCCTGCACGCGCACTAGGCTCGCGATTTGCTACAATCGTATCGACAAGCCAGTTGATCTGAGTATTTGTAAATGCGTTCCCAGCACTGTTGCATAGTCTGCCAAGCGCCTCAAAACCGATGGTTCGGATTATCGCATCAGGGTCCATGACGAATCTCTGTTAATATTTGGTCAGATTCTTCACTTTTGATTTCGGGTATGAATCAACTTACCTGCAAGAGTTCTTGGATGATCTTTTCTGTGGATGCTTCCAATTTCCCTGGAGGCGCAATGGTTTCTCTGACTGCAACTTTAAGAGTGTGCAACAAAGCTATAGCAATATTGATGGTCATCGCAACCTTACGGCCCGGATTTCTTTGCAAGCTGTGAGACGACAGCAAGGTGACGATCTGCTCAACGCTGCTTTCCTGTACTTTTGGTGTCTGCAAAGGTAAAGCAACCGCAAAGAGATCAATAGCAGCGTTCACAGCCTCCGTCACGGGTGGGTCAGTATAGAAAGTCGAGAAGCCATCTCGAGACCCATAAAGGAGTACAGAATCGTGTTCACTCGCTTGACACACGGGAAAGTTGAGCTAAATAATATGAGCCGTTGTCCAAAAATACTTCAGGTCTAACTTACAATATCATCAATTTCTTGATCAGTAGAGTCATTTGCGTTCCATGCAGTGGCTCCTCCTGCACGTTTTCCTGTAAGTGTTTCGTTGACATATGTTCGAGCTAAACCCGTGACTCCAAAGCCGAAATTATCCCACAAGTCCCAGAGGCTTTCAAATTGGCCAGTGGAGGCGACAATTGAGGTCTCAATTGGATTGGGGTGCACAATCTCAGGGTCCGCAAAGGAGGAGATGGCTATGCTTAGAAGACTGGACTGCGATACTATCTCTGCATGGCCGGTATGGTGAATTTTGACCAGTTTGGTAAAACACTGAAGTACGCGGCGTCGAACCATGACCGCAAAATCGTGCATTTGTATAGATGGAAAGAGGCGTTGCGATATATCTTCTGCTGTCTTTGGTAATGTCATTTCATCCAAGAAGGCTACTGTATTTTGTAGCATTGCAGCGATGCGCCTAGCTCCGTCCGCGGTGACTAACTTGGCGTTAAATTCGAGGAAAGAAAGCATTGAGCCCAATGCGCATTCTCTGACATGGGCGAGAAAGCTCGTCTCTAGAGGTCCTTGTTCGGCTGTATTGGCCCTGCCTAGAGGTTTAGGAAGAGCGTTCTTCCATAGAAGCATTAATTGTGACAAATGGATTTTGACGAAACTGGGACCGAGAGGCATCAAGCCTCCAATTAGAATCCACGCAACTTGAATTTGAGTGCTTGCGACACGAAGTTCAGAGCTACCGCTGTTCTTGAGCAGATCCGTTGCCTGTGAGAGAACACGAGCAAAAACATCGACAGATCCGTACAGAGGTTGCAAGCGAGATGTACCCAACATAGCAGATAGACCATTCGCGAATCCGAGACAGCGTCGCGAAGACGACCGTGGTGTCGTAAGTTGTCCAATCTCGCGGTTTAAGCTATTCGAGCATATTGTGACACAAGATATCAATTGATTTGGGCAAGCAAGAACAAAGTTGCGTAAACATTGAGCTGTTTGAATCTGAACAGTGTAGCTAGGATGTGGAAGAACCTGAATGAGAGCTTCTCGACAGGCATCAGCCAAGGTTGTGACAGCCGAACCGAGCGACGATATCAAAGAAGACAGAGCACTCAACGTGCTTGCAAGGGTATACTTGCTCGGCTCGCTTCTCTCCTTGATCACCTGAGGATAGTCCTTAAGGATGGAGTTGATGAGCCAATTGGCAGCATTCACCTGGCTGTTCTCTCGCAGAATTTCGCGACCAAGGGTATCTTCGAGGATGTTTTTAATAAATCTTCGGGTCATCAAGAGTCGAAAACGATTGTATGTAACTGTCGGATGGTTGAGCAGTGTAACGAGTAGATGCGAAGCAATCTGTCCGTAACGCTCCTCGACAACGTTCTCTCCCAGGTTTCGAATAACATATTTATAACAAACAGCTATACCAGCTCTAGCCCGATTACCAGTTGAGCTTCGTACATATTGCGTAGAGAGCTGCACTAAAATGTCGGAAAGTGATAATGATAAGCGAGGTTCAGCCTTCTTAGCTGATGGAGAGTCATCTGCTGGCTCATCTTCGTCTGCATCGTTTGCTTTTGGCGGAGGCTTTTTTGACTGTCGTTTGCTTTTCTTCGATTTTGTTGAAGATTCAGTACCGCTTTGCGGTGAGTAGCTTTTCACAAGAGCTCTTGCTAAACATGAAGCGGCGGCATGTCTGACTGGTGCGACGGGGTTGTCGATAACCTTCCAGACGAGGGTCTTAAGAGTCTCACTATCATTCTGATTATCGAAATATTGAGTCGTGATCAAAAGTTGTTCAAGACACCGACAAGCATTTATCTGAACAAGAGTTGACTTGTCACTAGAAGCCGCATTGCGCGCCTGCTTCCATATATCACGCGCTATGGGCTCTTCAATCGGACCACCCAGTCCACCGACCACCTTTCGCAGCGCAGCGAAAACCGAGCCCCGGACTCCAGCATGATTACTGCCAGCTTTCAGCAATTTGAAAAGAGCAGGCGTAGCAGCGCTTGCGTGAGAGTAAGCACTATCTCCCGCGGCCGCAAACACCTCCCCCAAACAGTGCCCCGCAGCGAGCTTGGTCTTGAGCTCTACACTTTTCCCACCATTGACTATAGCGAGCAGATCGAGAACAGTATCGTACAGCGGAATCCGGTCTCCCTTCCCGAGAATCGTTCCGAAACATTTCCCCAGATTATTGCGAATCACTCGTGTGACAGAGGGGGAGCTGAGATTGATGACTTTAAAGAGCTCTTGCTTCAACGAAGCTTGTTCCAAAGTGATTTCCTCCTTTGTGAGAGCAGAAACATGCTGGACGAGTTCGGACGTGAATGTTAAAAGGTAAAGATCCTGCTGTTCAGACGGGAGAGCGTGCAGCTTCGCGACGTCGAGCTCGGTGCGGCGTGGCTCCTGGGGTTTCTCTGCGGCAGCAGCTGGTGCGGGAGCTGGCTCAGGGGCGGACATTGAATGACGAGAATTGCGGAATCTGCTCGAGGAACCAAATCCCCAAGTTGTTTCCGGCGACGAAGATGTAGGGTTAATTGAATAACGGAGAGAAGATGCAGGAAGGAGAGAGCAATAATTTGGGTTGTTGGAGTAGATCGCATTGGGGGTTGTAAATAATTACGTTGCGGAGCGGATCATTTTCGGCCCGATGACATACTGCACTTGATAATTTCCAGGCTCATGGTGTCTTTCTTCTTGAATATACGAGCAACCTTAAACTTCCAATATGGCGAGCGCATTTGGCCTGCGATTGACTCGCAGGCCCGGTTATAACAGCCGTTGGATTTGCGACACATGTCGCTCGTTCCACGTCTCAGCAGCAACTCAATCAGGCCACAGCCGATGGTCAACAATCAAACACGACAAAGCAAAAAATGACAAGGCCAAGAGCAAAGAGCGGGGAATACTAACTCAAGAGCTTATCAATGCATCGCAGCGTGAGTACACTTCTATCTGAAAAGCCAAGTTCAGCTTCTGACACCCATAATAGTATGGGGACCCGACCCGAAGAACAACCCTCGTCTACAACTTGCAATCGCCAAAGCCAAACAGTCACAAATGCCCAAAGCTATCATTGATAATGCAATTGCTCGTGGCCAAGGCGTCACAGCTTCCGGACAAGCTCTCGAGGCCGTCACAATCGAAGCAATGCTACCCGGCACAGTCGCAGCCGTAATTGAATGCATGGCCGAAAACAAAGCTCGAATCCTTCAAGACGTACGATTCACAATCAAAGACAACGGCGGTAACGTGACGCCGACGACATATCTTTTCGAGAAAAAAGGAAGATTAGTCTTCGAAAACAAAGAAGGCACAAATCCAGACGATTATCTGGATCAGGCAATCGAGGCTGGCGCAATGGATATAGATACGGACGCTGAGGGGAGATTGGTGGTGTACACCGAGCCGACGGCAACGAAGTCCGTGGGAGAGGCGTTGTCGCAAGCGACAGGCTTGGTCATTGCACAGTCACAGATTATTTGGGATCCGAATAAAGATACGATGGTTAAGGTGGAGGATCCGGAGCAGATCGATCAGCTTGAGGAGGTCTTGGCTGCTCTGAGGGAGGAATCGAGCGTGCAGGATATATTCTTGAACACGACGATATAAATCCAGCTGTTGGCAGCGAGTTTCTGTCTTGTCCATTTGCAGGATGAGACATGTATGAGACATGACTGGTACGGCATTTCAGCAGCAAATATGTACATAACCATGAGCTCTCAGGATAGACAATATTATTCAACCATCCTTCCGCAACGCTTTCATAGTGCTTCTCATCAACTGCCCGATACCATCACTGCCCAAATCATCAAACCAATCTAGCATCTTCAATCTATACTCTGACCAGCTAAGCTTGATCCCGCCTTCCTTTTCAAGCGCTTCCAATGCCTTTTGCGTGACAGGTCTCTGCAGCGTGGGTCGGTCACCGGTCAGMCCAGCCTGTTCCTCAAGAGCAGAAAAACAAGCCGCTGAATGACTCGCTAGAGCAACATGATAACTCAAAGAAAACATCAAGCCAAGAGAATGATTGAATGCAGGGCCCTCGGAGCGTGCTGCTCTGCGATGCTTCGATATCTCATTTGAATCGTTAATGTATTCCACAAAAGATTCCTTGGTTGCCTTTGGCACCAAACAGCCGTGAGCATTTTGGTCTTCGCTGTTGAGTGCGCGGTTTCGCCAAATGAGATTGCACAGGTCCATGATGTAGCCATTGTATAGGCCGACCATTTCGGGTGCATAGAAGCCGCCGGCGGACTTGTCCGGTGACTGCAATGTTTGAGACGTTAATGAGGTCTCGAATGAATTTTTGTAGATGGAAAGGATGTTAGAGAGACGGGATATTTGAGCGAGATTAGAGGTGAATGTTAGGCTGTATATCGCCGGCGCCAAAGGCACTGTTAGGCGTATATTTCCATTGCTCGAGGCGTGGGAGTAAAGCTCTGCCAAGTCCGAGTATAGGTCGAGGATACTCGTGGTTACCGGTATGAAGTCACCTGTGTCTTTGGCATCTGCTGTAAATGGTATCTCCATAAGCGAGAGTAGCAAGAGCTCTACGTGCGTAATGAGAGACACCAGTGGCTTGAAGCGTCCACTTGTGACCGAGAAAGTTTCTGACCGTAGACTTATACCCCATTTTCGAATCAAGTTTGCATAAAAGTCAAGCAGATCTGTTCGTGAGGACGCAGTGTGGTCTAATATGGTGGTATCCAGTCGTTCCAGGTAGTGATCTCGCAGGTCATCATAAGAGCCTCTGGGTATGAATTTCAAGATATTCAATATCTCTTGTCGATAGTCTTGTCCGTTCCACGTTCGAAGGTAGTTATCAAGGAATCTTTGGACGACACCAGGCAGTTCCTAGACCTTATTAGTCCATTGCTGTTCAGCAGCGCAGCTTGAATCGTCCTACCTTTGTAGACTGAACATATCCGCAAATAGCCCCCAGGACATATCTAAAGGTCTCCGAATCCGCCGAATCCGGCATTTTGGCCATCTCAACCTCATCTTTCAAAAACGCATCTAACCAGTCATCCAATCGATGTATGGCAGTTTCAGGCCCCACGAGCGCCATATACTTGTGCGCCATCCGATTCTCCAAAACCGACACAATCTGGTTCGGCAGTTCGAGCTTCTCCAACCGCTCCACGAAACCATCTACATTCCTCAACTCCTCGAGAGACGTGAAGCTCGGTTTTACTCGCGAGGTCTGCACATCCGGAATGATTCCGGCGACTTTCCTTCGTTTTGAGGACGCGCCACGCCTGACAACCTGGAAGACGTTGTTGTGCCCATTACCGGATTGGATTCGTTCCAGGTTTCGTTCTTGTAGCTGCTTCAATTTTGCCGTCCACTCGGGGTCCGGGTGTTTGAAGAAGAATTTCGATCGTCCGATGTCCCCGATGATGATGTCTGGGTAGTAATTCTTGAATACTCGCAATAGACCCATTAGCTCTTTCTCGTCATCACCGGCGTTGCGGAGAAGTTCCATTATTGCCTGGATCCGGAAAGGCTTTACATTCGGACGACGCGTGATCAAAGATAGGATGTGGCACAGCGGCCGCCGTAGGCTGATCATATCCAGCATATTGAACAAGACTGAATAAAGGCGTGACAAAATGGCAGGCTCTTCTAGGAATTCGTAAATGAGTAGAAGCCATTGTAGGAGAAGGGTTTGGGTTGCAGGGGATGGTTTGACTCTGGCTGGTCCCAAACAGCAGACTATCTTCGTTACAACATTTGAGGAGACTCGTTCCTGGGGATACAGGTTCTTGATCAAGGTCGTGGTGGTTGTTTGATCTAGGTGATTCGGCTTTGTGAGAATGTCCACAAGCTGTTCCAAGATATCGGTCGAAATGCCGATATTATACGCATCAGAAGCAATTTCACCTGCTAATTCTTTGACGCTGGTTGTCCTCTGTTTTGCGGGCAGGTTGGCAACTGGATCGCATCTTAGCAAATGTGAAGCTATATCACATGGAAGAATGGGTAAGAATACCGGCTTCGAGATGATCAACATTGTTGCGCAGACTTCTAAGCTGTGCTTGGATATCTCCAAACTGCTCGCTAGCCACTGGAGATGAGTCAGTATGTTGCACCCAAAGAGAGAGGGATACTCACCTGAACTCGCAATCGGGGAAGACATTTTCACCTTTCACCTACGCGGTTGTCTGCTTCGTTTTGCAGCGAGATGGACATCACTCAAGATACCTTGTAACGCGTCATATGTGATAGAGGGCTACTTTCCTAGTCAGAAATAATCGTTGATCGGATCTTCTTATAATACTTGGAAATGTTGATATTCTTCCGATTCTGGAGGGCTGGACGCGTCTTTATTTGGTTCCCGCCTGGCCAATCAGACCGCTGGATCCTTATACACATCAACAGCTCTATATGTTTGCATAACACCATCATGTTTAAATCTTTACTTGTATTGATGGAATGAGTAATGCGCTAAGTTATTGTCTATGTCATAGTCAATTTTGATCTTCTTTGTATCTTCGAGAGAAGAATAGTCTACCGTTCCCTGCTGGAAATTAAACTCTATAGTCATTAAACTACACAGCCCCTTTCTATCATCCAACTAAAGAATGCAATGCTTTGGTCTACTTTCTCCGACGTGTCGAAGAACCAGCCTTAGCGGCACCGGTAGACTTAGCCGCCGTATCTGCCTCAACTTTCTTGACGGTCTCAGAGACCACCTCTTCCTCAACCTCCTCGTCTGACTCGCCTCCCTGGCCGAATTCGTTGACACGCTTGTAGTCAACCTTGTACTTCCAAGCTTGGTAGACCCAAACAAAGAAGATGACATCGTCTCTTAGGGTTCCAAGGCGGTAGAGCCATGGCATCTTGACGGTGAAGGCAAACAAATCATCGATGAAAGTGTTGAGGAACTTGTACATCAAAGCTCTGCCTGGCATGTGGGCAACAGACTGGAGAGTATTAGCAATAGAAGATTAAGGGCAGCAAATTGAACTTACCTTGAGACGGTAGTTGATGTACAGACTCGGAACCATCATGAGGAAACCGTATGCATAGACGCTGCCTACAAGAGTTTCGATGATGAAAGAATACCAGGATTTGTGCGTTTCGTACATCAAACTGTAAACAGCGTATGCGCCTAACAATGGCAAGGCAATAATGTAGAGATACTTGAAGGCAATCTCGTCGTATTCCTGGGTCTTCTTTTCCGTCTCGCTGAGTTTATGCTTGTCTTCGAAGGAGACAACATAGGGTAGGAAAGACCAGAACGAGTTCTGTGGAGGAGGGCGGAGACGAACATCCACTGTCTTCGTGACTTTCCAGGCTTCAAGAACAATACCAAATCCTTGGCTTGCAAGAACCATCCAGGATGTGTTTTCATTGTTGTCGATGAGGTATAGGAAAACGACCAGTTGCATGAAGATGTTAGCGATGATAGTACGAACCGAAGTACCAATATTGTCTTTCTTCTTGCGCCAATGAGCCTATAGTGATGTTAGACCATGAACTAACATGGATGGTAGAAAGACTTACGATGTCGTTTTTGAAAGCAAGAGTCTCGAAGATCATGTGCAGAACACTAACGATGGCGGTGGTACCGAGAAGATAAATGTTGGTGTTCAAAAGAACCTCCTTGATCATCTCGAATTCACTTCCATCACCACCACCAGGAACAGGTTGTCCACTAGCCGCATTGCGGGCATTCTGCTTTGCGCCTTCATCCATGCTAGCCAAGATATTGAACTTCCAATTGCTCAGATTGTTCAACACAATGCGAAGGGGAAGAGTTTCGACGGTAGAATTGAGTTCGGTCATGTGTGATTTGAGTTGCCAGAAGGTATTTAGATATAAAACAGGGTAGTACCAAGTATTTTGGCCAGTAATGTCACGCGCACCAGTGCTCTCCAAGTGTACATATTGCCTAACGGCGGGGKGCATTTGTTGGTAGTTCGCCACGCCAAAGTCGGGGATGACCGAGACGGTGAAGTTGGGATGGTAGTAAGAGGAGACCGAGTACTTTGGTGTAGTATCACCCTCCTTATCCGCAGCGTCCTCGGCGCTTGCCAGGAGATTCTTGCGCTTCGCAACCTTCTTCTTGGGCAGATACTGGTTCAATGGACGAAGGAAATGGACGGCGCTCTCAGGGCTGTAGTCCTTGGCAGCTGGATCGAGCTGGTGGCCGCTCAAAGCAACGTAGAAGTGGGCCCAAAGAGTTCCATTCTGCTGCACCTCCTTGGGGACCTTGAATGTAGTATCAATTTCACGACTCTCGCTCCAGTTGGCCATGCTGAATGCTTTCTCTTCCATCACGAGAGACTCCTTGGGAACGGCCGACAATGCAGGCATGTGGACAGACGAGGATACGTAGATGCTGATATCCAAGGAACTGTTGGACGGCCACATCGGCGCAATCCCGCTCGGGATAGCGTTCCAATTTTCGACCTCATTGCGCGCAGGACGATCGGTATAAGCTGGGATCTGGCCGGTCGGGCCAGTCGACGCACCACCTTGAGATTGATTTTTGTTTCCGCCGAAGAATTGGCCCATAGCAAATTGGACGAGGGCGAAGATGGCAATACCCTGGATAATGGTCCGGAAGTTGAACTGCTGACTGTTAGCCATCTGTCCTGTTCGGATCACGACAATTGATTGGGTTACTCACGCCACCTTCCTCCTGCTGCTGCTGCTGCCTCTGTTCCGGCATCTTTGCTACTGTGTATGCTGGGGACGGATAGCAAAGAGAAAAGAGAAGATGGAAAAGGAGGGAGAAATGCGAAGAATTGCGGAATTGTCACCGTCCGCTAAGGTCACTAAGAGAAGGCGCCATCTTGGGACATGCTCTGGAGGGGAGCCTCCGATTGGCTGTGCGGCGGTTGCTTGCATACCCCACGGACACCTTACTTTTCAGGCCGATGTTCGTTATTGCATTCCGCTCACTCATTTGACATCTCTTGACATTCTCTCTACGCAGTAGCCAATGAAGCAAATTAATTAGTTGAAGCGAGAAAGCTAAGGCAATGGGCAGTACAGCCATATTGTCCCTTCCCTCATGAGTCATGACCGAGACCAACATCCCTCAGCTGCGATTTCCACCACACAGTGACCGTCGAGTATGGCTAATATCCTCCGGCGACAACCCTATCGGCTTKAATGTAGCTCGCCAAGTCCTTGCTCACGGTGACTGTGTGGTGAGCGGAGTGATCCCCTCGAACATCGTTCGCGATGAGAATCGCCGAACTTATTTTGAGGATTTTCTCGCGGAGGTCGAGCGGAATGAGGAACATGGATGGAAAGATCGATTTCGCACGTTTCTTTTAGATATCAGGTATGATCTCTACTCCCTACTGCCGTCCAGCCCACTTGCTAACACACATGCAGAAAAATGGGCGAATGTCAAGCCGCCGTAGCCGAAGTCGTGAATCTCTTCGGCAGACTGGACATCGTCCTCTGCTGCACCAGTCAAGCAGTCGTCGGCTCAGTCGAAGAACTGGCCGCTTCATCGCGGACACTGAGTCTCGTCCGCGACCAGTTCGAGATCAATTACTTTGGGCCTGTGAATATCATTAAGTCTGCTCTTCCGCAAATGCGGTCGCAAAGAGCGGGACATTTTCTTGTCTTGACGGGGATCAGTAAGACAGTATACATCCATCTAATTGAGGGCGTGATACTGACCTCGCAAGCGGCCCATCTCGGCACTCCAGGACTAGGCGTATACTGCGCATCCGAGTGGGCTTTAGAAGGATTTTGCGACGTATGCCAGACACTCATTCGATTTAGTAAAGATAGCACTGACAGCCGAATAGAGCATCGCATATGAAGTAGCCCCCTTCAACATCAAAGTCTCCATTCTCCAATGCAGCATGGAAATCTGCATACTCACAAACCTGATTAGCAGCGTCCCGCCTATTCAACCCGCGTACTCGGTATCAGAGAACAACGCTCCTCTATTCCGGAATATTCTAGATGGACTTGTTTCGAGATTACCTCAAGCAGCAGAGAACCTTAATGACAGCAACGAAATAACAACGCCCAAGTCGAACAACTCACAATCAAAACAAGGCCCGTTCTCATCACCACACGATGTAATCACCATGTACGCGCCCTTTAGTGCCGCGCATCTGGAGGCTCTGACATTAGAGACGGTGCACGCCATCACTGCTATAGGTGGGCATGAGAATCCGCCTTCCCGACACATCATCGGACAAGAAGGTGTGGCTGCGGTCAAGGAGAAATTGAAGACTGTCAGTGAAGAGCTAGAAGACTTTGTGCAGTCGAGTTACTCGGTCAACATTCATGAGAGTACGGTTGAGGAGGATTTTAATGGGGATATCGTGTAAAATTTTGATGTCAATGTTCTATCGATAATTTTCCGCAAGGCAAAAAGGAATAAAAATGCTAAGAAGCTGGTATCAAACTAAACTCCATCGTGGATGCAAAACGCCGCTGTAAAGAAGAACCAGGCCAGAATGATGCTTAAACTCCTATCTCTGAATGCTCATCTAGCACGCTAGTCCTGCTGGTACTTGACGTACCAGGCCTGTCTGACCTCCCATAAACTGCCCATATCCTGATTGTTTCTGTAGCAGCGAATTTCCTTCCAGGCATTTCCATTTGGAGGATTTTTAACACGGCCGTCGGTCTCGAGAATCTTCTTCATAAGGGCGTTTGGTCCTGCAATATCGTGAATCTCGACTTCTAGGGGTGTGGCGGTCGCACTGCATTGTGCTGATTCTGACTCTTCGAACTTGGGTGATAGTGCAGTTTCACGAAGGTTCGCCGTCGTTGGAGTCGTAGACTGCTGCGAAGAGTCGGCATTTTTGTGTTCCTGCTCAGGTGCTGACTCTTGAAGGGGGTCTGCATTGACGCCGTTCTCGGTGATGGCTGCGGGTTCCTCGACATCTTCTTTAGAAAGTCCTGCTGCTTCGATTTCTGTAGCTCCATTGACTTCAATCGGAGTGTGTTGGACTTCATCGTGAGGAGATTTGCGTTTCGCAGGACGTCCTCTCTTCCGACGGATTCCAACTTCTGCGACCGGACTTTCTGGTGCCTCTTGCTGGTGCGCTGTCGGTTTTGATTCTTTCGAGTCAATTTTATCTTTCTCCCCTTCGGCCGTGGCCTCTACCGATGGTAGGGCATAGTCGAGAAGTCCCTTGAGATTGTACTGTGTGCTAGCATGGCCCTGTGTGTGCTCATCAAGTGCCTGTGATGGTGGATCTTCGCCTGGTTGGGAAGCTGGATGCAGATCAATGTCCATTTGTGTATTGTCCTTGACCTCATCCGCATTCTCAGTCTTCCCGTCGCTAATGCTATTTTCAATTCTCTCGAATCCGACGATCTTGCCTTCAGTCTTGATGTCCTCAGTCCCCTCACCTGCGCTCCGTTCCCTTTCATTCTCGATCTTCCCGTCTGCGGACTTTAAATCACTGCCCGCGCTCAAAAACACCCTCTGTCCAGTCGGCATCAAAAAGCTCAGTTTCGCACCATCAATAGCCGTGATCTTGACCTCCTTCTCTACCAGGATCTGCGCCTTCTTTCCCCCAAACACACGGCAATACTTCCAAACATCCCCCACCCTCACAACATCATGCGCAATCAACGTCTCCAACTTGACTTTCGAACTCTCCCCAGCAATCAAGCCATGATTGATCTTCTGTTTCTGGCCCCAGAACTGCTCGAACTCCTGCTCCTTGTAATCGTCGAATTTGCCCTGTGCTCTTTCCTGGACGGCCTGTTTGGCTTGTCGCTGCCAATCAGGTCTGTACCGACCAGACTCGAGATCGGACTGGAAATTGCGCAGTGCCGCGCGCCAGTTGTTGTCGTAGCGCAGAAAGGTTTCGGGTAAGGGTGGAATTTTTGCTTCTGGATCGTTGGGATCTGGATCGGGGTTTGGGTGAATATGCGCTGGTAGTAAAGAGAGCAGCTCTCGTTTTTCGTCTTCCTCTAGGCATTCCCATGCTTTAGGGTTTGAAAACAGCCTCTTTGAATAAGAACGTCTTAGCTGAGCATATTATGATCCCGAATAAAAGGGACATACCACTAGGTCTGCATGGGCCAAAGCTGATTTTGTGCTCGTCATGAGATAGTCTTCCCCCCAAGGGCCTCTTTTCCTCGCCGCATTCTGCTTCGGCGCTGATGACATAGCTTTTGTTTCGAGATGGCCGGCATCACTGACTAGCTTTGCGGCAGCCTGTAACTGCTTATCGCGAATTCTATAGCATGAAACTCTTGTTAGTATGTATAGATGCAAAGCAATACATTGTGAGCGGCGAAAACAAAGTCTCCGAGCTCTGTAGCAGAAAAGAGGAAGTAGAACACACCTCTTGCTAGTCCGGGTTGGAGGACCGTCGCTCTTGACGTCCGCCGCACTCACCGCCTTGCGTTTAGGTGGCATTTTGGCAGGAGCTCCCGTCTACCTTGTAACTCCGCAATCTGTTCTGTTTATTTCCCTAGTAACTCTCAGTGCGACGATATCTCCAGAAAGAAGGATTCAAAAGGAAGGATAAGGAACGATCGAAATATTTGCAGAAATATCGCAGCAAAATGGTCAGATCAACTCAGATCGCGAGGCTGGACGGTGCGTACGATGGCTTCCAAGATATTGAGGAGTGAAAGGAAGAAGAAGAGAGACTGACTTGAAGCAGGCCTCATGTTGGCAGCTTCTGTGGACGATGAGCAGGTAAGTTTACCTATTGATATTCCTATTGATATTCCTATTGTGCTATTGAGTACAAAGAAGCTTTTTTTTTTTTAGCCATTGTTGACATCCACTTGTGTTTCACAGGCCGAAAATGAGTTGGCGCAAGTCAAGTCTCAATCTAAGATGATCTTCAGACGTCTCAATCGCAACTCCGCACCAGAAGCCAGTATTGAGTCAGGACAATATACACTCCAGTCAGTCTCTCCAGAGGTCGCCCTCAACTCGATTCCTTCAAATCAACTAATCTCGTCTGCAGCTATCTTATCAAAGATGACGTCTGCTTCCTCTGTATTTGCGACAAATCATACCCCCGCAAACTTGCGTTTACATATCTCGCCGATATAGCCACCGAATTCACAACCACGTATTCTTCACAACAATACAATTCGCCCAACCTGCGACCATACGCCTTTGTCGAATTTGATACATTCATCCAACGAACAAAGGGAACCTACCAGAATAGTCGCGCGGCTGCAAATCTTGATAAACTCAATGATGAGCTTCGCGATGTGACCAAGGTCATGACGAAGAATATTGAGGATCTGCTATATCGAGGCGACAGTCTTGAGCGCATGGGTGAGATGTCGGGTCGGTTAAGGGAGGATAGTATGAAATATCGCAAGGCGGCCGTGCGTATCAATTGGGAGCTTTTATTGAAGCAGGTATGTACTACGTCGAGCAGTCGTGAAGTGAGAACGCTGACACTTTCCAGTATGGTCCGTTTGCTGGCGTTGGATTCATCATGCTCTTTTTCATCTGGTGGCGATTCTTCTGATGATACCCGTGCCGTAGCAACCTCTTTGTGTGGATATATGACTTTGATGATTGTATGCATAGCGATCGGTGGTCGATGATGCGTGATGCGCCTGTTTACGCACACGAATTTGAGGCACCCGCGAACTGTATTAATAGTAATAATTGACCTGCTTTCGCTCAAATCTCATCCTCTTCCTCATCAAAATCATCCTCCTCTCCCATATCGTACAGAATCCGGCCACCTTCTCCAGGACCGTCACCACTCTGAGCGTCGAAATAGGGTAAAACGACCCCTTCCCTATCCCGGCGCTGCCGTTCCGTAAGCTTCAACTCAAACGTCGACCCAGGCTCATCCTGCTCTGCCGCATCTATATCGTCCTCCGGCCTTCGATACAGCGGATGATCCTCAAGTAGCGTGATCACCTCTTTAACTTCCTGCGCGGAATAACGACTTGCAGGCGGCAAGAAATACCACTCCACAACGCCACGACCGCTTTTCCGTCGATGCTCCATTTCAATCACGATGCCCTCAACGTATTGTTCCTGGCCCTTGGATTGGTCTGTTTTCCCAATTATGATTCCTTCTTGCTGTTCTTCGAGTCCGAAGACGGGCGCTGCAAGACTTCGGTCGTGGGCCGCCTTTTGTGCGAGGATGTGCGAGAGGGAGTGGAGGGTTATGATTGTTGTGGATAGGTAGCTTAGCATTGACAGATCGGATGGCGCATAGCTTTGTTGTGGTTTGGTGGAGACGACGTCGCGATGATATGTCACTACCAGCGATGTCTGAATGGGTACCGAGCCGGGTGTAGCGTTGACCGGGGCGATGAGCGAGCCGAGATAGGATGGAAGATGAATACCAGGTTTACTGAGTAGGGGGTTTATGGCGTCGATAATAATCAGTCGGCCTGTCCGGTTAGCCTTCGCTCACCAGTAGGGCGGTGGTATAGCTCACGTTTATGTAAAGAGTTGAAATAGCCCGCTACAACCTCTTTAGCCACATCAGCGGGCTTTTTCCGCGATGCAAGAATGAACGAGTCGACGCCATTGGGTCTTTTGAGATTCTCGAAAGAGATGAATGTGACATGAACTTTTGATATCTAGTCGCCAAACTTAGCATAATCCCAAAGGACCGGAGTTGCAGTGGTACAACCTGCGCTCGTCGTATATATTCGTTCAACAAGGGCTTTGCGGGCTGCTCCAACGAGTCCAGCACCAATGTCAACGGAGATGCTGTGTCGCGGAGACTTAGCAATTTCGAAATCAAGAGCAGATTATGCGTGCGCCGGTGCGAGAGGCTACTAGTCGACGACATGACGACTATGTATCTCGTTTCTGCTGCTGTCTTGAGGTCAAATTTTTTGATGCTACGGAATTACTAGTATGGTGGGGGGATATTGATAGCTCAGCTTCTCCGGGGCCGCTAGACTCAAAGGAGAATTAGATGGTGGATCGCGTGGGGCAACATTATCTGCGATGTACAGCTTTTACTATGTATTAGATGAAGGAAAAATTCCAATTCATTTTCACAATCCGAAAATATCCTTTACAAAGTCCTCGAAATTTCGAAGCTGTACAGAACACATGTACGTATAGCTGAGAAAATGTCATGTCTGGTGAGACAGATCACATTCGAAACCAGGGGTAATTGAAATTCGTGACATGTACGGATTCGTCGATTCATCCCTTGCATGCCTCAGCTAGCACAACAGCCTCCGAGGGAGCTCATTGACCTATAGCATGTAGCTGACAGGTAGTATATCACTTCTGCATGCGGATTGTTGCCATGCATATCCTATGCCCCGGATGGTATAATGCAGGTACTATATATGTGCCGAATTGTAGCCTTCAGGATGATACACACAACTCGAGACTGCCATGATACCCACTCATTGCATTGGTAGATCAAACACTCATCCACTGACCTAGGATTCAGCCCCAATAATGGCAACATACAAACCCCTCCTCGCAGCAGCGACACACTTCACTCGCCGAGCCGCACGCCGGCGCATGCCCATCATCTCATTCATCCTGACAATTTCCCTCATCTTCCCAGTCCTGCTGTATTTACTACTCGGAAACATCCTCGCCAACGACCCACGCTTAGTGCCCCATGCAGTCCGAAACGCGCAGAACGTGTTATTCATCACCGCGCATCCGGACGATGGTGCCTTGTACTTTGGGCCGAGCATACTCCAGAGCCTTGGAAGAAATAATGTGAATCGATACATGCTCGTATTATCATCCGGTGGTTCGTACCCCATATCCCTCTAGAAAATTTTCTTTCTCACATCGTATACGTATACAGTAAACGAATACGAGACAAGCCACCTCGAAACAAAAGCCTCCTGCCTCGAATACTCCATCCCCTCGAAAAACTGCCTTCTCCTCCAAAACAAGGATCTCCATCAGGATAAAAATTGGGACGACCACATCATCCAACGCATCCTCGAGCGCCACATCACAAAATGGGAGATCGATCTCATCATCACCTTCGACGCCGCCGCATTCTCCGACCAGAATCACAAGGCTGTAAGTAACGCCGTGCAGCGATACGCTATCTTGCACAGCGAACAGCGCAATCCAGCCGCGTATGCGCTGCAGACTACCTCTGAGCTGAGGCGATATTTGTCAGTGCTGGATCTGGTGACGACGTCTGTCCCGTTTGGTTTCAGGATTTTGACGGCGATGGTTTGCGGAGTGCCGGAAGGTTATCACACCTCCCTAGAGGGGAAAGGGGTAGTGCCGCCGCCGACGGATGGGGATGTTTATGCGGACAAGGCGTTGATCGTTAGTGATTGGAGTGGGCATGCCGGATCCAAAGTGGCGTTGGCCAAACATGCGTCGGCGTATTCATGGAATAGGGCACTGTATGCGAGTCTGAGTCGATACATGTGGTTTAACGATTTGAGGAGGATGTAGTCATATAATCTGAGTAATGAATACATCGACCCGAGATGTGTCTTGTATTCTGTCCCGGATATATCAATCAACGATTAAAACAACAGTATCTATGCTATGTGCACAAGGGTATAAAATACATCGGCAGTAAAAAATGCTCAACTGCGGTTCAATGCGACAACTCCGAGAAACAAAACCCCGAATGAAAAAATATGTGTAACGAATTTCAGCCGTTTTTCTATTACTCCTCGCCTGATCGGCTATGCATAATGTTTTTCGATCTTTGTCTTCAAATTGTGGCGTTATGACTTCGGCCAGTCTCGACACATGCCAAAAAAGGTTCGGCACATTTTGCCGAATTCGAGGCGGAGGTCGAATCCTTTCCAGGAACCCTGGGCAAGATGTTGGAGACGGGCGTCGTGATGCGCGACTGGTTTCGAGCCCATGTTACCGTATACACCGCGTCCGGGACTGTGATCGTTAGCAGGCGTTGCACTAATGGATCAATACAGGACATACCTAAACCCAGTAATAGGCAGAATCAAAATATCATCCGCCAACTTGCTCTTGCCATTGTCGTGCAGACCGGTCAGCGCATTCCATCGCAGTCCAATGCGGTCTTCAAGCCAACTGCGCATCGAAACTGTAATGGCATCAGGACCCGTGAACAGCAACGGCTCCAGATAATCTAGCTCTTCATATGCTTCCGGAGTCGTCAAATTGCCATCGTGGTGGCTGGCGACCTCGTCTAGAATGCCGTATATTTTCTGAATGAACCACGTCAATGCAGGGTGGCCAGGGGCAGACGCTAGTGCCCATTGGGTCAATTGCACGGGATTGGTATAGCCCATTCGCCAGTAGGTATCGGTATCCGGAGGACAGTCAGCTTCAATACCAAAAATCGCCCTGACTGGTTTCGTAGAGTTGTACAAGATGTCTGTTTCATTGTCGCGCCATGGAGCCAAGTCTGTCTTTTCAATCCAGGTCGCCGGCGACCGTAGTGGACGAGTGTCGACGTCTCCATACTATAAAAGTTAGTATGTGGTAGAATAAGAGTGTAGGAAAAACATACAACACCGCCAATGTACTTGCAGACCATAATTCGGAAGATGTCCGACTTCTCAACCATCCGCGGTAGCGCACTGAAATGTTCAATAATCGCGGGCTCGTATTCTTCCAAGAACTCTATTATGCCCTCGTCATTCCATAGAAAGTAGGCCATGGGTGTCTCAATCACATTCTCCATCCACCGCTCGACGCTATCGCGGATCAGGTCCGGCCATGTGTCGACATGAGTGTTCTTCCACGTCTGGTGTGCCACTAGAGGTATCTCAGTGTTTTCCATTAGGTGGGTAGTATTGCTGATATTGGTCAATTGGGATACAAGGCGCGCTGCTTCGATCATCGTGGTTGGTTTGGGTGTCGACGGTGAGAGCCATTCGGGTGGGATCCAAAATGCTGTATTAACGTTAGCTTTGCATCAACTCCCAGCGCAAGGTCAACGTACCTCCGCCCCTGACAGTCGAACTGTTTATATGCTTCCATATTAACGGAGTATCGCTCGAGAACTCCGGTTGTGCTTCAGAGTATTGTTGTGGTGTAAAGAATTGCTCCCCTCGGTGGGACAGGACTGAAAACGCAATCATGCAAAAAACGACCGAAGCAACGGCAAGACGTTGCCAGCGACGTCTGAACGTGGCAAAAACTCCCATTGCGCTGTCAATTGCTGTTTCTCCTCTCAATTAATCGAACAGAGTATCGGATTAGAGGCACCGTGGGCCTTGTTGTTAAGAGAACGGAAGGGACGCCGTGGTGAATTAAGTCGGGTGGTGTATAGGTAGGTATAAGGAGGGCTCTGCGTGTGGCAGTGTTGGAGGGCGAGGATGAACAAGAAAGAAACACTAGCCAGCAAACATGATGTAGTAGGGAGAAGTAAGAATCACGAGTGAATGAATGAATGAATGAATGAATGAATGGAATTGAGTTGGGGGTATCGAGGAGGTGGGCAGTGTAGTGGGCGCCAACCAACCATGAATACGGAGTCGTAAACTGGCTATTGGATCAGCGTGGAGTCTGCGAAAGTATGGGATGGGATGAAAGAATAAATCACGCTGCCTGTAGCACGGGCGAGTCGTACGTAAGCACCCAAGCCCGTTTGAGTCGTTTGAGCCACTGAGACAGTCGTACGGCGTAAAGTATTGCTGTATCTTGGTAAGAACCAAGGCAGTTCCCCTGGTTTGCTGCGTGGCTCCTGAAATCTCAGGCAGGCTTCATACCAGGTGGATTTGTTGCAGTCCGCTGATTGGTCAGGGCACGGACAGCAGAGCCCCTAGCCTCGCTTAGTCACTGCAATCTAGCCCAAACAGGGTATATAATGGGGCTGTTACAGGTTTGCGTACGTACTCCGTACTAGAGTACTATGCAGTAGTCTAAAGTTTTTTTCGGTGATACGAGCGGAGTCAGATACTGCAAAGTGCAAAAGGGGCTGTGGCAGCAGGCAGCATGGCAAGTTGCCTATTTTAGATCTGTCGTGTGTGCAACCATCGAGCCGTTGAATGCAATCTCCGAATAATGTAGAACAGCCAGATAGGCGTCTGAGAGGGATCATGGAGGTGGGCAACACCAAGATCGCCACATTTGCACATGATGTCATCAATCTCCCAGCAAATTGCGAGAACGACACTACTATGTACTATGTATGTACAGGAAGGACGAGACTACGAATGTGTATACGTAGACACACTTCAAGCCGCAGGATGAAGGTTTGGCTATTTTGCCGTGGCGGGGAGGTCTCGTAGAACTTGCCAAAACGGGCTAGTCGCTGCTCCATGCCAAGTTTGGCTACGGCGTTGCTTCCGTGCTTAGTGGAACGCCTTCTAACCTCTATCTAGTACATAGTAACTAAGGTCGCGGAGTCAGGCTGGGTGCCTCAGGCATAAGGCAGAAAGGGCTTTCCCTTGGCATCGAAGCTACGTTGCGTCTTTGGCTCAGCCTGGCCAACGTACATTTCACGGCAAACTAACTCAACTTAGGAAACAAGTCGAGATATCTGAATTTTTGATGGGCCTGACAGACGCGGAAAACCTACACGCACGACGGAAACGATTGTAGCAGATTGGTATACGGAGAATCTGGCTTACTGGACAGTCGGTCTTCTTGACTAGAACAACACCTAAAACAGGAGTCGGCCGTGGTGGTGGCCTTGGTCACTCACAAACAATCAGACCAGCAATGGCCGAACCACCAACCAAGCGTGCCCGTCGCACTGACAGCTCAGCGATGTGGGATACAAACGACAAACGGCCGCGGCTTTCACACACCCCGGAGGCCGACGCAGAGCAAACCCATCATTCGCGCCATGGAAGCTCGAGACCAGAAGATCCTCGCACAAGCACAAAGGACGACCGCCGTTATCGGTCTCGTTCGCGCGATCGATATCCACGGAAAAGAGACAGAAGCTGGTCCCGCGACAGCTACGAGCGGACACGCGAACGAGATCGGAACCGCGATGGGGGAAAACGAGACTCGTACAAGGACGGGCGGGGTGTGAGGGATCGTGATCGGAGCACGAGTAGGGATCGGTACAATAGACGTGGTATGTTTGAGGATCACGTCTTTGCAATATTCAGCAAGCTAATGATAAGTTCTACAGGCACAACAAAATCCGGAAGACCTGATCGCTCCAGGTCACCGCGCAACGGGACACGTTCTCGAGACTATTCAGCCCGCGACCCAAAACCAGATCAACGAGACGGAAAGCGAGACAGGAAATCACAACCAGACCAGCGCCATACAAATGGTGCCTCCAAAAAGGTCGTCAAGGACGAGGAAATTGAAGACGCCGACAAGATGAGCGATATCGAAGATACAGACGACATCGAAGCCATGATGCGAAAAGCAGTTGGCTTCACAAGATTCAGAAGCACAAAGAACACTAAAGTACCCGGAAACGATATATATGGTGTACGGAAGGAAAAGAAGACGGAATACCGACAGTACATGAACCGTGTTGGTGGATTCAACAGACCTCTCAGCCCTGGCAGATGATCCTTCCGTTGAAAAAAGCGCACTATATCTGACCCAACTTCGGCAATTGTAGCATACTTTTACAAGATCTTTTCATTTGGCATATCTCGGAGTTGTAGGGATCTTTTTACTTCTTTTCAACCTATATTACTATTGGCGCATGACTGTTGGCTATTCGAGTCTAGAAATGAATCCTGACGAAACTGGTTTTTTTTATACTCGTAGAATAACCTATATCAATCTCCTTTTCAATCGACCAAGCGCTTACAGGAGCAAGTTCCAGAGGCTATGTTGCGCATCTTGCCACATCCCCTGTGACGTAAATGCATCGATCCCCTCACTATTTTACTAACAAGTTTTGCGCCAAGTGCAACCTCCAACTTACATTCATTTCACGATAGCCATCAAAGTGGCCTCTCCAATCAGACGCTCACTCGCTTCACTTTCTCGAAGCACAATGGCTTCCGAAAAGGAACGAAACATCACTATCATAGGTACGTTCGATGGATACACAGACTACCCCGCATACATGTTAGTCGCATCCTTTCAATCGCGCAAAAAGACTAACATTCTGTATAGGAGGCGGCATCATCGGATCCTGCTCGGCATACTACTTAACGAGACATCCTTCCTACGATCCCTCTATACACAAAATCACTCTCCTCGAAGCCTCCGAGATCGCTGGCGGCGCATCTGGGAAGGCCGGCGGTCTACTCGCTCTATGGGCTTATCCAAGCTCTATAGTTCCGCTTAGTTACAAACTACACGCCGAACTCGCAAAGGAGCACAATGGGAAGGATGCTTGGGGTTATCGCGAGGTTAACTGTGGTCAATTAATTGTCAAAGGTCGGGCTGTTGACAAGAAGGATAATGCTGGCTCGGTTTCGCTACAGAAGCGCGATGCAGCAGCAATTAAAAACTTGAGGGCGGCAGGTATACCTACAGATTTGGATTGGTTGCTCTCCGATGGCATTCGTGGATACGAAAGTATGAGTGAACCTGGCGAGACGGCGCAGGTACATCCTTACCAGTTTACGACGTCAATTGCCAAGCTCGCCGAGGAGAAAGGCGTCAAGATTGTCCTAGGCACAGTGACCAAGATCAACCAAGACGCTGGTGGCGTCCAGTCTGTGACTTATACGGACAAAGCCTCGGGTGAATCGCACACACTGCCGGCAACAGATGTCGTCGTTTCGGCTGGTCCGTGGACGAAACGAGTCCTTCCTTCGGCGCCTATATCTGCAACACGAGCGCATAGTGTAGTCATCAAACCGACGAGACCTGTATCTGCATACACACTATTCACGAATATCGAATTACCCTCCAAGCACAATCCGAAGAGGTCAACGGTCGAGACGCCAGAGATATACGCGCGCCCAGATGCTACAGTCTATGCATGCGGCGACGGAGATCATATCGTCCCACTACCGGACACGACAGCGGACGTCGAAGTCGATCCCAAACGGTGTCAAGACATCATCGATTCAGTGGGCAGTATCTCGGACGAGCTCCGGCTCGGCGAGATCGTGAAGCAGCAAGCCTGTTATCTGCCGAACGTTGACGCACGCGGTGGTGGTGGGCCGTTAATTGGCCATTCACGAACGAAGGGATTGTATGTTGCGACTGGGCATACGTGTTGGGGGATTCAGAATGCTCCTGGGACTGGCAAGCTTATTAGCGAGTTTGTTTTTGAGGGCAGTGCGAAGAGTGCGAAGATTGCGGCCCTAGACCCGCAGCAATTTATGTAGAGCAAGTCTTAAGTATATACGCATTTTCAGGAATATAGAGAATAAAAATACAATCATGTCAGTCACTCATCATGAGTTGTTCAGTGTTGGAGTCGAAATAAATTCGAGATGAAATGCGGAGCAAGAGCGGAAACATTACGTGGAATCTCCGCAACGACCAATCAACATTGCTCCTTCCATCTGCCATCTATACCTACACCTCGCAACTTCCAACCTCACAAAAGCAGTAGCACATTCAATTGAAGAGGCAAACACACAATCGCCTCTCATATTGACTGATGCTCTGCTAGACAGACAAAAAAATGCATCTTCAAGTCAGTTTCTACCTGCTTTGGTCCTCGTTCGTGCTAGGCTGTGTCTACGCTGCGAACGATGTCTCCGTGCTGATCAACGAGGTCGGCAAAGCGAATAATCAATCGCTGCTATGGGGTCCGTACAAACCGAACTTATATTTTGGAGTTCGGCCGAGGATTCCCAAGAGTCTTACGGCGGGGKTGATGTGGGCGAGGGTCGATAACTATGCGACTGCGCAAGCGAGTACGTTACCTGTCCTGTTCTTTGGAGTTGCTTCATAAGCTAACAATGTCAAGATTTTAGGCATACATGCGAACAAAACGAGGGCATGCGAGGATACGGCTGGGACGAATACGATGTGCGCAAAGGCGGTCGCCAATCGATCCACGATGTCGGCAACTCGATTGACCTCACCATCGATTTCGTCAAAGTGCCCGGAGGGCTTCACGGAGGTAGCTGGGCAGCTCGAGTAAAGGGAACACCACGAGAAGATGCTCCTGAAGATTTAATTACGTCATTAGTCTTCTACGCTTCGCTTGAAGGTCTGGGTTCTTTGCACGTGGATAATGCTGTTGAGCAGCAAATGGGTGTAAAGGGAGATGTGAAGCTCAAGGGGATGACTCCGGAGCTTGGCGACTTTAAGATCAGTGTTACCACTGGCCCTGATAGCAACAAACATCCCGAATTCAATCATCCCAGTAGCTCTGAGAAATCTTTGGATCGTCCTTTGGTTGCTAGTGTGGAAACACCCCAAGAGCACTTGTGGCAAGCCAAAGGTGAGTACACCGCATGACGATACATTGACATGCATCTGACATATGAAAGCATTGATGTTTACTGCCATGAAGCCCGAAGTCGATAACATGCTTGCCAAATACGGAACCGATACACCTCCACCCCCAGCTCAGCTTTTTACAGTACCCAATCACCCTGGAACGGGTAATATTCATTTCGTGCAGCACGTCTTCGAAGGTGCTTTTGAGTTCGACATTCTTTTTGAATCTGGTTCCGCTTCTGAGCCCGTCACCTGTGAGTTCGACAAGCTATGGTATTTTGCTTCGCATCTGACATAGTACAGCCGAGACACTAACCGAGAAGATTGATGAAATGTCCTCTTCTTTTTSGAGCCGATATGAAAACGTCTTCGCTCCTCAAGCCCCATTCGACAAGCCAGAGTACTCTGAGTTCTCCAAGTCCATGTTCTCCAACCTAGTTGGTGGTATTGGCTACTTCTATGGCAGCGGTTTAGTTGACCGGTCCGAGGCCCCTGAATATGAAGAGGAAAATGAAGGCTTCTGGGAGGAGGCTGCAGAAGCCAGATTACGAGTAAAACCCACTGAAGAAGACCCTCATGAGTTGTTTACTTCCATTCCCTCCAGACCATTCTTCCCTCGTGGTTTCTTGTGGGACGAAGGTTTCCACCTCATTCCGGTTGTTGACTGGGATCTTGACTTGACTCTTGATATTGTGCAGAGTTGGTTCAATCTCATGGATGAAGATGGCTGGATTGCGCGAGAGCAGATTCTCGGAATGGAAGCTCGTAGCAAGGTCCCCCCTGAATTCACCGTTCAGTATCCTCACTATGCGAATCCGCCGACATTGTTCCTGGTTCTTGAGGCTTTTGTCGACAAATTACAAGCCAATAAAAGTACCCTTGTGGAATTTGAACTCAATCGCGCCGACATTGCAGACAGCCTTCGATCTGCTCACCTCGAGAGCAGGGAATTGGCTGAATCGTATTTGCATGCTATCTATCCTCTCCTCCGCAGACAATATTTCTGGTTCAAGAAGACTCAATGGGGGGATGTCAAGTCCTATGACCGTGAAGCTTATTCAAGCAAGGAAGCATACCGCTGGCGCGGACGAACTGTTCGACATATTCTGACATCCGGTCTTGATGACTATCCTCGTGCTCAACCCCCTCACCCTGGCGAGCTCCACACGGACTTGATCAGCTGGATGGGCTTGATGAGTCGTTCTCTGCGCAAGATTGCAGCAGCCATAGGCGAGGCTGAAGACGCCGAGGAATTCGCAATCTACGAGTACGCCATTACCCGCAACATTGACGATCTTCACTGGGACGAGGATGCCCAAACATGGTGCGATGCAACTATTGATGAATATGAAGAGAGTGTCCATGTCTGTCACAAGGGTTACATCTCGATCTTCCCCTTTTTGACAGGAATGGTTGGTCCCGATAGCCCGCATCTCAAGGCTACACTTGACCTCATTCGCAACTCTAACGAATTGTGGAGTGACTACGGCATTCGCAGTTTGAGTAAGAGCGATGAATTCTATGGCACCGACGAGAACTACTGGCGCAGTCCAATATGGATGAACATGAACTACATGATTGTAAAGAATCTATACGTGAGTCTCCTAACAAACTATAAACCATGTCAGAATGCTAATCCGTCTATTTAGGAAATCGCAACCTCCCAAAGCCCCCACAAAGCACAAGCAACTGAAATCTATAACGGGCTGCGCAAAAACCTGGTTGAGAACGTCTTCCGACAATGGAAAGACACAGGTTTTGCCTGGGAGCAATACAATCCCGAGACAGGCAAGGGTCAGCGTACCCAGCACTTTACCGGATGGACGAGTCTGGTGGTGAAGATTATGAATATGCCGTATCTTTCGTCTTCTGGACGTGGGCATGATGAGCTGTGATGAATTTCAGGTGTGTGAGGGTGAGAGTGAATTTTGGCAAGCATTTTTGATTGTATTCATGTAGCCCTAGACTTTTTTATCTTCTGATTTTTTTTGGGGATTTTATGCACGTCAAGGAGAAGAATGTACATGAGATCAATCAATATTTGGTCATAAATATATGCACTAAAAATACTGGTTCTTTTGGCACTTGTCTACTATTTTTGTACTTGGCAACTCAGCGTTCGAGTTCCAACTCATAGCAGCAAAACACAGAAACGCCATTGCCATGCATAGCTCTAATATAAACAATCACTAGCCACCTCCTATCGACGATGATGTCTATGGTGCGCATCCCTACCGCCTTCATAATCACCACGATCGCGATCACGTCGTGGAGAACCCGACCGATGGCGCTCCAAACGACCAGCGTCACGACGACGATCCGCCTCTGGTCTTCGATCGCGACGTTCCGGTCTCGGAGATCTCGACACCGAGCGAGACCGAGACCTGTGGTGCCTGTGTTCGCGGGTTTCACGATGTTCACGATGTTCGCGATGGTGACGATGGCGATGCTCCCGGTCTACGTCACGGTCGTGTCTGTGTCTTCCCTCACGATCGCGATCACGATGCTCACGATCTCGTCTCCGGTCATGGTCCCGCGATCTATCGCGCCTTGAGCGGTGATTTCGGTCCCGACCGTCTTTCTCTCGCCCCAAAGGCCTCGCGCCAGAATCCATACCAATAGGCGCCAATATCTCATCCTCAGCATCATTCCCAGCAACTCCCCCAAAAGACCCAAACCCAATGCCACCACGCCCACCATCATCCTCACCATCACCCTCCGTAGCCTCTTGCACAGCCTTCCTCACCTCCCCTCCCCCCAAGGGCGTCAAATTCGCATTGTTCGACGCCCGCGGCGCAACAGGCAACCCCAACGCTACCGCCATGGCATCTTGCTCCGCTTCCTTAATCCGGCGAATCTCCTCCTCACGTTGCTGCTTCGCTTTATCGGCGGAGTCGCCGGATTTGGCATACCAATTGAGATCGCGGTTCTGTTGCCAGCGGCCTACGGGGGCCATGATGGAGTGGCCGAGGTAGTTTTCGCGGTGGGAGGATTCTTTGACGTCGGACCATTTGAAGGAGTCGCGGCCGCCGCTGGAGTCTGCGTTAGGATGTGGTGTGTTTGCGATGGGAATGGGGTGACTTACCGGCTGCCTTCTTTGCGTATTCCTGCGACCAAATCCATGGTGAGATATTTATACTATGTAGAATAATGTTGAGATGTAAAGAGAATGCTTGACAACGTGAGGTAGAGAGGAAGAAACGTCGCTGGCTTATCTTATCGGGGGAAGTGAGTAGCACACCAATAGAAAGCCGCAGCAAGCCCCCACCAGTCATCATGCGCGAAAAAAGAATGAAGCAATAACCATCCACTGGCCCAGCATCTTTCAATATGGCTGCTTTTTCTGCTCCACTAACTGACTGCTAGCCTTACCGGATGCCCCTCTTCCAGCCTTGTGCCTGACTCCACAACTGCCGTGTGTCTGTCAGATGTGTTTGTTGATTGACCTTGAAGGTGTGCGGGTAATATTTACATAACCCCCACGGATATATATATACGTGAAGCTAGCTGATCAGTAGACATCTCTCCAGCCCAGACGATACTGCACTCCAGACTTTAATAAACACCACCTGCATTCTTGATTCATGCCTGACTTCATGGTTGTCTCTACTCTATCGGAATCTGATATGAGGCATTTCACGAACTTCCACTCATCATTTGATACGTCATTGACTTCTCCTGCTGAGAAGTCGTAGAGCCATGCCCAAAACGCCGGACCTCATTCAAATTAATGATGACCCAACCGGCAAGTCAAGAAACGATTTATGTCTTTGTCCTCTCAATGTAGAGAAGGGGAGTCAGAGGGTAGGGATATCCATAATATTGCGATTGCATAATCACTAACTCTCACCTCATAGTTCCCCGAGTAAGATTCTTCCAGCCATGACATGACGCATACTAATCGCTTATAGGAGGGATGGAGTCGTGCCTCCACAATCTTTATCATGGCGAAATAATCTTGTATGTATTCGTCTACAGAAGTCAATGTTCAATTGCTCACTCAAGCAGACAGCGCTGTCACAGAGGCGAAACCTGCTTTTCGTGGCCTATAGTCATCAGATTTACGTTTGGGAACCGGCTGGTCCGCGACAGGTCCTCGGCAGAAAGCCAGCGATGATTATTACACCTGTGATGAGGGATCCCGATGCAGAAGGATACATCTCCAGTCGATTTCCGCACGGCATCAACAATATACTCGTTGATGACCTCGGCCGAGACGAAATATTGCTTCTAGCTACTGACTCTGGAAATGTCTGTGGCTATCACGTTGAGAACATATTTTCATATATCAAAGCTGCCAAGTCACGCGGCGAGAAATTTCCTATACTCGAACCCCGAATAGACCCCTTTTTCTGTGAGAGTGTTGGTTTGAGTGCATGGGGGCTGGCCGTCCATAAATTCGCACGTTTAATAGCTGTCGCCGCAAATACCGGAACGATAACTGTATTCGCTTTTGCGCTCGCCGAGGCAGATGCCGAGTCTGATGATGATCCAGCAGGTTTCTGGGCAGATTTATCTATGAGCTTTGAGCAGAATTGGGTTCATATTCAAAACGAAGAGGATTTTGCGACGTTACACGAATTATATCGAGAGAATCGTCATCGCTCTCGTAATGTGAGGATTTCATTTCAGGGCCATTACACGAATATTCCCTCGGTGTCCTTTCTCAGCAGTGATCTTGACTCCGATGGAATGTGGATGGTCAGTACAGATATCGAGAACAAAGTGTTCGTTTGGACCATTTGGGACAATCTCGACCCTGTCAGGGTGCTTCAGTTTGCGGAAGGAGAGCCACTGTCAGGTATACTGCGAGAAGAGGAGCGTGGATGGAGTGTACTAGCGCTAGATCCGCGAAGCTTCCGTGTGCATCAATCATATTTTGAAGCATTTGGTGGCAAGGTGTATCTTCGGCCGTTTCAGCCCAGTAATGCTGTTTTGGATGTGACGAATCTTGCTTTGGACGTTCCGGATTCGTCCTCCGTGTTTGTTCCTGTCTTTCCGATTGTGGATGATAGTCCAGAGGAGCCAGTGCTCCCGGATATGTTTGACAGGCACTCGCGTATCAGGTCAGACAGTTCTTCACTCAGTAGTGAAGAAAGTTTATCGCCCATTTCTATTACTGATACTTCTATCGCGGAGCAATTTAGTCAGAGCAAGAAGTCCGCGGGTGCATTCACCCAAAACCAGGAAACGACCACTAACACTGATCAACTTCCGCAACAGAGCGGGCAGCATTTATCCAATGAATATTTCACGTCTTTACTGCGTTCAATCATGGCCGAGTCATCTTCCCAAGACGCCAACGATGAGGACACCGGGATGGTCTCGGCGAATAGCGACAGTGAGAACGAATTGGATGAATCGGATGAAGATGTATCCATAGGTTCGGAAGCAGTCTACCGAGACACTTCCAACCCACGCGACCCAAGTAATCTACGCCCATTGCTCAACTTGGACCTACTTGACACGGATGTCTACCCCCTCAACCCATATTCTTCCTCAGAACACATATGCTCGGAATTTCCAATCCTACACTTTTCCGAAACAGATATCCGACTTTTGGAAGGTCCATTCGTGGACCATCCTTCTGTCGTATCAGGTGGACCGTTGCGACAGCAGCTCCCTCGCAGTTTTTGGTCTCTCCATTCATATGACAGATTCAATATGGTAAAATACCTGCCTGAGGCTGGTATTGTTATTGCAGCAACGCAAAAAGGCCGTGCAGCGGTTATCACGTTGACACAGGTCGCTAATCGGATCTATGCGCTTCGCATCAACTGGATGATTCCTTTTGCATCTCAAGAGAAACGTGCTGAGCGTCCGCAGGTAGGATTGCTCGGTCTGGCTGTTAGTCCGATGCAAGGCTTCGAGAAACAGCCGGATGTAGTCCACGTGCCGCAKGGGGCTMCCAGCCACAACGACTTTTCCTTCCATTATCGAGCACATGGAGCCGAGTCAATCGACGCCGACCAGAACTGGGAATGGCAGTATAACAGCGAAACAGATTCCGAAGAGAGTGAGGAGGACGGTTCTTTTTCCTCATCTACTTGTGTCCCAGAACTCTCATTTGCTGAAAGTCACGGAACAGCGAACTGGAACTATATGCCGCAGGAACGGTGGCATGGCGTCATGTCGTCTCGGCACTATCGCGTTCTGCTTACATATGCTGATCACACGGTGATGAGCTATGAATTTTGGTACGATTGGACCGATATTGCGGTGGGCGTGTCGTCTGCTGGTCGAGACGAAGCAAAAAAAGAAGACTACGAACGTGAATTAGAGGAGCGATCTGAAAGCAACCGTCAAGATCATCTCTTATTGTAATCATCTCCATAGATTCTTCTCAAGGTTCTTAGATTCTTAGATAGGTAATGCACATACATGCTTCCTCTTAGGGCTAGCCCAGCAGCCACTCAGACTTACGCAGTGCAAACGACGCCAATGACGAGTCACGTTTGTGATTGGCTAAAAATAAAAAATGCTCAGCCACATATTGACCCACTTCTGGAATGTGGAATGATCTCATTGGAGGCGCAGGGTGCAGCTGATCGACGGCGGGAAAGAGCGACCCCGAGCCACGGTTCCTTCCTTCCATTCTCCACTCTTATTTACTTCAGTTGTTTCAGTGAGAGAATATATACTCGAATATATACTGGACAGTCGCCAATATACTATCGACTACAGTCTCAGAAAGAGAAGCCACGATTCATACATTCACGACTCATACACATCAGACCCGGCCATGGCGCCAACACCTGATTCCTACGATGCTCTCGACCACTCCACGGTCCTTCGACGCAGTCTTACAAACGTCAACCACACCCAGGCCGTCACCCTCGGCGTAATCGCCGTGTACGTGGTCGTGATTGCCCTACTATGGAATCTGCCATACGTCCGCTGGTCGCTCTGGCCTTTCAAGGTATGTCTCTTCATTTCACTACTTCCGTACGATTCTGAACAAATGACTGATTTGCATAAGATGCTGGTCATCGCGTTCCACGAATTCGGACACGCTATCACCGCTGTCTGCACCGGCGGCCGTGTGAAATCCATCTCCCTCGACCCCCATGAAGGCGGCGTAACGCACATGGTCGGCGGCGCAAGCGCCATCACCTTACCCGCAGGTTACTTGGGATCATCGCTGATCGGCGCGCTCCTCATATTCTGCGGTTTCGACATTGTGGCTAGCAAAGTCGCGAGTATTGTCCTGGGGGTTTGCTTTTTGTTGACGCTCTGGTGGGCGAGGAAGGATTGGTTGACGATTGGTACGATTTTGGCGGCGGTGGGGCTGTTAATTGGGTTTTGGTTTATTGCGCATGCTGAGGCGTTGAGATTTCTTGTCGTATGTCCCCCTTTCCTCATTATCTTTTTGGGTCCTGCGAGACTAATAGAGTTCCGGTTAAGTTATTCATCGGCGTCATGTCCTGCCTCTACAGCGCATGGGATATCTGCGACGACCTCATCCTCCGCAAAGTCAACACTTCGGATGCCAGCGTCTTCGCAAAACGGTACGGCGGCTCCTCGCAATGCTGGGGKGTGATTTGGTCCCTGATCTCCGTGGCGTTTATGGCTGTTGCGATCGTTGCGGGATTGGCGGSTTTCAATCAGAGTTTTGCGCAGCAGGAGAGTGATTCTAGTCATTTTATTCCGACAAAGATTTGAGAACAGCATGGTTCTGGTTTGTTTTTCCGGAGCGAGGCTTGGAGCATTGGGCATGGATTGGGTTGGTGGAGTTTTTTATTCATTGAGTATTGATGATGGGCTACGACGGCATGACTCTGCTCTCTTTCGGGTTTGTTGAATTCCTATTGTTGATGGTGGACTGGTCTGCATTGGTTCTGTTTTGCCTACTTCATTTCCTGATGACATCACTTTAAGTTTGTTTGATGAAATGCGATGCATCCTTATATGAAACTTGGTACTTCAAGTGACCTACTCTGGTACCTGGGTAGATTGACTTGATACGAGTTATGAAAGTTATATCCTTGTCCTCTGTCAATTAGTCCTGGAGGGAAAGGAAGCTTGAAGATTACCAGGTATACGTATATTACTGTATACTATAGATACCTACATGTAGGTAAGCAATAATTTTAACGCTGTAAAGTAAAGGTCAACATTGAGACATAAATTCGTATCCTTGTACCATAGAAAAATGTCAAACTGAGAAGAAAACGCCAGATAATGATCCCCCCTTCGCGCCAGACCCATCCAAACAATGCTTGTTATTAATTTCATAAAGTTGAATAAGACTACGGTTTCGTAGTACTTGAACCAGCTTGTTCCGTCTGGCTAAGCGAAGCGACTGTTATATTTTCACGACTCAGCAGCTGACGAAGTTCAGGAGATATGACCCTTTCTTTCCTTTCAGTGTCTGTCGGACGAGAGGGTAATTTCCCCTTTTGAGACTGCGAATCGGATGGAGTGCTGACACCGCCGGGCATGGGGAAGTTGTTTTTCTTGTCGACTGCTTGGACTACACGCTCAAATCGACGGAAGAGTGACTCTGCGCGTGTAAGGATGGGGATGAGTTCCATTGTATTTGAGAGTTCGTTGACTATTGAATGATGTTAGTGCATTTCCATTTCTAAGATCGTGGGGACATACTGTATTTCAAGACCTCATCAAAATGCTTGAGATGGTCCATGATGACATCTCGGTGCTTCTCCAGAATGGCTAATGCGATGAATAGATGGAAACTGCTGGAGTAGTAATTTGTCCACAATGTTTCCCATAGTCGCAGAATGTCACCCCATTCGAATTCGCGCTTGTACCATACCAGAAGCATTCGGAAAAAGAAAAAGAAATTTGTGCTGTCAGCGGATTGGAGGTGGAGGTAAAGTTGAGGATCCATGAGCTGAACTAGATGATCCAGTGTAAGGAGTTGAGCACGCATGCCTGATTGATCCCTTAGAAAGTTGCGTTCCTGATATCACAATTAGCTTAAGCATTTAAGCATAACACCGCACGTTACTGGATAAGAGTCATACCATTCTCTCCATGAATCCCACAAACCCCCAAAAAGCTACTGCATCATCTTGCATAACAGCATAGACAGGAGCAAGTAGATCGCTCATGCCCTGGACATAGCCCAGTCCAGGGTTATACTCATGATAGGTCAAGAGCATATCTTTCATCTGCTCCAAGTGAACATTGGTCCCCGCATCGGCGAATGGCGAGTCCGGATCAGGATGAGGTATATCTTCTCCAGAAAACAGCGGAATGGTTCTGTCGGTACGATGAACATCTTTCTCAATACGCGCTTTCTGCTCTTTCCACGACTCGTATTCACTGCTTGACGCATCTCCATCGACCATCCTCTCCCACCATGCTCCCTTCAATCTCACATACTGATCTCTGCGAGAGTTCATGACAGCTCGTCGATCATCTTCGCTACTATTCCATGGATACACGCCCAATAGAAACAACCAAGCTTCCTTTCGGACGCCGTCGTTAGGATCAAGACCGCCGTGGAAAATTCGTTCTTTGACCTCGTCAACAGTCATCTGTAGATGGCCGTCGTGGCTACTGAACCAGCTATTCCATTCTTGTAACGTAACCGGTTTCCGGCGTTCTTGTAAGGACATTGTTCCCGTCTCAAGCTCAAGAATTTCAAACTCCCCAACGGAACTGTCCTCTGATGCGAGCACATCCTGCGCCGTCCAGATACGTTGATTCCTTTCCCGCTCGCTTTGTTCGGCAATGTTCATCGCCCATCGTGCAAGGTAAATTCTGGCGCTATCGAATTCATTTTGCAACGTTTGTATCTCGGGGTTCTTCATTAATCGCCGCACTTGCGTCGGAATGATAGGATTTTCAGCCAGATCATTAGCAGTCCGTCTTGTAAACGTACTAATCCGACTGAATCCCTCCAGGACTTTCCACCTCGTTTCTTTAAGAGCTTTCGTAATAGGATCCATGGCGGCATCACGCGGTGCTTCTTTTGAAGAAGGGCCCTTAGCTGCATCCGATTTAGATCCAAGGGCGCGACCAAATGAAAGCTTATCTTCCTCTGATGGATTGATGAGATATTTGCTTGGATCAGCACCGGCTCGTTGAACGTCCGCATACCGCCTCACCCATCGCAAGACCTCATCTCCGCCCCAGAACATGCTACCGTCCGCCGAGAAAGGGTCAAAACTCTCGCGAGTCATCCTTCGCTTCTGTAATATAGTAGACTCGCACTCGTTATCGTGGAAGAAGAGAGCTGGAAAGTTGTCCCCAGACTTTGTGCAGATAACTAAGCTTCCATACCACCACCCAAGACTGGGTGGCCGCACCCATAAGGAATATATCTCGGAGAGCGGAACGGCAAAGGCATACATCCCGATCGTATCTGAGTATGTAGTCATCGTAGGAAGCGCTGGGACGAGGTAGCTCTGTCGAGGCGGAGAGTTATTTTCGGAAAGGTCGACTTTTACATAGGTGTCGTAGGCGTCACCCATGGCGGATTCCGGCACCCATGCGAGGAGGTAGGAGGAAGCATTGTCCTTTTGTGACGATCCGGAGGTATTGTTTGATACATTTTGAGATATTGGGACGGTCACGGGCTTTTGTTGTAACAGCGCAATGAAACCCGGGATGTTGTCTTTTGCAGAGGGCGTAGGATGTATATACACCTGTTCAATAACGAATTAGATCATTTTTATGCAACATTTGAATCTAACGGTAGGTATACCTTGCTCTTTGAAAATAAAAGCTTCACGCCTCTCCCCGAGCTGGAATGCGCAATGGTGTTGTACTCGCTTTCTTCATCATCGCTAATATCGTAGTATGACGCTGACGGAGAGGGCGGCGAAGGCGGCGGGGTCAGCTTTGCTGGTCCTGCCATGTTGAAGTAGTAGTAGTAGTAGGTGTGGTCGCATATGCGGAGAAATGCTAGATATAATGTTCAGATCAAAGACCTATCAAATAAGCCATTGATTCGGCGAAAAGAAAGGTGATGAGGTTGGAAAGAATGGTGGATGCCTGGAATAAAAAGAGTCAGGTGCCGACGTCACGACGTATCGGCCGGCTTATCGCATTAACCCTAACATATATATAGAGTGAGGGTTACGCGGTTATGCATGACCTGAGGTTTAGACAAGTACCAAAGGTGGAAGTTGCGCATGTAATTGAAAAGTACACTTCAATTGACATTTACTATCGGCATAACTAGTATGAAAATGGTTACTCTGCCCCTTCCTTCAACGTAGACACATCTACCCTTCATCCGTGCAGCAAGTGAAATCAATTCTGGAGGGTTTTCAGATTGGTTCAACGCAATCTGTCAATGATAGGAATGAGGTAAGAAATCTTGAGACGAAACAAAAAATCATCTAGGCACGGGACTGCGAAGAAATTCTCCTAAGCAATAGACCCTGATGGCATGCCGCATTAAGAAGTAATTGAATTGATGCTAAATCTAAGTTTATCGCGTATGCCAGCGGAAGATAATTGTTGCAGGCCTTGAATAGGTTGACTCATGAGGCTTGCCTTGAACAACGATCATTCATCCCCTTTGAGAAGAGACTTTCAAAAGCTGCCACTCCTTTTGCAAAAATTCAATTCAAGTCCCGATGAAGAAGTGCTGATGGTAGAAGACAATGGGGTGACTTGCACGTGAAGCCAAAGAACCAGTGTGGACGAGTGAAAATAACGGAAGGTTTGTCCGTGGGGTGCTGACGATAGATATGGAAGCCCGAAACAACACAAAATACTTTTAGAATGTTAAAAAGAGGGCAATGCCCACCAAATGATCAATTGGTAGATAGAATCCTAATATACAAGAAATATATAAAACAGAACATGCAGGAAACCCTATGCTTGCACTTTGCGATAGCTTGGAGGTTTCCAAGATCGTTTAATGACCTTGCCAACCCATACAGGTATCACAGAAACAGCGCATACGGCAACAACACGCCAAAGCCAGTCTACCGTAATAATGAACTCCAAATCAAAATAGTCTCCTAAAAACGGAACGCTGGCTGCATATACCAATGCGGTCCCGACGATGCAGAATATCATAATGGGATGCCAGGTTGTAACGGCTATGGCGACCATGATGAGCTCATTGAGAACCAGAGCTGTGAACGAGACGCTGATCAGACGTTTGCCAGTAGTTGTGTTCAAGAGGAGTTGGGACAAGCCTTGGATAACGGCACCCTGGTAGACGGAGATGAAAACCCAGCCAAAAAATGACTGATAGCTTAAGCTGCGGCCACTCTTTAACTCCTTGTATAGTTCGGGGTATAAATTGGCGAGCTCTTCGTCGACATCTTTATCAAGGACAAGTGAGAAAACCGGTGCATTTGTGTATACAGTTGCATACCCGACCATTAGCCAGTTGATGAACAGGCCTTTCGGATCGAAATGACTGGCGATGCTGTACATGGTCTGACACGCACTGATGATCAAACCACGGTGCATGATGAATTGACCTAGTTTAGCCGATCGCTTATAAGAGTTGCGCCCGTGCCAAACCAGCAGTTTAGTGATATGGTGGAATTGTGTGATGCTGAAATCTGCAGCTAAAGAGGCTTGTCGACCCTCCTTTCCAACAATACCAATGCCCACATCGGCAGCCTGAATCATGGAGACATCGTTACCACCGTCGCCAATACAACAGACTCGTTTCTTAGTATGTTGTCGAATCAATTCTGCGACTTCTGCTTTCTGGGTTGGAGAACATCGACAAGCAACCACGGCAGGAAGAGTGACTGCCACGGTGATGAATGCAGACCGAAACTGGCTGAGCATGAGAGATAGCGATTCTCCATCGATCAAAAGACAAGCATCAGTCTTATGTCGTAGAAAATCTAGGGTCTCGAGCGCTGCTGCTTTTTCTTTGAGTTTAGAGACGGTGTGAATGTATTGTCCCCGAGCAACAAGCTTGGCGGAAATTGCTACACATCTTGCTGTTTCGACTTTATCTCCAGTCAACATCCACACTCTGACTCCGGCATTTCGAAGCAATTCAAGGGATGGCTTCACATCTCGTTGAAGGCGATCTTCTACACCGGTAACTCCTAAAAGCTCAAGATTACGTTCAAGGTATCCACCCACAACCTTTGCCATTCCAGTGTCGCGGTCCTGTAATGCCATTGAGGCCTCCTTGTATGCAGCTGTGAAGCCACGATATTGCTCTAGAGATAGCTTCCGCCGACCAACGACCAGCGTACGCAATCCTTCTCTCGCCATATTAGCAGTTTCTTCATCAAGCCAATCGTTCGCTGCAACAATCGACGACATGACTGTATCTGCGCCTTTTTGGTAAAACCAAATTTCAGGTTCGGTTTCTGATGGCGCGGTACCGGCTGTGGCATGGTCGAACTGAACAATGATACCCATGCGCTTGCTCTCCGATGTAAAGGGAAAGACTTCTAAAATCTGGACCCGAACGACAACCTGATTTGTATTTGTCGACTCAAGCAATATGGTTTTTCGGTCTCGGTAAGCCACTCGAAGCCCGACCTCCTCTGTGTACTTGACAATAGCAATCTCGTCAGGAGAGGAAGCCTGATAATTGATAACTCTGCGCCCATCTTCCTCGTCCGTAGTCGGGGTGACATTGTGGCACAAAGCCAGCGCTAATAACAAGTCCCTTACTCTAGTGCCGATTTCTCTCCTCGTTCTGGTGGCAGCACCGGTACCGACTTGGGCGCCGAAAACCGTTGATGGTGTAATTAGAGACTGCCGACTGCTGTCAGATACAACAAAGCCTTGTTTGATGTATGATGCAACTTCGTCCATAGCTTCATTCGCGTATGAAACGGTTCCAACATGTATTTTCTTCAATTCCATCTCTGTTTTCGTAAGCGACTAGCATGAGATATTGGAGGACAAATGACTTACCATTCTGCGTCAGTGTGCCCGTCTTATCAGAAAGTAAGTACTCAATACGACCGAGATCCTCAGGAATTGTGCTCGTCCTGACAACGGTTCCAGGAATATCGAGATCGCGCTCTATAAATCTGCCGTATATGGTTTTTGCCATATCGAGATTCACCCGCAGACTCATAGGAATGATTGTTGAATACAAAATCAAGTAGATCATTATCGCGACATACCACTTTTTGTCATTTGTGGGTTGGAAACCTTCAAGTGCCACCAGGACTATGGATAGTAACAGAGTCAAAATGCACAAAATTTTGGTCAGGTTGTTAATTTCGTATTCAAGTAGACCGATTTTGGATCTCGACGGCGATGTTGACATTGCAGACCTAGTCTGCGATCCAGTATAGATGATGACTGCAAACGTGATGGTGTTTGATGCAAGTACGGTGTTGGCCCAGGCGGTATTGTCGATACTTAGCGGGGAAGACTTAATGTCACTTTCAGACTCAGCATTCTCATTTGGGTCATTGCTCTCTGGGGCTGTATGTTTGTTGACGGGGGGATCATATGAGCTGTACAGAGGGGGAAGCAATTCGATTTTGCCTGCGAAGTCGTTGATACGCTTGTCAGGGGCACTGGCGTGGACTTTTAAGCGTTGAAAATCACGCAAGTCGAGTGTCTGAGAAAGTGTTGACGGAAGCCGAAGTTTCCAATCGGTCTCCCCATCAAGCTGATCAGTACGTATAAAGGTATCACTGGCGCCGCTGGCTTGAACTGCTTCTTCCTTATTTCCCGCCTTTCCGTTCGTCTCGGTTGTCGTGGTAGCTTCTGAACTTGCCTCAAGGAGGTCAACCTCAGGTGTCTGAATATTATCGACAGCATCTGGCTGCACAGTCGACTCCGTCACTGTGCTTTTCAAGATGACAACATCTGCGGGCAGTCGCTGGTCCTTCTTCATCTTCAGCACTTCTCCGACTTTTAAATCTCGCGACTTCTTCGTAATTTCATAGACATTTTCGCCAAGCCTTGAATCAGACACAATTCTCGAGTTTCCACCAGCAGGCGGCCCAAAAGACAAAACAGTAAACTCTTCTGCATTTGCTTCAGCATCCCTTCTTCTTCGTCCAATATCATCCCAAGCTTCTTTACCCAAGGATATAGCAACGACGAAAGCAAGCGGAGCGATATACGACGACATATAACCAATTCGCAGCACGGGTACGACTTGTGAGAGCGCCACGAACAAGAAGTACAGATTAAAGAAGAATGAAAATTCATTATAGAGAGTACGCGGAAGAAAACTCCACGGGGTGTATTTTGCATTGGAGACGGCATTTGCTGGGAACTTCAGATGTTGTGTCTGACCCACAAGAACCTCTCGCGCGGACGCAGAGCTTGAGGGTGCATCCGGGATCCGCGACGGTGCGTTGGAGCGGAGACTGGGAAGTCGAGCTTTGGCCGGACGACGGTCGTCAAAGGAAGTGTTGCTTCTTCTCTGTCCACTCAAAAGGGGGGCGTCATCCTCGTGTGCATTGAAAGCGATATCATCTCGGTCATCGAATAAACTGTCGAGGTCGTGGTCCGCCCCTTGATGATCTCGATTCCATAAGCGGTTCCTTTTGCGAGTGCGCAAATTTCTTAAAGCTATTCGAGCTCCGTAGCCATCACCTTGTCTACTATTGTCTCGACTTGTCCTCGACCCTTGGCGATACCTTGCAGATTCCGGATCGAGCTCTTCGAGATCTAGGTCGTCCTCGGAAGGAGGGTCGGAATGATCAATGCCATGAAGGTATTCTGCGGAGAGTGACATTTTGTTGATGTAGATACGTTCGAACTCCGCCGGCAACGGTTCAGTTGAGGAGCAGCCAGCGCGAGCTCCTGCGAACAAGACAGTAAATCATATCAAGGCAGTGCGTAAACGATGAATAGCCCAGTGCGGCTCGCCGCGCGTTCGAGATAATCTAATGGCAAGGAGGCGGCGCTAAAGATAATGAATAGAAAGCAATTCAGTCATGAAAGTCGCACTTTGGAATCCTTGATAGCCCTCTGCCTGCAAAGGGAAATCCAGAAATTGAAAGTTGTTATTTGTGAGCGGACGGATGCTACGTACATCATCGAAATGGAAGGAGCCTACGAACGAATCACATGACTTGACATTACATGCGCCACAGTCCACGTTTCCACTTTCCCACTTTGTCTTCGATAGCCCCTTATTGTGACTCTACGTACGTATTCACTTTGTATTTGGACTACTAAAGCTTTATTGAAGAACTTTAGTACGTATGTGGATTGGGGATTGTTACGAGCAGCATACTTTTATAAGGTTTTATTCTTCCTTGAATTCATACGGAGTAGCTAACGGCATGTGCAACCCCGTTACTTCCGATTTTCCAATCTATCCGAGTAATACTAGCTAGGTGGTAGATGTCTATAGTAGAACAAGACATATATAGCATGAAATTAATTTCCTCCTAACGAGAAGGTGCTTCCTATCATAGTCGTGGAGACCGTATTCAGGAGAACATATGTTCTGCCTTAGCATTCAGGCATTCAGAGTCCCACATTTGTCAAAGATAGCGTCAGTCCCCGTGCTGACAGCTAATCAACTAAAACATCACGTTAACCTGGTCGCGGCTCTTTCTTGTCCTTCACATTGCATATTCGATTCTCATCTCCAGGATGCTATATGTGGCCCTGTGTGAGCAGCTATAGGCCGGATTCATTCGCCAGTATTTCTTTTCTTTGGTTTCCGGCCCTTGATTCTTTTGCTGATAATTCTGTACTATACGTGTACGTCTGACCCAAATCCGCCCCAATAACTGGCCACCTGGCCCCTGAGAGAAAGTCGCAAGTTGTATGCAAATGTGCTGACCGGGAATAGTTTAATTTGTGTTTTTGTGTTTTGCAAATATGACAGAAACAATGTCGCATCTCCCCGAAAACTTAATAACGCCGCACTTGACGGGCGCATCGTGGAATCCAGCCATGAGGCCAGAGGACGCGCCGGACGCATCGGCAGCCGAGTCGATCTCAGTGCCTGCAACGAAACCGCCATCACAAACAGACGAAACATCTGCTGATCATGTAATGGAAGAGAATACCGTGCCGGAAGTTCTTTCTCGACCACTAGACGAGCCTAACGTCGCACCTGCTTCGACCGATGAACATCTCGAATCTCCCGCTACATCAAAGGAAATTACGGATAAACTGCCCAAAGAAAACAAGCCGTTCGACATCAACTGGGGCGAGGAAACAGAAGGCGCTACCTGGGATGTTCACAGTCAGAACCCTTTCGAAAGAGAGGATGTAGCCGCTCGAACGAATTCCTTTCCTCCGATAGAGACCGCTGCGGAACCCGTTGATGAAGAGGTTTCTACAGAMCCCGCCGTGCCGCAAACTTATGAGGATTCACAAATTGGACAACAAGAAGACCCATTTCTCGCCTCACAACCGGACGCGAGTCAGAATAATAGTAATAATTCCTGGGAGGCAGAAGCCGCGGAGGACGAAGACGGATTTTTTGACCAACTGAAAACACAAACCAAACCAATCTATGTACCACCAGAAGCCGAGTCACGGTATGAAGAAGGTATTCCCCTAGTTGAGAATGAAGTGGACTTTCAGGCAGATGAGGCAGACAAGGCTGAGCCTCAACTTGATGTGTTCGGAGACGATGATGCGGACGATTTCTTTGCATCGACAGCTACGAAAGATGCTTCGACGTTTGAGAAACCAGCCATTCTTCGTAAGAGTACGTACGACGTTCTCGGTTCGCTTGACAACGGTATCCCCGATTCTCCTGTGGCAGACTCTCCTGCTGCTTTTCAAACGCAAGAAGACGACGATCTTGCGGCGAGATGGCAAGCAGAATTGGACGATGTAGAAGAGGTTCCTGGTGCTGAAGAGCCGAAAGAAGAGGAAGATCTCGCAGCGAGGTGGGAAGCTGAATTGGATGATGACGACGATGATCTTCTGTTAGAGGATAATACCTTAAATGAGGCACAAGAGCTACCGGAAGAGCCCTCGTTTTTCGGTGGAGACTCAGCAGGCGATGCTTGGTCAACTCAGCTACCTACACCTTCGAACTACGCCAATCCATATGCTCCGCATCAGCCCTCGTCATCCGAGCTTTTCCAAAGCTTGCCTACAATTCCCCCCCCTGGAGCTATGACTGCGACGCCATTCGGAATACCCCAGGCCCAACCTCTGAATGAGGCCTCAAGAGCATCTAGCTTTGTGGACCAAGCGAAGGATGGATACAAGTCGCCCTACGACCTTCCTGACTCATTGGCACCGCGCCCACGACGAGCAGTAGCAACAACCCGCAAGACTGCACCACCACCACCTTCATCGACCGGGATGCCCCCTCCCCCTCCTCGAAGCAGTAGCATTCCGACGTCCGTTTCGACTCCTGCTGTCGGCTCTATGCCTCCTCCAATCGCTGAAAATGACATTCCCGGATCTGTGCGCGGCACTGTTCCTGTAGCTCAGAACTTTTTTGAAGAGCTACCTGCCCCAGCTCCGAGACAACGCCCCGCAAGTCGCACCAGTGTTTATAACCCTTCTGCGCCGGCAGTATCGAACGCCCCGGTCGCCGTCCCCGTTCCAACCGAGTCAATGTTACCGCCAGCAGTACCTTCTTCGTCTCTACCACCATCGCAAATAGCTCCAGAAGTCGCATATCAGAATCAGCTTCAGTCTCCCGAGCGCATTGGTCCGTATGCTAACCTCACCGTACCAACGGCCTCGGCCGGACCGGGCGTTGGTCCTCGGTATTCGCCAAAGCCACCAAGTACGACGGGCAAATCACCATTGTCCGCTCGCTATTCACCAGCACCGCCATCATCTCAGCCGCCAGTGAATGGGAGAAATCGTTATGTGTCTCAGCCCAATAACCTTGCGTTTCTGCCACGCACATCAAGCCCGCTTGCCCATCACGAAAAGGCGGCGTATGAGGCACAGCAACCGCAACAGAGACCATCTACTTCATCCGGGTCGTCCTCTCTATCATATCCTGTTGCATCTAATCACACTCGGGGATCGTTCTCTGTGCCTGCCAATGAGTTGGCTAGCGACGTAGTTCCACAGTTGCCTTCGGAGACTCAAGCAGCACCTCCTTTCAGCCCGCCGGCAAACCCATATGCTCCCGTTTTGCCTAGCGAATCATCTCGACGCCCTTCCACCGAATCACCTTATCTACCAAACGGAGGTCCTATCCAATCCAACATTTTACCGCCTCAAGCAAACGACCTTGGATTCCCGCCCCCACGAAGATCACAGACACAATCACCAGGTAGACAGTCATTTGGACCACAATTAGTTAGAACATCAAAAGAGCCGGTTCAACGACCTGCTTCTGTGCATGCACCTAGTTCGCCGACCAAGGCCGTGAATTCTTACGCTATTCCGCAAGTCACATCGAGTGTTCGAGATGTCCCGGAGCTGAACTTCATACCGCCCACCGACGGAAGAGAGTTGGATCCTTTGCAACGTTGGAAAGGAGCCCCAGTATTCAAGTTTGCATTTGGTGGTCTAGTATCTTCGTGTTTCCCTCAACATGTTCCGCGGTATATTGCTGGTCAGATGAGTCCTATGATTCAACCTGCGCCTGGTGAGCCTCAAGTACGCCAGGTCAAACAGATTCTTCCTTCCGACGGAGATATTGTACGGTATCCTGGGCCTCTTAAGACGAAGTCAAAGAAGAAGGACGTTGTGGCGTGGTTATCTAGTCGAATTGCTGCTCTAGAGAACGAGGGCGTTCCGTCTTCACTATACCAAGAACCCGATGCTTTCAGGAGGCACGATGAGAAGATACTCTTATGGAAACTTTTGCGGATACTGGTTGAGAACGATGGCGTCTTGGAAGGAACTGTCGATATCGAAAAGTCGATCAGAAGTGTTATATCGCCCGAGCTGGAATCGACAGAACAGAGTGTTGATTACGATTCTAGAGCTACGTCAGGGTCGTATCAACCTACCGATGGCTCTGTATCACCGGAACCCGTTTCGTCCAAGGTTTTGGGACAGATCAAGACTAATTTACTCAGTGGAAACCGCGACAAGGCAGTTTGGCTAGCAGTGGATAACCGGTTGTGGGGCCATGCGATGATCATGTCCTCGAGCCTAGACAAGGCGCTTTGGAAGCAGGTGGTTCAAGAATTTGTGAGAAGAGAGGTTCGATCAACTGGTGAAAACATTGAATCATTGGCTGCTTTGTACGCAGTAGTCTCTGGAAACACCGAAGAAAGTATTGACGAGCTCGTGCCTCCGTCTGCGAGGCTCGGATTGCAGATGGTCAGCAAAGAGGGCCAGGGTATTAACAAGAATGCCGTGGATGGCTTGGAAAGATGGCGCGAGACTTTAGGACTGATTATCAACAACCGCAGTCCTGACGACCATCAAGCGCTCTGTGCCATGGGCCAGTTGTTAGGCTCGTATGGTCGGACAGAAGCTGCACATGTTTGTTATTTGTTCGCTAAGGCATTCTCGCAGCGATCAATCTTTGGCGCAGCCGATGACCCACAAGCTTCTATTGTCCTCTTGGGCGCGAATCACTTTAATTTCCCTACTACATTTTTCCGAGACGAAGATGCCATCGCTCTTACCGAAGTGTACGAATTCGCAACGTCGGTCTTGACAGGAACCACGGCAGCTGTATTGCCATATTTCCAGTCATACAAGTTGCAGCATGCTTATATACTCGCGGATAAGGGCTTGAAGAGTGAGGCCATGCAATATTGCGAGGCTATTGGCAGCGTGCTCAAAGCTTCTACCAAGCCCTCTCCTTACTACCATCAGCGTCTATTCGCCGAGATCGATGAACTTGCAACACGACTCAAACAAGCTCCTGGTGACGGCTCCTCCTCATGGATGTCCAAACCCAGCATGGAGAAGGTATCGGGTTCCATGTGGGCGAGATTTAGTAGCTTTGTAGCTGGAGATGAAAGTGATGCGGCTAGTAATGGTTCGAACATAGACGCGGATGTTGGACCTTTTGCAAAGGTCACTGAGGCCGCTACTATCAGCCGACCTCCATCGGTCTCTGAGGTGTACGGGTCATACCCGATGGCTCAACCGGCAACCAATGCGTTCTCTCGATATGCACCTGCCAATCAGTTCGCTCCAAGTTCCTCTCCTGAACAATACCGCGCACGGACTTCGATGGATTCTCAAAGGTCACCTTCCATTGGCGTCACATATAATGCAAGACGAGGCTCACAAGAGCCCGCCACACCAGTGGAATCTAGTCCATACAATTTCGGAGCCAACGCATATGGCTCACCGACTTCGTTCCCATACCATTCAACTCCGCCACAGTCTTCTTACATGCCACTTGCCCCTGTTGAAGAGGATCTAGCTCCACAGGCACAACAAGCTTATGCTGCTCCTCAACAGTCAGCTTTGACCAGTGGACTGCAGGCGTCGCCGGAGAGATTTGGCCAGCCCCTTCACGAAGTCAAGGAGACAGCACCGGCTGAAATCCCTCACTATGGTGGCTATGAGCCACCTGCTATGTCTTCTTACGAACCGCCTTCATACCAGCCGGATTTGGGCATGTCCACTGATGGTCCTGGACAGGAAGATGAAGCAGACGAAGCCGAGAAGCCCAAGAAGAAATCCTTTATGGACGATGACGACGAGGATGACCTGGCTGCTCGAGCAGCAGCAGTCCAACAGGCTGAAAAGGCTCGTCGTGACCGAGAAGCGGATGACGCAGTTCGAAAAGCCGCCGAAGCAGATGGTAAGCTCATTCCCAATGCTCCAAGTTCAATTTGCTAACGAGTCAACAGCACAACGACCTGCAGCAGCTAAGAAAGGCTGGTTCGGCGGCTGGTGGGGCGGCAAGAAAGAAGGCGAAGCCACCGGCGGACCTATTCGCGCCAAATTGGGTGAAGAAAACTCCTTCTACTACGACCCGGAGCTCAAGAAATGGATCAACAAGAAAGMCCCCAACAGCGCAACTGCATCTGCGCGAGCCACGCCGCCACCTCCCAGGGGTCCTGGCCCTCAAAGTCGATCCGTCAGCGTGGGTAGTGCATCTTCTGGTCCGCCCATGCTCCAACGACCACCGTCCATATCACAACTGGGCACGACTCCAGATAGTCGCCCATCTACCGGCGCCGGTGCATCATCATTGGGCACAAGCCCAGCTGTAGGATTTGCACCGAACGGACTCCCGCCTCGTTCTGTATCTACTACCGCTGCCACAGCCGCTGGTTCGTCACCAGCAGCAAGCGGTCCAAGTCTAGGACCGGCAATGCAACCACCCCTACCACGACCATCGACAACATCTCTCAGCAACGCCAGCTCCATTGATGATCTCCTTGGGGCGCCCACGGCACGCAAAGGCGGTACCGTCAAGAGCAAGAAGAAGGGGCGCGGATACGTGGATGTCATGGCGAAATGAGGCATATAAATGAGTTCACGACTCCTTAGAGAGGATGTGTTTCGAGTTGTGTAGTCTTCCATTCTGAAAAATGTTTTATTCTATATATTTTTGTCTTTTTCTTTTGTTTGTTGATGCCGATACACCTACTAATTATCTGATTGAAATGAGTCATTGAGAAAGAGAACATGGTACTGAATTTATTGTGACGAGTTTCGAAGTATACACATTTGGTTGGCGTTTTCGATTTGTTGTCTGTTACGGGCATTGCTAGTATCATAGTCATGACGTCGACATTGAGGTTGGTTCAATGTGGACTTGCTTATACATAATATTCCTAGGTATACTCCTTTCTATAAATCTACAGAAGTATCCTTGTTGACCAGTTGCACTTAATCCGAATTAAATTGTCATTGATGCATCAATTAATTTCATAGTCCTGCTGAAAAAGAGGTATCACACCAGGAATTATGTACCTAGCTACATATTCAACATATCCTCATATCTTCAACGTCATATCTATCTAATAAAAAAGATTATTCCGGCATGAAAACCTTCTTAAATCTAAAGGCAGCCAGATCCCTCATGACCTGCACCGTATTCTTCACATTTTGCTTCACAATCACCGAAGTCGGCTTACTGAACAACTCATCAATCTCCTCCAGACTCTTGTTCTTTGTCTCTGGCATGAACAGAATCTGATATACCCAGCCCAGCACCGCGATGCCGCCATAAAACCCGAGCGTGAGACCGATGCGCGTCATGCTGTTCATCATGCGTGTGAAGTTGTAGGTGACGATGAAACTGCAGAGGAACAGGTTTGCGTCCGAGGTCGTCATGCCGTAGTGTCGGAGGTAAGTTGGGTAGACCTCCGCGGGAATGACCCAAGTTAGGCAGGCGTAAGAACCAAAAAAGCCCATGTACAGAATGATGCCGGTGAGATACAGACCCTCGGCAAGTTGGCGGTGTGTTTCAAGGTTGATCTGGTACCCGACACCGACGAAGATGAGTCCAACGAAGAAACCGGGAAGCATGAGATTGGCCCAGTAGCGACGACCGAAACGTTCCATGTACAGCACGGCGGGAATTGTGCCGAGCATCAATGCGCCGCCGCCGACGAGGGACATGAAAACTGCGTCTTTGGCTGTGAAGCCGATATATTCCATGAGCACGCTCATATAGTACATGACTGCGTTGACGCCGGTGAATTGACCCAGGAAGACCATGATGTTTGCATAGACGAGTGCACGACGAGCGCGCGGGTTGGTGAAAAAGTCCAACCAGGGGAATCTCTTGGTCTGAGCCTGCTCTTCATTTTCAATCTGGCATGTTTCGCGCATGCCCAGGAATTCGGCTTTAGATTCGTAGGTGTCGAAACCACGGATCTTCTTCCAGACGGAGTATGCTTCTTGCTCTCGGCCTTTGAACATGAGATAACGCGGACTCTCAGGCATAAAAAGCATGCCGATAAACATGATGGTGGAAAAGACAAGAGATGAACCCAGGATGTAACGCCAGTTACCCTTGACGCCGATAAAGATGGCGGCCACGGCATAGCCCAGAATCTCACCTAGAGCAATATTGAACTGATAGAGAGACACAAGATTTCCGCGAAGACTGGACGAGATACTCTCCGCAACGTAGATAGGGACAGTACCACCTTCGAGACCGACACCAGTGCCCAGAATGAAACGACCGGCAAACATCATACCAAAATCTATAGCGCCGGCCTCAAGGGCAGCGCCGATGGTGTACAAGATACACGACAAGATAATCGAATTTTTACGACCCAGATACTCGTTGGACGGCGACAGAATTAACGCACCGGCCACGGCACCCAGCGGCATACCGGAATTCACCAGACTAGCCTGGTTCGCCGAGAGATTCAAATCAATCGGCAAATCGATGTTCGCACCACTGATGAGCGACTGATCGAGACCCGAAAGCAGACCTCCCAGAGATGCGAAGCCGACAAGCACGTAGGTAAAGGTTGCGGGGTTGGAGAAGGATAGTTCGAATCTGGGCCGCTTGAGGCCCTGGCTGGACTCCTCAAGGCGGGCGATTTCGGCGTCCATGGCGGCCTCTTGGGCGGCGTTGGAGTTGCCCTTGACATCGTCCATGTCAATATCGGGAACTTTCTCGCCGGCCTCGACGTGTTGGGAGTGCTCCATTGTGTGTGTATATGTATAGAGACAAAAAGTAGTAGAAGAAGAGAGAAAGGCCTGACGACCTATAAGTCAGCGCTGAGCATGCAAGAAAGTGGTAGCTGTACAACAGAAGAGAGATGCAAGGGCAGGACGTGCCTTTTATAGAGAAAGAATCTGGAGGAAAAGCGAGCGAGTGCGGAGGATTCTGGGCTGGCCAATCAGGCAATCATCACCCACGGGGCTCCGGATTCTCTCCTGCCTTTTTGCAAAGTCATTATCTGCAATGCGAGGAAGGAGCGATGCACGCAATGACGACGATCGTTGCTGCCCGTTCTGGGACTGTGGGTCTACCAGTCGCCGATGGAGGGTACGCCGGATCTATCGGCCAATCACGGCATTTGTTTCTGTAGATCACCACGGATAGAGTCTTGAAGCGGCTTCTGATTGGCCGCTGCCTGTGTTCGCGTGTCACCTTACTATGTGAAGTTTCTTATTCATTCCTCAGCATTTTCATCTCGGAAGAAGCACGAGGAATATATTCAGTGTATGAATAGCAAGTTTTACGACAAAAAGATACACCGTAGACTAAGTGAGGTGATCCCGTTCAAGTCGTCTCGTAGACCGAACCAACAACAGACAATTTTCATGCTTCAGCAAAAAACTCAATCCGGAAACCACTTTCCGGTTAGCGCAAACCTAACCCGGCATTTACACTTTCCCTGGTGGGGTACGGAGTGCTAGTCTCCGTTAGACTGCTTGCTATAGTACGTGGTGTTTTGTCAAAGAAACCAGGGTCCGGTAACAAACTTCCTAAGTTCATATGCATCCTGATTTTCCACGCAGCCATCGCGAGTGCAGTCATGTGGCGTGCACTGTCGGTGTTGGCGAGAGGCAACATCGATCTACACAGTGTGTGGTTTAGAGTTATAACCAGCTGTTCGCCTGTTTATACTTCTCCCTTCCCCGGGACGACTAGGACGACTCGAGTGCTTTGACTTCAGTCCCGAAAATCTCGCAACGCCTTCACCTTCTAGTCTGCTCACTCCGGAGCACAGTACAGCGAAACAGTCCGTATTCTCCAGAGTCCAGGCTCCGATTCCATGCCGATGTGGAGGACTCTTCATTCACCGACGAATGCATACAGTAAGTGATTAACTTTCCTCTCCACAACCCCAATGCCAACAGCTCAACTTGCTTCATTTCCTGGAAATTCCCCAGCGGGCGTTGTGAGGGGGTGGTGTTGCTGAATACGAGAAGATTTGCCGAAGCCGGTCTAGCCCCAGGGCCGGCATGCCGATTTAGGGTTTGCAGCCCGAGAATTTTTCTAGAAGGTCCCGTTCCAATGTTTGCGCCGGCTTGGACTTCCGATATTTTCGAATCACGAGACTCAGAGTCGGGGTGAATACGAGGCGGCTATTCGTTCTCCCGCACAAACCCAATTTCTTACTTCTTCGTCATATTTACTGGGGTACGAGATGCCTCGTATCGGGGTTTGTACAAGTGTAGCATGATGTGAGAATGGAATATCCTTGTTCATCTGTTGGAGCTGGAAGAGTCCACCTATATACCTGGCAAGTAATAGCGATGTCAGACCCATGGAACTGACCATTCGAGCCAAAAGGACTCCCTTAAATGCTAGAATAGTAGGATGTGGTACCAAAAAAGTAATTTTCGTTTTCCGTAAATATTACAACGATTGTAACGATTCCTGCCTTGTTCGTGGTACGTAATCGAGATCCATCAACTTTTAAGTCACGTGCATATTGTTCGATCCATAATACTCGCATTTCTCGCAGAATGTCTGCTGGTTTCTCACCCACGCATTCTCCACTATGATAATCAAAGATCATACTGTTCGGTCACCTGACGCGATCAGAAATCTCATTTTGGAAATAACAACGGGGAACCATGTTGTTCTCTCGGAATTAGACACCAGTTCTTGTCAGACTTTTGGCCATAACTCATTAGCATTTCTAGAGCTGGAAGATATAGAAAGGTATCAAATGCACCAAAGTCTGAACAAACGCTCAACTTTCTCCAAATATCCGCCAGACAGACAAGCATGAAAATACATCTACCTATAACCCCCGGGCCTAGGACCACTAGGCAATCCCCCAGGACGCTTATATCCCCCGCTCCCACCACTCGATCCATGACCCTGGCCCCCATCCGAAGTATACGCTTGATATTGCTGTGGCTGCGACCTCGAAGGTGGAGGACTCTGACTACTGCTACCCAATCCACCCTGCAATCGAGCCCGTAACCTCTCCGATGCCGAACCGCCCGACGACGCCCCTCTATCCGACATGCCCGAACTCGAATGCGACGACTGATACGATTCACCGCGCTGACTAGGCAGCGGTCTCCTCGAAACCGAATGCGGCGACGGTGTTTGCGAATGATGCTGCTGCTGCTGATGCTCCGGTCGTAATGTAGTATTGTTATTGCCTATAGCGGCAACTGGCGTCCTTGAACCTCCTCGACTTCGTAAACTGGCTGTTTGTGACTGTGGCGGTTGCGCAGGCCCCGATTCACCCCATAAATCGCCCAGGCCACCCCCGCGACCTGTATATTGTGCCTGCGGTTGACCGTATGCGCTCGTATTCCCCTGTTGGAGCGATGCCTGCGTAGCCACCATCCGCGCTTGAGGAACGGGCGCCTTTGGGTCTGGAGGAAGCCATTCGGGGAATGGGCGACCCTTTTCCGTGTAGTAGGCACGAAGGACGTTGGAGATGTGTGAGCTGTCTTCGTTGTCCGGGTCGTCCTTTTCGTCACCTGAGCCGATTGCGCGGCGAAGACTGCTGAGGCGGGTGCCGAGGGKGGAGATTGTGGTTGATGAGGCGAGGGAGGCTAGGTATGAAGACATGCTGCTGTATTTCGTTGAATGAGAATGAGAGCTGTGTCTCGTTCGTCACTCCTCGCTCACGGAGGAGGGGTAGGCAGGGTAGCTTGGAGCTTCGTGGATCAGAGTGGAAGTTCGATATTTGCTGGAATATTGATATATCGTTCGTACACCTTTTGCGTATATGCAACCCAGCTAGGTGAGTAAGTATTCGACAAAGAAGTGAAACTTGTAATGAAGTTGAGTGTAAGGAGTGTTTCAGTGGTGAGCTGCGCCTACTGCGGCCCACTCACCGCATACAACCTTATTGTATGTGGGTCATCTACGAAGACCCAACTCTTCAAAATCGCATAAAATATTTTACTGGTCATGGATCAAGAACAGATTGCTTTTATTGATTTAGAAAATGTGCAACGAAATAATGACAACTCTACATAAAACACCAAACGCCAGCAATGCAGCAATTATGCCAGAACGCTTTCCTTCGCAGGACCTTCAGTCTCGTACTCAATCTCAACACGAGCGCCCTTCTTGCGAGGCTTGGGAGGTGGTGCGGCACGCTTGCGCTTGTCGCCGGTAGCAGGCTTCTTCTTGTCCTCAGCAGCTGACTCATCACTGCCTTCATCGTCATCGCTATCCTCGTCCTCATCCTCGTCATCGTAATCATCGCTGGAATCGGCAGAATCTCCTCCAAGCCACTCCTCAATATCCTCAAGATCCTCCTCATCTTCGTCCAAATCACTGACATACTCAACTTCACCAACACCCTCCTCTTCCTCGTCCTCCTCATCCCACTGCTCGCCCTCATCAAGATCCTCATCTCTCTCACCCTCMCCCTGCCTCTCCAATCCACGAAGCACCTTCTTCCAAATCCCTTCCTCAACATTGAGCGGTCTATCACCATATGCACCACTGCGAAGACGCTCAATAAGTTCACGCTCAATAGCTCTCTCAACCTTAGCAGCAGCCTCCGCTTTCCGCTCTCTCGTCTCCTCGCGTCTCCTAATCTTCGGCGCCAACTTCGGCACGACCCTTTCACCTAAACGCTCCTCTTCTTTGATAAGCTTCTTCATCCTAATATTGACCTGCGTCAACCGCGTGAGGCGTTGTTTGCATTTGTGTATGAGGAATTTAGGCCAGTATATCAATCGCTCATCGACCTGGGCCAGAGCTTTGGTGTAGTTGGATGACAGCTTTATCTTTTCCCACCATTTGCTGGGCATGTGCGAGCGTTCAATGGTCTTCATGTAGAGGTACATGGCTCCTGTTTCAGGATCCGAGCGAACAGTGGCATAGCGAGAGTTTGCCAATGGGCAGCTTTGGCGGTTGCACAATCCGGTGACGTTGTATTCATTGCGGCAGAAGTTCTGACCTTTTGTGGTTCTGCAATTTTCATTCCATCAGTATTTTTCATTTTCCCTCTCCCGTATTGAGATTTTGAAAATTTGTTGAGTATTTACGTACTTGAGCTTGAAGGCACAGAATTGCTGGTTAATAACCTGCCAGACAATTTCGTCTGAAGCCATATTAAGCGACAGAGATAAATCTCGCTTTCTGAAAAGCTCTGTCAAGGGGGAGCGGAGAAGAGTTGTTGATTGTGTATGGCGAGATTTGTCTGAGATCTGCCGTACGCAAAATAAAAAAAAACTTCCCACGACGGCAGGGTCACGTGCCGCTCCATTATCAGGTACGATCCTTATCGCGACGTGTCCCAAATAGGAAATTTGTAAGCAACGATTGTTTTCGGCAACGTAAAAGGCAACATCAGAAAGAGCAGTTTGGGGAAATTGAGTGTATATTGTTTGAGTTGTGCAGCTGATATATTTACTCAGACGTTCTAAAGTATTGGTTTCCGCTTCAACACCAGTTGGCCGACATTATATATCCTGCGGAGCCGTGGAGGCAAGCTCAATGTCGAAGAAGCACGTGCAGGTAGTTGAAAAGTCTTACAGTAAGCTACATAGAGATGAAGCGTAGATTAATCCAGGAAAGAGTGCAGAATGTATATAGAATTAGGATATCAATGAAATTTGAGTTCAAGGAGAACAAGCGTTGTGCCAGCATCGTTGTTACATATTGATACTTTCTGGACTTGTATTTAACTTCTACTGAACATGTATCTCAAAATCTGTAGATTATAGCTCCAGACGTAGATGCAGAACTCCTCGTAGAGTATGTATGTAGTCTGGTTGATGATGTGATCCTGAAATCTGGTCAAGTATTCTTGAAGATACCATTTTTGCAGCAACCAAGGGCTTCAGGAGTCTGATTGATACTTGCGAGACAAAGTAGCAGCAAGATGCCTGGAGAGTTGATTCCCTATCCACTATGTTTGGCCACTTTCAGAGACAAATGTGTGTGCTCCTAGCCCAGACACCTCACTTCACCGGTGATTCCCAAAATGTCCTCCGCCTCTGCTTGTGCATTTCATTGACTTTTACGGGCAAACCCAGCAAACCCAGCAAATGATGAAATGTTAAGGGATTTCTCATAACATAAACAAAGACGTAAAATGTGTACACTGCCCTTCTCTCTCTGTCTTCTCTGTAATTCTCTACCCTCAAATATATTGCTTCAAGACTGTCAAGTATCATCACTGCATCTTGTCAGCAACAACATCATCACCTCGACAAGCCCCTTCAGCTACTTTGAAGGCTCAAGCCATGGACTTCCCAAATGTGCCTCCCAGCTTCATGCCCCCAAGTTTCCCTCTCATACCCATTCCTCGCCCATGCCCTCATGTCCACCAAGCCGTCAAACTGAGCCAGTTCGTCAATACAGCCTCTGGCCACTTCATCGACGGACACCAGCAATTCCGCACCTACCCCCTGAAAGACTCACTATCCCCGGGGGTCCCAGTCCACATGTCGCCCACTGGCGAAACAATCTGTGCTCGCTGCAAGGTCTCCTACTGCTGCCGGGACCTGTTTATGCTCCACCTCGAGACTTCTCTTGACCACAACCTCTGCGTCCTCTGCCACTACACGAAGGACTATCCGACCTTCACTGAACTCCAAGACCATCTTGAGCAGGAGCATCTCTGGTGCGAACCATGCAACTGGTTTGCGCCTTCCTATGAAGGCCTAATGCAGCATTTCCAGCACTTCCACTTCATGTGCTCGATTTGCAAGGAGTGTTTCAGAAACGTGAACGAGTACACAGGACACGCCAACACACACCGTCCTCTGACAGTGGCCTGCCCCGTCTGCCCCGAGAAATTCGCTCTTCGCTCCGCCGCGTTCAATCACATCGAATCCGGGACTTGTACCGGCGGCGCTACCACAGAGGACATTTGTTTCGTCGTCAGGCACTTTTGGGCCAATCTGACGCCTGATCTCAAGGGGTACTGGGTGTCTGACAGTCTTCTGTTTACATGTCAGCCCTGCCATAGGCATTATCAGCGCTTGAGTGATCTCTTGCAGCACAAGGAGACCAAGAGTTGTCCAGAGGGGTATGGCAAGGGGAACAGTATGACCGATCGGTTGGTGCAGTACGTGCAGCAACAGCTGCCTGTTTTAATCGAGAAGCGGAAGGCAGAAGGGAAGCTGGAATCAACTGTTCAGAAACCAAAGCTTGTAGCTCCTGCAGCTGTGGTTCATCCTCGTGTCCATATGTTGCGAAGAGGACGTTTGTTTTAGTAATGGGTGTGTAATGTCACATATCGGAGTTATTTTGGTTTGGTAGCATCCTGTGAATCCTGTCAGCTGGAAACCTGCACGAAGAACTGTTTGTACATCACGGGCTTGGATAGAGAGATTGTGATAGCGGATATGACACCCTAAACTGCATGAGATGTTCGACGCCAAACAATGTAATAGTAGCTATGTATTGATAAAAATCAAGCAGGAATAATAATGCATCCATTTCATGACTTGACTAGGCTAATGACTGATCACCAACCCTCCATCTGCAAAGGCCCACCATCCCATTCCGTCGTCCCACTCGTAGGCATCCCAAAGTCTCTTTCATCTACATCATTCAGCATATCCTCGCCATAAAGACCCCAGCCCATAGCATCCAACTCCCTGGTGAAGAAATCCCTTTCTTCTTCAAAAAGTGAAGTCCCTTCTTCCTCAATATTCAAAACGTCTTTGTATTGACGCAAGTGCCACCAGTGAGTGAGACCACGAAGCGCCTGTTCCAGGGGCAGAGCATCTTCAACTTCTGCGTCGACGTCTGAGCCTGCTAGCCAGTCGTCTCGTAGCTCCGGGCGGCAGTAGAGGTATATAGCTGTGATGACGCGCATGTTGGTCTGTCGCCATTTTCGACCACAGTATGGGACCTGCGATTTGAATAGCTTGAGAGTATAAAGCCGCAGATGGGGGTCCGGTATCTTTAATCCCTTCCGAAGAATAGTGCTAGATCTATACTGTACAAGGAGAAGGCAGCGGTGTGCCTTGTCTCGTGTGATCTTTTGCATGATATGCAGATAGTTGATGACTGAGAAGAAGTTGCGGAAGGAGTAAGCTGTGATAGGGTCCTCTGGAACTGGTCCTGTTGGGTAACCTAGTTCATCGACTTCAGGACGTGTGGTGCCATCGGTATAACCCTGTTCATTCTTTACAGGCGATGGACCTCGTACCGACGAGCTCCCGTTCACTGATGCTCTGCGACGTAGAATCGGTGGAGGTATAGCCTCTTCTTCCTCATCCATTGATTCGTTTTCTATAGAAGCGTCCTCTTCGGGCGGGTCATCAGAGTGGAACCGGCAGAAATGGAAGAAGCTATACGAAAATTTAGAACGAATTCACAGATCGACAATTGGAGTTACAAACCTGTACTCCTTGCGATCGTTTTGCTGAGCAATCAAGTGATCGACATCTTGATGAGCAAACATCTTTAGTATCAATGGAAGGTAATTCGAGTCCAGAAGCAACTGTGTCATGTACTCAAACTTGAGGATATCTGCCATCAATCAGCAAGGGAGAGATACCACGACTGAGACTAGTTCTTACGAGATCGTTTGAACCACTTTAGCAAGAGCAATAAAGCACCAGAAATAGCTTTTCCCGTGATTTCTCGTAGTCTGATAATGTCAAGCTCTTCAACATCGTTCAAGAAATCCTCCCGTGTCCCACCATACGGATAGCCATTGGTCATGCTAGAAGATTGTCAGTTGGTGATCTTATTCAGATAATTATTTGACTGACCCTGCACCATGACCGCCTTGACCATTTGCTTGATTGATCATTGAACTGATATTGGTCAAAATGACTTTTAGTAGAACAATGACGATTGCTTGAAGATGCGGCATTGCTTGTTTCTATTTGATCGTTAGCTTTTTTTTTTTTTAAACATTTTGGACTGCAAAGACTTACGTAGAAGTTCTCAACTGCATCTAATCGTCGCTGTACATCTTCATTTTCCGTTTCTGGGGTAGTTTGTCTTACACTGTCTCTGCGACTTTCTGAGGGAGCCGAGCTTGTGTCTGAATGTTCTTCGTCATTCGTGCCTTCGTTGACGTTATCGTCGGCATTCCAGCCTCGTTCATACTTCATAAAACGCTCACGTTCCTCCCATAATTGACGCGTCGCCCTAGTCATCTTGACGTGACTGGAGAAGAGCTTGCCAGCCTCGATAATAGACGCCGGAACATCGCTGCCCTCCCACTTCTTTCCTACCAGAGTGTCTTGCATCTCGCTGGTACCTTTGCCTCCGATGTTGTTGCTTGAATCATCCAACGGTGGGTACATGAATGGAAAATGTTGATTTGTTTGGTAGTTTTGCTTCTTCGCTGCTTTTCCACTTGGTCCTATCGGAGATGGCGGCGGTGACGGAGCTGGTGTAGCAATGTGTACGGGCTGATGGAGGATCGAGCCACTGCTACCAACTGCCGGCGGGCCAGACACTCCATGCGTAGAAGCTAACCGACTAGGATGGTTTGCAAAGGGCGGAAGTATAGATTTGTGATCCAGCTCTAGAGGCACGACTAATGGCGGTGGATTGTATGCCGGGTATTTCGACGTGACTTCTTGACGAAAAATATGATAATCCAGCGGAGATGCAGTCAAGAATGGCTCTCGACGGTCAGCTGGATCTGTGGGAATGTCCATTTTGGGCTCTAGAGCCCTTTTCGCATCCTCTAGACTCTGAGTACCGCCGAATATGAGGATAATCGTTTTCCAAAACAGTAAAGCAATCCGGGTAAAAGGTATGGCGGCCGAGTCCTCCCATCGCAGTCCAGAAATGACCTTGACAAGTGTAATTAATAGACTTGGCTGCAATGCAGAAACAGCATCCCGTAATTTCACATTCGTCTTGTCCAGTGTTTCTTGTCTTCTGGCGACCTCGACCACGAAATACAGACACGTGAGAATAAGATTCGCTTCTCGTTCGCGGGCGATGAGGTATGTGGCATGTTCTTTTTCATTGTCCAGATCAACAGGATCAGTTTCCAGCGGGCTTGATTCCTTGTCATATATGGACTTCATGTACTCGTAGAGTCTTGGAATACCCCCACATTCATGGATGAGAAGCACGTTATCAACGATCCACTTGATCTGAAGAGATTTCGTTCTGGGGTTGTCTGACTCTTCCTCAGCAGTGGGATTTTCAGGGTAAGCATCAACAGGTCTCCCTCCAGTAAGCCCCCAAACACCGCACATTGCATAGCACACTGCTTCTAGGGCTTCAATGCGAGTGTACAAATCCGAGTCATCAAGCCCAGTTAGAAGATGTTTCAGAAATTTTTTCCTAGTGTCAAAATCCGCATCAAGCCATGAAGTGCCAGTGTCGAGGGAGTGTCGATGACAAAACTCTTTCCATTGCTGGTGAAATGAAACTTTGGATCCGACAAGCATCATTCGTTCCGGCTCACTATACTGGAACCACTCATCAAGCTCTTCAGGAAAAGGCTGAGTGTCGGCATAACGAAAAGCATATACCTGTTGTTCGACCTTTGGAATGTCTTGAACAATGCGTCTCAATTGCGCAAGGCTGAGAGAATCTGGAGCCAACTCTATCGCATTCTGGCCAGGAGCAGGAGGCGGTGGTTGCATTGGTGGAGGGGGAGCAGCAGCATCACGCGCGAGGCCTGGTCGCCCTGTTGGCCTGGAGTTTCCTGAAGCAGGACCTGCTGGCATTTGTCTTTCAATAACCGGCGACGGTTCCAAAGTGAGACCATCGACAACCTCCGCCAATAGTTCTTCATCCGGCACAGGCGAGATATCGGTCCCAGTCTGGTCGACCTCATCTGCTTTTATGATGACCTGTTCGGGCTCATCGGCCTCAAAATGGTGTGTGGACATGTTGCCGTCCGAACCTTAGCACCGTGGGTGGATAAGATCAACAAGGAAAAGGAGGAGTATGTTTTGACGATGCACAACATCAAGGGTATCTTAGCGAAGAATCAAAATATCTCAAACCATGACGCCGTTTAATGCATGGATACTGCCAACCGTCACCGTGGCCCTTCAGGAAACATTATCTCTCGCTGTCCTTTGATTTGGAAGAGATGAACTGAACGTGGCTATCGAAGCGGTCAAATGTGGGAGGAAATCACGTGATCCAAATCGACATTTGTTGATCCAGAGCTTTACTTACTGGTGTTCCTTACGAAGACTTCTATAATTTGTTATGTTGGTAAACTTACCATACAAGTGTTAAAATGAATATTCGCAGATACATGTCCCATATTGAGCACACTAAGATAATATACAATCCGCTTCATATAGACAAACACTCAATCCGACTTATGCGCGTCACTATGTTCACGACGCTTCAGCTTTCTCTGGGCCTCCCAACGTTGCCATCCGGCTTCGGTAAGATCCTCACTCACCACCAAGTCTCTAATTCGCAGGGCTCGTGAGAGAGTCAAGTCCAGACCCCAATCGACCCAGCCAGAGCTTCGCAGGTAGCTTACGAACGAGAACCAAACGACCGAGAATATAATTCCTGCCGTGAATCCCACGACAACCTGTTTTTTGGTATGGTAGTTCAGGTAGAGTCGGCTAATGGCCACGGCACTGGCGCCAACACAGGCTAGGAATGAGAGCGCAACTCGTTGGAAAAAAGTCACCGCGTCCGGCGTGAGAGAATAATTTGGTCTGTGTCTGAGAAGGAGGAACAGTATCGCATAGCAGGAGAAGTAGGCTGCAAATTGCGCGTGGGACGATGGCATCCCATAGCCTTTGCCGTGCATGTCTGTAGACGATCAAATCAGCTTGTGATCTTGTTTAGTAGTTTGTCTCTGTGGTCTATGCGTACTCTGAGGTCTCTCCTCGCGGATGAGCCTTTTAAGCCCGAAGTTCAAAGCTTCACAGCCCATCTGACCGGCAAACATCAACAGCACCTCCACCTCCCTCGAAGCCCAGATGAGTGTGACGTAGATGATACATAGCGCTTGCGGGACGAGAGCGAGCCAGGCCGATGCATGCGAGAGGAGATCGTTAGGATTCTAGCAGTAACCAATTAGTACTATCAATGGAGGAACGCGTAGCTCGAGAGTTGTCTCACATAATGTACATGGGTCAGCGAAAGGGAAGCCAAAGGCTGATCAGGGCCCGACATTTTGCCGCAGACAGGGGATGGATATCAAACTTTGATTCGGCGAGGGCTGTTATCAAGCACAATAGAACATATTGACGGCCAGCACATAGAATCCGGGTAATTGACGAAGGGGTGTATCAACAGAAGAAAAGACGTCTCCGTTGACTCATTCGGGGTTTATTGTTCGTCGCTTTGTCCGTTCTCTTTCATCGTCACTCTTTCCTTGGCAAGCTGGCCGGTTCACATCGAAAGCTTGGGCCACCAATGGGCCACGAGCAAGACCGCCGGCAGCCAATCAGGCATCCCGTCGATGCCTTGAGGCTTGCTGGCCTCGGGCATTAAACTCACGTGACGGCGCTCCAGTCACGTGGACTGACGTGGGGAACATTGTTTGGGACGGAAGGAAGTGAGGGGCAAGGGCGCGCCTGCCAAAAGTAGCTCTGATTCGGTGTTTTGCTGCAAAGAAAAATAAAGTTGCATTCTTGGACTGCTCCAAACAACTCATTTCTCGCCCAATACAACGGGCATCCTGATTTTTTCTTCCTTTTATCTCTGCTCATCAAAGCGGTCTTGATGCCTGTCCATTGACGTTGCTGTACGTGTCTCCGTCTGTTCCCAGCATCACGGAGGAATCCGGTAGTCCGTCGCAGTACAATCAAATCATGAAGACTTATTCCACACTACGCCTTTATTCAACATACCCGTTGCGCCAGCCAGCTTCACCGTCACTGTCGTCGTTATCCCGCCCCACGCTATACGATTCCTCAGATCTGTATTCAGCTGTTTTAGGTCACGTCTGTAGAGACGTAGTGATACCTCCCTGATATTCAGTAGGAAGAGCCGGACCAATCCCGGTTGCCGAACCTTTCTCAGCAGGCTGTCGCCACATCATCGTTACTGGCTCTATACTATAAAATGGTCGAAGGCTTGGTAATCTGAATTTGCAGATTTTCGGAGAGCATTCCAGAGATCCATCAAATTCCTTGTCCTGCCATGCTTCTTTGACAACCATACAAAGAATCTGGAGCTTGCTGTTTGAGAGGAGGGTCAGGCCCTGACATCTTATATTACCTCTGAGCACCTGACTTGTCTATCGGCATCTCATGATGGCAGTTCCAACATCTATACCTGAGGAGGATGACCGCTCCATGGAGCTCTCTTCCATTGCCGCCATCTACCCCGAAATTAGAATTGACGAACGATACCCATTCAGAGCGTCTCTAGATATACCTGTAGCGCCATCGGTCCCCATACGCGTGCGATTTGAGCTAGGCTCCGAGCCATTCCAAGCCCCGATGACCCCGCCGACATCCCTGGACACAAATGGTACGAGTGGAAAAGTGGAGATTTTCAATCTCAACAATGCGAATGTCGCCGAAAATGTATATGACGATGTTCATGCTATCTCACATCTACCCCCCGTGACACTCGATATCGAATTACCGCTAGGATATCCATCAGAAAAACCGCCGATCTTCAATATCAGTACCAGTCCTCAGTGGCTATCGCCTAGACAGTTGGCAACATTGAAAGAGGATGGCAAGCGCCTGTGGCTTGAAGCTGGAAAGGACATGGTAGTCTACACCTACATCGACCACATACAGCAAATGACAGATGACGTTTTTGGAATTGCGCGCGACCATGGTGACGAAATCAAGCTTCCACGCGGCTTGAAGATTGCACTTCTTGACTTTGACATGAAGGCTAAAAGGGAGAAATTCGAACAAGAAACGTTTGAGTGTGGTGTATGCCTGGAACCCAAGAAGGGCGTGAATTGCCACCGCATGCTACTCTGTTCTCACGTTTTCTGCATTCCTTGCTTACAAGACTTTTACAACACCTGTATAACGGAAGGAGATGTGGACAGCGTCAAGTGCATGGCACCAGATTGTGGCAGAGACACCAACCGGGCACATGATGCTGCTCAGGAGCCTTCTGGTGCGACCTCTCGTAAGAGGAAGAGAAGGAACAAAGACCGACTTATCAGCCCAAGCGAACTTCTCCAAATTCCATTGGAACAAGAAACGGTGCAACGCTATGTCTTTTTGAAACGAAAGAAGAAACTAGAGTCGGATAAAACCACGGTATATTGTCCTCGCCAATGGTGTCAAGGAGTCGCTCAATCGAAGAAACACCCGAAGCCTGTTAACCCCATGGCGGACGACTTTGATGATTCAGCGGATGAGGATGATGCTGCAGCTGAATTTGACCCCCTGGGCGAGGAATCTCAGCTTCCGCCAATGGCGGACCGGGTAGCTATCTGCGAGGACTGTCTCTACGCATTTTGCTGTGTTTGTAAGAAGGGATGGCACGGCGAATTAGTGAGGTGCTCACCAAGACGGGAAGCCGAGCTCACAGCAGAAGAGAAAGCCACGGAAGAATATCTCAAGCTGTACACTACGCAGTGTCCTACGTGCAAAACACCCTGTCAAAAGAAGATGGGGTGCAACCACATGATTTGTTTTCAGTGCGGCACACATTTTTGCTATCTCTGCACAGCCTGGCTTKCGGAGGACAACCCTTACAAGCATTTCAACACTCTCGATAGTAGCTGCTACAATCGTCTCTGGGACTTGGAAGGTGGCGATGGCATAGATCCAGATGGCGCCGAAGAGTTACATCGTCCGCCAGAGAATGTGGCGGATTTTGATTCCGAACCTGAATCTGACGATGACAATCCTCCGGATGACCCCGACGACGGCCATGACCAACCAGTCTGGGAGTTTAGCCCCGATAACAGCGATAGCGATAGCGACGACGAAGATGATCTAGGGCGTCGGAGGCCTCCACCTCCTGCCCCGGTGCCTCCTCGAGTGATACCCGTTGCCGGTAACCCAGACGGTGAACCAGGATTTAACCTGCGCGGCCTGGATGCCGCAGGACGAGCCGTAGCTGCTGAGCGTCAGGCACAAGCTCTAGCTATGGCGCAAATCAGGGACCGTCCAGGCGCAAGAGAAGCATTTCCCCGACCACCCGTCCGGCCCGGCGCAGGACTACCACCCCGCCGCCATCCTCCCGGCAACCAACCCGTGCGACTAGAAGGCCTTCAACGATTCCTAGAACTAGTCCAAAACGACCAAGAAGATGAATGGGACAGCGACGAGCTGAATGAATAGCGTGTACACCTCATACACGCCCTGTATATCTGCTTTCATTGATACATACATACTTACATACATATGCCTGATGACTTACGATATCTATGTTTCTGGCTTGCTTCATTTAGATGGGGAAAAAATTACTGGCTTTAGCTTGCCTTTGCTTGCATTTCCTTTCATACAGTTTAGCATTTCTGTTTCTGAGCGTGTTTCTGCATAGACCCCGTCCTATCATCTCGTTGATCGATTTGATAGACAAACACATTGCTTTCGSGAGCCAATATCAATACTGCATTTTGTGATTATCAAAACAGCGAGACGAACAAAGTTATTGCTTATTATTTTCTGGACTGAGACTAAATAACCCATCACGCTAAAAACCAATGTCAAGTGCAAAAATCAAACAAACAACAACCGGGGAATTGAAGAACTCTTCAGATCCGTATGCAGACAACAAAATAAACCAGGCCAGAGTCCGACATGTAAGAGCAGGTATCAAAAATAAGTAGGGTATCTATAACCAACGCCAGGCTGTGTCTATGATGATGATGGTAAGAAAATGGTTGAAGAGAGAGAGAGAGAGAGAGAGAGAGAGAGAGAGAGAGAGAGAGAGAGAGAGAGAGCGCGGATGTGGGATGTCCAAGATCAGAGCAGGTAAGGAAAGAGAAGACCGGGTCCGATATCGTGTGAGGGTTAATATATAAAAGAAAGAAGGGATGTCAAAGGTAAAATATGGTTACGATCGGTCATGCGTCCCGAGCCCTTTTAGAACAACACGCTTATTCCGACCAACGGATGGGAAATCGCTTACACTGCGCATACTCATCCTGGACGAATTGTGCACTTCACGTTCGGAGCGATGGTCGGCATGTTTCTGTGTCGGTGGCTTGACAGTTATTGATGAGGTTCGTCGTGCTTGGCCGATCACATCCTCAACCCAGGCTTCACTCTCCGGGGTCATGGAGACGTGTCTGGTTCGTGGTTTTGGGCCAGCTAGGCCTAAAGGAGTGCTGGAATGAGATAAGGGGGTTCTTGCGGATCCTGGGTGTGGAGAGTAAACGCTGGAGCCATCTCCTAGGATTGATGATACGCTGACTGAGTTAAGGGAGGATATGGACGTTCGTCGGCCGATTGATGGGAATAAAGGAAGTGAAAGGTTGTCACTTGTAGGTTCGACATCATCGATTGCAAGTTCAGGAAGTTCAGATGGTTTGGAGATCCGTCTCGTTTTATGAACCGAAAGGGAGGAAGCAGGTCGGTTGCTCGTTGGTATAGTTGTAGGTCCCTTTGGACTAGTCTGAGCGATGACTGTAGCAGCTGCCGACGTGGTTGATCCTGGGGAGGTTGTTGTTGCCGGAAGACCTTTGACCTCGACATGGCTACTTGATGGAGTCTGACGGCCGTGATGCATTACATACTCACGTAGGTATTCGCCTAGATCGGCCCAGCCTCCACCGACACGGACCATAACTCGTTCGCCATTTTCACCAACTGTACGAACGAAAAGCTTGGTTGGCTCTGTTTTTCCCCGATGGTGCAAATGATAGACCTTGACGGTTTTGTCCTCACTCTTGTGGGAAACAGTGCGTCTTTGCCTCGACGATGGTGTGAAACCTTCTGATGGCGTTGGCGTGCCGGCTCGGCTAGGGGTAGAGAAAGGAGATCGCGCTTTAAGTCGAGGTTTGGAAGACATGGACGATATTACAGAGTGCTGGTCGTAGTCTCTAGCAACTTTGTTACTGAGACGGATTTTGCCAGGAATGGTTGTAAGAATAGAGTGGATTTTCTCCTGTAGGTCGCTATCGGCTTCATGGACTGGTCGTATCGCGAATGATCCGCCGTCCGTGGAGAATGAATATCGCCTGCGCATGTCACCGGTACCGTTACTAGAAACATAAGAGCCAATGCTCTCCATACTTGGTTGATTCTGTAAATGATGTTTCGGTGCCTGTAATAGGTCGCTGGTAGAAGATTTTCGACGCCACGGTGTTGGTTCTGAATCAACATCATAAGGCGATCCGAGTCTAGAGCGTGAACGAACTCTTTCGGCAGACTCAACGGCAGACTCATAGCTAAATGGGTCGGATTCAACTCGGTTTCCTGTCCCAACGACTTTGTTCAAAGAAGATATGGTACCTCTCATTAAGCTTGAACTAGGGCCGCGTATAGCTCGGCGAGGAATTGCATTAGGCGGAGGCGATTCACTTCTATCACGAAATCTTAAAATTTCTGTATCTTCGAGCAAATATTGTGATGTATCGTCACGCGAGGACGCACTGTCCGAATGCATTTCATGACTGGCCGAATAACTCCCGTCGTATTTGTCGTTGATAAATCGTTGTAAAGGTAGACTGGCATCATTGCTATGTTTGTACGCCTCCAAATCTTGCAAAGCAGAGCTGCTCAACTGCGGAGAACTCTTTTCACGGATTGTTCGATCGCTGGTGCTACTAAACACACCTGGTGAGAACGGCACAGAAGAACGATAGCTTTGACCAGATGTCTTTCTGGAATGAGGTTGTGCTGCTTCATGATTTTGACAAAGTCTGGAGGGAATGTCTTGTTCAATTGATTGAACTGGTATATCGGGATGTAGAGGAATAGTTTGCTCAAGGAATGGACCAAAGCTTTGATTCTCAGTTGCCACGACTTTGATGGGTGATTCTATCAAAGAGCTCTGGGGTGTCTCTTTGATAGCAGAATCTTCTAGTGCAAGCGAAGGTGTCATAATGGAATGTGGGCTTTCAGAATCTGCACGACGTGGAGAGGACTCGCCTGCATCTGAATCTGGTATAGATGCATCCGAGCTTGATATTTCCTTATTGCGCCCACGAATCTGATCTAGGTTGCCACCATCGACGGTGCTGGAATAATCCACAGTCCTTGTCGCCGGCTCCAGTGTAGACGTAGCTTCTCTCTTCGAAAGATGCTCGCCTGAGATCTGATCCGGAATTTCTTTTGTGACGTCTTCTTCCTCGAGATTGGGGGTTGATATCTCCTGATGCTGCAGTTCTTGGTCTTCAAACTGACCAGAGGATCGAACATATTCGAAAGCTGCTACCTGTGGCTCGTCTTGGCTAACAATCGTTGGCTGAGCTAGGATTGCCAGAGGATTGGTCTTGGGTTCTGTAATAGCATGACTAGCTTCGGCGTGCATCGCAGGTGAAGCATTAGAATCAGTGGTACCAGGAATAGAAACTGGTAGTGGTGTTAATGACTCCAAAGGCTTTGTATGATTCTTCACGGACGGCGCGGATTCCTCGGATGTTGACTCCTCAATCACTTCCAGAACAGGAATGGACCTTTTCACTCGAAGCGGTATCGTTGATTCTTCGGCCTCGTAATTTGTTGCAGTATCGACCTCAATTGCTTTTTGTTCATGGTCATGACTATGTTCCATTACCGGAATCGGTGAATATACATCATCTTCTGTCCGTTCAAATTCGGCCGTATATGTTGCAATGCCTAGATCAGGGTTCTCATCAGTAGATTCGGATGGTGGATGAGGTTTTGTGACCATTAATATCGGCGTGTGATTCTCATTCTTTGTAGAGAGCACTTGCACATCTTCTTCATTGGCAAGTAATGAAATCGTATCGGCGGTAACGGTAGAACCGCTGTCGGTAAAGTTGACTGGTGGAGAATCGCTTTCTTCTGGCGAGACTGTTATGCTATGTGATGTTGTGCTGACATTTGGACTAGAATCTACAATCTCGTGGACGGTAGGAGGAGCTGGATCCTCACAAATCTGAACATCTCTTTCTGTCGCATCTTCATGAGGCGGTTGACCCGTGTCGGTAGCATCATGTTGCAACTGGTCCTCTTTGATAGTGTGCTGTTTAGGTGCTTCCAGTTCAGACGATACCCAGACCTTTTCAATTGCCATCTTTCCCGTTAGCTGAACCCAGGATGCAAAATCTGTCTCCAACGCATCCATCCGGTCAATCCAGTTTTCCGGTATAGAGTCTTCTCGACCCTCCAAAGCATCCAGAACCGTGTCCATACGAGAGCCAGCTGTACCAATGAGTTCAATGAGTGCCTCTCGCCTGTAATTAGAATCGAGCATGGAGTAACGTTTATTCCGTTGGGACTCCTTAGTCGCTTCCAATACAGAATCGAGGGATGCACGTGCTGTCTCCAATGAACTCAAAAGACTCGGGATCTGGCGTAACACAAGTAATCGTACCGTCCAAGTATCTAGCAGCATATTCAATCGCGCCAGCGTAGGTAAAGCTCGAAGTATAGTGGCCGTAATGACAGCGGTGAAATCGCTTAGTTGCATGTGTGTAAACGGAGGAGCGGAGATCGTGCTGAGGGCACTGTGTGCTGATGATGGCCGGGACCGACCTGGTACATGGACGTTCATGATGTGTTCCTTGAGCTCGTCCACATTCAAACCATCCATGCCGTCTCGGATTTGCTCTATTCGAGCTTCGTATTCAACGACTTGTCGGGCTGGTAGACTACCCCAGTACTCTGACTGGTTGTCCAATGGTGAGATAAAGCCTTTTCCTTGTTGTATGCCAAGCCCCTTGGGCCATTGCCACGCTTGTAATTCCTTAAGCCATTCTCTCAGCTTTTTGGCAGCCAATGCTGCTCGGGCTCCGAGTAATCGATCTTCCGGTGAAGCTTGCGATATGCTTCTGGTGAGGATGTCGTTTGCATAACCCTCATGCCGAGCTAAGGCATTGATCGCAGCGAGGGCATCGAGGATTGATTCCGGGGAGAGGTTCCCCAAGAGAGGGTCTTCATGAGCCGGTAGATGTTGGAGATGTAGCCTGCGCTTCGGGGATCGCAATGGACTATGGGGAGACGGCGGCGGAGGAATGCGGACTGTAGAGAACGAGAAGGAGCGACTGTCGGACATTGTAGCCATCAAAGGGGTTTTACATACAACCCAGTATGTAAGCTATTGAATTCTTCACTCGATAGCGATATGGGAAACGTTCGGCCGTAGATGCCCTTTTAAAAAGAAATAAGTAGACTTGTGATACTTCCAGCCAAGCATGCTGAGCTGATGTGATGTGATTGTTGTGTCTGCCGAGTTCAGCTCCGCGGGAGCGGCTTGATGGTAGAAAGACAAAGCTGATAGTCGGAGGGCAGCGATCGTGAGAAGAGCACGATGGTGATAGATTTCGACCAAGGCTCAGCGGATTGCTTACAAAACGAGTGGGGTGGCTGGTGGTTAATGAATGGCACAGTCATACAATCGAAGGAGCGTGCTGCAAGGTGGAAGACGTCGGCGGTTAAAGTGTGCGTGTGGGATAACGAGCGATATTTTGTCTCCGATCGCCGAGGAAGGTTGGTAAAAGCGAACAAAAACTGAGGAATTTATAAAGTCGAGCACGTACTACAGAAGAAACAAATGCGAAAGGGGCTTGGTTAAGCAGCCCGGAAATATTTTGGAGATTGAAGATAATAGATTGAGATTTGATATGGCGCTTGCCTGTTTTGATCGCACTATTGACTGGCGATGGCCCATTTGTCATCGCCTAGTTTATCTGGCAACAGAAAGCCTCCGGCGTCTTCAAGATATGAAGATCCGAAGCCCATTAAAATTTGATTAAATTAATTGTTCTTCATATTAACACTTTAACGATACGATGACAAAGAAGTTGTCAGCGTGAGTACTATTTCTCCTTACCGCGTCCCACGCGTCACGCAAACAAATGCTCCGGCCAATCAGCGCTCTCTATTCGGCTGCTCTTCTGATGAGCCTCAGGCACTAAGTCAGGCGGACCTATACCACCAAGCCCAGCCGTAAGTGATCCCTAATCTGGAGATTTTTATCTTCATTAGGCTCACTGTTGCATAGCAGCCTGAAGAAAGCTTTGAGATGACTCGGCATTAAATAAATGCTCCGCAGCCCATTGACCCTTGTTGATCGCCTCAAGTGCCCGGGGGAACATCGCTTGCTCGTACTCTACAACTGCAGAGTCCAGGTCATCGATTCCGTGCTTGATGATCTGTCTAGCCAATTCGACGCTGTCGTGCAAGGCACTATTGACACCATCTCCGCCCGGTCCGCTGGAAGACCAAATTGTTAGCAGGGTCTTTGGCAACGCGGATAAACTGAGTCCTCTTACGTTAAGTGTGCAGCGTCTCCAAGCAATGTCACGCCAGGAACGTGTTCCCACGGCACCGATGTTCTTGGGATAGAATACAATGGCCAAGATCGATAGCCATGGGTGGCAGACTGGATCAATGCCTTGATTTCTGGAGACCATTCGGCATATTCATACTGCAACAATGACTGCCACAAAGCCGCTGGGTCGTGAAGTCTCGTGGGATCTGGGTTCCAATTTTCAGGGAGTTTCATTCCCACTGCGAGATGGTAGGAGCCATCGCCCAGATAGTGTAGAAAGAACTGCCTTCCTTTTCTGAGGGCTAGGTAGTTTCCATTGCCGACCATCGAGGTCAATGAGGAATAGTATGGATTGTCTGGCTTGAGGAATGTGGTGAAAAAGTGAGTACCGAGATATTGAGGCTCAGCAGGTGTGAGCTATTTATTGCCATTAGTTGGGCTATTCTTCTTGATATTGAGTAAGAGTTGGTGCTTACCAGTTTCCTAACTTTAGACCAAGCACCATCTGCGCCTACAATGAGGCGAAACCCAGACTCAACACCGCCATTTGCATAACAAATTGAATGTGCTCCATCGCTCTCTTTCTGCACACGCTCGATCTTGCACCCCCATCGAATTGTGCTCGCCTTAATAGAGTCGAGAAGAAGTTTTTGCAAATCTTTTCGATCAATTTCTGGCTTGTCTTCATTGCTGTCTCCGGAGACGGTAGCAAACACAATTTCGCCTTGAGAATCGACGAATTTCACTGGCACGCCCCAGCGAGCGATTCTTTGGAAATCTTCCATCAAGCCAGCTTCTTCTAAAGCAGCCTGTCCTGAGCCTTTGTGAATGTCCAGAGTGCCACTGCTAGAATGCTCGTCGGCCCATAAGGCAGACTCAGCTCGCTCAAAAATCATGTATGGAATATTGGCGAGCTCAAGCAGTCGTGCAAGAGTGAGTCCAGCTGGACCGGCGCCGATGATGGCGATAGGTGCTTGCGATGAAGCCATTACAGGAGGTGGAATGAATCCTTGGTGATTATATTCAGTTATTTGTTTTAAGAACTCTACTAGACCAATTACTGATTTATATATACATCACTGCCTAGTTACGAGTTGTGAAATTCGGACGACTCGCGATCTTAGGGTTGCGTGGATAACGAACGCCTCGGGAGCGAATGGCCTCGCACCCGAGTACAACCTCACCATAAATTCCGACGTCCAACAACCGACTGATGCTGCAAATCCTTCTTGCAGTATACAATCCTAAGCTAAGAAAAGTGAGGGTCAAATCTTGAATAATGGCAAAAAGGATTTGAAGACTTCAGGTAGGCACGGGCTAAAAACTCTGCTTCGTTCCAAGAACATGCGATGAACTGCACCCAATACGGGAAAGCCGTCATAATAAAAATGCATCTAGCACGACCGAAATGCTACGTGTCATCTAAGTATCTGGTCAGTTACTAGGCATTCTTGTCAAATGCTTTCGAATTTTAGGGCTGAACGGGACGTGGACTTAGCATAAACACAGATCACTATGATGCAATAAAGCTAAACTCCAGAGATGACGGATTTATGTAAACAAGTCTGAAGACGCAGGGTTTAATCTCTCAAATGAAGCTTCAGCCCAGTATCTAATATCTACCTAGCCAGCTATGGTGGAACGAAATCAGTATGCAGATACCTCTGAGACACCTTCAGTGGCATCGTCCGTTGGGCCGCCCAAAGCCCTGGGAGAAAGTAAGCATTCATCACCAACACAAGAGCAATCTAAATGCTAAACGAGCACAGAGATATTGGCCGACGTTCCAACAGAGCTATTGACCGAGTTGAAACGCCTCAAGGAAATGTTCATCGTGGATCGGGAGAAACTGAAAATCATCACTCAGCATTTCGTAGGAGAACTGGAAAAAGGTGAGACTTTCAAGAGCAATAAGTTCTACTGATATGAGCAAGAGCTGCACTAATAAGAATCAGGCTTGACGGACAACGGTGGCGATATCGTAAGTTTGGCGTGTTTGATTCTTAATGCTCTCAGCAATCAGCACTGACAAGTGAGTACAGCCTATGAACGTGACATGGTCATTTGGGTATCCTACTGGTCATGAAACCGGTAGTTATATTACTATAGACATGGGTGGTACCAATGTACGAGTGTGCAATGTTGTCTTGACCGACGATAAAGGGGGTGTGGACCTCATCCAAGAAAAGTTCCTTATGCCAGAAGGCCTCAAAAGGAGCAATGCAGAGACACTGTGGGATTTTCTTGCCGATTGCACTGCCCAGTTTCTGGAGAAACATAATCCAGGCACCAAGGAAGTGCTACCGCTCGCTTTTACGTTTTCATTTCCGCTGACACAGCCCAACATTCGAAGTGGAATTTTGCAGAGATGGACCAAAGACTTTGACGTGGATGAAGTAGAGGGCGAGGATGTCGTTCCGCAGCTGGAGAAAGCATTCAAAAAGCAGGTATGTTGTCGTATTATTACCCTCTGAATCATCTTTTAACGAAGTACAGAATTTACCAGTCACAATAGTCGCCGTTGTTAATGATACGACCGGCACCCTTATTGCTTCTGCATACCAAGATCCGCATATGAGGATCGGAAGTATCTTCAGTACCGGTGTCAACGCAGCCTATTTGGAAGTATGCGGTGCGATCCCCAAGATCAAACACTACGGATTACCGCCTGATCTTGAAATCGCAATCAACACAGAATATGGCGCCTTTGACAACTCTCAAAAGGTCCTACCACGGAATTCTTTTGATCGCATCATTGACGAAAAATCTTCACGACCAGGGCAACAATTGTACGAAAAAATGGTCGCTGGGCTGTATATTGGAGAAATCCTTCGTCTTGTTCTGCTTGACCTGCATGAAAGTAATTATATTTTTAGGGGTCAAGATGTCTCCTATCTTCGACAGAAAAATTCTATTGATTCACTATTCCTGTCGACTGTCGAAGAAGACAAATCGGATGCGTTGCACGACATTGCGTTCATTTTCAACAGTGCTCTGAATATCAAAGCGATCGATTACGAGTTGAAAGTAACCCGCTACTTGACCGAATTGATTGCGACTCGCTCCGCTCGACTATTCTCGTGCGGCATTGCTGCCATCAGTAAAAAGAAAGGCCTGGAAACTTGTCATGTAGGTGTCGACGGATCTGTATTCACTAAGTATGCCCATTTCAGAAACAGAGCTGCGCAGGCTTTGAAAGAGATTTTAGGATGGCCAGAAGATTCGTCAGATCCTATCTCTCTTCATTCGGCAGAGGATGGGTCAGGGGTTGGGGCAGCCCTGATAGCGGCGTTAGCGATGCAAAGATCTGACGGCGTTGAAGCGAGCAAATGTGGCCGATGATACGTGGCAAAAACAGTAGAGCCGCTGTTCTAGAGCTTCTTGCTAGATTGATCAACAAATGAGTGACAAATATTAAATATCTAGATTTTAAGTAATCAGAGCGACGACAACGATAATGATGGTTGTCCTGTAGATTAGGAGTAAGGCAAGGGCACAGTTCGACCCGGCCGTGCAGATTCATACATTCAGATGTTAATTGCTTTAGTCTATATATCCTATACTTGTATTCCATGATTAAAATGGTTCTAAACTTCTGTTTTTGTCACTTCCTACTGAACAGAAAAGATGCGGTAGGGTTAGGGTTAGAAAATACAGTGCACGGGCCAAGTAATCACTCTTAACCTCTTAACGCGCCGTCCMCCTCCCGCCGCGACCACCACGCGTAGACTCTGCTCTTCCCAAAACTCACTCGATCAACGACCATGCCTTTTTGTTGAAAGTTCGTCTTTATCTCACTCGCTTGAGACACCTTAGAATAACCAAAGATGCGGTTTAGAAGTCAGCTGACCAATGTGGGCACCTTTGCAAGTAAGGCATCATAACGCTCCACTGAAAGTTTGCATCTGACCATGAATTTCATAGAACTTGCCGCCTCTCTCAACTCTTTGGGGAAAATATGCTGGATGAGGCTGGAACGAGAGACAGTGCATTTTACTATCATTCCAGATCAAGGAACACAAGTCTGGGCTGTGTTACCGGCGGTCAGTTAAAGCCCTCTTCACTACAAGAGTTTCAATGCTGACTGCGCGATCAGGAAGCTATCTTTGATGAGAGTTATGTACTTGAAGCCGCAGCTGGTGCTGTCAATCTCGAGGTTCCTATTGCCGCACTTTCCCGTGCTCTACGGTCTGCAATTGGCGACAAATCTGCTCAATTACGACTGACTCGCAAAGGCAACGTCCCGCTTCTTGCTCTAACTGTTGTGTCGTCTTCTTTAATTCCAGGAAATATTCCTGTTGGTTCTGAAGTCGACGAGTTTGGTGAAATTGACCATGATCAGGTCCAGTCGAATGCGCGTGCGAATGCCCCTCGTGAGCGCGAAACAGTGATCACACAGGAAATACCAGTCAAGGTGCTGCATCAATCCGCAGTTGAAGGCTTACATGAGCCCCGCTGTCGAGATCCTGACGTTCATATCATCTTACCAAATCTAGCACAGCTCAAAGCGATCTCAGATCGCTTCACAAAACTTGCAGCGAGCAATGGTAAATCGAGTGGAGGAGCCTCGCTGGCGTCCGGCACAACTGGCCCCAAACTGCAATTGAGTGCCAATATGCATGGCTCACTGAAGATTGGAATTGCAACGGACTCATTGCGGATCTCAAGTGTCTGGACAGGATTGACCAMCCCGCCACTCGATCCAAGACAGATGCAGGGAACAGATATTGACCAGCTTCCCAGTGAGCGGATGAGACAGCTCGGTAATTCGGCCGATGATGACGATGGAGCGGGGTGGGCAAAAGTAAGAATTGACGGTAAAGATTGGGGAAAGGTACTAAGCGTGGGTCGACTAAGCCCTAAAGTTGTGGCTTKTAGGTCTCTCCACTCCGTTGCAAGCTTACGAGCTAAATAATCGTACAATCAGGTGTCATACACGAGACAGCTTTGATACTCTACGTTTATTTACGTGGCGGACTTTCAGGAGAGGAGTCATGTTTAACGGTTAGTTCATCAAGTCTATTTCCGGTCTGCTCTTGCTCACCAAATAGTACTATATTAACTCCTACTCAACTTGAACTTGAAGCAATATAATACGGCACATAAAGTTTGCACAACTCGATTCCTTGCAGGAGGAAATATACCTCAAGCTGAAGCGTTATGGCTCTTCGAGCAACTAAGCCAAACGAAGTGAACGGTCAACAATTGAAACTAGGCTACGGGTTTGACATACCATACGTCAAATGGGTCATCATACGATCATTGCTTGCATTGTGGCAGAAGCAACTATTGGCTACTTTGAACGCTAACGGCGTTGGGTAGCCTGGACTTGCTGCTTGTGCTATTTGATAGGCTGAGTAGCGATTCCTATCTGGTTCAAGTAACTTTGCGTTATATGGAAGGGTTTCTCGGATGATCGTCAACGCCCTTAGAGATAGCAAACAGGGGTGCGATTGACATGGTGACGGTCATTGGATATCACATTCGATATCCGCTAACACAGCGATTCAAATAGTCGCAACCACCCAGGAGAAAAGACATTTGCTCCTTGCGATGGAAGATTATATGCCTCGCTTTTTGAACTTGATCGAGACTGAGTATTGCACTATCATCTTCACTCCATCGCATAGKCACCCAGGTAACTGTTCGGCTGAGACTTTATTGATGCAAAATTTGACGGCAGGACGTTGTCACGGATCGGATTGAGACGTCGCATAAACAGTCACTATGTCTCGCATTAGAGCGATCACACAAGGAATCGTTGAAGAAGCATCCTATTCTTTCCAGAAAATATGGAATATGAGAGTGCAGCTACCAGTTGTCGGATATTGGAAAAACAACCGGGGGTCTTTAGGAGCCCAAATAATGTTAGTATTCCAGAAAGAAAGAGCAAAAAAGCTGGAACTCTGCCACGGACCTGGAACAATAGTAAAGGGAAAACTACTGGATCAAAACTCGGCGGGCGCGAATGTGATGTGTTATCTCGGCCACCAGGATAATCGGACAGCGCTATTTTGATGTGGAGGTGCCCAGATGCAAGGGGTCGGAGCCATCAACTTTATTTGTACAGGGAAATTTCCCCCCATCCTCCCCACTCGATATATTCATTGCTGGATTATTCGATGGAACCACCTGTTTGCATCTCGTCCTCAGGGCACTGACGCATCGAAAACATGCATTTGGCAATTCTTGTTTGTCGCTTACGCATCGACACCACTTATCTGGCTGGCCCTGCAGCCAAGCTCAGACCTTCGACTAGTTACTTACTGAGCGACATCCTTTAAACGCTGTCTGTCATGGCTAATAGTGTTAAAGACCATGCGAGGGACGATGGATCGGAAGATTACCAATCGTTTCTCTGGGTCGACCTTTTTCATTGCAAATTTTCAATGGATAAACGCGAACCTTTGCCGACTATCCTAACATGTCCGTGATATGTGATAAAGGGAGGGGGGACGTCCCAATAATTTAGTTGATTCTTCTTAAAAGACAATGGGTAGTCTATTTCCAATGACCCAATTGCATTTTAATTCATTTATTCCCCTCAAGCCCTTGTGTATGTACCACAACATCTGAACACCATGCAATGCCAGCACTGCCCAAAACGTTTCTTTGATAGGTAAGATGTCGTTCTTGATCATAAATCTACTTCCTTTTTTGATGTTTCTCGTTTGGTTCTGACTGGGAATATCGCAGGAACGAGTTCGACCTTCATAGCCAATCTCACAGTGACCGACAACAAACAATACAAGACCCCAATACAGAAATCGGAGCATTCCTCCTGGCGAACGCTCCAGAGGGGCCGCGAAGAAGCGTTCTACAAGCGTCAACTTTACTATCACATTGGCATGTTACGGGAGGGAAGAGTATGAATAATCTTGCACTTATGGATCCGCGAGACACTGATTGGGGTATATAAGATTACGATCAAGCGAGTGCAGATATCAAACATTTTCAAGATGTTCTTCGAAAATTTCCACCGAGACCTAATAAAGACCTATATACGATAGAGCTCGAAGATGTTTCTTGTGCTGACTGCGATGCAATTTTCTCATCCAGGTGAATATCCTCCCAAGATGTGTGATTATCAGGACAGAGTTAATGCAAAACAGTGCCGAGTTGGACAATCATCGCTTTTCGAAGTTTTGTCCTGGCGCAGCGATCGTGGTTCACGTCATGATGAGAGATAAGTAAGCCGACACCGTCTTCAGCATGACCGAGCACAGCTGATATTGAGTCATATTTTAGTCTCATCAATAAAGGCTATAGAATTGAGAAAAGATTAATACCTCTGGAAGGCTATCCTCTCAGAGTGCCTTGCAATAAGTGCAAAGATGTTTTTCCGAGCGACGAAGCGAAAGAAGCGCATGAGAATCTACGTATGCTGCAAGAATCACTAAGAATATAGCTCATTGACTGATACTTACTAGATCAAACACACGAGCTCACATGCGTCCAATGTGGTCAAAAATGCGATACCCCGTACGTTTCCCACTTGGTGGCGGCATTAGTCACAGAAGCTGATTCTGTACAGATACGAATTACGACTACATTATGACTATCACGATGATATGGAATTTCGACAAACTAGAAAGGAGGTCAGCTCCAGCAAATCCAGCCACCGAAGAGCCTCCAGTCATCCGCAGATCAATCACGGAGGTTCAATATCCATTCCATTGAGCCCTACGGAGAACGCTATAAGGCGGATACACAAGCGGAAGTCGCAGAGACTACTTGATGTCTGGTCTTTGAAAAGTAAGTACATCAATGTTGTTGATGGGACAAGGCTGATTAAACTAGAAGCTGGAAAAGGCGAGGAAGGGGAGATTGTGGCCATGGCTTTCTCACTTCCTGAAGATATGGAAAGAGGTAACTATTCGCTCTCTAGATTTAACATTATGTGAATGCTAAAAGTGGACCAGTTCATGCTATCGATGGGAGACTACAGGACGTGGAAGCTCGTGCTGTCGTCAACTTTCCCATCACTCAATTCACGACATGGCTTGATATGAGGGATAATGGTATGCGATTGCGCTACATTACAATACTGAGTCTTGATTGACCAACTGTTTCAGACGAAAAATGCCTCGATTCGCCAACATGCAGCGAGAAAGACAGCCTATCGGAAAAAGGACGGCCGTCTCTCGATGAAGATAAAGCTGCTGTTGCACCCCGCCGAATGTCTCTGCTCAAATCCGTCCTTGGCTTGAGATTACCAAAAAGTAAGGTGAATACCCATCAATGAGCTATTGACTGCTGACGTGGATAAGGACTATCTAGATCAGATACGTCAGCGAGCCAGCCTCGTAAATTGATGAAAAAGGAAAATTCCGTACGATTCTCTTTCGTGTCGAAGCCGAAGAAAAGTGGAGAGACAACGAGAAGCGAAAGCCGCATCAGCAATAGGATTCTTGAACCATCAGAAAAGACGATGGACCTCGGGTTACCGCGTATGGACGAAACCGGTGGCAGTGACGGCAATCCGTTTATCCATGTACGAATCTCGGCGGATGGGGCCATTGTCGAGGACAAGTCTGGACGACGCCGCGTGCTTCAGATGGAACAAATAGCTCACATTTATTCCGTGGTGTCTGCAGATACGTCACTTGCCTCTATCAAATCGCGCATCACCTCGTTACAATTTCGCGCTGAGACGGATCTAGAAGGCGAGAACCCGAGGGATGCTATCCTAGCATACAAGGAAATCCTAGATAGTCTTAGTAGGTATCCGGCCCTGGATACCAATCTCCGCATACGATCAGGCATCTATCACCGATTGGGATCTGTATATAGCTCTCTCGGGGCGGCTGGAGAGTCAGAGTATTACTTTCTCAAGGCCTTAGCGATATACAGGAGGATATATGGACGTGACCAGAGCGTTATTTATGCTTTACTCAACGACATTGCTAAACTGTGCGAGAAGGATGGATATGCGACAGAAGCCTCAGCTCTCTACGAACGAGTACTGGCTGGTCGATTGAGGGTCCTAGGACACAATGATCCGGAGACACTACATTCCATGCAGGAGTTAGCCAGCATAAAAACGAACTTGGGAGACGTTGAGTCAGCGCTTCAGCTCCTTGAAGATGCTGTCCCGGCATTTGAAACTGTCTTGGGTTTACAAAATGAGAGTACATTGGTTGCGATGAGTCACTTATCGATTCTATACCAAAAGCTGGGCTTGAAAGAAAAATCGCTCGCTGCATCCCGGAAGATACTTCCATACTGCAAAAATGTCGTTGGTTATGACAGCATCTTGACAAGAAACACGGTTATCAGGTATCTCGAAGAATCCGAAAGCTTCGACTTCCCGACAGATGTAAAATCGATACTCGATCACTATCGACGATCTCGATCTGCTGAGAGTTTTCGCGTGCTCCAGACTTTGGGTCGGGCCTATATGGATTCTGGTCTAAACCGAGACGCTTGTGAAGTCTTTTTGTCTCTATTAGATGAGACGACTGGAGCCAAGGAATTGGATTCGCTGGAATTTTTCGATGCATTGAGCGCTTTATGCGTGGCTTTAGAGCATCTGGGACATTTCGATGAAGCCATCAAAAACTATGGACAGCTTTTGCAATCGGCGCACAAAATGCCCTCAGATCATCCCTCACGGTCTCGTATGGATTACGCTAGGAGTCGAGTGACGGATTTAATTCATCGACGTGAGGTTTTGACAGCCGAAAGACGCGCATGGGAGATGTTTGAAGATGGACCTTGCACATATTGTCAATCGAAGACAAAGTCCTTATGTAACAGTGAGTTTTCATTCCCTAGTTCAAAGGAACTGCCAAGATTCCTTATAGCTGATCCTTCAAGCTTGTCACATTGTCCGTTTCTGTAGCGCTGCTTGCCATGACAATGGGCGCATAAAGCACAAATTATCCTGCATTCCGTCCGTGACACTTCGCGAATCTAGATCCGTTGCAATCACCCCACGGTGTCCTCCAGCTGTGCAGAATGATGCTCTCAGCATGATTCTTCCTGCTGAGAGAGGCAGTACACCCCCAAGCATCACAGCGAGTCATACCGTATACCTCGATCCACGAAATTTTACAACTTTCCGCATGAAACTAAGTTCCAACGTCAACACGCTTTTGGTATTCTCCCCAGAAGCCGATATCAGATATACTATTATCGGCAATTTATCCGAGTCGGGCTCCGACCAAGTCTCCCTACCAGCATCAGCATCCGTCTCCATATCTGCGGGGAAGAAGCCCTCGAATAGGACGACATCCACCCTTACAGGTCATGAATGGCTCACACCCGCACAACAAGAGTCAGTATCAATCACACCAATGGAGCAGTCCGCTGCCATATATCTGGTCGTAGCGCCAGGGGAGCAAATGATGAAGAGCCTCGTGGAGAAAAGAGTGCGAGCTCGCAGTGGCGATGGAGAGAAAGAGTATTTTGAGGCACTAGATATTCCAGACTCGAAACTTATTGAGTTCGCGCAGGGTTTAATGATGAATGGATATATGGGTGAGGCTTTTTTATATATTGTTGGGTGGATGTAATATGAATCCTTCTCTTTCTACATAATGAGATTCATTCCATGAGATATTTTTGATAGTTGATACTAAAAGTAGGTTATGTTGATGAACAAGCTGCTAGATGGAAAAATCTATCTCTCACAACTCCATGGCCGGGTTCTGTAGAAATGAGGCACTGAGCTGCATCACAAACGCAAGTCATCCTTACTTTTCCCAAGAACCCATAGTATCTCCTGCACAATCACATCCGGCCGAAGAAGATTGATATTATGCCCACACCCGGAAACCTCAATCCACCGTGCATTCGACGAAAGTTGCAATTGCTCGCGCTGCAACTCCTCGGACCAGGCATCCCACTTATCTAATAGCCCTTTGAACGCCTGACGTTGCTCAACAGTACCATTCCCAGCCTCCACGCCAGCCTCGTACATCTTCTCATAATCTCGGAATGACTGGCATTTTATCACACTCAAAGGTCTGTTTTCTAGCACTTGCCCCTTGAACTGATTCTTTTCACCTAGCTGCGCACACACTATTTCATATCCTGCAACCTCAGCCTGTATCGCAGGCGCACTTTGACTCATTTCAATTGCTCTCGTCCTCCACTCATCAGACGACAGCTGTGCATTTGCTCTCAGCCCCGTAACAGCGGAGAACTTGAGATTACCCATAACAGCATTCATATTTGGATCCGGAAGACGGAAGTACTCCGGTTGCCGCTCCGTGGAGGCGTCGGCAAGGACCATACCGGCTACTTGATTTGACCTCAAATGTAGAAACTCTCGCGCAACGATGGCGCCATATGAATGTGCGACGAGAACATATGGCCCAGTGATACGAAGCGCGTTAAGAAGTGTGCAAACCTCTTCTGCTGCGATGATTGCTGCTCCTTTGTTATCCACGTTGGTATCATTTGTACGGCTTTCGCTTTTCCCAAGACCGGTTCGATCGTATACCAAAATACGTGCGAAGCGGGATACGTTTTCTTGAACTCTGGGCCAGGAGGAGGATGATTCGCCTGCCCCAGGGAAGATGATTATTATTGGGTCATTGGTCCATGTGGTAGAGTACCCCGCAATAGGGTCGGTATTAGAAGCATTGGATTGTGGTCGAGCATGGCGAAGCGGACCGCTTACTGAGACAAATAGGCGATGTGTACCGATGGATACTAATGATGAGAGGGAGGCCGAGGTCTCCCATGTGGAAAGTAGGTTGGTCATTTCGTTTTGGTTTGATTGTTAATGGAGAGGGAATGTTGATTCATGCCTGTCGCGATTCAATATACTTAGTAGTTCAGCCCCAAGGGTTTTTGTTCCATTGGCCGCTCTAGCCTTCCGTGCCTAGTAGCCATAACATGTCCGGTCCGGTAAAAAACTGGAGATGACCATCGCGGATGTGGTGATGACATTGGACTGCAGACATATCGAAGTGTAGTTTATCAATTTAATTTATACGGTAGTGGCTGTGGTATTTGACTTTATTAGGAGATTTGGAAGCTCGAAACAGCGAGGCGTGCCAAAGATTTATGCACGATTCACGAACCGTGCTATCTTGCTATATGCAAACTGCATTGCGCTCCTCACTGGGGACCCCATACTATTGTCAAGTGTTAAGGAACAATAATATTATTCATATTACTATAATCAATAGCATAGGTAGGAGTAACTCTTGATATACAAAATTTTCAAACGATCAACAGGATAAACAGCTAAGATATAGGTCTTGTAAATATAAAGTATTATGATAGTATCTCATGTAGCCAAGCTATCAATAATGTCTTTGAAGACATTGGGAAAAAAAGCCCCTTAGTGAGGCTCCCGGTATTGAGTCATCTTTCGGATACCTACTTTGGTATATCATCTATTTGTCTCGGGACAGTTGAATTATCTTCCTGATCTCTCGCGTCGTCTTCCACAAATTGAATGAATACTCCCGGGTCTTCTGGAAAGAATACCAGCCCCAGATCAAGTGCCTGGTCGAATTTTGTGTGGCAATTTATACATAATGCAAGAGCATTGCACTCTTTTTTGCTATAGATCCAAGTTGATCAGTCCTTTCCGGTCCCAAATTTGTCACTATGAAGAAGGATTCGCGATACATAACAGGTCACTACAGGGCGTCAATAAAGGGCACTACTGAGGACCCATTACGGAAAATCCACTCACCAAGGGGGGGCATAACACGGTCCAACTATGGGGGCTACGAGGCCTTATTATAGAGATAGCACCACTACATGCAAAATTAAATTCAAAGACTCTCCGTAGAATTGAAACACCAAGGGAAGCTGTGTAATCTTTATCGTAGCAAATGTGTATGAATTTTTCTGGTTACAAATAAAATATCTGGGTGGGTTAAAGATAGGTGACCGCCCAAAATATACGGCATGCCGAAAGTTTAACACGATTCATGAATCATATTATTTTGCTATCAGATCGTTTATAAAAACTGAAATCTAAAGCTTAAATGGAACCCGATTGATCAGAAGGGCGCTTTACATGATAAGATATGCTTCGCATCAGGTAATCTTCAATCATGGCACGCTCAGCCCAATCCCCCAAGCCCAATACCACCCTCTGATAGTCCAAATTCATCAAGGTAACAAACAGCAATATTGATGATATCGACCCACTAAATTCACAGCACGAGTAGGAGTGACTCCTAAAATCTAAGATAGTCAAACGATCAGCAGCTCATAATGATGTAAAAAGCTCATTGGTAGACGTAGATTTCGGGATCTGATATCCCATTTTGGAAACCAGATACATCAGCCAATAGCATCGCGAAGGGTCGGATAGTGTAAAATGTATAGAATCAACTTATTTCTCTTTGATGATGGTGTGGAATAGGTTGAATGGTGTAGTCATTGAAACATTCGACAATTCTATAATCATCGAAAGTTGAAAATGGCAGAATTGACTCGCACGTTGCCCGCATCGTGGTATTGTAGTTCGCCGTTGTACCAGTTGGAAAGACGAGCCGTTTTTCTGAAGGTGTGTTGCTATTGCCTCTTTGGTTGCAAATGAATGCTAAGTTTATCGTGATAGTCATGGTACTTGATCGGACCAGTTGTCAGATTCTTAAGTGTGGACGAAAAAGTCAGCTTCGAGATCGCACAGCAAAACATCTATGCTGTACGAGTCTCTGCAACCACAGAGTTTCCAGGTAATGACGACTTGAAAGTTTATGAAGCCAGCACGGTATGCATGTGTTTCATTTTGAAGTATTTGTTACTGATGTGTCCGTACCTAACAATACATGGATCTAGGGAAACCAACTACCTAGCCATGTCACTCCAACAGGACTCTTATTTGCAGCATTAAGCTCATCTGCACCTACATTCCACGAGTTCTTCCCCAACCTTGAGAAGCTCCTCGCCAAAGTCGACTTCACAAAGCGTCCTTGGAGACGTAGCATCAAATACGAAGGAAACTTCAACTGGAAGACAATGGTTGATGGATATCAGGAATGTCTGCATTGCCAGTACACCCATCCGTCATTTAGTGTCTACTATCCTCCGACTTTTTACACGGTATATAATCATCAGAATTTCTCGCAGCATGTTGCGGATCCGAAGAAGCCGGATGATGGGCTATTCCTGTATTTCTTCCCAATTTGTACGCTGAACGTCTATGGCGGAGGAATGAGTTCCTTCCGCGTGTGTCCTACTGAGGAGCCAGGCGTCACAAGGATGGAATTTGACTACTATCATGTCGAAGAAGGTGCAAAATTTGAAGACTACTATCAGTTCACCAGACAGGTTGCCATGGAAGACTTTGAGTTGTGCGAAAAGGCACAGACGAATCTGGAAAAGGGTGTTTACGGAGAGGGTATCCTGAATCCAGAGAAGGAGAGCGGTGTTGCATGTAAGTATACTTCTCAATTCTGGGAAATATAGCTCTTTCCCTTCTACTTTTGCTAATACGGTATGCTACAGATTACCAAGAAAGAGTTTTCGATCTCGTCCGGCAACAATTTGAGGAAGAGAGGAACAAGCATGACACCGATGGCGACAGATCAGTAGTGCAATCGATGCCTACCTCAAGAGTGATTGAAGCAGAGGCCTGAGCGAGTCTGACAACAACATATTTTGAGCTAATTCGTGGATCGTTGATACGAGGATAGCCTGGGTGAAGCTAAGCATTTTCGAGATATTCACAAATTCCTTCTAAATACTAGAGATTATGGTTATCTGTGATATCGCTACTAAAATGACGTAAACTCCTTGCGATCAACTCTACGTTTTGCGGGTCTGTTTCAAAGAGGAAAACACTTCCTATTTCGGGAATTATTCTTGACTCTAACGCTGATTCGTCGCCTTCTGAATTGTAAGCGTGCCACTTAATCAAAATTAATGCTTAGCTGCATGTCAATAGTCCAGGTGTATATGCCAATCTCAGAAGGATCACGACAGTACATCGCATTTACAAATCCAGATGCATTAGCCAACTGCTTAATGTTTCTGGTCGATTAATGACTCAACGCTCCGATGTGCTATTTATCGGGGGGCTTCCTGTAGTTCATAAAATGCAGACATTCATTTCTTATTCTGAGGTTCAAATGGTTGCATTACCTCCCAAAGCTGAAAATGGCAGAAACATTGTCTTTCCTCGTAGGAATCTTGGTTGGTGTGGTCTTGGGCACCACCATGATTCTTTCGTTCAGCAGATATTTCGCCCTCAACGACAATACCGATAAATCTGGAAAAAATTTGAAGGAGTCCAAGACCGCAGAAATTAATGTCAAATCCGAACCAGAGTCTGCTGTTACAAAAGAAACAGAGTTTCCTCCCAACTGGTTTTCTTCAGCCGATAATTTCAACCTCGAAACACGTGCTATATTTTCAAAGGTTGATAACCCAAAACAGAGCCGAGTCATTCCATAAAAATCAAAGACATGACTTTAAGTAGAGAGAAGGGCATCGCTAATCATATGTGGCGTTTTCCACATTCCCCTTATAGTGCTGGATTTTCCTTACTCATACAAGCCGCTTCTCGAAACCAGGCGACTACCACACATTCACCTTATGCGGCTACTCGTTCTTCCTGATTCTAGGCAAAGATTACAAAATCCGCGCATTCCATAACGTATGTCGCCACCGAGCCTACACGGTTACCCGAAAGGAATCGGGAAGTAGTACGGTGCTAGGTTGCAAGTATCATGGATGGAGCTACGATGTTAAGGGACAGCTGGTCAAAGCGCCTATGTTTGACGGTGTTCTGGGATTCAGGAAGGAGGATAATGGATTATTTGAGGTTCCGTTGAGGGTAAGTGAGGGCTCCGGTATGGTTTGGATTAATTTGGATGCAGCGAGGATGAGTGAGGGCATTGGTGATGATGGAGAAAGATGGGAGGGAGAGACGGTGGACTCGTTCTTGGGATTGGAACCAAAGAAGTGTCGTTGGGTTGACGGAAGGACGGTTGAAGGAGGGTTTAATTGGAAGAGTGCTGGTGAGTATGTTGAATTGCAAAGAATTTGAAGGGTAGTTTGACGAGTGGAATAGTCAACACAGAAACCTTCAACCTTGGAGTTCCCGACTTACCGACACCATCTCTATTACGGATCTGGTTAGGGAAGCAACCAAGTGATACACCTTCACTACGCTCATTTCCTTGTTCGACTGCATACAAGCTTCCCGACACGAATCTATGGTACTCGGTTGTTTTGATGCCATCATCATCGACCAAGACGCACATTCGTTGGGACCTCTACTCAACCTCGAGCAAGATTAACACAGTCATTGAAAACGCAATTGTCTCACAGATTGAAGGAATGATAAGCACACAAGCCAAAGCTATGGAGAATTCAGCCCAGTTTATGGATGATGGTAGTAAAGGTATTTCAATTCGTCATTTTCATCAATATACGCTCTATTTCATCTTGATATTTTTTTTATTTGCTGATTCAAATAGAAATTCAATCGGAAATTCTTGTGCACTTGAAAGCTCATCTGAGGGTCGAAAGAGCGCTAGGAAAAGAAATTACCCCTGCAATGAACAAGGCAAAGACAAGCGAAAAATTTCTACAGGCGGAAACTTGTAAGTCCTATAGTAGACCCGCTATAGTGAGAAGGGTATCAATGCTCATTCAATTTGTATAGTATGCAAGGAACTGGATTGTCTGAATGGTGATAAGTCAGGAACAACCAGCAAACGACAGGATATTTTGGCTTGGTAACGGCTTGCTTTTKATTTTTCTTCACGAACATAATATGTTGGAGTATGCCGCTGTGACATATGTAGTCAAGAATCGGTCTAGGATATAGGGGTTGATGGATCTACGAGTCTATACTAATATGTACACCATAATAAAAGGGTTTATTAATCGAGAAACTCATTTATTCAATGTTGGAATCTTGGACCATAGATCTCAATGCAAGATGAAAATTTAAACAACTATAGATGCACTTAGGCAGAAGCTGCTTCAAACGCTTTTCTGTTAACAGGGGTCAAAGGCTCCCCCTTGAAATTTCCATCCTCACCAACGACAGCTATAATATTCTTCATCGCATTCAACTCAAAGTTGATTCTCGTCTCCAACGCACCACCGCCAATATGCGTCGTCAAAGTCACATTCTCCATTTTTGCCAGCACGGGCGAAACTTGGGGTTCGTGATAGTGCACATCCAGTGCTGCAGCCGACAGATGGCCGTTATTTAATGCTGTTATAAGAGCATCTTCGTTAAGTACTTGGCCACGGGCCGTGTTGACAATTCTGCTTCCCGGCTTCATGAGAGATAGTTGCTTGCTTCCAATCAAGTCTTGGGTATGCTTGTTTAGCGGCGTGTGTAGTGAGATGCAGTCGGCGACTTTGAGCAACTCATCCAACGATGAGTGATAAGTAGTTTCCAAGGCTTCCTCTTCAGCTGCCGGTGCGCGAACAATATCGAAGTAGTGAATCTTCATGCCTAACGCCGTTTTTGCTTTATATGCCAACTTCTTGCTAATATTGCCAAACCCGACAATACCTAACACATGATTTCGTGGGTTTCGTGATATAGTAGCAATCACTTTATGTGTGGCATTGAATGTTTCAACATCTGCAGTCCGAGCTGCTATTTGCGAGCGCGTAAAATTTCGGAAGACGCTGAGTACCATGTACAATGCGGTGTCGGATACGGCTTCGTCTGACGCGCCAGCTCCGTTGGCGTACCAGATCTTTTGAGCACCGAGAAGGTCGACATTTGCCCAGTTGAAGCCGGCGCCGGCAGAGGCGAATATTCTTACTGAAGGGGGGAGTAGAGGGATGAGTTCAGAGTCCCATTGGCCCATGAAACCGCCAGTTTGAAAATGCGGCCGGAATATAGCTGAGAAGGTGCCGTATCTTCCTCTTGTAAGACTTTAGATATAGACAGAAAGTTCGGGAAGAGCTTACTTTTTCGATTTCAATGCTTCGATGAACGACTCTCGGTCGGTTTCTGTTGCTTGAACGACATTAAATCGTGAAGCAAACTCGTGCTCGTAGAAATCATGGTTATACTTGATTGCGTCACCAATGTGAAGCACGGTTGGTTTGCTTGAGCCTGCTGCTCCCATGACTACTATGTTGTATGAGGACTTTCCGATATAGACTCTCGAATTATCATCGAGAGCGACAGCTGGTTCTTTTTGTAATTGCAACTCCAATTAAGTCAGCCTTCTCTACTACGATCTGTTTGGAGCTTTCCCAGAATAAATTACAATTGAGACTTTACCCCTCGCGGAACTTTATCCGGCTTCAGCATGCGAGCATGGCCATCGGAGAGAAAGCCGCCATACAATTGCTCAGTTTCGGCCCCGCGGTAAAACAATCACGAATCTAGTTATTCCAAATATTGTGACGCTTTTGTTGATACGGCTTGGGKACTTTCATGCATCCGAGAAGATTTATACATTTCGCTTCAGATGGAACAATGAACAATGACTAAGGTCATGGTCGGCGCTTTTGTAACCCTTGTCCTTTGAACCTACGAGCATCTACTGCCTTCAAGGATATTAATTTTACCGAAGTCACTCGGTCTTCATTTTGAGGAATCTCTATATAATATAATACTGTGTCTAGTATCATGCGCCTAATACATCAGGCAGTGTCTTCTCATAAGCTGCAAGTTCGGCCATCGACTTGATAGCCCATTCTTCTCGATCCTTCTTTGCAGGCTGATATGGTTTGCGGGGGTAGTAGACCTTCTCGCTAATACCCATATCACGACCATTAAAATAGTATGAAGCAAATTTGGTGAGCGCGATGCCTTCTTTGCACACTTTCTCCGCCTCTGCGACGACTCCTTGCAATTTTCGAGCCTCTTCTGTCTTACCAGCTGCCCACAAGTTATATAAGTGAGATGTAGATTTGGGAAAGACGTTGCCCATGCCAGTGACACAGCCCACTCCTCCGCCAATAAGACAAGGAAGAAGCCAGTCGGATGACCCGGCATAAACACTGAATTGTTCAGGAGTATATTGATAACTGAGCCGGGTGACCTTTCCCGCGTTACCGCAGGTGAGCTTAGTGCCGACAATGTTGGGGTGTTGCGCGAGTTCGGACATCACGTCTGAGCTCATATCGACACCATTTGTGACTGCAGGGAACTTTGTAATCATAATCGGGACAATTAGCTGGTTGAAAAGAAACGCGATAAAGAATACAACATACGCTGTAGATGACAACAGGTATCGGGCTGTTATCAGCCACCTCGCGGTAGAAACTAAGGATAACATCCTTCGTCACAGCCTTCGCCCAGTAGTTTGGTGGAAGTAGCAGCGCCCATCCCGCTCCAGCCTTTGCAGCATCCTCGGCCAACTGAATTGATTCATTGGTAGAATGTCCGGTGATACCAGCAACGAGAGGATAGTTGGGTACTCCGAGATCAGTAGCCGCCTTCTTTGCAACGCGAATCAATTCGATACGGTCGTTGGGTGATAATAAGACTGCCTCAGCATTTGTGCCTGCCAAAACAATTCCATGGACTCCGCCACGAATCATGTGCGAGAAATGTTTGTATGCTGCATCGAGATCAAGCTCTTGTCGCGGGGTGTCTTTGAATAGCGAGATGACGGGGACATAGACGCCCGGAGGCAGCTGTTTAGCTTTTGCGGCCAGAGCGGAAGGCATAGTGGGTGAAGTTTCATGTATGTAGTAGATGGAAGAAAGTTGTGCCAAATGTAAGAAAAGACCCAAAAGAAGAATGTCTTTAATACCTTCCCCAAGCGGAAAAGCCAAATGCGGGGAAGTCGGAGGAAAGGCCGATACGACGCCAAGCCTGCTGGATGAAAAGGGATTAAATACTCGCGGAGACTCTGCCGGTGCTTCTCCATCGCTTTACCGCCCGAACATGCCTCTTCCTCTTCATCTTGCTTGCACTGCGTTATTGCATCAATCGATCCATCGCATCGTGGAGATCCTATCGGGTTAATATCATCATGGCTCCCAAACGGCAGCGGCTCCAGGCCGACCCTCCTCGTGGAGGCCAACTTTCAGGCACACGGGGGGGCTCACCGCCAGATACAGGGCCATCGTCATCCTTCAATGACGCGACAAGAGGGGACCACGGCTTTCTTCCCCAGTTGCATGCCGATAACACTGCTACTGTTGTTTCTGCTAGTCCCGGTACTAAGATTGACATCCCTAGCGGTAATGGGCTCTCTTCGCATACCCACCAGCAAGTGCAACCGGCTGAGACGCCGATGTCTGCTCCGGCCCGAAATAGCAGTAACCCGGCCAACGTGTACGGCTCCTTACCAGGCATTACACGCAAGATTACTGCGTGTGCGGCTTGCCGGAAGAACAAGGTTGGCAATGACTTCTAATTGTCGCGTGCTTTGCTCAGCTAACGGGGGCCTAGATCAAATGTGATATGCCCGCGAGTGGGCCTCCGTGCACTCGGTGTCGGCGGAGATCACTCTCGTGTGTACTGAATCGAAGCTTACAATCATTATTGGAAGATACAAAGTGAGTGCTCGCTTTTTGCATATGTGAGCAGATGGCTTGCATGCTGCGACGTAACAGTTTTAGCAACAGAGACTAATATGATCACGTTCCGATAGAAACACGGATAACCTCAAAACAGACATTCAGAATCTTCATCGAACGTTAGAAAGAGTCTGTAACTACCTAAAACTTGACAATCCTGAGCCTCTGTTCAGCATTAATGGCGACCACCAAGCTCCCCCAGTCAACCAGGCCCGGTCGGATGACCAGGCTGCCAATGACACTGAAGGATGCGAAATTTCTCCGCCGGAGTCACCCTCTGCTTCGCATGCCCCAATCGACACATTCTTAGGAATGGCAAAGATGGGGAAGCCGCCATCTAGTGCCGGCTCGCCGCAGAACAGAAAGCGACCGGAGCTTCTGCGAGAGGATCTGATCAGCAGATCAATCATCTCGACTACCGTTGCGCAAACTCTATTAGATCGGTACTTTACGCGGCTAGACCATTACATATACGGCACTGCTGGCGGATTATATGACATTCAGAAACTAAGAAAAAAGTCACCATCGTTACTCGCAGCAATATGCACTGTGTCTGCGTTACATGACTCGCATGATTCGCAAGTGTATGAGATCTGCAATAGAGAGCTACGTCAACTGGTTTCACGCTCTATGTTTGAAAAGCGTGATATCAATCACATCAGAGCTCTCTGTATATCTTCGTTTTGGTTGGCGGATGCATCTCGTATATTGTCAAGTGATGCTATCCGCCGCGCTGCCGACCTGCGCTTGCACCGATTGATTGATAATACTTCACCATCACCTAAAAACGTACCTCAGGGAAATCATCATCCACCCGAGATAAAGATGACAGACCGTCTTCGGTTATGGTATTTGCTGTTCATTTGTGACCAGCATCTTTCTATACTGCATAATCGTGATGCTTTGCTGAGAGGAGATAGAGCAGTGAATATAGATTGGGAATCTTACCTCAGCCATCCAGATACCACGCAGGACGATATTCGTATCCTATCCCAGGTAAATCTACTCATTATCATGAGCGAAATGCGAGACACTCTTGGCGGAGATTACGAGACACAAGTACCTCAAGTGCTGTTCAGCCAGATCAACAATTACGCTCGACGGCTTGATCGCTGGTTCAACAAGTTCTCTCTTCTATTTCAGCCAAATCAGCAAATCGCTAATTTTCCGAGAAAGGGTCTTGAGTTGCATTATCAATTCAGCAAGCTGTATCTCGGCCATCATGTTTTTCGGAATCTCAATGGCCAGTCAGTGCCATCGCATTACCTGACGGCAGCGGTGGCAGCACACGACGCCGCAGTTTCTATATTCGACATGATTTTAACCGATACAACGCTACATAGCAGCTTGGTCGGTATGCCGCACTACTTTCACATCATGATTGCCTTTGCTGGCAATTTTTTGCTGGAGATCTGCAAGAACTATCATGATCAGCTCAGCATACGAGTACAGAACGACTTTGCTCTCATCGAGCAAGTTCTGGGGGTATTCCAAACTATTCCATGCTTATCCCAGCATCCCATCCATCGAATGACACTCGGTTTGGGCCGGAAGCTTTATGACTGCGCAGCTAGTGTTGGATTGACTGCAGATATTACACGGCAAAATGCCTATGGCTTTGGTGACGTATCCCATCAATCTCTAATGCATGGTGGTGCAGGCGGCGTTGGCGGTTCAATGGGATTGCAACACGATCAGTCGGAATACTCTACAATGGGTGGCCAGCCTTTGTCTCAGCTGGTAGCAGCTCAAACGACGCCTGACGAGTTCTTTTTATTTCCGGATCTGAATTTTGGGTTTACGGATATGACTGCCATGATGGGAATGGAGTGATATGAAAAGAAATGTTATTGATGTTGATTCTAGCGATTAAATGTATGCTATTTGTTTCCCGGTTTCGCGATTTATGTGCATAAACCGAATGCAGCCGATTATGGCCACCAAAGTAATTGAAATTGACATTCAATCTTCTAGGTCAACGTCCGCATCGTCGTGAAAGATGACGGTGCCCCAATCAGGTCGATTAAATCTCTTTCCCTTTGGCCTAGCCAAGCTATCAATCTTCTCCATCTCTTCCGCAGACAAGACAAAATTACCATGCAGATTCTGCTTAATCCGCTCCACATTGACACTTTTCGGGATAACACTCCATCCCTTCTGAATCCCCCAACTCAACATGACATTAGCTGTTCCTGTGCTCCTTTTCTCAGCAATCTCCTTGATAACATCCATCTGATGCAAACTACGCTCGCTAACCGCCCCACCCAACGGTCCAAAGGCAGTCTGATGGATCCCCTTACTCTTACAATAAGCATGCAACTTATTCTGCGGAAGCAACGGCTGAATCTCCGTTTGGTTCACCGCCGGCATAATCTTGGCTGTTTGTAGTAATTTCTCAAGATTGATGGTTGAGAAGTTTGCGACTCCGATTGCTTTGACTTTGCCGGTTGAGAGTAGGGCTTCCATTTCGCGCCATGTGTCTCTGAAATCCCAGCCTGTAGCGTGCACTTTGCGGTTTTCTTTGCCGTAGTCTTCGGTGGAGGTAGAGGGGTCGAGGCTTACGGGCCAGTGCATGAGGTAGAGGTCGACGTAATCGAGACAGAGGTCTGAGAGGGATTTGTTGAGGGCTTCCTTTACGCGGCGGTGATCAGAGGACCATCTGATTTTGAGCACATCAGTAAAGAGCTGCGAGAGAAGGGACATATGTTCCTAACAGTTTGGTAGTTACGAAATATTCTGATCGAGGGACTTTGGTCTTTTTGAAGACTTCGCCTATTTCAGCCTCATTGAAGTCTGTTGAACATAGTCATTAGTCCCCATTGATCATTCAAAATGCAATCTCTCTTTAGACATACACAGCGGCGCACAATCCTGATTCAGTTAGTATGTTGGTTGAAGGGATACCGATCTAAGATGTATACTAACAAAGTGTCTGTAACCTGCCTCAAAAGCAGCTTCAACAGCCTTTGCAACTTCTCCTGGTGGTGATTTCCATGTTCCGAATCCAACTGCAGGAATCTTCGCGCCGGTGTTGAGGGTAAAGGTCTCCACGGCTGTCATTTTCGCCACTTTTTTGAAGATACTCTTCTTCAAGGTTTTTTTGTGTATAGCAAAGTAGATTAGAGCAATATATATTACTTAATAAAGCAATTGAAACGCGGGGAAAGGTATCAGAAAATACAATACGAACCGACTATCATCTTGCGCTATAACAGCCCTCAGGGGGGGTAGCAAGAGTCGGAAAGAACGCCGATACCGTTCTCGGCAGGGGTTTCGTCTTCCATGTGGGAGACCACCCCGTGCCGACGTATCATGAATTTACTCAATAAGAGGATTTTAAGTGTTTAATCTCTAAATGATAGCTGTTAACTATGATGGGAAAATCCACAGAACTCTTCAAGCTGGCGACATGATCAGTCACGATAGCGATGTCGATCGATCTCATGATCGATTACATAGGGACCTATATGTCTATACAAATACACAGCGGGATGTGGAATCTATGTATCGATTCATAACTTTTTCGGTGCGTAGTCTTCCAAGTATTCCTTTATCGTCTTCACAAGATCACCGTCCTGCTGGAATCCAAGCTGAGTCGCACGCGAAATATCAAACTCGGCGGGCCATGAGCCAACAATACTCTCAACAGAGCTATCCGGAACCTCCTTGACGAGTTTCCGCACCTCCTCGCCACCAACCTGTAGCAAAGCGTCTAGCATCTCTTGAACAGTTACTGTGATACCAGGTAGATTGACTATTCTCGAAGATCCTCGTGCCACGACCTTGTCGAATGCTTCTGTTGGGATATCTCTGGCGATAATGAGGTTCTTGATAACCGTCCTCGTCGAACAAACCCACAAATTCAACGATGTGGGCACGGGTAATTCACTCTCTTCACCTTTGAATGGCTCSCGAAGGATACCAGAACAGAAGCTAGACGCTGCACCTGACGGCTTACCAGGACGAACAATTATCGTCGGTAATCGCACAATTCTACCATCAAGCAGACCCCTTCGCGAATAATCATTCAAAAGAGTCTCTCCCATTTGTTTTTGTGCTCCGTAAGATGACTGCGGTAGCGGTATCGTGTTCTCGGTGACTTTCTCTGGTTTTAATGGATCCGCTGGTCCAAAGACTGCAAGACTCGATGGGAATATAACTCGAATACCAGGTCGAACTGTGCGCAAAGTGTCCATCACATGCCTCATCGAGTCTACATTGACTTTTAACCCTAACTCGAGATTTGCCTCTGCGGCACCGGACATGATTCCATGGAGAAGATAGACGTGTGTAAAGGCTTTTGATGAGCATAGTTCTTGACATGTTGTTAGCGAGGTAAGATCTGCAGCGAGGGAATCGATCTCGGGGGATGATATAGGGTTGTTTTCGCTCGATGGCACAGGTGGCTTCATCACATCGGTCAAAGTGATTGATGAGACTTGAGTATCTGACAAGAGCTCTTTAGTCAGGGCTTGACCGATAAAGCCGCCCGCGCCGGTAATGAGGATTTTCATGCTCATTGTTCTGGTCGTGAGTGATGTCAACGAGATGTACGAGTTGCAGAAGGGTCGTTAGATGGTGATATCACCTTTTTAAGCTATTTATTCAAGATTTGAACCACATTAAACGTATTGAATGCACGCAATTCACTTAACAACGTCCTTTTGGACGTTGAACCCTTAAGTTGGAAAATGGTTGGCGACGATTGCCGACTCGGGAAGGTATCGCTGTATCGGACCAACTCCGACAGTATGCGGATACCTTGCCGGGCCCTAATTAACCGGGAGTCCGTCCGTCTTCCAAATGATCTCCATAGTTGCTTGCTTCTCCATATGGGGGAATAAATGAGCGCGGAAGAAAAGGCTCCACACCGGGGTGTAGCTCTTTGTCTACAAGTTTTCGATTTGGGTTGGCCAGCAAAGTATCGTATTTTCTCGAGAATAAGGTACAACAAGCTATTAGAAATCCTTTTTCCTGTTCCAGGTACCGACTTCAACACTTGCTGGCTTTCATCAATCTTCTTCAACCGCGAAACACGCCTTTTTGTCCACGATATTGCGCCTTTTGGAAATTACGTGGGATGGCGGCTGCGGCTTTAGACGTAATTGTCATTTCTGGTGAGGAGTTACGAAAACATCGCACGTCGAAAGACTGCTGGATTGCTGTACATTCCAAGGTATACGATGTAACTGAGTTCCTTGAAGAGCACCCAGGAGGATCAGCGAGTAAGTTTTTACTGATCATTCATCGAGCTGCTCCAATCAATTTGTGATACCTTGACAAGAGATTCAGGCAGAATAATAGAGCTGATATGACCACAGTTATTCTGAAATATGCCGGTGCCGACGCTACACAGGCGTATGACGAAGTCCACTCTCCAGGAATCATACACGAGACTCTAGCTGGAGAACACTACAAAGGCCAGATCGATCCTTTTGACACTCCAAAGGTGGAGGAACCGGTAAAGACTACCACAAATGTTGAGCAGGTCAAGGTGGCCGAAATCACAGCAGTCAAGTCCGAGATCCCACATCTAAGCACCCTCTTATCAGTTACAGATTTCGAAGCTGTCGCCCAGAAGAAGTTTTCAGCAAAGACATTCGCATTTTACTCATCAGCAGCCACCGATCTCATTTCACATCGCGATAATATCGAAAGCTATCGCAGTTTACTGCTCAGACCGCGCGTGCTTCGCAACGTCAAGAATGTCTCGATAAAACGCCGTATTCTGGGTTATGAGAGTAGTGCACCTTTCTTCGTCAGTCCCGCCGCAATGGCAAAACTAGCACATCCAGATGGAGAACTAGCGATCGCACGAGCTTGCGCAGAAGACAACATTATACAAATTATTTCCAATAATGCTTCCTACCCTCTACAAGATATCGTCGCAGCAGGAAAGCCCGGCCAAATATTCTTCTTGCAGCTTTATGTCAATTCGGAACGACAAAAGACGGAGCAATTACTTAAAAAAGCCCGTGAAGCTGGCATCAAAGCGATATTCGTCACAGTAGATGCTCCTATTCCCGGAAAGAGAGAAGCTGATGAACGAATCTCGGCAGAGAATTTTGTCTCTGCCATGAGTGGAGCGGTAGCCACAAACGACAAGAAAGGAGGTGGTCTTGGTCGAGTCATGGCTCAGTACATCGATTCGTCGTTGAATTGGGAGGATTTGGCTTGGATAAAGAGGGTTTCGAGATTGCCTATTTTCTTGAAGGGAGTGCAGACAGCCGCTGATGCAAAATTGGCTGTTGAATATGGCTGCGCGGGTGTTTTGTTGAGTAATCACGGAGGCAGATCCTTGGATACGTGAGTCTCAGCCAAATGATCATTACGGTATGGAGTTGTGTTGCAATCTTCAGTTTACTGACAATCGTAGTGTACAACCGGCAATTGTAACATTATTGGAAATCCACAAGGAATGTCCAGAGGTCTTTGGTCAGCTAGAGATCTATGTTGATGGTGGTATTCGACGAGGAACCGACATATTGAAGGCACTCGCACTAGGAGCTACAGCCGTTGGTGTTGGTCGACCATATCTGTACTCTTTAGCTTATGGTCAAGAGGGTGTCCAGCACTTGACCGAGAGTGAGTTGACCCAAAAACACTTTCCTGATGTTTGCTGTGGCTGAATTGCTTTATAGTCCTCAAGGATGAACTTGAATGCACGATGAAGTTGGCAGGAATCACAAACCTAGACCAGGCAAATCCTGGCATGGTTAATACTATCAAGTTGGAACATCTCATTAGGACAGGGGGGGAGAGGCATCCCTGGATTAAATGGGAGCCAAGGTTTAGACTTTAGTTACCTAGGTAGGTAGTAAGTAGTGAACAAAGCACTTTTTGTGTCTTCTTGGTCATTGGCCTACCTGATTTGTCGGTCGCATTTTTGACACTGCTTCTTCGATGATCAGTGAAGCGGACATTTTACAGATTATAGGCTGTTTCATAACATGTAACATATATTTTTAGCATGAGAAAAAATTCGCATAGAACGACTGAACTCTAGATTGATGCATTCGAATGAAGCTAATGTGTCAATGCATCTATATACGCCAATTACCACAAGACTTTGCTCACCGGTACTTTGGCTACGGATACATTTGACCCATTACTGGATCCTGATAACCGTCGAATACGAGAAATGATATTAACAAGTTGCGTTAACATGCGGATGATCTCATAGCTTGTCTTTATCATTTCTGCAAGAAGCTTTTTAGGCCCGGTCTTGATAATTCCGCGAGAAGAAGCAGATCTAATTGTTCCATGCTGTGCTACCTTGGGAACGCCCATTACTTGACAATACCTCAAATTTTACCTGTCACATTTGCTAAGTGAATCTCACCACCACGATGACACAATATCCCTTGCTGGAAAAGTGGGGTTGTCAATAGATCTACATTATTGTACGTACGCAATGACGGCCGCCTCTGTGACATGAGAGTATTATAGACAACCCAGGCTATTGAATACTTTTCAATCACTTTCTATTATACTGCCCGGAGTTGAATAGATGCCAATATTATAATAGAAAATGAATGCTATTCTTCTATTTGGCATGTGCGCTTCGCTGCTGTTGTTACATCATGTGAGAAGAACAACCGCCACAAGTTTACCACTTCCTCCAGGTCCCAGTATACTTCAGATTATATATGAATGGATTCAAGGCAAAAAGGATATTGCTCAAACATTTCAGGGATGGAACAAACGATATGGACCTATTGTGTATGCCAGGGTTGGTGCGAAAAGATTCATTATTCTGGGATCTCGTCAAGCAGCGCAAGATCTGCTTGAGAAAAGAGCTGCGATATACAGTTCAAGGGGCCCATCGTTATTCCTCGACAAATATTTACACCAAGGGCTTGCATCCGCTTTCATGCCCTATGGAACTCAATGGAGACTTCATCGTCGGCTGCACGCCAATCTTTTAAGTATCAAAGCTTCAAAGAGTTATGAAAAGCTTCAGGAGTTTACAAGTGGGAGTTTGATGCATGAGTTTCTGTCTTCAAATCGCTATTGTGATATATTCTATCAGTACACTTCGAGTATCATGTATACTCTAGCATATGGATGTGGGGAGAATGGTACTGTCGATGACGAGAACAGTCACCACAGAAGACTACACCAGATAAATGATATGGCGACATTTATATTGCAAAATGCATCTTATGGGACAATCTTACTTGATACTTTTCCGTTTCTCGACAGAGTTTCTGCAAGATTGTGTATGGATTGGCGGGAAAGGGCCCGGGAACTACACCGTCAAACCAAAAATGTATATGTCGAATGCGGAAACACAGCTCTTGAGTCGAAAGACGCTTGGAATTGGAGCTTCGAAGCAAACACCCAAAGAGGAAAAGGGGGTCAGACCGAACTCACATGGGAAGAAATGTGCTATTCAATAGGCGAACTCTACGTGGCCGGGATACATACAACAAAGATGGTCCTAGAGATATTCGTAGAGATCTGCATTCAAAATCCAAAGGCAGTCAACAAGGCCCGAGCAGAGCTAGATTCGGTGATAGGACCAAAAAGACTTCCCTCGTTTAGTGACAAGGACAATTGTCCTTATATCAACGCCTTCATCTTAGAACTTCTCCGCCGGCATCCCATCTCTCCATTCGGTGTTCCGCATATGGTGACCCAAGACGATGAATATATGGGTTATCGAATTCCAGCGGGCACCATTATTGTCGCTAACCAGATGGGCATGAATATGGATGAGACGATCTTCGAGAATCCTGAAAAGTTCGAATCAGACAGATATATGCAAAATGTCGATCTTCCCCATCCGGCGACTTTTGGATTTGGTCGCCGTCAATGTCCGGGACACCATATTGCGCGGGCTAATCTATTTATTGTAATTTCGCGTTTATTGTGGGGATACGATATCCACCAACATGAACAAGCCGACACGGATAACAAATTTGCTGTTTCGTCAGACAAAGCTCTGTTTGTTGTTAGAAGTGACGAACATAGAAAGACGATCGAAAACGCGGCGGTGGAGGAAAAGTAGGAGGAGTACTGTCTGTGGAGAGACCTTTTGATTTCGGGGTTGCGCTATCATTTAAGTCATTCAGAAATGTCTGCATTCTGCTTGGGTTACCTTCGGGGAGTCAGTTGTTGGCAGGAATGGTGTGGTGTACCCGGTTCATGGTAGTACGTCGTTACGAAGGTGTCCGGTCTTCGACGAGGACATTTTTCATTTCAAATTCTTGTTAAAATTTCCTGAAAAGCATATGTATGTATTTAAAAATCTTATATCTATGGTCATGATTCTAGACTCTTAAGGCCATCTCGGACTCTGGGCAACACATGACGACCATAGTCGATAGCATCATTGAGGTTGTCGTAACCACGAATTGATATAAGGTCAGCACCAAGCTTGATATAATCCAGAATTGAATCTGCAACAGTCTGAGGCGACCCAACCAAAGCCGTTGATGCTCCACGCGCATTCGTTGCAGTCACAGTAGGGTACCACAAAGCTCGATCTTGTACCTCCCCACGAGCAGCAATTTCAAGCAAACGTTGAGAGCCAACGTTTTGCGGAGCCGGTGCAACGGCAGGKACCTTTCCTTGCCCGTTGGCTCGGTTGGTAGTAAGGGCATCCAGTGTGCGGTGCGCCTTTTCCCAAGCCAGCTCATCGGTCTCAGCAACAATAGGCCGGAACGTAACCCAAATACGAGGCCGATCAACGCGACCTGCCTTTTCTGCCTCGGCATAAATACGGTCAATCTGCTCCTTTGTTTCTTTAAGAGGCTCTCCCCAAAGCCCAAAAATGTCACCAAGCGAGCCACCGATCCTATATGCCTCGTCGGAAGAACCACCGACAGATACGGGGATTGTCTTGTTCACTGGACGTACTCGATTGCTGAATTGTTTGAATGTGAAAAATTGACTGTCCCAGTCGAACGGTTCGGCGGATTCCCATGCGCGACGCAAAATCCGGATATAGTCCTCGAGACGGGCATAGCGCTGATCTTTGGTCAGGAAGTCTCCCTCCTTTGCCTGTTCGACGTCGCTGCCCCCCGCAATAAAATGGACAACCACGCGACCCCCACCTAGTTGATCGAGAGTTGCCAGTGCCTTGGCGGCAACGGTAGGAGGAAGCGTATTCGGACGAAGTGCGATAATTACCTTGATTTGTTTGGTAACGGCGAGAATCGTCGCTCCGATGGTAAAGGGATCATAGGAAGATGAGTCGTAGGGCACTAAGGTATAGTTGAAGCCATAATCATCCAAATTTCGAGCATATCTGATAAGATAATCACGGTCGATTCCAGCATTTGGAATTGGATTAAGCTCAGTCGATGCGTTGGGAAATGTGACGCTAATGAACTCCGCCATGTTGATTTTGATCTTTCAGCTATATCGTCTATAATTTCTAACTGAATTCCGACTCATTTGATGAGAAATCGCGGGAATTTATACTCTGTCATTGAGGTCGATCACGAGCGGATGTCAAGAATTGCGTCTTATCACGCAATTCAATCTAATCTTATCCATCTAGGAACATTAGCATTTAGTGCTATAGCTTATGTTCAGAGCTATGATATTAGACTATTAGGTAAGCGGGGTCTAGGAAAAGCAATTTGCTTCTTATTCAGGAAATTCCTCAGAATGCTGGATTCGGGGTAGACTTAGGGCTAAGGGTTTCTACGGTTAATCCGAAGGCAACAACCGATGTTAAGACGAATTCTTCCAGACGCTTCATCGTTTGGAAGAAGAGAAGATCGACATTCTCACGGAGGCTTCTTTTCCTACTGTCTCTTGGGAGACTAAATTTTAACATGTCAATGACGAACCTATACTACCGTAGAATGGCAACAAGAGTTGTAGGCATTATCAGATCCAAAAGAAACTCAACCAAGCCAATCATAATAAGTCGGCTTCGTCGTTTCCCAGCACTCGAAAGGCTTAATCCACCAAATTCCCGTGTGGAAAAGAAAAATTATGAAATAATTATACGACGCGATGTATCCAGGCCCCAGCGGCTCGATATCACCCAGACTGTCTTCGAACCATAACGGCCCAAGGTCAAACCAAGAATACGAGGTGAGTACCTTCCAGATCCCGTGTAGAAGCCGCTGAGCAAGGAGCGCGGGACCAGGGTACAAGACTAAAAAGTAGAAGACTGCTGCAGCAACCCATAGCGCCATGGTTTCCAGATTAGACACTGCAGTCTCAAGAAAGTTTAGAGATGTTTTCGTGGTAATTGCCGCTTTGCTCCCTGGGCTAAGTGAACATAGAAAAATTGTCCAAAAAAAGTTACATCCTCCGATTATGAAGCCGAAAACAAGAGACATGTAAAATGTAGCCGGAGGGATAATTGTAAGAGATGTTCTCACAAGTTCGTCAGACATTACATCGGGGGTTTCAAAATGCTTTCTCCACGGCCTGCTGAGGTAAATCGCGCGCGAGCGCTCCTGTGCAGTAAGTGGCCGTTCAGCAATGGTGACCATCAGAATCTCGATGGTCAGCCATGAAACAAAGTAGACCCAGCCTGCAACTTGGGTGAGTACTGCTCCAGATCCTCCAACAATAACAAGCTTAATTGCCTGAAGGACCATTGGAGTCCAAATAAAGAAACGGAAAGAGGGGCCTCTCTCGAAGTCATTGACGAGATTAAGATGTTCTTGAAATATTCTGTCGCAGGTCTCATGGTATCGTAGTTGATTTTGCAGCTCTGAGAACGGCAGCAGTCGATATGGTTTTAAGGAAGTCGTAGTAGCCTCGCTTTGCTCTCCAGTTGGTATCTGTGAGATATCCCTAGAAAGCGGATAACCATCCGAATTTTGACGTCGATCAGACAGCTGAGTCCGATCTCGAGTTGGATTTGCATTAAATGACGATGTATCAGCACGAATATAGGTTTCGGCCGTAGGAAGTAGTTGACTCTCATCATTCGTAGCGTCTCTTGTCTTCTGCAAAAACTCTTTGATCTCATGGGGATGCCATGAGTTGCCTACCCGGACCGCCATCAGAGTATGACAAATGACTCGAAAAGGCACCTTCTCCCATAAACTGAACGCGATCCTCTTCCATATGATACAAGACTCCAAGATCGCAAAAACTGGAGTCAACCGCCACATACGCCCAGAGCGATTCCACATAAGACACCCGCGCGGGTGAGCTATGTATCCAAATATCAGAGCTGTAAGTGTGAAGAAGGCACTCCCAGCAGACCAATTGGCATCTGTACACAGTTGTGGTGCCGTCGTCGGTGTTTCTTGCTCTTTATTATTGCCTTCATTTGTAGTGCGGGGTTGAGTGACCCAGCTAAGGAATGTAATCCATAGAAAGAGGACCAGGAAAATTGAGGCAATGAGGGGCCTCTCGTATAATTTGCGCATAGTCCCGACTATTTGATAAGGTATTAACTGGAAAGGAACATACTAGCTTTTTTTTTTTTTTTAGACAAAACATAGAACGAAGTGGTTACTGCCGTTCAAAGCCAGGCAGCAACTAGTGAACCTATCGTGCTAAATTCCCCCCAACGAGAAACGCGCGTGGCAATACCTAGCGCACTATTTCTTTCGACCCTTTTACGGCATTTTCTCCATTGGATGCTGTGCAAACGAAATTCAATATTCAATACTGCTCCCAACCCATTCTATGTCTCATGGTATCTTCATCGTCATTCTGATTCTGCAAACCACTGTCATGTTTTATTATGCTTGTCATTGTAGCACCTTGTCATTGTAGCACCTTCTAGCTCTCTAATCTTAGCCCTCGTACCGCATTCTATCTAGAACATCAGGAAGTTCAAGTGCTAGGCTGTTGATCATGTCGCTTTTCTGAAAGGCATTAATTGGCTACTGAAGTAACATCTTTCAGCCCAGTATTGGTGAACTATATCGGAAACATCCAACTGCTTAAGCGGGGATCTCGATGCAAGATTGAATCTTCTCGGGGTCCAGCTCATGCGTACAAAGTTATACAGAGTTTACAACAATCATGAGCACAGACCGACAACTACATTCTCGTCCGAGTGAAGCTTACGTTTAGCTTAGCCTAGCAATCTTTCGACTGCCGTTGGCCAATATGGTCTAAATTGCTCTTTTGAGAGAAAGAAAAGCGCCCCACATCATCGCCGACAGGATGGTCGCCGACAACCATTTCAGCCTTGTCAGCCTCAAAGAACCGTTTAGACTTAACAGTTTAGTGAACTGTTAATCTCCATTGGGCTGCGTGATACGAAGGCCAGGAAGCCGAAATAAAAACTTGGCCAGATGATACTTGCAAAATGCTGTTCTTGAAGCTGGTTTCTCGCCCGACACCAAATCGGGGATTCATCAAACAGATGCACCGTTATTATGCTGAGTAATTTGGAATTAATAGCCGATGGCTTGGCGGTGTCTATAGTCATGGAAATTTATCAAAGTAGACAGATGTAACTTGCGAATAAAGATCTATATATTATGTTGGACGTGTCCTACTTGATGCAACTCTCCAAGATCCAGTCAAGGATAATCCAGCACTGGTTGACACTTGCCTCTGACCAACAACTGAAGTCTTGATAACCCAGTCTCAAGATGAACTCAGAAAGAGACGGTCCCTCAGACATTGAGGGACACAAGACTGAACAAGCTTTCCTCTTGAATGATACCGTACCCAGTTTCTCATGGCAACAACTAATTGTCACGGTCAAGGACCGCGAAACGAAAAAGGCAAAGGACCTCATCTGCGATGTGAACGGTAGTGTTGAAAAGGGTAGGTTGAGAGAATGATAATCCTACTATCATAGATACTAATCTCAATGACAAACAGGAGAGCTCATGGCCATCATGGGCCCATCTGGCTGTGGAAAGACAACCTTGCTAAACCTCCTCGCTCGCCGCAACCCTACCTCGAGTGCCAAAGTTGCGGGGAAGACCCTGGTTGGTGGTTCCGACATTGACACTGCATCCTTTCAACACATCAGTTCCTACGTTGAACAGGAGGACACCTTGATCGGATCTCTGACTGTGGAAGAAACACTCAAGTTTAGTGCAGAGCTCTCGCTTGCTGGGTATGTTACTATCTTGGAATACTACCAGGCAGCAACTACTTACACAACTCCGTATAGGTCCACTTCCAGAGCCGAACGTAATGATAGGGTGCAGCTACTATTGAAAGCTTTCGGTATCCAGGAACAAGCAAAAACACTGATCGGAACACCGATCAGAAAGGGTATTAGTGGAGGACAGAAACGTCGGCTTAGTGTGGCGAGCCAATTGATCACGTCACCAAAGATTCTCTTCATAGATGAACCGACAAGTGGTCTAGATTCTACTGCCAGTTATGAGGTTATCTCGTATCTCAAGAAGCTTGCCCGCAGAAATAATGTAAGCCTTGTACCCGACAGTACTTAAAGATACATGCTGATGGTGTACAATTACACAGCTCATCGTCATAGCCAGTATCCATCAGCCATCCACTTCCACCTTTGAATTGTTTGATAAGCTGCTCCTACTCTCCAAAGGAAGAACATGTTACCTTGGTCCCACCGCCGCAGCCCGAAACCACTTTGCCAACATCGGTTATCCCTTGCCAATGAACGTCAACCCTGCGGAATTCATTCTTGATATTGTCAGTACAGACTTTTCGCGTGATGATGAATCTGGTGCATATGGCGAAAAAAGAAACTCTAGTCAACCTACCCGAACGGCAATTGAACGGCTTGAGTACATTCAGAAAAGCTGGCAGGAATCAAAACAAGCACATATCACGAACACACAAGTTATGAATACATCTGACGAGAAGGACAAATATAGGCAGATGAAGCATATCGCTGAAAGTGCTGCAAGTTCTCGGCCAGCTGTCTACAGAATTGTGTTTGTATTGCTTCATCGCTCGTTTATCAAGAGCAATCGGGACGTCATTGCGTACGGTATTCGAATTGCTATGTATCTCGGTCTCGCAATCATGATGGGGACTGTATGGCTACGACTACACGAGTCTCAGGAGTATATCCAACCTTTCATCAACGCTATCGTGAGTTTCTCTGCAATTCATGCTGAGTCTATGTTCAAGGGTTTGTTCTCTAACATCTACACTTCTAGTTCTTCGGCTCAGCCTTCATGTCCTTCATGGCAGTCGCATATGTACCAGCATACCTCGAAGACCGCTCGATATTCGTGAAGGAACGGGCAAACGGCTTATACGGAGCAGCTCCCTTCATTATCGCAAACTTCTTGATCGGTCTGCCTTATCTATGTAAGCATACCTCTCAGCCCAATGAATTTACCTCACCCGGACTAATACCAGACAGTTTTGATTTCGCTTCTTTTCTCGATCGTTGCCTATTGGCTCTCCAACTTCCAGCCAAGTGCCGTCGCGTTTTTTACTTGGGTTATGTGGCTATTCCTCGATCTCGTCGCTGCAGAGTCGCTCGTCGTGCTCATGTCATCCATCTTCCCAATATTTGTCATCTCATTAGCTCTAGTCGCCTTCGCGAATGGTCTATGGATGAGTGTAGGTGGTTTTTTGGTCACACCGACGATTCTGAATCCATTTTGGAAATATGTTTTCCATTACATTGACTACCAGGTGCGTGCTAACTCTAGCCCTAATCACGACTACCTCCCTCTTTGAGCTACGGAAGGTATGCTGACAAACAATGAAATAGGCATATGTCTTCCAAGGAATGATGGTCAACGAATTCTCCCGCCGAAATTACTCCTGCGGCTCGTCCTGCCAATGCATGTACCAAACCGACCTTGCATCACAATGCCAGATTCGTGGCTCCGGCGTTCTAGAGCAATACGGGTACGCCGAAGGTCGCACAGGGAAATGGGTTGGTATTCTCATCGGAATTATTGCTGTTTACAGATTGTTTGGTTGGATTGCTTTAACTCTGAAGCGTACCTAGGATGGTAACATTGATACTGGAATTAGGGTTTGACTCGGGTTTCCTCCCTTTTTTCTCCCGTCTGCTTGGTTTGCTGCCATGATTTTAATTTGAAGGTGTTGTTCAGCTGACCACATTTTGTCCTAAAGTTTTTGTTTACAGTATGTTATCGATAGATAGGTTTAAGAACAATATATAAGATTTGATAAATTAGAATCTTAAGCTTACATTTCCACGAAATTATATCTCACAAAAGACACAATTTTAGACATTTTGGTGGAACATGCAAACAAACAATGAGATCCAATCAATAGATATGTGCATGGCCTCGGTAGAGTAGAATAAGCATTCAATTATGTTCGAGATTTTCCTGAATTGCAAACGAGAGCAATATGCCTATGTTCATACGCGTGTCGTACACCATTGATTTCCAAATATTGCAAAACATCTTTACAGTGCCGCAGCCAATTCAAGACAGTAATGTAAGCAGAAGGTTAAATACTGTTACTGTACGTGGTGAAATGAGCGTCCTTATATATCCTTCTACATATTCTTGATCTGTTCCAGTATTTCAGAGCGCTGTTATGATATTTGAAATCGTTGATATTGGCTGAGTTCCTTATGCGTCTTCGCTTTGGTTGCACTGCATTATCTGTTATCCTTCTGGTGCGGCGGTGGCCGGTATTATTGGCTGGTGCTTCCTGGTTCACTGACACATGCTTCTGCAATACTTGGACAACGTCAACGTGTCCTCCTTCAGAAGCAGCCTAGAGCGCAGTGCCATAGAATTTACCTTGAGCATTGACTTCAGCTCGTTTCTCTAGCAATTTCTGCACAGTCTCAACATGCTAATGCGGTAGAGTAATTCGTACAGTCGTTAACGTCGCTCTCTCTATGCGATATATCGATATATATACAAGTGAAAATTTATGCAGGCAGCTTTATAAAGTCCAGTCAAGCGAGTCTGGATCAGGAGGCACCCTGATCGGCTCCCAACCAGAATCGTCCTCTTGCCGCTTGTTATTCAACACAAACAGGCTGCGTCTCGCACAGAACCCGCCGCGCGAAGCCACCCGTGTCTCATCCTTCCAGTATCCGCCCTCGTCGTAACTGGCGTTGGGCTGCCATACCCGCTGCGTGACCGTCTCGCCAGCGATGTTGGTGCGGCGCGAGTTATGTTCTGGGTGGTGAGAGAACAAGTTAGCGATCCAGTTGGGCCAGGCGAAGAGGCGCTCGAAGCGGCGCACGAAGCCGAGCCGCGTGAAGGCCCGGTATTCGTAGGATACCCGGATGTACGGGTTGATGTAAATGCCTGTATCGATGACTTGGTCGATGTTGGTATAGGGGTCCTGCAGGTCGGCGTGGATCAGGCAGCTTTCCGAGGCTTCCCAGAAGACATCGGAAATGGTACGGAAGCGAACGGGTGTAGATGTCGTGACGGCAGGTCTTTCTTGTTCTTTTGGCCGGTCTGCAAGTGTTTCGCGAGGAACGGACTTGCTGACCTGCTGAGCGGTGTTAGTGCTGGTCTGAAAGTACTTTGCGTCGAAGGCCACGATGCCACCCCAACAACTGCGCACACGCACAGCGTCCTTTTGGTCCAGCACATCCTTGCGACTGGTCGCCGCGCCGGTTGAGACGAACCAGGGGTAAAATGGCACGCCAATGGGGTAGCCATGGGCATCTCGCACCGCAAAGGAGTCATAAAACTTGATCAAGTTTCCAAAGTCAACGGCGCAGGCGGCGCGATAGCTGGACACGCCGTTTTGGTCTGCGTTGGTCGAGAAGAGCAGGTGCACAATGTCGAGTGGGTTGTAGTAGACGTCGTTGAGAAACAACACCTTGTCGTACTGGATTCCCTTGCGGTTCTGTTCCTCCAGCGGACGCAGAGCGCGGTTTCGGAGGTCGGCCAGATAGGGCACGCGTCGCAAGCGCACTGAGCCGTCGGGGAGGGTCACGTTCTCGGCGTGAGAAAAGTCATAGTGCGGCTCAAACACAATGGACTTGTTGCAGTTGACCTGGGCGTCCAGCTCGGCAAGGGCACGCCCGGCTTCGTCGCCGGCGTCGTTCTCGTAGATGCTCAGAAAGGTGTTTTCTTCGCCCAGCAAGTCGATCAGCTCCAGCAGACTGGAACCCCATTTGCCGCGGGCCAATTCGCCGGATGCGTCGTACAGGTTGTTGGCAATAAAGACTTTTTCATGGCGAGGATTCCCGCGGCCAGACTCCTGGGAGTAGTTGATGGTGTGTTCGAGCGAGCGGTAGTGCGGCGGGKGGTGTGTGTAGGAAGGGAAGAAGACGAAGGTGACGGAAATAAGAGCGACCAGAAGCAGCAGTAGCACGTACACGACACGCCGCAGCGAGCGGCAAATGTACTTTCTCCACCGCGTGCGCCGCGGAAAAAGAAAATAGGGTCTATACAGGGCGGCTGCAGCACGGTCGTCAATGTCGAAGATTTCGCTCTCGAGAGTGGAAGACCCGGCAGAGCCACGCCTGTTGTAGTCGGACAACATGGCTGCTGGCCCGCATATTCCGGGGAGTTTGAGCAGACAGCTGCTCTCTTCCGCTGGCGGGCTGCCTCACTTTTTTATACACAGGGAATGGGCTTCTGATCAGCATGGCTAAGTTGCGCTAGTCACCCCCATCTGCTCCGCCCTATCAGGAAGTCAGACACCAACATTATCAGGCAGCAGCGTTCTGCGAACTCCTGCGCGCGTCGTCACAGTGTACGTAGTAAGAATGTCTCAAATAGCAAACAAAAGGAACTAAACAGGGCTACGTCTCCCTAGCGCCGCCCTAGCCGCTAATCATTCCGAGCCCCGGCTTGGCAAAGGATTTCACCTCTTGTCACACGATATCACGTGATAGTCCTTATGCGGCTTAGCGCGCCCAGCGGCCCTTCAGCCTCAGTTTTTGGTTTGTTCTTGTTGGCTCATTTTTACGTAGTAACTTATTTAAGGGCGTCTTCTGTTGGACCTGGCCCCATTACTGTCAGCGAGGCGGAGACTTTTTTTGGTGTTGTCAACTTGTCCGTGCTTACATAGCACATAGTTTGTCGGGTCTGCTGCACCTTGTGCGTTACTGGGACTACAGAGTATTCTCAGTCTCGGAATTCTCCCTGTCAGGCCTGGAATATCTTCTTGCGCCCACATGTCAGTAGCAACTGTCAACAACTACAATGCGCACCCGATATGTGCTACGTACCTACTTTATTCTCAGGTCCAAGATACCCGCATATTCTATCTAGATGCAATTAAAGTACGCGCTTGTGAGGCCTGCAGAGAGAAGATAAATGAAATGAATACTACTTGATCAGCATCATGGAGCTACCACTTTATATATTACTAATAGTGCAATTGACTATTATTAATGCGTACAAATATTTGTCTTTGCACACTCGGCGCAGCCGATGCCTGCGGCCTGCGATCTGTTTATCAGTTTCTCCATCACCGCCGGCGTGTCGACCAGAAGCTTCAACGCGCCCAGTCTGTACCGAGCCATTCCAATTGCTCGTTTAATCGCGCGCGCGTCTGCATCACCGCCCCGTAGAGCCAGGCGTATGACCAGGATGGCCTGATCGTAGTCATCGACCCAGGCAGCAGCAGCGGCGCCGCCAAGCAACAACACCAACACCAACATCAATGCTAGTAACAACACCAACGCCAACGGGATCAACAAAACGAACCCCAAATGGCCTGGCTCAAGTGCCGTCCGGCTGCACCGCGGCCATCATCGAGATGGCAAGGAAACCTCGCGCGCCTATGAAAACGCACCTGCGCAGGTAGAAAGTAATGCGGGAAAGAATTCAAGTTATAACAGACTCCATTGTAGGCCCAACTACAGCCCGTCTCGAAACTGACTTCCGTATTAGAGCTTTCGTCGATCACTTTAGCTTCACTACTCAAGTAATCAAGGTTTGGGCTAGGCTGGATATAGTTAGCACAGTGTCTTTGACTGTACTAGACGCGCGCCGCGCGCGCCGGGGCCCTGAAACGATATAAGAAGGTATTGCTTAGTGTAAATATGTAGTATTCATGCTGGGGAGAGCAGGACTGGCATTGCAGTGATGCCAGAAAGTATTGCAAGCCGAGACAACCAAAATCAGCTTGTAGCGGGAGCCTGCATGATGCCAAGAAAGGGTGCGTGGAAAGTGACACAGAAGGCTTGTCTGTCGTAGTTATTTCCACACATAAACTCAATAAAGTCAAAGACACCTCCTATATGAATTTTCCTAGCGAGAACGGATTAGATTTCTTTCTTCGGCTAGGCCAGCTCTCACGGTGACTTGAATGATCAATTGCCTAATTTGGTGGCTATATCCTCATCCACAAAGCACTCAGCTGACCGGATTGGAGCCCGAGTTAGGGCCGATTCGGGGACTAATAGAGAACACCTTTTAATCCTGCAAGTTTCAGCCGGGTTATCTGATCATAGCCTTCGAAGGTTGCCAGAAACTTATCGCCTGAAGCCACGTGCCATTCTCCATAGAAAACCTTCCCAAGTCGGTGGATTGTGGTTGAAGGGGTCGAAAGTTGTAGCTTCATAGGTTTAGTTAGGGCATTCGCTAGAAAACGACCAAATTCAAATGTAGTACTAAAAATTGATTTCGTCTATATACTTAAATATTTGTACATTTAATGTATTGGTTCACATTATTAGGATATTGCTTTCAAAATACTTCCAATGAGAAACTAAATCAGCACATCCGTAGTATTTTCGCATACATTCATTTCTCATGGAGCAAAGTGAAGCGAAAAAAAAGATAGTTTTCTATCACATGCTGCATTTTCTATCACATGCTGCAAGGCATCAAGGGAGATAAGAACTTTTAAGCTCCATGCTCAGTCTCGTCATCTGACTTATCCACATCATCGTCCTCGTCACTACTCCATCCAGCAGCCTCGAGAGCCGAGGATCGAATACCGAAGCTCAGGATGAAGCCGACAAAGGACACTGCTGCGAAGACTCCAAATGCAAGCATTTCGCCTTTGGGCAATTTTTGTGCAAGTGAGAAAAGGCCACCGGATAGGAAGGGGCCCACTGAACGTCCGGCTGCTGAAAGGGTCTGCGCAAGACCGTTGAGAGCACCTAGGACAGAATGATTGGGTGCCGAATTCGTCACCTAAAAAAGATGTTAGTTAAAGAGATTTTGACTAAAGGAAGATACTATATACCAGTAACAGTGCGCTCGTCAATCCTCCCACAGCAGCAACAGTCTTGATGAGCAACACAAAGCAAAGCTCAACAGCCAACAGAGCAGACTTTTTGGACAAACGCCCATTCTCATCAGAGCCCTTGTAGCCAATCAAAGGCATGAGTAAGAATGCAATGACGAAGCCTAATAAGCCAGCCCGATAAGACCATTTGTTTCCCATCTTATCGCGCAGCTTTCCAAAGACGCAAATCTGGAAGACGATAGTCACAATACCAGAGAAACCGAGGGATAGACCGATTTCTTGAGGACTCAGGTCTCGACCAGCGGGTTCTGAAGCTTGTGCGAAGATCGGGTAGAGAGAATTGAAAGATACATTGACGAGCGCAAAGATGAGATATGTGAGCAACAAAAGAATAGTGTCACGGTTGAAGATCTGCTCTCTAGTCAGTTCTGAGGGCTGATCATCGTCGTCAGCCGTTTCGGAGGCAGAATCCAAATCACTTTCGTCCTGAGTGAGGTCACTAAAGGAGCGCCCGCGGCGTGCTGTCGGGTGGTGATAGACAGGTCCAGAGCGAGCTCGTAGATAAGTCGGTCGATGGGAGGTTGTGAATTGCCACATCCAACTGAAGAGTTCTTTAAATCTGTCACGGAATGTTGGAAGATTTTGTGCGTCTTCCAAGCTCTCTTCCAAGAAACAGATGACAAAAATGAAGTCAATGATCAAGATGACTGCCGACAGAATATTTGGAAGAACATATGGATAAGGATTCGGTTGTCCCTTGTTCAGAGGGTTCGTCTTGAAGATTAAAGACCCTCCCAGTAGGGGACCGGTGATGCCTCCGATTCCGTATAATACGGGAAGGTAGGTGAACGCTCGCGACTGGTTGCTGCGATTTGTGATCTCGCCCAAACAAGTCGACACCAGGCCAGCATTGCCGTTAAGCATACCCATCAAAGCCTGAACCAAAATCGCCTGCCACAATGTTGTACAGAACCCAAAGAGCACAAAGCAGACAGCAGTGCAGGCAGTTCCAAGCAGAATGACCGGTTTCCTGCCCACGCGGTCTGATAACCAACCCCAATAATAATTTGTAACAAACTGTGCCAGTGCAAAAGCCGACGCGATCAAACCCACGTATACTCCAACGTTTTCACCATGTACCTCGGGAAACCGCGACGTCATATCGGGGAGATAAGGGCTTATTGAATTGAGTGCGGTTTGTTCTGCAAGCGCTATCAGCGCAAGGACGGCCATCTGTTTCTTGGGCAGCTTGTTCTGCGCTGCCGCGCTTTCATCTTCATCGTCGCCATTCGCATGCAGACTACCGAAGCTATGAGAACGTTCTGAATCGTTCGAGGGAGGACGGCCGCGCGACTTTGGCGGTGGCGTGTTGAAGGTCTGGTAGTGCTGTGCGGACTGTCTCCGAACGATCGGCTGGGACTCCGAGGAGACCATTGTCGATGCTGGGTCGCCAATCGACAGATATTGTATGGAAATAGACCTTGATCAATCTATCGATGCATTGACTCTTGTATTCATTATACAACTCGAGGCAAGCGACCTGGTGAATCAAAGCCCGGTACTAACCGAGCTCGCGTGCCACACAAGGGGATGGATTGAGTGATGCTGATGATCACCAAAACTGGTGACTGAGTACTGCCGTAGGGTACGATGGCCGCTAAAATATCGTAGAGCTTGCTCTTCGAACCTGGTGAAAAATGGGTGGCTGGTTGCTGCAGTAGAGATGGATGAGCGCGTAACTATTGGAGGGGAAGCTGAAGAGGATTTCTCTCACTCTCGACCAATCAAATCACTTCATATGTGACATTATGTCATGGCTGCCTTATCAGGACTAGCGTTACCATACATAACGCCAAATACTTGGCCGGGATCGTCATTCTGCTGGGGAGCGTATTGTAAAGACGTAACAGATGAAACCCTAAACTTTGCTCACAATGCTTAGTCATAAATCTATGAGAAATTGAGTGGGAATGTGTTATATATTGTAATGTGTGTCTAACTACCAAGTCAAAGAGAGGAAATATCTGGCATAAACTACTATATATGAAGTAGTCTAAAGCTTTGCGCGCTAGTTAAATAAAAAGGTTTCTTGCTAATACCTTATTTGCATCTTTTCTAGGTGCCCCTGATCGTAAGCCATCAGCCCTGCCGAACTTCCTAATAATCTCCTTGATATGATCATCGTCGAGACAGGCTCGAAAGCCCATCATCGAATGAGCACCCAACCGAGTTTGATAGCCTTCTCTCTTGGGCTCTTTGGTAATCGTTCGTATACTTTAACGTCGACATAATTTCAAATGAGACCGTTGGCGAGGAGACTGCCACTTAGCCCTGATCCGATAATGATGACTTTGAATGCTTCCAGGTCCATGTTTGTCATTCATGACCGAGTTGAGAATGGTCTGCAGCACGGTATTTCCGATACTCCCACTAGCACTCCGCAGAGTGCCAATCAGACCAATGGCAAGTCCGAGATAGCGAATCGGAATGTTGAAGCTGGCTATGACTATGGTCAAAGCTGTGATAGTAGGGAATTGACCAATAGCGAATGGTTGCAATGCCATGAACGCAGCTTTGATGTGTGGAGTAGTCGCAGCCAGGCATGTCATACCAACAACCATTACCGTCGTCCAGAAAACAAATTGAAGCCTGAGGTGGGTGGCCCACATCACCGATTGCTGCCATGTCCATGAAACCAAAGAGTCCCGTTAGGGATTTACATGACCCCAATCTCTATCGAGTCGTAAGTAAAATTGAAGCGGGTCGTCTGTGGGAGGAGACCTGAAATCGAATAGTAAATGAATGCCGCCATAAATGCAATGACCGAACGTAGTACATACTTCCGCAAGACTTCGTCTCACTTACCTGCGCCCTCCATCTGCATCGATCCTAAGTCGACAAGTATGTTCTGTCTCGTGGCTATCATGCTTCTTCCTCGTTCAATATGTAGTAGATCCAGATCGCTCTTCCAGTCGTTGGAATACTTGATCAATGGTACCTCGGCGTTGCCCGTTTCAATCAATTCATCGAGAAGAATTTCTCGGGGCTTTGGCTCTGAGAGGAAGATGGTAAAAATAGGATCGTTCGGGGAAAATCTATGCCAGCAAAAAGACATCCATCCGCATTTCTCCTGTCATAGCAATCCGCATTTTTTCCTCCGGTATTGATGCCATCTTTGATAATGCCCCCCTTTTCAAACTCCTCCATAACAGGCGGGAAGCCTCTCGGTTGATTGACGTTCAGAATCAGGTGCATTATACTCATTTCTTTGCGCCATAACTCTCAATATGGCATAGGCAGAGTGCATTTATGACTTCAAGTAAGGCCTGCGCCATTGGAAGGTTCATCCTGGACCGGTATTTTCTCTCCCGCTTTTGGAGAAGCTCTGTTGCAACTCATCTAGAATCGAGGAACAGTCATTAAGTTCAATCAATTCCCAAAGTGAACCTGATATTCCTCTCACCACTACGTAATAAACCCAACTCTGTATTTTGTGTGGATATGCAGATGGTACACCTGGTATGAATATCGGGTTACATGTCGCCATACTTCTTATCAGCGGTTGGATGTTCTTTGAAAGTATGTTATTCAAGTAAGTTTGTAGACGCAAATATGCATTGAATAAATTTTTCTCTTATTACTTGACCCAGGTGTTGGCGCTTACAATTATGAAGCTTATTCTGTGAGTTTATTACTCCTTTCAAATGGTCTCCAACCATCGGGCACATGTAGCGATGTGGAGAGTATATATAGTAAGCCATAATAGCTAAACAGAAAGCGCTCTACTTAGGCTGTAAATATATTGCGTTAATCAGATATGTAATGTAAATACGCAATCACATATTTATCATTCAGCTAATGACCATGCATCTCGGCGTAAGTATCACGGTATATTATCACTCAATATCCGCGTAGGCTAGATATTTCTACCTTGACAGATCCTCATTCCAGACACACTTTGCAATATCAACCATCAACGAAATTTTCTTCCATTGATCCTCTATCGTCAATTCATTCCCTTCCACAGAACTCGAGAAACCACACTGGTGGCTCAGACATAGTTGATCCAGACCACCTGGACAGTATTTTGCAGCCTCATGCAGGCGGCTGATCACAATCTCCTTATCTTCTAGAGAAGGCCTTTTGCTAGTCATCAAACCCAGGACGGCAATCTTATCTGCAGGCAAGAATCTCAAGGGCTCAAATCCACCAGAGCGCTCATCGTCAAACTCCAAGAAGTAAACATCAACATTTATCTTCTGAAACAAGACTTCGGCAATTGGCTCATACCCTCCAGTGGCAAACCACTGACTCCGATAATTGCCGCGACAAAGATGTATGCCGATTTTCATATCAGCCGGCCGCTGCGAGATAGCCGCATTGATGAGCTCTGCATACTGCAGTGGAAGCTGATCCGGATCCTCATTACGCTCTAATGCTGCATTTCGGAAGAACGGATCGCACAGGTAGACCATATTTGTCTCGTCCAGCTGCACAAAACGACAGCCTGCGGCGTACAGGTCCATAATTTCCAATTGCCACATCTTGGCCAAATCCCCGAAAAATTCCTCCATATTGGGGTATGCTTCACGACTGATATTTTCTCGTCCACCGCGAAAATGTAATGCTGTCGGCGCCGGAATGCATACCTTGGCTGATCCGGGAATAATGGATGAGGAGTTTTCTCGTACTGCCTGCTGAAGAAATTTGAAATCATTCACTTGTATGGCTCTGGGGTGGTACAACTTCTCAGTCACAAAGAGCCTTGGTGGTGAGTCTCGTTTTGGCTTGATTGTCGCCAAATCTTCACGATATTCAACGCCACCAAGTTGGGTAAGAAAGTCGATATGGAATGACCAGCGACGGAATTCGCCATCAGTCACAGATCGCAGACCATGTGATAACTGTTTTTTGACTACATCACTTATGTATATGTCCTCTTGCGACTTGATTTCAGCAGATGTGATTTCTCCGTTTTTGAATTGCAGTCGTGCAATTTTAAGGCTTTCAGGTCGAAGTAAAGAACCGACATGATCTGCTCGATAGACACCTGGAGGAAGAACCATTTTTGCGTGATCTGGCGGTATTATATAGAAAATCACGGATAATTGTACATCTAGACACCGTAGCCAATTATTTATAGTCATATTCGGTCATTTTCGCTATTTTGTAGTCCGAAATCTTGGTGGTAACATTTTCAAGGACAATATGCGTATTGTAACGGAGTGAAATATATAGTATGTAGTACGTGCCACCGATTAATACAGTATTATTACGTGGCTCTCCGTTGCGGTCCCTCAGGGTTCATCCAGGGATCAGGTAACGCTCCACAATTATTTACTGAGATCGGTAACCTGTAGCGGCGAAATATACAGTAAACAAAACCAGTGAGGTAGTAATAAATAAACTAATGCAAAACGCAATAAAAGTCAAGCCAACTTGGTATTGGAAATCATGGTTTTGATCAGTGATTTTGTGTGTAAATAACACTAGTACAGAACGGAAAAAGCGAGATAGAATAAATCGATCTTTCAAGAGCAACCGAAATTCGCGATTGAACCTGAACAAATCTCGTTGACGGCGTTTCAAAAATTGTACTTGTTGAGACTCATCCAATATGCCCGAACAGAGCTTCTGGATTTATCTTACGAGCATTTTGTCTGCCATTCTCTTAATTGTGTTCTTTCGTCGAGGATCACCATTGAAACACATTTCAGGCCCTCCGACATCTAGATTTACGTCACTTAGGCACGTATACTCGATTATATCGAAGGAATTACTCGAAGATTATGCTACGTGGTCACACAAATATGGTACGATCTCTGCTTGTAAACTGAGCTACCGACTACATCACTCTTGAAGTAGCATTTTTTGCTGACCTTTTAATAACAGGCGAACTTGTTCGCATTGAGCCAAACGTACTTTTGACATCATCTCCAGATCTGGTAATGCGCATGTCTGGAGTACGGTCGAGATATGGCAAGGATCCAGAGTTTTATCTACTTGCTCGGCTAGCGCCTGGAAAGGAGAACCTCGCTAGTTTGACAGATGAGTCTCTGCATGGCCGGCATAAAGCCAAATTGGCTCCTGCAGTAGGTTCTCTCGGAGTTACCCCAGTCATCATGATAGCTTTGCTGAATAGATATACAGTACACGCAAGATGTCAATGGAGCCAGAGAACTTACCATCGACGCCCATCTATCAGACCTGCTCGATTCTATTCGCACAAACTATCTTGCAACTTCCACGTCCACAAATACCATGGATTTGGCAAAAGAAATGCAATATTTCACGACAAAAGCCATTATTGAGCTAACTTTTGGACCGGCGTTTGACGACTTACTCACAGACGAGGTTGTGGGAAGTCTGGTTGACATGCCTGAGGATGCTTTCAATTTTCCTGGCTTCTTATATGCCATGAGGCTTACGAAGTTTATGGGATCGCCGATTATTAGCCGTCTTTTGTCTCCGAAAGAGAATCCTGAGGTTGGCATGGGCAAGTTTTTAAGGTAAGTGATTGATAGCATGAGTCATGTGAAACTTCGAACAACTTTGACGAATTTGTAGTGTGACAAATCAATTGAATGATGAGAAATTCCTGGCGAGCATACCTAAGAATACTCTGGGGATGATTCAGGTCTACATACAGAACGGTCTAGATTCAGAACAGGTTGCCCATGACGCATTAACTCAAGTTCTAGCGGGACAAGTTACGGTGTCTGCTGCGATCAGTGGAATCATTTTATTATTGATGAGCAATCCTAGAGTCTTGTGTACACTGCGCAAGGAAATCGATGATGCCTGGGACAGAAGTAGTACTTCCGAGCACGAGGGAAAGAAAATCGTCACATGGACGGAAACACTCGAGCTGCCCTATCTACAAGCAGTCATTCGTGAAGGTCTCCGCATTTTTCCTCCCACGGTGGACCCTCTCCCTCGAATTACGCCTCCCGAAGGCGATAGCGTAGAAGTCGGTGACCGGAACGTCTTTATACCTGGTGGTACCAGGGTTCTCACCAGTACCTGGGCTATCACCCGACGAACAGATGTTTTCGGCGAAGATGCAGATATATTTCGACCCGAACGCTGGATTGGTCTAGACACATCTACTAGTGTGCGAATGCAAAAGGTTGCGGATTTGATTTTTGGATTCGGCAAGGGTCGATGCTTGGGTATAACGATTGCGAGAATTATCATTTCTAAGGCTGTCTTTGAGGTAACAAAGGTTTTTTTTTTGGTGTGGAAAAACCATTTTTACTGATTGTTAAACTTGCCAGCTCGTGCGACGATACGACATGGCATTGACAAAGCCATGGTCACCGATGACCAATGTTTTGAATATGGGTGCATGGGAACGTAGCAAAATGATGGTTATAGTGACGGAGCGAGAAGCAGTTTGAAACATTGTCGATTGCATATTTAGAGAACCTTTGAAGTTTGTGTATTTCACAATCTGTACAACCTCGGTATTGTTTCTTTGGTAATCAAGCAGGGAGTCTCGACTCGTATTCGTATGTTACCGTACCTGGTTACCAGTTCCTGTCGTAAAATATACAGATAAAAGACAAGGTGCTTCAAACCAGTCAATCAGCGGACGACCATGGATCCATCCATCATCCAGGCAATCATAGGATTAGATCCAGCCTTCACACTCTGTGTTAATGATCAGCACAATCTTTTTTCATTGTTCATCTTTCGCTAACATATATTTAATGACTTATTTTTGAAAATAGCTTCGCGTGCAGCATGGGCAGATTCTGATCAGAATGGAAGTCCCAGAGTCAAAGGTAGATGTCCTTATAATAGGCTCGGTAGGTTACTCAAAAGTTTGCAATGATTTAAATAGGTGATCATTCAAAAGAGCGTGTTCATACACTTACAAGATTGTCTTCTAGGGTCCAGCGGGGTAAATAATCTTCGCCATCATACATGATATTTAACAACCACTAAACCACAACTAGACTGATAGCAGCGACATGGATGGCACAATGCGGTATCCATGCGCGGATTGTAGATCAACGGAAAGACGAATTGTGGTTTGGTCGAGCAGATGGGTAAACTACACATGATGCAAAGATTTAACGAAGCCTAAACAAAGTCTCACTATATGATTTGTAGGCTACACGCTCGATCAATGGAAGTATTCGAAAGTTTTGGATTCGAACAGGAAATCATCAAATTATGGGATCCGATTACCGACGATGCGGTCTGGATGCGGGATGTGGACGGTAGATTCTATCGTGCTGAGCGTGAGACTCGGCCTTTGCCGTTACGTACGAGGTACTCTTCTACCTTGTGTTTTCGACGATGGAGCATCGACTAATATTGTCCCTTTTTCAGATGGGTTGGAGGTCTATTACAACAAGCTGTTATCGAGAACATAATCAAGCAACATATCAAATCTATTTCACCAATACAGGTCGAGTACGAGAGTGTACCTACGTCCCTGTGGTTCGATGAAGCAGAGATCAATGATCCGGATGGGTACCCTTGCATTATCAATTTGCGGCGGAGAAAATCAACAAAAGAAGATGCAGCTACCAATGACCATGATCAGTTACCTCAAAATACCGAGACAGTGCGAGCAAAGTATGTCATCGGAGCGGATGGAGGAAAGTCCTGGACGAGGAAGCAACTCGGTTTTGCCATGGAAGGAAATAAGACAGACTCAATTTGGGGAGTGATTGATTTGATTGTGATATCGGATTTTCCAGAGTAAGTTGGTGCTCTAAACGAATATGGGAAGCGGATGAAAGTTAAATGATAGTAGCATTCGAACTACTACGACAATTAAGAGTATTGAAGGCGGAAACCTCTTCTTTTTCCGCAGAGAACGTGGTATGACCCGATTCTATGTGCAGCTTAACAGAGGCAAGGTTACAGAGAATCTGTGCAGAGAATCAGTCACGCAGGAAACAATCATTGAGAAGATTAGATATATGCTTCGACCGTATACAGTTAGTTGAAAAGGCCTTCAGACATACTGATTTTTCAATCACTGACAACTTTGAAGGTTGCTGTGAAGAATTGTGAATGGTATGAGGATAAATGTAGCTTCGGCTCCTTTGATACAGGTTACTAAGGTATTCTTGACAGGTGGTCAGCTTATACTGTTGCTCAGCATTTGAGTACTGGAATGACAAAAAATGGGCGAGCCTTTCTAGTCGGAGATGCTGTTCATACCCATTCACCACTTGTTGGCCAAGGAATGAACGTAGGCATGCAGTATGTGAGCCCATTATCGATGGAATTTCTGATACGAATCACTCTAAAAGACTGCAGGGATTCCTATAATTTAGGTTGGAAACTCGCAGGTGTTATTCGCAAACAATTCGACTCCAAGATCCTGGACACGTTCGAGATCGAAAGACGTCCTGTAGCGGAACAGCTTGTCGAAGTGGACCAAATTTATCTACAGTTATTTGACGCACCAAAAGGAAAAGAACCCGAATGGCTATTGGAACGGGCAGCACAGTTAGAACCGTTTCTTATGGGTCTATCCGTGAATTATTCTACTTCGCCATTGACAGCATTGTCGAGCACTTCCACACAAGCTACGAATCTACTGCCAAGCGATCTATCCGAGAGAATAATACCAGGCAGACGCTTCCCTGAGATGACTGTTTATAATCACGCATCAGGCAAATTATACCCCCTCCAGAGACTGCTCCGGGCGAACGGTAACTTTCACGTGATTGTCTTTGCTGGCGATATCTCTCAACTTGAGAAACGCAATCTTATGAACCGCGCTGGAACCGGGTTGGAATCAATACAGAAAGGTTTGCAGCTGAAACTCAACATCTTTGCTATACATCGTACGACACGTGCTGCTGTTGAGCTGGCAAATATGCATGATATCTTCTTCCCCTTTGATGAGACGATGGGAAGAGACTATGATCGGGTATATTGTGATTTAGATGTGACATACGAAGAGGCTGGGATTGACATTGGTGGAGGGATCGTCGTTGTTCGTCCAGATCAGTATGTTAGCTGGACTGGTGGTCTGGATAACACGGATGGACTTAGAGAATACTTTGAGCATGTTTTTAGAACCTAACTACTCAATTCCATCTAATCCTAGAAGAGCTTATCAAAAAGACTCCGATCTATTGTATCATAGGTATATTAGCGTCTTTAGTGCGAAACAGAAAATCATTGTGCACAGTATCGGCCTTCTCTTCATCGAGAGCTTTGTTTCGAAAAGCTCGTGCGTTACTCGTATTCAACAAAGAGTCAGACGCAAAACGAGCCCATTACATCAAACCACTATACATTTGTAATAATACAGCATACGTAAAAATGATGTGTCCGAAGCCTCAATAATTGAGTCTTCTTGAAAGATACAGCTACCGGGTGTTGCGCCACGGATACCTCGTGTTCTGACCAGCGTACACGTATGGTCTGCCGAGCCAACAAGCTGAGAGGCACTATGAGCATTGGAGTCCAGTCGATCGACGAGTGATTGTCATCATGTACCCCCAGATTCAGAAGACTGAAAGAAAGAAAAGCAAGTTCACGTCTGTACGAAGGAGCGGCTTGCGAGACAAATCCCGGTATCGAAGTCGACTATACGACGATATGAAAATAGTATTCTTTGGTATTGTTTTACTGAACGTATTCAATGTAATGACCGTATGTACCTGAACGTGCGTAATCCCGCAGACTGCAAGGAAACAGGAAAGTGAACAAAATATGCTTTCAGAAAGGAAAAATCCACCTGCCCGAAGAGATGCCTAAAGAAAGGGGTCTCCAGCTACCCATGATCTTGGCTTTAACCGACGATTTTAGGCATGGAGTCTCTATATGAATGTGCGACCGAATCTAGGATCCCTTATATATCGCCCAAAATTCAATTAAAGAATAGTGGACTTGCCCCGAGAGCGTTTGGGGCCTGGGAACAAGGCTTCTCTGGAAGGCATCCAATTAAATTTTATTTCTTCATATATGTTTAGAATTCATAGGACGAACGTTCTCTTGCCATACTGCATCTTCCCTATAAAAACTACTTCATCATTTCGTGATTAAACAGATATCATGGTGAAAGTACCATCATAGCCAACCCCAAATTGGCTGATCAGTATTCTCACAGGACATTTTCATAACTTTCAATTAAGGTATGTAAATTTAAAAAGGTATACGTAAGTGAGCCGAATATTGATAGACGAAATCATCATAACATTACTGTAAATATTACTCCGTCTTCAGGTATTTACCGTGTCTCATGTTTCCCGGTATTCGACAATCTGTATTGTCTAGATTGTCATCGATTGTATCCACCGAGAAGCGGCTACGTAGCTAGGGCATGTCGATCTCATATCGTGCTCGAAGGCTGAGCATGTTACTGGGTACTTAGGTGGCACGTATTGAGCGTATTGAATATGATACTCAGTTAAACGGTATTGCGTAGGTGATACAATCGCAATAAGCTTTATGGGGAGACCAGGTAAATCTCCCGAGCGTCTCAGATCAGGAGTATCAAAGTGGATCGGTGGGCCGGAATGACCATGGCTATTGATCCGGGCTGCATTAGCGAGCCGAGCTGTTCCACGGCGCCTTCATCGGACGAACCTAGCTCATAGTTCTGCGGATGAATTACTTGATTGGTAACATGCTTGAATGCTCCGAATATCTGGCCCTCTCCCCTCGCTGCAGTCAACATTTTATCACCATGAACAGAGTTACTTCGTTCCCCACCGAATATTCTGTGCGCTGGGAAAATGAACTCTGATCCAGCTAAGGTCGGGCGCGCGCCCATCACCGCCACTGAAAAATTAATCGAGTGTCTGTCCAAAGATGGGTGCGTAATAGCTACTGACTTTACCTCTGTAGAGGATCTGGCCCAAGTCCAAGATGATGTGAACCCGTATATGGAAGGGTATACTGAGATAAGGGTAGGTTTCTATTATGAGATGTGAGTGTGAAGATATTCAGTCAAATTAATCATAAGATGATACCTAGGCACATCTCTTCCCACCACAATACAGATGGTGCGGCGGTATTTTCGGACGCAGCGAGACGGTGCGCAATCGTTGGCTTGCAGAGGAGAACCTTGACCTAGTACGCGATCATTTCCTTACGACCACTTTGACACCTCCAGGAGGTTATGATGGCGCAACATTTGAAAGCAAACCGGTACTCGCCTTCTCAGTTACTCTCGATATAGGTCCCGGTGCGAAGCAGCAGCCATTACATCGTGATGACTACTTGTATTTCCATCGCCATCGAGACTTGACAAAGTCTGGCTATGAAATAGGAACAGATATGATGATGCTTATGTTTGTTCCGGCTGTAAAAACAACAATCGAGAATGGAGCTACCCTTGTATGTCGATCGAAGTCTTTTTTACTTCCAACTGATCCAGAAGACGGAAATTAGTAGCTAACAAAGCAACTGTTGTGCGTTTGCAGGTCGTTCCAGGTTCTCATCTCTGGGATGATGTGAGAACCCCTGTGGATAACGAAGTCTGTTATGCCACCATGACACCAGGGGAAGTCCTCTTGGTACTTGGATCCACCTGGCATGCTGGCGGCGGAAATGTTACGACAGACGTGCGTCGACCGCAGCACACTTTCTTCTTCACACGCGGCATGTATCGTCCAGAAGTATGTCCTCATCCTAACCTACTCCAAACGACTTGAGACTAATTGAGAATCGCATCTAGGAAAATCCATATCTCTCATACTCGCCGCAGCAGGTACTGTCATGGAGCGAAAAATCGCAATCTCTTGCGGGGATGAACCGAGATACGCTGGCTTTCGATCGAACCAATTACTTGGTGCCTTCAGCTTTGTATGCAGAATCTACGAAGGCACAGATTCCAGATAAGTAAGAAACTAGATAGCTCTAATTACTTTCAATGTTCCGTAATCTTTTGGTAGTCCATTAGAATTTGAAGATTTAAACGCTAGTTCGTAGCCATAGTAACACTCAGCAATAATTATATTTCTATGCTCAATTCACCGCCATGTGATGTGCATGATACCATTGAAGAATGGTAGCAGAGTCCCTAAGATCCTCGGATCTGTTGCAGCGAACTGGTTGAATTTGTTCATGTTGACTGCGACTTCTCTGCACCATTCTCTGTCCTCATCCGATACAGTCGGAGACATGCTTGGGTTTACCGTGATTCCGCGCAAAAGAACTGTAATTTCATTAACTGGGCAAGATCGATGAACAGGAGGGATCTGATTACCATCGTCAACAAGGATAATCCCTTGCGGACTCAATAGTTCGCGATCCAAAATTGCGCGGACATAAGCTTCGTACTGAAATTGATCCGCATCAATGTAAATCAAGTCAAAATCGCCTTGTAACTGAGACAGACTGCCAAAATTCAGTTCCAGTTAAGCCTGTCCATAGGCGTCGAAAGAGAAGGAAGACCAGGCCCACCTCTCGGTACAATCCCCCTCAATAATCTCAATACGATCAACAGCCTGGTACTTTTGGAATGCGTCTTTAGCGATCGCAATGAATTCTTTATCGATATCTAATGTCACAATCTCAGAACCGATGTCCCGAGTCGCTTCGTATAATGCCAGCGACATAACACCCGTGAATGTGCCGAGCTCCAGAACTGATCGTTACTGTCAGAAAAGCTACAAGCATTGTAACTAACGCTGAGATCATACCTCTTTTCGGTCGAAGTCCGCGCGCAGTGCTCATGAGATATGCGCATTGAGCTAGTGAGCCAGCCATCTCGCCATTGCGCTCTGTTTTGTTTGCCGTAGTCACTGAATGCTCGAGCAAACAATGTGGAAGCGGCGTTGTATTCGCCACGCAGTATTCTCCAACCTGATCCACCTCATTGGGCGTCAGGGAGAGCATGCAAGTTTCACGCATATCGATGATAATTAATCAAAAAAACAGAAGGGGGGGTTCAAAATCTGAATTTGGAATTGAACGATGAAGTGTTCCGAAACTTGTAAAGAGCGAATGATGCAATACTGTGTTTTGTTTCCTGTCAGACGTACTAAAGAATTACCAGTAAAATAATGAACAAAACCAAGAGTCATTTTCAAGGTGATAAGTCTATATATTCTGGGCAACGATCTACTAGAGTAAACATTACTGTGGTGGCTGCATATGCTCCAGCTTCCATATACGTTATGCACCACTCGTTGTGCCTCCACTGAACACGGGGTTACCCACTCAACATACAGTACTATCTACTAAAGTAGGCACATTACAAAATAGGATGTGGATATTTCGCCATGTATTATCAGGAACAAGGCGCACACAGGCTTATTCGTATGCTAATACGAGCTAAGAGCAGGTTTACGAGCCGTAGTACGTATGGTACCAGGCCCGTATCTATACTGTGGGGAGATGATTGGAAAGAAGTTACTGCGAAGGCTGGCTGAGCATGTATAGTGAGAACCGCTAAATTCTATGCACATCGCTTCTAACAATTGAATACAGACGCCGCTGGAGTTGTTGTTTGGCGATATAGATACTGCTTAACTTAGTGGAAGATTTCATCAGTCCCAGCAATATCACAAGACTTTATTGAGCAATGGAGATAAAAGGATATGTGAACAAGAGCAACCCTAGCACAGTCAACATGCTAGACATTCGTCAGCATGGTGAGAACAGTTCTAATCTGCGAGATGAGCTTGTCTCCAATCTAAAAAAACCCTGTCCACTGAAGGCAGTACCTTCCATCCTACTCTGGGACGATCGTGGCTTGGAGCTATTTGACGAGATCACGGCATGTCCCAGTTACTACCTAACCCGTGCTGAATTGGCCTTGCTGGATCAACACAGTGATGATATAGTAACAGCGGTAGGACAAAATCGTGTTATTATTGAGCTCGGAGCTGGGTATGACTTTCTTCCTACCATTGCCTGATGAACTGAAAATTGTTTTATCGCATTGATCGAAAAAGAGAAGCTGACAAATGTGCATGCCTGTACAGAAGTTGCAAAAAAACATTAGCTATTCTTACGGCATTGGAGAAGAAACGTGTGTCCACTATATACTTTGCCCTGGATATTGCTCCCGACAGCCTATCATCGAGTCTATCACAACTATTCAAACACACGCGCAGCTTTCGATACGTTACTTGTCACGGGCTTCTAGGCAGTTACGACGATTGTGTTCGACAACTCGATTTCGACAACACCCTTAGCAGCGAACAAATATTATTCCTTTGGTTCGGAAACAGTATAACCAACTTGCCCTGGAGAACAGCTGTTGATCTGGTCGAGCGGTTATTATGCCTAAGGAACGTTGGTGGAGCAAAGCTTCTACTTTCTGTGGACGGATGCAGGGATAAGCAATTGATAGAGGTTGCATATGATCTGCCCGGTGGGCAGTCTCGTTCTTTCATGCGCAATGGACTTCTTCATGCCAATGATTTGCTTGGAGATGAGGTATTCGACTGTAACGACTGGGATTTTGAGGGTTGCTGGGATCCAATCTCCGCCGTTCATAATACTTATCATGTTGCAAAACGTGACCTCACGCTCATTGTGGATGGACAAGAGGTTCCTGTCGCAAAGGGAGAGAAATTACACAGTATCGCGAGTGGAAAATGGGATCGGGTGACTATTGAGCGACTTTGTGAAGAGGCTGATGTCGCCTTGAAACGACAGTGGACAAAGCCCGCGGAAAACTTTAGTGAGTCTTCCCTTGTATATATGTTGTAAAATATTTGCGACTTTCTGCTTGAGTAGGGACTAATTCTGAAACTAGGTTGCTATTTGTTAAGCGGAAGGAGTTAAAAATTTTTGATTCTGGGTTTCCAGTATGCTATAGCTCTATTGTGAACTTAATGTTTGCCTATATTCAATATCTCAGTAATAAATCATGTCCTGTCTGTCCTTCTACTTGGAATGGCGATCAATGCCAACACATTTAATAACGCCAAGGAAAGAGACAAAGCGGGCCAGCCTTCCGTCTTCATAGTTATATATGCCCATACTGGACCAATTATACCCGGTATTGTCATTGCAAGATTCAACAATGTACTTGACTGACTCACTGCTGTTCCGGGGTCAGGTTTTTGCCCTTCTTGCTCATTCTGGGTCGCCCATTCCATTGCTGTGGATACATCCGTCTGTACCGGAGGTCAGTGATCCCAGGATTTGTATAGCTGACAGGAAGGTGTTGAGAGATTGGAAGTCACATACCATAGACGGTATAACAACAAACAGAGTTCCGACACTTGTTAGAGAGATCATGGAGACGAAGAGGATCAGTTCAAAGCGGCTATCTTCATGAACGAAAGTAATGCAAGTCAGTGAAACTGCGTTCATAATAAAGCCAATTCGAACCCCAATTGTGTGGCCATGACGATCGATAAATTTACCGATCAAGGGACTAGCAAGTGCAGGTAGCGAATCTAGCATCCATACGAATGACATTTGTGCCGGACTCAAACTGAAGGTTTTATTGGCGTATGACGGCAATACCTGCATAATTTCATTTCAAGTAGTTAGTACCCATATCCCATTTTAGGTACTGATCTTGATATTTGGATCGAATTATCTTACTGCTTCGAGCGATGCCATAGTCACACAAACAGCTGTCATTGAAAGTAGCATCTGAATAACCACCCGTTGTCGAATCAGCAGAGAAAAAACACGCCAATAATTGCCCAAGCGACTTCGTAGAACGGAAAATGTTGATTTATCTTCGCTGGAAGAGACTGTTCGGGTGGTGCCATGCAAATCTCCTTCAATAATATCGTTTTGAATAAACGCAAGCTCTGACTGTGGAGCTGCATCGCAGTATATTGCAAAGTAAAGGCTCAGTATTATCGCGGCTTCACAAATGAGCATAATGCCACCTCCTCCAGCATATTCATACAAAGGCCCGCCCGAGCTGGAGCCTACCAGACATCCGAGTGTCAAAGCTAAAGAAACCCAGCCCATAGCAGCTCCGTGGTCTTGACTTGGCACATTTACAATCACAAGGAACATACTCGATATCATCGAAGCCGCGGCCGCAATACCATGGAGAATTCGCGATATTATTAGCCATACGACATGATAGCTCACAAACATAGGTGGAATGGACAGTGCCGCCAGCGCCAGGGCTGCTATGCTGGTGATCCTCATGCTTCTACCATCATTCGCAATGATGCTGGCGAAGACTACATACGTACGATTGTAAGTAACACCGAGAAATGGACACATGCTCCGGATGAAAAACTCACTGCCAGATATAGTCTTAAAAACAGCCCAGAGGCCAAGGACAATGGTTGTCCACTCCTGATCTGATTATTTCAGATTAGCTCAACCTAGCCATTGGATCATACTACATTACTGAAGGAGGCTTCCTGTGATTCAAACTTACAGTAATCCGGGTTGGCGTGTGTTTGCGCCAACATTTCAGGAATAATAGGTATAAACTATAAGTTTCATGTAAGTACTACATAAGCAACCTCACAACGAATGTATGCTTTGTGAGTTTCTTACTGCATAGTTCACAAAGTTGATCTTTAGTCATGCGTCAGTGGCGCAAGTCATTCATTTTTGCTTTCTCCTCACTTACCGTAAATAAGGATAAGCAAATACTTAAAATTTGCAACTTCAAAGAAGATGCTTGATCGGATGTTTTGAGGCCAAGTAGTGCTGTTTCCTCATTCTGTTCGTCCATGATTGTGCTCAATATCGTTTGCGGTTGGTGAAGGACTTCTTCCTATCGAGGTTCAGTACAGAGTTTGTCGTTAGTTGGCTGTGACTTGTCACTTGTACGACGCGGGGACTTGCATGGTATGTTACAAGCTAGGGCTGACCCTAATGGTATACAATACCTCTTAGTCTCCGGTTTCCTTACTGATTTTTCTTAGAATTTCCATAATTACATCGCAGTCGATCAGATTGACTAGCTCCACTAGTCATAGTGATAAATAAAATCTGTTTATTCGTTCACTAGTTTTTAATTTGATCCCATAAAATGGCCCAGACTACGGTGATCACTAGTCGACGTCCTTTTTCAGTGGATTTATTATAGATTAGACAGAATTACAGAATGACTATACTAGTATATTGCTATTATTAAACGCCGACTAATGCTTGTTTTTCCTTCTTGCGCCTCAGGTCACCACCTGTGTACATCGCCGACGGTACCGCTAAAGACAGTGTTAGTGATCCTAACAATAAAGTTGTTAGTGTCCAGCTCGCATGCGTCCGTAACCAGCCACTTAATAGCGGCCCTAGGGTCACTCCGATTCCACAGGCGGTACTTAGCAGCCCGTAAGCCTGTCCCGTAATCCCAGCCACGGTTAGTTGCTGGTCGACCACTCCGGGTTCTTCCACCAGCGCACGTAGTGCAAGCCCTGTGTCTGTCGACATGCCGACTCTTTGGCCCGTGCGTCCGATTCCGCAAAAGAAGAGCAATACATATAGCAGGCTCTGATGGAAAGTAGTGTTGCGATTCACAAGACTCATCATAAGGATGGCCCCCCCAACGCAGATCGTGCTGATGACCGTAATCCATTTAGTACCATATTTATCTGCGATTTTCCCTAGAGAAATGCAAAATCATGCTATTAGAATTTGTTAAAGTTTACAATTGGTAGGGATAACCTGAACATACCGAATGTTGGTGATAGGAGCGTTGAGCCTGATAGTGAAAGGAAGAAAAGTCCCACGCGGGCCGAGTCAATATGAAACAGCTGGACAAGGTATAGTGGAAGAACCTAGCACCCGTCAGTCAAAAAAATGGGCCTGATAAAGTTCATCAGCAGTGGAATCCTACAGTTTCAAAGGAAGATAAGATCCCTGCGTTCATGATAGAGGCAACAACGATAGTCGCAGTGCGTGGGTAGCATAGAAGTATGCTAAAAGCAGACCGGACGCGGAGGGAAGGATCTGCTGTAGGTTCATTCTCAGGAACGGGGTTCATGTTCCAGTCATTGTAGGAATGTTTCGCTGCAACTGGCGCCTGTAGAAGTGGGTTTTCTTCACGAAGTTCTCCCTCTGTATCTACAGCACGGACAATGTTAGAGGATGGGGATACATCCTCGTTGGAAATTTCGGCCATGAGCAGTCTCAAAACTGTATCGACACCAAGGAGTCCTATAGCCACAGCAAATACGGAATGATATCCGGCGAATTGGAAACTATCTTTTCACATCAGTCTTTGCGTCCATACTGACAAGAATCGAAACTGGGTGCTCTCGTAAATACGACGGGACATACAGGGTACCACCGATAATTGGTCCACAGAGCAGTCCAAGCGTATTTGCACTCCATACATACGACATTGAAATGCCCAAATCATCAGGGCCGGAGACGTCATTTATAATAGCCATGCCGACGACCCAAACAGCAGTCGCAGACAAGCCTTGCAGGGCTCTTGCAGCTACTAGCATAAAGATAGTTGTTCCAATCCAATATAGAGCGGTAGAAATAGCCATAACAAGGAGACCGAATGTGAACAAAATGCGACGTGATGGGAACTTGTCCGCTAAAAGCCCGATCAGAGCTGTTGTTTCCATCAGCATATACATTCATTGTCTTGGATACGGCCGATTGACCAACATACGGGACGATATCACATTAGTGAAACCGAAAACGGCGAGGAAAATTGATGTCCATTTCAATACTGTCGTTTCGCAATGTGAGCCATCGAAGTAGAATGCTACCAAGCGTCTGCTTACCGTCCGCATCATCAACACCCACTCGTTCTTCGAGAGTATATGGAACGATAGGAACAATCTGCGCAAATCCCAATTAGTTCATTGCTAGTGTTCAGTAATACGGTTTCACATAGTCAGCAACATACCATTGCATATAGAAAAGTATCCTATTTCCGAAAATTGTACAATTAGCTCTCATCCTCTGTCACAATCGCTTATTCGTTGTTTACCGTGAACACAGACAAAGATATCGCAGTGAGACATAGCTCACGCGACTTCCTCCATTTGGCAAATCTGAATTTTACTGAAAGCCACATCGTCAAATTTCAATGATGTGTTTCTGTGGACTTTGACTGGTCAAAGTCGAACAACCAATATGGCAAGCTGAGGCGGAACGGCAGATTGAAATCACATCGAAGAAGAGAATATGTTATTCGTGATTAAACGAAGGTCGAGAATCAAAAAAATAAAAAATACGTTGATTGCATGTTGTTCTGGGTAATAAAGTATGTAATCGAGTTAATGATCTCAGGTAGGCTTATGCTTAACACTAATCCAGACGTATCCAGACGCAGGATATTGCCCATTGCTATTACATGCAAATCATTTTGTCCGAGTAAAGGTTAGCCGCCTGTAGCAGACTCCTTACTAGAGCAAGGTGATATGGGGAATCTGCCAAGCTCATATCGATGAGACCGACAGCGTTCAATGCCAGCCAGCCACCGAAGAGGACAATTTTTGAGTCAAAAGCGATCCGCTTGACAGACCAAGAATGTGTCGATCTAGTTGTTAGCCGAGCCTGGTTACAATTGAAAGCTTGCCTAGAACATGCATGTCGGCCCTGGTCAGGCTTAGAGCTGTGGTGCTGTTGCGTCAATTGATGCAGCATTAGCCCTAAAATCCTAGTCAGTGTTTGACGAACCACGCGTCGATTTAAGCTCCAGTAAGATCCCCGACATCTTGAGTTCTACTTAGTTTGTTTTGTACATCTTTCCTCCCCAAGTCCCTACTTTGATCAATCCCGCTTTGATGACACAAACAAAAATAAAACCACTCACTTGATTTTCTACTCTCACGTTGGAAATTATGCAACTTTTTATGCAGCTCGTTCAAGGCTTAGCAGCCTTCCAGCCACTTGCATTTTTTCCCACTCACAACGAAAACTCTCTCTCAACACACGGAGATACTAGTACCAGCGTTTTGTACAGATCGGCGGCTATCCTCGACATCACACAGACGGTTTCACTCTTCGCAGTCCTTCTAGATGATCATGCCTACAATGACCTATATCGCGTCTTTACCGATAACGCGACAGCTGATTTCAATGCTACTGGAATTCCCGTCTGCCATGGGCTTCCGGCGATCATTGCGCGACTACAGGACTTGAAAGACGCGCCGAGCATGATGGCTATCTCAACCCAGTACGTGGATCTGCATACGCCACCGGTTACCGCTAGAGCGATTAGTTACGTTACTGGTAACATGTTCACGCCGGGTTGGACGGAACCCAGTTTTACTGAATATGGAAAGTACGTATTAATATTCGTACTATTGATTTTTTGTTTCGTCTAGAACGGTACTATTAATAACCTTTGTAATTACCAGGTATATTACGGACTTTATTCTGACAGATGGCGGTTGGCGCATGGAAAAGCTAGTGGCACATGGATGGGTAAGTTTTTTGTCTCTGATAACAATTTCAGGCATCGTCTCATCAAGAATTATAGGCTGTCTTCGATAGATGGGGAGATCAACCAGGCAAAAATCAAACAGAATTGGTGTAGCAAGTCAATTGCGTATTCTTTGCAACAAGTGATTCGACATTGGCTCTAATATACCAATAACGGCCTAATCGAAGTTTTGATAGAGGGCAGAACGGTACTTGATATATTATAAAAGTGAAAATGTCGTTCATGAAAAACGAATGATTTCATAAGTTCCATCTAAATGAGCCGGTACATCATGTATTTAAGTTCTCAAAATAATGCAGTTTGCTGGCAATAGTAATCAGCTAAATTCGTTTCCGGCTTTTCTGCAAAAATCTTCAATGTCTCGCATGTCAAGATTTGCAAATCATGCAGCATAGAAGCGTTCAATATGTGCGCCGGCGATGACAACTTGATCTTTAATGTTCCATCCCCGAGATAGAGAGTCTCAATTCCCACATCATCTTGTCCATATGGCGTATCATAGACTCTGGGTCCTCCGTAGTTCATACCCCCCAAGACCAATTCCGCGTTCCAGTCTGTATTATCATGCTGTAACCAAGTTCCGAGCGGCGCGGCGGGGTCCCAGTTCGTGCATTCTTTGATAATCTTGAAAAGTTCCATACCCTCGAATTCCATGCTATCGGCGTCTTGCCGTTGAAGATGTTCACACAGATCATACAGACTCCAACCTGGTCGTAGCTTAGCACGGATAGGCATGATTTCAAGACATGGTCCCATTACTGTGTCGAAATCATGTCTTTTGCTTCGTCGTCCAGTGGTAACGAGACCAAAAACAATATCATCTTTTTTCGACCATCTGACGAGTGTCATGATCCATACAGCTTGAACAAATGTGGCCATAGTCACATTGGGCAAGCCATGGATGTTTTCCACCACAGTCTCGACTTCGTGGACCCCGCTGTTCTCATTAGCTTTATCATCTCCTAGGGCTTCGGCAGTTGGGAGCGGTGTCAGGTATGTCATAGTAGAGTCCTTGAGAACGACTTTATAAAAGTCATATCCACCATTCTCTCCTAACGCTCGGGCAGAATACACGAAATCTGCATAGGAGCATCTAGGGTGGAGGGGTAAGCCGTCAAAAGCGCTTCTCCAATCGCTCCACAACTCCGAAATGCTGAATCCATCGTATTGGGCATGTGACATTCGAAGAACAAGATATCGGGTTTCTGGGCTCGTAATGATAATAAATTTGAGAGGAGAATTGCCCACTGGTAGCGATACAGAAGCTGCTTCTTTTTCCCTCAACAAAGTATCTACCGCCTCATCTGTGTTTTCTGTGATTGTATGGAATGACTGCTCAATTCGAGATAAATCTCTTAAAATCACCTGGTAATGCTTGTCGTTGTGTGAGATAAATAGCGTACGCAGGATGTCGTGTTCAGCGATAATTCTGAGCCAACTAGACACAGCTAGATCCAGATCAAGCCTGTCACCGATGTTGAAGATGAAGAAGGTGGGACAGTTGGAGAGGGCAAACTCCTGTAAACTGGTTGCGGGGAGCACGTCTGAAACATTGGAGTCCGGTATATCAAATGGGCGAATGATATCCTGAATGAAATTTTGTCTGGAGCCAATTTCACATTCAAGGGCGTGAAACGGTTCCCAAACTTGTCTGGTTTTTCTTTCCCTTGTTTGATCATGCAAACCATTCAAAATATCTGGACACGCTATCTGAGCAAGCGAGCTTAGTTTGGGAGAATTAATGACATCTCTGACTGTCAGGTGTAGACCCAACGCCCGCGCTGAGCTCACTAGGCGCATGGCTGTAATTGAGTCACCACCACGTGCAAAAAAGCTGTCATCGGCGCCTATGCAGTCCTTTGGTAAACGAAGAATATCCGACCACAAGTCCCGAAGCTTGGTCTCGGCCTCAGTTGAGGGTGACCGGTGCTGTGTTTCGCCTTGCATCGCGAGTGAGATTTCTTCAGCACTTAGATTGCTTGCAGCTTCGCGCAAAGCTTTGCGGTCAGTCTTCCCAGTCAAGGTCTTCGGGATTGCTGTTATATGTAGTATCAATGATGGGACCATGTAGGATGGGAGAGCTTGGAAAAGCATGCGAGTAGCCTCGGCATTTTCTGCCTGGTATTCCGAAAGGGATTTGAAAACAAATTGTTCGGATTGTTTTTGCTCTGAGGTACTTGGATCCACCCTGTTGCAATCTTTACACAAAGATCCCTGATCGGTTTTCTCCTCTACGAACCCAATAAGCTGATTTTTTCCAAGTAGTGTAGCCACATCGACAACAACTTTGGGTGACTCAAAAAAGGCCTTATGAAGGTAATACTCGACCTCAGACAACTCAATGCGCTGTCCACGCAATTTCGTTTGAGTGTCTCGGCGCCCAACAAAGACAACGGTTCCATCTGTGTTATAACGCACAAGATCGCCGGTTCTATAAACACGAGATTGTGAAGTGTCGCCTTCACGAAATCTGTTTAGCCAGCTTGGAGAAGATAGAAATGACGACATGGTACGTTCGAAATCGTTCAGATAACCGCGAGCAAGAACAGGGCCTTCGATATAGAGCTCGCCAACAACACCGACTGGTGCCAGGCGTGATGGGTCAACAATATCAACCGCCCAAAACGTACAACCAAGGCCGCGGCCAATAGTTGCGAGTGGATTGGCTTGACCTTCGCCTTTTGTGTTCTTCTCGACTGGATGCATTGCGCAGATGGTGCACTCAGCAGGTCCGTACCCATTGAATACCTGTGCCTGATCCTTCCAAGTATCAACCACTTCGGCTGTGATTGGCTCTCCCCCCAAAGAGATAGTTTTCAACTCTGGAATCTCCTCTTGGCCTAATGCTTGCATTATTGTGGGAGCGGAAAGGGTCACTGTTGCGCCACTTTCTCGTGCATATTGTGCAGGCTTGTTTAGTCGTGCATCTTCAGAAGGAATACAGATGCAACCACCGAGGACGAGCGTCGTCATGTTTTCGTATAAGTTGATATCGAAGGAGCAAGAGGCAAATTGAAGCATTCGAGAACTGGGGCCAATGCCAAGCACGCTCCCATGCGCAAATATGCTGGTTGATAGTGCCCTATGTTCTAAAACAACCCCTTTGGGGCGGCCTGTACTTCCTGAAGTATATACGACGAAAGCGATTGTGTCCGGATTGTTGTTCCATTGAACATCAACTAGAACTGGACGTAGTTCCTGGATCCAGGGTACAGATGCGACTATTTTTTTAGCAGACGTATCGGCGACATCAAAATGATATTGGTACATTTCCGAGCAAATGAAATATCGAGCACGGCTGTTTGATAAGATCTGGTTGACTCGGCCCTGTGGTAGACGAGCATCCACGAGGGTGCAGCCAGCACCAATCTTGAGTAGTGCGAGAATTATGACGGGAGTCAATCGAGATTTCTCGGAGCAAACAGGCACCACCTCGTCCGAATGAATACCAAGTTGCTGAAGGAAGAACGCAAACTGTGATGAGAGAGTATTCAACTCTTGGTACGTCCAATTTCCGTCCCATGCATCTACCGCCGGTGCATTTGGATCTTGATCGGTACGCCGTTCTATCAACTCGTTGAGGGTTTGATTGACTGCCGTCTGACAGGTACCATTCCACGCTATCAGTCTTTCAATGTCATAAGGACTAAGCAAATTTACTGTCGAGAGCTTCATGTCGGGATGGGCATGTATTTGGCGCAGAGCGTGGCCAAATTGATGCAGTATATGAGTCATTTGATCCGAGCTAATTATGCGGTCGTTGAATTGGGCGGACACATTGACCAGATTCTCATTTGAGCATATGGTGCACTCCATAGTAAGTGGGTAGTTGCTGAAAGCTAATCGAGATTCCTTGTACTTCTGAGCTGGAATCAGTACCTTGTATCGTCCTTCGCTTTGTGTCTCTATTGAAGGCTGAATGACCAATAGAGATTGCAAATCACACGCGGCTGCAGCTTCATCGCTCAGTTGCCGTATATTCTGTAGACCTGTTTGTTCGTATGGGATCATTTCAATCAGTTGCTTTTGTACCCTATCTAGAGCTTCACCCACTGTCAGACTGAAATCAACCTGCTGTCGAAACGGTACCGTCGTAATGGTTGGCCCTGTCATATCTGCAATGCCTGGAATAGGTGCATTTCGTCCAGTCAATGTAAGGCCGAAAACGATGTCCGAAGATTCAGCGTAGGCGGCGACAAGCAGACTCCAAGCAAGGTTAATCTTTGTGGCCAGCAGATGTCTATGTGGGGCGGAATCGCCTAAATGGACTTGAATTCTCTTCGACTCGGTAGCCCAACCTTCTCCTTCATGATGTATAGGATATGTGGCAGGAATCGGACCCGCAAGTTGTCTCGTCCAGTACGCACTGTGTCTTTCCCGATCCCCATCTACTATGTATTTGACGAAAAGGTTGAACTCACACTGTGGAGGTAATTTCGTTCCTCGATATGCAAGTTCAACTTGGTCGAATATACGGGGAACTTGCCAGCCATCACATGCAGCATGATGTGCCGTCCATATTAGCTGTGAACACGAAGACTTGCCCCTACTTTGTGAGATAATAGCCAGATTCACAAGCGGTGATCCTAATCTAATCTGACTGATCAGAGTCCTGGTAACAAAACCGAGCTCTACATTCTCGTATTCAGGAATCAAGAGCGGTTCTCGGGTCACGACTTGGAGAAGCCGTGCTGGTGTGTCAATAATGCAGGTTCTCATGATGCTGTTCTGCAGTGAAACAGTTTCCCATGAACTTTTGAGACACTTTAGGTCTGTCTCTGGAGGTAGGTCAAATATTTGCTGGGCTATATGCCCGCCATACCTCTGCTCCCCAAGCGCCATCAGGCCCTCTTGCATTGGTGTACATGGCAAGATATCTTCAATGCTAGTAGAATATATTCCATATCGTAAACTCGCCTCGCGAAAGACTTCTGTCCTCAATTTTTCCGCAATGAGAGAAAATGGCGGCAGTGATGTACTCATATCTTTCGTATCATCGAGAGCTGACATCTTGGAAGCTAAAGCTGCTATATTATCGTGGTAGAGAACATCTTGCATCTGCAAGAAGAAACCAGATTGTCTTGCAGCAGCAATCAGCTCAATTGCTGTGATCGAAGTTCCCCCCAAGCTAAATAAATGGTCGTCTGCCGATATATTCAAATCCGAGCGAAGAACTTGTTTCAATAACTGCTGAAGTTTGAGCTCCTTTGCGGTGCTTAGTGCCTTCGATGTAACTGGGAAATAACTTCGTAGATGTGACTGATCGACTTTTCGAACTTCCCTAATCATTCGTTTTCGATCTAGCTTGTCACTGGGCTTCGTTCTTGGAATCTCAGAGACTGGAAGAATAATTGATGGTATCATGTATGAAGGCACTTCGCTCTGAAGCTTTTTGCGAATCTGCTCGGCTATTGTCATAAACTCTCTGCTGGCTGGGAGGATAAGGCTTTCTGTATCGGTTTTGCTCTGTTGCGGAATATTTTTGATAGTATTTTCAAAAGACCTCAGACAACAAAAAGCGACTAATTGCAATTCATTCTCCGAGAGAGCGTTAGTACAGATTTCAGCAATCACGTCGAGCTTCTCGGCAGATGCTTGTGCAATAGCATATTCAATTTCTTTCAAGTCAATGCGTTGTCCTCGAAGCTTTTTCTGCTGATCCTTGCGACCAATATATAGTATTGAACCATCCCGATGGTACTGCACCAGGTCTCCAGTCTTGTATAATGTGCTGTTCCTACCTGCAACAGCGTCGAAACCTCGTTGCAGCCACTTTGGTGCCTTAATGAAAGCCGCAGATGTTCTTTCTCTGTCTTTCAGGTAACCGGCACCGACATTCGGTCCTTCGAGGAGCAGCTCCCCAGTGGCACCGACTGGAAGAAGCTTCTCGTGGTCATCCAGATCGACAATCCAAGCCAAACAACCTAGTGTGTGGCCTATATTATTTACAGCCGTGACATCACGCTGGAAAATTCCCACATTGCTGCAGACCGCACATTCTGATGGACCATAACCAAGTACAATTTTGACGTTGTGTGACAGCCACTTCTCAATTAGTGTAAGACTGGCAGACTCTCCCACGAGCTTCAAGCGTTGCAAGCTCGGTACACTCTCTGGTTCTAGCAATCGAGCAACGGACGGAGTCAATATAGCCGTATTGACATTGAATCTCCTGATTGCAGATGCCATTGCCGTCAATCTTTCTGAATCCGAAGGAACACAAACACAGCCGCCGTTGCACAGGGTTCCAAGTGACTGGTATATAGCTGCATCGAAGCCGTAAGATGCAGAGTCCAGCATTCGTGTTCTTTCGTTCAACCCAACTGTGGTGGCTGTGTATTTGAAAGTTGATGCTAAGTTGGCATGCGATACCAGAACTCCTTTGGGTGTTCCTGTCGTGCCTGAGGTGAAGACAATCGCAGCAATCGTCAATAACGGGTCTATATTTGCTGGCACACAGAATTCAGTGCTACTAGCATTATCTTCCGTAGTAACCACTGGCACTTTCACTACTGTAGAAGCTAGCTTCTCCGCGAGCTGAACACTGCTGCCGGAGCACAGAACGATTGCTGCATTGACTTGCTCAACCATATTTTGTAGCCTTGAGACAGGAAGTCCCGAATCTAGCAGCACAAAAGCCGCGCCTAGTTTGAGCACTGCAAGCATTGAAGCAACGCAATACCGGCTTCTTTCGAAGACAAGAGGTACCACATTTGACTGTCGCACCCCGGAATGATGGAGATGCTGAGCCAATTGTGTTGAAAATTGATTTAGCTCTAAGTAGGTGAACGATCCATCCCATGCATCGACGGCTAACCGGTCTGGACACTCAGATGCTCGATGTGCAATTGTATTATGGAGGCATTCTGCATAAGGAATCGGAAGATCTGAGTTCCATGACCATATCTGTTTAAGGTCTTGTACTGATGCACCCCATGGCTTAGACTCCACTGAGTTCTCTAGGTCTCGCATTTTTGTCTCTCAAATCTGCCAAATGCTGGCAAAAGGTAACAACTGCAAAGTTTGGATGAAAGATATGGTCACAATATAGCTTAGCAGCTCAATTGATAGCAACAATATATCATTTCAAGAATAATCTTAAGATAAAATCATGCGTCGAATATGATTTTTCAAAATTTTTGGAAGCTGTGCGATGTCTCGACGGACATGGCAGTGAACATCAATGTCCATTTCCATGTATTAGATGACAGTTGCAGTATTGTTACATTTGGTAAGATACAGATTTGGCTTACCGTTATTACCGAGTCAACAAAATTCCATACGTATGGGTATCGGGATGTAATAATACCCAAACCTAATTTTAGGATGATGATCTCTAGTGTGGCCATCGCAAGCGTCAATACCAACAAGTAATTCAGAAAAGAGCACCACTTTCCTGTATGCACTTCTAGTTGCATATGTATACGGATCATTAAGGGGTTTAAAGCTCGGGTGGATTAATAAAATGCTTTTCGGTGACTTAAAAAACAAAGTGTATTGTTCATCGCTGACGTATGACAAGCATATTGTCAGCAGAATATTCTTTTACCACAAAGCAATTGAATATTACAATGATTTTGAGTATATAGAGAAATGAAATCATCAACGGGTGATATTGTCCAGCAGCTGGATCAAGTTCGCGTAAATATCGACGCCTTCACACCTGACGATGCGCAGGCTCGTCGGGATCTACGAGCATCAGCGTTAGCGTTGGCCTCGACCCTCAGCTCACCAGAAGACATCTTTGCTGATGCTTTCTATCAGGTAGAATTCATTCATTTTGTTTCGTTCAACATGGTTTTCGAGCTAATCAGACATGTAGCCAGCATTGGCGGTAGCTATTCTAGTTGCAATGGAAGCTCAATGGCTGCAGTGTTTGGCCAGTGAATCCGCGCCTTTATCTGCAACAGAATTGAGCCAAAGAACACAGACCAGTCGGTCCACGATTGTACGATTTATGCGCGTATTGACTTCACATCGAATTGTCACTGAGGATGATACGGAGAAATACATAGCCAATAGCAATACACGTTGGTTGACGACACCTGCCGCATTGGCAGGGGCACAAATATTGTACCCTGCCACAGCTGAAGCGTGTCTCCAACTTCCAAACTGGTATGCGAGTCGCAAATTTGCTGAGCCAACCTCACTAAAGGATGGTCCTTTTTTCGCAACCTTCAAAAAGACTTTTTGGGACTCACTCCGCGATGACCCAGCCAAACATGCCGCGTTTAGTTTATCAATGGAAGGGGTCTATGAAGAGGATGCCATCAAATCTGATGCAGAATTAATAGGCCGCAAATTGAAACAAGCAGCAGATATGCAGGTTGGTGACGTTAATGATGTGCTACTGGTCGACATTGGCGGTGGGACTGGACATCTTCTCCGAACATTTCGTAAACTGCATCGTGAGCTCCCAGGAAAGCTGGTACTACAGGACCGGGCAAGTGTTATTGATAAGATGGATTCTAAGATTATGGAAGGAATTGACTTGATTGCCTATGATTTTTTCGACCCACAGCCTATCAAGTGTGAGATATATTTTGTCTCCTGTGATGATACAAAGATGCTGATACTTTTCTTAGACGCGGAAGCCTATTCTCTTCGACACGTGCTTCATGATTGGAGCGATGAGGACTGTCGGAAGATCCTTGCCAACACATGTGCTGTAATGCGGAAGGGATATTCCAAGCTGTATATCATGGATATACTTCTTCCCGATCAAGGCTGTAGTGTTACATCTGCCCTTCAGGATATCATGCTTCTGGCTCTCTTTTGTGGTAAAGAACGAAGCAAAAGGCAATTTGAGGAACTTCTAGGATCTGTTGGACTACGTATCACCGAGGTCTTTGTGTCTGATGCGTCGACAGCAGAAGCTGTTATTGAAACAGAATTGATTTAGAGGTTTCAATGCTCAACCCATAAATAAAATGTTGAAAAACCACGATATAAAGCAAGTGATTTCGACTACGCTAAATAGCTTAACGTAAAACAAGATGCTACGAAATGTTATGCACGAGTGATGTACCAATTACAGACGTCATTTTTTATCTGTGTACATAACACGCCCCTCTTGGTCTACGCGAATCAAGGGCCAATCAACACTGGTCTATTATTGCGTTCTTGGGATTAATTCTATTTTGACTTAGGTCCGACTTTTAATATTCCCTCCCCATTGTTTTTCTACCTACCGTTTAGATTATCTTATTTATCCAATATATTTCATATTCTTGTTTGTGCGCTGTTATAGTGAACAAGTGGCAGTTACCCCGAAATGGAGAAGACCAGTTTACCTATTGCTTCTACCGTCATAACAGGCGTAGTGTCTGCGATAGTGATTGCGATATATCGGATACTATCTTGGTGGACTCGATACAGAGCAGTACCCATATATGGGAAAGGTGATAAGGACATGCGAAATGCTCTTTCGCAAGGCTACGGAACAGTAAGGATGTTCACCCGACTCCCGCAAATGCAGCCCATCATTTACAAAGCCGTTGACAATTTGAAATTTTATAGGGCAAAATATTTGGTGTTCCGACACCACTAGGTCTACATGTATTTCTTCCACCGAAGATGGTACCAGAATTGACCGAATTTTCCGATCATGAGTCCAACTTGGAGGCTCATTTCGCATTGCATACACTGGAGAATAAAACAAAATTCTCGAGGACAGAACCGCTGTTCGCAAAAGTCACACACAAAGGTATCAATCACCACGGTCGGGAAACAGTTCAGATCCTTGAACATGGAATTTGCGAGGAGATCAGAAAGGTTATCGGGCCGTGTGGCCGTAAGTCTCGTGAAATCAAGAGAGGTGCAATGGTAGACCATACACAAGGCTTACAATCACAGAATGGAAACAGTTCAACGCTTCTCGAATAATAAAGCAAGTCGCAATGGCTGGATGCAATCTCGTCGCTCATGGACCAATGCTAGGGTCTAATCAAGCATGGGTAGGCATTTCTTTCTCACTGTGATAATAAAGATTGTGAATTGACATTTGTTGAGTTGTCCGAGATAGAGGGCTACCTAGACGATGCCATGTTCGGATTTTTCGATGTGATGGAATATCCTCAGTTTCTTCATGAAACACTCGCGTTATTCAACAAACGAATGAGGCGACTTCCTGGCCGCCTTGAACGAATCAAAGAAACTCTGAAACCAGTGTTGGAGGACTATCGCCAGTCTGAAAAGAAGCATATAGACGGGATACAATGGGCGTCGGATTATGCTTCCGATGAAGAGCAACGGGGAATTGAGTATCAAGCACTCACACACATCATCATGTATTACTTCAACTCTATTTTCATCATGCCCACGGTAATAGCTACTCATATGTCCTTCCCTCTCCTACTCCTGTATGAAGAATTTTGCTAATTTCTTTTATCAGATTGTGATTCTTTTCTATGATCTCTTATCCCACCCGGACTGTATTGATCCGCTGAGAAAAGAAATTCGTGAGGTCTTTGGAAAGGATATGCCAGCAGATTTCACGCCGAACAAGTTGGACAAATTACTGAAGCTGGATAGTTTCTTGAAAGAGTCACAACGGATTGCGACTCCAACCCTGTGTAACTTTCGTCTGGCTGCCACATGATACAGAAGCAAGTCTAACCTCTTACTTTCGAACTAGTCACCATGGGCCGTCTTGCACTCACAGAGATTCGATTCTCGAATGGGGTTGTTCTCCCAAAAGGAACACCATTTGGTATTCCTCTTTGGCCACTAGCGCACGACCCCGATTTATGGCCCGAGCCTTCTGCATTCGATCCGTGGCGTCACCTGAGGATGGGGGAAGCAGAGGGAAACCGTGTTGATAATCTGATGACAGCTGCACGGTACGTTAATGCGCTTGTTGCGAACCTTGCAATATTTGAGAGCTAAAATATTCTACAGGCCCCGGTGGCTCCTTTGGGGCCGTGGTCGTCATGCGTGTCCTGGCCGGTTTTTTGTCGTCCATGTAATCAAAATTACAGCAGTGATGCTGCTTAGCTCATACGATATGCGGTTTGCTGAAGATGTCACACCGGCTGGTGAGTACATTGGGTCGGGTTTCATGCCAGACATGAAGGCCGAGATCCAATTTCGAGACCGAAAGGATACGAGTGTTCAGTTTTGAGGAAAGGAATGGAGATCATCTACCGTTTCAAGCATTTAGAGCAAGACACTAGACTAAAGTATGATTCATAAACCCCTACGACGTAGTTAGTGGCAAATCAGAAGTACGATAGTAGATCAATCAGAAGTAGCAAAGCAAGTATGATCGCGTTCGGTTTGGCCAGCGTTTCTTCATATGACGCATTGACTCCCTTTGAACCTTATTTTACGAGTATTACAGATCAATACCGGCGACCCTCGCGTTCTCCTCTTCCTCCCTTCATCAATGTCATTATTTTTGGGTACTTGTCGGGAGTTAATCTAACAAGAGGGGGTCATTGGACTCCTGCATCGTTTTACCTGGATCTGTGGGGACTACAGATTTTGAAGTAGTATATAGATCGACACAGTGGACAATTGTTGGCTAGCTGATATGTGGGTCCCTGCTGTATCCGGATGCGTGAAGGCGGGCCGCTGCGTGTTTTCCCGAGCTAGCGTGAACCACAGATCGGGAAGGGCTCGAGCGCCGTCTTGTACGGTAACGCTGTCGATTGTATTGTATGTAATACAGACAAGATTCTCAAAACTGTATTGTTACTGGGAGTTGATTACACACACAATACATTCTGAATTTAAACTCATTGTATGGGCCCGGCGACTTTAGAGACGTACCCTTCTTCCGGGACACCTAGGCCTTACAGCGACTCGCTTATACACAGGCAGGAATCTCCAACCTAGTGTCTTGATAGAAGTGCTAGCCGTCCTAGCATGTATATCCACAGTTTAAGCATACGGTCGCCGAGATAAGAGCCTGGGCAATAATATACAAGGCCCGCTCAGGAAGTGGTGGAACATGCAAGTGCTGGAGTTTTGAGGCGCGACTTCCCTTTACCTACCATCTTGTCATGACATTCAGCCTTGTATTTTTTTTTTTTATTTTTTTTTATTTTTGGCATTCACAACCCCAATTAGCTGGAGGGTATCATGAAAAATCCACAAATAGAACAACATGCACTCGCTGGGCACATTGCGACAGAGAATCGCAGGTACAGGCGCCCGGCTAAATACATCGTCGCAGTTGTCATTGTTTTGATGCTTGTCTCATCCACCGTATCTCCGCATACTCTGTTGAACAACCTTGAGAGTCTTCTAGACACCAATAGCATTCCGAACCTTCGAAATTCACCCTGCGCAGATGAGAAAAAATTGCATACCTATTTCCCATGGCAAGATCAAGCAGCATTTTCCGGCGACAAGCTTCTCGATATTCTACTCAACACTCCCAGCGGGGAAAAGGCGCGCGAATGGAGCAGCTATTACACCCACGAATCTCATCTTCCTGGTCAAGGTCATCAACAGGCCGTATGGACAAAGGAGAAATGGGATGAGTTCGGACTTCCCGAAAACAATATAGTCGCTTTTGATGTCATCGTACCTGAGCCTAGAGGCCAACGGCTGGCTCTTTTGGGACACGATGATGAGGTTTTGCATGAGGTCAGTATGTTTGAGGATGAAAGTCAGATAAAAAATCAGGAGAAAGACAAGAAACCGTTCATTACGGCATTTCATGGTTTCTCGGCCAAGGGAAATGTTACGGCTCAGTACGTGTTTGTGAACTTCGGTACAGCAGACGACTTTGCAGATTTGGCAAAGGCAAATCTTACGGTTGAAGGAAAGATAGCTATTATGAAATATGGCAGAATTAACCGTGGTGAACAAGTCAAAAATGCCGAGAATATGGGAATGACGGGCGTGATCCTCTACAACGATCCTCAGCAGGATGGAGGCATTACTGAAGCAAACGGCTACAAACCTTACCCTGAAGGTCCAGCGCGTGCGTTGACAAGCATTGAACGGGGAAGTGTTGGAAATATGGGTAAGCAGAATCTTTCGTGTCATTGATCTTTATCATCAACCAATAAGTGTAGGCTAATGCCTTTATTCTCATTCTTCCTAAATAGAATATGACGCTACGGAAAAGCCGGTGCGGAACGGTCCTAGCATTACGTCGCTACCTATCTCGTACAATGATGCAATTCCACTTCTTAAGGCGCTCAATGGCTGTGGTCCGACCGCAGATAGTCTGGCTCCACAATGGCATGGCGGTGCGCTGGGTTACAAGGGAGTTGATTACAATGTCGGGCCATCTCCTCCATGGCTTACCCTGAACTTGTACAATGACCTCGAACACGTTCAGCGAAAGATATATGATGTAATTGGCTCCGTGAAAGGAACCTTGATGGACGATGAGGTTATCATCCTCGGCAATCATCGCGATTCATGGGTTAGTGGAGCTGGTGATAGTAACAGCGGCTCAAGTGTTCTCATGGAGGTGGCCAGAAGCTTTGGTGCCGCTTACAAACAAGGCTGGAGACCTCTTCGATCAATTGTATTTGCCAGCTGGGAAGGCGAAGAGTTCGGCCAGCTGGGTTCAAAAGAATGGGTCAGAGAGAATTTATCGTGGCTGGATCCTACCTCCGTGGCCTATATTAACGTGGTTATGGGAGCAAGTGGAAGTAAATTCCATGCGAAAGCTAGCCCATTGCTAAATAAAGCTATTCTCAAGGCGACCGGCGAAACACTATCACCAAATCAAACAGTACCAGGACAAACAATACTAGATATTTGGGGTGGAGACATTCTTCCTGGTGCACCCAGCGACGCCATGCGATTCTTGGATACAGCCTGTATTTCTTCTGTGGACTTTGGCTTTTCGCCAGCTCCCGGTGACCCAGTACTGCATTATCATTCAAGATTCGATACAGTGGATTGGATGGAACGCTTTGGTGACCCGGGCTGGGAATACCATACAACAACTGCAAGACTGTGGTTGTTATTGGCCTCATCACTAATTGAGGATCCCATAATAAGTTTCAACGTAACGGATTATGCCATTACTTTAGATGAGGCCGTGGACTTGGTTCGCAAAGACTCTTCTCAAATACAGACTGACTTTGATTGGACTCAAATTCTCGATCAGATCGAACAATTACGACAGGTAGCAATGAAATTCGATGCATATGCAGCCAGCGTCAGTGATCGGATAGATCGATCGCCAGCACAGCATTGGACTCAATACCAGTACCACAGCGAACCCAGCTTGGCAACAATTCGTTCCATTAACAAGATATACATTACCTTCGAGCGGATGTTCAAGTACGAACCTGGACATGGCAACAACTTGTGGATGAAACACGTTGTATTCGGGCCTTCCGCATGGTATAATAGGGGTGCCGTGTTTCCAGGTCTCAGACAGTCTCTACAGTCTAGAGACGTTAATGCTACAGAGGTAAGCTAAATTAATCCATTCTTTTTATTTCGTTTCTTTTCATTTAACCCTCATGTGTCTTTCTTTGTGGTCAAAGACTAATTTCTTTTCTGTTACTGGATCGACAGAAATGGCACAATATTACTCTAGATCACATTGTGGCTGCAAAGAATTTATTGTTACAGTTCAACTGCGAGTAGTTTGTCGGGCCATGTCTCACAAAATATATCTACCAAAAGCTGAAGTATTTTTTTGGAAGCCTGATTGCATGTGTCTGCAAAGATATGTGGTCTAGGGGTTTCCACACAAGTTTTCACAAGTTAGATGCCTCAATAGCAGGAATAGGAAAAGCAGCAAGGGCTAAAAGATAGATAGCGCTCTGATCTTGTAGTGGCCGGTGACATATCAAGCAAGTGATACATAAGCAATCATAACCAAAATAGTTATCCCACATGAGTTGTGGGAATACTGTGATCCTGATATCTGATTAGATGCAAAATTAAATATGAACTATAATCAACAGACAAGTGGATGCTCCCTGATATGAACAACATTCAAGTCCCAAGTTCAAATTTGTCAAACAATATTATCTATATGTAGATTCATTCCTCTACATTAGTACGTGAGCACGCGCGTTGACTGGATTTGAGATTGGGGTCATTTGCTTATTGAATCGAACCGTTTGATACCAAGATGAGGCCTCATGCGTGAGATTGATGCGATGTGTGCTGGCGCGCGTTGGTTGGAGATTGGCATGCAAGATTTACATATCTGAATGGCACGTTGATGCGGAAGTCCTTAAGCTGTATACAGTTGGTAGCACTGTTTATCAGTATTTAATTAAGAAGGCGCGCATCAAAGTGAGCTTTTGTGAGAGCATAGTAAGATAACTGTGTTACAACTAACAGCCAGAATTATCTGATACTAGGGCAATATTGAACGAAGTATCCTATATACTTCAATTTTAGACTTTAAGTGTATGTTACATTATGCACATCACTAAGTTGGATACTGATTACTCGCTACTTCCAGCCCCAGGTTCTGAATCCCTGTTGCCATCCTCCAAGTGAGAAAAAACCTGTCTCTTTGTATCGCGTCTGCCAGTAAGACCGTAGTCATAAAGACACAAGGACGCTACAAACATGATGGCCGTCAAGCCAGCATACGAAATAAAGACCGTGTTCAATCCGCGCATATACACTGCCATAATCTCATTTCTATCTTCATCAGACAGATCCAACTCACCTAACAAAAATGCAGACGAGGTCAATTGTGAGATCAATGAGGGACTAAATCGGCCTTTGAGGCCAGAATGTAGGACGTTGTTGAGGATCGCGCCAGATACTTGTTTCATGTGTTAGGTTGCCAACTTTTTATCAATAGGACTAGGTCAAAGTCAGAGACTTACTAGTTATGCCAATCGACCCGCCGATATCGCGTATGAAGTTTCTTAGACCAGTAATGACCGCGCGATCAACATTGTCAGATCCTGCAAGTAGGCCAACCAAAACTATACTTACAATTAGTAATTCTGAGATGAGCAGACCAACTACTAGAAAAGAATTTTCATACCAGGCTGTAGTCCACACCCAACGCCAATACCCTCAAAGATGCCAACGAAGAAGAACCACTGAATAGGAGTACTTTGCCCGTAAGTAGATTTCACCATTGCACCGACTGCCCAAAAGGCCGCTCCTGTACAAATGACAGGCTTGTAGCGACCGAAATAGGCCGTGATAATTCCACTTAACCCAGAGGTTATTCCATGGGCAATCACCATGGGAAGAATAACTGATCCGGCTGTGGCTGGACTCATGCCGCGTACTGTTTGGAAATAGAGTGGGATGTAGAAAAGATTGCCCCAGAACACCCATCCGATTCCGATATTCATAGCTAAGAGAATGTTGGTGGACCGGTTTAATCTGAATAGGTGCACTTCAAAATTTATATTAGATGTAATGTGGCAAGGCCCAGAGTTTTGTTCCTTTGTGCAAGACTTACTCGGTAGGATAGGTAGCTCTACCAGCCGCCACTCGATCCCGATGAAAGCGATAAAAAGAATGATACCAGAGACCAGCATCCCGATAACAATTGGTGAAGTCCATGCTAAAGCAGACCCTCCCTGAGAGATGGGAATCTGCCATCGATTATTATAATAAGTTCCGCAAACTTGCAAAAAAAGGGTAATGGGCAGACTGCTTGAGAATCAAAGATAGCCTACCAACATGAGTATTATAGCTGCCATACTAGTCATCACTCCAACCCAGTCAACCATTTTTAGTTTCTTGCCAATGCCGCCTTCTGTTGATGAACCAGGCAAAACCAGGACCAGTAGGCCCACCGCAGCCATTGTCAACGGACAAATAAACCAAAAAGCCCATCTCCACGATATATGCTCGGTAAGCAGACCGCCGACCACTGGGCCAAGTCCATTGCCGAGAGCCACAGCTATACCCAGTATGCCAAAGTAGTAACCGCGCTGATCTAGCCGGGTGATATCCGAAATGGTAATTTGAACGAGCGCATTCAGCGCGCCAGCCCCGAATCCGCTAAACGCTCGAGTCGCATAAAGTTGTCCAGCAGTTTTCGAGAATCCCGAAAGCAAATTACCCAGTCCCATCAGGGTCAAAGCCGTTATAAGACATGTTTTGCGCCCGAATATATCGGAAAGACGACCATTTATAAGTTGTATGCTAGTACTCGTTGTGAGGAAACTCGTTCCGACCCAAGAAATGGTTGATCCGGCATTGAGAGCCGATGCGATTGACGGGAGGGTCGTAGAAACTGCCGTTTGGTCGATGAACGAGGTGAAATGAACCAACGCCAGAGCTGGAAAGACGAGGAGAAGCTTCTTTCGTGGAAGAATGTTGGACTGCCCGTCACGGAATTTTCTTGTTATGAGAGGCGTTGTCTCCGTTGCAGTTGGTTCATTGTCGCCATGGTTGAGCTCAGCCATTGTAGCTAGCAAATCAACAACATTCAGAGCCTAGGTGATGTAGAAAATGATTTGATGTGTCAGTTCTCTTCTTGGTTTTTCTGATGGCTGATGTTAGCGGAATAGTATCGAAAGCAAGTGATCATTGTGTATCGGATGAAAGGCTGCAATCCACATAAGTCTGTGCAACATAAATTGAAGCTCCCAAGAATAATCCCAAAGCTATCGCAAATAAGACAGCCGTGAAGAAAAGAAAATTGACACTTTCTTTATGAAGTTGCAATGCATGCCGACAGTGGATCGTGCCGTTTACATTGTAACTTCCATGTATTACACGTAATTTACAATTGGATATGTTCTGTCAAGTATGTTTCGGTAAATTACCTCATGCGGGCAACCATACCGATACCCACCCTGTAATGCTCCTGGACTCTATCTGCACGGCCTTTCAATACCAAACCAAGACAGCGAAGTAGACTTGGAATACGAACTCTCATTCACTAGCGGATTACGTAGCTGAGCACCAGAGCTCTGAAAGAATCTGTGATCCAACCACTGGGCTTTGCCATAGAGGCGTCTATTACAGAGCTAGGCAGTCCACTAGATATGTATGGGTTAAGCTTCTTTCGACGTGTATAAAATGAAACTTCAAGAATTATGTCTCCCTAACGCTATTTCGATACACAGAAATCTTCCTCAGGCTCACGACCTACTTGATGATTAATATTAGATCTCTGCACGAATACTTTACTGAAGCTTTTTAGCTTCTGGACAGCCGCTTGTTTCTTGATTTCGGGCAGCTTTGAATGAAATTCGGTGGACCCGTCTTGAACCGTCGGATTGATGACTATCGTTCAGGATGTCCTTCTTCTACAAGCCCCGAGCGTGGACTGTGCACAAGAACGAGACCACATCAATTTTTTAAACTCAAGTCTGGAACGATTCGGCGTTGTCAAAATTGACATAGGATTTGAAGATGATCAGTGCCGTTACCTTGAGCAAGTAATCCGTAACCTACACCAATATCACGGTCACGGCCTCCCCATAGATCACAGCGCTACACGCGGTTGGTTCTGGGACATCCGACCAATGGCTCCTGTGAAACAAGAGGATGATAGTACTGCCTCCAATTCTTCGGTACCACGAGATCAAGCACGATCAGAGACCGCACGCGACTTTCCATGGCACACCGACTGCAGCTACGAATCCTCCCCCCCACGTTACTTTGCACTGCAGGTACTTCAAAACGATCGCTGCGGCGGGGGKACTCTGTCAATTCTGAACGTCGAAAGATTACTTGGTCATCTGTCCGAAGCTTCTCGTTCGTCTCTATACCATCCGGAATATAGCATCAGCGTCCCACCAGAATTTATCAAGAATGAGGGTCAACGTCAAATTGTTGGGAGCATACTGTGCGACGATGAGAATGGCAACACTGGTCTTCGTTTCCGAGAGGACATATTCACTCCGCTGACTAAGGCCGCGGCATCTGCTATCGAGGAATTAAAATCTGTGCTTTCAGGACCAGAAATTGAGGAAGAAATATTACATCTTCACTCCGAGTATATGTCGCGCGGTTCGATCATCTTGGTGGACAATCGAAAATGGCTGCATGCGCGCAATGAGGTGAAGGATCCGGAACGACATCTACGACGAGTTCGCTGGGATGCATGTGCATTTAGGTGAATGGATCGATTTGCAGCAAGTTCATGATTAACCTGGGATTTCTTTGCACGGAGTCAACTTTTGGTATGCCTCGAATTTAGTCGTGACAGTCTAATACTGCCTCAGTGCCTATTAATTTTTGCAAAGAGAGAAGAAGAAAAAATTTACTCGTATTTGCGACTGATTGGTCTCTCTTATAACATTATGATTGAAACTGTTACAATTGGTTCTTCCGAATAGTTGAGCAGCAGCGGTAAGTCCGAGTTATCTGTACTAAGAGAGTAGTAGTATTGATATACCTGCTAAGCTAGCTATGTTTTTAGACGTTGACATGTTATTGTATGAAGGATTTACGACAGTGCAGTACGATAAAGGAGCCAGGGTGGTGAAACATAGTTTTAGATTTATACATATACGTCAACTACTAGGCCTCAATTTGTATGGGAGCACATATATCAACTAGACCTCAATTTATGTAGGGTCATGTATGTCGACTGGGCATATATTCACCTATTAAGCTATGCATTCGCAATAACAATGTCACGTTCACGTACCATTGGTTTACTTATCATAATATAAAATAATACAAAGCTATACGCATTAGTTAAGTAAAAAGGTTAATTAGCAATACCTTGTAGTCAGGGAGGCTTGCTATCCAATGAGGGCAGGTGAATGGATATATGCGCCACGTTCACTATATTTGGGATAGAGTTAAAGTAATCTTGTCATTTTACATTCTCCCTCAAACCACTAATGAAAATTTTGGCCAGCATCCAATATCCAACAACGAACAAACTGAAGATTTCAATCTCACGGCTTATAAGAAATGACAGGAAACTACTGACAGTTATGACGCCACTTCTACTGTACATATATGATACATGCAAATCCTCATTACCCGCCCATATTGCTTCAGCCCCATCCGGTCTGCTAACCAAATGCCACCAATGGCACCGTCATTTTTTTACTCCTGCTCTACTTCTTCAATGGGGTAGACCGGTTGGGTTTCCCAGTGTCTCAGCATGATTTCAACCGCTCTTTTCCAGTCTTCGCGGCACTTCTCCTCGAGCATTGAGATCATCTCCTCATGAGGCAGACTGCCTCCCCACATATCAGGGGATGTGGCTAATGTTCTTGCATGCTTGTCGATCAAGTTTCTGCACATTTTGATCATGGTTCAACAGTTAATTGTTCCATAGTGATTACCTCTTGAAGTTGGACAGGAGACTTACTCCTCCTCAATCTTGGCCAACACCAACCACGCGTAATTCCAGCTACGGCTACGTTCTGGATCTGCCATGACCAATGCCTTGGCCTCGTCGAGCAGTTCCGAGCTAAAGGGGTAACTTCGTGTCAGATTCCGTAGCTCGCTGAGAAGATTGTTGTTCTGAACATAGTTGGACCACGCAGCAGCCAAAACTCCTACAAGCGAGCTTTCGCGCAGGTCGGTGACATGAGGCTGAACTGCAGCAAGCAGAATGCGCTCCATGCGTCGCAGCTCGGTAAGAGTGTTGATGCGCCGCGAGCTCAAAGCATCAACGATGGACTGAATGGTTCTTTCCATGTGTTGTGTTTGTTCGAGGATGTGTCTCTGTCTTGTTCTTGTAAGTTTATGTAGCTCGTATGCACAACTGTGGGATCCTCGTCCTTAAACACGAATGCGTCTTGGGATAACATGCCCCCGTCCAGGAGTCCTCATCTGGCCTGGTTCGAAGCCCTTATATATACTCATCCTTTTACAAGGTTCCCATGATTGATAGTGGCGAGGATATGTATGTAAGCATGAGGGATATTTTTTCAGATCGTCTTGGCTCGTGCTTAGCAGACAATGACTAAAGTCAGTCGTCTATCTTCCTGAATGACCGTATGGGCCATGTGACTGCTGTAAAACTACTCAGTAGTACGCCAAAACCGACTGTATGGGCCAGTAGGGAATGCTCCATGTGCCTCATTGGTTACGAGTCCCGTAAGCCGAAATGTTTTCCGCTATTCGACCAAAACGCCGTCGTCTTCCTGTTACAATCTAGGGCTAACTAGGGGTTAGCCTAGGGATGGCGGATGGCCGGCGGAGCACAGGTTCCGGGACATTCCGCGCCCGACAGATACGAGGGGCAAAACTTGTGAATAGTACATTCTGGTCGCTTAAGAAGTTCGGTACTAGCAAGAATTCAGTCAAGCTCAGAGTTTGATAAAGTTCTTAATTACGTGAAGTTATGTTGACATGCATGATCCGGATGGTAGACTAATATATCCGAAGACAGGCCCACAAATCCCCGTTGACCCGCACCCTATGGTCATCCATCAGCCAACCACAACGTGGAAGATCATATTCTAGAAAGATCTTGCATCATCTCGATATACCCGCGCAATAAGTCAGCAGTGGGGATGCTGAGATAATGCCAGGATCGACTATCGATCCATGCCCACGGAATAGGATCCGACCACACCGTTGAGATAGAGTGTGAGTGGTCCACAGTGCTAAATAGAAGAGTGGGCTACGAGGAGATTAAGTACTTCATCTCCAGTCTCATATCACGATTCAGGAACACCGGAAAGAATTTAAATCTCAACGATCGTCGTGAATATCGGAAATCGGCACGGGCACACTCATCAGTATCGGTCCCGGTTGAGGCCTGCCGATTATCCGAAGCCATTACGAAGGTTGATATCCAACAAAAGAGCATTGGGTTGGGGAGAGTTGATAGATTATAAAATCCACAATAGATCCATTTGGTCTCAAGCTATTGCTTGAGAGGGTTGTGGATTTGCCACTTTTTCCGATGCTAATATCCTACTCATCGGTAGGGAACAGGTACTTCTCGGCTTATCTGATAAACGAGCATCCACGTCTACAGATGAGGTAGCCGTTGACCAGTGACACCAGTATTCAATTTAAACACACTTGGCACCTATTTGTGTGGTTCATTCGAGTTTCAAAATTGAGTTCAAGGTTTGTGATAGCTAGCTGGATTGGAAGAGGATATAGCTCAGAAAAGGTAATTTCAAACGGGGAGAGGATCGAAATTTGGAAGAACGTTGTGAGAACAACCAGAAATTAGATGGGACAGACCAGAGCTGTCAGATTTAAGATATATCTCAGAATAGAGAAGGGAAGCAAATGGGATATTAAGATGGTGTATAGAGCCTTTTTATAGGTCTGCGACTCTTCATCCATACAGAATCACTCGCCGAAAAGTTCCTTCTGATTTACACAAAGCCGTATAACAGTGTTACAAAAAACACCATTCTTTCAGCTCTTATGTCTCAGGTTTCCTAAATGGAGAAGAAAGCCCCTACTGGGAAATCTATTGAAATAGTAAACACGGTCGTCAACATTCAGCCAGGAATTCACTTATGTGCCTCGGTTCTTTACGAAATGGCATTCAATTATACTAGGAAATGTTCAAGGAATTAATTGTCATATTTTCAGTAGCTACTATACATGAAGTATACATAGAGTGTAAACAAGTAGGACTATCGTCATCAAAAGAAGATGGCCAGAGACAGGTATGTTAGTGCCAGAAAGGGGTATTATGATCGATTGTGAAATACAAGAAATGGAAATTATGCTTTCCAGATTGTCGATGCAACAATAACGCTGGTTTTAAAATGAACGCCGATGGCAAAAAAGAGACTTTGTTGAAAAAGAGTGTCGATGTAGTGTTGCTGATTTCGAAGGCTGCAACCGTCAAGCACAAATTCAAAAGTGTAAAATAAGAGGGCGGGCAGATGCATATTGTATACTCAAGCCCATCGCCAGCTGACTGTGCCTCTGTGCCTCGAAATATCAACAAGGCAGTCGTCCCGGCCACTCGCCGTACTTTCAGCAAGGCTGTCAGAAGCTTTGAATCTGTTGCGCTTCTCTCGTTCTCTGACAAGTAGTTGAACAGCTGCATTGATATCCAGCATGTCTCCTGTATCGGTAATCTTCAAAGCCCACGTAGCATCACGCTCACTGAAGCCAAGTTCGTGCACCATTCGATGAATTGCCTTGTCAACAGGGTCGATGAGCCGCGCTTCTGTGACCGAGTATCGCGGTGGAGGACTCAATAATGGTGCCATGGAAGTGCCATCATTATTGACGCATGTATATGGAGGAACACGGTGCGTAGAAGCATCATCACCATCGTTCCAAGACGAGTTTTCTGGTTGACCAGTATTGCGCGTGGAGTTGATGGTCAAATTCCTGATCCGCTCGCGTCGAGTAGCAGCAGAGTCAACAGATCCTCCGTTAGAGACCGGTGAGTTCGAAAGCTTTTGCTGTATGGAAACTCTGCTGTCATAAGCACGAGCGATCGCTTCGCGAAGAAAAGATGATCGAGTGCCACCATCCTCTGGCGCCTCCCATTTTGTCATACCCATCTGCTTGGCCTTAGTAAAAATCTCTTCAGTCGAGTGATCAGGTGATAGAGAACTGAGACCAACTAAAGCGGATGGACCCAGAGTGAGAATGTAATGTGTCCACTCTTCTAGCATGGCTTCTTCTTTTGCAATATCGCCTACCGGAATATCCAGTCCGTCGAATATACCGGCCACCCTAGCGTCCTTGCACTCTCGATTAAATCCCTGGACCAAGGTGCCAAGACAGTTCCAAATTTCTAACATGTCATATAATTGATTGCATGTCAGCCCGTCCCTATTGCCATCTCCAAAGCCGGAAGGAGGGTCAAAGAGAACGTTGTTCATGCTAAAGAATGGCTCGGCTGTGATCACTGTAGCACCGGACTTGTTCTTCTTTGCCAGATATCCGGCATTCAACCAGTCGATCTGTCCGTTGAGGTCTCCTTCCCTGTTCTTACCGCATCCAAAGATACGACAGAAGGTCCAAATTCGCCAAAAAGCTTCATCGATCTCTGCAGCACGAACATCGTTTTCGCCCGTCAGGCCACCGATAGTTTCCGATCGTACGATTGAACTGCATCTTGCGTATATCAAGGCTTTTAGCCTGACTAATGCAAACACATCGCGGGCATAGTGGTGTAAATATGATGAAGCAGTGTACTCCGGTACAGGAGCATCAGGATCTTTCAAGCCGTCAGAATTGTCACTCCACGGGGGACTCATTTCACGCAGTTCCCATGCTGGTGGATTCATGTTGAACAAAGCGTTTTTTATCAGTGGAAGCTCGTTGTTTTTAAATACACGATAAAACTGTCGATTTACCTGAGCATATTTGAATAATGCATCAAGATTGTCAACGTTCTTCATCAGTGCTAGCACCACTTCATCTGTCATGTGAGTCGGCATTGGAAGCTTGATATGGAAAAAGGATTTAGTGGTTTGAGAGATAGGGGTTGAGCCATATTCATCTAGCTCGTAAAGAGATTTCTTGCGTGGAGGAAATACCGTTGCCGGAGAGTTTGACATGGTCGGTGTACCCATTATGAGAGGAACCTCTTCTGTCTTTGGAGACATGCCCTCAGGAACAGTTTCCATACGGTCAAAGCCAACAAACACCTTGTCATTGTGTGATTCGACGTTTCCCGTATTGAATTTCTCTTCCGTGGGCGTCTGGATAGGGGTAGAGTCTGTAATAAATGACCTTGCTTGTATGCCGATGTCATCTGGAGTTTCTGGGTACCTTTTGTTCAGTGCAATGGATGAAGGAGGCAATTTTTGGCAATCAATTGCGGAGACAATGGAGTTGGTGTCAAGTTTTGGTAGCTGCTGTCGTAGGATCCTCTCCGCATCATAGGAGGACAGACGGGGAATGTGACTGTTCGTCAGAAGTGGAATACCCAGCTTTTTGACGGCTTTGAGAGGGTACATTGTTGACCACTCGCTTTCCTCAGCATCTTTCTTATTGTTCTCTCCGTCGTCATCTTCATCATCCTCATGATCCATATTCAGGGCCTTTGCGATTTCTGCATCAATATAGCGATCCGTACTTCTGGCCAGAGCAGCCTGTTCATCTTGTAGGCTTTTTACAGGGCTCCTTGTCGATATATCGGATTTCTTATTCCCACCATCTGGCTTTGCTTGCGCAGTCTGATTACTGTTTCGAGATCTTCGCAAGGTGGGCAAACGTACAGACGACTTTACTTTTCGGGAGACACCCTTCGAAGATGGCGAGTCTCGCGCATTTTGTTTGACACTAACGCCAATCGTTTCTGATTCTGTAGATGAATTGGAATTGTATCGATTATGTTGAATAGTATTGTCTTTCGCAGTTGTGTCGGGTTTCTCGGATGGAGGAAAAACCCTGTAGGTTCGGGGCTGCTTGCCCTGGGGAACGTTCTCCTTTTGTGTATTCATGCTAGAGGCGGCGGTGCGGTTTGGCTTTGGAGAGATGTTTAATGGTGCAACTAAATTCTCGTCGTCGTCGGCAGGTTTGGAAAGTGGTTGTTCGGGCCTCAAGGCAGGGTGTACATCTCCTATCTTTTCCAACTCTCGTTCTAAGTCATTGGCGGCTTGTGTTAAGGTCTTTTCTGTGGCTTGAAGCACAATCAATCTGTCGATGGGKGATTCAGAGCGACTTGACGAGTACTTTGATGTAAGTCTAGCAATGTGTTGAGCGCTTTGTGGATTGACTATAGACAAGGTCGGAGGTATGTCCGGTAATGGTTTCTGTTTGAAGTATTGTTCCTCTCCTCTTTTCTTCCCTTTTGAGAACTTCACCGACTTTGCTTTATCCTCTGGCGAATTTTTCTTTCCTGAGCTGTTCAAAGGCCTCCTCTCTGACCTAGGTGGAGTACTTGGACGCTGAAGAGGTTTCATGTCTGACGATGACGTTTCAGTATCAAAGTCTGATCGCAAAGTGGAATTCGAGGACGCAGAACTGGGGTAACGCGGTTTCTCCTCCCACATCTCCGGTGACGAGGAAGTTGAGGCGGATGTTTCTGATATATTCCCGATATCTGTCTCCGTCTGAGCTTCCAGTCGAAATATTTCAACACCAAAGGTCGGTCCCATCATTGGCATTTCTAGCGAGAGGGGAGATACGGCTGCCGTAGGAAAGTTTGACGACGTCGCATCTTCGCCCGCCGAAAGCACTGCTGATACGACATCAAGCTGCTGAGATTCTCGGTCGTTTAGATGTTCTGATCTGCCTGTTTCCAGTTTCGAGAGAGCTGGTTTACGATTGGAAACTAATTCGTCGCTAGCGCTTCTATGTAATGCCATTCGATGCAAAGCACTCTCCGATCGCGACAACCTCATTGCAGTGCTCTCAAAATCGCCTGCCGATGTAGCTATTTTCCTGAGTCCTCCAGTTGACTGGTATTTGAGGAGAGATTGCTCCATATCCTCGTTTGCCGCAGGCATGTGGACGTCATGAATAGTTCTGACTACTGTAACATTCCGTTTTCCGTCAGTCTGAACTGCCAATTTTTCTTTTCTTGCTCTCTTCGATAGTCCAAAAATTGAAGTGAAGGACGACATTAGTAGATCTGTATCGAGCTGTCTAGTGTTAGCCATATACCATCTCAGCCGCCTCAATCAATTCGGAGTGTCATTTCTCAAACGAATCCGGAAAAAGCACATAGCAGTAAGATCATTGGAAAAATTAAATGTACTCACAGTCGAAGGGGAACAGTTAACCTGTGTGAAGCTCGGTCAACCTCGAATTTCCCAATTGCCGAATTCGTATATAGTCTTTGGCAGAAATCAGACAAAGAAGTCACGCATAATCCTTTGGGTCTCAATATATGGAATGAGAGTATGGTCGAAATCGGCAACTTCATAGAAGTAGAGCAATTCGTTTGTTTGCTTCCTGGGCTGAAACGGGTTTTTCCCCTTACTCCCCGCAACGGATGGATGATCTTCTTCAACAAAGGACGAAGTGATGGTCTGTTTTCAGAAAATGAAGCGTGAGTAAAGATAGAACTTTTCGAATGTGGTTTCGGCTTGATTCTTTGAAAGACAAGATTAGAAAAAAGAAAGAAAAAATCAAATTTCTAATGCTACTTACGGCAGGTAAGGCAAGGTAGACCCCGATTCTCAAAGGCGAATGATAATGTCGCAGCTGTCGAGGATGAGCCCCGGCAATGTGATCATTGATATCGATTAGCGTTCTAGCCCCTTCAAAGTTCATGTACTCTCGACAACTGGCATGTGCAACTCAGGACGAAGGAGTATAAGTAGCCGTGCTTTTCAAAGATGCAGCATGTGCATACATCCTTCTGAAATTGGTCAAGAAGAGAAAAAGTGACGAGGCTAGAGCAAGCGAAGTATTTTAGAACGCTGAAACAGCTATTATGATTACCCTGTTATAATATTGCTACATGGAGATAAAAAGGCCCTAGTTAGATCCGGACTTTCACTAAAGATGACGGATGATCGACTGGGATGACCCCATCGGGAAAAGTGTTTGGGGGCTGTTAGGGCCATTTTTGTATACGCACGCCCACGCCAATGCTGATATAGCTGTGCCATGCAATGACGCCAAAAGTTACCGAATGCGTAGTGTCAAGTGCTTAAAGATCCTTCGTGTACTCTGTGACATTTTACAGTACAGGACAAAGTACAGCAGATGGCCCTTGTTATGCTGTCGATTGGCTGATCAAATGTCATCAACTAGTCGGGTCCAGCGGAATGTTACACTCCCTTTTAAAAAAATACTTAAGTTATCGAATGTACTGCGCATATGTCAGACCCTATCTTGCAAATTTCCTCTAGTTGCTGTTCAATCTCCCCACGTCGGATCTTCACTCAATATCGTAACTGAAAATAGAACCATAGTGGTTCAGCTATTATCTGGATTTATTTATCTCGTCTATATTTCGTTGTCGTAATGTTCCTTTCCTGTAAATGAAACCCCGGGCGACATCCTGGCGCCCGTATTGCATAAAGAGCTATACAATCCCAGTGGACTAACAATCTAGGAATTCGATCGACTTGCGTTACCAACAGTGGCAAACTTCGAGAAGACAGCAGACGGGGTTAGTTCAGCCAATGGACGCTCTCAAATAATCGACAGATAGCGTCGTACACGGACGCCGAGTAACAACATTTCGTCATGACTTCAGCTAGCAGTCTAACATGAACCTAAAGTCCCCGGTAAAGCACTCCAAAAGCCACAATTAGCCAACTAATGTTGGACTAGAAACTTCAGGTGTGAACCACCCTCTTCTCAAATAGTAATCCCGCTCGTCGCGCATCCGCAGCCAGTGATGATCCCCCAATTCCGGCCCCCAAGCTTTGCCAGCGTTGGAACCAACCAGCCAATAAGCATCATTTCTCCCCAGGATATGACATCCTAAAAAACGTTTTTACTTTCGTGGCGGGKAGGATGATGCAAGAAGATAAGTGATTATCGGAAAATGTAAATTTGAAGAAATGTAGAGAAATCCGTGAGTTGCTATCATATTATTAGTATCATGATCATTCGGGGTTGGTGTTTACGATCCTGATAGTCTGAGCACACGCACGGAAATGAAGATCGAGCCACCCGTCATCATGGTTACGGGGGTTCATCCAAGCCCATAATAGTGGTTGGCTTCGGCGTACGTACTCGCACCACTGATGCATGACATGGTGGAGGGCTCCGAGACTGCAGGAGTTTTTAACACGTCTACTAAAGTACGTACCCCATTTAGACGCCGAAGTGTGCAGCATGCGATCCTCGCTACTTCTTCAGTAATGCGATTGCAAAAATTGGGACGGTTTAAGGGCCTACAAGGTAAAAAAAAAAAGATCAAATCAAACATAATAACAAATGTGGATTTAAGATGGTATATCAGGATTTCCAGGGAGATTGTGAAGCTGGATGAATGCATCCATAGTTGCATTGGGGTGGATAATTACCTGTCACAGTCCGGTTATAATTAACGATATATATGCAGGGTTTTCTACCTATCTTCCCCAGCCACCATCTCGAGGCAGAGTAGTTAGTGTTCCTTGTTCTTATGCAGGGCTTGTTTCATCTCTCGAACTGGTGTCATGTATGTATCACTGTGGCTGGGCTGTTCCATGTATATCCATCGAACAGACGAACGCCCTTATACAGCGACGCGACAGTGATCGCTGAGAATCACCGAGAAAGGTAGTTTTCCACGAGCTATACTGGCATTAACGCAGCCTCTAAATTGAGCTGGAAATACGGCATTACGCGGTGTGAGATGCCATCTAGCATGCATATACACACATATTTCTTGTCAACTAGCTTAATCAGTCTTCTAGGAAAGTCATCGCTTTAAATTAGATATCTCGGTTCTAATATATTTAAATTAAATGCAGACTCTTCTGCAGGCGCTCGGATGCAGGTACGCTTTCGAAAAATGAAAGTTCCATGTCCCAGTAAATATATTACAAACTTCCTAAATAGGAAGGCATCCATTAATGAAAGGAAATGGTATGCGACCATATGATATGCTCATCCAGGGAGATAGCTAGAAGCTGCTACCGCTGTTTCAAATGTAGAATACACAATTAGTGATATTATATAACGTGTACTGGTAGCAGTCAAAGATGAATGATTGACTTCGACCCACAGTCTTATTTTCGGATACACGAACCTTGAATATTTCTGCTAGTGTGAAGCACAAAATATGAGAAAAGTTCTTTAATACATTTCTTTGTCCTGGAAGGATTCAGATCTGGTCATGTGTCAGGATGGTCTGAGATCTCTTTCTTCATGGTTCTTGCCTCGACATTTTCTCGCTGGCGCCACAGTCTTGCTTTCGAGATCCCAAGTTTCATGCAACAAGTATAAATTGTGGTATCACTGAGGAAAACGAATTCCACCAGAGACCTTCACCTTGAAGCCTGCTAAAAAAAATGCAATCATACACAAGCAAGCAGTCAGACTTGAATTGGTAACCATAAGAACTGCTACAAATTTACATTGCTCTCCCTGGTAGCTGTTTATAAGACCGACGACTGTATCTTGAGTAACTCAGTATTAAACCACATGTTCTTTGCGGCTCAATATGTCTACTTTCTTTATCCTATACCGCAACCCAATACTAGGCAAAGCATCCTTGATCGAGGAAGACGTCCGGTGCTAAGAAAAGGGTCTAGTAAAAGTTACCTTTTTTTCCTTTCAAAAAAAAGAGTGTGCCAAATTCAGCCTGTCACACGTTAATAAGAAATGCCAACATCAAAAATTTCAAGGTTTGAAGGCTTGGTTCAATCAAATAGGCACGTATATGCCCCGAGGTTCTTTGCTCCTCGGGGAAAAGGGATGCGAAGAATCTCAAGAAAGGCAATCCTGATCAAATTAGCCATACTATGGTATTGACATATCTTAAAAAGACGAAGATGTGTGTCTTAAGGTAGTGTGCGAATATATTTGGGCTTTTGGATATTGAGAAATGGTGAGCTGTAGAAAACTGGGAGGGAACGGAGGGATTATTCGAGAAAAGACTCAGCTGCTATCAAGCCAATCTTTGCCAAAATTCACGAAATTGAGCTTCTTCATCGTCTATCTGGCCCTAAAATGCAAAGAAGTGATGAAAGCACGATCCCTTCGCGGTCTTTCTATTTAGCCTTGCGGATCCGCTACGACCTCAGAAGCCTGATTAAGTCCGCCGCACCAATGACCACGTACTCTTTATCTTTTCACACAACCAGCCACATATTGGTATCACAACAGCCATGGCTCCAGCGCCTAATTGCGAGAATAAACACCATGAGAGTCAACAGGCCTTTCTCGAAATAGCAATTTTCAACGCCTCCTCAGCGCAAATAGCATACACATCCTGCGCCGACCGTCTGGAGCTCTGCGCCGAAGGATCCAGTGTCAATGGCGGAACCACACCTTCCCTCTCAACTTTAGAGTCGGTGATTACTTCACTTCAAAAAATAGCACAGCGAACTACAATTTCTGGAGAAGATCATATCACCAATCCAGTGAAAATAAAGAAGAGATCAATACCTATATTCGCCATGATCCGGCCTCGAGGCGGAGACTTTGTCTATTCGGACGAGGAATTTAAGGTTATGAAAGAGCAGTTACTGTCATTGAAGTCTGCTACTTATCACCAAACCACCGGGAAGAAAAATGACTCCCAGGAACAGAACTTATTTGGGAAAGTCGATGGTTTCGTATTCGGTATCTTGACCAACCACAAACTAGTCGATCGAGAACGAAATGAGGAATTGGTGAAACTTGCGGCGCCGTTGCCGTGTACGTTTCATCGCGCTTTTGATGAGGTTATTACATCTTTTGAGAGGAGCGATATTTCGGCGATTCGGCAGGATGAGCTTCTCCCTAGAGGAATTATCGATGAGTGTGAAGCTGTGATCAATGCCGGATTTGCGTCTATCCTTACTTCAGGCGGAAGTGGAAGGAGTGCAGTAGACGGCGCAAGACATATAGCAGCATTGACAGAAGTAGCAAAAGATAGAATCGAGATTATTGCGGGCGGTGGTGTAAGGTCGACGAACGTCGGGGAATTGAGGAGACAGAGCACTCACACACGTTTCTTTCATTCCAGTGCTATTTTAGCCAAGAGTGATGGGCAAGTGATGGATGTTGCTGATGCAGATGAAATTGTGAAACTAAAAAAGGAGTTGATGGCTCCTTTGGGCTAGGGCTATATGTGAGTAGTACACTCACTGTGATGAGAAATATAGACCTTGATAAAAATGTATTATAGCATTTATCGTATACCGAATTCATTCTGAACGCCATACATTAACATTATTAACCTACACGACGCCCCTTCAATAACCTAGAATGTCGTTTTCGTAATCATATAAACCAATATTTGAAGGTTTAAAAAGCAATGGTATCAGCTAAACCATCAAGCTCACGCTGATAGTTCCTGTGCTCTCCAACTTGGAAGAAGAACTTGCCCAAGAAATCAGTTGCACCCTTGATCATCTTCCAACCTTCCTTGAAGCTCTCCGGTTTCTGCGGACCAGCTGCAGTAACCACACCATACGACTCGACAGCTTCAGTATTGCTCTGAGTGGCAAACTGTACAGCCTCAACACCCGCTAGGGCCTGCTTAACAAGATCAACAGCCTCACCTGTGGCGCCCAGCGCTTTCAAGTGGCCGAATGTCTCTGCTATCCAGTAACGGATTTGGCCAATCTTGGCAAGACTCTTGACGTGTGGCCCACCTGGGATGAAAGTAGCGTCGAACATGGTCGAGCGCATACCATCATATTGATGATCTGGTGTCACGCCCTTTCCGGTTTGAGGGTCAACGCCATCTGCGAAGATGGGCTGTCTCTTTGTACCGATGACGAAAGGTAGAGCGCCGGCAGCTTTGACAGCGGTGTAGACTCCGTTAAAAGCGACAGAGTCGAAGCCGTCTCCAATGAGGATGGCGATACGTCGGCTAGCCACGGTCGGCACGCGAGGCTTGAAGTCGATCTGGGAAAGGCCGCGTGCCTTCTTGCCGTGGTTCTGCATTCCGGCCTTTTCGGGAGTCGGGGCGCCGACCATCACGGCGACCTTCTGTGCCAATTCAAGGTCAATTTCTGCGATGCGCAATGCCATGCGCTGGTAGACCACAGGGTCATCGCAGTGATCAAGCTCGAAGCTGAAGGCTTTCGCGACGTGATGCTTCTCATAGTCGGTAAGTGAGTTGTAGAACAATTGCGCCTGGCTGTGGTGTTCGCGGAACTTGGGCCCTTGGCTACGCTGTTTGATTCCTTGAATTTTCTGGGGGTAAGAAACAAAGCCACCGTCCTCAGGCTTCGTAGGAGGTACTGCATCAAAGCGGTTGGGCCAGTAGTTAACTGTTCCCTTGGTGATCTTATGACGCATGGCACCATCGCGGTTGTGGTTCATCACTGGGCACACCGGGCGGTTGATTGGCAATTCCTCCCAGTTAATTCCGAGACGTGAAAGCTGTGTGTCGAAATAGGAGAAATTCCGTCCCTGCAAGAGAGGGTCATCGGAGAAATCGATACCGGGCACGATATGGCTGGKACAGAAAGCGACTTGCTCGGKTTGAGGGAAGAACTCGTCGATGTTACGGTTGAGTTCTAGTTCGCCAATAATGCGCAGAGGAACGAGCACTTCAGGCCAGATCTTGGTGGCATCGAGGGGATCAAACTCGAAGTCATCCTGGTTTTCCTCGGGAATGACCTGAATACCAAAATCCCATTTGGGGTACGCCTTATTATCGATGGCTTCCATAAGATCCTTTCGGTGGAAGTCGGGGTCTTGACCGGCCAGCTTCAAGGCTTCATCCCACACGAATGAATGGACTCCTAGGTGAGGGATGAAGTGGAACTTGACCAGGTGACGCTTGCCTTCTTTGTTAACGAGAGTGTAAGTGTTGACTCCAAAACCCTGCATCATACGGTAGGAGCGAGGAATGGCTCGATCAGACATGGCCCACATAAACATGTGGGTAGACTCGGGGTGAAGGAAGGTAAAGTCCCAGAAGTTGTTGTGGGCGGTTTGGCCCTGGGGAACTTCGTTGTGCGGCTCAGGCTTAACGGCGTGAACTTTATCGGTTAGCAGGTGTCTGATCATTGCCTGACGATATCGACATACCGAAATCAGGGAACTTGATGGCATCCTGAATGAAGAACACAGGAATGTTGTTTCCAACCAAATCCCAGTTGCCCTCCTCCGTGTAGAACTTCACCGCGAATCCACGAACATCGCGGACAGTATCAGCGCTTCCTCTGCTACCTTGAACGGTGGAAAATCGAAGAAAGACAGGTGTCTTTCTTGAGGTATCATTAAGGATACCCGCATGACTCAATTCAGGAATAGCCTCTTTCAAGGTGAAATTTCCGAAAGCTGCAGTTCCACGAGCGTGTACAACTCGCTCGGGAATCCTTTCGTGGTCGAAGCGGTGAATCTAAGATCGATTGTTGTTAGTCGGGTCCTCTATTAAGTGAAGCACTACTAACCTTTTCACGAGCAATCTGGTCTTCCAGCAAACTAGGACCAGAAGTCTTATCGTTGACTACTCTCAACCAGTGATCGGTATCAGAAACCGGCACTCCATGGTCAGTGGTAAACTTGGTCCTCTTGTGAACATCCGCCGTATCGCGCGAGAGGTCAATCAACTTCTTGTCTTGACCGGCGGCAGACTGAATAACCTCCTGGACCTTGTGAAGGCCTCCAGCAACAGTGCTCGACATGGTGAATATAACGCGAGTAATTAAGCTTAATGAACTTCGATGAACACCTGGAGAAGATAGGATGTACAGGTTTTGGAGGGGACGTCAAGTCTTTAACAAGGAGCAGCGTGATATGGAGACACGAATGACATGATAACGCGTTCATGGTTGAACGTCATCTTGACGTGCGGGAATAGCTTCCAAATCGAACGGAAAATGGCCAATAAGAGACTTGGCATTAATATTCTTAGGGCTCAAAAAGAGTCTAGATCCGATATGCTCCATACATCCGTCCCTACAGATTTGTAAGGCATGTCTCTAAATGGAATGCCATCCATCCGGTTGAGGCCTTTCGGTCGATCTAACGCCGCACACAACCTTGTTCTAGGAAAACATTACGAGTCCTATGGATCCCATAGCGTCCCTTAATATAGCCAAAATCCTGAATCGTTCGGATTGTTGAAATCGAAGCTTCATGATTGGCGGGGACGAAACTGGAGAATCCAGTAACGAATCATGACGTCACCCCTACTATACCTTCCGAATCAGGTAATCTGCTCTGTCAATGCCTGTTTCGGTCATTTAGGGCTAGATTTTGCAATTGTGAGGTTCTTGCTCAATAGTACGGTCTCATAATTAATATACATATTAAAGTATAGTCCTCGGTTGCTGGAGTACTCGAAATGAAAAATGATCAAATGATTGACAAGGTGATCTGGTAACGGCTTGACTCACAGCCACTAACAGACATTCAAACTAGCAAGAGACAAAGTAGACGACTGCTGGAACCCCTTGGCTTGAACGACAAAATCAGAAATATGGGGGTCATAATCGATAGTTATAGTGGTCTCGAAGCCTGTTTTGGCAGTACACTCCACCTGCTGCTGACCTTTTGAGTGATTATAGGTAGCGTAGACTTCCCACTCCTGGACTTGAGTTGCTCCATTCCAACTCACGTATAAATTCACGCTATTTGAGCTGTCGTCTAAGCAACCAACAACTGCAGGTGCCGTCTTGGGGTGTCCTTCCCACTCATATCTGAAGCCGCGATAGGAAGAAGTCGTTCCGGCCACGCCGAACTGCACAGTCTCAACACAGTTTCCGTGCTCATCAAATTCCTCCATTATGGGGAGATATCCATGGTCCATAAAGACGTGTCCATTTGCTAAAGCCTCATAGCTACCTTGAGAAATGGCGAACAGAGGATCAGCGGGGTTTTGGTAACGTGCGAGCTTGGTGATCTCCTTGGCTTTCAGGTCAATAGATAAGAGCAAACCACTAGTGGGCGTGGTTCCATTGGCCCAATACGAGTTGGCATTGTCATGTAGGTGAAGAACAACGTTGTCAGAAGTCATACTGACGATACGAGCATCATGCTGATAGCAGAACTGCGCATCGGATGGGAGTGTAAAATCACCTCCGTCTTGACCCTGTTGTAAAGTTAACCACATGCGTCTCTCTATTCCCAAATGTTTCGGACCCGGAATGAAATTTTAGAGAAAAGAACTTGAAGTGGTGCGAAGCTTACCTGTATTTCCCACACAACCGAGCCATCCTTGGGATCAATGAGGAATACGGCACAATAGTACCGTGACGATATTACATAGTAGCCCTGAAATAGAGATACGGCATTGATATGGAAATAGTTGAATGCAGAAGAGCTCGCACTGCCTTCCTCGTGCAGTTCCTCGAGGGTACCCGTCAAGGGGATTTGATCGCGATGATCCCACGAGTTCCACTGGTAAATGATTTCGTTCGTCTTGATATCGATCTCATAGAACAACGACTGGCGTAGCCATCCATCGCTTGGACCACCAACAGAAGTAAGATCGGTTTGAGAAACATTCGTTGCTGTCACCAGAATAGATCCACGGTTTGTGACAAATGACTCGTGTAGGTCAATGTATGAATTGTAGGTTGTGGTGGTACCTGTGTAAAAGGAGCCTTCGGATTGCGGTAGCGTGACATTGTAAACATTTTCATATGCTGAGTTGAAAACCTTGATCATCCCGTACCCAAACCCATTCGGGTCTGGGAATGCTGAACCTGTCCAGTACACAAGAATGGGCTCAGAATCGAGTTCAGCCATGTCGAACGCGAAAACCAGTTCGGATGGGCCTGCCCAGATCAGGTCACCACCGCTCCTGTCATCGGCCATAATTAGGGCTCCTTTTCCCTTGGGTCCGAAAAAGAGGTAACCAGGAGCAGTAGCCGCATTTTTAGTGATCTCCAATACAGGTGGTAGCAAGTCCACACTGTTGAAGGACTGGGTTGGCCAGGTTGCTGTCGCGGGCACACATTGGGCCAAGATTATTGAGCCCAAGCTCAGCACAACCTTGGACATCAACATGTTTGCTTCTGTTTATCTTCCCAGTATGAGCGTGACTCAACAAATCAACGTAGGAAGCTGAAAAACATGTGACACGGGTAAGGAGGGTGTTCCTCTCCTCAAATAGGTGCTTTGCAAATGTCGCTCGCGTTTCTCTCCGAAGATAGGTGGGCGAGCTATTTAATCCGCGATTAAAGGATTACGTACTAGGAAGTAAATACTAGAAGATGAGCGGAGTAATAGACGAGCTATGAAAAAGCAAAGATCTCCTCCTTGTTCTCACTACACCGGAAGTAGAAAGTCACCGAACTAGATATGTCTTAGTGTGCGTAGTACCAAGCTTAAATCGTACTTAATTATGCTAAGGATAGTTTTGTTAAGCCGTACATTTGTACTAGAGATTAAACTGAACGGGGTAGCCGATTATTGACTAGGTTAGGTCGATGGTCAGTAAAAGCTTAAGATCTCGTATGCCTAGTCCTGGCTTCAATTATCGCCATATACTATTTATGAAAGATCAATTAGTTCCAAAAATACTTTTTCCGCAACAGCATCAATCCTAACGCTGTTAATATTACGCTCGTCTGAAGTGAAAATACGCTTAGAGGAAGCTTTTGATACAATTTAAACTATGAATTGACTACCACATCCAAGTTATACGGGAAGCCCCTCAGGGACTATTTCATGATTTATTCATAATTGAACTAACCTAGGACCTAATAAAAACAGCGGAGACCTTCTAAGTAGAACGGTCCGCCCAATGCCCATCGAGCAATTTGTGCATAACTAGTGAGCTTGTACAACAATCAGGTAAATCCGTGTTTATAACGATAAGTTGGAAATTAGTTATTTCCACGATATGACCACATAGTTGAGTATTCAAGCTTTCTGAAGCCTTCCAAGAAGACGCGAATTTAGTGTATGGAGCCGGGAGTACGCTCTGGGCCCACCGCATGCTACCATATAATTTTGTCTATTGTATTTAGTGTGTTTTGGGGATTTTGGAGGACGATCTGGGGGTCTCAATATCTATTGATGGACATCTGTACGTCCGAGAATTTCCCATCCAACATCAGCCAACACGAATGGGTTATGAAGGAAATATTTCAGTGTTGTACTATGCGCCTCAAAGCTTTCTTCATGCAATAGAACGTTCCATGCAGCCAACAAAGTCAATAAAGCAGGCAACGGACGGCAATAATCCTGTTCAGGACCAGCAATAAATGCAGGGCTTCGATTCCTCTCTATTGGCTATTTCATGTCGCTGAGTCTGGGCAGTGCAGGCGATGAGAATCGGAAAAACCAACAATGCAGGGGCACGGCCCCCTAAACGTACGCATACGCTGCCATTTGCTCTTTTCCTACTCTCTCCGTCATACAATGGAACTGGTGCTCAGATAATACGGTAATTTAGACAGAATAGTAGGAAACACTGTTGGTTACAATGGGTGCCATACAAGGATTTCAACTCTCGAATAGTAGTACTCCGTACGTAGTACATTCCCGTTGACCGGAGGCTGCGTTAGCCTTTGTCGACCTTGTGGTGGCTTGTCTCAGGGAAAAACTGCTACGAACCAACAGAGTTGGCAATTTCCCAAAGCAGGTGACGGTTACCAAGATCTGGGTTCATTAGGTTTGGAAGTGCGGCACGGCAAAATGGCAACACAGCTCTTTGACGGCGAGATGCACATTTTTTCTCTTTTCGTTAATGGCATTTATACACCAATGTTTGCAACTTGTCATCATTCTGTGCGCTACCAGATAATCTAGAGCATGGAGGGCAGTGATGATACAACATATCGCCAGCATGTCACGGTGATCGTGACTGCGGTCCTTATGGCTTTATCGACATTGGTATACGTTCTACGACTAGTGGCGCGATCATCTATATCTAGAGCTCCGTTGCAGGCTGAGGATTACTTGATGGGCACTGGGGTGTTTCTGAGTTGGGGAATCGCAATATGCAACTTCGTCAGTAAGTCTCTCACTCCACTCTCTTGATAAGTAAATGGTCATTGACACTAATCGCAAGGTGTCAAATATGGGTTCGGCCAGCATGAGTCGTCCCTTTCAAAGGAAGACTTGAGGAATGTGCTAATTGTACGTTATTTATCGAACCTGGAAAATTCGAGTTTTCCCAGATCTTACTATTAACAAAAAGCAATATTCAGGCTCAATTCACGCTTCAGAAGGTATGCGATACTCCTTGACATGCAATCGAAGGAAAGATTTTGACGAAATAAAAATTGAACCAGATGTGGGCGATATCTATGTGCTTCGTCAAGTGCTCGATTATCACACTTTACATGCGGCTCTTCCACACCACAAAATTCAGACGTGTCGGCTGGTGTCTAATTGCTTTTTCTGTCTGCTGGGCCCTTTCGGGATTTTTGGGTAATCTACTACAGTGCCTACCTCCTGCTTTCTTCTACGACAAATCAATACCAGGCCACTGCATGGACCCACGCCCTTTCTTCATTGCAATCGGAAGCATCAGCTTCATTGAAGATGTTGTGATTCTGAGCACGCCGATGCCGATGATTTGGAATTTGTCGATAGATCTTAGGAGGAAGATCGCCTTAACGGCCATTTTCTTCTTGGGAGCCTTGTATGTTTTGTCCAACCTTATTTCCACTATTCGGCTTCAATCTCCTTCTCCACCACGAAACAAGACTAACGTCGGGGTATATTGATAGTGTCTGCGTTACGAGTATCCTTCGCTTGACCACTTTCAAGGAATTCAACAAGACCGATGTTACATGTACGAAAATCTATGCTTGTTCAGTACGGGATCGAATCGCTGACTCATAAACTATTAGATACCAATGTCTGGCCAGGCCTTTGGACATATATAGAACTCAGCGTTGGCTCCATTTGCGGCTCTCTCCCACTCTTGAGACCATTGGTTGGTCGCGTTCTTGGAATGACCAGCTTCTCTTCGAATTATCAGGATCGTCCGTATGGGCCATCGGGACCCTCCAGACAGTATGCTTCGGCCAAGAGAGATACATTCCCATCGTCATGTCGACGTAACTCCATTGGCTCATCAGCTCAGAGGCATGTCGGGATCAAGACCCAGGTTAGCCCAAATAGTGTTTCTAGTCTGAATGAAAGCGATGAGATCGAGCTTGTCCGCCATGGGCACATCACTGTGCAGACTGATATTCAGCATCATACTGAGATACGACAAGATTTACACGACGAACGAGAAAACTCGCATATTCAAGACTGATACTCGTTTTTCTGTTTTCTTTTCTTGCTTTGTTCTTTCTTCATGCTGTACCTTCAACTTTTGGGGGTCTTGGAGTTAGAGGTCCAAAAACTGGTGAATTATGGAATGGCTTGGACGCATTGCTCAGGGTTGTTAGAATAAGTCAACACCCTTATATTCTATAAGATTCATGTATAATATACCCTTATGCGAGAGAAGATGGCAAGTTGACCGCTGCTTGAGTTACTTTCCTACACCGAGCCATCTTCTTCTCAGACTGTTGGCAGAATGATGAGCATTAGGTACACAGAAGACATAGTTCCTCACATATTATCAAGTTTTCCCTCCCTACTCATTTGCTTAGCTACGGTCACTGTATTCTTCACGGTCTCGCTGCTCATCTGCCAGTAGTATTCCGTGAGCTTCTTGTGTTCGTCGCTGCCCGCTTGCACCTCTGGATGGTGCCACTCGTATGTCGACACCATGTAAAGATCTGCCTCATCGGCTCCACGTGAAAGAATGTTGGTAACACAAGTTCCAGTTGAAGGGATAATAAACGAAACCTGCGACATTTGCATGAGGATGAGCAATATGTAAATGTGCATCGGCGATATCTAAGTATGTATGGACAGACGAACCATGACCGGCTTCTTGAGAACTGCGACTTCTTCAATTTCAGCCTCTCCTCCATTGACCATGACCATCCTGGTCAGACTGGTAAGCTGACCAGTTTCGTAGTCGTGATCCTCACTGATGATTCGACAACGTGTGATGGGTTTGACAAACGGTACTGGGTTGCGGCATTTGTGTTCCAGGACTTTCCAGAACTCGGCAGATGTTAAAGGGTCGATGTCATTGAACGAATTTATTGGGACAGTGGTGGAGGTATATATAACTACCATGATGATGTTTGCGTTGCTTGAGAAAAGAAAAAATAATAGATGCAGAGACTAGGTGAACAATAATGGGAGATAATGAAGAGATAGGTCAATAAATAGATAACCACGCGCTCTGAGGCATCACTAACACGATTCTCCAGGGTTCTGGTAAATGACCTTGGAAATATAGCCTACTGCCTAATGGACGGATATAAAGATATCCAATGGGTCCTTGAGATTAAGACATCTGCATGGTCGGACCCTAGCCCGACCCTGCAGCCGACCCTGCAGCTTACTATACGAGCGTCAATCTGATGTTTCATCTCGATGTTAAGAACATAAATACCAGCAAACAAACACCGAGATCCAGTTGGAACTCCTTATCTCATGCTTACTCCATTTAATTTCACAGATAATACCGCGTTGCTCGACATTACTCGACAAATATGGCTCCTCTTCAAATCGGTCTTCTTCTCGGTTCAAGTAGACCCAACCGTATTAGCCCACAAGTGGGCAACTGGATCAAAACATTTCTCGAGTCAATTAGGGCAACGAGCCCCGAGTTTTCTATATCGACTGTTGATATAGAGACGTTCGGTTTACCTGCTTTTAACAAACCGGTCCATCCGGCGCTGATTAGTGACCTATCGACATTCATCAGCCCATCGGTACGTGCTTGGAATCACGAAGTTGCCAAATACGACGCATATATTGTTGTGTCCCCGGAATACCACGCGGGTATTCCTGGCACACTTAAAAATGCCCTGGACTTCCTCTATCATGCCTGGGCCGGAAAATCAGCGATGATTGTGACCTATGGCATCATGGGCGGCGCCTCCGCCAGTGAAGGTCTTCGTGTGATTCTTGAAAAGGGATTCAGAATGAAAGTGTCTTCATTTGTCCCGAGACTGGAATTCCCCGGTCGAGATCCCACGAAGAACAACTCCAGTCCGGCATTGATGGAAGCGATGCAGGGAAAGTTGTCTGTTGATACCGTGAAGAGCTGGGAGAGTGAAACAGAGGAAATCTTACAGGGATTCAAGGAAATATTGGAGTTTGCCACTGCGAAGTAGAAATCCATTTTCTTTTGTGAAACGTCTAGGGCAATGAACAATGGATATGAACTTACACGCGAAGCCATCTGAGAAAGATGATCATAAAATCCAACTACACAGTAGTTAGGAAGACGTAGGTTACAAATTCGGCCGAAACAAAAATCTTACCAGATAATTTCCAGCGTTTAGAGTAGGTGTTCAGATAATGAAGAACTGATTCGACAACATCGTTGTTCAAAAAGTGGTCAGACTGCTCCGCGTTTTGCTGAAGACAGGAAAGAGCCCCCAGATAGAAGCAGTGATGGGACCAGATTGGAATTATTGCCGCATACTGGTAATGCCAATCTGGAAACTGCTTAATGCGGTCCATTACCATCTGAATCGCCACTGTCATGACAGGGCAGGTGTTGGTCGATATCTCTCCATGGTAACCCTCATGTCTGATATCGGGTGTCGTTTCTCCATGGAGAATAATCAGCGCACTTATTATGTCAGATTTGACGATATTTATTACTCTTTATCACCCAGGCTACACTCACTTGACGCAAATCGCAAGACAGGTACAATTCTTTCCCTGTCCCACGTTCCCTTCTTGAAGCACCGCTGATGCAAATGTTGTCAATATTGGATCGAGGTCATCACAATGATGCGGATTCGCGACTGTATGGAAACGGGCCCAACGATTCAGAATTGCTAGGTCTAGCAGGTAGCAGGCTTGAACAAGTCGAGTTAAATATACCAGTTGCAAGTCATCCCCGTTCTTGTGGTCTGGGCGGAGCGGTTGGGCGTATGGATTTTGCGATATTGACGACTGGCTTTCATTGAGAAGCGTTTCGGTCTCTTGCTTCTTTGCAACAGGAAAATCAGGCAATGGAGGGGCCGGACAAACGAAAATTTTAGATATGGCTGGGKTGTCTATGCCAGCTGCCATAATCACTCTGGAAAATTGATTGGTTACTTAGGCATATCAAGGCTGGCTGGACTGTGGGCTATACCTCTCAAGAATAAAAAGACTACACCATATTCGTTTGGAGCGTGTGAATTTCGTGCAACAATCAATGCCATCTCGTTCCAGGAAAATACCTGCATGGTCAGCAAGGAGAACGGCAGAGGCAATAGTCGTCATAGCAACGTCGACCATGGCCTGTAGATACTCATAGAGCGTTAGAAGTAAGCCAATTTGCACTAGCTTTACACTACTCCTTCTTTGTGAGATAAGAAGAGTGAAAAATCCCTTGCACTTCAAGTAGAGCCGTTCCACTTCCAGGTGGCTTTCATCGCCACATATCTGGGACAGTAGACAGCAGGAGTATATTAACAGCGATGATTCGCCATCGGGGATAGATAGCACACTCGAGATGCATACATCCAGTTCACTGGAAAGAACCACTGGGAGCCATCTCGTTCAGCGTTTTTAGATAGGATAGGCATTCTGTACGTATATCATAACCTCTGGAGGTTAAAGTTACCAGTGTTATAGTCGTCAGATGACTATCAATATAATCTCTCCATCTTGTTGAAAGTTCAAGCGGGAAATTTTTATCTGGATGCCTCGATGGAGAAGGACTCGGCATGATATCGGTAGAAGCACATGGGAAAACTCCGCGACTTAGACTGTCCCTTCCTCCGATATGAGCCAACGACTCATCGTACCGACAATTGATACCAAGCCTTTGGCGGATCAGAACGGAAAAACGCCCGATCATTGAGCACAGATCACATACCTCATACACCGTCCACAGCATGGAATTTCCTTGTCACACTTTTTCTTCCTACTACGACATGGTATGCAGGTCATCCTTGATACTGGAGTCATACTCATTTGCAAAATGCTGTCAGAAGGAACTGACAGAAAATATTTTGAGCGCTTGTTTGTTGATTCACGCTTCAACATCCGCACTGAGCAGCGCTACAGCCCATAATCGAGACGTCAAATTACCCTTCGTTAGGTAATCAGTTGCATGTCTTAAATCCGGCCGCTTTTCCCGATCTCACCAATACGAGCCTACAATTTGATAGAAAAACGTATTCATATAATGTAATACAATTAACTCGGGTCATAAAAAATACCATACAAACAATGGACTCTTACCTGCGTCGAAGGAACAAGGATCTCTGCTAAATGCAACGGACAAAAGGTTTGTATGTGGAGACAGACACCACGTAACCTTCAGAAGAGAATTCAAGCTTGACCTTCCACGGATTAAACCTCCGACTCCCATCCGCAGCAGTGTACTTGCTAAGGTATCAATGCAGCAGTGCGTTGGTCAAATACGGTCGGGAAAATCGGGAGTCTGCCTCCGAACCAGCGGGCCACTTGGATAAAACGCAGATCACACTTGATCCTTCTGTGAAGCCTAGGCGGTCATGAAAACCCTTCTAGACTGGATACTGTCATGTATTCACCCCCACGAAATCTTCCGTGAACCCCCCGATATGCCATATATCTGATGGGTACCCCCCTCCCTAGGGAAGGTATCATAATCTAATATAGAGACCGTGAAACTTTGATAGAAATATTAGCAGCTAATAGGGTTGCTGCGCACTGCTGAGATCGAGCGGTTTCCAGGGCAGTGCTGAGAGCCAGGCTTGATTGCCGGCAGCCCAGTCATAGACAACCCGCACAACTTGTTCGGAATCATGGTCAAAGAGACTGTCCCACTCGTTGTCGCTTATTCTGAAAATATAAATAGGAACTGAATCCAAGTTATTCAGGCCAGCAAGCTTGTGATAAAGATATGCTTGTTGGGCTTATATATCAATTTGAGTAGATATGGGAACTAACTACTATATTAGCTTAGTTATAAAGATAGTTAATCTGTATATTAAAAATTTAGACTTATTTATTCTTATAGAATACGATAATTTTTATTCCCTGGAAAATCCTAATGACTGTCTAAGTAATAATATTGAAGGTGAAGACGCCCTGAGCCCAGAAGAGGTGAAAGTGTAGGTGCAACCGTGCAAATAATATGGGAGAGCAGAGTTTATGCCGACCCAGGCATGACACTTGAGGTTTGACTATCTTTAACATGTATATAGTGCGAAACAAGAGTTGAAGCTTTCTATTGTATAGACAAGAATTTCGATAAGGCAGTTGTGAGGCTAGATCGACCAACTTAGCAAACATTCCTCAATGAATCAGTCTGCATGCTATAAATGCAGAGTCTTTCTTAGAGCCAAGAACTCTATGCCGATGCTCAATCGTTTCCAAGGGACTGAGCGCGCCAGCTCTAAGCTTTAGAGGTATCAGGTGCAACACTATAAGTGAGATAGGACAAGTATTATAGCCTAGTGAATCTCAAAATAGAGCAATCTTCGGCTCAAGCAGTATCAGAGGCAAGTGGGTATGCCTCAAACGCATTTTCCTCTATCGAATACGGGACTTCGGAATCCAGGAGAAATCCCTGCCAAACTGCCCAATTGGCTTGATTGCTATAATCCGTATTGATAATATTCTGCGGAGTTGTATTCATGTTGTAAGATGTATCAGAATTGTTCCATAAAGTGGGCATCTGTGCATCGGCCGGAGCGCAGCTATTAAAAGTTAGTGATGGGTTGTATTCATCAATCTCCATTTGACTAAGATCAAATATTGGATCCGAAAGAGGCTGAGCAACACCGTTAGCAGTTATGTCTCCGATTCGGTGGAAGTCTCTCTTGAGTGCCGCTTCTTGGTATGCAGCTCGTGCCTTCTTCAGGAGCCTCTTGAGCGGTTTCCACAATATGCCCTCCGTGGTATCGGCAGCTCGTTCTCCAAAGGTATTCCACAGACTTTCCACGACCACCCATGCTTGGTCTACTAACGGGCCCTCTGTTTGAATGCACAGTTCGGCCAATACGACGGCTAAAGGATGCCACTGCACCCACGTTCGTCCGACCCACTTGAACCGGACGCTCTTCGGATCGTTCTCGTACATGTCCATAGTTTCGAGGATCAAGACCGCTGTGCGAAGTGTTTGATTCCTGGTAGTACCGGTATTCGGGTAAATTGGTTGATCTTGAACTTGAAGCGGATATCTCAATGATAGCCACATCTTGAGGATCAATAATCGGCCAACTGTAGAGAGATACCACTGAATAGGTATATTTACGTCGCACTTTTGAAAGAAGAGTGACTCGAATTCATGGCTCAAGTTTTTTACCATCTGTTCTTTCTCAGTGAAACTTATCTGGTTCGGAAATAGAAGCTTTCGGAAGATAAATGCCAATTTATGGGTGATATGGCTCAGGGTTATGTCGGTCAAGCCCGAAAATTCCGGAACAGCCTCGCTTGTTTCGGGTCCGTAGTCATCGTCGCAAATGTTAAGAGGCATAGAAGTGTTGAACGAGCTATCGAATATCATCGGCTGAGTACCTCGGTCTTCTGCACAGCGGAGGTCAAGGATCATGATCTGCCACCAGAGAAGGCTTCTTTGCTGAGCCTCAAAAAAAGATAGGCCGGTGCCGTCGGCGTCTTTGTGTATTCCGAACGACTGAGCAATTCTTAGCACGAGTGCGAAGAGAGTCCACGTGGACTGGGTTTTGCTGTATACTCGTAAGGTAAAAAGATAGATAGCGAACGCTTGAAGAACTGCGAAATCATCCGTAATAAGAAGATTCTCTCTTGCAAAGGCGAGCTCCGCACTGCGTCTGAATTTGGTAACTAGGATTTGGGAGTCTTGATGGAAGGTATTCTGACAGTCCTTTGGCGACATTGACGTGATTGCAGCGAAATACATACACAGCATCAGCAGCTCGGTTATATTGTTATTTGGTGGTGCTGAAAAGTTTCTCGTACAATTCGCTATACAAGAGAGAGTCGTTGGCCTATGAATAATTTTGAAAATGGGATCGACATTTGTGAAATAGGTATCGCTAAGGGCCTTGAAGTGAAGGGGTGATACTGGGAAACCCGTTTGTTGTTCTAGACGACTATCAGCCCCATGGAAGACGAAGTCGAATAGTGACGAGTGTACTGGTGGATCTGTTGAGCCAGTTATTGAAGGGGTAGTTTTGAAATGTTCATCGTCATCATTGCTTTCATCATCGTCGTCGTCTACAGGCTGTTCAAGTAAAGAGCGCAGCCCATTGACTTCACCTCCTAGATTGGTCCAAAAGTCGCCGCTGATGTATTTATTCCGGGAAAGCGTCATATTTTTCATGTTGGAAGTTTGAAGGGTGCTACTCCTCCCCTTATAGCTTTTTATGGATTCAGATGAGGAGGCGGTCGACAGACCACTGGGGGCTTTAGATGTCAAGAGATTGGGAACACCCCCACCCATCTTTTCGACGAGTGATTCAAGCTTTCCAATGCGCCTGAGGAGTTCTTCATCTCTGGATCTGTATTTTCTACTCTCTTGTCGCCCGCTAGCCCTGACTCGAGTTCGTTTCGGGAATACGCAGTCAACGCTTGATCGCTTGCAGGCAGTGCACGGATGAGACTTGTCACACTTTATCTTTCGATGTCGACAATTCGTACAACTGAGAGGCTTGAGTTCGGACATATTTCTAACTCCAGATTCAGCTGGAGCATGGACTGCAGCCCTAGTTGAGGTCTCTTTTGATGGAGGTAGTTCAGCCATATGATGTGATGTCTAGGTGACGTGATTAACAACAAGATTCATACAGAGCCCAGATACACAAACTGCCATGTGGCAAATAGATTTCATGAGTCATCCATGAAATACAGTAAATAAATCTGACCAGTGTACATTGATGCTGTGAGGCTGGATGCGATGAGTCGAGGCACGTGCTTGTAGTCCTCTAATGCGCTATATCGGGTTGAATGGTAAGAGCCAAAAGTGGGTCCTGATTTCCGTCGCTGAATAATCGCTTCTTAAATCCCCCAACACTCCGTCCGAATAACCACTAGTAAGAATGACAGGATGTACTTCATCGCGAAGAAGCGCGTGGTCATCATGTAGGGCTCTCGCGTACGCCTCGTGAGAATATTCCAGGTTAATTGACACTCGAATTGCTTTCGTCAGCAACAATCGGATTTGTAATGCCACGGACTCGGCTTTTAGCAGGATGCTGCGAACATCCGGACTTCGGACTACAGAAGATGTCCGTAACAGCAAAATTGAAAGAAAACAGTGCGCATCAGTCTTCCCGTAAATGGGCACTTTCTAGGTAGAATCTGGGCTGCGTCCTAGTAATGCAGTTGGATCACCTACTATGTGTTGCAAATTCGCCTCGCTAGAGTTGAGGGCAGTGCTATATATACCTCATGGCTGCTCGTTGGTTATGGAACATCCAGTTCATTATCTATTTACCTGAGCAAAACGCATCCTACCACAGCACAACATAATTTATTATCTCAACATGCGCATCCTCATCATCGGGGGCAATGGACAGACTGGCCGCTTCGTGATCGACGAAGCATTGCAGCGGGGCCACAAGATTACAGCCTTGGTTCGAAATCCCTCTACCTTATCAGCCAAGGAGGGCCTGAAGATCGTCAAGGGGACACCATTAGAAGCTTCAAACATTGAAACCGCTTTCACCGCAGTCCCAGACGACATCCCAACCGCCGTGATCGTCACGCTTGGATCCTCAAAGGAAAAAGGAGCCCGACTCATGGCCGACACGCACGAAAATCTCATCGTCGCTATGAAGAGGCACGGCGTTTCTAAAATTGCGACGTTATCGTCCTTTGGAGTCGGATCTTCTTTGCCCAATATCACTGTGATTATGAGATGGGCGATTTCCAACACCGGGCTTGCGCATTCGTTTGCGGACCATAATCACGTCGAGGAGATACTCAGGAAGAGTGGGATGAAGTTCGTGTTGTTGAGGGCCGCGAGACTGACTATGGGGAGAAAAGCGCCCGTTCGGTTCCTGGGTGACGACGGGAAAGGACTTGGTGTTTTTGCGGGCATGGGAGGTATTTCGAGAATTAGCGTGGCGGTGTGTCTGGTGGATGCTGTTGAGAAAAGCACTTGGGATGGAAGGACTCCTGTCATAACGCATTAAGGGTCTATGTACAATAAATCAGAATACTAATCGTGACTGAGGGTCAGGGTTGATACAGTTCTAATGCCTTTCTCTTGAATTGCCTCTACACATGTACTTGTCTACCTATATCTATCCATCAGCTTGTGTTAAATTCAAATTGCAGGAGCTGTATGGCCAGCCTTAATTCTACTTACGACCGAGGTCAATTGACTGGTCGATGGAGCTATCTCAATTGTTGAGGTGAACGACCGGCGCTCAAAACCTGTTGATGGAATTGCTACGCACAGGGATATTCTTTAATACGATGTAATAACGATGATTTTGTTGAATATCTCGGTGGTTGTGTTGTTCCGATAAGGTGCATGCATGGGTGCGGAAGAATTGTCAGTATGGCGTGAACGGTGAATTATACAGCTTTACCCTTGATAGGCTGGTTGGACTAGCCTTTCTCCCAATCCTTGCGTCGTGACCTGGGACCGGAATTAGCCGACAGTATGGAACTGAACAAGTCACCTTGGACAAGTTTATAACGCATTCAAGACAGAACCACAGCGGGCCTTTGGAGCAGGAAACCGAGACTGAAAATGTTACTGAGGCTGAAGAAGGGTTCAATGCCAATATATGGACGGGAGCGTACATATTATCCTTCAAAGGCTCCCGGCCGTAGATATCGTTAAAAAATTGCAACTCCATTCGGAGGACTAGCTACACCACCAGGGACCTGTCAGGACAATGTTAGCAAAGATTCCAACATTCGAAAGCAACAGCGATGTCCATGACTCACCCTCAATGGCATACTACTAAAGAAAAACGACCATCTCTTCCTCTTCTGACACTCCTCGCTCAACTGCTTCAAATCAAACAACTCCCCAATCGGCGTTCCCCATCCTGCCAATAACCACTCGTGCAGCATAAAATCCGTATTCTGGCACGGCCACGCCTCAAAACTGGGCTGATCGCCAACAACAGCCGCAAATTGATTATCCCAGATCCATCGTAGAGTTTCCTTTGAAGATTCCAACCCAATTGCTGGTGGCGGGTATGTTGCTGCTAGTTGCTCCTGTTCGGCTCGTGTCATGCGGCCATAGGCTTCTGTCCAGCCGGTACGGACGAAAAGTATATCACCAGGACGAAAGATTGTACCTTGGACAGATGCAATTTCTCTCAGGACAGAGGGTGAGATTGATGTAGTGGAAAAGCAATCGATGGGGATGTTTTTGCTTTCGGCGTAGGAGACATAGTCGAGTAACACGCCACGACCGACGATGCCACCGTTCTCAACCCATACAATACGACACTCGTCAGCGGCAACAACAAAGGCTATAATATCTAGAGCACTCACCGTGAATGCCATTCTTCTTTGTCGACTCAACCTCCTCCTGCGTCACCCCATTGTAAAATACCTTATGTTTTTGGTGCCCATAATGCCGAAACCCATCCCACTGCGAGCTACTCTGCGTATTGAAAGTGAGGACGTCATCATTGACAGTCCTGCCTTCTTTTTTCTTGATCGTATGCTCTAGGCATGACCGCCCAAAACATGGTATGGACATACTATCAAGGGGCCAGTCGACGGATACCCGAACCCCTTCGACGATCTCCTTTGCGGCTTCGGCTGTGACTTTTGGTGTGAGCAAGTTCAATGTTCCGAGTTCATCATCATTGCCAAAACGACCCCATGCGTTGCCTGGTGTTCCATCTTTGCGGAGTAGGAGGGAGTCGAAGGATATTGTGGTCATTGCGATATATGTTCCAATCGTTCGATATGATGAAGCAGCAGAAATATGGCAGTCGATCTTTTGAGTCCAAGGATCTTGAACAATTTTTATCACATAATTACATCTATCATTATTTATTGTTGCTTAGGGAGTCCACCCAAGATGATTACCCTAAATCTATCGGAGAAAAGTCCGATGTTGCTCGGCGTGGAGCTAGGGGTTTTCCCCGCTATTCGGCGATGCGCCGTGTTTTTCATCACATGTACTAGATATACTGTCTTCCAACATAATGCTTATTGAAAGGCGACTCTGAATATTAATGTTCTAGGCATAACGCTAGATCAGGAGCAGCTTTCTGACCCCTTTTTTCGTCCTTGACATGGCCCTGCAAATTACCCCCTCAGGAATTTCAGCCCTGAATAAACAGGTCTTCATATAGTCAACCCTCCCATTGACACAAAGCCTGTCCATGTCATCCTATGCTTGATCTGGATCAGGTCCTGAAGCAGATCCATGCACAGAAAGACAAGCCGAGCAATTAAGATGCTCACGATACGGATCGAGGTCGGCCATCGATGGCATATTAGCAGGTAGATTCATGCCCGTTGCAGCTCCATCGGCCATGGCGACAATTGCCTCGAGAGGCGAGTGACCCAGGCGGAGATGCCATAGAGATAGGAATTCCATGACCTCTTGGCTGAATTCGTGGGACATTTCGAATTGTAATTGTGGTTCAAAGTCTTGAGATATCGCGGGGAAAGCGCGGGGTATTTGAGCTTGAAATAATTAGTGGTTCCTGTGCATCCAGAATATGATGACTGACATTGAGCTTGAAATGGAACGATTGATTCGTTCGGTATTGGTATTTTTGGAAGGAGAGATTCCAGCTTCTGAGAGATTAATTAGAGGTTCAATGGTGAATAATGGACGCATCTTCAAGAGATTACTCGGCACCGTCTCGAACTTTATACCCCTGCCTGAAGCACAGAATTGGATAGGCCCCAGCACGGCAATCTTAGTATCCATGATAGGTTTGACCCGCTGACAGCGTGATAACAATGCCACATGCACCGCCAAAATTAATATACATACATGTATGTGTACATCAACCCATACAGTAATAGACCTGCACGATCGTTTGGATCGGTAAATAAGCACTTAGACCCTCTTCAATTGAATCTAGATACTCTAGTACTATTGTTCGAAAGCCTATAACAATACGGAACTCATTTAGAATCCTGCTGGTAATACGAAAATCTTCGAGTCGTTGTTGACGGAATGTACAATATGCTTCCAGACTGCGGAATGTATACAGTTCATCACTTTTCTCATTTAAACTATTTGATGGCTATAAACAAGCATAAAAATGCTGCCATGAGATCATTAAGCATTGTCTGAGCCCAAGACCCAATCTTTGATCCATCCACGAAGCCATTCTACCTGGATCGCATCCAGGCTTTGCAAAGAAGGACACATCTTCACAGACCGCTGAATAGCCAGCGGCTTCTCTTCATTTGTGTTTACCATGAGACTTTCAAAGAAATTCAAAAGCTTGACTGCTGGATTGTCGCTGAGTGCGTCTGTCGAATTCGCGCTCGATTGTAGAAGAGCAAGCCATTCTTCGTACTTGAGTACACTTATGGCGGATCCCGATGATGAACTCTCTTCTAGTGTTTCAACGACTGCCGGAATGAGGCTTTGCCAGCTTACCCAGTTCGGGTTGATGGGATGAAAGATTTGGGCCCCTTTTGAAACCGGAGAATTTGCCTCGGTGCCAAACGAGATCTCCAACAATAATGTAGCAAGTTGATCTATGGGCACCCATTCGATACGGTCAAGAACGCCCGCATTGTTCCCGTCTCCTTTATATCCAAGTGATTCAGGGATGGCCTTGAGATAGTGGGAGCTGATAACCAGACTCGGCAACCATTCATGCCGATTCCAACCATGCGGGGGCCCCTGTTCTGGCGTCGATGTACCTGCGATTTGTCCAACTCGGGCGACTCGAATATTAGCCAGGTTGAGCTTTTTAGATGCATAGTCCAGTATCCTTTCTGCGACGTATTTGCTTTGCCCGTAGCCCATGCCTGCGGGACATTTCGTATCGGTGATGATTTGTTCAGGGACAAAGTCGATGTTTGCACCAGAAGTTTCATGGTAATTTGAGACTGCACTGACGGACGACAGATATACTGTCGAGGCTAGGCGAGATGCGTGAGTTGCAAATGATACAAGCCCTAGTACGCCGTCCAAGCTTGATCCAAAAGATTGTAGAGTCTGGTTGAAGTTGACCGGCCATGCGTTATGGATTAAATGGGTCACAGTTGACTGTAATCTGCGGTATAGCTCAGCATCATCCAGGCCAAAGTTTTTCTTCGCCAGATCCACTTTCAAGAAAGTGACTCGGTCCGAGGGTAAGTCAGTCTTTATCTTTCTTTTTGCGTTTCGATCCCGTTGAAGTGTCTCAGCATCGGATACACGATTCAGGCAGTAGACGTGGGCAACCTGATCGTTCTGCAGAAGCTTTTGTAGGATGTAGGATCCGACAGCTCCAGTCGAGCCGGTTAGTGCTACAACTGCGCCATCAGCTATCTCTGTGGGTGCCCTCTGCATGCTTGCTTCTGCAGGTGAAGCAGCGATATCGTCAATTCGTTTTTCATAATCTGTCAATGTAGTCAATACGATATCTCTACTTGTCGACTCGCTAGTTTGAGACATGACGGCTTTTGTGAGCAAGTCGATGGATGGGCTTGAATAAATAGCGCTTGGTGGTATATTGAGTTGTCGACTCAACTGCAACACCTGAAGAGAATCCATTCCGAGAGAAAAGAAATCAGTGTCGTATGACAAGCTGGTATTCCACCGGGTAATTTCCGAAACAAGGTCGCCTAGCTTTGTAGACACTGCATCCGCATCCGTCATGTCAATCAAACTTAGTGCCGGTCTAGGTGCGAATAAGTTCTGGGCTTCACGCTCTGCGTAAAACCTTTCGATTTCCTCTTCATACAGAACAAGTGTCGCAGCTCGCTGGACAGTTCCTTTAGCAGCGCGTGGCAGCGGTTTGGAAGGATCTGCAAGAATAATGTTCTCCTTGGCAACTCTAGCATGAGCAGGGCAGTCTTTATTGGCAGTCTGCACATTTTCCCAAATTCTGTCAATAACCCGCTCACGCTCTTCTGGTGATAGAGGGTCATTACGATGAAGCTCCACGATTAAACATGCTTCAAATCGTTGAGCCCCCACTACCACCGCGGAGCGAACTTCTGGATGCCGTGACACTTCTTGCTCAAAAGAGATCGGATTTGTCTTTTCGCCATTCAAGAACACGATAATGTCGTCTTTTCGGGCACGGTAGCGCCATAGACCCGGTAGAGTAGGGTGAGGAGTCAAAAGATCTCTAGTTTCGTACTCTTGTAATTCTGGGAAATGAAGGAACACAGGTTGCAGTTCTTCGTTCTCCTTATTGCGCACAATGACCATTTCGTGCAATTCACCATGGTGGTGTCGGTATTCAATGTTGATAGCAGGGTGGATATTGATATATGCCCACTTATCCTCGTTCTTGCTCCCATCAGTTAGCGAGTGAACCTGACTGAGTAGACTGACTTCGCTGGATCCTGTTGTCTGATACACCGGAATTTTCGACGCGACAAGATCACCGGCTGCCTGTGGCACGCTTCCTCCCGCAAAGTAAAGATGCTTTAACTTCCGAGACACTAACTCCAAGGCATCCAGGTCTTTACTCAGATCTTCTAGAATAAAAGGCAGAACAAATGCCCAATCCATATCGACATGCTTGACTGCATCGAGGAACTGTGCTGTCGATAGCGGCTGGGKGGGKAACGGGTAGACAGGTACGCAGTCATTGTATGCTGACACCATGAGCCCAAATCCGATGCCCGAGATATGGAACGGTGCTAGAAAAGTGAACCAATGACCGGACCTAATAGTATCATTTCCACTCGAGAAGCCCTCCGGTGCTGGAAGGGAGGTCAAATTTACTGTGCGAGTGACGAAGCGATGTGTGTAAATCAGCGGTTTTGGAATTCCTGTAGATCCAGACGTGTGTAATATGAATATCGGCTCGTCCTTCGCCTCCTCGTATGACTTTTCATATGGGTACTCAGGCGGTGCATCACTCTCGTTGCCATTAAGAAGTTCCTCAAGAGAAGGAATAGCAATAACTGTATATGGAACTTCTTCCAACACAGCGCCAATGGCAGGAGGCTGTGGTTCGACAGTGACGAGTTTCGTACATTCGAGTTTTGAAAGTAGACTCAATTGCGCAACTTTGCTGTTTCGTGGCGATGGTAAAAACGCCTAAAATCCTGTACGGTTACTTTCTGGCTATATCACCGCAGATTATCAAGAGATGCACTAACCTTATATCCAACCTTGATAGCGGCAATAACCACAATAAAATACCTAGGGTCGAACGGGCCAATATATGCTATGGTTTCAAAATTTGAACTCGGTCCCAACTGATTATGTAGAAGCCATGCCACTTTGTTCACAGCATGAAAGACTTGCTGATTCGTTGCTGTTCGCAGCCCTTCTGCGTATGTGTGCTCCGAAACGGGATACTGAGCCCAGGCGCCATCTGGATTTTGTTGTGCGCGGTTTTTTAGGACATGTGGTAGAAGCTGGTGACTGTTTGATTGGGTGTCGCCTTTGCCCATTTTGGCCGATGAATTTGCTTGCTATGGACAGAATTTTGTTTGCGAGGGTTAATATGTATTTCTCACAGATAAAGTCCTACAACTTCGATTTAATCTAATTGAAGTAGAATACGAATATTAGAGTATCTTCAACATTTTATATTAAGCCATCTAAACAGAAATTCGCTCTTGAAGTGCCACCAAGACAGCCCTAAAAGTCGAGCTCGGAAAATATTGCTCTACCTGTCTTTAGTGGCGCATCTTTTGGTTAGCACCCAGCCGAGATGCGCACGTCTACGGCCCGATTCATTCATATAAATATTGCAATTCAATCTAATTAACTTTTATATCAGCTCCATACCGGATGATAGTTCGTGCTACTCTAACTTTCTCGCATTGGCGTTGAATTAAGCGAGCAAATAATTCGGCAGAGAAACATCCGAGTTGACGTTCACAGATTATTGATTCAAAATCAACTCACCACTACGACGTGGGATATGCTTGATTCGCTATACTAATCATTATTAGAATTTTTTATGCTTAGGGCTGAAAGGGGCAGTGTCAATACCGAGGTAGCACACAGAATAGATCGCTCGGTGTGGCTGGCTGATGCTAGACATTGTTGACGTGGCTGTCACATACCTAGGTAGATCGACTTCAATGCGACGAACGTCAAACCGTTAATCGTACCTGCTATTTCAAATATTATTTTTCTACTTAATTGCTAAGGAGAAATTAATATTGCACTCAGGTCTAATCGTGCCGACCCTCTTCGACTTCCGGTGTATACCTATAGATTTTTGCGCTTATCGTGGACTCAAATCCCCTCCAGGTCTCTCAATTGCTTGTCCTAAATTCCCCTTGTGGTCGTTCTAGTGAATAACAATACAGAGTTGAGTACTTATTTCAAAGAGCCCTCAATATGTTCTTAGTCCGGTTCAGTATGTCGCTTCCATATGCCATCACAATGAGTAGGCTAATTGTTCGGTGAAAGATTACCTCTATCCATAGGGAAATAAAAACAATTGATGGCACATAGTGGCAAGATAACGAAATCAATATTACTCAGAGCTTCTTTCTTCTTGGCTACATCTTCCGGTACTATGGAAGGAAGGACTCCATAGTCTGTGTCCTCAGGGACTTTGGCTTGTTGTAGCAGGCAGACATTGACCGAACGTATAGCTTCGAGGGTCCAGAAACCCCAGCGCTTATTGTTTGAATTGCCGATAAATGTATGGAATGAAATATATAGAGAATAATCTCCACAACTCACAAGATATATCATCCAAAACTACCTCGTCGACAGAGTTTGTTGAGGAGTTAGGGTTGAACAGTAGTTAGGGCTAATGAGACATTAGGGTCATCTGCATCATATACACCGCCTTCATGTCCGCCTAGGGATTGGCCACTTGTATTCCATCTACTCCTCTTCCAAAAATAAATCCGGCAATATGACACGCATCAAATGATCGCGGAACAAAAAAAAGGAGTTTCCGCGTCTGCCACCTTCGTGCCGAAAGGTCATCAATTGATCGTACAACAATGGAGAGCCTGCTTGGAACGTATCTCACCCACGTCCAGCGACTCTGGGCGGACTTCGACATCGATTCGGAATCCCTCAGAACCGGCTCCGTCGCTGCTATTGTCTCCGTTATCGCGCTGTACGTAGGATACCGCTATATCCTAAGTCTAGCTGAAGCACCCGTAACGTTCAATGTGCCGCTGCCGAAACAATTACGAACAGACTGGAACGGGACAAAATGGGAAGATCTCGAAGGAGAAGGAAAACGGATTCTTGAGGATCAGGCTCAGGGTGTGAGTTGTCTTCTCGTCACAGTAGTTTGGTGTGGAGCTGATCGAAGTATCGATAGAAATGGAACACAGAGCGCATCGTGAGCTACTGCCCGGCCGACGGACGGATACTTTCTACAAATATACCGCTTGCGACACGAGAGTCTATCGACAAGGCCGTTCAAGATGCCAAAAGGGCACAAGTTGAATGGGCGCAGACGACGTTTGCGCAGCGGAGGAGATTGCTCAAGACTTTACTCAAGTCGGTGTTTCCAATCCCCCTTGCTCTCTATCGAGCTAATATGTGAGGAACAGGTACGTCCTCGACCACCAAGACGACATCGTAGCAGCCTGCTGCCTCGACTCCGGCAAAACGAAAGTCGACGCCTCCTTCGGCGAGATCCTGGTTACCGCAGAAAAATTGAAATGGACAATCGATCATGGCGAGAAGGCTCTGACACCGGAAAGTCGTCCTACGAATTTTCTCATGATGTACAAAAAGAACAGTGTACGCTACGAACCGCTTGGTGTTGTCTCTGCGTGTGTTTCGTGGAATTATCCATTCCACAATTTGATTTCGCCTGTTATCAGTGCGCTGTTTGCGGGGAATGCGATTGTGGTCAAACCATCGGAGCAGACGGCGTGGTGCTCTGGTTTTTTCGTGGATGTTATCCGTGGAGCGTTGATTAGCCTTGGTCATTCGCCAGACCTTGTGCAGTTGGTGGTGTGTCTACCGCAAGTCGCGGATTCATTGACCTCGCACGCAGATATTTCGCAATTGACGTTCATCGGGTCCAGACCCGTGGCGCACAAAGTCTGCGAGTCAGCCGCCAAATCTTTGATTCCAGTTACAGTGGAACTTGGGGGAAAAGATCCGTTTGTTGTGCTTGATGATTCGACTACGGTACGAGGGCTAGAGTCAATTGCTTCTATTCTTATGCGCGGCGTGTTTCAGTCTGCAGGCCAGAACTGCATTGGTGTGGAACGTGTGATTGCTCTTCCGGGCACATATGATAAACTCGTTGAGATTGTGACGCCGCGGATCAAAGCATTAACTCTGGGTTCGATACTGCTGGATACGAAGAACGACTCGTTTACGCCAGATGTCGGTGCCATGATTTCGCCTGCTGGATTTGCAAGACTTGAAACTCTGATCGCCGAAGCTGTAGAGCAAGGTGCTCGACTCATTCACGGTGGTAAACGATACCAACACCCCAAGCACTCGCGTGGACACTACTTTACACCTACATTACTTGTCGATGTAACACCGACAATGCGCATCGCACAAATTGAACTCTTTGCTCCCGTCATGGTAATCATGCGCGCTTCTTCTGTATCCAATGCCATCGAAATCGCCAACTCCACTCCTTATGCCTTAGGCGCAAGTGTCTTTGGCCACAACTCGCGCGACGTCGAGACATGCGTCCGCAACATCAAAGCCGGTATGGTTGCCGTCAACGACTTTGGCGCCTTTTATGCCGTCCAATTACCCTTTGGAGGTGTCAAGGGGTCCGGATACGGACGCTTTGCGGGCGAGGAAGGGTTAAGAGGGGTGAGTAATTTGAAGGCTGTATGCGTTGATCGGTTTCCGAAGATCGTGGGAACGCAAATTCCGCCGAGAGTTGATTACCCGATATATAAGGGAGAGACCCCCAGGACAAATGGGACGGGGGCGTGGGAGATGTGTAAGGGTGTAGTGGAGACGGGGTATGCGCTGAATTTCGCAGGGAGGGTGAGGGGCATACTTCGGATACTGACCAACTCTTAGCTACGTGTATCTACTTTAATTATACATGTATTTAAGTTTATAAGTATGATAGATGAATAATTATCAATTGAAAGTATTGCATAAAGGGTATGATAATAGCACTCAAGACGAAATGGGGTACTCGCGATCAGTAAAAACATAGACATAAAGCAAAGAGAATCATCCCATCATCACAACACTCAAATCGTAAGCGCGAGTCGGTTTGATCAATGTGTCTTCACTCGTAGAAGAAAGCCGGAGGCGAGAATTAAGATAAGGAAAGATCAAGGGGATTATATAGTCGCCCTCGTGGTCGTACGATGCCGGTGTCGTCTTCGGCCGCCCGCATGGCCGCACGTAACGCAGGAAATGATCACGTCAAAGACGGTGACGATGCCAGAGATGATGGCCTGGAGGATTGCGCCGATGCCGTTGACGATGGCCATCAGGCAGCTACCGATTGCGCCCAGGATGGACTCGATCTGTTCCAGTATACATGTAAGTATATCATCCCCTCAGGGGTAGGAAAGAGGGGAAGGGGATGAATGACGTACGCAAGAGACAACAGCACCCATGATGATAACTTTTGTTTGTTTGTTGGACAGAGAAAAAGATTACTCGTCGTCTTCGTCAAAGTAGTCGTTGATACTCTTCACTGAAGTCGTGTAGACACTCGATGTGGATGAGGAGGCAGTGGTTTGGATTGCAATTGGAAGCATGATGGTCTTTTCGAGTAGACGGTACCTGGGAGGCAAGTCTGTATTATATAGCTATGTTTGTGCCTGACGAAAAGTGACGATGATATAAGGATGAGCGTATAACAGAGAAGGCAAGGGGGGCGTTGATGATGAAAACAGGCTGGCTAGTGATCGACAATGTGGCAGATTGACGTTTACAGAGATGTGGCAGATTGACGTTTACAGAGATGAGGCGCTACAAAGGGAGGGCGACATTTTCTACAAGATTCTGGCAGCTGATGTCACTTCCTTGATTCTACAGTCGCAAAGCAGGAATGATGTCGAGCGCGCCACACTTGGAAGAATGCTCTGTCCATCCCTGGGTCTGGCCAGCCATTTGACGTCAGAGACACAGGGCTTAGGGCTATTTGGCCCTCAAGCCCTAGCCATTGACATCATGACCCGCACGTGCACTCCACTGCTCCCCGCCAATGATGTTTCTCTCTCGCTCTTTCCCCGTCTGTCTCTCCTGCATGCACGTCAGGTCGCTCCTTCCTCTTCCTTTAAGCTTTTGACGTCGAAACACGTGCTCTCTCCACCCATCAATATTCGGAAGTATGTTGACACTACTGACATGACCACGCTGTCGTCGACCCTTCCGCCCAACACCGAACCCCAGCGACAGGCATCTCAGAATCCCGAAAGCGCTTACAATGATGACCTGACCGCGCCGAAAAGGCGGAAGCGCCGTCCAGGACGCCCACTCCTTTCCTTTGCACAACTTCGCGCCCGCAAAGCAGCCCGCGAAGCCGACCGTCGATCGAAAAGCAGATGGAAATTTGCTTCTCAACAGGCCAACCCCTCGGCTTCTTTGCCTGAAGAAGCTCAATCCAAACGTCGTAATGGCTCATCTGCGCTCGAACAGCTACCCGTCGAGCTGCTCGAAAGAATTTTTCTGTACGCGCTCGAGACCAATTTCTGTCGCGCGAGCCCGTTCCTGGCTTCTGCCGTGTCGAGTGAGCGTATATATCGGACGTTGATTCGACTTGCTTTTTTCAAAGATGGATCTTTTCCACAAGTATCGGTGGAACTGCGGCACCAGATCAAAACTGCACACGACGCCATCGCAGATGCATTGAAGCCGGCCGATTACGAGACCATGCGTCTGGACGAAACGGATCGGGTTAATCTGCAGGTGACAATTCTGCGATGCAGATGGTGCACCAAAAAGCGTATACTAACTCAGTTTCCGGCATTGTTGCAAATGATTGTTTGGAAACATTGGGTTGGTGCTGGCATCGTGCTGGACCCCAGGCAACAACCAGATCTAGATTATATTCTACGAGGTAGTGGGGAGGACTATATCAGGAACTTTCCCTATCGCGATCCTCTCGAGGGAATTGGACCAGATGGAGTTACGTACCACGCTCTCACCGTCCCACTAAACAGGGTCGTTATTTATGGACAACGCCCAGGAATCGTTGGCATTAAGGATACTCATCAAGTGATGAATATCCGAGTCATACCGGATTACCTACTTCGTGGGCGGCGGAAGGTCGACGGCGATGGGTATCAATTCACAGACGAGGATATCGATCTGCTGGAAATTTTTCGAGACGTATATGGCGACGATGGTAATGGCCACGATGTGCAATTTTCAAGGGATGCGCTTCACTCAGGAATACGCACTGCCATTAGCACCTGGCATGAGAGAGCACTAACCTCTCTTCTCAGATTGGACGAGTATATGCTTCGGCTAAGACTGGAGAATGCACCCCCTCCGGGGTATCCCAATCTATCTACCGGTATATTTTATGCCATTCCCCAACAACATTTCCTTCAGGCTATACAGTTGCCCATGCCGGATGCCATGTATTGCTTCCTATTGCTGTTGCGCTGCAACGCCGAAAGCATGCCCCCTGACTCATCCGAATTGACCCAATGGGCCATGGACTTGTCTAGCTACCGGTGCCCTCCCGAGGGCAACACATCCGACAGTGATGTCAACCTAGCACGAAAATTGGGCAAATGGTTATTGGATTTTATGATCGAATTGCCAGGGTCTATCGAGGAAAGCCGGGAAAACCCACAAGAAAAGGCAATTTTTTATAAGGGCAGTCTCAATAGACACACACAACTAGGGAGACGCTTTCTCGAAGAGGTGTGCCCCTACATAAGTCGTGACTTTCAATCTTGGGAAAACGAGGACAAACATTGGGTACGGCTTGTGTCGTATAATATGCGCAAACAATGGTTCATAGACGTTCAACAATGAATTACATCACACTTCTTATAGAAATTTAAGGTCTTTTCACAGATTTTACATAGGCAGCCGTAGGGGCCGCCAGGTCACATACACAATCCGTGGCCGAGAGAGGCCTGACAGCTTGTAAATACAGCTTGAGGTCCCCCCCGTATCCAAAACTCCCGAACCACCACCATTCATTCTGCAAAAAAAAGCGTACACATCACCTCATACAAATGAGTTTAGAATATGTGAAGTATTAGGGCTTTTGGGGGGCGGGTGCCAACACATATTTCGTGATACTCTGTCTGAACAGATCATAATTCTATACATTTCAAAACCTCATCTCTCACTTTCCTGTCCTTCAAACAATCCCATCGCTTTTCATACAACAGCCTGACAAAGGGATCATTCAGCCCCGTCACATGCCTCAACGCTTCTTTGAAATGCCGCGTCTTGMCCCGCCATTTCTGCGGATAACTGTAGTCTCGCGTCGTAACATTCAACTCTAACAACGTCGCAAACGTGACATAATCCCGATCTCGAATGAGTTGCCGCAGCACCTGGTGCGAGCGTTCAGTACTGTTATTATGTTCGTCGATGTACGTTTCTTGCGACAACAACGTCAAAAATTCAATTTTCTCGCTTGTCCACGGCGCATGCAGCAATTTATCCGGCATCCGCGGTCTCCCATTCGGCGATGGCGGACAGGGCAGACGAAACATGTCAATCTCATGGCTGACGGGCGACGGTTCACGGATCTGAATGCCGCCGAAATGGAACCAGAACGACACCCTCATATCCACCTCCCTTCCTCCTTCCGTTGCTCTCTTAGCTTTCAGGATTAAATCCCCACTTCCCCTTCTGCCAGACTCGGCCTTATCGAAATCCATAGGCCGCGAGAACATCTCATCAATCGACTCAAACCCAGCCTGATCTTCTTTTGACACAAACACCAGTCCCGCCCCCTTCTGCCGCAGGACATGCTTGACATACTCCCGTTGACACTCCCGAAACAATGGCAGAGTACTCCACCTACACGTCAAAATCTCCTGCTGCAACAGCGTACGCTCGACATTCGACAACGCCCAAAACCCGAGCGGCGAAGGTAAGAAATCTTCAGTGAAAAAGCCGTGTCGAGAACTAGGGTTTGTGCTGCTAAAGGCGAGCCGGATGAGCCATTTGTAGATTATGGGTTTGGAGAGGACGGCTGCGATTTGTAGTGATGAGCGTGGGAGGTTAATGGAGAGGCTGTGGAAGAAAATTTTTTCGAGGAGTTCGGGGGGGAGACATTCTAGTTTACTGAGGTGGTGGTGGTGGTGTCGTGCCAACGGTGGTGAGGATGGATCCATTCACTCTTCCTTTCTTGCCTCTTCCTGGTTGAAGATGTGTAGTCCGCTCGAATTCTTTGGTCTTGATGCTATTGACATTGACATGCAGATATGAACATGCCGTGTTTGAGGTATGGGTATATGAGAGCACACTGGTCCGGTCTGAGTAAAAAGATGCCAAAGGGCAGACACCATGCTCGCTTGCGCAGTCAACCTTCTTCCCTTTCTGTTTACTTTTTCTAATCCTTGTTTGATTTTCCCGGGTAACTCTGTGAGGTGGTTTTATTGGTTCCTTCACAAATGTCTAGGGAAGTATATGCGATTCAGGATCTGAATCAGCGGTGTCACTATGCACGTCAGTCTGGACTATGTATACATTAAGCTTTGTACAATAAGACTTACCAGGTCGTTGCCTGTAAAGTTATACACCAAAATGATTCTATTCAGTAGAGACAGACTTTAATTCTTCCTATTGTCCTTCTTATATTTCTGCCAGGAACAAACCGTCGTATGAATAATGATGGACCCGAGACAGCGGATAAACTTGAAATTTGACTTTCCGGCTGTACAGCACACTGAACCAGGGTGTCGGGCGATCGTGCGAGTGTCCAATCAGCTAATCACTAGCAAAAGAGGTGTCGTTGCCAACCGGTTCGAAAAGTGGGAGACAAGACAACAAAAAGAATTGAGAAGGGGCAGTGAGAGAAGAGAAACGAAGAAGAAAAGTGTGGCGTCAAATTATGTAGTATCGATATATCGATCTAGACCCTGAAGCCACTAGGCTCCTCAAAAACGGTGTCCTCGCTGGATAGCTAGGGACTGATGCGGAAAGTACCCCAACACGCTAGAAGCCTCAGTCTGTCAATAATATGTGTGCTTGTATTAAGTAACTTGGAGTTATAAAAAGTTGTAGGCGCCTGCTCGGCAAAATGTCATGAGGGGAAGTGGATCTGCGTAATGTACATGTCCCACCATCGACATGTATACCTGCCCTACACTCACAGATCAGACCATTATTTACAAGATTTTAAATGAAAAGGAGAGATTGGTTCCCAGGGCTATGGACCGGTGCCAATTAAGCAGACGAAATGCAAAAGACGTGCATGGATGGCGGGATCCGAGTTCAATGTTAGTTATTACATGTACCCAAGTACGTTTCAGTCCCAATATATATAGCCGCCGGGGACATGGGTGTACATGCACGTTCATCATTCAAAGTTGTATAGACGGATGATCTATTCGGATCAAGAATAAAATCCGGTTTGGAATTGAGATATTCTTTAACAATACATGAATTAGTTGGAGAAAACTTACCCCTCCATCCTGGAATCCTCCATCTGCTGAAAACTGAGGGGCTCTATATCAACCTCCATATTAAGCTGCCGTCTCTAAATTTGGGTAGGGTTGCTGCATGACTCGCGCATTCCAATACACATACCTACGTATGTATGTAAATGATTCCATGACCTCTGCTTTTGATTTTACTGCATGACGATTTCCATTCCTCGCAAAAATTCTTCCCAAAATGACAAAGTAGGAAGTTTAATAGATCGGGGTGTGGGACCTGGGGCTATCGAACAAAGGAATTCTTCTATGACTTGGTGCCCATACGGCATCGGTCGGTGCACTAACATACATACCCTGGGTATCATTACTGCGAGGCGGGTCTGAGTCTGGAGTATATCTATCACATTCGAGATACGGGTATGCACGCTCTTGCCTAACGAATGGAAGGATGATCCAAGTAGTTGTATATTGACACATGTGCAAAATACTTGTGCTTTTGACCCGGGTGATGTCTAGGATCTTTGTAATGTTCCTTCCGGTTGTGTCGGATCTGAATGTACATCTACTCGATTGCTCACGAATGTTGACTGGTGGTATATCTGCTTATTTCCGACCTGTTAACACATCATGAGCTCCCACGCGTCTTAACTACCCGTATTGGCATACATTTTCGTCTCCTGGGTTTTATGATATTTGTCACGGAATTTTTCCTTTGTTTTCGAGGAAAATAATGACACCGTATTGCAAATGCATCTATTTTCTGCTGAGATAGGATTGTCATGATCAATGATTCGCTGGTACTGTAGGAAAGCACTAGCCGTGATAATATTGATGAGCATTGGACGCAGAACAGGCCAATCAAATTAGCAGACAAATGAAATACAATTGTAAACTGGGTCTTTCAACCCCTTGGAGAGGACGCATCTAATTGAACAGTTATTTGGTTTCTATACAGGAACGACTGAAAACATCTTCCACTCGCTTTGCTTGCATTGCAGTCGCTTGGAGACATTGACGAAGAAGGATGTGATGAGTGAAGTCGTTTGAATGTGGACAGACGGACTATCAATCTGTTTACAGGATGGAGAGGTCTCCGAACTTCTCCTTGTATCCAGCTGGCATCCACTTGCCCTTTGACACGAGCGATGCGGTCTTTTCGTCAATCTCGGGCTGGGCGGTAGCGACCTCGTCCTGTGAATAATTAGTATATCAAATACCAGAAACATATGCCAGGTGGAGTATGAAGGGACGTACGACGGTAAGTTCATCAAACGGCCGGGCAGTCTCGATATTTTCCAAAGTCTTTTGCAAGTTCACCAACTCCGCCTCAACGCGACCCTTGGTCTCTTCGGCAGACTTGATAGCTTGAGCCTCAAAGGCGTCGATAGCCTTGAGCTGGCGGGAAACATCGTAGGTGGCAGGCTTAAAGGTCTTGAAGTGGTTCTCGATCTCGTCAATGACGGCCTGGTTCTTGAGCGTCTTGCGGTAGTACGCGAAGTCGACAGATTGGGGCTGCTCAGAGAGAACAGTCACTTTGCGGCGGGCATCGTCGTTGCGCTTCTTGAAGGCTTGGAGGGATGCTGCGGTTTGGCCGCGAAGACCGAGGGAGCTGGTGACTTTGGTCCAGTCGATTTTGAGAGCGGCGCTACGCTGTGACGCAAGTTGGGTTAGTCATCGTCAATTGTATGTGTGAATAGTATCATCGAAGCGGTAAGAGAGATTGACGTACTGGGGCAGCCATTGTGATGGTGTTGTGGTATTGAGCGGAGAAAGAGCCTGACGTGCAAACTTGATGCTCCCGGGATGTTGAGGAGGTTGTTGTTCTTTGCCGAACTAGTCACGTGATCTCAGCCGCCGAAAGCCGGGAACAAACTCGACAAACTACATAGTAATCGACTAGCACCAAATTATCATTTCGATGTACAGCTACAATAACAAGATCTACTACAAAACTTAAGAATCTACCAGATGAGTCATGATGTGGAAATGTTTGTGATTGATTTACATGGTAATCAGAGCATCAACTCATCCAGCTCCACAATAAGCCAACGAGTCATAGGCTTATCTGTTTTGAATTTTAAAGACACAGAACGCAAGATCATATCACGCTAAACCTATATGCTCAGCGCCATAATCGAGTTGACGATATCATTGTCGTTCTCTTTCAGAGCCTTGACGGCCTTCTTTCGGGACACACTGGCTTGAGCCATGACAAGTTCAATGTCCTTGGCCTCGAGACCAGAGTCGTCGACTTCCTCGCCGTCATCCTCTTCTTCTTCCTTCTTGGCCTCGGTCTCGGGGGCCTTGCCCTTACCCTCGTGGGAGTGGTCGTGACCGGCGTGTGGGTCGGAGCTGGCAGCGGCCTCGGCGGCGGCGAGCTGTTGGGCAGCGTTGACCTGAGACTGGGCGTTCAAGTCTTCGATCTTGGCTTCACCGAAGATACTATTCATTGTCAACTTCATAATTCTCAGGGCTGACTCATGACGTATACGTACATCCAGGTGTTGGAGGAGGGAGAGCGGTAGACATCGGGTTGGTTGATGACGAAGAGGATCTGTCGATTATTAGCCATCGTATCCACGCAAAAGTCGGCAAGCTTCTGGTATCCGTAGATCACAGTTCACCCACAGCTTCACCCATCGAGGTTCATCGGACTTACGTTCTTAGGTCGGCGGAGAGTAACACGAGTAATACCGGGAACATGCTTCAATCCGAGCTTTCCAATAGCCTTGCGGGCCTTCTTTTCGTTGCGCGAGTGGATGGTAACGGCAGCACCACCGGGGATGGTGGGCTCCTCGCCAGCTTCAGACTCGGAGTCGCTGCCAGCATCCTCGACACCGGCCTTGGGGATCTCCTCGTCGGGGAGCTCTTCGACTCTGGGGTTGGCCATGTTGATGATTTGATGTGAACGTCCAAAAACACCTGTTTATTCAATACCCGCAAGTCAGTACTCGTTGCGTTATTCTTAGCGATAAGCGTTGAGGGCGGTTCGAGGTTCTGGATGCGAGGAAACGATGTAGCGAGCTGTTAAGGTTATAGGTGGTGGGGTAGTGGTAGGGATCGAAGGTAGAAATTTTGATCCAAGACACAATTGACGATATGAAAGTTGAATATGACGTACCTGAGGGTTGCTGGAGGGTTGCTGGCAAGAGGTATAATTTTGTAGTTCTTTGGTGGTGATGTTGAAGCCCGCTGTGCAAGCTGTGTGAATTCCCACATTCAATGAGGGCCGATGCGCCGTTGACCCAAAAGGGTTAGTGCGCTAGCCGAAGTCGAGCCTGAGGCATCAAGAGTCTTGCCGTTCTGTACAGTTGCTATTATATATGCGATTCATCTGTATTAGGAGATCTACGAGCTTACGCCATCGTTTGCAACAAGGTTGAACAAGTAAGGACATTTCTTCGTCCTGATATTACTTTTCATTTCGTTATTCCGTAATTCTCAGAATGAAATCGGCATGTCCTCTTTGCCGTGTCCTCCAGGATCGATCTGTAGTACAACGAAGAAAAAAAAGAAAACATCTCATGACTCAAGTAAGAACAGTTAGCTAAAACCGTCCCGGATATCAGAAGTTTTGTTTTTCCCTTTTTTTTTCTCAAATAAGATGGATGTGTCGCTGTTCAAAAAAAAGTTTATAATGCAACAACAGCAGCATGATCACATGAACTCCAGCCATTTTTGGAAAACCACCCAACTCAGAAGAAACGAATAATCTCCCTCATTTATTCCCCCCGGAACCTCGACTCATATTTAAGCGGAGGCTCTGACCTTGGCGGCGGCCTTGAGAACTTCATAGCGGGACTGTAGGATAACAAGTCAGTATTCAACATATTCAATATATTTGTGCATATCTGATGTATGCACTTCTGCCATCGATCGTACCTGTTTCTTCAATCGCAAAACCTTGAAGCGCTCAAAGTCGGTCAAGTTCTTTCGTCGCTCGACCTGAGCGTTCTTCTTGGCCCAGCTGCTGGAGGCAAACTTGTTGTCGATTTCCTCCTTCTCCCAGAGCTTGCGGACGGGGCCAGTACCGGCGGCGCGAGGAAGCTTGGGGATAACGAAGGGAGTGAGAGTAGCGTGGGACAAGGCGAGGGAGTGGCGAGGGACAATCTTCTCTTCTTGAGTGGAAGGACCGTCGACGAGCACCTGTATCATCGTCGTTAGCCGATGAATTCATCTTCCTCCTCGTATTCCTTCAACATGTTCGGATGCGATTCGACATACCCGCTTGTGGTCGATAATCTCAACAATGGTGGCCAACTTGCCGGTGTATGGTCCTGAGCGGATGAGGACTACACGACCGACCTCCACGAGCTTCCACGACGTGGTCTTGATATCGATATTGGCGGCCATGGCGAAGACTGTCTGCAAATCAAGTAGAGTTAGCGATATTGTTTTCGAGCGTCCTGGCGGCTATCAAAATTGCAAAGATCGTAATTGCTGTGTGTGTAGAAAGCGTAGAAAGGATGGGCGAGACTCACGGTCGACAACTCCGTTTGTGCGGCGGTGTATGATTGTTGTCGAAAAGAACGTTGGTCAGTCGAAGTCGTTACGTGCTGTGCAGTGATCGCGAATTTCGGCTGTCTGGGTGGAAGGGGACGAGGGAGCCCACAATGAAGTCTCGCTTAGGCCTGGGCCAATCAGCGACTGTCAGCGGTTGTGTGCGGATTTTTGGTGTGGCCACCCTCATTAGGGTTGCCGGCGTTCTTTTTCGGGCCTAGCTCGACAGACTTGGCTCCATGGCGGAGGATATAATTTTCCGTGCCGAGCAAGCTAAAGGAACTTTTCTTCCGCGTCAACATCGAACTTTTTTAATTCTTTTATATCGTTTACATAACGACCACTACTCGCTCGATGCATCTGAATGAAGAGTTCGGTTGCATTGAGCCAGCTCGTCTCTGGTAAGTCAGAAATCTATGTGTATTCTTCTATTTGCATGATGCGGTAATTTGCGATTGACCCAGTCTCTGTGAACCTCTCGCCGGAGGTTCGATACAGAACTGTCGTGTGATATTCAATTTCTTACATATTCTGATTTGCTTCTACTTTTCGCTACATTGTCTACAATATTACCCGTGTTGGCCGTTGACTAACATTGATTAGTTGTAGTTAATTGCTCACGATTCGGCACATCTCCTGCAGAGTTTTTTTTTTTTTTCACTCGGTACGTTGATTTCCTCTCAAGTCACATTCTGCCCGATGATTACACCATATCATGCCTAGATAGTAATTGACGCCTTTGGCGGTTGATATTACCATTATCACCAAGATCTCTGAGGACCTCTCATTCGAACATCATTGTCATTTTCACATTTGATGGAATAAAACTAACGATTGTTAGTTGCAGATTCGTGAAAGTATATGCGACTTACATCGACACACCGTAGTTTACACGATAGTTTTGAATAGATTAATGAATTCATGATCACGTTAAAACGCAGTTCTACATACAAAAAACACCGCTGCATGTCATACATTGTTATATAAATATCCAACACTGCTCGCTTCCAGCAATCCTTCTAAGAATATTTGAATTGCCAAATCATGTTTAAGATGCAGCTGCTGTGGCGGCAGGAGGACCTTCACGTGACAGAACCCACATGAAGATGAATTGGACGACATATGAGTAGATGAAGAGGAACTGTGTGCGACGGTTGCGTTGACCGCGCGCCACGGTATGCATGGTGCCTGAACGCATTGGGGCATCGCCGGTTGAGTCAGGAAGGAGAACGTATTTTAAGGATCGTAGCTATGAATCATTAGCAAGCGAAGTCAATTGCAACAATAAAAAGCCGAGCTTACAAGGAAAAAGGCATTGGCGAGGAAGGTGTATACAAATACAGCCCAGCCGACCCAGCTACCAGTGCCGCGTGCCGGGGTAACAATCCCGGCAGTCAACAAAATAACAATGATTCCAACAAACTTATAGCCCGAGTAGGCTACCAAATCAAGCAATTGAGAATCATTGCTGATGGCGAGGATGTACATGGCTACCTTTAAGCAAAGGATCTCGAATATAACGACCGCCAAAGCAGTCGTAGTGATAGAGCCTAGTAACTCCGGATGGAAGCTTCCGCGTAGACCAGCCATGACAGTGCAGAGCAGGATATACGTCACAAAAGCCATGGTGGGAATGTACATATCAGGCGAATTGAGATCCTCGCGAGGCGGAAGGAACACAGAGGCATAATGTTGCTGCTGTAATTGACCATCAGGACCTGCGGTGGCGGCCATTCGAGCTTGTTGTCGTGACCAGGGCTTGTGATACCAGGGAAATAGCACGAGGGAGAGCTTGCTCAAAACGTAGGAGTTGGAGACATTGAAGTAGTGTTTCAGCGCGGGTATCGAGACGTAGCGGTTTATCTTCATCTAGTCAGTACATAGAGCCAATAGCACCATGTAGGATATGCTAACATTCTGTTCCATATATTCTTGACCAGCCATCATGGCCGTCTTGCCAACCTGGAATCCCATCTGAGCAGTCGGATCGATCATGAACCCTCCAAAATTGGGCGCAAATGTACCGCTGCCCCCTTGAGCCGGAGCCGGCTGGTATGGATTGTCATACCCCGACTGAGAAGCTGGAGGCGGCGGTGAGCGCATCATGGGCACTGTCGAGACATGTTGCGGTACAGGGTGGTGAAGTGGAGGAGATTGCGCTGGAAGCGGAGCGAATGGCGATCGTTGCATTTTGACCAGTGAGTGACTGTAGGAAATTAATGAAAGAGACTGTCCGTGGCTGGTGGTGGTGGTGGTGATCCTGACGAGGATGCGAAGGGATAGGTGTCAAGAGGATAGATGGATCGTAGTATGGAAATGTTGATGTGTAGAGAAATGGCCTAAGCTTGTTAGGTAACCGCCCTACCTCAACGTGGCCCGTGAGCGGCGGCGCCTGCCTTAGGCCTAGAAGCTGCCCGCCACCCTAGAACAAATATCTGATCTTTCGAGGTCTCACATCAATCATACTTCGCACAATTATACAGTCGCGTACAGGATACATAGAAGATGCTGGACGCTTTTGAAATCATCACCACTTCTGGCGTGGTTCTGTGGTCCCGGTCGTACGCCCCGGTGGCCTCGCATATTGTCAACAGTCTTATCAGCGAAGTTTTCATAGAGGAAAAGGTCGCTCCCACAGATGGCGCCTCGACAGCTTTCAGGAAGGAGACCTACACATTGAAATGGAGAAGAGCAAAGGATTTAGGCTTGATCTTTGTGGTAAGTTGCCGTTCAATCCTGTTTCGTCACCCTGTCCTGAGTCTAACCTTGAATAATGTTTCAGGCTGTATACCAGTCGCTCCTTCACCTCAGCTGGGTGGACAAACTGTTGGACAATATTGCTATAATATTCGTGGATCTCTACAAGGACCAACTCAAAAGCACAAGAGCGAGGATATATGAGTATCCATTCGATAAATATTTCGATCAACAAATTCGCGAATTGGAGGATACTACTGGCCCTTCTATTGACGAGTATACCGGCTCATACGGTGACATAAAGAAGAATCCGCTGGTTGCATCCGATAACGGCGGTCCTCCTCCACCATCAGACGCTTCGCTTCTCATAGGTATGTCGCTGGATCTTATACTTGTTTAGTTATCCCTACTGACTCCTGAAAGCGCAGCAACAGGCTGCGCACCCCGCGGCGGCGACTTCCAACGAAAGCTCGCCAGTCGCTACACCGCAATCCTCCAGGCCCGGGACCCCCTCCACGAACCACCTCTTGACCGCGAAATCCGGCCCAGCTGGTCGAGTATCGCGACGCGCGCGCAAAGCAGCAAATGCCAGTGCAAACGTTTCTTCGGGAGATGAAAGTGTGCGAAAGGGAAAGACTGGGAAAGAAAAGAAGGCGCGAGTCTGGACCGCTGAAGGCCTCGCGGATGAGGATGATGGTGTCAACCTGGACTACTCGGTTGCTGCTGCGGATGAAGCAACCCCAGCGCCTGTAGTGGAAGCGGTAGCCCAGGATACATGGGGTCGAAAGACTGCCAAGGGACAATTTGTGTTGAAGGATCTCGGTGACGAGGTACACTCGATTTTAGAAAAGGCAGATTCTGAGAAAGCCAAATCCGGTGGCAGTAGTGGTATTGTCGGATCCAGCTTCGGTGCCATTGGAGGACTTTTCCGTAATATTGTGGGTGGAAAGACTTTAACAGAAGAGGATCTCGAGAAACCATTGAAAGCTATGGAAGATCATCTTATGAAGAAAAACGTCGCCCGTGAAGCCGCCCTACGATTGTGCGAAGGTGTGAAACAAGAACTTGTTGGAAAGAAGACAGCAAATTTCCAGAGCGTTGATGCCGCTCTACGAACTGCAACGGAAGCTTCTCTACGGAAGATCCTCACTCCTACATCATCTTTGGATCTGCTGCATGAGATCCAAGCCGTCACAGCACCCACCGCGAAGGGGCAAACCCCGCGCCCATATGTCATTTCTATTGTCGGCGTGAACGGAGTTGGCAAGTCTACAAATTTGAGCAAGATTTGCTTTTTTCTGTTGCAGAACAACTATCGCGTACTAGTAGCCGCATGTGATACCTTCCGATCTGGTGCTGTTGAACAGTTGCGCGTACACGTGAGAAACTTGACCGAACTCAGCTCTCGAGAGAATATAGGCGAGGTTGAGCTTTACGAAAAGGGATATGGCAAAGATGCTGCTAATGTTGCCAAAGATGCTGTTGCTTATGGGGCTGCAAATAAATTCGACGTTGTATTGATCGATACTGCCGGTCGTCGTCACAATGACCAACGTCTCATGTCCTCATTGGAAAAATTCGCGAAATTTGCCAACCCGGACAAGATCTTCATGGTTGGCGAAGCTCTCGTTGGCACAGATAGTGTTATGCAGGCGCGCAATTTCAACCAAGCGTTCGGGGCAGGACGTAATCTCGATGGGTTTATCATCAGTAAATGTGATACCGTGGGCGACATGGTAGGAACGCTTGTGAGTATGGTGCATGCCACAGGAATTCCAATTGTGTTTTTGGGTGTTGGTCAACATTATGGTGATTTGCGTGGTTTGAGTGTTCCCTGGGCCGTTGGACTTTTGATGAAGTGAGATGGAACTCGGCATATTTGATGTATAGCAAGCATGAGATATAATTCCCAATTGTCAGTATTTGAATATCATATTTAGATCTCATATCCAAACAGTACTATCTGTCAGCGCAATCATTGACGAATTGGCGCAAAATGCGTAAAGAACTTCTCCATAGCTAGTGTTCGTCCGAAAATGGCAATTGCTTGGATGGTGAAAAATTTCTATTCAGTCAGTGTGCATCTACCGTCACAAGCCCTAATTTCAGAAAAGATGAGCATTGCCTCATGGACTAGGAATGACTTTGCTCTACGTACATCAAGTTGATAATCTAGTCTTTACTATCCCTCTGATCGCTAGCGTGCGTATCTTGTTTCAGATTCCAATATCCATTAAATCCAACAACTTGACACAGCTTTGAAAAAATATAGCCTGAGGTGGCGGATCCGTCTTGAATTCTGCCTTCATTGCCGTAGAGTGTATCCTTGACACCTTTGATTTTCGCCGAGATGAGCGGAAAGGGATAGACAGCCATAGCAAATCCAATGTCTGCCAGCATCTGTGCGGATAGGTTTTCGGTCAACCCTCCCTTGATGATGATTGCCGTGAGAGGAACATGACTTGGTGGCTTTACAACGCTCTCCATGCTTGCGTGATCAGACAACGCCTCAATCAAAGCCATACCAGCTCCCAACTCTGCAGACTTGTCCCACTTTCGTCGCTCATCATCATTCGCCTTCAATTGTTCCTACTTGGTTTCTGTAGTTGAATAGAAATAAAAATCTGGGGTGATTTCGGGTTAGGGTTGGGCAGAGCAAAGGGAAGTCCTCTAAAGATTATTCTGCTTCGTCCAGACTCTTTGATAGAGTGCTTCTACCCAGGAACTATCCTCGAATTTAGGCCCAAGATTACGAAATTTTTGTTTTTGAATTACTAGCAGCAAGGAACTAGTGGAGACGGATTCTTGTAAGTGGAAAATGCTTCCATGCTAATAATACCAGGTATTCACAAAGGAACATCTGTCCCCGTAATCCTCTTGAAATCAGCAGCAAAGTATTGCCACACCTTCTCTGCAGTGCCATCCTTCCTGAAAGTTGCCAGTAGTTCCTCAACCTTTGGCGAGGCAACCTCACATTTATTGCTAACCGAGTAGACACCGCTGCCGGGTTTACCGTCAGTACCCCTGGCCGTCGTCAAAATGCCATGCAACGGCACTCCGGCATGTGCCGCGCCTTGCTGACCTGGTGGGTAGACAGCACTGGTAGCTACAAAGGTGTGCCTCTCACCGGACTCATCAGGTGAAGTAGCAATCAGAGGCATGAGTAATTTTGCAATAGCGATCCGAATCGCCATACCTGTTCCCTCAGAATCACGAAAGATGCCGCTTTTGACGACCCCTGGAACGGTATGGACAAAACTGACTTCGGGAGCACGTTTGGCCATTTCTTCGAGTAAAAGAGTCTGAATCGAGGCTATTTGGTTACGCCAAGGTAGCAAGGGGATGCCTACACCCGGGATGTTACTTAGATCGATGGATCCCTCGCAAGTGGCAGCGCCGACGCTGACGACTCGACGGAGGTGATCTGCTTTGCGGAGGAGAGGGAGGAGGTTGAGGATGAATCGTATGCGTGAGTGAATGCCGACAGCAATAGCGAAGGGGAGGCCCTCGGATGTTTCTACAATGATCAACCATGTGAGTGGAAATGTAGGGTTATGAACATACTCTTTTCAAAAGCCATAGTTCCTTGCGTCTCAAACAGAATATTGACCTTCGTTTCCTTGCTCTTGAGTTGGTTGCAGACTTCATCCACATTCTTTAAGAGGCTGATATCGGCCTTGATGAACTCGAACTTTCCCCCTCTGTTGAGCTGTGTGCACTCCTCGATGATGCGGTCCGCGGACACTTGAGACCGGCCAACAAGGTACACTCGTGGACTAACAGCATACTTAACGAATGCTTTGAGTGTGTATTCGCCAACACCACTGGTCCCTCCGACAAAGACTGCCACAAGGCCAGGTGGAAAGGTAGAGGCAATACGCTCATTGGAGGCAATGGCTTCGGGTAGGCTGATCATGTTCGCGAGCAAAGTCTGTTGTGATGGGCGAGCGATGGTATGTTTGAAAGAAATAGAAATCCAGAGGAGCTCAGGATCTTTATACCTAAATCAGGATCATCATATGTGTCAATAAACCGATAACTCCGAAGTTTGCACTAAGCCGGAAAGAGCGATACGAGGCATTAATAGAAATCTCGAAGTAGTCGTTTTTTGCATTGAAAAGGCTTCCTAGCAGACTATTAGTCTAGACTTTGTTGAATGAAGTGCAAATGAACTTCATTCGCGCGAGGTTGCTTCCTCCGCCTGCGCTGTTGTCCGCCTCATCAGCCAATCTTTCAGCGCAATTTCCGACACTCTCGCCCGTTTGTGAATCCACCAGCATTCATTCGCTGGGATCAAAATTCTCACAGCACGATAAAAATGAAAGAGTAACAAAAGCGCATGAGAGTTCCCTTGCTGGATCATAGAATTGAATGGACCATGACATGTTATTGGAAATTGGTGTATATGTTTTAAGAGTTCAGATGTCATAGAAGATCTCCGGTCAATGTTGGCCGGGGGAAGCGATTCTGGGAGAAAGGACAGGATAACACAGAGCCGAGTGATGATGGGTTTAAAGCAATCGTCGATCGGGTTTGCAACTTCTGTAATGTTTGGGGCAGAGCTTTGCCACCGTTTTGAATCAACAAGATGCGTGCCCTGAGCATGTGATATCGGAGGATTGAATGAATTTGCACTGAGTGGACGCTCATACAAAAAGATAGTCTGATATGCGGTTAACATGCTGTTGCTGATTTCGGCTGTCTTCATAAGGACATTCATGGAATCATGCCGTATGTGTGGCAAGAAAGCTGACGGCTGATCGCCTAGAATCGGGAGACAGTTGAGAAACATTTTCTTCAAGCTTGAACAAAAAGCAAAAATTCGGTCTTTTGGCATGTCAAATGATGTTGAGCCGTCTGGAGAGGATGAATATTCATCGGTGCTGGTCCAGATCTCATACTGTAATAAGAGTGAAGTCGCTATGAATGCGTCAATGTGAGTCGATTTGAAATCCCAAGACAATTTGTGACGAAACTGAGACAGGGCGCGGCCCAAGTGAGCAGAGGCAGTTGTTGAGTATGACGTGTGTTCCGGCATTAGTACGGACAAATGCCGCGCAGAAACACATAAAATAGCGTTTGCTAAGAAGTCGAATTGAAATGAGAGCTGCAACGCCTGTTCCCACACCCCAGGAGCGAATAAGAGTGTCTGGATTGTGTGGGTTTGGAAATGGTGATATAATTGTAGATGTAACAGATTGACTTCGCTTTCTTTTGATTGTAGCTTCAGAGATGGAGCACTAGGATGTGTTGGAGGGATCGGCAGTAGCTTTTTCCATTGTACAATGCGTTGACAGTGTTGTCCTCGTCGGACGCAATTAGCACAGGGGTCATCTTCGTTGCACTAAAACTAATGAGTCTACAAGTGTCATATCTTCGTATACAACGAGCAGTTAACGAACCTTCACTCGCCGCTTCTTACAATTCTCGCATCCTCGATTCGATTTTCGATGTATTCGACGCTGCCTGGAAGGATCCCCAACGGTTTTAGGAACCTCAGAGAGGATCTTTTCAGAGTCCGACGTGGAGGATAACCAAAATGTAGCTGTGGAGCACTCAAATGAGGATATAGATGAAGCTTCAGCCAATGCCATAGCTGGAATATATTCGGACTCGACTGAGCAATCTACAGAATATCATGGTTGAACGGAAGAGCAGCAGCTAAAAAAAAGAAGAGGTTGCAGGAGGAAGAGACAACATGAAGAACGGAGATAGGTGATAAGAGCCCAGAGAGCGCGCTAATCTGTTTACGGCGATACGAGGTGGATCCAGCCCTAATTAGCTCTAAATGGCCCTCTCTGTAATTACTACCACCGGGAAGACTAGATGAAACTATAACAGAGGCAAGCTCTACTTGACAGATGTAGCAAACTAAGCAAAATTGATATTCATATCAATGTCATTTTCATAGGTCATTCGGCAACTAAGAATACGCCCATGTACGCGCCGACCTTGTAGTGAGCTACGGATTGTCTTTGGTTGGACTTTCATACTACTAAAATCTACTCGTTAATTGTGGATTTATTATTTTGATACTTGTGTTGATATTAGCAAAACAGTCATTCGAATGTAGCTTCTTGATCAAATTTGTTCAAAGGACCTAGAGGTACTCTCAAATCCTATTGATAATAAATGAAATCAGAGACAATTTTAAGGATACCACTTCACAATATTAGGTAGATGCTCCGCAATCGACTGCTCCAGAGACGTCCATCCATCCTGTCCAGTCCACTTTTTCAGAATCACCAGAGATTGTTCATCGTCTGCTGTTATCTTGTACGCTTCAAGACCGGGAATCTCGTCGATGAACTGTCGGTCTGGACAGAGTCGCCGCATAATGGCCACAATATCATTCCAGCTGCAGGGTTGTCCCCAACCGATGAGACGCGCGTTTTTGACATCGGGGTCTAGTACTGCCGCGACGTGAAGGATTGCGCAGTCTCTGACGTTGTGTGGAATAGCTAATGTAAATAACATACGTTAGCTCATGACTGTTATTGGGAAGAAACGAAGGATTACTCACGTCCGGGCATTGTAAGTATTGCTGCAACTGCATCCGGTTTTCCTTCATATAGAATCCTAAGAAACATATGTCCGAGCTCAGCATGACTTTTACTGAGGCACTCCCCCATAATCGTTGCCGGAACGACGGAGTTGATCGTGAAGTGAGGGTGTTTCTCATTCGCAAATTCCCAAACAGCCTTCTCAGCCTGTGTCTTGCTCGCTGCGTACACAGTAAAAGCACGAATAGGCTCATAAGGTGGAGGAGCCCAGGCTTGTTCAACTGCTTCATTGTTCCACGTATTTGCAGTGAGTCGAGCAGTATCGCCTAGCTGGGGTGAGATCATAGCGGCGACGGACGAGGTGTAGACAAATTGTTTCACCGATGGCTCCTTCGTGGCTGCCTCCAAGAGTGACTTGGTGCCTGCGACGACTTTCGGTATCACATTGTTGGGGTTGGGATCAAAGCCGATTGTCGCGATATGGACAATGGCAGATACACCCTTGACGGCTTCGTCAAAGGCATGTGGTGCCGCTAGATCGGGTACTTGGACGGACTCAAAGTTGCTCTTGTCCGCGTCTGTCTTGAAGAGATCCTGAACAAGCCAGGCATATTTGTTGAGGTCTCGAACGGTGCCTCTGACTTTGTACCCACGCTGGAGGAACTCTTTGACGACGTGGGAAGCTAAAAAACCACTCGCACCAGTTACGAGGATCCATGAGCCCTTGGGAATCGTGGTCTGGATTTCGGTAATAGTCATGATGATAAATTATAAGGAAATGAGTTCCTAAAGTTTGATTCGAATGTTTCTATGAATGACATATTGCTCGAGTTCTGCAGAAAGCTAGAGGTATTTATAGAGATTCGTAGACTAATCTCCAGTAATTCTAGGCTCAACCAGCCATGTACGGACGAAATATCACCGGTCATGATCGAACTTCTAAGATAAAAACTTATTATCACGTTATTGCTTTCAAAGCAAAAGAACGAAGTTATCGAAAACGGGGCCGATTAGGGCTAATGAATTGAGGTTAGTATGAATCGGGAAGGAGTAAGATGCCAAATTAAGAAGGCAGAACTTGAGTGGGGTTTGTCTTTCCAATGTCTGAAACCATATACTTTATATTTCGACTCTTATTGTACGTGAATTGGGACAGTAGCTCCCTTGTGTGGACTGAGGATGTGATAATCCGTCCAGATCGAGGATAGAGCATGTTTCATGAAGCCTCCACAACCCAGAGTCTGCGGTCCACCGTTACGCCTCACTATTTTAGAAATACCCTCTAGATGAGCTTTACACAATTCAAGATCTCCAAATTTAAGCTGAAAATCGAGAGCCTTTCGTCAGCATTAATCAGGATTCATAACCGGATACATTTGCATGCTCACCTCGTCCGATGCTAGCATCATCACAGTTGCAATAGTCTCCTCGCTGATTGTTGATGCTCCGTCCACCTCCACGGAAAAATCCTTGTTCAATTTCTGTAGGCACGAAACTTTGTATTGTAGAGCTAGTTGCTTGTAATGTTGTCTCTGATCCGGCTGCAACTGCGCAACTCTAGATAAATGGCGACAAGCAATTAGAAACATACTGTCCAGAGAGTCACCTCGGCGGACTGTTAGTCGTGTCCATTCTTCAGTCATAAGCTTGCGATATTCTTCCGGATCCAACAGGCGATTGCACTCATTACTTTGTAACGGAATGACTACTTGAGTGTCTAGTACATTTTTTTTGTAAGGCCTAGCCATATATGGTAGTATCATGGGAAAAAACCAACAATGATCAAGAAGATAGTGCTCTGCTTCATTGAATGTCCTTGCGAGGCTATTGAACGGATCACTCCGAGCCGAGGACAAAAGGCTCTGAGGGTGAGAGCCACGCTCCACCATGATCGTATCAGTAATTCCAGGTCCATCGGCTTGTCGAATAGTATATGCTTGATTGTCTAAGACTGTCGTTCTTGCTTTATCAGCGGAGCATTTTACAAGACGAAAGCGTGGTCTCTTAGCATGAGCTACGCGAGCGGCATGGGCGTAAGCTCGCTTCCGCGATGCAGACTCTGGACGGTTCGAGGGATTAGAGTGGATGAATTGGATCTCGTAGGGCATTGTTGAGGTGGTTGTATGACTTTTGCAGTCCTAGTAAGATGATGAATTATCACAAACGATTTTATTTTGTTGGGGTTGGTGCAAGATATGCTAAATTGATCAGACATTTGTCAGCATTTAGTCCAAAAAAGGAAATTTACTCCTGCCTATTCGGGCAAGGTCAACTTGCATAGCCCTAATTTCGACCGAATTCGAGCGCTTCGCAATTGTCCTTTCAATGACTATCTTTCAACTGGTCTTGAGAATTCCTTGTGGAGTTTTACTCGGAAAGCGATTGCCTTTTTGCTTAAGTCATTGCTTTACTCTACTGACTGATATGATAAGTCTGGCTGTTTGAAGCCGCTCGAGTCACGGTATCAAAAAAAAATAGAGACGTCGGGAGTAGTTCTCATGGCAAGTACTTATTCCAAGTAATAGCCTCATATTTACATCCTATGAACTGAAACAGTTACTGTATTCAGCATTAAAGACGTACAGGCTGGACTCCAATCGAGCTGTCAATATGTCCGCCTGCGACCAGGGATCTGGGACACGGACGACGCTCAATGAAGTCACTTAGATTTGCAAAAGTGACATTGGCGATTTCTGTCAGCGCTTCTTTGGTAAAAAACCCCTGGTGGCTGCAAATGAGGACGTTTGGGAAGGTCAACAAGCGCATCAAGACGTCATCGTCAATAATCTTTCCCGAGTGGTCGGTGTAGAATAACCCCCTCTCGGCCTCATACACATCTAGTGCTAGTCCACCGAGGTGATGCGACTTGAGGGATTCGAGAACTGCTGTTGAGTCGATCAAACCGCCGCGTGATGTGTTGACTAATAGGGCGCCTGGCTTCATTATAGAAAGTGTCTTCGTGCTGATCAAATGGCGCGTGGAATCAGTAAGTGGGCAATGAAGGCTGACGATATCGGATTCTGCCAATAGTTGCTCGAGACCAACGAATGAACCGTACTGTGCAAAATCGGGATTTTCATTAACATCGTACGCTAGCATCTTGCACCCAAATCCGTTGAAAATGCGGGCAGTTGCTAGACCGATTCGTCCAACACCAACGATTCCAACAGTTTTTCCGTTGAGCGTGGTTCCTATGAGGCCCTCGATGTTGAAGTTGCTCTCGCGTACCCTGTTGAAGGCGCGATGAGTCTTACGATTTAAAGTCTGAACCAATGCAATGGCAAACTCAGCAACAGCTTCAGGTGAATAGGCCGGAACGTGAGCAACAAACAAGCCTAGTTCTCCGGCCGCGACAAGATCGACGTGATTGAAACCGGCGCACCGGAGAAGAATAGCACGGACTCCATTGGTGTGCAGTATCTTCAGAGTATCCTTCTCAAGTGTATCATTGACAAATACACATACAGCATCATAGCCTCGCGCCAATGGTGCTGTTTCTGAGTTCAAAGCGAAATCCAAATATTCAATGTCATATAGTGTTTTATGGCTTTCGGAGGCTGCGATGTCAAAGAAGAAACGATCATACTGCTTAGCGCTGAATACAACAAGTCTGAATTTCGTTGCCGATTCCATTGGATATAATTTTGGCGTTGTACTTTGATTGAACAAGTTTCTTGCTATGCGTTGGGCTAAGAGGATGGGGATATCAGGTCGAAGCCCGAGGTTGGTGAGCTACCCTCGTCACATGCGCTATCAATGACAAGCAACACAATATTGGTGGTACTGGGTTCTAGAACCAAATGAGGTATGGTGAAAATGGCATGAGGGACAATAATATTGCTTGGCAATTGCTAGAAAAAGTCGTATTTCCGTTTGCGGCTACCTTTGAGCTACACACCCCAGATCTTGGCTTCTTTACTGGACGATCGATTTAGAACCCTGTAAGCGATCATCACATAATGATCTGGGCTCTGGTCTCTAATATTGAAGTTAGTAAGGAAATATTTGTATCAGGTGGAAGGGTAATAACAGGAAACCAGGAAAGTCTCCAATCCCTCCCTGTCTTGATGTCATCCACTCTAGATGACTCTCATGCCGTCGCCAAAGCAGGCTTAGTTATTCGGATAACAATGAATAATTAGTAAAATAGTCATTTACAGAGATCATAACAATGCACTTTCATGCTTCATTCGATACTATCCGATTGACAAACAACCAACTCATCTGTCATTTGCAGCATGTCAGTACATCAGGCGCTTGGATTCGACCGGCATGAGTCCGTCTTTCAGCATGACCAAGTGAAAAGCCATTTGGTTAGGTGTGATTGGTCTGGGCCAACCATTGATGTTAGTGTTCTGTCCAGCTCTATTTGCCCATGCAACCCGAAGCTGATCTGAAGATAGACTTTGTACGCAGGAATAGCAGGTACCTTTGCAGACGGCAAATCTCAAATTGGGATAGCGCTACGTAATGAAACATACCTTCTCGACTTTTTGGAGCAAGAATTCGAAGGATCGGACTCAGAGATCGTAATATGTGATTTTATTCTTACAGAGCTCCAGAACTACAGCAACATACACGCCGAAAAATTACTTGGAGCCGCACTTTCCAAGTCTTTTCATCAACACTGCCCATCTCTTTGTCGGCGTCTGTGGCTGGAGCTGGACATTGTGCCAATCTTGTTACATGAGGAACCAGGTACGGAGCGTACAGTGGGTACAGAAGCTGTCACGCATCCGAATGGTAAGGAGATCGATGAGCAAGCTGAATCGGTGTCCCGGAAGTGCATTAGGTACTGATAACCCAGTTGATCTGCTACGTCTTGTCGGCTAATGTTTGTGTATCCAGATTTTTTGGTCCAAACAAACTGCCTTTTCTCCATGTCGATTTTCTCGGGGCGGTGGAAGTGGATTCCGGGTTCCATATCAACATTGCAGATCTTGAATCATTCTCACGAACAGTGAGACCCAAGACTTGGTCGGGTGTCCAGCACTATGTGAAGGACTTGACGAGTCGAAAGGTTAAGATTGCTTTTTTCAGTGCGACACCCCAAGGTGGCGGGGTCGCACTCATGCGCCATGCACTTGTACGATTAGCACATCTTCTCGGTGTCGACGTCAAATGGTAGGGTTATCTAATATACAAGGCCAGAGAGATCCTTATTAATTGATTATTTCAGGTATGTACCGAAACCACGACCGGGTGTCTTCCGCATCACCAAAACCAACCATAATATCCTTCAAGGAGTTGCCGGGCCCCATGAGCGACTGGGCGTGCACCAGCAACGAATACTGACGGATTGGATTGAAGACAACGCTCACAGGTATTGGACACGGAAGGGCGGACCTCTAACTCGACCCTCTGAAGGCGGTGCTGATGTTATCATTATCGATGACCCTCAGATGCCTGCTTTGATACCCATTGCGAAACAGGCAGATCCAATCAGACCCGTGATTTATCGCAGCCATATTCAGATGCGGAGTGATTTGATTTCAACGCCTGGAAGTCCTCAATCAGAAGTATGGGATTATTTGTGGTCTTACATTAAGCTTGCGGACATCTTTATCAGTCACCCAGTAGCTTCATTTGTTCCACGCAGTGTTCCCCTAGCAAAGCTTGGATACATGCCAGCATGTACAGATTGGTATGATCTTCTATAAGTGCTTCACATTAGGATGTACTAATTGTTGGACAGGCTCGATGGACTGAACAAAGATATGAGAGACTGGGATTATGCTTACTATGGACGTATCTTCAACCACGCTTGTCGAAACGCTGGAATGCCACCAATCAATTATCCAGATGGTAAGTCATCTTAAACCTGATATAGATAAGGTCTTGTGTTGACCTTTCATGTTCGTTGTGCAGATCAGTATATCGTTCAGATCGCTCGGTTTGACCCATCGAAAGGGATCATCAATGTATTGAAATCATACAAAGAGTTTCGACGCCTACTAACCCAGCACTCCACTAATGTACGGTCGCCCAAGCTTCTGATATGTGGTCATGGTTCAGTAGACGACCCTGATGGATCTCTTGTCTACGATGATGTCCTGAAGTGGATTAGGCAGAATGCATCTGCTCTGTCTGACGATATCACCGTCATGCGTCTTGGCCCATCCGATCAGGTCCTGGATACTTTGCTATCCAATTCAAGGATTGTATTACAACTATCGGAGCGTGAAGGGTTTGAGGTGAAAGTTTCTGAGGCTATTCACAAAGGCAAGCCCATCATTGCCACGAGAGCAGGCGGTATTCCTCTGCAAGTTGAAGACCAGGTAAATGGATTTTTAGTAGACGTGGGCGATGTGCAAAGCGTGGCAAATCACTTGCTCCGATTATGGACCGATTCCGACCTGTACGAACGAATATCTTCGTGTGATTCTTCGTATCGCGTAAGCGATGAGGTCAGCACCGTTGGACAAGCTCTCAATTGGTTTTATTTGTGCTCATTATTGTCTCAAAATATGAGTTTGGAACCGAAGGGACGCTGGATTCACGATCTCGCCCGCGAGTCTTTGGGACAAGAATACACCAAAGCAGATGGGAAGCTGAAGCGAGCTGTGGATGAAACCGTTTTGTCAGTCTAAAGAAGAGTGTAAATTGATCTCTATCCCAAATACTTGGAAGAATTTGAATAATTTTTGTTTAAAATTTGTATTCTCATTAATTTTGTTTGTTTATAGCAACAATGAAGCAATCATTATAACATTGAACCCAATCTGGAATCACCACCTTCCATATCACATGCAAGCTGATATATATCAACAGCCTATCGGAAAAAGGACCCTGTTGTCAACAGCAAGTCATTCGTCAGAATCGAGAAGAAAGAGTTCAAGGCTTGGTTAATTTTGCGCAAATAGAAGGATAATTCGCTTGACTCAGTTCTCTGCCAATTTCTTCCAAGGTTGCTTATGAGTGAAATGATGATTCATGAACTCGGGCCAGAGCCAATCCAAAACATTGTTAGATGAATACTTTCCACAGATCCTAGTCCTGGGAGCCTATGAGAGAGCTTGAAGTATTCGCCACTTGGTACCAAAGAATGGTTCAAGTATAATCAAGCTTGTAGCTATCACACCACTCTCATGTCCGCATGCGGCCTATCTTCCCGTTATATGAGTTCAACGAGCCCTAAATATCCTCAAAGGCTTTTTTCTATTCTACTCATACTAAGGACGTATTTTTGAGGAATAAATACGCAAATAATGGCTATCTCTGCACTTGCAGCCCGCACGGTCAGCTCGTTCTGCCGCGCCATCGCGACAATCAGTGCAATCATTGTATTGGGCATAACTGCATGGGCTGTCCAATCGGACAAATCAGTCACGGTCATCTATACCCTGGTCATTGTAAGTTATTGGTGGCCTTTCTTTAGAGTTTCAGAGGGTGATAGAAAGCTGACCATGACATAGGCCACTCTTACAGTCTTTCTTGTCTTTCTGCTTTTGGGTATCGGGTTCTTTACCTACAAAAAACCAATTTTCCATTCAATCAGCTTTGTGCTCGAACTGTTCCTGGCATTTACGTAAGTGCTGCTCTTTCGATGAGATGGAATCAGCCAGAGTCAAGGGAATAATGTTAAGAGAGCGTTCTAACCAGTAAACATGAACAGGTGGATTGCTGCATTCGTTCTCGTGATCAACAATTGGGAACGTGTCAGCTGCAGGGTCAATCGATGGCATGGAGTTGTGGTCTGCTCTCGGCAACACACTGTTGAAGCTTTTTCATTCATCGCATTGTATGTTGACATCTATGGATCTGAGCACACTTCTCCCGATGTCAAACGTGTTTTGAACCTTACTAACCGTCTCCAGTTTTTTCACCCTAGTAGCTTCCATATTCAGTTTCCTCGCATTTTACGCATTGACGACAGATAGTTTTGGGCGAGACACGACACGCAGAGAAAAACCGACTGCATCTCAAGTCGAAGCAGGGGCAATCCCAGAGACACACGCCAACAACGGACATATTAATAACGGGCAAATCGACAACGGACATATCAATAACGGACACGTCAATAACGGTCATGTCAATGACGGGGTACCATCAAACAATGTTATATGAGAGGAAGCCGATTGCTCGTACGGGAAGAGAGATCTTCTAGCTCAAGACTCAATCAGAAAAACGAGGTTGAATCCCTTATAACACACCGTTACATGATCTTTATGTTAATATTGAGTCGGGCAGTCTACAAGTATATATTGTTTGCGAGGGAGTTTCTTCTTTTATGAATTCGGTTATGTTTGATTTATTTATAAAAGCAAAAAGCTAAAAATGACAACATATATGATGAGAAATTGTCGATTAGCATTCTCCAAACGCCGATACTTAAATAGTTCTGATGCGCCTGGACTAATAGTGCCAGTTGAATGGGAAGTAGAATGATGGTATCATCACTGAAGAAGATAGCCTAATTATAAATAACAGCCTGTAAACCAGGAATAATTTCCAAATCTTTGGACTTGTAAGTATACTTTCCATCATCTGTAATCTTCACATCGCGATTTCGTCTCTGTTGTTGCGTCTGTCGGACTTTGACCCATTGCTCAGTGGTGAGATGTTGACCTAGTTCTGTGAATGCATTCTTGGTGAGACCTAGACGGTTGAGAACGGGGCTGTTCTGGATTGGATCTAGGACTACGTGGTTGTTGGGTCTACAATAGGTTAGCAAAATTTGACCTAATTTGTAAACGGAGAGAGGCGGACGAACCGAGCGAAGTATAAGACTCCCAGACGATCAACGTGAGCCTGATCCTGTGGCGGAGCATGTACACGGTGAATACTAGACTTTACGAACCCACTCGTAAGCGCAGTGAGAGCGTCACAAGTATTAATCGTAATAGTGCCATCCTGCGGACGAACCCATTTCCATTGACCCTCCGAGTTGAGGATTTGAAGCGCAGCAACGGGTTGTCGGAAGAGTAGGGTTATAGTTCCCAGGTCAGTGTGTCCAGGCGAGTATAGTTCGCCTACTTTTTTGTTGTCCTCGGCGCTGCGTGCGGCGTAGTGCATGTAACGAAGGTGATCTTCTCCTTGGATGTCGTATTGGTGGTCACGCACGAGTTGATCTTCGTCGGGGAGTTCAAGAAGGATGGCGAAGAGGCGGAGGAGTTTTTCGACTACTTCTGTGTGGCATTTCTGGTTCATATTTAGTATCAAACTATTGATATTACCTTTGGGGTACATACACGACTGAAAGCCTCAATCTTGGCAATGTGTTTTTGGAGCACTTCAGGTTGTGCCCTATAGTGATGTCCGTCGAACTTGGGAATGTTGTACACTTGGACGTTGTCTCGGATACCATTTCCAAGGCTAGAGAGTCAGTTACGTTCATTCATTTGTCAATAGACAAAAAGACTTACATGCGATGTCCAGCAGGTCTGTAACCATTATACTCTCCTCTCGCGAGATCGTCGGCATTGTGAAATTTGAGCTTCTCCTCCAGAGGGAGACCGTAAAACTCTCTTCCTAGAGCGAATTGAAAGTCGACCTCTTCCTGGCTGATGTTGAAGTTTTTGACATAGAAGAAGCCTGTCGCAAGATCAGTATTGCTCTTTTACGAGCACCATCAGGAGGTTACAGACCGACATGTTGTACCGCGTGATCAAGTTGTTTGACGAGCTGCTCTTTACCACCGGGTTGATCATACAGGCTCAGATCAAGGGTGATGAGCTCAGCCCAGTCAACTGTAATCGAAAGTTTTGTTAGTAATTATCCAGCTCGTAGCTATGTACATAAGAACCTACGATCTTCTTTTGTGACCGGGACATGGTCGTACTTCTCAAGCGATGTGTCCGGCATACTGTGGATTGATTCGGATTTTGATTACAACTTCAAGTTTGTCACTCTCTGATAGATGATCCACAGCCAAAAAGTAAACACTGTGTGCGTCCTTTATACATAATAATTTGTTCTCTCGATCTATTCGGATAGTTTTACCCCTCACCTCCTCATATGCTCCAAAATATTAACCTAAAGCTAATAGGCCATGAAGCACGCAATCACCATGTTATCTGAGGTTACAGCGGCTTAGGACTTTGTGTCAACACACCACTGAAATACACTTGCCTCCATATGGCAATTCAGTTCGGAGGACTGCCGATAAGTTTAAAAACCCCCCGAAAACCCTCCGAGAACCCTGAACAATTGAAAGTGGAGAGGAAGATCTACGTACGGACGACATTTGAGTATCGAGTTAAAGCACGGTATGGCGCCGAGAAGCACACCATCTGTTAGACACAAAGAAAAATTCTTAAAAAGTGGAAATCCATCAATTTGGTGTATCTTGTGTCGAGAAAAAATGTATATCACTGAAAATATCGGGAAATATTGGCGGTTATTCTTGCATATGTCTATCAGCTCTAGGCTATAATGTGCATATAAAACTCCACCAAAAAATGACGCGATATGCCATGATAACACGCAACATGTCTGTTCATGCAAAGTCTGTATATGTCCTGCTCTATATGAACAACACGGGATGTCGAGTTCTCCTCTGTGTGAAGATCATGAAGAGAAATTCGACAAGATTCCTAGATCATGTCTGAAATCAAGCCAAAACAGCCCAAGCTAACTCTCTTCGGAGTGATTAAAGAGATCTTCAATTGGTATCCGGCAGAATATCCTTCTCATGAGAGAAAGTAAGTTGACTTGCCACACTCAGAAAGAAAGAGTAATGCTAAGGTGATTTCTCTCTAGGCTATTGTTCAAGTTAGATGTATCGATTTTAGTATTTGCGTGTCTCTGCTGTAAGCTTTTTTTCTTCTTACTTTCAATCCGGGCAAAGCTAATTTTCCTAGTCTTCGTCAAGTATTTAGGTACGAATATGACATTAGACTCATGCCAAATCAAACAAACTAAAAACAACAGACCAGACAAATATCAGCAATGCCTACGTCAGCGGCCTCAAGGAAGACTTTAGCCTCAACGGCAACCAGCTGAATTACTTCAATGTGTGTTACTATACTGCATACGTCGTGTTCCAAGTACCTGGTCTGCTCTTACTATCTCGACCAAAGCTGTACGTCTTTAGCTTTTTTTTTTTTCCTTCCTAAATACTTACTGATGAAATCGGCAGTGCTCGCTGGTTGCTCCCCACCCTCGAAGTCCTCTGGGGTATCTGTACCTTTGCGCAGAGCCGAGTAACAAATGCAAACCAACTCTATGCACTCCGCTTCCTGGTCGGTATGCTCGAAGCCCCCGTCTTTGCCGGGACGCATTTCATCCTTGGTAAGTCCTCCCAACACCACAGTAAAAGTACGTATGTAGCTAATTGTCAACCACAGGATCATGGTACTCCGGCCCCGAACTCTTCAAACGCGCCGGCATGTGGTTTATCTGCAACCCGTTGGGTAGTATGGTCAGCGGCTACCTCCAGGCAGCCGCATACACCAACCTCTCCGGCGTCGGCGGCATGCCCGGCTGGCGCTGGCTTTTCATTATTGACGGTATATTCACCATCCCCGTTGCACTCATTGGCTATTTCGTGTTTCCCGGTATACCGGATTCGCCAAAGCCCTTTTATCTGACCGATGAGGATATTGCGTTGGCCAAGGAGAGGTCGAAGAGATTCAAGATTCGAAGGCCCGGGAAATTGGATTTGGATGTTTTTAAGAGGACGGTGAAGAGGTGGCATATTTGGATTTTTGTGTTTTGCTACATGTACGTTCCCCCTCTTCTTGCTATTTCATGGAAGGTTGCTTACGAGAACAGTTGCATGATTATATCCTCCTATCCATTCAGCTACATGAACCTCTGGCTCAAGGCCGAGGGCACATACTCGGTGGCCCAAATCAATAAACTGCCCACGGTGACATACGGCGTTCAGATTGTAGCCTCGTGGCTGGGAACGACACTTGCGGCGGTGTATCCTTCTTGGGTGATATTCGGTATTGCTAGCGTTTGCTGTTTGTTTTCGACTCTGTGCATGATTATATGGAATATTCCTACTGGATTGAAGTATGTATTTTCCCCCTTGATAGACCCCGCTGCTTGCAAAATAGCTGACATTTGAGAAGATTTTTCGCGTGGTATCTCTTCGGCCTAACCGGCTGTCTAAGTCCAATTCTTTATTCAACCGTGAACAGTATCGTCAAGAATGACTCCGAGGAACGCGCCCTGATATTGGTATGCTGACCCGCATCCTGTTCTATAGATCCGAACTGACAAAGATAGGGCTCTATGATGACAATCGGCTATTCATTCCAGATCTGGGTGCCGCTCTTGATCTTCCCCACGGCCGGTCCTTACGGTGCTCCGCGATGGAAGAAGGGATGGCCTGTGACGTTTACGTTCTTGTCGTTGTTGTTGATTGGGTTTATTACTTCGCTTGTTCTGCATCGAAGGTGAGATGATCATCCTGTTGAACGATGACATGGGACTAATATGATATAGGGAGACTAAAAAGACGGCGATTGACGCGTCTTCGGACGTCGGAAGTAACGACGAAGAAGATACAGGAGAGATCGTCGTTAGCGAACAGTATGACAAGCGATGATTTGCATGATGGCAGTCTAGTACATATACATGACCTCTTTCAAATATGAAGAATCCTTTGACCCGCCCAGCCAATATTCTAAAAACCACCCTTTCTCTTCCCAGTCCTCTTCACGAGATGATCAATAACACACCCATTCTCCCACCCCTCACTCTTCTCCCCCGTAATCGCTTTGCACCGCGGACAACTCTTCCCATGCCTGATCAACAATTGATGCAACGCATACTTCAAATGATCCGGAATCCGAACCTCCAAATGACTAAAAGCCATAATTTCGGTGACCTTTTTCGTGTCTGACGATGGTAACCAGCCTAGCCATTTACATATGCGAAAGATATGTGTATCGACAGCGAAACAAGGGCGCTGGAGGCAGAATAGCACCACGCAAGCGGCGGTTTTGGGTCCGATGCCAGGGTATTTGATGAGTTCAAGCATTGCCTCTTCTTTGTCCAGAGCATGAATCCAGTCCAGAGACAACACATTCTCATCTTTTAGTGCGATCTCTACTTCTTTCTGCGCCTTGGACTCGTGGTCTGCACCAGCCGTCCCGGAGGTCCCAGGTTCCTCTTCCGATTTTAGATGCGCCGCCTTGCGAGCCAAATTCTCTTCATAGACCATACTCAAAATCTCCTTGATGTATTTGCTCTTGGTAGTCGCCAGACCACCACTCTTCATCGCCTCAAACACTTCCTTAATAGGCGCAATGCGCACTGCGTTCCAGTCCACGCTCCCCTTTCCGATACCGCTTTCAAGGATGCCGAATCTTTCGACGAGACCCTTGAACGCTCGCGCAGAGTTGGCACCTGTAGTGGCACCGCTGAGGAGAGTGCGGATCAATGCGTCTAGTACGGAGGGAACTTCGCCACACCCAGTTACTGTGAGTGACGGCTGAGGCACTTTGGTCGGAATTTTGACTTCTCCATGCACAGTTGATAAAAGTCGATTGACTTCCTCGCATTCCTGGGCTGTGGGATGTGGAAAATCCGGAAATGGACTGACTCCGGGTGTTAGGCCGTATTTAGCAGCGGCTTTTTTAATTTTTTTGGCGAGATCAACATCTTCTGTTTCAGCTTCTTGTGACCCATTTTCCAGTTTGATTCGTTTTGTTTGAGGTTGAGATGCTGTCTTGGTCTTGATATCCTGCGGGACGTCCAGTGCATCCCGGGTGATTTGTGTAGCGGGCTTGCCAAGATTGTGGGGAAGTGCATCGATATCAATCTCATGAATAGCAGACTTCCTTCTTTTCTTCGATGCATTAGTCGACTTTGAGACTGGAAAGGAAGACTTGAGTGTTGAGGATGTCGATTCTTGAATCTTGTTCTTTGATGTTGCTTTCGTTGGTTTTACATGCGCTGCAGGCTTGTCGGACGTCGTCGTCGACATCATGGAGCGAGTAACCCGCATTTTGGTGTAGCTCAGATAAATACGAAACGGAAGCGCTTTTATTAGGAGAATTTTGAAATGCCAGATGCAAAGATCTCTGGACTGAGGAGGGGTGGTTGAGGAAGAACGAGATGTAGCCAGGCTAAGTTATGCTTAAAGGGGTACCGCGACAATGATGTAATAGCCGTACCTCGATCCATGAACCCCTTCCATTCGATAATCGATGTCTACGCCGTTCTCCTGATCTCTACAATTTACATACCATACCGATGAAAAATTAATTGACAGCGAAATGCAAATTCCAGTAATTGGGTCAATATTCGTGCTCGCATACTCAAACAGCAAATGCTGTGGATCATGTAGATCAGTCATTGAGCAGATTTCCCGACGGGCCTGTTTCACTATGATCAATACGGGCTTCTTAAGCCTCAAGGGGCCTGACACATGTTTAGCCGATATTTCTCATATTACAATTCTCTTGGTAGATTAGAATCAACGGCATTGAAGCGATTGATAGCCGTAGCTAATTGCCGAGATGGACTTTGAAGATTGCATTGGCGAGAGCATGCATGTTCCTATAGCATACTGAAGATCGCACTACTCCTTAGCCTAATTTTAATTTTTGCTTTTAGTGCCAAGTCTTCACATATAATTTTCAGGGGTGGTTCATCAGCAACGGTGGTCCCGAACGATCCGCAGTACAATCTCTTCGAGGCCGTGCAGGTCTATTCAGTCGAGGGCCAAAACCAGTATCTCATGATTGTCGAAGCGATTGGTGCAAATGGGAGGTTCTTCCGCTCATTTACGGCGACCAGTCTAGACGGCGCATGGACACCACAGGCTACCAGCGAGTCGGCTCCGTTCGCGGGCAAGGCGAATAGTCGCGCCAGTTGGATGAACAATATCAGGAGCGGCGACCTCATCTGGAGCAGCGCAGATCAAACGATACCCATTGACCCGTGCAATCTGCAATTCCTGTACCAGGGTCGAAGCTCTAGCTCCAATGGAGAGAGGCTTATAATGCCTTGCCTTATCAGCCCGGTCTTTTGATACTCAAGAATTAGTCTACAAAGCCTTTTCTATGATTTGAAGTTGTATCCACTTGGCAATCGATTTCCGGCAGCAAAGCAATGAGGCTGAGAGTCAGTTAGTCTAATGTCAGCAAGAATTGGTAGTTAGCAGCCTACGTGGATAAGACATCTGTATCCGCACTACGCCGCAAACAGCAAAGCGTAAACAATTCCCGGACAAACTATTTCTCCGTAAACAATTTTTAGCTTCGATTTTGCCAAAATTTCATAATCGTCACTTTTCTTGATCGACAACCTATGCGGCACTGCAGCATGTTTTGTCTCATCTGGTATCATTGAAAGTGATCAGAAAAATAATCAAAAGGTAATTACCAATCACGCMCTTTCACACCCCCCCCCCTCTTCATGATGAACACCAATTTTTTTTAGATGTTAGACTTCCGAACAACATTGCGGACAAACATTGGACTGACTTAATCAACTTATTTGATGCTTGATACCTATGCAATTGATTCGATATATGCTAATTTTGTGCATGTAGGTCTAGATCAATGAATAACCAGAGTATAGGAACGGTCATATTTAGAAACGAACAAGACATCTACTTGTCGATCAATTCGCTGTCATGAAGCTTCTTACAAGTATAACAAGTAACGTCCATAAATGGTATCACGTTTGTGGAAGGTCTTAGACCTGTGTACTTTGCAGAATTCGATACATGTCGGAGGTACCCTAAAGTACTAGATTGAAGTACAAGTGGCTGCTCGAAGTTCTAGTTATGCGATAGTTTGCTTAATCTCGGCGTGATTGTTGGTTGGCTTGTATGTAGGTTTGTGGATAAACAACGTTCAAATGTATACTGTTATATTATGCTAAACTAAGAAAACTCAACGCTACGTCTAAATTGTTGTCACCAAGGACAGCAGCAAGTACCAGACGATCCAAAACCCCCAGGCAAGATTCCCCTGCTTGACGAATATACATCCGGTCCTCTACTCCCAGCTTCGGGAGGACTTGACCTGCCTTCGCTACTTCCCACAATAGCCATCGAAAGTCTTCAATTTCACCATCACTCCCACGGTCTACCACCGTCACGGCCCTCAACCTTAACAAATCCGACATGGACGCGACAGAGCCTTCGAAGAAGGACTCTGTCTCGTGGATTGTTTCGATGCAACCGTCGCCGATCTGGATAAGGTCTATTCGGACTCGGAAGCCTTGCGGTGCGTCGAAAGCAATCTTGCCGTCGGGTTCGATCGAAAAGTTGGGGGCGCCGGCCGTCACTCCCTCCCAGATATCGATTAGCACGCTGGGAGGTGCTGCAACATCCACGTCTTCCGTACGTAACGAGGAAGAGTGGGCAATGCTGGCAGTGCCGCCAACTAAGATGAGTTGGCGGCGTCGTTCGGGTCGGACTAGGCGGGTGGCTGCTCGAAAGGTCTCAAAGAGACCTTCTCGCAGTGGTGCAGTGATGGTCGAATTGGACTTCGGCATATTGTGGAAGTAGGAGACGAAGGCAGTATGGCCGGACACCTATCAATCACAGCGAAGATCAGTCATCGGTGCCCTCCCGAATTGATCGTGCATGTTGGACGATAGTTCATTTGGTATTCATTAACGTTGTGACAAACTTACGGAGGTATATCGATTGAAAAGCAAGCAGGGGAGGCCTGGGACGTTTTGAATCGTCCTACTCATCTTCATCAATCGATCCGGTCTTCTGGCACTCGGTAGTTTGACTTACTGGTTATCGAAACAGAGTAACTATACATCTGAATAGGAACTCTAGTTAGCTCTTCGAATTCTACACTGCTAGCATCTGGAATGACTTACCCAATGTGATGCAATATTGCAATATGCAATGTTTGATGAATGGGATATCTACAATCTACATTCTACGCTGATTCTTACAATATACCCAAAGTCTTTCAATCGTGCCTGCTTCGCGGCACATTGTTCGCTGGACTTTTTGGAAGGAGCGACCACTGGCCAGTATTGGGCGTACCTGCTGCCCCTGCCGAGTTGATAGACGATGAATAGGAAGCCATGAAACCGGATTAAGTATGGTGGCTAAATGAGGACTGCTTTCCAAATTTGGGCTCATGTACCAAATGAGCAACGTATTCAACGCAGTACCAACGCTGGGAAGCTCAATACATAAATGCCTCATGTATTGCAAAAGGAATTGACCGGTAGGCTGAAGCTGGTCCGCCTATGCTAGACCATGGAAAGCTAAACTCAATTGGAGGACATCACGAACCCTGAGATGCTGTGTGAAGGTTTAACCAGACATCCCGTAGGCATCTACCCTGCTCATCAATTTGTGTACAGGCTTCAATGGCTTTAGGGTTTGGTTGCCTACAAACCGCATCATGTGACTAGGAATCCAGTGGACTGGATACTTGGGTATAAATATGCGGAAGTCCGCCACTAACTGTCATTCTTTTCACACTCTTCCGCTCGGTCATCTCGGAATACTTCCACTCGACTATCATCACTACATTTGATACTCATAATCATTACCGATAGGCTAAGCCGTTATACCAAACTTGAAGAATAGCTTTATAGCTTCATTATATCTTCCGTCACAATGTCAGAATACATCAAAACGACTTTCTTAATCATGTCAGATTCTCATGGACATCAGCTGCTGTCGGGACCGGTGACCGGACATATCGACGTTGCTATCCATTGTGGCGACCTCACAAATGAATCGAAGATAGAAGAGTTCCAGAAGACGTTACAATACCTTCAGGAATTGAAAGCAGATCTCAAGTTAGTAATTGGCGGCAACCATGACTTTACAATGGATGTTCCGGCTTTCAAAAAGTTGGTTGCAAATGCTAAGCAAACTCTAGAGCCAGAGCTGGTGCGAAAGACATACGGAGATTACGGCGAAATCAGAAACATCCTATCTGCAAATGCAGCAGCAGCTAATATCATCTTCTTAGATGAGGGCTCGTATGAATTCAGGCTGCGCAACGGTGCCTTATTGCGTGTTTACGCTAGTCCTTTCACACCATCGTTAAGTGGTGATTGGGGATTTCAGTACCATCTAAATGAAGGTCATCATTTCGAAATTCCGGAGACTGTCGACGTAGTGATCACGCACGGCCCTCCAAAGGGAATCCTTGATTATACTGATGGGAGACGGGCTGGCTGCCCTAATTTATTTCAAGCCATTGCTCGTGCACAGCCTCTTTTACACTGCTTCGGACACATCCATGAGTGCTGGGGAGGGAAACTAGTGACCTGGCGTAGCAACATGCCATCGAATTCGATGCCTTCTCATATCACACATATCGACAATTCGAAGTCAACTGTTTTGAGTAACATTTCACGGCTAGAGGCAGCGCGTCAAACAAGTGACTTGGCTTGTTTCTCCGTTGATTTTGATGTGACTAGATCAGGTTCACAGACGTTATTTGTCAACGCAGCACTTCAGGGTACTTCCGAAATTACTCAGGTACCGTGGGTTGTCAATGTTCCACTTCCTCGTGTTTGAGAGTCAGGAAATAGGGCTTTGGTATATCTTGTGGGACTGAAGAGACTTTTCGTATAGTCAGAGATGGCTATCACCTTGAAGTCTCACGTCGATGGATCGCAGAACGGAAAATTATTATGAAGTATCGGAAGAATTGTTATGTATAGGGAGAAATTCATGTCAGAAACCTTGGGATGTCCGGGTGGTAGCAGGGTCAAGGGCAAAGGGTCAGCCGGCGACCTTCTGGCCTAGAGTCCTGAGACGCTATTCGTTAGATTTCCAAGGTTTGCATACCTAGGTACTCATTACCCAATTGACATTAAGCTTTTTGGCTGAGCAAACGGTTTATGTGTTGTCAATCAAATGTTTACGAMCCTGCCGATAGGCGACCAAGGAATCTTCTGTTAGACAGCAGCTTAGAACAGATCGATTACAAACTCAAACCGCCATATGGGACGGTGTTAATCTCACAGACAAGGTTTATCAACTTCGTGAAAAAGACCACAACTATAATTATTTCCAGAATATCAAACCCGAGATCGTATTCCATCCTGTAGCTAGATTCGCCATAAAACATACCCTACGATGTAAAATTGTTCCAAGTGTTATAGCATCAATCCAGCGTTCTATCGTAGACTATTATGCAGAAGGATGGGTGAATCGGAGATAGACTTGGGTGGCTGATATTCTCAAGCTGTTACCTTAATCCAGGCAACTACCTGGATTGTCTTCACCATACGGGCGATGCCTGAATAATACGGCACTCCGTCAGTGTTGGGAAGGTACTCCTCTCCAATCTGTAATACCAAGACCATCCTATACTCTGCCTCGAACAACCATCTGACCGTCAATAACCGCGATGACGGCGAGACAAAGCGAGAGGACCCAGTGTCAAATGTTCTTCAGTTCCCAACTCAGCCCCCCGGAATGCTTGCACAGCGCGTTTGTCAGGGCTACAATATTGGATAGACTTCTCTTCGTTTAAACATGGGACGTTTCACATAGCTCTGCTTTGTCTCTATTCCTACGACATTGGACGACTATTGCTAAATTGAGGACTAGACTGAGTAGAGCTTCTTGTTTCGTTCACTTCTGAGCAATTTCCCTCTCAGCTTCTGCATGCCTCATTCTAGATTCATGAATAACCTCGTCTCTCTTCACTTTTCATTTATCACTCAATCAACATCCTTCACTTTGGCTTGCAACCTGGATGGATACCATTCAACTTGACCCTCTTTTGACTTCCTGATTTCAACCGTTTGCCAGCCCACTATAGCCCTGGGCTCTTTTGTTTATATCAGTAGGTCTTCCCACCAAATAAACCTTGCCAGTATTGTCATCATATAAACCTCATGTTGTTCCAGTCTATTCATTCTCAATCTTATGAGTCTATTCACATGTCTTTGTTGCTTTAAATGCCTTTTATTGTGAGTTTGCTCTTTCTTCATATCAATCTTTACAGGTGGCTTTGTAAGATTTTTAGACAAAGCTCTGAAAGTGAATCATTGATTATGGCTAACTGTTTTACATAATTTACAGTCTTGGATATTCTAATCAGTTCTGAAGCAACCATCATCTGCTGCTGAGATAGCTGTCACAGCTTATTTCCCATACTCCTTCACTCAATTCACAGCCCCATTACTGCTCCTCGACTGTGAGTTTACATTCTAGATAACACAGTGCTTCCTGCTTCTCAGATCTACCTACTAATTACAGCTAGGGAAAAGTCAATATGTCAGATAGCTTGACGGACATCACCATGGTCGGAGAAAAAAGGACGAACGACATGGTAACAGGCAACCAACAACGCAAGCGTCGGTCTTCGGGACCTGTAATCAATATATCTGCGACCGTCAACCAGAATATCGTAGTACAGCAGGGACTAACTCAACCGAGTACAACCAGGAGCGGTCGACCTATTGAGAAGAAAGTCGAGCATATTGACCTTACCTTTGTCGATGATGCAGAACTTTCGTCTGATACAGAACCTGGTTCGATCGATGAGCCATTGGAGATGGGGCGGTTTGATGACGATGACTATCTTGATGATGACCAGCTTCAGCATTTATTGGAGAGGTGGGACACTGACACCAACAAAGCAGGCCCAGCTGGCGAGCATCCCGCGACTGTTGTCCTCAAAGATTACAATGGGCTCGTACCTGGGATGGCGGTCGAGTTGACTGGTGATCATCTTATGAGGATCGTGCAAATCATCCGTTTAGTGAACGGCAACATATACCTTCGAGGTTTGTACTTCAAAAGGCTGACAGACATGGAGAGTCCTTTCCCTCAAAAAGAGATGGAACTATGCTGGTTGGTGGAGAAGGACGCCGAAGGAAAGCTGCACCTCGAAAAAGAGGTTCCTGTTTCTGCTGTTTTGGATATTGTCAACATCGTGCTTACGAATCATCCATGGCGATTCCATTTTAGACAACCATACATCTCATATGTATGTCGACTGGTTTGGCAGAAGACTGCAGAGAAAGGAGAATGGATTATTCGATACCTTTCGTTTGAAGAAGCCGATCATCAAGCTAGAACTCCTGCCGGCGTCATACGCCAGAAATGGAGGGGAAAGACAATCCCCTACGGTGCCGAAGCAGTCGACATAAATCAGCTTTTCAAAGACCAACGTGAAAAGGCGGAAAAGTCGTTGAAGATGCAAAGACAATATTCTTTTGGGGATGCTTTTTGTGGTGCTGGAGGAGTGTCTGTCGGCGCTTGGAGCGCTGGGCTAAGAGTCAAGTATGGCATTGACATGGACACAGCTGCGTGTCAGACCTGGCGTAGCAATTTTCCTCATTCATCGTGCTTTCATGCAGACTTTTCCAGCTGGCTTTCTTTACAGGATGATGCGCAGGTGGATATCTCTCATAGCTCGCCGCCATGTCAACCATTCAGCCCTGCGCATACAAGGTCATATAATCAACAGAGAGATGAAGAGAACGCATCTCTTATATTCAGCAGTTTCAATATGGTCCAGAAAGTGAGGCCCCGCATACATACAATTGAAGAGACATTTGGAGTGCCTTCAAGACACAAGGAAATATTTCTTCGGATGATTCAAGATTTTCTGGAACTTGGATATTCCATTCACAGCAAGACTATACCATGTGCTAAATATGGAGTTCCACAAATGAGACGACGCCTCTTTATTATTGCAGCTGGGTGAGAAAAAACATCATGCTTATGGCCAAATCTGTACTAACGTGGCTTTAGACCAGGGGAAAGGCTACCTACCTTCCCAACTCCTACACATGGACCAGGCGCATTGCCTTACGTTACTATCAAAGATGCCATTGACAACATACCCCGTCTTGCTGATAATCATGATCCCGACAACATTGGATTTCAAGATGGCAAAACCCGTGCTCCCTACGACGAGAACACACTCGCCAAAACGATAACGTGCGGTGGCGGAGAGGGAAACTACCATCCCAGTGGTCTCAGACCATTTACCGTACGTGAACTCGCTTGTTTGCAGACTTTTCCGGTGCAATATAAGTTTCCCACGGCTTACGCAAAGAAGCAAGTCGGTAACTCTGTTCCACCTCGTCTTGCAGAGATCATTTATCGAGCTGCTATCAAGTCACTTCAGGAGACGGATGAAAAGGAGTACATGGAGTACAAGGAGGCGATTGTCATTCATTGAAGTGGTTTTGACTCGTGTGTTGACCTGTCGCGGTTCCATAGCCGGTTTAGTTCGGTTCCGAGACCGCATCATTCAAGCACACATTGCTACTGTAAACGATCGGAGATTTTTTCCTTCGCTCGGTCAATTGTCAAGATGAGGCTAAGGGTTTGGGAGAGCTTCAACTTCAAAGGCTTTTGGTTGAATTATCCGGTATTCGGAGGATCTGCATAGGTAATCTCGGGGAAGCTATCAGGTGAAAAATACGTTATCATACTTTATGCTCTCCCCACATTGCCCGCACTGCCCACATGTTTTGCAACGAGTTTAGAACTTTCCTTTTGGGCTTGTACTTTGCAATTAGAAAAGGTCAATTGAATTTTGGGAAATGTTGAGATGTTACTCAGGGCCAATTGAGATTTAAGACTGTAATTCCACCGTTCAGGTACCATTTGACCGACAGATGTTCCTGGTATGAAACGGTATGTTTCGGTTGGCCGCGGCTACACGACCTCGGCTGCTGGTCGGCCGGTGGTACCCATAGATCAGAGGACAATCATACGGTAAATTACAGCAGAAATACGCAATACACGTACGGTCAAGCTAAACGTCAAGCTGACGGAGGGAAGGAGCTTCCTCGCCCAGCCTCGGTCAACAAACTCCTTCTCTCACCTTTTCTCTCCTTCCTCCTGTTACGCTGTTTTATTCTCCGATTTCAGGTCTATATCTTTCCATTGAATTGCTCAACGACCTTAGTCGTTTAATTTTTCTCCCACCCACACAATTCACACCTGAAAAAGAGAATCATGTCGGCGGGTGCAGCAGCTCTCCGAAGGACGTCTGCCATCGGCCATCGGGCTCCCCGCACTCTGGCCCTTTCCTCCCGCATCTCCCAGGCCCCCGCCCTGTCGCGATCTTTGACTTCTACACCCAGCGCTCTTCGTACCAGCACACTCGCCAAATCGTCTACTTTGAGCCGCCAGATTTCCAAATTCTCGACAATGTCGCCTTTGCAAGCTGCCCCCGTGCTCGAGCGGGAATATGATCCGGAGATTAAGGATATGGCTGATTATATCCACAATTACAAAGTCGACTCTGAACTTGCAGTACGTCTACTTTTCAACGAAACAAAAAAAAATTTGATACTAACATTAACAGTTCGACACTGCTCGTCTCGTCTTTTTGGATACCCTTGGATGCGGTCTAGAGGCCCTCCGCTTCAACGAGTGCACCAAACTGCTCGGTCCCGTTGTGGACGGCACCGTGGTCCCTAACGGTACCAAAGTACCAGGAACACCCTATCAACTCGACCCCGTCAATGGCGCTTTCAACATCGGTGCCATGATCCGATGGCTCGATTACAATGACTGCTGGCTCGCTGCTGAATGGGGACATCCTTCCGACAACTTGGGTGGTATCCTTGCCGTTGCCGACTGGATTTCTCGCACAAACCGAGCTGGTGGGAACATTGGACAGGGCAAGATTTTGAAGGTTCGTGATGTCTTGGAGGCTATGATCAAGGCGCATGAGATCCAAGGTGTGCTTGCGTTGGAAAACTCGTTCAACAAGGTTGGTTTGGACCATGTTGTACTTGTCAAGGTTGCGACTGCCGCTGTTACATCCAAATTGTTGGGTCTGGATGAGAAGAAAACTGCCGATGCTATTACTCAGGCTTGGGTTGATGGTCAGAGTCTGCGTACATACCGTCACTCGCCAAACACCATGTCCAGGAAGTCCTGGGCTGCTGGTGATGCTTGCCAGCGTGCTGTCAATCTTGTGCTCAAGGTTCTCAAGGGTGAGGGCGGGGTTCCTACTGTTTTGAACGCCCCTGTCTGGGGTTTCTACGACAATCTGTTCAAGGGCAAGAAGTTTGAGTTCCAGCGTCCCTATGGCAGCTATGTCATGGAGAACGTTCTCTTCAAGGTTTCATATCCTGGTATGCCTGCCTGTACCACTTGTATTGTGCAAAGCTAACAATCTGTAGCGGAATTCCACTCCCAGACCGCCATTGAATGTGCGCAGGCCGTCAACAAGAAGCTCGCTGAGCTTGGTAAGACCGCCAAAGACATCAAGGAAATCACCAACCGCACCCACGAGGCTTGCATCCGCATTATCGACAAGCAATTTAAGGCCATGGACAACTTTGCCGACCGTGACCACTGTGTCCAGGTTTGTCTACCGTCTTGAGGGAAATGTTGAAGGATTGCTAACACGGCCTAGTACATGGTCGCAACCATGCTCGTCTTCAACCGCTTGACAGCCCAAGATTATGCCGACGGCTCCGAAGCCGCCACCTCCGAACTCCTCGAAGACCTCCGCAAACGCATCAAGTGCGTCGAAGACCCCCAATTCACCAAGGACTACCACGACCCCTCCAAGCGCACAATCCCCAATGCGCTCACCGTAACCCTCAACGACGGCACCGTCCTCGACGAAATCGTCGTCGAAGCACCTTTGGGCCACAAGTTCCGCCGCGAAGAAGCCAAGCCTGAAATCTTTGCCAAGTACAAGCGCCACATCGAGGCTCACTTCGATGCTGCGCGTGTCAAGCACTTGCTTGAACTGGGCTGGAACCAGAAGGAACTTGAGAATACGGATGTGGATAAATATGTTGATCTTTATGTGACGGATTCTATTGTTGCGCCTTACGGCCAATAGTCAACTAGTCGACTACGTGTATGTTTGTGTTATAGAGCTAGTAGAGCGATGAAAACGGTTTATTAGATACATATATATGGGTATCTCAGTGTTTTATAGTAGTAGTATATTCAAGACGTGAGTCAACCCTTCATCCCTTGAAGCCGTTGTTATCAGCACTAGCACTTTCCACCCCCTCAGAACCCCGTCCCAGCTCAGCATTCACCTCCCTGTCCTCACTAGCCGCATGATCATGTTTATGCGCCCTGTTCCCACCCTCTGGATACCCCGTATCCCTCCAAACCTCCCAAAATTTCGCCCCACGCTGCAAACTCGACACATTCTCCCAAATAAGGCAAAACACTACCAACGCCATAATCACGGAGAGTGTCTCCGTCAAATTCAACGATTTTGCGAGCGGAAGTAATACCAATATCAACCCGACGACAGGTCGCATAATGATTCTGAAATGTTTGGGGAGAAGAAGCTGGCAATCGCCGTCGTTGGAAGAGTAGAGCAGCGCCATGGCGTAGAGCACGAATAGGCCGACGCCGAGGCTGGCGCAGAGAAGCCAGCGCTGACCATCGTCGAAGGCTTGGGTTTGTCCTTCGCTGGTTGCTCTTTTCTCGCTGCTGCTACTGCTACTGCTGCTATCAGTAGTAGTGGTGGTACTGTCGTAAGATTTGGCACTAGCAGCCGCGACATGTCCGCCAGCCAACAAACTTGCAATGAGCGGCAGATGCAGCGAAACCCACGTAAACGCCCTTCCTACACTGTGTCTGATCGGATGCGTATAATCGATCGCGCAGTCGTTATGGACATACATCCAATTCAGACAGAAAGCAATCACAAGCGTCCATACCGCTCTCAGAAGGGAGAGATTAAATCCGACTGCGGCAGGCGAGCCGACGATGATGGTATACAGAAACTCGCCAAGTGCGATAATGTAGAATGCGGCGAATCGGTCGATTTCGTGCGCAATGTCGACGGCTGTGGTGTACCGGGCGCGAAGCATCCTTTTCGCGAGCGGGGAGTAGCAGAACATCCATATTGATTCTTCCAGCACCTCGGCAACAGCGGCAACAGCAATCTTATTGCGGAGCGAGACACTCTCGAAATACAGCGGAATGTATACACACAATGCGACGCTCGACATGACGAACCACAGCCGTTGTTGCGCGCGGTGGTGGTAGCTGCTAAACGAGTAGAATAAATGCGCCAGATTGGCGGTCATGCGCGCAACCATGTATGCGCCGACGGTGGAGCGCATGGCGGATATCTCTTCGTCAACGAGCGTCGCGTTGTTGCCGTAGACGATCAGGACGGCCATGATCCAGAGGATCAGGATGCGTTGCAGGAGATCATCGTTGTAGAAGCTGTTCATGAGTTCACGGAGGTCGGACCAGACGTGCCATGAGGGGGCGAGTATCAACTTTATTCTACATATTAGCCAGAGAATGCGGAGGGAAAGAGGCGAGGAGGGAGTACAATGTATTTAACGAGCTTGACGCCCGTGACGTCCTCGGCGAGACTCTCGGCGAAGTTGGCGAGGATTGCGACGTACAACAAATCGAGGAAGAGCTCGAAGCGGCCTGTCATATAAATCAGTATGCGTCTGTGACGAGCAACAGGGGGAAAAGTACCAGCTTGTCGCTCCTGCTCGCATCGTTTGACGAGCTTCCCGTTGTCGAACCATTGGAGCGCCAATGGCTGACGGATGAGGTAGCGCGTCTGCGATTGGGATTCGGTTTCTTTTTCTTCGGCCATGTTGTATATATCATGTACCTCATAGGATATAGATATGTAGAGAGGACGAAGTGTAGAAAGAGACAAAAGAACTGGTGGAGCAGCTGAGACTACATGGCCGCTTTGGGCTTAGTGCGGGTCTACCTCCATCTTGGCTGGAGATATGTTGATTGAGCGATTTGATTGGCTGAAATGGTATAGATCTGTGATTCATGATCCTCGGTTATCTATGCCTTATAGGTTAGGCATACACTGGGATTTTATGATTTTATGTGGCTGAAATACATGAAACTAGGATGGCCTGATACTTTCAACTCTAGGAACGAACTAAATCCTTCTTTCTATGGCGGCGCTTAGGTTTTCTTTCTCGAACATTTATTGCCCTCAAAGATGAAATGAGGGGAAGTGGACGAACCAACATCATACATTAGAGTCCTTTACCTACATAGGTATATTGACATGAATGCATTTCCGTCCACTTCGATTTCCCTTTTTAGGCAATGATTGGAGCCATCATGGAACGTAGGTAGTACCTATGGGGATTGATATGTCGACTACTCATTATTCGATTGGTTCAGGTGATATTTCTTCAGATGACCTTTAGAGTCTGCACTATATCTGGTATACTTAACCACTCAATATTGATCAAAGTTGGAAGTGTTCGAGATCTTCTTTCATTGCTCCATATCTCGAGTTCGTTTACGGGTAAAATACAACTAATTTCTTCATCATGAAGTTTTGTGTGGCAGATAGGACTGTAATGAGGACAGCCCTTTTCAAGCCGACTCAAAGTAGTATGCAGAAAATTGTAATAAACTCTGACAATACTTAGGTACCTAATCATAGAGATAATTTCACTATTCTACCTACATAAAAACTATGCTATTCGGTCATGGATCTTGATCATACTGTTCATTCTATGTAGTTATAGTTAATGTAGAACGTCACCTAATAAACCCGAATGCAACACATCAGTAAACGTATCAAACCTCTTTCCGGTTCCTCCCAGCAGCTGCAGATTAGTCGACTGAAGAATAATCCGCTTATAGCTTGTCATCCTGGGTGTGCCACTATCTCGAACCTGCAGAATCAAATGAAATGCTTGACCCTTTTCTAACGCCTGGCCATTAATAAGGTCAACGGTGCACTTTTCCGGCGGCGGCATCTTCACACGTATAGTACTTCCATTTGGACTGTTCGGTAGAGTCTCCCACTCCAGATCTGGAACTATCCATTGTATCGTGGCGTGAGCAGAAGTAGCCTCCTTGTAAAATATCCAGGTAAACGAGAGTTCGTCGCCGTCCGGATCATAGCTCTGTGAGGCATCAAGAACGATTTCAGAGCCGGCAGGAACGTCGAGCTCAATCGGTTTGACTCCTGAGGCGATGTTGTTCACAATCACGACCGGAGCATGGTTCGCGCTCGACAAATCAGCAGATAAAGTCCACCTCATGCGAGCAGCAAAGTCATCCTGGAATTGGTCTCGCCAGCGCCAGATTGTGGACTGATTACTGTGGTGCTGTCTCCCATCCTTACCAACTACTGTATCGTGCGTATCTGCATAGTGCCGCGTCGCTCCCCCAAGATCGATCAATGCATATCGGCCTCCCCAGCTACCCCATTCCGGATGCTCAGGAGATCCCAGCCCATTCTGGATCAAGTAGAGAAACGTCGGTGTATCGCCTTCCATTGCAAACGAGTAGTCGGGATAGACCTCACCACCAAAGTCGCCAACTTGGATGTTCTCCTTCAACCACTCTTTGCTCACTTTGGTAAAATCCGGCCCGCCCTCATCAAAATGAGAGAGTCTGTCCCCGGAAATGCCAATCCAGGTGGCCTGATTATAGTCCTTCCAGGCATGGACAGAGCAGATATAGAATATATCTGGCCACGACACTCGAATCCATAACCCGGTATCATCCTGATCGGAAATTGCATAAACCCTCAGCCGGGATCTCAACTTTGCGCTTTCCGTTGCGTCCATTGTCTGGTGGATATACTGCAAAGCCTGCGCAAGCACATTTGTGCCTCCCCAGCATAGGATCCAAAGTGGCTCCCCTTCCGAGCTCTCCTTCAATTGTTGAACTAACAACTCGGCACCTGGGCTAAGGGGCTGCTTTAGCGCCTCGCGACCATAAACCGCAGGCCCTGCCCGGACAACAGATAGCAAATTATGGGCTGTTGGGTACGGGTTCGACGGATGAACGTGAGCGTTCAGATTGTCCCTGACATTTGCATATGCGTGTACGATCTTCTCGATTAATTCCGGTTGAACCCGGGATTTCATCCAGCAGGATGTGCATGCGACGACGCCTTTGGTATCGAATTCATTGGAGTATAAGAGGTATCTGGTGAGTGATTCGGCATCGTCTGGTTCGTTGCCGATATCCGTGATGATGAACACACGGGGCTTGTATTCAATGGCTTGTAGTCGTGTTGCGTCCATTGTTGTATAGCTGAAGCATGAAGTTTTTGAACGGGGATAAAAAGATTTGGGGACAAGTTACGATTGCGGGCTATATAATGAGGTTAATATTCCCTAATTGTTAAATCCATGGACGAATTCCAGAGAGGAGAACAGAGCCTCCGGTTTCCTCTTATGGAATTAAGAGATCTGGGGCAATAAGCGTGGCTGGACAATCCGTCCACATGAGCCCTAATTAAAAAGTGGAAAGTGGACGGCTGATTCTTAACGATCTGGGGAAATTCAAGGCGGAGATGCCGTTATTGACATCTAAAATGTATACAGCCATATGGTTATAAAAGTGTCGCAACTCACTGCCTAATCTATGGATTCACCAGAGATCATCTCCATTGATTCAATCTCTTAGGTCTGTTCACTCTAACCGTACTCAATTTCGATACAAAGAATGGAACTTCCCACTGTTGATGATCTTAAGGACCAAGGCGAATCGTGCATCGAGCATATTCCTCTTGACGATGGCAACGACAGCACAGAATCACAGTCGCTACTCCTTACTTTGTGGGAGTACAAAAAGGTTGTCTTGTTCTCTATTTGTACGTCTTTTTGCGCGATACTCTGGGGTTTCGACATGGGTAAGTTCTGCTTCTTACATCTACTCAAATCACTTCAACGTCTTACCTCGATTTACTAATTATCACTAGGAGTTAATGTCATCACACTATCGCTTCCAGGATTCAAGCTTGTTTTCGGCTATGAGTACGAAGGGGAGCTGATTGTCGGGGCCATCTGGAATTCGCTATGGGGTGCAATGACTTCCCTTGGCATGGTGGTTGGTCAGTATTCCCATCTACTTCTAACCCGAAATATCCATGGATAGGATCTAACATTGAATCCTCTACAGGTGGTGTGACGTCTGGCTTTGTCGCAGATCTATGGGGAAGACGTGCTGCTATATTAGCTGGAGCAATTCTCTCGGCGGTTGGAGTGGCCGTTGAGTATATCGCTGCGACGCCCAGTGTTCTCCTGGTAGGAAAGATTGTATGTTTTTGCTATCTACATACCATGATCACCAGTCAAAACTAATTTTCAAAGATCAATGGCATTGCCATGGGCATTTTCCTTTCCATCAATCCAGCTTACATCTCCGAAATCTCGCCTTTGACTCTGCGAGCGCCTCTTATCTCATTGACGGCCTTCTTCATTATCGTAGGACAAATGACAGCTATCGGGATCGGAAATACACGATTTGGTATCATGGACTCCTCGGCCTATAAAGTCCTCTTTGCGGCGCAGTGGGCGTTTCCGGGCGCTATCGTCCTGTTCCTGCTTTTCCTCCCAGAAAGCCCGAGATACCTAGTCAAAAGAGGTAGAAACGAGGACGCACGAAAGGCTCTCTCCCGGTTACACTCCTCCAAATTTGATATCTCTGCGGCTCTATCCGTTATCCAGGAAACAGTCACCGCCGAGTTGGAACTGAATAACACCAGCGTGTCATACCTCGCCTGCTTCAAAGGTGCAGACTTGAGACGCACGCGCATCGCCTGCGCCATGTTTTTCATCCAACAGTTTACGGGTATAGCTCTATACGGCCAAGCGCTGTATTTCCTGACAATGACGGGTTTCAATGTCAATCTTGCGGCCAATCTCGCCATCGCAGGATTCGGAGCCGGCCTCATTGGTAACATCGCAGCCTGGATCTTCATGTCGTATTTCGGCCGCCGACAAATCCTTCTCGTGGGAACGGTCATTAATTTCACCATTCTTACTACCCTGGGTATTGCAGGCTTTTATAGCTCTAATAAGTCGGCTTCTCTCTATGTCGCGATTGTCCTCAACTTCATTCAGCTCATCCACGCTCCCTCCGTATCGGCAGTGTCGTGGGCTATTAGTGGAGAAGTCAGTTCTGTGGTTCTTCGCGCAAAGACTCAGAGCCTTTGCACGATCATGAATGCGCTTGTGACATGGGTATTCAACTTCATCACGCCTTACCTAATAAACACGGATGAGGCGAACCTAGGCACGAAGTCAGCGTTTATGTGGGCTGGACTTACCCTCGTCAGCATGGTTTGGGTTTGGTTTGAAATGCCTGAGATCAAGGACTTGACGTTTGATCAGATAGATGAAGCGTTCGCATTGAGGACACCGACGAGGAAGTTCCCTAGGCCAGTGAAGTCGAATGTGGTCGTGCCTGGCAGTAAGTGGGCTGCAGGCTAGACATCTCTTGGGAATCGCACTATCTTATATCTCATCCTCTAATTCATTGATTGTCGGAGTAAACAAATGTAATATCAAAATCATCTTCTATTTGATTTTGTATTTAGACATGAGTTGAAGTTTGTTTGATAGTGATTTACTTTTTCTTTGATCTGTCATAGGAATGAGAATATACGACTCCTTGAAATATAATCAAGTCAGATGTTAGCGACAAAGGACTGGAGGTGCTTGATACGAGAGTTGAAAGAGATGATATCTAGAAAGAAGTTGAAAAATATGACGCATGTTTGTATTTCCTTTTTGAGATATCCTTTGTTGCCCCTCGGTCTCGTCCGTATTTCTGAGACTTCTTGTTTTCCACTCTACGCGTCAGGCTAAGTCATCATAATTGTACCTTCAATACTTACCAGGTGCAACCAAGACTGCTACATCAGGTCAACAATGACATCCACACGCCCACGCGACGAGCAAGACGAGAATGTATCCCAAAACCTGCCCGACCTCGAAGATGCAGACTTGAGTGAAGACAACATCGTCAAACTGCTCGCGCAGATTGTACGGAAACAAAACGACGAGATCAACAAAATACTCATATCGCAGAATGAACAGGCAAAGAAGCAAGCGCAAGAGCAGCGTCGTTTGAGTGGGATGATTGAGAAATTGAATAGCAGACTTACATCGTTTCTGGAGAGTCAACAGAAGTGCGCTTGTGACAAGGACTCAGAAGTTGATTTGATACCATCGTTAAAAGCCAGAGTTGATGCGCTTGAGGATGCTGAGCGCGATCAAGAACAGTTTAAAGATGAGGTCTTACAGTCCCGTGTTGACAGACTCGAGACTAGACTTGATCAAGTTCAATACCAGATTTCCAAAGATGAACCGCAGTCGAGTGAAACAGCAGACGGTCTGAACAATGAGGATCTTCAATCCCTGACCGAAGCACTTGCCACGCGACAGCTATCCATGCAATTCCATATAGACGAGCTGGCCGATACTGTGAACAGACAAATCATAACCAACGAGCAGAAATCTATCGCCCAAAACCAAGCATCAAGCATGCGCTTCTCCCATCGAAGCAGCCACTCTACAACAACCCTACCCACACCCATCGAACGAGCATGCCTAGTCTCAGAAAGCGCGTACAACTCCCCTCATCGACATACCGCCTCCCACAGCCAGGACCTCACCAGCGCTCGCTCCCACGACTCTGGATTCTCCATCGAAAGCTTCCACCAACAAGCGACGTCTCTCACTAACAAAGCAACCCAACAAGACATCAGCCTCTCCTCTCACAAGAAAGATCTACTCAACCTCAAACGCCGCCTTGCGCACGCCGAAAAACTTATCGGCGCACGCTATAGAATCGGCTCSTTCAGTATCCACGGGKTGTCGTTCTATCAAGACGCCGCAGCTTTACGCTACATTTCAGGCGACCACGCAGCGCGCGACAGCTTCAAAATGTTCTACGGCAACCGCATCGGCGCAATCGAGTACGTCGACATCGCCCCTTCCGCGATTCTAGCATGCTTCGACATCATCTCGCGCATCCGCTGCCGCCACGACTTGTGGATAGATGACGACAAATTCGAGGCCAAACAGCGGATTCGCTGCGCCGCAGAACAGATTGTGGATGATTGGATCAATTCGTTGCCGCTGAGAGATGGCGGGGAGCACGTACATGTTTCGGCGCAGGAGTTACGGAATCGGTTTAATCAGTTGAAGGTTTTGTGTTATGGGGCTGGTGTTGTGTTTGATTTTACGTGGCCTACAATCGACTGATGTAGGTACAAAGTATAGCCGGAGCGAAAATGCCGAGGCATCTTTTCCCCAACGGATTGTAGATTGGAGCTTGCCCTCGATGGTTGGATGGCTAGATGGATTTCATTAATTTTGGCTTTTCGCAATCAACATCTAAAAGCGAGATCCGAGACGCGAGATATTCAAAGTTCCTATACACAGTCAGTAAGTTCAATCAACGAGATGCTCAAGAGCTGAAAGAATTTCCTAATTAGGCAATCTTGTCATCCCTGGCTCCCCACATCATGACTCCAGGTCGGCTTTGCAAAAGAACGATCAATAACAATCAACGCTGTACCCCATATACATTGTATAACTGCTAAGAGGCATATCCCTAATCATAAATAGTAATCCAAATTATGCCTTCTACCAATACAATAACCGGCCCGTAGACTAGCCTCGGCTTTTTTTCTCAAAAGTCTAACTTCAAACTCAAACGCTCGGGGGTGCGGGGATGCTACTCCGCTCTTTAGTACTAACCCCAGAAATAGCAGCTCTCAATAGACGCACAATTTGACTTAATGCATGAAGTATTAATCCTGTTGAGAAGGCGTTCGGTACTGTCGGAATATAGTTAGTTTGTTTTCGTCCAGTGTCGTCCCCGCTGCGTCTCGTCTCGTTCCATCTCGACAACTTGAGATCACTCTCGGTATTGAGTGGAAGTGTGATATGCTCTATACCGATTGATACATATTGAAATCCAATATATTCACACGCATAATACGCATCAATAGGTATATTCATCTCACCTCGAACAGGAGTCTAAGGAAATGGACCAAAGTAAGCTACCCCGGACCGAACCAACACCACCCGGTCATTCCGTCTCAAGAATATACTAACTAGCCTCTTACACAGTATCAGTACCTTTAGTCGCTGCGGCCGTCGCAGGTACGGCGACTGCTGCGGCCTATCTGAATGCCAAATGGCACGTCACCAAGGACGTGAGCGCCGTCTGGTTCGTGAAATCAGGCGAGAGATCTGTAAAACGAGCCGGTACATTCCCCCGTCTTTCATCTTACCATACATCCAAAAGCGGAAAACATAATCTAACTGATGACAGTGGCCAACGGCCGTCTAAGCAACTTCTTCCTCTTCGAAAATGCCGCTCTGTCCTTCCCCGATAAGACCGCAATCTGGTCCCGCGAACGCACCTACACATATCGCGAATCCCTCGAAATCGTGTCTCAACTCGGACACTACTTTCTGTCTATTGGTGTTCGGCCCGGTGAGCTTGTGGCTGTGTATTTGATGAACAGCCCAGAGTTCCTGTTCATATGGCTTGCGCTCATGAGTATTGGATCCGCCCCCGCTGGAATAAACTATAACCTGAACGGAGACGGACTACTACACTGCATAAAAGTGCCGAATGCGAAGTTTGTGGTCGTCGATGATGATGCTGCTTGCCGTGAGAGAATTGAGGCGGTTCGGCCTACTCTCGAGAACGAGTTTGGCATAACGACCCTCTCGCTCAGCGAGGTCATGCGCAAAGCAACCACCTCCTTCCCCAAAACGACCCCAGATGAGAAATATAGACTCAACGTCAAGGAATCATTCCCACTGATGCTGATCTACACATCCGGCACAACCGGTCTACCCAAGGGATGCGCATTCACGACTAGCCGGTTCTATGCCGGCGCAAGCGTCACAAAGCCCACGGACGATCGGTGGTACTGCTGCATGCCACTATACCACGGCACAGGCGCAGTCTGGACTCTTGCACGACTCGTAAGCGGCACGAGCGTCGCAATCGGACGCAAATTCAGTACGAGCAATTTCTGGAACGATGTGCGCGACTCCGAGTCTACATGGTTCATATACGTCGGCGAAACGGTGCGATATCTCCTCAACAATCCCCCTTCGCCACGAGACAAAGAGCACAAACTCTACGGAATGCTGGGTAATGGATTGCGGCCAGATGTATGGGAGAAGTTCCAGCAGAGATTTGGCGTGCAGGAGATTCATGAGTTTTTCAATAGTTCGGAGGGAATGCTGGGATTGATGAATGTCAATCGTGGACCATTTAGTGCCGGCGCGGTTGGTCATCATGGCGCTCTGCTGCGCCTGCTTATGCACAATCAATACATCCCCGTCGCCATTGACTACGAGACGGGCGATATATGGCGTGACCCGAAGACGGGGTTTGCGAAACGTCAATCTTATGAAGAAGGTGGTGAGATTCTCGTTGCGATTCCGAATAAAGAAGCTTTTCAGGGGTATTGGGAGAATGATGCTGCGACAAACAAGAAGTTTGCGCAGGATGTGTTTAAGAAAGGGGATTTGTATTACAGGTCTGGCGATGCGTTGAGGCGTTTGGATGATGGGAGGTGGTACTTCATGGATCGGTTGGGTGATACTTTTCGCTGGAAGAGTGAGAATGTCTCTACGGCCGAAGTGGCTGAGACGATTGGTCGGTATCCCGGTGTCACGGAGGCGAATGTCTACGGAGTCCTGGTTCCCAACCACGAAGGAAGAGCTGGATGTGCTGCATTAGACCTAGCGGTAACCGAAAAGGAGTTTGACTGGAAAGATTTCACTCGATTCGTGCGCTCGCAATTGCCGCGATATGCGGTGCCTGTGTTTTTGAGAATCCAGAACGGATTGAGGCATATGCATAATAACAAACAGAATAAAGTGCCCCTGAGACAAGAAGGAGTTGATCCTGCGCTCAAAGGGACGAAGGAAGCGGAGGGCGCGGATGATCGATTGCTGTGGTTGGTGCCGGGGGCGGACGAGTATGTTGAATTTGGACAGAAAGAGTGGGATTCGCTTGTGTCGAGAGAGGCGAAATTGTGATCTGTCAGTTTTACTTAGACTGATGCTGGAAATAGACCAGTGCCGTAGCTGTTCATTACGGGCGTAAATGATAGATCAATCAATTGTCTATGGTATTCAACGTAACTATAAGAGCTAAAAGACTATTCAACGGTCAAAATAAGGAGAAAATGGCAAATCATCAAGTCTTACACATGCTCAAATTCGCTTTTGACGGAAATTCACATGGCCAGCACAAAGGTCTATGTCTTCGTAAAGACGTCTATCGAATCTTGGACTTATTTTCCAACGAGGCCTAGAAGGTTGATGGACTTGGGACGCTCAATGGGCAATCCTAATGCTCGGCTCCAGATGAGTTGGGCCAGAGGGCCCAATGCACGACTCACACCGAATGTTACGGTGTAATAGAGGGGCTGCTGGAAGCCATAGTGGTGGAACAGGACACCAGAGGCGGCGTCGACGTTAGGATGGGGGTTCTTGGTCTATTTTTCGTTAGTATTTTACAATCAATCAAAACAGGTCTCGTCTGAAGAGGTTAGATGACATACCTTCCCGTGCTGGGTCAACACGCCCGGCGCAATCTCAGAGTTCTTCTTGACGAGTTGGAACACAGGGTTGGCGAGCACATCAGGACGAGTAGAAGCAAAGTCCATAAGAGCCTCGAAACGAGGATCGGGTTTACGCAATACACCATGTCCATAACCAGGAACGACACGACCAGACTTGAGAGTGCTCCAGAGGTAGTCCTCTACATCCTTGTCGGTAAATTTCGTGCCTATGTCGTCCTGCATGGCCAGGATCCAGCGGAGCACCTCTTGAGCGGCAAGACCGTGAAGAGGACCAGCGAGACCTAGCAGACCAGCGCTGTAGCTGAGGAAGGGGTCGCTAAGAGCGCTTCCAACAAGATGCGTCGCGTGAGCAGATACGTTGCCACCCTCGTGGTCTCCGTGGAGAGCAAGGTACAAACGTAGCAGATCGTGGAAATCTTCATTCTCCTTGCCACCCTTTCCAAGAAGTTCGGCAAAGTTGTACGACCAATCTTGGTTCACGTCAAGCTTCTGGTTGGCGACAGCGTCAATTTCGGTAGGGCGGAAGACTAGCGCAGCGACACGAGGAATCTTGGCCAACAACGAGATGCTGTCATCGAAAGTGGGCTCCCAGTAATCAGCCTTAGGAAGACCCTTCTCATAAGCCTTGGCGAATTTAGACTCAGTATTAAGAGCTCCAACGGCAATAGAGAGTTGAGTCATTGGGTGCATGTCCTTGGGGAAAGACTTGAAAAGGTCCAAAATGTGTTGAGGGAGGTACGATTTCTCAGCCAATTCACGTGAAAAGGCGCGGATCTGTGTGGTAGAGGGAATTTTTCCAGTCAACAAAAGCCAGAACATGGCTTCAGGAAGCATCTCTGTGCCTGATGTTCCCTTAGGGAGTTCCTTCTGGCAATCTTTGATGGTACGACCGTGGAATCGGATGCCTTCGTTGGCATCAAGGACGGAGCCTTCCCAGACCATGGCCTTGAGGCCACGCATGCCTCCGATGGCGCTGGAGATTGTCACATTTCCAATGACTTCATCTCCACGAGCCTTGACTTGCTTGAGGAGTTCTCGCTTCTCCGGAATGACTTCTTTAAGGGTAGATTTGAGATCTGGTTCGGCTGTAGCATAGCCGCGAGTAGATACAATCAAGGGGCGAGAGGAAGCCTATATCGCATATCAGTCATTTGAGATATGACAAGTACTTCTCTCAATAATATCGTCCACATACCTGAGCCAGCTTCCAGCCATAGCGAGCTGTTCTGGATGGTGACAACATGCTGGTGGTGAGATACCAGCTTATCTGGGGGTGCGGGGTATGGTGTGGTAATCCGGGGTTGAGAGGCTCAGATGAAGTTGAAAATGAAGTTCAGTCACAATCCAGGCACGTTGACTAAAACAGGTGGAACAAAGGAGATGATGTGTAAAGACAAGCCGTGCAAGACGAAGAAAAAAGAGACAATGGCGTGCAGAAGAAGCTGAGACGACAGCTCAACAACAGACGGTGGCCGGGCAAGCTGTATTGCTGTATTGTAACATACAGCGTACATACTGCAATACCCATACAGCATAAATTACACGCATACAGATCAGCGTAATGGCGCCCCGTTACCCCGTCGGTTGGACGCGGAGAGCCGAGGTCCCTTCCACGTTCCGCGCATCAGACGGCATCTGCGGAATTGGCAACACCTCACCCGCCCGGACCGAATATCGCTGGTTTCTATCATACGTTCTATGTCCTTATTCTGGTTGATACAGACCATATTCATCATTGGGTCTGAGCTATCATAGTACTAGACCTCCGTGCTGGTACGTCCTTTGATACTCCCCACTGGTGGGGTGGGCACCTTTCATCCGATTCCGCATCAACAGGTTAAGACCCGCCACACGCGGAGCCAAATAAGCTCTACACCACAACACCCCATCTACTTTGCGCCCGCTGAAATAATTTCTTGCAGCAGACATACCATCTGACACCAGCTGGTATTTAAATTCTATCATGATTCGCAGCGTCGCGCGTCGACTGCCTCGACGGCCTTTCCGTCCAGCAATTGTTCCCTCCAGAGCTCCAGTATACAGCTCCATCCGAATGTCCTCATCGTTACCGCCCGTCGTTCCCCCGGTCTCCACATCGCTTCCTTCAGACTCTTTTCAACTACTTTCCACAGCGGAAAAAGCAGGCGATGCCGAAAATGCTTTGTTTGAAGAACAAGTGAAGGAGGTAGAGGCGTGGTGGAAGACTCCTCGTTATGAAGGCATCAAACGTCCATACAGTGCGGCGGATATCGTCAGCAAGCGTGGGGCGCTACAACAAACATATCCCAGCTCAATAATGGCGAGGAAGTTGTTCAATCTGTTGAACGAACGAGCTGCAGAAGGCAAACCAGTCCATACAAGTAAGATCTCTTCCCTTTTTACGCAAATGTAGAGACTGACGATCCCAGTGGGCGCCATCGACCCCGTGCAAATGACACAACAAGCTCCAAACCAGGAAATTCTGTATATTTCTGGTTGGGCATGTTCTTCGCTCTTGACATCGACCAACGAAGTGTCCCCGGATTTTGGCGACTATCCCTATAACACAGTACCAAACCAAGTGGAAAGACTATTCAAGGCACAGCAATTACATGACAGAAAACACTGGGACGCGCGACGGAAATTAAGCCCTGAAGAACGAGCAAAGACTGAATATGTGGACTTCCTGCGCCCCATCGTTGCCGACGGTGATATGGGCCATGGAGGTCTTTCTGCCGTGATTAAGCTTGCCAAGCTCTTTGCTGAAAAGGGTGCCGCCGCTGTACATTTTGAAGATCAATTACACGGCGGAAAGAAATGCGGTCATCTGGCTGGCAAAGTCCTTGTGCCGGTCGGTGAGCATATCAACCGTTTGGTCGCTGCCCGCTTCCAGTGGGATTTGATGGGTACGGAGACACTCGTTATTGCTCGATCAGATGCAGAAAGTGGAAAACTCATTAGCAGCGCGGTCGATGTCCGCGATCACGAATTTATCCTCGGTGTTACTGAAGATGTCGAACCGCTTTCTGAGACTCTTCAGGCTATGGAAGCGGAAGGTGTTTCCGGCGCGGAGATTGATGCTTTTGAGAGCAAGTGGGTCAAGAACCATAAGCTTGTCACGCTTGACGAGGGTAAGCTTATCTCGTCCTTCCATCCCACATATTCAAGGTCTAACAAATTTAGCCGTCGATGCCCATCTGAAAGCTCAGGGCGCATCTCAAGATGCTATCAACACTTACTGGAACCAGGTCAAGGCCAACCCTGACCTCTCCATGACCAAGCGCCGCGATCTTGCCAACACCCTTACCGATAAGCCTGTTGTCTGGTCGTGCGATGTTCCTCGAACTCGTGAAGGTTTTTATCATTACAAGGCCGGCTTCCCTGCAGCGACTAAGCGTGCCAAGGAGTTTGCTCCTTATGCTGATCTTCTTTGGGTGGAAACCGGAGACGCCAATGTTGAGAACGCCGCTACGCTTGCCGCCAACGTGCATGAACATTTCCCGGGCAAGAAGTTCGTCTACAATCTTAGTCCATCATTCAACTGGATGGCTCAGGGATTCACTGAGGCAACATTGAAATCGTTCATTTGGGACATTGCCAAGCATGGGTACGAATTGCTGCTTACTTTCGACTGATCTCACTGACTTTTGTTTAGTTTCGTTCTCCAGCTGATCTCCCTCGCTGGTCTTCACACCAACGCCACCATCACCACTGAGCTCTCGCGTGCCTTCAAGGATGAGGGAATGCTTGCCTACGTTCGACTCGTCCAATCGCGAGAGAAGGAGCTTGGCGTAGATGTCCTCACGCATCAGAAATGGAGTGGCGCTTCTTATATGGATGGTATCCTAGGATCGATCCAAAGTGGCAGCAGCAGCAGCAAGAGTATGGGTGAAGGCAACACCGAAACAGGTATGTATGCCTCCGCAAGCTGCGATCCGCACTGGCTAACCACTCGACAGGATTCTAAGCATTTCGAAGATGATGTACATTCTAAATTAGTCGTTTACCTGTATGCATTAGAAGCGAGGCGGTATCAATCCATCAGTATTCACTCACTATTCACTACCTGGTACACAGTAACAGTAGACAGTAAGATGTCTATCTAGAGTACCAGATACATAGACCCCACTGCCAAACACTGCCAGCCAATGGATTGGTAAGCCAGGCCCAGCACAGACGCTGATTGGGCTGTCACCGCCACAGATTTTCACATGGGGCCGCTAAGATAAAAGATTTGAGAGAAAAAAGTCTTGGGTCAGCCCCGCGTTGCCTCTGTTATTTTTTTTCCTCCTAATCCTTCCCTGCCATCAACCCTCCTGCTTCCTCTTTCTCCGTTACATCGGACAGAAGCTTGAGTCAAGCCTTCTTCCAGGGCTTCTATTCTCACATATCCCTTTTTTTCCTTCCTTTTTTTGTTTATTAGTCTTCCGGTTTTGTACATATATATTACAGGGAGGCAGTTGCCAAAAGGAAATCGGGCATTATCGACAACGATCACTTAACGACTTCATACCTTTCAAGTATACCCACATATTTTTTTTTCATATTATAGAATGCCTCATATCTCATCCCCCGAGATGTCTTCCATGCCGATTGCAGTCTCCAAAAACTCTTCCTCTGTCCCTCCGACCGAGGATGAGGTCGCCTCCCTCGTCCACACTATTTTCTCCGCCAAAACTTCGCAAGAGTCGCTTGACGCTTCTTACGCCCTTACGAATCTCTTCATCAACTCTGTCGGGTACCGCGGAATCATCGCCTACAACCTTATTCCTCAAATAAAGAAAGCCGCAGCCGATAAGAAAGATGGAGCGAAAAGAGAGAGTGCCATGCTCATCCTCGGCGCTTTGTTCGAACTGTTTCCCCGAAAAGACCCCCTCAGTGAGGTGGTGTTCCTTATCCAAGATGGTGGCATTCTGAACATCGCTTTGGATGCTCTAGCCGACAAAGGAGCCGTCGTTCGTGAGGCCGCTCAATACGCCGTCGATGCGCTTTTCGCTGGTTTGAAGCCCGAGTCTCTTGTCAACGCTCTCCTTCCAGCAGTCCTCCGATACCTTGGCAAAAGCTCCGGTAAATGGCAGGGTGCAGTAGGCGCCTATGCCTTGTTGGAGAAAATGGCCAACAAAGCCAAGATTGGCACCGGTACTAAAGATGAAGAGCGACAGAAGGATCTGCTTCGTGAGGCGATGGGCAACACTTTGAAGGATGTCATTCCAGTAGTCGAATCTGGCATGCACGACTTGAAAAATGAAGTGGCCAAGCAAGCAGTCAAGACAATGACGGCTGTCACCACCCTCATCACTAATGAAGATGTTATCCCTCGTATTCCATTGCTCATTACTGCTATGGAAAAGCCCTCTTCGGAGAGCTTGCAAAAGACAATCCATGCTCTTTCCCAGACCACCTTCGTTGCCATTGTCACTTCGCCAGTTCTCGCCCTTTTGACGCCTCTTTTGGAACGATCACTTAACACTCCCACGACTTCCCAGGAAGTGCTCCGTCAAACCGTTGTGGTCGTGGAGAACTTGACAAAACTCGTGCACGACCCCACAGAAGCCAGGACCTTCCTTCCCAAGCTTAAGCCTGGTGTACAGGCCGTTGAAACTCGTGCTTCACTTCCCGAAGTGCGTGAACTCGCCAACAGAGCCTTGAGCGTTATCAAGAAAGCTATGGGTGATGATAATGGAAATGTCGCAGACGGAGCCGTCGTCAAGACTACCTCTGACGATGTGTTGAAGGTCCTCGATGCTAAGATTGTCGCTCACGGTGGACCAGCCCAGCCAGGCGAGGCCAAATTCTTCGATATCGTCAAGTCTTACATTGCGGATATGGTCCGCGAGGACATCAACGTCAGAATGCTTGATCGCATTACCGAATGTGTTGGGCCTTATCTCGCCACTTTTGTTCAAGACGGACAAAATGACGCCGTTGCTTCTGAGGTCCAGGAACATTTTGTTGAGGAAGACCACCGCAGATTCGGCGCTCCGGTCCAAGAAGATGATGGTGAGGTCGAAATTGTCAACGCAGACTTTTCCCTCGCCTACGGTGGTATGCTTCTGTTGTCTCACACCAACCTCCGCCTATTAAAAGGGCATCGTTATGGTCTATGTGGTCGCAACGGTGCGGGTAAATCCACACTGATGCGCAGTATCGCCAATGGAAAGCTTGAGGGATTCCCGCCCAAGGAAGTTCTCCGTACTTGCTTTGTCGAGCACAACCAAGGCGAAAGCGCTGAACTCAGCATTCTCGAATACTGTGCTCATGACCCCGAGCTCCAGAATGTCAGCAAGGAAGAAATTTCCACTGTGTTGAGCGAGTTCGGCTTCACCGCTGGTCCTGAAGGCCGTCAATCACAGAAGGTCGGATCACTCTCTGGTGGTTGGAAAATGAAACTCGCTCTTGCCCGTGCCATGCTCATGAAGGCCGATGTTCTTTTGCTCGACGAACCTACTAACCATCTCGATGTTGCCAATGTCAAATGGTTGCAAGAATATCTCAAAGCCCACACCGACATTACCAGTCTGATCGTCAGTCACGACTCTGGATTCTTGGACGAGGTCTGCACAGATATTTACCACTATGAGAGCAAAAAGCTCGTGTGCTACAAGGGTAACCTTGCAGACTTTGTCAAGGTCAAGCCAGAAGGCAAGAGTTACTACACTCTGTCTGCATCCAACGTTCAATTCAAGTTCCCAGCTCCCGGTATCCTGACTGGCATCAAGTCACAGACCAAAGCCATCCTTCGAATGACCAACTGTACATACACATACCCAGGAGCCAGCAAACCTTCCATTTCAGATGCCAACATCACGTTGTCTCTCTCTTCTCGTACCGCTATCATTGGAGGTAATGGTGCCGGAAAGTCAACCTTCATCAAGCTCTTGACCGGAGAGACTGTGCCCCAGACTGGTCGTGTTGAGAAACACCCCAACCTTCGTATTGGATACATCAAGCAGCACGCTCTTGAGCACGTCGAGATGCATCTCGAAAAAACACCCAACCAGTATCTGCAATGGCGATATGCCAACGGTGACGATCGCGAGGTGTACCTCAAGCAGACTCGTATTTTGACCGCTGAAGAACGTGAGCAGATGGAGAAGCCCGTTGACCTTGGTGGTGGTCAAGGCCCCCGACGCATTGAAGCTCTTATGGGTCGACAAAAGTGGAAGAAGTCGTTCCAGTATGAAGTCAAATGGGTTGGATTGCTTCCCAAATTCAACACCATGATTTCCCGCGAGACGTTGACCGAGTTGGGTTTCTCCAAACTGGTGCAAGAATTCGACGACCATGAAGCGTCCCGTGAAGGTCTCGGTTACCGTATCCTCGAACCCAAGGTCATCGCCAAGCACTTTGAAGACGTTGGTCTGGACCCCGAGATTGCCAACCACAACCAAATCTCTGGCTTGTCTGGTGGTCAAAAAGTCAAGGTTGTTTTGGCCGGCGCCATGTGGAACAATCCCCACTTGTTAGTCCTCGACGAGCCTACTAACTTCTTGGACCGCGACTCCCTTGGAGGTTTAGCCGTCGCCATCCGTGACTACAAGGGTGGTGTAGTCATGATCTCCCACAACGAAGAATTCGTCGGCGCCTTGTGCCCTGAGCAAATCCACATTGCCGACGGTCGCGTCACCCACCGCACCAGCACAGCCGTGGCGGCGGATAGATTCGAAGACAGCCAGCCCGGCTCCCCTGCACCCAACAGCACTGTCCCCAGCACCGTGGCCAGCTCTGTCGTGTCCAGCGCCGCACCATCAGCCGTCAACTCCGGTGCCGAAGATACCGGCGAGCTGAAATTCAAGGCCAGGAAGAAGAAGAAGCTTACCCGCGCTCAAGTGAAGGAGCGTGAAGCTCGTCGTCGACTCCGTCATATCGAGTGGCTCAATTCACCAAAGGGTACCCCCAAGCCTGTCGATACTGACGATGAGGAATAAGCTTTCTGCTGATGTCAATAAAATATTGTTTTCTGTTTTGCGACTTTTTATTTGTGACGATTCTTGATGAAAGATACATTGTTTCATGATAGAGGTATCGATGCATGGTTTGCTTATTCATATAGACTGGGATGGCGTTTGTTCTTTGATTTTCTTATTCTCTTTTGGTTTATAGTAGACATTGTTGATTCCCATTACAATAATTCATGGTACTTATATTTTCGCACATCTGTGATACCGTTAGATAAAGTTGCTGTCAATACATTGTAACTACCCAGGTAGTCGCATACACCTTTTTTCTCACTCCTCGAAGCTACATTCTAAGTAGAAATCTATTTTATAACATCCTGCCTACAACTCCCAAGGCATCATGAATATCCAACAGTATACCTTTGCCCAGCCACACATTAATAGTGCTGCGCCACAGTTAACGGACCGGAGATGTGGCTGATTAATCATTCTCCGCGCGGAATGACTTCACCAATTCAACTGCACGTGGTTTAAACCCAGAGCAGCAGGACTGTCTGAGTCAATTGCATTCGAAAGCGACCAGATATCAAAAAACTATAGCCACAGTGAAGCGGAGCGATTCGATAGTTACATCGACAAGATGTCCACAGGGAAATGGCTCAAGATGCTCGTGGCGTAAGTTCCTAGCACCACCCGCTTACAAACACGACGAAGAAGAGAACATTTACTAATCGCCCACTCGATTGTCTACAGAGGCACCATCGTCGCCGTCGGAGGACCGCTCTTCGTCCAATCAATCCGCCCCTCAGACGAGGAACTTTTCAGCGTAAGCTCCCATCGCCCAACAACTCAATCACAGCCGAACGATAACTGAGTATGAAATACAGAGATACAGCCCCGACCTCAAGAAGGCTGCGCTCGAGAACCGCGATCGTCAGGAGAAGGAGTACAATGAGTATGTGAATAAGTTGAAGGAGTGGTCCAAGTCTGATAAATCGAGTATGTCCCTTGATCTTCCATCCAAGAGGAGAGAGGAGAGGCGTGAAGAAGAGTCAAGCTGATTTGTGGTAGTCTGGTTCGCCGTCAAGGAAGAGGAAGCCGCGAAATTGAAGGGACAAGCGCCTACGACATCTACGACATCTACGACGGCATCGACGTCGGCACGATCAAAAGAGGAAGAGCGGATACAGAGGGAGGAGATGCGGAGGGAGTTGCAGGGGGGAAAGTGATAACTCAAATTTCGAAACAGGACGATTCTTCTTGGGGCATCAAAAGCGATGTTCTAAGTTGTGTATTTCTATGTCAAAATGTATTATATGGTTACGAATCTCATACTCTTGACTCACTCACGGCTCAGAACCTGGACTAGGAGATATAGATTGGCTTGGTATATACATGGGCTCTTACATTCGATGCCGTCTCAGTGTAGTACCTGATCAGATATACCAAAGCTACCCACTAGCAGGCATCGCTCATGCGCTTGAACATACATAGCACAAGAACTACGCGTCATGATTCCTTTTGAATCATTTTGCTCTTAGCAAATTACAGGATTGCACAAACACGAACACAGCTATGTTATTAGTGACTCCATCATGATATTGTCTTCTTATTGACAGTGCCCCGCGATGGAAACTTAAGGCTCAGTCCCAAATAGGAAGTCCCCATACATGTCCAATTCGAAGCATGCAGGCCCGATGCGAAGATCACGTTACAATCATTGTGTCCTCAGCAGATAGTTATTTTCAACGAATTTACATAAGCCGATAGTCCCGCCGTACTACTTACCCCTTTCCAGCGCTCGATCTGAACGAAGGAGACATTTATTAGTACTGCTATAGTTCCCTACATGATATAAGCCGCTGTGATCGGCATTTCCGTTATAGTAAGTCATGTAATCATGGTGTCAAGAGATATTGGTTGCTGATCCAGAAGGATCTCTATACTCCATACTTGGTTTTTTCAATATCGATGCATGCAAAAGTATCTACCTATTCTTTCAAGCGACCCAGATAGCTTGAATCAAACAGCTTATGCTACTTCGGTGGGGAAAGAAGTTCCAGACCCTTAGTAATTCCTGCAAATTTCGGCGTAGTAAATACAAGACATGTCCAATCTCATCGTTGACGAATATCAAGCATCTTTATTTCTCATTGCATAGCTGTGTCCGATTAACAATTCTCTGTTTGAAGTCAGAATCCAGAAGAAAGACACAATTCTAGGCTTTGAGACATCGTACAAGTGGTCATGAGTGAAACATCTCACAGTGAGTATGTAACCTCATAGTATGACTGTGATGTGGTACTCAATGTCCATAGTATCCCAGCTCGTGCAACTCTGCCGCTTGACTCGATCAGCTGCCCAGACGGTAGATGTTTAACATATGTTATGAGCTGACCTTATGATATGTTTGGGCGAAACCCTCACGGATATTGAAAGGTAATAGCGCAATATCTGACTCATGGAGAACCTGATATACGAAGCTTTTCTTAGATCCCGAATGCTTGTGCTGTAGCGCCTATCTGTAGTCGTACATCGTCTAAACTCGTACGATACTGGGCAACCCTAGGTGCGGAAGTTTCCTTTTCTTTCTCGTTTTATGTTTTGTATTTAGTTGATATGCCCTTATAGTGAGCACCAGACGGAACCAACCCGTAACACATAGGTATTATTCCCGAGTAGAGGACGTTACGACATACCTGTGTGTATATATAGCACTTGAAAATATTTCTGCAATAGCAGTAGAATTTCAGATAAATATAACATAGCTGCTGAGGCTTGCTAGTGTCAAACAAAACTGAAATATGGATCAAAATGAAGACAGCGATGACTGTTGAACATTGCTAACATTAAAGAGAAAATATTAAGGAGTGGACGAACGAAGACTTAGAGCAGTAGCTGTTGAAGCTTGCTCATGTCAAACAAACTAAAGTTACGAAATAGGTCAAATTGAAAATAGCGACGACTGTTGAAGATCGCTATCAGCAAAGACAAAATATCAAAATTAGAGTGGACAATGAAGAGGTAGAGCAATAGCCGCTGAAGCTTGATAGTGTTATGAAAGACAGGTTAGAATAGGCAGTAAGATTGGCAATGCTACCTTCAATAACCCAAAAACACGGCTTCTTCGATGATTAGGGCTTTCAAATTAGGTGGTAGTGTACGTTATACCTGGGCTAGTGCCGCCAGCGTTTTGTACAGTCACCGATATGGGGCCCGCAGTTCCAACTGGAGGCGCTACGGCGGTGATGGTGTTGTCGTCCAGGACAACGAAACTGGCTGGCAAACCACCGAAGAAGACGTTTGATGTGCCTGTAAATCCGCTTCCTGTAAGGGTCACGTTGTTACCTCCTGATCTAGGCCCACTTGTTGGATTTATGGTAGTGAGAGTTGGCGGAGCGACATATTGAAAAAGGGTCCCATTACTGAAGGCAACGGGAGTGTTGACGGTAACGGATACTGCACCGGTTCCGGGAGGAGAGACGGCGGTTATGAGGTTATCAGATACCACATTAAAGGAGGCTGCTGGAGTTCCTCCAAAGAAAACTCCAGTTGCGTTTATCAACCCAGCTCCGTTGATACTCACCGTTGTGCCACCTGTCGTCGGTCCCTGGGTGGGACTACTAGAAGTGATGACTGGTGGTGGCTGGAAACCGAAGCTCAATGAACTATCTGAGCCACCTGGAGTAATTACGGTGATTGGGACTGTGCCAACAGCATGTGCAGGTATGATGAGGTCAACTTCAGTATCGCCAACAACACCAGTAATAATAGCAGGGGTCGATCCGAAAAGGACACTTGTCGTTCCTGCTAAGCCAGTGCCGGTTATAGCAGCAGGAGTGCCACCAGATATCACACCTGCGGTTGGGAAGATAGCAGTCGGTGCTGGCAGCGCAATATAGGTGTAGGGCACAGGAGGACTGACAAAAGTGCCAGAGGTCACGGTCAAATTAACAGGACCAGGAGCAGTTCCGGCTGGCGCAGTGATATTGATAGCTGTAGGTGATAGAATAACGAAAGCGGTAGCTGGAACACTGCCAAAAGTAATACCAGTCACAGTATTGAGGTTTGTGCCTGTTATAGTGACAGTATTTCCGCCTGATATTGGCCCCGAACTTGGAGTCAAAGAAGTAATTGAAGGTACGGGGGCGGGATTGTATGTATATGGAACCCCAGTACCGGTACCAGTTGGGCCAGTTACTGTAATAGTCACTGTACCACTTCCAGGGGGCGCGATTGCAGTGATAGATGTGTCATTGATCACTGTGAAGCTGAGGGCAGGGGTAGTACCAAAATTTACCTGCGTGGCAAATGTGAAACCAGTTCCCGTCAACGAGACTGAATTCCCCCCGGCAGCAGGACCGGTATTAGGGACAGCACTAGTGACTACAGGTAGAGGTCTCACAATATTGTAGGTATAGGTCAGAGGAGTAGCACTGGTACCTGCTCCATTTGTGACATTGACAGATGCCGGACCTGCACCAACTGGAGCTGGAGGCACCACAACAGCAACCTGGGTGCTGGATAGAACAGCAAAGCTAGGGGCATTCACAGTAATAGTGCCCTGTGTGAAGCTCACATTAGTCGTATTTAAGAGACCAGTACCAGTAATTGTTGTCACATTCCCACCGGTCACCGGGCCATTATTGGGACTTAGAGAGGTAAGTGTAGGCGCAGTAATACTTTGATAGTTGAAAAAGACTGGCTGAGTGCTACTACCACCTGGGGTAGTCACAGTCACTCTTGCCGTCCCCGGAGCAAATGGCCATACAGGAGTTGTGACAGATACTGTCGTTGCAGTACTGCTCGATGGCGTCGCCGTCACGGAGCTAGTGCCACTTCCAAAGGTTACTAAAGTGGCTCCAGATAGGTTGGTACCAGCAATCAATAACGGGGTACCACCGGAGGTCGGTCCAGTGGTAGGATTGATTCCAGAGACAGTAGGTGCAGCAGCCATTGTTGGAAGAGATCACAATTAACAAGACTATTCAGTATTGAGTGGAGTGCAAAGTATAGTGCAATGAGTTGGAAAGCTTGTGTTGATGGTTGATGAATATCTGGATACATCGGGAAACTTCTCGGTTTAAATAGACGTTTTGAGCGCAGTGTTTACTGCTGTCATCTTCAGCAATCTGAATGAGGTCGTCAGTTGATGTCTAAGAAATGTAGGGCTTGTCATACTCTATCCTACCACCAATTCCCCGCCAATCCCCCAATGCTATGATTGTTATACAGGGTTAACGATTTGGCGTATGCATCTCGGCTGTGGAAGCACAGAGAGCTTCTACTTCTGTTTAGCGCTCCCTTTATTTGGACGAAACTTGTCACGAAGTTCTTCACCATACTCAATGTCTTTCTAGCGTAGTATAGTTGCCTCAAAATAGTCAGGCGGTCGTATCTGGAGAAATACAACGTTCCCAGAGAAGACACCCCTGGAGGGATACACAAAAGAAAAATTCGTATCTGACCCCCCTCCACCACGATCACGCTCTTCTCTTCCAGGAGCTCATTGGTGAGCATGCAATGTGTACAATGAGTGAGGTGAACATCCCAAGAGTACTTCAGTATTCTTCCTGGCGTACAGGAATCGCTTCACTTTCACCGTAAATTAGTCATCAAGGTCTCAGGCACTCAATTTCTGCATGTCTTGATCATCGAAAACATCCGAATACTACCCATCTCCCATTATTCGTGACTGTAGGGTTGTGCAATAACCTCATGAGAAATCAATTGTGGCGACCCATTCTCCTTGGTTTCAAGATACAAGTCAAGTAGACATTAAATGTGACTAGGCGCCTCCCATCAATTGATACTTCCAATTTTTTCCTTTCATTGCGTATTGATTGCGTGATACCATCGAGTTATGGCACTTGAAGGCTTCCACATCGATCACTTGGATATCAAAAACATTTAAAACCCCAGACTCTAAAGTTGTAAGACCAGCATCATCGATTCTTTCCTAGACGCTCACGCATCGTCCTCTTACCACTTAACCTGCGACCCTCAATACGACCAAGCCTTTCAAAGGGTTGATCGGATCGTCGACCGGATTGTGGTACTCCAGAAGATCTAGTCCGGCCTTTTTGGAAGACATTTCTCCGACAATGGGCCTCCTACTGAATGAATATTTTGGACGGACTGGTATTGTGTTAGAGAATGACCGCCGAACTGACTGTCGATTGATGTCAGATAACTCGGATACCCAAAGCCATCAATATACGAACCTTCGCCCAATGTACCTAATATTTGACTTGAGACCTTATGGCCGTGTTCCTTGGAGAGTATACGGCCTCAAGTCTGCTAGTTATTCCTCATCTTGCTAAAGTATCTATTTGAACATAGATTGGAACTTCATGTATTTCAGACAAAAACATAGATACAATGTTTTTCACCACTTGACCAGTATCATGAAATTAAGGAAATGAAGGCTCTTTATAGAGTGAGCCAGTAAAAACACCGTCAAACCATACAATTTCATCATCACCAGGTAATCACCACAAAATCCGTTTCGAGATCAATGATACGACTTGAAGAGCTTAGATGACATTCAACCGCGGCATGTACAATGACCAGCAGAATCGATGTCTTACCTACCAAAGCAACTGTCTCAGAGGCTTGCTTCACCAGAATATGTGGCGAACATGGTGGACATAAGCCTGAAGAGTAGTCCAAGTGATAAAATGCTACGTTGATGAGACATGGAATATTCTGGACCTGCACAAGTCGCCGTTCTTTTTTATAGCCAGCCCCCCAAAACTGAAGGAGCTCACATCTTTCGCAAAGGCAGTTTTGGCCTGGGTAGACTTAAGGAGAGGAACCAGATAGAAGAAAAGCACGGATTGTCTTCGGCATTGTTTTTATACAGGTCTGGTGGAAATTTTCGATTAGTCTTAAACGGGACTTATGTTAGAATATCCTGTACTGTAGCGTGAAGTATCATTATAGGATTGGAGCTCACTCCATTACTGGCAGAATAGCTCATATTCTCTCAATTTACCATCTTTTGTTCTCAACTTTCCATCTTTTATATGGCTAAAGAGCTCTTGTTTGGAGTTAGGGTTATTCATATTACATACAACCTTAGGGAACAGACGACATGAAGGTAGGGTTTGTATATACCAGTTTCATGGAAAGGCTAGTTCAACTATTGTATACGGATGATGAATGAAATTCGTATACAAAGTAAAGTCAGTAAACCCGTAGAAGCCTTGTTGTCCTGAACATTTAATCACTCCCATGGAGGGCGCGACTAAATTGCATTCGGCAATAACTAGGTGTGCTCGTTTACAGGCACTATCACCTAGGCAAGTACGGAGGAGAAAGACGAAGGAAAACGAATGTCTCTAATCCCATGCATGATGTGACCTCTGCGCTAACATCGGATTAGGAAGTCCAGCAGCTGCGGCTCCTCATCGGCTTCTCGTAGTTCCCTAATTCGGTGTATCAGCTGATCTCATTAATATGTTCTGGCTGGGCGAAGTCCTCATATATCCAAGTAGCGTCTATTACAGTTATCATTACGTTGAGACAATCTCCACATGGCGTTGAGCCGTGATGATCATCCCCGCTTGCTATATCATACCATACTGCATCACCTATAATGCGCGCAGCTTTTTGGGCTAGTTATAATATCTTATAATTGTTAATCCAGAAATTTGTTGCATAGAAGCCTCTAATTCCTCTTGCCTAGCACACAAGACCTTGTTTTCTTTCTCCTTCCTCTCCTTATGCTACGTCTTATTTTCAGAGAGGAGTCCGTGATTCTGCATAGGCTGTTTATAGATGCTAGACAATTTTGAGTTTTCATAAAGAAGAAACCTCCTATTGGAGAGCTTGTTAGATTTTCAAGATATAGGGCATTTATTGGCTAGGGTAAAACCTCGGAATGAGAGGTGGAGATATCCTGCCGATCTTTGACCATGTCTTAGTTGTATATCCTGGATGTCTCACTCATGTTTCTCTGGGCACTTGTTGAAGAACTCGTATTACGTAGCTTGAGAACTATATGTCTTGGAATGAATGATGCTACATAGGTGATGCTCTGAGATGTTGTTGTGTATAAAGAGCCCTAATCACCTCACGGTCTACTGCTCATTATCGCATCAACACCACAACCATTCTTCTATAAGAACATTCTTCTTTCCAAAGTCAATCGCTGTCAAACACTCAACACTCCTGATCAATAACGTCAATCGCAAACCATCTCCAAAATGAAGTTCATTTCAATCATCACTCCTGCCGTGCTTGCCGCAAGTGCAATGGCACTTCCAACCTCACAGAAACGCGATGGCTCTACAGGACCCTTTTCTGTAATCGCCCTCCGCTCTGCATCGCCTATCCATCTCCAACCCGTCAACGCTGCTGGCGAAAGATTCTGGATTGGCGGTCAGGCCGCCACCTACTGTCCCTCAGAGGTCGTCGACCCATGCCCTCCTGGCACGGAAACCGTTTGGGCCAATACTAATGCCTTGGTAAACCTTCCCCCTTCCCCTCCAAGTTAATTGTTGTACTAACAAACACAAAGGACGTCGAAGTCCCAGGCGGCCAGGAGGTCTATGTTGACCCCTCTGGCGCCCTCGCTTTCACCCAGGCTCACTCAGCCAATATCCCAACGGGCGCTTCCCTAGGACCATTCACATTTACCCCCGGTACACAATTCGGCACATACTCGACCAGCGCTTTCGGTGCCACGGGCTTCATGGCATGTCCCGATGATGCTGCCAATCCTACCAAGTGGCAGGTCTTTGCCGCTTTCCAGGGTGCGTCGGTCCCGACTGGTAATGTTGGGGATTGTTTGGGATTTGACGCTGGTGCGCCTGCGTACACGGGGGATATTCCTGCTTGGCAGTATATCTAGATGTCCTCTCCTCGAGGCTTCGGTGTTGCGATCGATCCTGTAGACATTTTGTTACTTAGGGAGATTTGAGGATTCTTTTCTTTTCTTATACATGTTTTAGTAGAATACATATCTTTGATCAGGTTCTCTCCAATGACTCCTTTACAAAGGGAAGGCACTGGTACTCGTGCTCCTTCCTTGACATCAAACCCCCTCAACTCATCTCATCTTCACCTCATCTATGATCTTTCTTCGTCACACAAGACTTCCCTATATATCTTGGTTATGACTCACTTCAATGTTATTTCGCATGAATATCCCCAAAACCATCACAATTGACCTGTAGGCCATCTAGATATGTCGCTCGCACTGACATGCTAACTCGACCTGCGCAGAATATATCGAGAATCAACATTATTACATTGAACATCATGCTCGCTAAAAAACTCCCACCCAACCTCTCCACAGTCGACCAGAACGACCTCCAAGGGCTTGAAGAACGTCTACTCGACCTCGACCGCAAGATTCTCAAGTACCACGACCGCCTCCTCGAGAAGAGCGACTACCTGGTCACAGCCACAAATCATATTCGCGACGAACTACAGATCCTGACTCGGCACCTGAACAACCAAACCTCCGTAATCAATAGCACCCGCCACATCATTTCTGCCCAAGCGCGCACCATAAGCGCCCAGGCACGTAAGATAAGATCCCAGCAGGAGATGATCGACGTTATGCAGCGGGACATCTTTCGACTCGGGACGTGGTATTCCGAGTTCTCAGGGAGAATGAATTCGCATGACGAGATCCTATCGAACAGAGCAGGTGAGGTTCGCGAGCTGTGGGAGTCGTTGGAACGTCACACGCGATTTACGGAGCAGATTGCCAAAGAGACGTATTGGATGCATGTTTATACGAAGCAGGTTATGCTCATAAGGGCGTCGGAGATGGCGTTGATTGGCGCTTCTGCAGGTTGTGCAGATGATGGAGACGATGATGGAGACGATGATGACGACGAAAGGAGTGATTCTGATACTGCTGCGAGTGTTTGCACGGAGTCGACGCTTATCACGCCACAGCAGCACATTATGCTTGATACTATTGTTGTTCGTATGATCGAGGATGCGATGCCGGATCGACTGAAGGATGTCTGTGACGGATTCGAGGTTGTACATGGATGCTCTGCATTTATACAAGGCAGGGAAGCTGCGCAGCCGCCGGAAAGTGAATTTGATGTAGATGCAGAGATGCTCCGCGAGGATTCAGACCATGGTTCAATGTTAGTTTGACACATTCTTTTCAAGTTTTGGCCGCTTTTGGAACATCGTGTATATGCTATACTGGTTTTTGTGCCTAGCTTTAGTCCCGTATGAATACGAAACAATTGGTATAAACAAGATATAGATTCCTATAACGTTCGCCCTTGTATTACAGAAAGATGCTTCGACTCTTTTCCTGCCTTGACAAAAAATCTATACAACAGCTAAATCAAGAAGACTTGACCTTCTCCTCAGCAGCCTTGACGGCTCCCTTTGCACTATCCGTAACGAGTTTCGCGCTTTCGACGGTATCAGCAGCGATATCCTTGGCAGCCTCCTTGGCCGAGCCCTCCTGGCTTCGGCGCCAGAGGAATATTCTGGTCAATTGTGCGGTTCCGGTTAAGGCGAGGAAGAAGTTGACAGCAGCAAGGCTGAGCAGTCAGTATACCTCTGCCAAAGAGGGTCAAGGAGAGAGAGAAAAGGGAAGGGACATACAGCATGTTCTTGGGGGTGATGACGAAACACCATCGAGTCCATATCGTGCCGGTTGCGACGAGAGCGAGGTTCTGCGTCAAGGAGAGCTTTTCGGCGGGACGCGCAAGGTCGGAAATACCCGCGATGACGAGGGACCACTATTGTACCGAATATCAGAATGACTTATCCATCACGATGCTAACGAAGCATTGTAATCATACCTTCATAACAGGAGCCCTACCACCAATCCCATTAGCCTTGACAATCCTCTAGTTTAAGAATGAATGGAAAAGAAATACCAAAAATGAACAGTCTTGAATCCAACCGGGCTATTCCACATCCTCTGGAAAGCGTTCTGTGACTCTCCAGTGCCCGCGGCGCTGGCCTCCGTGCTCGAGAAGCGGAAGCCCTTGTTGTTGCTCACATTTTGGCGAAAGTTACGCAATGCGGCGCGCGAGTTGGCGAGGAAACGTAGACCGACGCGGGATGACATTTTATCTGTCTTGATATGTTGTTTTGGGATTCGATGACGGGTTTTATGAAATCGGGGTTTGTCGGACGGGGCGGTGTTCCGGCGGTGACTTCGACGCTCTCTCTCAGAATATGCGGAAAGAGTGGAGAGATTGATACAATCACTATTGTATCTAAATCATTCGATGGAATACCTTCAACCCCTCTGATATGGTGATGTAGAGTACAGAGAATGAGTCCGATGGAGTCCTCAGTCCGCTGCCAATTCTCACCGGCATCGGCCCCCCAGCTTTTTGCGGCCGTTGATTGGTTTTGGCTCGGAGACTACGGCGATAAACGCGCTGATGTAATCATACCCTCTGTGATTGGTCGAAGCGCAGAACTTCACTTCGCAACCTCGTCAACATCATTTAGAGACGGTAGAGAAGCTCCGTTGCAATTGACAATCAATTGACCCTCGACTCCCGCCAATTCCTTTCGAACGACAGAGATAAAGTGAGGAGAAAATGTCCGCAAAATACGCCTTCAACAAATCCCTCAAAGAACTCCGGTTCCTCTTCTGCCAGACCTCATCCCACAGCGATGCCACGCGGTACATCACCAACCCTCCCTCTACTCGATGACACACCGCTAATTCTTTGATTGATTGGGGTGGTGTTAGATCGTTCCTGAACCGCGCATACCCAACCATGAAGAAGAATAACCCATACGTCCCGATTCTGATCCGCGAGGCGTCGGGGACTGAGCCAAGGGTTTTCGCTCGATATGGTGCGTTTCTCTCATCTTACCTTTCGAGGTGAATGTCCATGGGGAGTTGACAAGCAGCTAATGTGCGGTGAAAACACAGAGTTCGGAAAGGAGAAACAGGAACTACTAGCCGGTAAGCATACCGCAATTTCTACGAAAGTGTGCATTGCTAATCAGATTGATGCAACAGGCTTGACGGATAAAGAAATTGAAGAGAAGATTACGACGCTCGTGAAGCAGACTCTTTAATTTATGGTTTTGTATAAGATTTCATTCTCTCGAGCGATGCGATGTGATACAGCCATATACACAAAACCGAATGGAACCGCCCAGCAAGCAGATTTAGAGACGCCGTTGCCAATGACATGGGAATGATCAATCGGCAATGAGATGAATGGCTGAGGGCCCTGTCTATCACGAGATGAAGGGGCGTGGTCAACGGATATCGCGGGTTACCTGTACTTATACTCTAGAATATGTTTTATCTCCTGCATTTCGCTCCTTTTACTCTCTATTCCAATCTCGACGTGTAAGTATTCAGTTCGACCATAACTTATACTGTTTTGTTGAACGTTAAATGCTAGAGATTCAAAGCGCGTATAACGTGGCAAAATGATGATGCTACCAATGTAGATCGACACAGATTGTGATCATATACAATAAATATAATAAATACACCAAATACCATTCATTCAAAATGGTAGTAAACCAATCAGTCAATATCCAATCCCAGACTCCATACAAACGCCATCCACCTCCTCGTATGCATTTACCAAAACCAAAAGTGAAGGAAAGAACGCAGTGCCATGCAGTGATATGACCAGGGAAAAAAGAAGACAAAAAGAAAAAGAAAAGAAAATCAAGGAATGTGAGATCAAGAAGCCTCGCCATCTTCCTCCTCGACAATTGTCGCAAACTTTTTCAAGACTTGCTTCAGAGCTGGCCGGCGGATCGGTTTACTCAGAAACATGTCCATGCCACTCTCAATGCAGTCTTTGATATTACTCTCTTCCGCAAACGCGCTGAGCGCCACGATGGGCGCGGAATAACCCATTTGTCTAATTAGCCTTGTACTCTCCAGTCCATCGAGGTTCGGCATTTGGATATCCATGAAAATCAAATCGAATTTATTCCCTTCGGACATGGTCGCTTTCACCGTGTCGTAGGCTTCTTGTCCGTCCTTGGCGACAGTGACGTCGTAAATATCCTCGAGTTTGAGCATGCGGAGGACGACTTCTTGATTCACGGCATTGTCTTCAGCGACAAGGACGCGTATTTTTGCGCTTGTGCTGGTGTCTGATGCTGTCGACAAGGTGGATTTGAGCTGGACGTGGCGTTTTGTGTCGGAAGATGGGTTGTTAGTAGTGCTGGCAGTGGTGGTGATGTTGTTTATAGGGGGAGATGACGGAGGTGCAGCTGCAAAGAACGGCTGGCTTAGACCAACTAGACGAGGCTGTAAGTCTTGAGTTTCGACGGGTTTCACGACGGGACTGTTGGCGCCTGATGTTCGGTTGATATTCGCAGCTTCGTCAAGAGAAATAATCTCACTCTGAGGGCGTGAGCCAGCTGTACTAGAACTGCGTGTACTAGGTGCCATCTCTTTCAAAAACTTCAGTGGAATATCAACCCTGAAAGTCGATCCCTTGCCCACTGTACTGTCGAGATGGATGGTACCGCCCATAAGACGGGACAATTGCGAACAAATGCTCAGACCGAGACCTGTACCGCCATACTTCCGATTCAAGCCCAAATCACCTTGCATGAAAGGCTCAAAGACTCGTTGTTGTAAATGTGGCGGAATACCTGGACCTGTATCTTCGACTTCAAAGCTGAACGCCAATGTTCGATAATTGAGAAGCATTTCTCGCTCGCGAAAGTGGTGGTCAAAGGTGCTACCAGCGACACTTCCACCAATCTGAGTAGACTGGAACGACGGGGTTCTCGACCTCATTTGCGAATTAGACCTCGAGTCGAAGGAAACTTTGGTACTGCCCTCTGGCTTTTCGTAATCGCCCAAACATTTGATGCGAACTTCGACACGGCCACCTTCGGGGGTGAATTTGAGACTGTTGCTGACTAGATTGATGAGCACCTGTAGAATACGATGCTGATCACCCCATAGAATCATGTCCTTCATCCGGCCCGTGCCTGGTGGACCATGTGCATGCGAAGTCGACGGTGAAGCCATGGTAAGTGCATGCTTCTCGTCATTGATAACGATGGTTTCCGCTGCAGCTGGTGCCCCAATGAATTTGACCGTGAAATGGACATGCTTTTCAATGACCTGCTTCTCGAAAATGGTCAAGATTTGCGACTTGATTTCCGCTAGATTGAACTCCTTTTCGTCCAGACGAATAGCAGAGTCAATCTCATTCTTACTGAACGTCAGCAAATCGTTCAACAAGTGCAGCAGCAAATCGCCAGACTTGTAGACCACTTTCAGAGATTTCTTAATCCTCGGCAAATCGTCCTCGCCCATGCAAACAGCGCACATACCCAGGATTCCGTTTAGTGGCGTCTTCAACTCATGCGAAATGTTCGCAATGAACAGAGTCTTGCTTTCGTTGGCCGTCTCTGCGGCCTTTTTGCTGATTTCAAGCTCGCGCGTTCTTTCCGCTACGCGTTCTTCCAGTCTGTTATACTGGATCATCAATTCGTCCGCCATTTCGTTAAAAGTGCTAGTCAATTCCGTAAGCTCGTCCGTGACGATGTGTTTCGATTCTTTGACTTTGCCGGGGACTTTAAATGTCTTTGATCGACCATCTTCGCTTGCAGTGCCTTGTGACAGTCCCCATCGACCATGCACGATGTTCGAAAATGCTCCAAATATGCCGGCCCGTTTCTCATTTTGCGCGTTCAATGTTTCCAAAACCGCGCCTTCGTTGTTATTATGATGATGATACGGTGATGGATGGATCGATTTTTCGGTTGCTGCTTTGAGTTTCCTAATCGGCGTCACACTGTAATGCGCCAATGGGATAATCGCAATCGCAATAAATCCCGCCGTACCAAACACACATGCAAGGATGATTTTGCGTAGCTGCGACACCGGTGCAAAGGCTTGCGTGTGCGTTTCTTCAATCACGAGCACCCAATCTACCAGTGTTGACTGCGGCCTGGCAACACCCACAGCAACGCGGTAGCCTTGCTCGTTAGTAGTATCGAGATCGCTGGAAGAATTGTCAAATGTCGACCTCGGGGTCTGAAGTGCGTCGAGAACGGTTGGATAATCCGCAAGTGGGAACGTGGATTCTGTAGCGCGGTATTTACTATGTCGGTCCTCGAAACCAGAGACAAGCGTCGGAGTAAAGACATAACGAGCTTGAGCTTCTTGGAGCGCGGTTTTATTGGTCTCTGGGCTGGTGCGTGTTGCTGCTCTTGCGTCTCCAGTAAACATATTATCCGCCGTCGCTGGACCGACAAGCATGACCGAAGCGGATGTATCAAGTCCGTTGTTGTCGGCAAGAGTAGATCGTAGACTTTCAGCACTCGCGATAACCCTGCTTCAGTCAGCTTATAGATGGAATCGAAAGCGAAACACTTACGTCATATATCCCAGAATATCCGTATTGGACGTATTATTTATAATCGGCAATGTGATCGAGATCAGCGTGAAGCTGGAGTTGACGTATAACGGTCCGAGCAACAAAGCTGACGTAACATTGATCGGGAAATCAGAAAAAGCGTACGCCGTGGCCTGCTCACTTGTCGCATTGGTCGGATCCACGCCGTCGTCGACGACATAAGTCAGGTTTGGATAGAGGGATGGGGGGTATCCCAGACCGGCGTCGCCGAGTACAACGGACTGCGTCGATTAGCAACACACTAACCAGTACGGAGGATGGAACACTGACTGTGCCATTATCATAAGTATAGGGAAGCACAATATTCTCTGTCAACGAAGTGGTCGTCACGTTCAACAATCCGTCTTGATCCCCGGCCTCATTCCGTGAATAGATTATGGCCTGGTATAACGAGACATAGCCACCAGAGCCCAGAGCGGATTGCACGTCGGAAATGGCTGTGACCCAATTCGCGTCTGTTCGGTTTCCTTGATAGAATCGTCGTAGAGCGGATTGAATCAGTACACGGGTTGTGACAGTTTGGCAGTTGGCTTCGATGAGGGCAATGTTAGAGGCGACTTGGCCGGCTTTGAGAGACGCGGCGAGGACGAGGCCTTGGGATCTGTCGATTGTCAATACATCAAAACATATTCATGAATTCAAGACTCGTGTCGCATACTTGACACCTGTCACAAAGTTATAATTATTCACCCACTGGTATGTCTGTCAGTCTTTGCATCAATCTGTGAAGCTGATAAAACTCACCGTCGCAACCGAGATAATCATCAATCCCACCAACGAGGTGACAAGCACCAGCAGCCCCAGCTGCAACCCGATCGGGATCCTCATGCGCTCGACTTTTGAATATCCAAAAGCCAAAATAGAAAATTCGATGCCCACTTGCTTATCGATACATGCCTTTCTTTGGTCAGATGGTCCAAGCAAGCTAAACAGGATAGGCTGAAAATTGGAAGGCGATCAGTGATCGTCCGTCCGACGTCGGAAAGCAGTGCGAAAGTACGGAGTCTCAAAAAACAGTGAGAGAGATGGAGTACCAGAAACCGAAAACTAAAACGAATGGAATGAATGGCCTTCAGTTCAGCTGCAATGACAATTGTCACGCCAAGCACGACATGGTATTAGTAAAAACAATATGGCAAGGAACGGACAGGTTGAGGGCACACGTCGTGGTAACAGTATGAGCGATAAAGTTGGTTCTGCCCAGTTTTATTTGTCCTTCGCGTGTCAGAGGCAAAGAGGAGAAGAAAAACGGCATACCCTCAGTCAGGCACGAGCGATTGGTTGGAATTGGGGACAGGGTGCTGTCAAATGCATTTTCCTCAGCTCCATTGGGGGGAGTCTGGAGTGCAGGAACACGGCGGAAGTCTGAGTCTAGAACTTGTCTTTGCTACGGCGTAAAGACAAGACTTCCAAGGTTTGCGAGACGCCACGTGAGCTACGCCAATCACGGGTTACTGACTGAGGTACGCTAGACCTGTGTTGGCCTAAGGTGCCAACCCCGACGACGCTAGACTGCATACAGACTAATCGCTATGCCGAGGCTAGGCCGGTTCGGATTTAGTCCGGCAAGCTCGGTCGAAACAGTCAAACTCCCCGGGAGATATTAATGTTGTTACTTCCAACGTTGCCAAGTATGTAGTCAAGACTTCTTTCAATTCACTTATGGATACCTAGCTAATAACGTCCCTCGAGAATCATTGTTCGTGAACTATTGCCAAGTGCAATCGTAAATTCCCCCGTTACCGGCATCACCCAATTCTGCCGCCGAGTGCTCCAATAACTAAGATCCTTGCGAGTCAATGCGAGCTCAACCTTTGTCGTCTCGCCCGGCGCCAACTCCACTTTGTCGAATCCGCGTAGAACCCGCACAGGAAACTCAATATAATCGCTAAAAGTGACATCCTCGTCTTTGACATCATTCGGAAACGAGACATACAATTGCACCACTTCTTGCCCTGTGCGAGTGCCCGTGTTGGTGACATTGGCAGTAACCACGACGAACGTCTCGTACAAAGATGGGTTGCCGCCCTCCCCTCCGCCGGCAGGAGACAGTGTGTACTTTTCCTTGTAGCCTTTGGGGAAGTCAAAGTGCCTCTGTTTGATCTCGGATAGATCAGAGAGGTATGGGTAAATATATTTGTTTAATGCTCGGAATCCCGCAGGAAATAATGCAGACCTCGCGTCTGGTGTCTGCCCACTGTATTCAGGCGGAGAAACAGGATCATTTGGCCGAGGCGATGGCAAAGGCGACTTCTCTCGGACCGAAGAAATGACAAGATCTGAATATTCAAAAGTCGTAAAAGACAGGCCATAGCCAAACTCATATCGAGGAGTAATGTTGTGTTTGTCAAAATATCGATAGTCAATAAACAACCCATCCGTGTAATTGACTTGCGGTACCAACGCGTTTGGAAAGTAGAGTATCTGCGCACTCGGACCGTAGTCTTCCAGGCTTTTGCCGATGGTATAAGGAAGTCGTCCACCGTCAACCCTACCGAACAAGACATCTGCCAGAGCGTTTCCGCTTTCTTCACCTGGAAGATGGGCAAGAACAACGGCCTTGATACGTGGGTGTTCGATCCAAGACTCTACAACCACAGGACCGACGGCATGAATAACGACGATAGTGACTCCATCCTCTCCACCACATTTGTTCGCAACTCGTTGAATATAACCATCACCCTGCTTCTGGAGAAACAAATTATTCCGGTCTGCATTGACGTCGTCCCATTTAAGATATCCTTCGCCAGAATCAGAATTGGCAAACACAATGCAAAGGTCGTGATTATCTAGATCCTTGTCTTCGTATTTGTCGGTTGGATATCCTTGAAATTCCACTTCTGTCTCATCAAAAGACTGTTTCAGTGCATCGATTGGTGTAACCAGATACGGAAATTCCACGGCACCACTTCCCCAACCAGACGCCAAAGTACCCTGATTGCAGCTTCGATCAACGCAAAAATTAGGACCCTTGCCTGAACCAGCGTCTTCTCCAAACACACCAACGCGGTATGGTTTTCCATGAGAGCTAGGCCCTTGTGAACTTAAGGGAAGAATGTCGTCTTCGTTCTTCACAATCACAGTTCCCTCCGCGGCAACTCGTCGAGCTATAATACTATGAGCATTCTCACCGCTGCCTTGCACATCAATAAAGTGATTGACTCTGCCAGAGGCTGGATCACCCGACCCTTCGAATAAATGGCCATTCTCCTCATTAGTCCACGAGGAGAAATTGGGAGATGTTGGATTATCGCCCGGCTCGTTTTGTCCCAAATGATACCACGCCGCTACAATGCGTGTCACCATATCGTTGAGACGTTCCATAGGCATTGTACCGTTGAGCACTGCAATTGTCAATTGCTTGCCCCAGAAAGACTTTCCGTCTGCCCACGAAGCGCCGTCACCGGGCATGGACATATCGAGCCCCGCGAGAGCGCTGATCACGCCCGACCGCTGTGMAAGCCAGTCTGACTGAACAAAGCCTTGAAATCCTAACTCATCCTTCAAAATGCCATTTAAAAGCTTGCTATTGCCACATGCATATGAATTATTGACCATCTGATACGAGCACATAACGCTGGCAACATTTGCACGAATACTCTCAGCAAAAGGCCAAATAAAAATCTCGTGCAGCGCCCGGTCGTCGATATTTGAGGACATCGCATCTGGTATAATCCACTCCCGGCCCTGGCGGAAGTGCTCCTGTTCATTCAAGACGAAATGTTTCGCTGTAGCCATTACACCGGTCCGCTGAATACCTCGAATCGTATCCGCAGCTGCAATGGCACTGAGAACAGGATCGGGAGAGAAGCCTTCCCAGTTTCGACCACCAGCCGGTGCAATCCCTAGGGGACCCATAGACGGGCCTAGAAGCACATTCACACCCTTTCCCCGAGCCTCTGTGCCGAGTAGATAGCCGCGTTCTTCGATCAGTGAGCGATTCCAAGTTGCAGCAGTTGTCAAACCAGCCGGGAAGGCAGTAATGTGATCGGCGAAACGAATACCCAAGGGGCCATCTTGCAGGCAGAGGGAAGGAAATCCAGCATCCATTGCGGGCCCTACCGTGTTTATCAATACCATGTTCGCAAGTAGAAGGCAGAGTCAAACACACCTGTGTTGCCAACGCACAACCCCATCGACCAACCCACCCCAGTCGTGACATTTACCTTCTCCAGCAACGTCATGTTCTGAACCATCGTCTTCGCTTTCCGATAACTATGCGCCCACGTCTCTGATGTCCCGCCCCTCGGCGACGGATACCACGGCGGAGATTCCTACCCCTATCAGTATTACTATATAATTTCTTTGTAGATAGAAATTAAAGAGGACGTACATAGACCCGATCTGCCCAAAAGAAACTCCTGATACTGCGCTGATAAGCAATCAAAGGCAAGAAAATAAAAATAAGMCCCGCCGCCGCAACGAGCGCGAGACGATGTCGAACAATAGACTTGGTGAGCCGAGACAGCCATCCACGAAACTTGGAGTTCGTTGGCCAGCGTCTGCTCGAGAGTTGTTGGCGCTTTTTGCTGCTGCTGCTGCTTCTGCTTGCTCGACGATTTAAAGGGGCCATGACGGTCTCGTCTGCGCCGCCCTCTTCGTCAAGGTCCATCATGTCATTTTCGTCGTCGGTGTCTTGGAATGAGAGGTCAGATACATCGGCAGGGTCTAAGTGATGTCGGGTCTGATGATGCAGAGTAGAATTGGACTGCGGTGGTGAGTCGAGAGTGTCATGGTGTGGCACTGGCTGATATTTGGAGTCGGCCATCTTGTCTGCCAGTAAGGAAGGCGCCCACAGGGAATGCGGTCACTGATGGAAAGAGCGATTGTCCATATATATACCGCTTATTTCTATTTGCACAAAAGGATGTACAATTGATATACCCAGGCAATGTCTATAGTGATGGAATCATGGTGAACTGAGGTTGATGGATGCGTTGTTGATGGTTTCTTATCTTATCTTCCCCTGCTGCTACAAACTCAAGGCCAATCTTACATAAGCAGCTGTAGCCAATTAATAACTATAAACCTGCAGTATGCTTGAATAATTTTGAATTGATGACTGCCTATCTAATAGAGAGGACGACGATATTTACCCTAGAAGGCGCTTCCTCTCGTAATTGCACTGTAATATGTAGACCGAGATGGATACATACAGTGAAAACAGCAGGAATTAACACAACGATGTGAGGCTATTCCCATCCTGATCAACAAAATAAATTACGTAAAAAAAGGAGTGTCAGGCATTTTTTAGGTATTGCAAAACACTGAAAACCCCGTATCAACCGTGGAACAGGGGTATATATACGCTGATTCAATGGAAACAGATATACGAGGTAGTTACTTAGATATATTTGTTTTGAATGGCTACTTTCTTATTTCCACTTGGGTCATAACTACCTTGATCTTAGCTCGAGTATGCACTTGATATCACTAAAAGTAAGTGGTCAGGCTCCTATCGTAGACTGTACTAAAATCATATTATTTTTCCCCAATGTACTCTAATACCCAGGTAAATCTGCTCATGACAGCCTGCTTATGGATTTTGGTGCGTCGCTTGTCTGACTATCCGCACAGTATTTCAATCATCTCCAACAGCTCACCTTGACACAGGAGCACGCCTGGGAGAATTGGTCCTCCCAGTCCCGGATGCGGTGTCGGAGTGGTAGGGGAACAGAAGGAGACTGCAACACTGGGTGGTTAGTCAAGGATTTGGAATATACCGTTGACGCTAACGAGAATTCCATACCACCTGAGCTTGTCTACGCTCTGACATGCGCCCATACAGCGCTAATAGGATCTCCCTTGTTCGAAGATTTCAAGTCAAAGATCGCGTTCCCTACGGCAAAGATGATCCAGATCTTATACAATCAGGGTCCGTGGAAGATTGCACGCAGTTTCAAGAGGTGGGCAAACTAGATATTGCTAAGTGTGACGCAGAGATGGCGACCTGGCTTGATACATTTATAGACTAGTACATCAAGATCATTACCTGGGCAGAGTAAAAGCGGCCGCATTCGGGAAACGTGTACATGAGAAGGATAAGTTACAGAACAATTTACGAACGGATATTGCTTTCATTGACGTCACTGAGATGAAGGTCTAGGCAGAAGATTGTCGGTACAAAAGGAAATGGCCTTCTGATACGAGAGAAGGTGATCTTTTTGACAACAGGGAGGCGATCAATTTGTGTCGTAGACTGGCGTTGAACGAGACAGTTGCGAAAGTCGGACGAAACAGCAGATTCTCTACATAGTTTCCCCGGAGACATCGATATCTCTCTAGGGTATTTCTAGGGAAGGAAGTACACAAGTTCTTGGCCGTGTACATGGTTCAAGGCTCCAAAGACTCCCGTTTTTGCTTTGCTGGGGAACTCAGGATGTTCGTCTCTGCCGAGACCTTTTCGAGTGACGACACGCGTCCCAAGCAGCACCGAGTGATTGACGGCCTGGCATCGATCCGAGCTGTGTTTCTTGGGCCGTAGTAAATCGACAATATCTAATAGGATACTAGGCCAGCTTCCCTTCCAATCTCTCCAGTATCTAAATAGTTTATGTACATGGGAATTAAGAACTAATTTACATTTCAAAATCTCCAGAAAGGCCTATCAGACTCTTATTGCAATCCCACTAGGCTAAGAAGACGTGTTTACTTCCAGCTCAGCGGGATTGACTTAGATTGGCCAAAGCATGCACACAATACAATGTCTATGTACCCAAAAAGATCAAATAAATCGTCAAGCATCATTCTGTCAAGCGAGGCTTTAGGCAGATGGTCAATTGGCGTGTATATTTCGTTCATCCATTAGTCGTGCAATATCATTAAAGGAAAACGGTTTGGTGAGAAACACATTAATGCCCGCCGCAAAGGCTTTTGCAAGGTGTTCACTAGACCCCAGACCGGTGAGTGCAATTATTGTAGCGGGATTTGTTGTGCCTCGACTACGCTCAATAGATCGGATAGCCTGTGTTGCTTCAAATCCATCCATCACAGGCATGCTCATGTCTATCGAAAAATTAGCTAGTGCCACAATACTATTGCTGAAACGGCGCGACTTACCCATAAAGATATAGTGATAGTCCTCTGTCGTCTGCTGTACTCGTTCCACGGCAATCTTCCCATTGACGGCGGTGTGCAGTACCCTGGGCGACTTTCGATGCACGAACTTCTTGAGAAGGGCCATGTTGATAGGATTATCTTCTACCAATAGGATCCGAATGCCAGTGTCTGGGGCTTCCTTGACAGCAATTTCCGATCCTTGTACGGATTTGGAAACATCTGTTAGAGTCACGGAATACGACTTTGAAACACTTGGCTCAACTGTATCAGAGATGTGCGGTGCACGGATTCTGGAGGCAGGTTGAGTGTCCGGCTGCCGATTACTCTCATGTAGAACTACCTGCGAAAGATGTCGTGAAAGCTGATTCAATGTAGGGGTTGTCTCCCGGTGTACATTTTCAATGGCTTCCATGAGTGTTCGCGCTAGCCGATAAGGACCACATGGAACAGTTATCTGAATCAATCTTGAAGCCAAACCCGATGCTCCATCTCTAATTGAGTGGAGTCCAGGGCCTCTTTGGCACAAGACAAGAACCAAAGACTGATCCAAAGTCTTAGGTAGCCTGTCCAATTCACTTTCCATTACCAAAATCAAATCGCTTGGGACGGCAGAGTCCCAGCTCTGCAATCGAAGTGCAAACCAATCTGTTAAGTAGTCTCGAATGATATGAAGCGAGGAAGGATCGTGATTTTCTCCGCCAGGTAGCAAACTTAGCGTTTTCCATCTCATCTCAGTCTTCAGTCTTTCCACTACATCACTCGATCCACGAAGCAAAAAATTGCTGGGAAAAGATGGTGGACTTGGAGTGTCCCGACGCTGTGGACGCACAAGTGGCAAGGATATTTTAACAACAGTCCCTGCGCCAACCTGACTCTTGATTTTGATGGTACCGTTGAGTGACCGAAGAATGCTGCGGACCAGTGAAAGGCCAAGTCCAGTCCCGGGTGACAAGGTATCTTCCTGAGAGAATGGAGTGAAGATATTTGTATGAAGGTATTCGCTTGAGATGCCTTTTCCAGTGTCAGAAACTGTCAACACGAGTACTTCCGATTCTGAGTTATCCGACGACGTAGAATCCGTGCCCGCGCTCTTCTTTTGGAGATCTACTCTCACAGACACGAAGCCCTCTCGGGTGTACTTGAGCGCATTTCCAAAGACGTTCATGATGATACGTCGTAGAGCACCAGGTTCTATCATGAACTCCCAATTATGTGGTGCAACATCAATTAATATGTCAATTGGACTGATATTACGGCCATCTGAATTCTGGTTATGTTCGTCGCCAGGTTCCAATTGCCATACTCTGGAAGCTAAGTTGTTGGAGAAGATATAACCCGAGTAGACACTTTCAATCACGTCCTCGACGACTGCCGCAACGTGGACAACCTTGAGTAATCTAAGTGACTCAATTCGGGATTTTTCATTGCGCCCACGTTCACGTAAGCGAGACGAATATAACTGGCGCTTCATATCAAGAGAATTGATTTTGGAGTAATCAAGAATCTGCTCGAATGTATCCAAAAGCGTTTGACCACAGGCTCGAACTGTATCCAGCAAGCTCTTTGCAAATTTGGAGTCAACGTGCTCCGATAAAAAATCCGTAGCCGCTAGAATCCCATGTAGAGGACTTCGCAATTCGTGTCTGCATACTGTTGGTCATTTTGCAGCTCAGAAATTAGAGATATGAGTCTTCACTTACGATATGCTACTAATGAAATCACCCTTCTTCTTGTCAGATTCTTGACTCTGCGCACGACTATGTTCCACCATCAAAGACGAGCCAAATCCAAAGACACCGCCGAGTTCAACATGCGCACTGAAAACGCGTGTCTCGACAGCACTCCATCCGAAGCAACCTCCAAACCATCGAGAATTGAAAGAATCCCAAAGAGGTGCGAAAACGATTCTAGTCGCGCGTGGAAAGTATTTCCTTAAAGTTTGCAAATCCTTTTCGCGTAGAGTTCCGACTGACTGAGGGTGTACAGACTGTTGGGACCGAGTGGTTGAGTTTGAGACAGCAATTTCACTCCCAGAGCTGACTGCATCGTCATCTGACGAAAAAGCCGTCCCATCCTGATAGAAGTACCAAAGACCACCACGAGGATAACGGCGCACCATTCGGCGTACAAAATGTAGGTCCAACTGCGGGGCAATAAGCGATTGTGAAGATGCCGAAGAGTCTTCAAAAGATCCTTTGGTAGACAACGCGCAAATACTTGCTGATTTGCGCTCTTTGTCCCGATCTATATCATCCAGCGAATCTGACTCCGGGTGCTCGCTGGAGTCAATAATAACAACACCACCATCCTGGCCTAAGTCCAGGCTCTCCCTCATAAGGTTTGCAGCGCGTTGAAAGGTCGAGCGAGTCTTTTTTGCTCTACGCTTAGCAGACAACGGAGCCGGCACCTCCGGGTTGGTCGACTTGGAGCTATGGGGAGAATCAAGCATGATGTCAGTAACATCCGCATTGTGCTCCGGGCTCGCTGATCGCAATGATGAGGTGTCACTCGTCGCGTGAAGATTAAAATTGTGAGCCTCCGCTTTTGGTGATTCCTGTGGACTGGACATGTGGGATGAAGCCCGGTCAGACAGGCTGTCATGTTTGACTGCAGCTATTGGGGAATCCTCTCCATCATCTCCTTGAACAAATGAATTGAGCCCCGAAAGTACTTTGGCCAAACGGTGACTTTCGAGGGACTGCCGTGACGTTTCCAAATACTCCATTACCGCATCCGCTATAGTGCCTAACGATTCGACATGCGACGGAGTTAATGTAATGTCAGGGCGCGGGTCAATCACGTACAGACTGCCGATAGTGATTCCGTTGGTCGTCGTCAAGGGAGTACCGGCATAATAACGAAAGAAGGGAGGACCACAGACGCATGGTATATTATTATAGATTGGGTGTTGGCGTAGGTCTCTAACAACAAATAATGGGTATCTGTCTTCTGGTGTGGGCTTCAACGTGATCGTTTTCTATGGAATGAATCAGCAATGACAATGGCACACCATCTGATGTTCGCTAGAGTCTCGAGGAGACCGGAGGTCGGACGCGGTTGCTTACCTCGCAAAGCGTTCCGGCAACGGGGCCGTGAGAACAGCCCATCCATAGCCCATCGCCGTCATCCTCATATACATCGTTGTTGCCCAAGTGAAGCGATTTGGACGCTTCGGCTACCACGTACAGTGTTTCTCGATCGATCAAACTGAATCACGGTTTAGCCACCGAGGAAGACCAGAACGATAACGAAGGCAAATAAATCAGAATCAAGTCATGTTCGTTATTGCGAACCGGACATCTCGGCAGATATTCTCTTAGATAAGTCAAAGAAAAGGCTCAATCTACTGTGAACGGTCGCAACAGACGGCAATGCTTGCTTGGAGCGGACTATATACCTGATGATAGCGCGCTGTACGCCTAACTTAATAGCGGCCAGCTGCGTCAGCGCAGTCAGAACCAGATTCGGGCTTGCTTTTGTCGGGCTCGAGGGGGGGTTCGTCAATCCAGCGTCACGATGGCCGGCGGGGAGCAGAGCCGGGTTGTCTGGTTGAAAATAGTGGAACAACTCTCGTGCGCGACGGTCGTCTTCATACGCTGTTGTATGATGGACAGGTGGCGGTCCCATGCTGCTCTTCCATCTAGACGAATCGTCTCGCCTTGCACTGCGTCGCATGAGTATTCTTTGTCCTTGAATGCTTTTTTATATCGCTGGCTTTCAATCCTGCAAGGGCATCCCCACTCACTTGCTGCGCATGGGCTATCGTAGTAAGCAGAGAGGCGAGTCCAGAATATTGAAGGATAAATTTTCCGGAGTGGAGGGCAACTTCAATCACCCAAAACCAAGGCGGGCAATTGGTCTAGATGCAAGACGTCATTGATGGAAGCTGCGTACGCCCGTAATACAGTAACATGGACCGTTACAGGGCCACGATGCGGGAGATCCTTTCAGCTTTCGGTACCGAAGCGTCTTGTCAATACGTAAAATAATTCTGTGTAGATGTGCCGACGATACATAACGGTTAGCCGTTACAAAGTGGACTGCCTAGTACATGTAAGCCAATGACAGTAGAATATAGTGAATTATGCTCCGTAAGATACGGGTATCATATCCCCCGTATTTACCAGGAACCAAACTTCTGCATCAAAGCCATTCCAAGCCCAAATACGAGCCAAGCCGACTCTGCTCCTCTTCGTGAGACTTGAGTCTATAAGAAGCCGCCAGACTCAGCTCGGTCTTTTTCGACATTCTGACACTTCGTCCGCAGCGGAAGTTGCGACTTCAGCTTTTATGACTCAGCAGTGTCGTTTCATTTATTCCTAACCTTGTCACTGAGACCTGGGGTCGTTTGGGCCGATATTGAACAACCCCTCTGCATCAAGGTACAGGTTGTCGACATATCACTACGAAAATCCACGGCAGTCATTCGTTCTCAATAGTCTTCTTTTCGGAAAGGTTCGTCATCTCCAAAATAAATCTTCTTTCATGTCATACCTCGTGCTCGCGAGACCACTTGCGGTTCGTGTGACACGCCGCGGTCTCGCAGCACCCCTGGCTGTAAATTCAACAGCATTGACATGGCTGATCCCCGTTTCATCCCTCGTCTGCCCAGGCTCAGCTCACATTCTGCCTTATGATAGTTGACCAGATTTATGTTCAAATCGCACTATTTCTGCATTTAACGGCCTCTCGACTTGCTTAATTGCGAATCCACACATTCGTTCATTCTTCAATCCATACTTCCAATCCAAGCGCAACGTTATCGATGAATTACCACGAACGAGCAAACGACGGCTGTGACAGAAAAAATACAGCGCATCAATTATAAAGCCAGCGACATGGCATACCCCCAGCAACGAATGCCTCCTCCGAGAGGTCCTCCCCCCGCACCGGGCCCCCGATCGCAGGCACCTGGAGGTTATGGTCAAGGTGGACCTGCATATGATGGTTATGGTGGAGGAGGTCCTGACTATGGCGGAGGATCACGTCCAGGACAACCAAGGTCTCGTCCACCTCCTTCTCGTGGAGCTTATGGAGGGCCTGGTGGCCCMCCMCCTGGATCCTCAAGCCGATCTCGAGGGGGCGGCGGCGGAGGAGAATATGGAAAAGCACCGCCTCCAGGCGCAGGAAGAGGTCCGCCATCTGGTAGTCGCGGACCGCCACCTCGAGGTGCTCAAATGGGCCGACCTCCGCCTCAACGCAGACCACCTCCAGGCGATCCATACGGGTACCCACCCAACGGACCCCCGTCGCAACGTAGAGGATCGGATGAGCAGAGATTGGCGCGGCAGATGGGCGATATGAGCATTGCCTCACCACCAACTCGGCCACATACGTCAAATTCATCTCGTGCGCCTAGAGGACCACCCAACGGCGAATCCTATTATCCAGACCCGAGTCAGCCGGGTAGCGATTATGGCTTTGCCCCTCCTCAACGATCATATACGATGGGGAACGCACCTCCGCCTATCAAGATACCCCAAAGGAGCATGACCACACCGAACTCAAGTTCGCCATACACCCCTCCTTTACGATCGCCTAAATACCCTGGTCAAAATACATACCCGGAGCCTCCTGCAGAGTACGGAGAACCAGAGACCGTTGCAGCGGGTAATCTGTTGGCACCCACTTCGTCACACGGTGACGAGCTGAAATACAAAACCTTCAGTACCTATGTACACCACAATGTATTCGCGGACTACTTTGCAGAACAAGATGAAGAAGAGGGAGGGGAAGTACCAGGAGCGGGAGTGGGCGCAGGGGCTATCAAAGAAGAGGACGAGGATGAGTTAGATATGCCGAACTTTGATGCTATGCCAACATCTGAGCCTGTGCACCGCCGTAACGAAAGTTTTGAGAATTCCTTGTCAGCAGAGAAAAAGCCTGGTGGTGCATACGCACCCTACAAGCCTACAGCACCAGCAGAATACACGAATCAGTTTGCGGATGCTGGCTTTCAATTTGACTTGCCAGGCGATGGCATGCATAATGGTCATAATGGCAATTTCGACGGCTCGCAAAGAACTCCATCCATGGGATCATATAACGCACACCCTATCGGCAGCCCAGAATCTCAAAATCCGGACGCTCTTCCTGTTCATCCATCGCCATATCGCGCCGGTTTGGATCAAGCGACTGGAGATCGACCGGCACCAGTCCGACAATATGGAGGGCCACCTCCACAAAATGATGCGCCACAACCAGCGCCATCTGCGCCGCCTCCAGGGGGCCCTACCGGCCGACCAACATCTCCACCCATCACGCAGACCGAACTTGAAAGGCTACAGATAATCGTGCGACGCAACCCTGATGATTACAAGACTGCACTGAGACTTGCAAAGAAGTACGTCGAAGCCTCGACGCGGCTGATCGGCGATGAAGGCAAAGTCGACCCAAAGACTCGCGCTAGAAATAAGGACAAGTACATTCACGATGCATATAAGATTGTGAAAAGACTGGTTAACGATGCCTTTCCGGATGCCATGTTCTACTTGGCAGATAGCTATGGACATGGGGGTTTAGGACTGCAAGCTGATCCAAAAGAGGCTTTCCAACTATATCAGTCAGCTGCCAAAGCGGGCCACGCCGAGGCGGCTTATCGAACAGCTGTGTGCTGTGAACTTGGTCAGGAAGAAGGCGGTGGCACGAGAAGGGATGCCTTGAAGGCTGTACAATGGTACCGACGTGCGGCAGCACTTGGAAACACGCCTGCAATGTACAAAATGGGAATTATTCTTTTGAAGGGATTGCTTGGGCAGCAAAAGAACCCCCGGGAAGCTGTAACGTGGTTGAAACGCGCAGCTGATGGCGCAGATGAAGAGAACCCGCATGCTTTACATGAATTGGGTCTTATGTACGAGAGTACAGCTCAGTCCGATTTCATCATTCGTGATGAGGCTTATGCTCGGGAACTGTTCACGCAAGCCGCTGAACTTGGCTACAAATTCTCCCAATACCGCCTAGGCGCTGCATACGAGCAGGGCCTCATGGGGCTGCCGATCGATGCGCGCATGAGTATTATATGGTATACTCGCGCTGCCGCCCAGGGTGAACATCAATCCGAACTCGCACTGAGTGGATGGTACCTTACAGGTGCGGATGGAATCCTCCAACAAAGCGACACTGAAGCCTACCTATGGGCCCGCAAAGCGGCAGCTGCAGGATTGGCAAAGGCCGAGTATGCCATGGGATATTTCACCGAAGTTGGAATAGGTGTCCCATCGAATCTGGAGGATGCGCAGCGGTGGTACTGGCGAGCTGCTTGTATGTTTAACCTCTCTCCTTTCCTCTTACCGCAAAGCTAACAACAACTAGCGCAAAACTTCAACAAAGCCCGCGAGCGCCTAGAAGAACTCAAAAAGGGAAGCGGTCGTATGCAAAAGACGCGCGTGTCGCGATCAGCGGTTGCGCAACAACAGCAGCAAGGTGGCGACTGTATTGTTATGTAGATTATCATCACACGTTGGACAAACTATTGGTTATGCTGAGTGATGACTTTTTTCTCCTGTCTTTATGATTCCAGTTCTATTCCCACTATTCTTATTACCTGCTTACTTTCTGATGATACTGTCGTTTGGTTTTACGCTCTCAAGAACTTCTTGTTTTCTCTCTTTCTGTTTCTTGAGTCAAGCATTGGAGCAAGCGCATTTTGATATTTATCCAAGTGGACATGTCATTGGATTGTCCCATCACTAACTTGCGATTCTCTCCACGTAGCAATTATGGTACACTCACTAGAAAGGGCTTCCGTGTTAGCACTACCAGTATTCTAGGGTGGTGTTGTACAGGAAATCAGTATAGCACAACCGCGCCGCATGTTCCACGATGGGAAAATGTTCAGCCAAAATACTCTGTCTAACCAGATCTGTACCCCGCCAGATATCGCACACATACTCTTAACTCTTCTAGATCATCTATATTAACTGACTCACACACTTTTTCATCCCATACTCCACAACACTCACTCTAAATCCGCACTATTGCAGTGTTGCGGCTCTAAGCCCTCGGATCTCGCGGTCTGTCCGGCCAAGCACACCCTAAATGCACACTAAACCTGTCACGTCCATAGAGCTTGTCTGCTTTTAGCGCTGGATTCGAAGGCTACATGATTCAAAGTTGCTTAAGCCTAAGTTTCCGGCCAATAGCGAACATCATCACAAGCCACCGATTTTTGAGGTCCTTTCTTTGAGTCTTGATTTGCAGGCGAAGGAACGAACGTATTCGTTTAACCTGATGAGGGCGTCTAGGTATAAATAGGGGCTGGTCGCCATGTAGAAACAACACATTTTTTATCTTTGTGTTTTTTCCCACAGAATCGCGACGAAGAATTATAAACAAAATGCGCACCTCCCTTATCCTCGCCGCTGCCCTGACTGCTCTCGGCGTCCAGGCCGACTCCTCCAGCACAATAATCGGCTTCTTCGCGCCCAACTGGGATGTTACAGTCCCTGCATACGGCGGCTACACCAGCACTGCCGCCAGTCTCGCAGCTGTCAACGCCGAAGCCGCAACCTACCACGTCGGCTGCGTCAACGATGCGCCCAAGACTGACTGCGACTACCCCAGTTCCTGGACCATCGTCCAGGGACCTGCCACCGTCAGCGTAACAGCCGTCTATATCGCATCCACATCCGGAAAAGTGACCAGCTACGATTTGACTGTTACCGAGTCGTACGAATGCAGTCTCAAATCGTCCACGCAGTCGGCCAGTTGCACAATGAGTGTAAGCATATCGGGGTCCATAGAAGGATCGAAATGGTCTTCTTCGACTTCGACGAGTGCGACGTATGCGACTGCGCCGATCTCGGATTCGTATGATCAGTTGACTGTGACGGCGGGACTGAGTTCGTTAACGGCCCCCGAGGCGACGAAGACGGGTGGTGCGGTTGCTGCGACGGGTGTTGTGGGCTCAATGATTACGGCTGCGCCGGTAGTTGCTGCTGCGGTTGCTGCTTTGCTGTGATGTTTTATACTTCGTTCGTGAAACTACGTTTAGTCGAGTTCAAAAAAAGAATTTCTTGTTAGCTGAAATCTTTGGGCTTCTCAGCACCTAGGTGCAGTGATCCAATGCGATTCTACACTTGAAATAGATGTATTCATTATACAGCTACATAGGGTAGGTACATCGACTCGCCGTATATGCACAGAATATTGAAACATGCATTAACCAGATCCACAAAACGCTTCACAATGCTTAAAGAGGTTACAACCTCCTGTTCCAACCAACATACTTTATCATGTCCTACAGCTTTGCCCGTTGGGTCATTTCTGCGATTCGTTGCGCAGCGAGTGATTGTTCAATCACCTTTGCAACTCCAATGCACTTCTCCTCTTGTAATTTTGGAGTTATGATCTGAACACCAACAGGGGCTCCGTGGACAAGGTCAATGTCATCTGTTCAAGTCAGCAAGTCTTTCTTTCACTCGCTTGGTGCAAAAACTAACATTGCTGATGATTGAACTCATCGCTCTTGTTCCTTGGTTGGTGTATCATCCATTCCTTATCCACACTAGGATCATCCTTGGTCCGATCTGCCTTGGTTACCGGGACGGCCAGAGCGGGGTAATCTAATAAATTCCAAATTGATGTATATCCCACGTATTGATGGCTCTTTATCCAGGTTTGGGGCTTGTATCCTACCCAAGGTGTGATTGGCATGATGAGGGCGTCAAGACTGGCAGATGTCCATCGTTGAAGGTATTGTCTTTCGTACGCGTATTTATCGGATATAAGCTGTGTTCATTAGATCTCCCTCATTAAACTGGGGCAAAGCGAACATACTTGATGCGTTTGTGATGTAGTCAGCTTGTTATGGGGTTTTCCTACAAGCATGCCCTCAATCAATGGCTCACCACTCAACTCACACAAGATGCGACACGCTTCGCCCCCATCGGAAAGGATAGCCTTCTCCCAGAGTTGGTATGCATGAGCATGACTCGAAGCATCCCATTCAAAAACTGGATATGTGTCAGCTTATATGTATTCATTTCTACAGTAAAGAATCGCCAAACCTTCGTGGCCGGCCTCTCTCAAAGCCTGTACGACCTCGTCTACCGCCCTTGCAACAGGCGGCTGCACTTTTACAACGCCGTCGTCGACAACATATCCAATTCTCAGCCGTTTTGTTGTCGTGCAGAGTTCCGTTCGCCATGGAATTGGTGTGACTTGGTGGTCAATCTCCCACGGCCTTGCCGCCGGTAAGGCTTCCATGTATTTTTCAACCGTTGACAAACTCATTGCCATTGGGCCTGCCACCGAACGAACGATATCTTGTCGGAGGCTAGTTGAACCAGTATAAGCAGAATTACGCCAGACACAAAAGGATCACGACTTACCCGCTCCGTTCATACGGCTGTCTGCCTGTACTAGGTGAAAGACCATACAATCCACATAGATTGGCTGGAATTCGGATTGATCCGCCCAGATCTGTGCCTATACCCAGAATACTACCTCGCGCACTCACAAGAGATCCTTCACCTCCTGAGCTGCCGCCGGAAATGAGGTTTCGGTTGAGCGCGGACACAGATTGGCCAAAGACGTGATTATAGGAGTCAGACATCTGCTCACATCAGTAAGCTGTGACCTTACGGGCGTAAAAAGCTGGGGAATAATATACCATCATGGATTGTGGAACATTGGTTTTGACATATAGAACCGCACCAAGCCGACGAAGTGTTGCCGCGGCGTTTCCGTCTCGGATCGCCGGCTTGTTCGTGAGGCCTACCCAGCCTATATCAAGATGTTAGCACGATTGGAGATCGGCCTGACAAGGAATTGACCAACCAATGCATGAATCTACTCCTTTTACATTGAAAAGATCTTTGATCGACACCGGTAGACCATGTAATGGCCCTATTATTTCCCCAGTTTGTTCGAGGTAGTCGTCCAGTTGCCTTGCTCGCTCAAATGCGTCCCCCAAAAAGATCTCAGTGCAACAATTCGTCAACTGGTGAGCCAGCATCGCTCGTTTCGCAAAGGCTTTGGTAACCTCTAGAGACGATAACTGGCCACTAGCCAATTTGTGTAGTAGAACACTGACATCAGACGTCTCCGTGATACTCAGTTCCCGCTCTGATAACAAGTTGCTTTTGCGAATGTACTCCAGCGCATCGGGAACCTCTTCAACCGGTGGGATGGAAGGCAGACGCCATTCCGCGGGAATCAGTGATGCCTGTAATGACTGTTTGATGCCCGCGCGTTCCTGATATGGGACTGGGTTTATTGTAGCTATCGTTGCAGTAGACATATTGGGTGGTGATAGATTTAAAAGCTGTACGCCCTAGACACGCAGAAGGGAGCCAGGGGTGCCATTAAATATATACCATGCGAGGCGAACAGATGAATTCATGGTGGGTCAAGAGATAGGAGGATTAATAATAAATAACGGCGATGATATCAACGCCAAAGGGACGGGCATCTTTGTTTATCATGAAGTTTAATCAAAACCGGCTCCAGTTCGGCATAGCTAGGAAGCAGGCGAGAAGGAAAGGACAAAACCTATCGCGAAATTGACGACCGGTCGACACGGAAGGAGCCAATCAGGTGACCGCATTCGACAGCAGCCAGCGAGGAAGGAGCGACTGTAGATTACCTTCCTGAGTTGGCAACCGAGGAAGGTGCGTGCCTCCCGTAACGATAGAGGGCGACCCCCAATAAGATCATCCTCCGTCGCCCGCTAAACCTTCACCTCGATCAATTCAGAAAGGAAATATGCGAACTACTCATGCATCGTCGTCCAGAGAGAGTCTAGTTGCTGAGTCGCTCGGCTTCTTGCCTCTACTAACTACGCTACTGCGCACTCCAATGGCCTGCGCTTACTCGCCGCATCCCTACAAGTAACGACACTCGCCGGAAATCAAAGTAATGTATTATCGTGCCTGCTAGCTAACGAACTATGGAAGTGCGGGTATCAAAGGTATGCGTGTGCCCTATATATGCCAAACTACTATCATCCAACTCGTATACTCATGAACTTCGCTCATGCCAGTCCCTCTGCTCGCCATTTCGCCTCACACTTGGCTTGTCCGTCTGGGTATCGTGGGAAATCGGAAGCACGGCAGTGGCGCCAATAAGCCCGTACAATCTCGCATTGTCGGGGATGTGTGGCGTGCATACCAGCTAGGTAGGCTGTCGCTGCCAGGTGAATATAGATCCCGGAGGTGGGCGGCATGATGGCAATCACTCTGCATGCTTGGTCAACTGCAGTCGACAGGGCTTTGCGTCGCGACAACGACCCAGCATCGCCGATCCGACTGATAATGGCGATAGCAGCTGTGCACCGCCATGCATTTTCGACAAGTGTCATGTCGCTGGATCCAGGTTCAGCTCTAAGCAAAAGCTGATCGAGAGCTTCAAAACTGAGATCTAGAGTGTTGATGTGATTCCCAGCCTTGGCTAGGGTCACAAACAGATGGAAAGTGTCAACCGGACATCCGACATTGGCGAAAAACTCTTCGCTCAAGGTTTCGCGATGCCAGTCGTCAAAAATCAACCCATTACTACCCCGAATGATGGCGCCCATCGTGTCGAACCACACCAGATGCGCAACGATCTCGTTTAATCCAGTGAGTTCATGCGACAGTCGATCGAGATCAGCCTTGTTACGGCAGTGAAAATCGAGCAATGACCGCGCCCCGTTCAAATGGCATTGCCATTCTCCAAACGAGCCGTCGCACACTTCGAAAAATGCGAATGTCGCTATACCAAACAGCGCAATGGGATGAGCCTTATCAATGGCTTCCGTCAGCCTCATGAGCGCGTCGACATGATACTGGACTTCATCCACCGATTGCCTATCTGTTGAGACGTTCGATGCGGTTTGTCCTTTCATTCTAACCCGGATAAAGTCCCATATCCGTGATACCAATTCTATGGCTTCTGGTGCCAAAAATCCGCCACTTGCTTGCGTGTTGGCGTCTTTGATCTGCTCGTAAAATGCGGCCAGACGCTTGATGAAACTGTATTGATTCACAGTCGTGTATCGATCATGCATCTGCAAAGTTGCCGCGATCGGTGTGGGCGGTTTATTACTGTTCGGATTCGATTTGGAGCTATCTGATGGTGACTGCGATTCTTGCGACAACGCTGGCGTCGCGACCTTCTCACGAGGTCGCCTTTGCCCGAAATTGGTGTCTGTAGCCCAGACTMCCCTCTGAGGATMCCCGCCACACGGCAGCCCGGACTGCACACATGGTTGACACCGCGGACGATTTAAATCACATTTGATGCCTCGAGTTTTGCAGCTCTGGCAGTCCCTGTCCCTACGAATCCCCCGAGGTTTTCCCTTTCTCTTGCCGGCGATCTTGGCCCCCATCGTCTGGCGAACGACGGTGCAGCGAATAATGAGTGCATCAACAGGTGGCCTTTCTCAGAAACATAAGACGCATCCTAGATCTTCTCCGAGATCAGACGAGTTGAGAATAGCACCGTGTGAGAAGTCATTTCATGCCGTGTCTACTCGCCGATGCGCTATTTTCTGACTCGGAAAAAGAGAATAAGCGGGAAGGGAACGATATTGCAAAGAAAGAACGGTTTGTCGACTAGGAAGAATGTATTGAGCGACTGACTGGTCTGTCACTAACGCAACCAGGAAACAGCATGGGGGAGACAAAGGAAGGAATCGGGGAGACATGCAGACAAAGCAAGAGATCAGACAGCAAACAGCACGGCAGATAAGGACATTTGTTAGCCTTGGGCAAGGCGGGGCAGCCCGTGTAGGCGGCCCGGCGCAATACGTGGTTAAACCCGGTCGCAGCGCCAATCAGTGCTCGAATGGCTGCTGGACCCCTGTCTCTTAACGCTTTTCGCTAGACTCGTTCAGGCTCTTTTCGTCCGTGGCCCACATTTCTCCTCAAAGGCTAAGCTTATCTTTTCCGACTTCTCTGTGCGGCGTGATTCGACTCTCACTTGGTTCGACTCTGCGGCAACTGCATATCAGTGTCAGACGACCGCTCTATATCCCTGACTACGCATGCATACTGGTCAGTATTGCAATTATCTATGTACGTTATTGACCGCGATATTTGTATTGTGCCGCGACTTCCAAGGTTACGAGCACAGAGCAAAAAAAATACAATCCGAACGAAAAAAGAAACGGTTGTCTTGATGGGATCGGTACAGGAACTCGTGAGCCGTTTTTCCATTCGTTGATGGCTCATTGCATCAAAGAACGGAAAGTTATAGGGACCGAGGACGGCAAAAAAGGGATTAATAAGTACAATGGTCGGTACTAACTTCACCATGGAGTACAATTTGACTGAAAATCCCGACACGATGCTTCCTCCCGGTACAGTGCATTTGGTCACTGAGCAATCAGACAAAATCATTCTCGTTCCCAAACCCTCAGCAGATCCCGACGACCCATTGAATTGGTCCAAGACACGAAAATGGTTGAACGTTACTTTGCTCTTGTTCTATGTATTCACTACGGGTATCGGCGGTACGTCAGTGTACTCGGTCTTCACTCCGATCTCGAAGGAAACGGGCATCAGTATAGCCCAGCTAAACAACGGTACCGGGTACCTGTTTCTTATGGCAGGATGGACCAATATCATTTGGCAACCACTTGCGCTGACTTTTGGCCGACGCCCTATTATTCTGTTGAGCTTGCTCTTTTGCGTTGCCATATCCGAGTGGACGGCGTGGATTGACCAATATCCAGCCTGGGCTGCGGCACGATGCTTATATGGCTTGGCCTGCGCTCCAGTCGAGGTACTGCCCCAGATTTGTATTCCAGATGTATTTTTCGCCCATGAACGAGGTGCTTTTATCGGATGGTACATGTTTGTACTCTGTGCCAGCAATTTTATCGCTCCTCTCATCGCAGGATTCATGAATGATACTTTTGGATGGCATTGGGTGCAGCATTGGGCTGCTCTGATCCTAGCGCTGAATTTTGTGCTTGCCTTTTTTCTGTACGAGGAATCCATGTATACGCGAACAAGCATCGAAGGCGAGAAATTGAATGGGCTTCCTGATAGGGATGACACGCGGACTTTTCAGCAGTCCGATGTGACTGCGGGCTACTACAAGAGAAAAACGTTCTTAGGGAAAATGAAGCTATGGTCATATAACGGAAACTCGTTCTCGCAGATTATTCGGATCGCGTATCGCCCTATCCTGATTTTCTTCCAATTCCCTAATATCATGTGGGCTGGCTTTATGTATGGATTTGCCTTGGCTTGGTATGCTTCACCACTTCTTAATGACTCAGTCGCAACGAAATAAATTGACATCCCTGACAGGTACAATGTGTACAATGCGACCACTTCATCTATCCTCTCCGCGGCACCCTATGATTTCTCTGCTGCTATTGTCGGTCTCTCATACGTTGCGCCGTTAATTGGCGCTACCGTTGCAGGCGTCGTCTCCGGCCCAGTTGCCGACTGGTTGACTTTGCGATTAGCTTCACGAAACGGAGGTCTCCGTGAACCCGAGCAACGTCTTTGGGGACTAGTGATCTACTGCATTCTGATGCCCGCAGGTCTCCTGATCTGGGGCCTGGGTGCATACCACCGGGTCCATTGGGCAGTCATCCTTCTTGGTGGTCTTTTATGTGGTTATTGCAATGTTTCCGGTGGTGCTTATGCACTTGCTTATGCCGTCGATTGTTTCAAGGAACTCTCTGGTGAAACGATTGTTTCGGTCATTCTCTGTCGAAACACACTTAGCTTTGCTTTCAACTATGCTATTACTCCCTGGATTGATGCACAAGGTCTTCAAAAGACATTTATCGCTGTTGCGATTTTGTCATGGGCGTTTGGTATGAGCTTTTTACTAATGGAGTGGAAAGGAAAGGCATCAAGGGTTATGTGTGCCGAAAGGTACTGGAGATATGTTGAAACACAGGTGGTGAGATTTACCTGATCTACATATACACGCCCACGAGCAACAAAGGGCCATCCAGCAATATTGATTTCGGAGCTATCTCGGAAGATAGGATCTCAGCAATACCTACTTAACTTATCTCTAGCCTTATGGAATAAATTTTCTAATCATAATATCATCACGATCGACGTCCACCTATCTCCTTGAAAATAGCCCCAGCCGCCTTGATCGACCTCACTACCTTAGCCTTCTGACCGTTCAGCTTTTTTTTGAGATCCCTCCATCTCTTCTTCCAACCCTGTTCCTGTTTGTTGACAGACACTCGTCCCCGCCCATCATTGGACTCACTCGAAGTCCAATCGAATCGACTCATGGGGGTTACCTCACTCTCCCTACCTTGAGATCTGTTGCTATTACTTGTCCCGATATCGAAGGGGACGTGATGCTCATAGAAATTGTCGCTGTAATAAGACATGTTTGTAATATTCATGGCGCCGTAGGATTCTTGTGCGCTGAGTGCTGTTGTTGGTCGTCGTGCTGGGTCTCGTGGTCCAGATGGGCGTCGTATCGGTCGTTGGAATCTGTCATCTTCTTGGCCCCGTCGTTGACTGTCTTGGGCTTGAGTCTCGCGGCGAGTTGGTCTTCGTGATAGTTCAGATACCGGTGGACGTGGTCCGAGAGGGCGTGATCTTGTGCGTTGAGGCTTGTTCTCTTCAGCCACAGATTCTGTATTGCTTATTCCTACCTGGCTACCTTCTACTTTTGGTACTTCAGCTCCAGCTGCTTCATAGCGAATTTTATCGGACGTCGTGTGGGCCACATTTGGGACATTCTCCAACTGAAGGTCTGCGGAGCTTTCTGGGACAGCTCTAACCTTTCCCTGTGTGTTTATTGGAAGCATTTTAAAGGAGAATCTGGATGAGAGAAGATTTGTGGAGTGAGAAATCGCTGTCTGGATGTAAAGCCAACATATTGAGGAGGATGGTACTGCTCATTTGAAACAAGGTATTTAACATAAAATTGATCTCCTTTATCTCATTGAAATGACAGCATGTCTTTTGTATGTAGGTAATTTTGTACAGGAACCTGCTGTGCATTGAACGACTGTGAAAGGCTCACTTCAATGTTAGATTAAAATAGACAATCCAGTGGTTTGCCAAATTAACACATCTTATATCTGGAGAATCATATTGTCTTAACTAACTTGAATCCCTTTGTTGTCTGGTCACTTCTAAGCCCACTAAAGCCACATGCTGGGATGGTATAGGTGATCAGCTGCTCACAATCTTGGAATCAATACATTAAGTCCCGAGGTTTTCTAGATCTCCTCTAAGTTTAGACAGATTTAAATCTCGGCATGTATATACTCCTTCCACCTCCCAAATCCCACCTTCCCATACCAATCCACCTTATCCGTCGAATCAACAAAAACAGCCTCAACACCTCTCTTCTTCATATCCTGTATAGCATGACACAACAAAGCCAGACCGACACCTCTGCTCCTGTGTAATTCATCTACACCCACACAACCTATGATCCCCGTTTTGAGAGATAGATTGCCACTTGCTAAGGGAGGGAAAGCCCAGTTATGAGCGACAAAGTCGTCGTCTGGAGAAAGCATAAGAGTCCATGCGATTTGCGTGCCAGTGTGTTTATCGAAGGCTGCCATTATACTTGATGGGTGTTTGGAGGGATGCAGGGAGATATAAGTTTCGACCCAGCCCTGTTTTTATTTGTGTCAGTCTACTTTGTTTTTCAGATACATGGCATGACATCGACATACCGTGTAATGAGCAAAATTACGTTTCTGTCCAAGAAGACAATCCTCAAACTCCTCAGGAGCCTCTATCACCTTGTATGTCACACCAGCAGCAAGGGCTTTGTCGATATACTGCTGTGGGGGGACAAAATCCCTGATATCCTGATAAAGATCTGCATCCCCGCCCCGACGCAATCGAAATCCACGATGCACAAAGAACTGCTCAACTTCCGGCGCCAAATCAGCTGGCAAACCAGGCCAGAAACGAGGAAAATAACTCCTCAACGAAGCATTCTTGCATCCGTGATTTTCGTATAGATATTCCCTCGTTGCGGATAGGAGTTTGGTGCCAATGCCTTTGTGTTGTTCTGTGGGATGGACTGCAATGACGGCGATTTCGGCGGAGGTTTGACCCTGGTTTTGGGAGGTATAAGATAGACAGAATCCAATGATTGTGGCGGTTTGTGTGTCTTGAGCAATGAAATGGTGTGCGTGAGATTGGTCGATTACTGTGCGTAAATTATCGGCTGGTAGTGGATAGTTAGGGAGTGCCGCGTCCCAAACTTTCAGTATGCCATCAATCATTGGGCCTTTTTGAGATTCACATAAAGGTAGGGTTTTGAAACTGGGATCTCGTTGCTTGTTTGAGGTTGAGCTCACTGGTAACATCCCCTTTGCAGGTACTCTGCCAAAGATCACCTCAATGGCAGATTTGAATGCCTCCACAGTTGCTTCATACGTAGTAACATATGTCTGTACCGATTTCTCATCATCAAGGAAATCATAAGGGCTACAAGTAGCAATCACAATCACATCCTTGCGGCGTTTGGCGACTTCCAGAGCAAAGCTTCTCTGTCCCTCTGCCTCTTTTGCATTTCTGGTCACCAGAATGACAATAGCATCATCATTTTCGATCATCCTCCAGTGCTCCTCCAAGAGCTCTCCTCCATCTGGGTAATCGACTTGTGTTACAGATGAAGTCATGTCTCCTATATCTTGTCGGAGTACTTCGATGTAGGTTTTGTGCTCAGGACCACCATCGTCGACTGCACCCCCGGCTGGAATCTTTCCTCCCGGTGTGAGCAACAATACATCCGAGACGGGTTTCGTTATTGGCAAGACTCCCAGGTTGTTTCTGACCACGGTTGTCGATTGCGAGTATACCCTTTCTGCAATCTGCTGGTGTCTTTGATTCATTGCCTGTAACTCATCTAGTGATGACATATCTGCAGAGCGCAACGCGTGTTTCCAACTCAGGGATTTTCCTTTTAAAGATGTGATACGGCGCAAGGATTCATTGATACGTGACTCTGGCAATTTTCCTGATTGTACCGCTTCAACGACTCGCTCAATGGACTTCACTTGCACATTATATGTATGGCAAATCATCACACTATCACTCCCCGCTTTCAGAGACATCAAAGCTCCTTCAACGGTCCCATAAGTTCCACGAATACCATCCATTTCTAGACAGTCGGTTATAATGACACCATCATACTTCATATCATCTCGCAAAATGCCCAACGCCTCCGAGGAAAGAGTTGCCGGTAGACCCTCTGACCCTGGCCCACTCGTTATCTTGGGTAGAGCGATATGGGCCGTCATGACAACTTCAATACCCTCGGCCGCCGCTCTTCTGAACGGGATCAACTCACATCTCTCAAGTTCACTTCGAGACTTTGTGATAACAGGAAGTCCATGATGTGAATCAACAGCTGTATCTCCGTGGCCCGGAAAATGCTTCACCGTAGGCACAACGCCACTCTCTCGAAGACCACGTGCAGTCGCACTTGCGATTCTAGCGACAAAGTTGGGGTCCTCCCCGGGACTTCGAACACCAATCACGGGATTCCGAGGCTCTGAATTGACATCGCAGTCTGGCGCGTAGTTCATGTTTATTCCGAAGAAGTTGAGCATTTCCCCAGTGCATTTTCCGACGTCGTATGCATTTGCAGTTGATTGGGTAGCGCCGAGTGTCATTTGTCCTGGTTGTTGGGCAGCGATTGGGGGTGTGATTCTTGTTACTAGACCATTCTCTTGGTCAATGCCGATGAAGAGGGGATATTCGTGGCCTGCTTCTTTGGCTTCATGTTGCAGGGCAAGTGTCAGGGCCTAATTGAGATGTAAGTTTCAGTACTGTTTTCGAACTCCAGATTAATATTCGTAGAAGTTGCATTTGATTATCCTTGGAGGAGCGCAAAGGTGCTGTATACCTGAAGTTGGGCAGCATCCTTGATATTCCTTCTGAACAAGATGATAGCACCCAGCCCATAATCTCTTATCAGCGTTTTGATTTCGGTGCTTGGAGTATAACCATGAAAGCCGACTGCAAATAGCTATCAACATGTTAACATGAATCTCGAATAACATTGCGCGGGGTTCGCATGTATATTTTCTTCTGAACGAGTAAAAACGCACCTGTCCAACCTTTCTCCGCAATCTGAAGTCTTCAGATGATGACATCTTCAAGCAGAAAGAGTACCCGTGAACTCAATAATCGATAATTTTGCTTGTAACTGCACCACTTCGAGCTACGGTCATGGCAAGTGTAGATAGTCTTTGCATCGACCTAAGTGGAATCTGGCTTGGTCGCGATTTTAAATTTGATCGTAACAATTAAACGATACAAGTCCCCCACTAGTATGCATTAGTATGTTGTTGATGCTCAATGCTAGGTGATTCTGTCAAAGAGTGAAGTTGATGAGGGGATGAAGTGGGACATCTTCCAATGACGCTGATAGTAATTAGATGCCCGTGACATGGGGCTACAGCCCTAAGCCCTAGAATCTACAACTCGGGGGCTTTTATGGTAATCCTTTGTTTCCAATGCTACAATGCAAGCAAAAGGCTCCTAGACCTGCATATTATGTGAAATCTAGACGATGATACGAGCGATAGTATCGGACAGCCAATAAGTTATAAATTAAGATTTTGACTCGCAGCTGTGGAAGACCACATGTGTAGCCCAGAACATCTTCACAGTAACAGTACTGAATCATGCTAAAGCAGGCATCGCGATTTAACTGACACTAATTTAGATGATATAACGGAATCTCGGAACCTCATCGTTCTCCGGGCGCTCGATCGGATCCAATTCCTCTAAAGGACCATATAGACGATCCATTTTCTTGTTCTCCTGCCACAAACAGAAGCTCAGCACCAATGCTGTTACGCCAGACAACAATGCAAAAGCGCAGCAAATCCAAGATCCTTCACGGTACAGCGGTGATTGGTTCGAAGGGAAAACATTTGTTCCCAAAAGTGGACCGCACTGTCCTATTGTCATGATAATCCATAGTCCACCGGCCCTCTTCGAGCTTGTAGAATTCGTGTTTGCGTTCCAAATGAGAACGATAGACGTCGTGACGAAAATAAGGACTGCAAAGAACGTTCCAATATATCTTGACGTCACCGACGTCGTAGCACCGAGAAGAATAAACCCGACCGCGGAAAGAAAAGCGAAGCAAGCAGCAAACGGTCCACGGAGACGAACCCTATCGGAAAGGATGCTGATGGCGATGATGAGAAGAAAGCATAAGAAGTAGGGAGGGGCGAGCAGGCCGTTTGATTCAACAGTTGTAAAGGAACCCATTTCTGAGACAATTGTAGGGAGGAACAGAGGCAGAGAGGCAAAGCTGACGTTATTGCTGAAGTTCATTATTGCGAATAGATAATCTGGACGTTGTCGTTAGTACATGATTACAGGCATATTTTTGGAGAAGAGATATACTCTTGTAATCCTTGAATGCTTCTCCGACTTGGCTCAGCTGAAGTCCTTCATGTTCGTAGTCATCTGGCTGAGAAGTGGCAATCTGTCGCGCGACCTCCCTTTCCCTCTCGTTGAGAAATTTTGCTGTCGTTGGCGAGTCCGGCAGGAAGAAGTAGGTTGCAACAGCCAACAGCACAGTCGGAACACCTTCAATGATAAACAAAAACTTCCAAGAACTAATACTCGAATGAGCCTGCCCTAGTCCATAGGCCAGCAAGTTTCCATAAACATTTGCCAAGGCAGCTCCGGATAAGAAAATACCAAATCGTAACCCTAGCATTTCCCGAGGATAGAAGAATGAAAAGTAGAGAGGCACACCTGGACCGAACATTGTTTCAGCCCATCCCAGAAAGAATCGACAAGCCATCAGCCCACCCCAGCTCGTTACTGTGGCTTGTAGGGKACTAGCAAGACCCCAGAAGACAACAACCGCCGAGACCCATTGGTGAGGCTTGAAAATTTTCCAGCCTAGCGTAGAGAATTGGAAGATGATGTATGCAATGTAAAATATGGTCCCCAGCCATGAGTACTTGTTTCCGGAAATGTCGATATCCTTTGCGAGACCGATGGTCTTTGCATTACCTAGATTTGATCGCTGGTATGATTTAGCTCCGAAACTATCAATGCTTCTTTAGCTTGATGATAGAGATGGTAACTCACATCGAGAACAGAAAATGTGTAAAGCAAAAAGCAGAACGGAAGTAGATGAAGATCCAGTTTGCGCACAACTTTCTGCTTCTCTGCTTCCGTATATGGGTGCTGTATGCCATTCTCGACGTATTCAAGAGCATCGCCCTTCTCAAATTTTTCATCCATATTGACTTTCTATCTTCTACGTTTGCGTCTGCGTCTATGTATTGCGCATGGAGTTGTTGCAGAGTTCGACATCCATCATCAGATTCGAAGCACCGGAGAGATGATTTAAGGAGACGTCACTGGGACTTGGCCCTTGCACGAAGAACTAAAATTTGAACATACGCGTTTCTCCACAGTAAGTGGATAGCGATGGGGGGCCACGGGACGTTGGACGCTTTCGGCATCATGCCGGAAACTGATATCCCCACGGGGTCTTTAATTTTTGGTGGAGATATTTCTGAAGAACTCCACTTACGTAGACTGTTACGGATTGGGCTTGTCAGTGCATCTGACTTGCATGAAGGCTACCTTGCGAAAGTGTGAAGAAAGCTTTCCAGTGAGCTTCAAAGATATCAGTTAGACGGGAACGAAATTCCGTATTCGGTTAATACTACCCGGAGGCCATTAAGATCTTCAAATATCATATTATTTAGCTAAAAGAGTATGCAATTTCGAATTTACAGAGTATTTCAGCAGACCTTAGATTGTAGGAGAATTTGAGGTCCGTTAATGATTAATACCAGTGCCAAATGTCACCGGGTGAGCAGCCATATGAGCAGTTTCTATTTATACCAAGGTAAGGACCACGATATACCCTTGTGAAAGTATTACCACGCTTGTCATGGAGATCTAACGTCGATAATACGTACTGCTAAGTTGAAACTAAAGTTGAATTATAGATTCACACAAGTGGAAAATTACTCGGGAAAAAATTGCTTTGAGTGTAAGGGACTCAAAATCTTCCAAGGTTGGTGGTATCTGAATAAAAAAAGAAAAGTCGGTAACAGGTAGTAGGCTCCAGATAGAGAAACGATGTCGAACAAAAGTTGCGAACGAGTCCGACAAGTGTTGGACGTCCTTCGTCTATAATGTACCTCAAATGCCATTAGCGCTTATCTCCACAGCTTCTAGATTGGGTCGTTTTCAACATATGATCTCATTCGATGATATACAAACACGTCCTCGAAGACGAAGTGTGTTTCGTTCTGATCCTCACCACCGCCACCAGGGAATATAAAACGCCTTAGGAGTGGGAAACAACGCCAGTCTGTTGCCATTATTGTCTCTAGCTCGAATCCCTTCTATAATATAACCCCTTTTCAATTCCCATGTAATATTCGCCAAAGATTTGTCATCCATCTTATGACACAGGCTCAGATAATTCAGTAATTTGACATCAGAATCAGAGGTCACTGTAGTACATCCATCCATCACGCAAAACCAAGGATTCCGGGTTTGATTCAGAGACACTGCCTTTCACTTTATCAGCCCGTTTTTCTAGAGAGCCTTTTTTAAGGATAGCTTCGCAAGAGACTGGAATTTCCGCCTGCTCTGTTCATCCATGTCGCTGACCCAGGCTGGTGCATTCAAATCTTCCCTTTCGTTCTTTGTGCGTTTTCACTTCCTATCCTGTCCAGTGTCATATATGGAGTGCCATTCCAAGAGATAATCATCATGGCATAATTCGTGCCAGGGATGCAAACGTTTCAGCACAAAAGTGCGATAATCAGTTGTGTCGCCCAAAGATAGATCTGGTCAAGAAGAGCAAGTAGCTGGCATGCCTTTTATTTGTTGGTGACTGGGTCACTCCATAATTTCTGGAATACCTATAAGAATTGTCAGCTTTCCTTGATGAAATCACGATATAATTGATAGGACAGCGGGGCCATTTACATAAACGATTTCGCTCATCCCAGGCACACCGGCATGCTCCATTGCGAGACGTGGACGCCTACATCCACGAGGAGATGCCAGCTTCGAATGCGGGCGTGAACCACTGCCAGGACGTTGTCACTTTGTCCCGGGCACGCACTAGTAGGAGAATAGTATACCTTCTACATGGTGTTTGAAGTATTTAAATAATATCGCCAGGGGACCTAAGGATCAGACCATCACGAATGTTTGTCATGCTCTAGGCAGCAAATTCATGAATGAGATGCTTGTGATGCATTATAAAAAGCACACAGAGAGTCAAGCAAGGGGGATGCTGACCAGACAGACGAATATTAACTTCGACAGATTTGCAACGAAATGTACTTTTAAGTATATTTCTGGTGCATGCCGCCTGGAGATGGTATGGATAGCGTGATAAGGGGGAGTCGAGTATCTCTTATGATATGAGACGGATGAGATTATATTCGACCATTTCTGGATTAAATCTTTGGCGCAAACAACTTTCACATTCGACTCAATGTAACTTGGTATGTGCCTAGACATATAAGTGAGGGGGGTTTCTTTATCAAAATAGTTTCTCGCAATAAATTATTTATCCTTCAAACATATTGGAGAGCTCCTACTGTCAGCTAGCTTTGGTTGTAGTTACAAAAATTCCTTCTCATCAGAACCCAATGGCTTCGGCATCATGTCCCATCCCACCTGGACACCCTCGATAGAAGCTGAATGTCGCACTGCGGTCATTTTACCGAAACCCGTTTCTCTCGTCTCGAGAAACTCTGACGACACATCCTCTGTGCATGTGTAGTCCTTGGTATCAAACCCATTACGCCCCTCATATTGTCCCAATGACCGAAGATATTTCATAGCCCCGGCAAGCGAGACATTGACTTCCCAAGAGCCACCTTCTGTCGCTTGTTTGTACAGTGCTGCCATAATACCAGCAGCAAGGAAATATCCCGCCGCGTGATCTAATGCCTGACAACATAATGGTCGCGCAGCTTCACCAGCACCATAATGTTCCGCTTCCGAAACGTTCATACCCGAACAAGTTTGGACAATAGAGTCAAAACCTCGCTTATTCTTCCAGGGTCCATCGGGTCCATACGCAGACAGATTAGCACAGATGATGTTCCGATCTTTAAAAGTATCCACGAGCGCCTCCGATGTTAATCCCTTTGCTGCAAGACTCCCCGGTCTGTACCCCTGCGTGAAGACATGAGCCTTGTCAAGAAGCCCATGGAAGTCAAGGCTATCTTTTTCATCGTTTAGGTCTAGTTGAATTGTTCTCTTTCCCCGACCAAAGTCTCGATCTACAGCTGGGATATCCGGCAGATTTGGGCTCGTCACCCAGAGTACATCTGCACCATGAGCAGCCAGAACTCTTCCTGATAATGGAGCCGCAATCACTCTTGATAATTCCAGCACCCGCAAACCACGAAGGCACTTGTCAGGGTTCGCATCCAACATCTCCTTAGGCAGCCCCACAGGTCCATCGCACAATTTGCGAAGCTGAATGGGAAAATCAGTGATTGCGCGTGCTTGTGGCAGTAAATCCCATTCCGAATAACTTCGTAACGCAGCGATGACACTCTTAGAATCAGAGGCTGCCGACTCAAGGTCAATGGCGCGCCATGGCGCAATTGCTGCAGCGACTTCTTTCCGATCAGCGTCGGGGGAGCAGCCCAGAAGTTCTATGGCCGTTTCTCGATGATTGGGAAAATTGTCATGCACTCGCACATATCCGTCAATAGTCTTGTGTAAACCTCCAATAGGACCCCAAGGGTCAGGCATAGATGCGCTTGCTAGTTTATACAGTCTTTCTGATTTGAATTCAATGGCCGCATGTAGCAGCGGAATTGTTACTTTGGGAGTCGGAGCTTTTTTCCTATGTCCATATATCAATGCAGCCAGCAGAGCCGACAGACTAATTGAAGCTTGAGCAATATGTCCAATTTTAAAGGATGAAGGCAAGCCCAATCCTTCTCCTGTCATTTGCAAAGATTTCAGAGAATCTGCGGGCAAGTCAAGCTCCTTCCAGATATACGCCACGCTATCTCTAGCTGAGAAGTGCGATCTGTCCTGGAAATGAGTTTTGGATTTTGGTGAGATTGTGGTACTATTTTCAGACTTCGGCACCTTGATTGTAAGTAATGGTGCGTGCTGCTGTGTCCCCAGAGTATCACGCTCGCCCACAGTACCTTGTTCCCACGGTCGGCGAATGGTGCATTTCCAAGCTAGAGCTGGCTCAAAGAACATGTTGGTGATGATGTCTTCCGGTTTCAGATGGTACAGAGTCTGAATGCGCTCATTTGTTAGGATGTTGGCTTTCTTGACACGTTCATATGCGCCCTTATTATCAAACATGATATCAAGAGTCAACTCAAACGGTCCGGAGTTCTTTGAACGAACAATCTTTGCAATATCCAGCATTTGACATTCGCCTTCAGGAATTTCCTTGAATCTCAAGGGCTCCAATGTCTCGGAAGTCAGTTGTTCTCGCTGTGCTGTAGTGAGTCCGGGGATAGATTTTTCCTCTGGCGGGTAATTATCAATTGTGACCGATTTAATAGGGAATAATATTTCTTCTTCACCCTTATTGAGATCTACAAGGTGATATACATTGAATCGAAAAACCGGACCTGCAGCGGTTTCATGCGGTGATAATGGCGAGGCGAAGTTTCCGGTGGTCGCGACCTGATTTTTGTATGGCATATGGAGAATCGATGCACGAGCATTGTTTGCAATAGTATATGACATCTCTTGTGAAGGCGCAACTACCTCCCCCATTATACCCAGCTCATGCGCAAATTTAGGATCAGGCTCGAGAGGACCCATAACACCATTGCGACCATAGAAGTGAAATATCAGTCGGCATTCCGGAGACTGATCCAACTGTGGAAACAGGTTTTGAGTATATGCCCTAACATCTGCCAGAAACTCGTCAATCTGACTTATGAGAATTGGATCTCGAATACCGCCGACAAATATCGTGCGATATCCCAGCTTCTCGACACCTTCCAGCTTGATTTGATAGACGTTGGTAGGCTCAAATCTGGCTCCACGGACACGGATGGTCTTCTCGGTTATTTGCTCGTAAGAAGCATCATCCAGTATCAAAACACCTCCAGGACCCGGCAAACGATCAGGCCTCGTCTTTTCGTAAAGAGTATGTGCAGCTACCGATGTTGGTGTACAACGCTCCTTTGGCGAGAGTGGTGTCAAATCAAAGGAGTCTTTTCGCATCGTGGCAATCATTGATCTTCCTTTGGGCACTGCACATATGCCTCCACATTCCATGATCTTACCCATATGCCATGCTGTTCCCGGCTTTACACCATGAAACATAGAAAACGCAGCAAATGGAGCTGGATCATATGAGCGACCCCCGAGAATGATATCTGGGTCCATTTCGAGAGCTTTGAGATATCTAGGAGCTATTAGTTGTGCCTAATCCAGTTCAAAAAAGGGATAGATACTCACGGCTCTGCTCCCATTTGCCCTACAATATCAATTGCCCTTTCTACGCTATCGATAGTCAACTCCTCGACCGGACCGCATGGCCCAACTCTGGAGTTGACAATTCGATCTTTCACGAGACTCTTATCGAATCCGGCTGAGATTGTAGCCACCTTGAACGAAAATCCATGTTTCTGAGAGATCTCTTGCACAATCTCCAGCATCTCCTGAACATGCTTATCGCTTCCATCGCCACCTACAGAACCAATCAGAACCTTGATTTTGTAATGAAAGCAGGCCTGAAGCATAGGCGTAAGATCTCGAATATATGAGTCTCGGCCGCATGTCATTTTGTTCAGGCCTAATTTATAGGGACCTCCATCTGTCGAACCACTGTCGACGATGATCGCCTTTGGCGAGAATTTCTCGATTCCATACCAGAAGTGCTCCAGCTTGTACCCATAACCCAGCATGGGGTTGGTGGTCAAAATGCTGAAATCCGACGACATCTTTATCAAACGCTTCATAACACTTAAGAAAATAGTTAATATTCTAATCAATTTTTGTTCGAACAAGACGATATTCAGTAATCATGTTTTGATGCTTAGCCAAGGTTATTCTCGGAGATGCGGAAAAACGTACACGAAGGAACCCTTCTACGATTAGCTCGGTATGATGCCGAGAGGACTGCCTAGGTAGAGCCCCGCCAAGCATTAGATCGCAGAACGCATGACTTCATTCGCCGATTTGCAGCTGTACATTTCAAAAGATTCAAGAAGCCTTTCTATCGCACCCATTCGATTCTAGATGGACTTCTCCCCGATCCGACCTTCCGTCGAATCATTTGGAGAGGTAGGTGCGTAGTGTCGGGATGAAGCGAATACCGAGCGCTTGGAAATTATGCAGAACAGATATCGATATTCTGTCCGATATTAATGCTAGGCATTCGACAGTTGCAGTATTTAGAGAGTGCGTTGGAGATAATGATCGACTCCATGATTAACTCAATGCGAGACTCCGGAATCCATTTTGCAAACTGCCATGTCTCTGTTCCAACTACTTTCTTCCTCCCTTCGATGGTTGTCTGGAAATGATAGTCCACGCAGGCTTAAGCCGACAATCAAACATCAGTCCCCAGAAAAGACGAATATGAGCATATCACGGCCGAACTTTGATGATCTACCCTTGAGACAAGGAGACCCAAAATGCTCTGCATGGAGACTATGGGGACATGACGATGAATTGGGAACATTAAATCTCATAACTGAGGATGTCAGAAGGGCTGCAGCAGCGGAAGTGAAGTTGGGCAGGGCGATTAATTTGAAGTAAAAACAATAACTACACAGATATTGGGACCATGACTAATTCACCCTAGCCTCCCATTAAACGTTCCTCTGAAACCAATGAATCCACGGAGAAAGCCTTGTTTGCATACATTGATTCCAAAAGGACATGCCAATGATGATGAAGTGAGCTTATCATCAAACCTGGATATTGGGTCGAAATCGCTAATAGGTCACAACGAAGCTCGATTTAAATACACAAAGCTCAAGTCATTGGGATGGGCTTCGGCACTACCCCTATTCCGACACAAAGCAATTCTACAATGGGGTAACGCAAGACGATATATCTGGTATCAATAAGTCCGATAGAATTGGGATTCAGAGTAGGTCAACCGCGACGTAATCTACAAACCTGACTGACTGTTTCAGACATTGCAACACATCCAATCGTCACACGAGGCGTTTTACTCGATTGGTACTCGTATGCCATAAAAAACAATATACCACATACCCCTTTCTCAAATCAGCACATTCCTCTCAATCAACTTCTAGAAGTTGCCCAAGAAAAAGGCATAACTTTCCGACAAGGCGATCTTCTCCTAATCAGAACCGGCTGGACGGATGCGTATTACAGACTTTCGGAAGAGGAGAAAGAGGAATTAGGTGGTCGAGACGATCGAGCATCTATTGGAGTGGAGGCTACTAAAGAATCTATTCAATGGCATTGGGAGCAACAATTTGCTGCTGTGGCGAGTGATACAGTTGCTTATGAGGCATGGCCGAGTCCGAAAAGCTGGGGGGTGTGTATGCATGAGGTACGGTCTCCATTCAAAAACAGTGCGTACAATCCAGAGGGAACTAACTTAAACGAAGGTTTTTCTGAGCGGTTGGGGTATGCCTATCGGCGAGTGTTGGGATCTAGAAGAGCTAAGTGCAACGTGCGCAAAGATTGGTCGCTGGACATTCATGTTGACGAGTCAACCCTTGTATTTACCTGGTGGTGTCGCTAGCCCGCCTAATGCTACAGCTATATTCTAGATGAATCATGGACATATCACAATAAATGCCAGTATAGTTTAATGACATATGTTAAGTTTAAGACCTACATACTCCAGGTTCCAGGATCGTGTTGAACTGCCAAAATGCCTAAACCCTATGGCTATTTACAGTAGTATTTGCAAATTTGAATTTTTTGACTCAATCCGTGTTGGAGATGGATTTTTCTGTAATGTTGACTACTCAGACAGTTCAAGGGCGACTCGGAATTTGTCCGAAGTCGACAAACGATGCATATTTCATAAAACGTTAAAAGTCATTTTGGAGACAGTCAGACAGCTCTGCGAATCAAGAAAGTCGCAAAGAAGTGCGAATCGAACGCAAATTATTAGTATACATCTAATATCGAATTTATAAACCGGCATCATACCGCCATCCCCGCATATAGGCGCAATCATCCCGATTTCTTCACACAAGAAGACTGTATCTAGATAAGCAAGTACTCATTACCAATCTTATTTCTGATGGGCTTATCAATATGTTTTTGCAATTCATGCGATATATCTGTTGGCTCCGTCCACTTGTTGAAGGTCCTTATTCCTCTTTTCGTGCGGTTCAGAAATGGAACTGAAGTTGTGGATCTAAGGACAAGGAAGGCATGAAGTGAGACACTCAAAATATGCTGTAGTAGGCGATGTACTGGCCAGATTCAATAATAATATAATAATTTCAAGTAAGACTGCCATTATATATCTACACCAATCATGTCTTAATCTGGAGGGTATACCACAGACACATCCCAAACTTAATACGCGCATCTGGACATCGCAAATAAATCTGCATTTATGAGAGCATCTCTGTTCTCCGTATAACAGGAATCACATGCTTAAAATAGCCTGACTTATGTAGCTCTGAAAATGTTGACGGGCTCGATGCTGAAATTCTTGGATCATCTCAAATCATATCCCCAAAGCCAGCAGCGGAGGGAAATCAATATGATGTAGCATTCATTGACGCTGGCATGGATAACCAGTGGGATCGGTTTGACTGAGCCGCGAAGCTAACGCATCCAGACGGGCTTATTCTAAAGTTTTTGACGATGTCTGGTAGTGGTTTCAACGTTCTTACATGGGCCCATGGAGGAGCAGCGAGTCCATCCTACCCAAGGTTGGTAAGTATAAGAGGATTATGTCACACTCATGCCGAAAGTCGCTTATCATTCGATGTTACCGAAAGAGTATGCTTTTATACTGGCCATGGCAAATTAATATCGATCTGTCAATGAGATCTTCAAAATCTACTACGATGAATCCGATATTATTTACCTCGAGAGGTTCCAACATGGTCTTATCACAAAACGATATAGCCCTCTAGCTACACATTCGTATTGGGATACCCGTGGACGCACCAATTTGTCTGAGTGTAACTGTTTATGACAAAATAAAGTCAGGTGAATTTAGCACTATTGCCACATGGAACGAGGTAAAATTATATCTACCGGTAGTACTAGAGTAGCTCTAAGTAGCATTTTTAGACAATAAGGTAATGAAAAAGAGCCATTCCTGCAATTGATTAGAGACCGAATGAATTGAGATACAAACATTGAAGTTGCGAACCAGGAAGAGTAGGCAATTTTTGTAATTTAGAGGGCAATAGAAAGTGCTGATATAGAACCACGCACGAACTCACAACTAGCACTGCTTCTCGATCAATTTTGAGTAGCGAGGGATTGTACTGCTAAATGAAAATACAGTAATGTGCTAAACTACCTAGGGAATGGCGGGGGCGTTATAACACTAGAATACGAGGAGGTATACCTAGGTAATAACTTATCTCAGTATCTCAGCCGCCTTCTTTACTAGGGGTTTTTTTCGTTAGGGCTAAGCCTACACAGGAGATTTACAAAAACCCTTCATCCTTGAGGCTAAGTATCGAGATAAAGTAATGATGGTATATTAATCTAATAAATCGTTATAAAGAGACGTTTGCAACAGCTATTAACTACTTTGGGCCTTTTATATTAAAACAGGTTTCAATACGTCCTTCACGAAATACAAAACCTTCTTCAGATGTAACTATGTACTGTAGTACTGACTTGTCATAGCCTACCGCAATAACTATCCTTGCGCCACCGGTCTGCTTGTGCATACGTGTACATACACATACTTCGTATGGTGACATTCCTACGCAGTATTTTGTAACCCCTGCTAATTTGTTTTTGCATTTCATCCTATCTTTTCTTACGCTATCCAATACGAGCATGTGTCCCAAAGGGGTATAAGTATGATTCGAAGCCGTCTTCAATTTTCTTTGTTTTTTCTCTGTCAAATCTCTCAACCGCTCAACTGTGACGACCATCATGTCTCGAGTACCTCAAAGAACTGGCACTACTCTCTACCATGTGCCTCTAATTATCGATGGCCGTGAAGAGACTGGTGAAACTACTTTCGAGGTGATCAGTCCTTATACAAACCAAGTCTGTTGGACAGCTGCGTGCGCTACCCCCGCTGACGCTGTTCGCGCTGTGGAATCTGCCCAAAAGGCATTCCCAGCGTGGGCAAACACCAAGCCGACGCTAAGGAGAGATATACTACTAAAAGCCGCTGATATACTTGAATCACGACTTGAAGAAAATGGTGAATTCATGCAGACAGAGATGGGAGCCGATGTCCCTTCTTCGACGGGTTTTGTCGTTCCCAAGGGAATCAGCATGTTGCGTGATATTGCTTCGAGGATTACTGCAATCTGTGGTAGTGTTCCAGTAGTTGAAACGGAAGGACAGAGCGCGATTGTATATCAAGAACCCATGGGAGTGATCTTGGGTATCGTTCCCTGGTAAGCATGCCGAAGAACGGTATCAATTTTTCATATCGTAACCAGATCTAGGAATGCGCCATATGTATTTGGCGTCCGTGCCGCAGCGTCTGCTTTGGCAGGAGGAAATACAACTGTGATCAAGTCATCTGAATATACGCCTCGATGTTACCACGCCCTATTGAGTGCTTTTCTTGAGGCTGGGCTTCCTGCTGGTTGCTTCAACTTGATTTCAACCCGAGCTGAGGACGCAGCTGCTGTGGTAAATATCATGATAGAGCATCCAGCAGTTCGGAAGGTCAATTTCACTGGCAGCACGGCTGTTGGTCGAAAAATCGCTGCCTTTTGTGGACAGCATCTTAAACCGTGCTTGATGGAGCTGGGAGGCAAGAACAGTGCGATTGTCTGTGGCGATGCCAATTTGGAGACCGCTGCTCTGGCTGTGCTGATGGGTGCATTTCTTGTGAATGTAGGTAGAATTTGAGAGAAGCCGGACCTATGGGCTAACTCTTCTTCAGTCAGGACAGACATGCATGTCGACTGATCGCATCATATTACACTCCGCTATCGCAGAAAAATTCAAGAGCACTGTCGAACGGCTTTTAGACGATAATACATCCGCAGCACCGCCTACGTTGGTCAGCATGTCTTCAAAGGCGCGGGTCACTGGAATAATCACCAGTGCTCTCGCAGCAGGTGCAGAAGTCGTTCATGGAGCGTTCAGCGATGCCACCACCTCTCAGCCAGACTCAAGTGCGCCAAGAGTGAGCATGACCCCAGTAGTCCTAGGAAATGTAAGTCGGGACATGCATATTTGGAAAGAAGAGTCATTTGCTACCGTTGCCGCGTACATGATCGTCACAAGTGATGATGAAGCAATCGAACTTGCCAACGAGGGCGGCTACGGGCTGTCGGTATCAGTATTCACAGAAGATCTTCGCAAGGGACTGGCCATGGCGAAGAAAATCCAGTCGGGAGCCGTGCATATCAACAGCATGACGGTTCAAGATGAAGCGGCACTTCCGCATGGAGGAGTAAAGAATAGCGGATGGGGGCGATTCAACAGCGAAGAAGGAATAAAGGAATTTTTAGTCACTAAGAGCGTCACCTGGATGGACTGATGCAGCTGTTATACAATAGCTAATCAATATAGAGAAATCGAACCCTAACTGGCCGAAAACGGCAAATGCCCCCGCATCGCTCGTTCCCCGCAAACGACATGTTAGTGCCTGAGGCTGCCATGGTCTAGCCTTGAACAAGCAAGTACTTCGTCTTAGTAGGCCACCACTAAGCACCGCTAAGTACCACTAAGTCACACTGAGCACTTAGCAGCCGGTTTTATGCACATCAATTCGACACTTCCTTCTCCGTTATCCCCTCACCATCTTGAACCACCATGAAAACAACAGACATGGGAACCACCTGTCCGGAACAGTCGATAGCCACTTCATCAGCCTTCGCATGCCGCATTCTCTGAAGCTTCATACATCAATGACAGTCTAAAAACATCATGGGCAGCCCTGAAACCGCTAATCCTGTCGCAACCCGCGCCAAAGGTCGCAAATATGGCTTCGCATGTCTGAGCTGTAGGCGCAAGAAAATCAAATGCGACGGCAATAAGCCGGCATGTATCAACTGCAATAAATCCAAAGAATCCTGCGTTTACAGAGACAACCCCGCTTTTGTCGGCTATCTTGCCGATGAAGTGCGGAAATCCAAGATTCGGATTCAGGAGCTGGAGAGCGTGATTAAGGAGTTGTCAATTTTAGACTCGAAGTCGAGACAATCCAGGCTTGCGGCTTTGGTGGCCGATTTGGAGCAGAGGTCGTCGTCGCCGTCGCCGGGTTCATCGGCGTTTTTGGAGTCAGATGAGCCTCATGTGGGATTGTCGGTTTCGTATGGGGGGAGTGTAGAATACAATATTGACGAGAATGGAAGGGTAAGCAAATACATTAACGACGAAGCGGGCTAAATTACTAACTTTAAAAGCAACAATACTTTGGTGCGACGTCCAGATTTCATACTCTATCTGAGGATAATGAGCACCCTGCACATGTGATAGATACGATGACTGAACGAGAGTACTCAGAATTTGAAGACTATCACCGAAAGTGGCACTTATCTAATTCCCGCTGGCAGGCGTCCTGGGAAAATCAAGCACATGAGAACATACCCAAATATACAGATGTTGATGCATCTTTATGTTCCAGGCTCCTTGACGTGTATTGGACATGGCAGGGTCCACTACACCAATATGTATATCGTCGATGTGTGCGCACCTACATTTTGGTATCGTATAGAAGATATAACTAACACCGAATATAGGCTTCTTCCGTGATATGGCCATCGGTGGTCCCTATTTCTCTTTGTTTCTATTGAATGTCATGTTTGCTCATGCCATGCGACACATGCCCGAAGATGATCCACGATTCAAGCCGTTCGATAAAGGCGAGTTTTTCATGAAAAGAGCTATGTTATTATTACTTGATGAGATCAAAGAGAGTAAACCAAAGATACCGACTATTCAGGGATTGTTGATTCTCGGTGGTCGGCAATGTGCCGTAGGACTTAATAGCGAGGGGTGGCTGTATACTGGCATGGTACGTGCTTGGTCTCATACCTTTGCTTCTTCTTCTTCTTAAGCTTACGTTGAATAGGCGATCAGAATGATTACGGACCTTGGTCTTCATTTGCGAAAAGGAAGAAGTGCCATGAAAGAATACGAGCCTGATGATCTTGAAGTCAGGAAACGACTGTATCTTTCCTGCTATGCATGGGACAAGTATGCAACTGTGGCCATATCGTAAAAATGATGCTAATTATTTGAAGATCTATAAGCCTTTGCTTAGGCCGACCTCCATCACTCCCCGACTTGCCATTTCTTTCTTCCACTTTATGTATAACTTCCACAGATGTCCCAAGTATGTGCAAATGCTGACAGTAGTAAAGTCGACACATGCGATGATGAAGAGCAATGGCAACCCCCTCAAATACGCCAAACCGACAAGCCGTTCCCACCTACAAAGTGTCATGGTACATTGACATTTCAATACTTTTGCAACTTGGGAGAGGTTTGTTATCCATTTGTCATGCCAAGAAAATGGGGTGCTGATACAACCAGATTATAAACGAATGCTATAATACAGTATATAACGGACACTCAGGTACACCACAGAACATTAAGCCGGAGGCAATATTCGACCTCGAAAGACAACTACACAATTTCCACCGTACGCTGCCGGATTGTCTTCGAATAGAGGACGCTTCAGATCTGACTGTTTGTATTCCGCCTCACATAATGTCTCTCAAGTACGTTCTTATCCTCCAAACCTTGAACCATCGTACTTACATTGGAACGCAGCATCCTCTATCACACCATGCTCATCCTAATATTTCGCCCCTTCTTCATCTGGCGCTGGAACACTCATCTCCGCGACCACCCTTTGGCGCTTAGAGCTCAAGTAGTCTGCACCGAACAGGCAGCCGACGTTAACGAAATATTTCGTGCATACGGCCGCCTCTTCAATTTCCAATATCAAACCTACCTCGTTTCGTATTGTGTCTATACCGCGGCAACCATAGACGTGCGACTGATTCATCACGCCGACAGGAATCTAGCCGAAAAGGCCGCCGATAGACTAGTCGTTACGCTACGCATGCTGGAGACAGAACTCGAACAGACGCCGGGAATCAAACGTAGTATTGAGATTATCAGGAGTCATCTGGGGAAGCAGCGATTACCTGTCCCAAACGAAAATGTCGCAGATGCGCGAGAGACGAAACCAGCGTATCACTATCAGCAGCAGCAGAACAGAGGAGAGAAATGGCAGGGCCATGAAATCTCGCCGTCTCCATCGACGTCGGCGTCGTATTATAGCATGCACCAGCAGCAACGGCAACGACAGAAAATACCGCTCATCTCTGCACTACCGCATCATCCTCACCCGCACCATACATCACAACTCCACCAAACAACAGAAATATACGAGCAACACAATTCCTCCACAATTCTACAACCTTCGCACCCTGACATAAGGACACCTTTACCCAACAGCGACATAAACAGCAACAATGATATACACCATCAATCGACATATATAGACGCCCAAATCCAGCGTATGGACATGCCATGGTTCGACTGGAACGTCGACGACTCTGGCGGCGGATTTGTGCCTGATATGGCTTATTGGGGAGGAATTGGTGATGGGGGCATGCAGTATAATCATATGTAGCCCCTGAAACGCAATATGTATAGAACATCAACTAATATACCTAGGTAACAATGCTACATCCGTAACGTAGCAAATAGAACACGTCTACATGCAAATCTTAATATTAGCAAAGTCGATCAATTCGTCTCTCTGTCTCATGTCGGATCTTTACGATGGCAAAGTCACTAAAAGTAGACACAGCACCCTCCCAAGTAGCTATCTCACACATACAGAAGAAGGTAAAAAATCGCAACACAACTCAAAGCTAAGGTAGGTAAGCTAGCGGATTCGCTGAGTTTGAAAAAAGAGGTATCATGCAAGAGACAGACCCTGTAATAGATAAGATCACGTAATGAGGCCGTTGAGGATCAGGATGGGAGCATGCTGAATATTAGAAAAGTTTGAACAAGAAAATTGATGAGCGAGTGGTTTGACAGGGGCGAGGAAGTATGGACGAATTAAAGTTCCTCGTCTTCGTCTTGTGAAACTTGTTGTGTGTTGATAGGCTGTGCCGGGGCTGCTGTTGGGTTGATGTTGCCACCGAAATGACTTCCAGACCCTCCGAATGTGGTTGGGGAGTCTGTCTTTTCACCGCTGAGTATTTCGCTGATGTTGTTGGCGAGATTTGATCCGAGGCGCTTTCGTAGGCCATCTTCGTCGGCTGTAGAGACGCTTGCGCGTGCCTTTTTCATTGGGCTGCCTACATAATCGGCACTGTCTAGGTTGTCTGGAAGACTATTTGGGACGTCGTTGATATTTGCGTCCGCCGGAGCTGGGGCGGATGCAGAGGCATGTGGTGGTGGTGTGGATGCTTCATTTGTGGCTGCAGGGGGCGTCGCTACTGATGCAGGTGTGTTGGCGTTGGAGGTGCTGTCTCCCATGGGATCCATTGAATGTTGACGTTTTAACTAAACTGTCATCAGCATCCAAATTAAGGCCATATTCTGTGTGAGAACATACCTTGATCTTCCTGACCCCCTCAGCCAAATCTCCCTGTCTACGCAAGTCATCAGGAGAAAGGTGAGTAGTATCATTGCTCTCATCTTCGTCGGCCTTCGCTGTAACGGGATCTTTCTCATCCTCATCCTCATCGCTGTCCATGTCGCTTTCGCTGCTCTTCTTCGACTTCTTTCCTGCTTTTGAAGAACTAGCTTTGTCGCCTTCGCGATAGCCCACAAATCCAACAGCACCACCGGGTTTGAGGGGCGCAAGTTTAGAGAAATCGGTTGATTTTCTCTTTGCAGGAGTCTCTTCGACTGCTTTCGACTTTAGAATGCCCATTTTTTGCAGTTGACCTGCGTAAGTTAGTAACCGCGTAAGCGAGATGCAGCTTAATAGGCAGACTTACGTTCGCCACGGTACATAAAAGTAAACACAGCATACGGCTTATCAGTAGGATCAATACCAGTAACCGTCTGCGTACTGATTGTCGTAGGATCGAGCGTCTTGGGCTTCGCAAAGCTAGTCGTATGATCAACATCCGCATTTCCGTCACCTCCCTGTCCTCCTTCTTCGTCGTCGTCGTGTGCGTCAAATTGCGGCGAGTACTCTCCCCGTCGAATCTCTCCAGATGCCAACACTCGGAACAATGCAACTTTGATCTGACCCGCGGATTCGGGAATTGGATCATCGTCAGAATCAGAGGAGAACTCTTCATCCGAAAGATTCTCAAGAGGAGCTTTAGCATCGGCGCCATATCGCATTATACCTTTATCCCGTTTCGTAGAAGATTCACCCTCCATTTCCATGTCGCCATTGTCTTGCGCTTCTCTGAGCAATCTCCGTTTCTCCATCTTTTGTCTGCGTCGTTCAATCTTGGCTGCGGCATCCTTGCCTTCTAGGTCTAACCCGTTCAACCATCTCTCGAGGCCGACCTCCCGGAACAAGAACTCTCGTTCAGCGAGTCCTCCGCCTTCTGAGTCAGGAACGCTGACCCATCGGGAATTAACCCATGTCTCCTCTCCGCGACGCAATAATGTAGCGACTTCTTCCTTCTGTCGTCCGTCGAAGTAGATGTAAGCGGCAACCGTTTCATTCACGGATCCTGTCAGTGGGAGATAAGGATTTATCCAATGTGTCTGTCCCTTTTCGTCCGTCTCACTCACGCCGACGAGTTGTGGCTTCGGGTTCGGATTGTCAGGCGTAGGTTTGGGTGTCGAATACGGAACACTCTGTCCGGCATTCAGAAGCGTAATCGATACGGCAAATGTTGATGGTTGGGCTTTTCCGGACTCAGTAATTTTGGGTGCTGGGACGGGAATATAGCAAGCGATCCGGGACTGGCGAGACTGACGTTGCACGGAGAACTCTGCTATGGGGCCATCCGGGGTGTGGATGCTGACTGCCAGCCCTTTGAAGCAAGGCATGACGGCGGTTTTGTAGGTAAGGTGGTGCTGAAATGACTGTCGATGATTAAGTATGGGGGAAGGAAGGCGGGGGAATAAATGAAGATTGAAGTAAACCACCAGAAGACAAGTTAACCGAATTTATGATCTATCCGGATATTGCAAGAAGAAAGTCCTCCTTAAAGTGTCTAAGTCGACTTCACCCGCGGAATTCCGTATGATGGTACCTCGAGGTGAAAGAAAGAGTTCGCGTCACAAGAACAGGAACCAATTCGAAATCGGGTCGAATCGAGTCGCGCGAGCTAGTGTCAAAGTGTATTATGTACACAATCCGAAGAAAAAAACAGATATTCCCAGCAGATCCGAGAACTCAGATCAAGAACACAACATGTACCAGTGAGAATGTCACTGGCTCAAGTCATGCCTCCATTTGAGCGGGGTGGGCTGGACAGCCGGGCTGATGACGAGATGCTGCTAATCAGAGTACTGCCAGAAAGCTGCTGTTGTATGAGTTTGTAGATGATTTATGATGGTGTGACTGTAGGGAAGGTAGATATAAAGCTCTGAAAAGAGGGCAGATAGGGTTTAAAAAAGAGAGCGTGCAAAGGGAGACAGCGTCAAGAAGTGCTTTTGTTGGACAGAGAGAGCTTCGATTGTTTTGTTTCTCCAGTTTGTTTGGTGGATTTGTTGGTGGACCACAAAGGCGGTCACAGATTGCCTTAAAGGGGCACGTGATGCTGCCTCATTTTCATTCTTGTTTTTTACTTTCCCAACACTGCCTGAACCAAAGTATACGAAGAAAAATGTTTGACGTTCATCTGCTCATGGATACGTCATTTAGGAATTCTCACAGGTCTTTGTACAATCAAGAAATCACATGTGCGATTCAAATGTTCATCACATGGATGCTCCTCACATGATTTACGATTAGGGTTACTGCATTGCGACGAAATACTCAATGTCATTAATAGTATCTGTATTTGGTATTGGCTTGCTCTATCGACCTAAGAGGAAATAATTAATCAAAATGGAATTACTCCAAACCCTCAGGTCATTCGGTCATACAACAATCACTTCTTAAACCATCAGATGTAAGTCGGTCCAACATCTACTTGGTCACCCGAATAATCTCCTCAGCAACATGGTCAAAGTGGTAAAGCGGTTCGAGCGTAACATTCTGGCGCAAAATGTATCGCTTGAACCAGTAAGGTAGCGCAGTGTTAAGCTGATAGCTCATGTGGCGACGAGTGGGCACTGCGAAGATGTAATCCAACTCCTCCAAAGTGCGCTGCTTGGTCTCGGGCATCCATAGGAAAATCATCACAAAAGCGGTAACGTTAAGACCGGCATAGAAGCCAAAGGCGCCAGTCGGGGTCATGGCATCAAGCATACGAGGGAAAGTGATGGACAAGACGGCGGCCCAACCCAAACAGGTAGCCACGGCCCAGGACATACCGACCTCACGGTGCGAAAGAGGGAACACTTCGGCCGAGTATGTGAAGGGTACTGGCCCTTCACCGGGGGAGTAGAAGGCAGCGAACAAGTACACAAACAAGGCGACAGTGGCTAACTGTTTGGTACTGCCATCCGGCAACAAGAAACACAACCCAGCTGTAAGAAGAGTCCAGGCCATGTTGGGGAAAGTAAACAAAAGCAACGCCCGACGGCCATAAGTGTCAATAGTGAAAATAGCCGGGAAAGCAAAGACGAAGTTGACGAGACCGAAGCCCCAAGAGGCCCAGTTAGATGACACGGCGCTAGCTCCGGCTTTAGAGAAAATAGAGCTAGAATAGAACGCGACAATGTTAATGCCGCACATCTGCTGGGCGATCATGACGACGAAGGAAGCCAAAGTGGCGCGGCGGACACGAGGAATGGTGAATAATTCAATCGCGCGGGTGAGGTAGTTGCTTGTGCCGATGATTTCATTCTCAACCTGAATCTGAGCGTAGATGTAGTAAAGATCACGCGCGGCCTGAATTTCGTGGTTGCGAAGACGAAGCAGGGACTCGTATGCTTTGCGCATGTTGCCGTTACGAATGTGCCAACGAGGAGACTCGGGGCAGAAGTAGACTCCGATCAACAATGGGATAGCAGGAATGAACGCAGAACCCAACTGCAGACGCCATGAGATATTTCCCGTGTTCATCACAGCCAAGTTGGCAGTGCAACCGAGGAAGATACCAAATGCAGTCCAGAGTTGCCATGACATGACAAGCCCACCTCGGATACTAGCGGGAGTATTCTCTGCGCAGAAGATGGGGATGGTAGAGGCTTTCAAACCCATGCCGATTCCGAGAAGGATACGAGTGATGAAGAGTTGAGGCCAGGTCTGAGCGACGGCACCACCGATGGGAGCGAGAACACAGAAGATAGCAGAGAGAAAGATGGTACCACGACGAGCGAGAAGGCGGTTCATGGGGTCGGACAACCAGCAGCCGATACAGGCAGCGCCAATGTACGGAGCACTAGGCCAGTTAGATAAATTACTGGGTTTCGAAGAACAAGATACTCACGAGTTAACAACGCCCACCAGCCACAGATTACTAGCAGCATCGGGGCCCGATTCAGGAATTCCGAGGGCATCAGGGAAGGACAAATTAGCTCCGTTGGAACCCTCCTGATCCCAACCTCTGCATTCTGTTAGCACTGATCTCGGACAAGGCGGAGCATGAAACTTACTGAACGGCAGCACCAATCGAGCAAAGGATGATGGTAAAGTAAAGAGCTGCGGGCTGCTTCCACTTGTGGAGAACTTCGTCCTGAATAGCTAAAGACTCGTCCTCGGTTAAGCCTTCGACGCTGGCGTAGTTGGCAGGGTCACGGGCGACGAGAGCGCCTCGCTGTAACACTGGGGTGATATGAGTCAACCCATGAATTTGGGCGAACTCAGTGACATCGCGAATGACATGGTGTGGTGAGAGATCGGCGAGAGGATTCTTGATTCTACTTATCGTTAGAGCGCGTTCAATTGACGAATAGGATATGGACATACTTAGCAGAGACGTTGTTGTTCAGGTTGACTCGCTCGAAATGACCCTGCTCGGAGTCAGATACGGCGGAGCTTTAGAAGTGTTAGAAAATCTGTCTAGCAAACTATGAATGCACTGAGACAAACCTGTCTGCAGTTTTCTCCGCAATCACGGTCTTCACTCCAGAAGCACCCGCGTTGGGGGCTGTTCCCACGCCATGGACCTCATCCTGAGGACCTGTGTCCGACATTGTGTAGTCGAGTACACAAAGCAAGCACTAACTGATGACTGTTGATGTACTGAAGTTCGATGGAAAAGCTTCTCGAGAGATGCGATTTTCAGAAACCTTGTTGAATCGAGGAGAGAAAGTTGCAATGGACAAAAAAGGAGGGAGACCCAGAATATATATGCTCGAACATGTTCAAGAGAAGTCATGCGCTTTTGCACATCAAGTAGACATGTCCAAAAAGACCCGCCCATTCACATGGAATACTCCGTGCAAAGCTCTGAGAGTTTGTATGTGCGTATTACACAGCGACGTAGTCACCTGCACAGAATTATTGTGAGACGGAGCCAACAGCCTCTGAACTGTGAAGTTCATCATGTTGATTGGCCAAAATGCTGCACCAAGAAGCTGCGATAGTTGAACTAGTCCATAGTCGGCGTTGTTCGGACGGCCATCCAGCAGAAGGGTTCTTCCTTTTGAGATAAGTCTCGGCGGGCCCTCCATGATTTCTCCAAGTTTGTTGAAATCTACCCGGCCGACCCCAGACGGACTTTACTCGTTTAGTTGTTAGTGCTATAAGCCATGCCTTGAAGTCTTGTACGCAACCGGCGATGGTTACAGATACGGCTAACCGAATGATTGTTGCTGTCGCGGGCCGGCCATGCAACCTCACTTGTCGGTGCCCTTTTTTGGCTTGGCGAGATGCGTTGTTTGACTTGGAACCTCCCTTCTATATTCTGCTCATCTGAATACAAACGATCCAAGGATCTGTGTAAAACGTCCTGCCAGGAAACTATCTTGTGCCACAGAAAGCGGCTCTTCTTTCCGGCCTTGTAGCACAATCGTACTCGGCCCACTGGCAAAGACAACCTAATCAGTCGGTCTTCAAAAGAGTAACTCGGAGCAAAAACGAACTGAAACTAGCAAATCAAACGACCGGCACGAAAATTGTTGCTATCGGATGGCATTGTCGATCCACTTACAAGTTATCGCAGGCACAAAGAACGAAGGTCTTGAGTGAGGGACAAACTCCATACGAGGTAAGACCATAAATTACGAAGCAGATGCTAATATTGGTGATCTATCGACTGTCATTGCGTTGAAATTGAAACCCATGTTACGTTAGTCTTTATATTGGTCGTATCATGTGTATCCAAGGGCCTTTGTTCAAGTAAAGAGACACGCAATTTTTCTGCTGCCTTGAATAGGCGCATCTTGTTTGAGTTTCTTCACGTGGACTGTGACTCGTACTTGTTGCTCGAGTCGCCATACCGCCACCGCCATGACAAAGCCTTGTCCATGTGGATTCTGTGCAAAGAAATACACATCAAAGTAAAGACAGGACGATTGGCAGCACGGCATTTCCCAGCTAGGGATATCACCACTACTAGTGCGCATATATTTCAATAAATTACACTACATACGTATCAGTACATCGTATGCGGAGAATATACACGGGCCAACCACAACTATCGATCGCTTTTGATGTTAATTGACCGCTAGAACCCTCCAGGGAGTCAGACAGGGACAGATGAACTGCGTGCTTGATAGTGCCTTCCAGTTGTGATTGGACAGTTTATTGACGTAGTTTGCCTACACGTATACATTCTGACAGGTTTCAGGTTTCAACACACAGACCTACAAATTCTGGAAAATCTGCTTCTAGCACCCCGGTGAGTATTCTTAAGTCAAGCAAGACTTGTTCTCTTGAAGTTTAGAGGGAAAATGAGGGAGAACGTGTGACAATAAGTGCGTCGACGGTGTCCTCCGGGTATTTACGTTATGGGTGTATTAGCCCTAGAATTACACGAAGAATGCTACGAGTGTTGATACGTAGTGGTACTCTGTTTGAGCTGATAATACTATCTCGCGCCTGCCATGAATGTAATTTACTATTTTTTCAGGCATTTTTTTGGATCTTTGATTCGGGTTGTGGTACTCAATATAGTGGTAAGTAGAGCAGCTCTTCGGATTCATGTCTTCCCGTTCGTATTATACCTACCGTAGGAAGTGAAGAAGGAAGCAAAGCAAGACGTTTGATCAGCACCTGTATCATGCAGGGAGGACGAGTTGCCAGAAAACTCAGGGCTCAATGATATCTGTCTTCAAGGACGTGAAAGCTTAGAAAAGATCGCGATAGCTCAAATCTCTCTTCTAATAAAAAGCTTGAGGCCCTTTCCGCAGAGTTTACATATGCAGCCGTAGGGGCCGCCACTCACATACACATCCTTTGCAGCAAGCTGTGGCCGAGTGGAGCGAAGCCTGTCAGCTTGCTCAATTTAAGGAACTTGGAGGTCGGACAATTGTGGCACATTTATTACAAATGCTAGGACTACTCAGGTTTTATAAAGAAAGAGTCGCCCGCTTCGTTCCCCAGCTATAGCGAGAATGGTCGATCAACTAAGCAACGGATTTGATACAGATATACTCATGAGATCATCAACGATGCACACATCTTCCAAGGCCTCTATGTCCAGTACCAACTGTTGAACTTGATCTCGCGTCTTCTCATCGATAATACCCTGCGTAAGTCGTCTCCACTTCTCGAGTATTTCCTCGTTCGACAAACCCGGCGAGACGCTACGAGGGTTGTCAAGCGTCTCACTCAACTCGATCCCATCCTTGAGCGTGATAGTGACGCGCTGCGCATACCGATCCTCGCCTAGATCAAGATCGTGGAAGCATTCTGTCTTGCCAATAAGGTCCCAAACAATATCTCTATCGAGCTGGTCGTCCCTGAATTGATTAGGTAGCACTTGACCATCTACAAGCTGTACAGCCGCGGTATATGCAGCACTCATCTGCGCGCCTGTCGTGGCCACGGGTCTCTTCACGTCGAAGCCGCCGTGATTGAATGCAGCCTCTGTCATGCCGATACGAATACTGGCAATTGCGTCGGGATCAGACAATTCATCTGCATATTTGTCCTGCAGTGCCTGCACACAATCAATCGTGCAATGCGTCCCGGCCATCGAGGAATGATGCTTCACTCTGATGAGTCGCGATTGCCACGTCTTTCCCAACTCCTTGCAGATTTCCTCCGGCAGATAAGGCGGTTCTTTACCCGAGCCCTGTCCAAACATGGCCAGATACCCTCCATATCCTTCTTCATAGACATTTTTAATTCCTCGATAACCATTTTGAGCCAACAGAGCGGCAAAGAGACCATTTCGCGCCGCAAACCCATGTTGCATGCGTTTCACGTCGCTCCCAAATTGAGCAGACATTAATCCACCGGCTTGCGTGCAGGCGATACCGAGTGCGTCCTCAATGGCATCTGTGGGAAGACTCAAGAGTTTGCTTACAGCAGCGGCGGAGGCTGAAGGACCGAATACGGCGCCTGAATGCCATCCACGCGTGAGCATATGTGCCCCGTAGAGACCAAGTCCGACTCTTGGTCCAGTTTCGCAGCCGACTATGACTGAAAGGAGGAAATTTGTGCCGCTGACCTTTGTAGAGGTGGACTTTGCTTGCTGGCGTGCAGCGGCGAAGAGAGCCGGCAGAATAATGGAGTTTGAATGCAAAGGGGCAGACAAGTGCCAGTCATCAAGCTCAAATGCTTGAATGGCCGTGCTATTCAGGAGTGCAGCAGATAGAGGTGTGACGGCCTGCAATCTTATCAGTTTGTATGTCAGACATCTCGGTCATATCGACTTACTTTATCATTGTACCCCCAAACCTTGCAGTTCCCCGTCGGCTCCATGGCAAAGACCGTCTGCGCTGCAGTTTCTGTCCATGGCAGACGAGATCCGACGATAGCACATGCTAGACCGTCCAGGATGAGGTATCTTGCTCGAAGGCGCACATCATCTGGCACATCTTCTAGATTTATATCTTGGATCCATTGACACAGTTTTCTAGTCACGCCTTCTGGTTTGTCGTCGGTTTTAGGAGTCATTATTATCAAAAATAAATTCTTCTCATTTATAGTACCAGTGATCTTATTGCATAGTCAGCCTACCCATAGTATTGATTGCTGGACATGGTGAATCTGTCTTTATGCATAGGCAGCTGCCGCTTTCGGCCCGGTCCAGGCTGTATTGTGCCTACCGCTGCGGATAACTCGGCGAATTTCAAAACACGCATCTTGTCAACTTAGATACAAACCATTATGTGAGCCATCGTTGAGTAGAGACCAATTGCGGATGGAGTTGCGCAGTTGAGCACATCAATCGACAAGCGGCGTCGCGATGACGCGCCTGGGTATTTTGAAGCCTCAGGCACTCAAGCCGCGACTACGGCCCGAGAAATATCGGCCATCTCTTTTCGCCTTCCCCCAAGCCCGACTTCAAAGCAACATGGCCCTGCAACGCTCATCAGCTCCGCTAGTATGGGTTGATTGTGAGGTCTGTCATCGTGAACCTTGTTACAATTCGAATCTTGGAAATTTACAATAATTGACGTCTACTAGATGACGGGTCTCGATCCCGAAACTGACCAGATCCTCCAAATCTGCTGCTTCATAACCGACGCACAACTCCAGCTCCTCGAGCCCAATGGCTTCGAAATCGTGGTCCACCAACCCAAATCTAAGCTAGATGCCATGTCGCAATGGTGCATCGACACACATGGCAAATCGGGACTTACGCGAGCCGTGCTTGCCTCTACTACAGACGCGGCAACCGCATCGAGTCAATTACTAGCTTACATTAAGCAATACATCCCTGAGCCAAGGACTGCGTTGCTCTCGGGGAACAGTATTCATGCCGATCGAGCTTTTTTGGCGAAACCGCCGTATTCGCCGATACTTGAATGGTTACATTATCGCCTGCTGGATGTTAGTACAGTTAAGGAGGCTGTCAGACGATGGGGAAGCGACGAGTTGCTCAGCGCAGCACCGCCGAAGCGAGAAGTGCATCTGGCGAGGGATGATATTCTTGAAAGTATTGCAGAGATGAAGTATTATCGCTCGAAACTCTTTGATGGGAAATGATCGGCCCACATGATGGCTGTCACAGGTATGACGGTCATCTTACTTTGATCACTCTCCCATTGCGTACAGCAATACACATGAATATATATGCTGCTGGGTTAAGAGCCGAATAGCTTCTCAAAGCGTAACAGCTTCAGACAGACTGTACGGTGAGAATTCCGATGGCGGTCTGGACTCTGAATGTGGCCCACTCTCAGTGGGTGGCTGATGTTTGTTTACCGCAAGAGTCGATGTTACAAAAATAAAAACCCGATATAATAGATAGGAAACAATTGTGTGTATTCAATTGCAACATCTCTGATAATGTGTAAAGACATTTTGTATGTAAAAGGTCCAATTGGCAGAATAAGTCAGCCATCGTGGCAAATGAAAGTTGATGGCGGGGCAGCAGGAGCTCCCTCCTCTGTACAGTTGGCAGTCACTATGACACAAGCCCCTCACTAGCTCGACTAGCAGCGCTCCTTACTTCTTGCCATCCCCGCCATCACCTGCTTTCTTGCTTTTTTCTCGTTGTCCGTGAGAGATCATCTTTCCTCATTCTCGGTATCGCATCTATCGTACTACCTGCTATCAAGCTTCTCTACTTATCTCCATCGCCATTCAATTGCGAACTGCGGATTCTTTATCCGACGTCAACTGACCCGCATCACCATGTCGGTCCAGACGGTGTCTCTGACCCCTTTCCAGGACCAGAAGCCTGGCACGTAAGTCATCAAGCAATCCCACATTTCAAAGTGATCGGTCATTGACATCGACAGTTCTGGTCTTCGTAAAAAGGTCGTCGTCTTTCAGCAGCCCAACTACTCCGAATCCTTCGTCACCAGCATCCTCCTCTCCATTCCCGAAGGTGTTGAGGGCTCTTTCCTCGTTATTGGCGGTGACGGTCGCTATCACAATTCGGAGGTCGTACAAACCATTGCAAAGATTGGTGCTGCATATGGTGTCAAGAAGCTGCTGATCGGCCAGAACGGCATTCTCAGTACCCCAGCAGCTAGCCACCTTATCCGCAAAAGAAAAGCTACCGGTGGTATCTTGCTCACTGCCAGTCACAACCCTGGTGGTAAGTTGTTCCCGGAGGATGTAACACAATTGAGATATTGACTTAGCAGGTCCCACCGAGGATTTCGGTATCAAATACAACCTTGCCAATGGCGCCCCCGCTCCCGAGTCCGTCACCAACAAGATCTATGAAACCTCGAAGACTTTGACTTCCTACAAGATTGCCCAGCTCCCAGACATTGATATCACTCAGATCGGCACTCGCAGCTATGGTTCCCTCGAGGTCGAAATTGTCGACTCGGTCACCGACTACGTCGACTTCATGAAAGAGATCTTCGACTTTGATCTTATCCGCGACTTCCTCAACACCCATAAGGACTTTAAAGTCTTGTTCGACGGTATGCACGGTGTCACGGGGCCTTATGGTGTCCGCATCTTCCAGAAGGAATTGGGTCTCCCCGCGTCAAGCACCCAGCACTGCGAGCCCAAATCCGACTTTGGCGGTGGCCACCCTGACCCCAACTTGGTCTACGCCCATGACTTGGTCGAAGCAGTTGACAAGAATGGTATTCAATTCGGTGCCGCCAGTGATGGTGACGGTGACCGCAACATGATCTACGGTGCCAATAGCTTTGTTTCTCCTGGAGACAGCTTGGCCATCATTGCTCACCATGCCAAGCTCATTCCATACTTCCGTGACCAGGGTGTTTATGGTCTGGCTCGTTCCATGCCAACCTCTGGTGCTGTCGACTTGGTTGCCAAAGCCCAGGGTCTTGAGAGCTATGAGGTCCCCACTGGATGGAAATTCTTCTGCGCTCTTTTTGATAATAAGAAGATATCTATCTGCGGTGAAGAGAGTTTCGGAACTGGTAGCAACCATATCCGTGAGAAGGATGGTGTCTGGGCAGTTGTCGCATGGTTGAACATTATCGCTGGTGTGGCTAAGCAAAAGCCCAACGAGACACCTAGCATCGCTTCTATTCAGAAAGATTTCTGGAATACCTATGGCCGTACTTTCTTCACTCGCTACGATTACGAGAAGGTCGACAGTGACGGCGCCAACAAGGTCATTGCTGATCTGAGCAAATTGATTGACAACAAAGACTCGTTTGTCGGCTCAGACGTCTCTGGCCGCAAGGTCACCGATGCCGGCAACTTCTCGTACACTGATCTCGATGGAAGCGTCAGCAAAAACCAAGGTCTATACGTCAAATTTGATGACGGCAGCCGAATTGTAGTCCGTCTGTCTGGCACTGGCAGCAGCGGTGCCACCATTCGTCTCTACATTGAGAAGCACGAATCTGATGCTAGCAAGTACTCTGTACAGACCCAAGAGTACCTCGCGGATAACATCAAACTTGCCACTGAGCTGCTAAAGTTGAAGCAGTATGTTGGACGTGATGAGCCTGATGTCAAGACCTAATCGTCCGTATGGTTGGTCTCATCACGATAATATATTCAGCTTAGCGGTTCTTTTTTAGTAATCATGATTAGTATCCATAGTGAATCTAATGCAAAACACATTCAATCATTATATTCTGTTTCTTTCTCATACAAGAGATTTCAAGTGCTGATCCCACCAATCCTGCCACCTAATAACCTTTTCTTCTCGTCGCGCTTCCTCGGCCGCAAAAACAACAGCATGACTCCTGACGGCCTCTTCTAATGTACACCCAATAAACTCCCTTTGCGCATCCCTAACATCCCAACCACGCTCCTCAACAGCCTGCACAGCACCAATAAACATCCTCGTCAGTCCCCAATCCCCACCTCCATGCGCCTGCTCCTCCTTTGGATTTTTCGCTTTCGGGATTTCGATAGTTGTGAATTCATTGGTGGCAAAGGAGAAGTATTTAATTGTGCGACTATCGTATTCGATTTCGCCTTCTGTGCCGTATATGCGACCCCGGCGCTCGCATTGTTTCTCGGTGGGTGCGATCATGTGCAATGATGCGGTTTTGGATGTTCGGGGGGTATACTTTCCTTCGTCTGTGGATGGTGGTTGTTCATCGTCCCATGTGAGAGTCACGAACTGGTCGTCGCAGACATTATTATCCGACTCCCACACACAGCGGCCATACCACGACCTCGACTTGATTTCCGCGTCGGGAGCGGAACTCTTATCGTAGTCCTCGGCAAGAGCAGTCATTAACAATTTCTCCGCCGCATCTGCACCAGCTACCTTGAACGTATCCTCAATATCTGGACAGACAATATGTAACGGCCAATCCGTATTGCCCTTGTCCAGTTGTCTCTCTTTGTACAGTCGCACAGAGCTATAATTGCATTTCCGCTCAATCGGGCACGAGAGACAATTCGTTGCATCACCTGCCTCCTTCGGTTTCCGCTTACCAATGAACTGCGTCAATCGGCCTGTTGACGATATCGTGCGTGGTTCATGCGGTGGCATATCCTTTGGCGATCCCGGTGGTGGAGAGGAGAGCAACCAGACCAAAAAATCGATGTCGTGGCATGACTTTGTGAGCAATGAGCCAACACCAGCGTGCGTCTCCCGGCGCCAGTTCCCGCGTACATAGCTGTGCGCAAAGTGCCAGTAGCCGACGGGCTCGACATGTTCGACGGAGACCACATCGCCGATTACGCGCTCTTCGAGGAGGAGTTGCCTCAGGCGCATGTTGTGTGGGCTGTAGCGTAGGACATGTCCGATTGAGAATACTTTTGAAGGTCCGACGTCCCTTTTGTGGTCAGGCACAAAAGCGCGGTAGATGGCGAGACAGTCGGCTAGAGATGTTGCGAGTGGCTTCTCGCATAGGACGTGTAGATTCAAGGGTGCGATTGCACACATGATCTCGACATGCATCTCGTCTAGGGCGCAGACGAAAACACCGTCAACTCCAAGGGGAACGTTTTGTTGTCCATTGGCAAGGGCTTGTCTACGTTCCTGTTCCCATTTCAGCCAGTCGCGCCAGTCGGTGAATTCTTGTCCGTTGCTTGGCTTGTTGTTGGTGCCCCAGATGAAGCGTTCTCCGAATTCTTGCCGGTTCCAGGGCCGTGGTTCAGCTACAGCGTGGATGAGGGCTGAGGTACTTTCTGTGACAGCTTCGGCGTAGCGGTGGCCTCGCGAGCCGGCGCCGATGACCAGGAATCTAAGCTGTTTTGTGGTGGTTGTTGTTGGCAGGGTGTTGATGGCCATTTTATCAACAATGTGATTTCAGACAGACAGAAAGATGTATATGGTCTAAAATTACTTTATGGTTCTGATTCCAATAATTAATCACGATGAACAAGACTTAGATATATGGGGGAGGATAGTTGTTTTCCCCCCTCACTGGCGGTATCGATAAGCATCTCCGCACGCCACGCCATACGTGGGGGTGACTAATTCATTCTCTGTGATTGGACAGCTACATCTACTTTTGCATCTATTGTTGGGCTGGCCTCATTGAGTCAAACATCTATCTCTCTGTATTGAGCCAGACTCTCATACCGATTCCCCAGTCCACAGAATGCCTTCTGCAACCTCTTCCCATCACGACTACAAAAATCGACATCTGACTGTTCCCCCATCACATCCTGTAACGCCCACGCAACCCTCTCAGCTCCAAGACGAGCGCCTTCTAGGTTCGGCGCTGCTGGTCCCAGACGCAAGGATGCAAGACGTCCCGTGACGAATAGTGGAACATCGGATCTCCACATAAGATCGTCAGTCAGACATGGCAAGCCGTTTATGCTTTCGATGGGGTAGTCGCGATTCATTGATTGAAGGAGACTCATCTCGTTGACATCCACCTTCATGCCTGTTGCGAAACAAATGTAGTCAATTTGTTCAGGGAAGTTTTCGATAGGCGGATCTGTAGTAATCTTCCAGGTGTGAGTTTCGGTGTCGAAGCTCTTGCTCGTAATGACGGTTTGGGTGTGTATTGACAATCGGCCTTTGGCGGTGTATTGTTTGAGGATCTTCTGGTAGTGCGGTGTTATGCTACCCCCATTTCGTGCAGTTTGCAGCATCTCAAAGCGTTCTGACCTCGTTATTCCATGCTCAATAACAGCATAAAGGGGCCAGTTGTCTCACCTTGATCGTCATCCGCCGACCAAAATACAGCTTTGTCATAATTCTTAAACTTGCCCACCCAATTCAGACTAACGTCGAAGTGTTTGATTTTCATGTCTCCACGAATTAGATGCCAGACTTTAGTGACACCTCTGCGTAAGGCCATGTCAGCGAGCTGGGCAGATGATAATCCGCCGCCTACGACGACTATATGAGTCGTCTGCTGATTCTCAATCTTTCGTGCGAGAACTGGGCTCGGAAATCTCACCCCTACTTCGGAGCTGTGGCATGCTCCAGTCTCTTCTTTCGGGGACAGACTCCATGGCATCAATTTGGTCAAGCCAGGTCCCACGGCGAGTACCACTGCTCTACTGTGGAATGACTGCCCGTGCGTTGTCACAATTGTAAACAGTTTACTTGTATCCTTTGACCCTTCGACTTCACCAAACTTGATATCACAAACCTCGGACTGCTCGATCCGAGCCGAGCCATCGTCCAGCCCGTACCGCGCAATGATCGACTCGCAGTAATCCGCAAATAACCCCGTCGAAGGCGTAAAGTAATCTTTTCGATCTCGCTCGTTGATTTCTGCTTCACGCGGGAATCTATATTTCCATAGCATCAGCATCCACCCTTTCCGAAGGTCAAAACAACATACATACCTGGATAAATTACGAATCTTCTTCCTCTTATGTTTACTCAATTCCTGCCCAACACACCCCGAAAGCTCATACAACTCCTTTTCGCGTCCCGTCTCACGCGTATAAGCCAACATTCCATCTCGATCCGCTGGATCAACATGGAAGAACATCGGAGACCGCAGATGATCAATCTTCAATGCCTTGAATGCGCGGTTCCAGCGTGCCATCCACTGACTGCCTGAGCTATCGAGTACGAGAGTCGAGTATTGCCCACCGCGATCATTTTCACCACTACAGCAGTTGTTGGGTTTTGTATATGTAGATGCAGTGAGCGGGGTACCATGCAACCGCCTCGTTCTGGCACGCGCAAGACTCATTTTGCCCTGGTGCTTTTTGATCCAGTGATATCGCTGGTGTTCTTCGTCGGTAAACATGGCGGATGGCGTTTCTTCGCGCAGACGGGCTGCGACAGCGAGCCCGCAGGGGCCGGCGCCGATTATGATTATGTCGTATACTTCGGCGTGTGTGGTCATTTGGACTGTCGTACCATTGGGTGCTGGTGGTAGAGCGAGAATCGAGTGAGAGATGCCGTGGAATTCATGATCGGTTTTATCAGCGAGTATGCTGCTGTTAACTAGCTTCGAAGGTCCCTAGCGGACGGATTGAACCAAAGGTACTCATCACGGTCTACTGAGTACCTTCATGGTCAATTTCAGATGAATCATCTGATATCATGGTGATAAGCTAACGAGTACCTTGTGAGTACGACTGGTTGTTTCCACCTAGAAAATGAGGATGGATGCGAACAAATCTCTAGAAGTGTGATTCCATCATATGGAATATGAGTTTGTGCTATTGGCTATTTCCTTTTGCCAGATCTATTCTGAGAAATGTCTAATTGTCACACTACCCTACCTAATATTGCCGGATTGGGACGAGTGGTTGCCCTAATTACATCAAGGTCTGAGGCATGACTTTCCCTGTAATTTCATTACTTTACTATCAATAAAGCTATAAATCTAATAGGTAACTGTCTTGGTGACCTTAATTTATGTATTAATTCAAATATGTACAAGCAGCGGCCTTGGATGCCCTAGCATTGGGGTCATAAAGCGAGTGTATAATGCCGGGTATCCATCAAAAATACAACAATAAACCCCCTAAGGACTCAAGATTTCAGGGACATGCAAAGTACAAAACAAACAAATAAAGCCCTGAGTTTGAATGGGTTGAGACATACAGTATCTCGGTCTAAGTACTAGCTCCACCCACAGTAACACTCAACACAGACGGGTTGGCAGACGAGACAGTACCAGAGGCATTCTCATCATCGCCGGAAGGATTAACATCATCATAAGCGAAAGCATACCCCTTTCCATCGAGCTCGTACTTGTGCACAATAGCTGAGTAGTAATTTGACGGGGCAGTGGTGTAGTACGAATCCGCTCCGAGACTGGGCTGCACATCACCACCAGCAAGCAATAACGTACCACGATTGAAAGCGGCACAGAGACGAGGAACGGCAGCTTGATGGACAGCGGTGTCCGATGGATTGGTCACGAAGGGGCCCGAGTTGCAGCCAAAAATGTCTGCGGTGGAAGGTTTGCTGTAGTTTATGCCGTCGCCATCGCATTCAAGGGTGTCGCCACTGACGGTGCAGGACACGTTTCCGGCATCATTTTGGGTGTTGATGGTGAGTGTGCTGCTGGTGTAGTTGGACCAGACTTCGTTAACGTAGTCGTCAAAATAGGTCTCGAAGCCGCTGGAGGCGTTGGCAGCCATGTAGTCGTTTGGTGAAAGGACGCGCATAACGGTGCCATTGATGGTTTGACAGAGCGCATCCCATGGTAGACCATCGGTAGCAGCTTGAGTGGTCAAGTCGTTGCAGACGCTAGTCACAGCGTCTGAGGTGAGGCCAAGAGCGGTTTGAACGCCGCCAGAGGTATCTGTCAGGGACATTCCGAGAGGCAGACCGACAAAGTCAACATAGCTGATGTTGGCGTAAATACCGCCATCGGCTGTGTAAGTGAACTCGATAAAACCCCAGTTGACACCAGCACTGGGATCGGCAGGGTTACTCTGAGAAGGCTGGACAATTGAGAAAGTGCCGTCAGCGTTACCAACAGTGAAGAATTGGAGTTCACCAACGGCAAACCAGACACGAGCAGAAATAACATAGCTGGGAATCGTGATGGTGGTGCTTTCACCCTGGGCGCCGAGTGGAATGGCAATAGTCTCGGATACAGGTGCAGGGGTACCGTCAGTAGTGCTTGGTGCTGAAGGATAGTACCAAGAGAAATCCGGGGTCAGCATAACCGGGGCATTGTTCTGATTAGGGTCTTGACCGTTAACATAGCAGTTCACTGAGCCGGCGATGTTGTTGGTGATGGTAAGTGTCAATGAGGTACCGTTGGTGGCAGCAACGCTCTGGGACTTGCTGGCTGATGCAGAGATCGTTCCATTGATTGTATCCTGGGCGTTGATGATCAAATCAGACGCACCTCCGGGGTGGAGTTCTGTTGGGCGAGCGACCGTTGCTGTAATGATGCTCAAAGCGGTGGCCAGAGCCACGGCATATTTGCTTAAAACGAGCATTATCGTCGAAGTCAAAATGATTGGCAAGGGTGTTCCAGAAAGAAGGACTTTTCTCTCACAGTCAAGCGAGAATAAAATAGCAATAGATGTATCGAACACCTTGGATTTCAAAAAGAATGAAGAGTGCAAACCGAAGGAATGAAATTTGCACAATCAACAACCTGTATCTCAAACACACTCACAGGGCCTGACAGTGAGATGTCTACGGATATGGAACTCTAGAAGGGAAGAGACAGCTTCCCTTATTAATCTTTTACGTCGGTCAGCTTCCTGGCACGCCGTTCGATACACTATCTGGTACGGCACGGGGTGACAAGATCGACAGTAACAAATAGCAGCTAATGCATCGTGTTTCTTTGCCCCAGCGTCCCCTCTTCCTGGCCGGCATTGCATTGTAACGGAAATCTTTTAGCCCGAAATGGCAGAGCCAGGCTATGAATATGTACCAGTAGATGAAGTGGACACCGAAACAGTCAAAGATATCGGCTTACGGGTCTGAACCAGGCTAAACAATTCTAGATGATCGAGGTCAATTCCCGTATCTAATTGGCTCTATCATACTTGATCATACTTAAAAGGGTTATCAGGTTCCCCGTAGGATCTTTTTTTAGTTTCCTAGTCTGCTGCAGTCAGAAAAGTAAAAACATCTTATGGGACGTAGTGCAAAACGGCCCCTGCTCAGGGTAGCAATGGGCTGTCATATGGGGACCGAACTAACGGAGTATGTAACATGTGGACCAAAAGCTTGGATGAGGCTAGTACCTAGTTAGGCAAAGAAAGTTTCAGGGCACGAGAATGTAATCCATAGACGACGTTGCAGATGAATAGCATAAATCGTTAATCCTGGTAAATAAGTTTCCAAATTAGTTTCGATATGAAACCCTGGAACGGCTCATCTTCTGTATGTCGAATCCAGATTGGCTGGAATACGTAGAGAGACCGGGCAGGTATTCCGGAGATTAATCGGGAGCTCTATTGGTATCATGTTCTCGTTGCTGAAAATGCTCTTCGTCAAAATAATTCTATATCTAGAAAATAACTGTACAGATTCTACATGCATCGAGTGCACCTTGATGATTCTGCGATGTCGATCCGGCAGCGTGGTAATGATCGAGTGTAATTAATACGGCCGTGCGTATTAGCCCTAAGAGCGGACCAAGCCATCGTTCCACGACAAAAGCTCCCCTATGAATAGCTTCCAAGGTTAACATGTTAAGTGGATAAGAGTGTGGAGGCCACAGAAGGATTGCAATACCCAAAACAATTGCTTATAATGATTGTCCGGTGTCAGTGAGAAGTGCTAAAGCACAAAGCCTCAAAGAGAACAGGTGACCGTAGGAGTCTTGCGGGGTGTAATTTCGTCCATAATCCTACATCGAAGTTAGTGACGCCAAGATCGATGTCAGGATTCATTGAATACTATGCATTAGTGCAATCAGGGTGGTATATATGTACCATTCTCCTCCCTCGTACAACTTCGACGATATTGATCGACATCTGATAATTTCATGTTGCTTGCCTGACACAATGACACCACTAAGCGGCTACTCGGAGAGGAAATTACCGCAAGATCAAATCAGTCTAGCCTTTTCATTCGAGAATAGAATAAGTGGCTTGACCGAGAACCAGTTGCTTGGTCGTGGTTTCTAGATGTCAGGAGCCGAACCGTGAAACCCGGTAATCAATTGAGGCCATCAGGATCAGCTTGTGTGGTAAAAATATGCTGCCAGCAATTGGATCAGATGCAACGCTTACTATGGCGGGCAGTATGTAGTTGACATAGAACACACTGGCCAACAACAAAGTTACAAAAGCCTTGATGATCAACAGGAACAGAGGCGCTTGATACTTCTATTCCACAAGATCCAGCTGAAATCAATCATGTGAATCGGTTCAGGGCACCTGGTCTAAGTATTAGGATGCACAAGCTAAAGCCCCAATGGCCAACAACCAACATCATTGGCCAACCCAATTCAGTTCCTGCATACAACAAAATATCAAGTCTTACAGCCTAGCGTTTTCGTGGTTTCGACTTTTTTCTTTTCACGAATTAGCGTCTAAACAAATAGTGGAGAATCAGAATTAAGGAATCGCGATTAACTCGAATTATGGCCAATGAAGTGTCGATATTGCTTTTGTATGTTTCGTGCTCTCGGAAGGATTGATTTAGTGCATACTACCTAACCAGTGTTAGCATCGGTTTTGGTTACATCTTAACTATCACGGCAAGTACGCTATTATTAGTCTCTGTTCTTTTGAGGTCATATTGAAGCAAAACGTCATTCTAAAAGATCACGAACAAATATCACGATCTGGTGGCTTGAGTGGCTTGCATTAGCAATCTGTCAAAGTTGATTTCATGAGATTCGAAGCCGACCGTAAGATGTATTACTATACTCAATGAATACCGCTTCGCTTGATACGATATTTATCTATGAAGTCCTTTTCGTCCGTTGTACGACGTCAAGCACTAGAGGCTGCGCGAATCGACCGACAGCTCCGTTACTTGGGTCTTTTTACTACTTTCGGAAAGCCGTCCATGTCGAGTGATCTACGAAGCACGTTACACTCACAAGACCTAAGTAAATTACGAGTATGGGTGGCACTGTTCATTGAATCTAATGCAGATGTTATTCTGAGGGGACATTCGTCTTTAATCCTTCCAAAGAATACGAGAAAGCGTGCTTGATGCTAAGTCGCCCAGGTTTAAGGATTGAGCATTAGGGTTACAACAAGTCTACAATAAATCGAGAGCACAACTTCTCTAATACATTACAGTGGTTTGCAGGTTCAGAGTTACAACTCAAGCTGTCACGGACCTGGATCCACCTTAGTTAAACAGCGTTGTGTCGTGATACATTAGGCTGGGTCGAACCATATTAAAGGTTCTCGAGATTGTCTTCGATAGAGTAGGTTGAGTCAACAGAGTGATAATAACTAGTCGAACTAGTGCATGGAAGTCTTAAACGTAACTAAGTTGAAGAGATCCCCCATACAGCCAGTGCCCGTACGACTATAAATCCCTTGCTGACTCTTACTGTTGTATTCGCGTGACTTATGTCAAAGAACTATGAAGAACTAAATACATGATGATAAAAGAGCCTCCTTACATATCCAGTCCTCCATGATTTATATACTGTATATCGTATACTTCAAAAGTAGCAAGTATAAAGTATACGATATTCTTTCAATGATACCGCGTCATTCCATATACTCCTTATCTTTCTTGGCATCGGTATGTTATTCTGCGTTCACAGAAGTAATAAACCTGTAAATTACAGGTGCGTATCGCCGTTTAGGTACATTCCCTTTATCCTGTCATTCCTATCTTCTACACAAACCTTTAGTAGACCATGTGTATTCGAAAATACAGTATTATTCCGCCTGAGCATTATTCCTACACCATGCTCTATTCATCATGGTATCATCTTGCTACTGTTTCGGGGGAAAGAGAAGAGTCTGTCGGTTGTTAATGTACATAGCACTACTGTATGTATTTTTGGTTAGACGTGTGGTCACGATTGTCGCATTTAAAATCAAAATATCCGAAGGGCTGCGCTGCAAAGAGATCAGCCAGCCTTCTTTCTGCGCATAAATCCGAGAATCGTACTCACCTGCAGCACTAACCCAGAACGATAGTCGCTAAAATACCTGACCCACATGGAATAGGGCAGCAGGCTTGCGAGTCGGAATTTAAATGGCCTTCCTTTATACTTTCCAGTTACTTTATAGCCCTAACCAGCCCCGCGATCTGGAATTGTTTTGTGCCAGCTGCATTCGAATCTCTTAGTGTAACTCCGCCTGTTCAATGAGGCTGGCTGAAAACCGAGCTCGAAATGGGTATTTCGAGATAGTCTGCAGATTGGTTGATAATGGGATGTCGGCCACGTTCTCAATAGGGGGCGCCAGATATATAATCCGCCTTCATCCAAGGTATAATTATGTCTAGATCTGACAATCATTTAATTACAAGAGCTCAATCAACTGTCTTGTTTTATCGTCATAATATACTCTTTCAAAATAAAACCACGGAAACCTGGGACAACGACCTCTACGCAATGTCGGAACCTCAAATTATGACACCGGAAGATCTCAAATGGCGAGTGAAGTTTGATGCAGGAAAAAGAGGAGTTGACCCAGATTCAATCATTCTGATTGATCTCCGTGGGTCTGATTTTAAAGGAGGCATCATTAATAATGCTCTACACATACCTGCGGATGACTTTGACAACTGCATGATAACAGTATTCAAAATGATCGTTGCCACTGGTATCTCTGACGTTTGCTTTTACGATAGTGAGTACTGATATTCAAATCATATGCGCATGCTTTACACGGAGGAACTGATGTGTATATATCTAGCATCATCTAGCGGGAAAGCGAAGAGTGTAGCAAGCGATTTCCAATTTTTCGGTGAAAATATGAAATCAGTGAATTATCCCATGGGAGATATCAACACTTACGAACTTAAGGGGGGACTGGAGGCTTGGGTAGCAGGTGGGAAAGACTACACAAGCCTCTTGAGGGGTTACGACGAAGCTGCATGGGGGAAGCGCAAGGAAATTCTAAAGTTCTAGGAGACATAAAAGTAAGTTGAATTTGATTATTTTATGACTAGATAGATGTGGCATTTGAGCTCAATAACACATTATTAGGGCTAAACATCAACGGAATTGACTCTTGATTGAAATTCTGTACATTGAGCATGGGCGTCGTGGCTCTCCACCATTCAACCTACTGGAGCTAGCTATTCGTACTACGTGTCTGACTAGTCCTAAGCCACTTCGGCCCATTTCTACCCAAATGTGCATGGGCATGACTAGAATCTATTGGGTAGCCCATCTAGTTGATCGGATACCCGCCATTTACCACGCACTAGTATGCAGTGTTCCCTACGTAAAATGTAGTAGATTAACTTCCGCTTCACTTTTTAGAGTTTGCGCTACAAAAATGTTGCCGAATACGCAAACTCTTAAAAGGCGCAAAAAAGGGGCGGGGGGGAGGGACAGAAGTGACATGGGAGAGTGAATCGGCGAGCAATCCGTCCCAAGGACTCGGGTACCACGCTCGCGATACTAGGCCAGTCTGACTAGTGCAATAAACCATAGACAAGGTTTAGCGAAAAAAAATCAAACGTTTACATCAGAACTAGAAGCTTGACGAGTGACGCGGGAAAAGAGGAGACTCTATGGAGCCACTGAGTTGTGGTCAACAGCGAGAACGTGCGAAGAGGGACGAGGCATTTTTAGGGTGAGGCCTATATCAACCTGGATTTCCTCATCCCAATCGTGTCAGTCTATGACTTCCTCTTTCCTCTCCTCGGACTATCCCATGCTGGCTACAAACAACCAAGTTGATACATCCTAAATAAGGCATCTACCCCTCATCCCTATGATATAACCCAATTGATTTCATTGATAAAACCTGGCAAGGGGAAGGCCTTATGCGGTTTAAAAAGCTCAAAAGATCGACTAGTAGTTGCATAAGAGTGTCTTCCTTCACCGACCACTACATGCTCCGGAGTAGAGTCGAGTTTTTTTCGAATGGTATTTGAACCATATACAACTGAAATGATGTATTGTAAATAAAGGTTCGTATCAATATCAACAGTATTATATCCGGATTAATATTACTCCAAAACTATTTTATCTGTCATGGGTTGCTCTTGGCACTGTTTCAAATGAAAGAGAAGAGAGTGCTAGTTGTGACTCCGAATGTGCAAACAACTGTACTACGATAAACCTTTATTCTTGCAAGATAATGGGTAATTTTCTAATGATCCATTTCAAATCATACATTATCTTCACCAACACAACAGGAATGAAATGAATCTCGAAAATTTTCTTCAAATCACAGTTGTAACTGAGTCAGTGAGGGTAAAAGATGTTCATGACTCTGCCACTGTTAATCCTACCGAAAGGCCCTTCGAGACGATATTAAATTTGCCGCCCATCGTTCTCAACTTCTGTAACGATGGGGAAATTTTTCTCAAGACCAGCAGCCTCGCGAACTTGCGCACCCACATTCCAACGAGAATGCCGGCAACAGTTGCAGGACCTTCAAGAATATCTTGGATCTTTTCGAGGGAGTGGTCCTTTGTTTCCGCATGGAAAATGTAAATCGCCACCTTGATGACTACCAGAAATGCCACGTATACAAGGTGGTATATCCATCCTAATACCTCCATGGCGATAGGGTCGAAATAGGGATTGAGTATAAGGGCGAAGCCACTGAACAAGTTACAAACTGCGAGGCCTATCTGACGTGTATGGAATGGATGATACTCGGTAGGGTAGGCTGTAAAGACGATTTGATTAGAAACGAGAAGCTATCAGCATAAGGGAGGAGGAGTCAACGTACCGAACGTCAGTGGAGTCACCGCGATAACGTAATGAAGGTAATACACAAAGATGAACACAACGACTGCGACCACTATATGATAATTGCTTGTGTGTATATAAAAGGCTAATCAGCTGCAAACATAGGAAGAATGCTTGAAGGGCAGATGGGATTCGACAACTCCATGTAGAGTCGATCATATGGAAGGTGCCGAATGTGCTCCAGCTCGATGCAATTGCGCCCATGCAAAAACATGTCTGGTACTGTAATTACACTCCAAAACCAAGATAGATTGATACTGTTAGCAGTCGACTTACAAGTTTCAGATGTTGTACCTGAGATATCTAGTCGTGTGCACTCGCGGAACCCTTCGGTTGTAAAGTAGACGGCCCACAAACGTGGAACACAAGGCACAAGTACCTCTAGAGCTATGGATAATGCGCAGCTATACGAGATCAGAAAGATATGACGCAGATAATGGACAAGTTGTCCTAAGTAGGTAGAAGCATCTATATACGGATATCCAAAACAGACGAGAAAGGATGAATGAAAAGAGGATCTCGCGAAGGTTGATGCAATGAGTATGTAGATAAACTATAATAACACAGGGAGCGCAAAACGGGGATGGCGGCTGTAGTCCCGGGAATCAAAATCAAGATGAAATCATATACAATGAAATATAGGAAAGAGAGAAGGAGGAAGAGAGTATGAATTATACGTTCAGATTTACACTCGCTTGCGTAACAATGTCTGCAACACGATTGACCCAGAGTTGAGTCGCATTCCAGTCTCCGGCGTCGATAGCATCGCGGATAGCTGGGAAGAAGGCTTCGTCGTATCCGGACCAAGTCTGGGGTGCAAACAGGACGTGCTTGAATTGGGTTCGATTGGGCACCTTTTTTCTCACATTAGTACGGTTTCAATAACAATGACGGAAGAACTTACACCACCACCTTGAGACAAGTCTAATAGGTTGGTCTCAAATTTAGCTAAACGGTTGTTGTGTTCGATACGCCGGGCACCCATAATGTTACTCTCGAATCCGCCCGATCCGTATACGGCGCTATACCAGACTTGCTCCCATGCCTGGAAATCGGCAGCATTCGTCTTGAAAACTTCCGCCGCATCATATAAAGATTTGAGATCGACGGTCTCGGTCCTCGCCTGTGACGTGTCTGACGCAGTCTTTAGCGGGACACCTTTGGATGCCGCGTACTCTTGGAGGTTATCGATGTAGCCCCTGAAATCAGCAGAGTATGCTTCCAGGTCAAAAGGAAGAATAGGGCTATCTGCAAGCTCCAAGAGCAACAATCCCCACAGTTCGCCCAACATTCTATGATATCGGAAATCCGGATCTCCAAATTTAGCCATCCACTCGTAGTTCTCGTAACAGCTGTGGTAAGGAAAAGGCGCTCCGCCAAACCCAAAATCGAGACTGGAAGTACCGGCTATATCTTGAAAAGCCACGTAGTCACTACCAGCGCCTAGCCCTTCTAGTCGCTTTCCTTGTTCATCCCAAATCTCTTTGAGTGTTTTATTAGCTGCCTCATCCCCAACCCGGCCCATCGCGGTGTTAAGGAGTCGCTGAAAAACTGGTGACCCGGCGGCTTCAAATGAATTACCACTAACGCCGACATCGACATTGAGGTATGCAAAACCATTAGCTCGAAGTCTGTCGATTTCCTTCTCGACATGCTCTGTAGAACCAATGAGGTTATATTCTTCGCCATCCCAGCTCGCAAATTCAATAGTTCGAAGAGGCCGCCATCCAACGCTTCTCATCTCTCCGAAAACGCGAACAATCTCAAGGAAAGTAGCTGTGCCGCTACCGGGGTCGACTCCACCAAAGCACCAAGAATCTCGGTGATTGCCAACGATAATCTTCCTTTCTGGTTGCTCCAACCCCGTGATGCGACCTAGAACATTGTAAATCGGCTGACGTTCGACCTCATCCTGCAGATTCATCAAGTTGACCTTTGGTGAAGATAAATCACCGGTCCACCACTCAGAGATGTCGGGTACTCCGCCCACCCAGTCTGCTGGTACTTTCGACCCATGGCCCTTGAGAACCTGTAATAAGCGTTGTGCATCGCGCCATGAGAGCGGAATACTTGGTATTTGTACCAAACCCGGACTATCTTCTGGCGATAATCTGTTCTTCTCATTGGGTGTCGATGCGAATCCCGGAGATAGGACATCTCCAACAACCCACGACATCAAGCTCACGCCTCCGCGTTGAACGCCGAGACTTGGCATATAGCGACCATCAGGGTAGGCTGGTCCCTTGATAAATCCATCTTCTGCTGGGTCAGAATATATGATACATCCGGCTGCGCCTGCAAGTTCCGCCGCCTTGATTTTAAGTGCACGGTCACCCTGAGTACCGTAGTATCGAACTAATACAATGGCACCCTCGACAGAGATGCCGCTATCTGCAAGTCGTTTAAAATCGTCCTGAGATCCGTAATTGGCGTAAACCAATGGACCAGTCACGTTTCCTGACTTGGAATGGCCATGGAAGACAAGTGTCTGTTGTCGCCTCGGATCATTATAAATTTGCGGCTCGTCAATCGCAGCTTGCCATGCTAACTCCGGCGGGTCGACAATGGCAACACGGCGACCGTCAGGCCGTGGATAGTTCAGGTATACTTGAAATTCTTCCATCTCAACATCTTCCAATCCTGCATTTATGAACTCTTGTTCAATCCATTCCGCAAGCACATAACTGCCCTCTGTTCCTGCTATATGTGCAAACTGAGTCGCTTTCTGGAGATTGTTGGCAATATTGGTTTCGTTGATGTGACTTTGAACAAAACTCTCGACAGATGCTGCTGTATATGATTGTCCCATGTTGAATCGACTGCCGACGGCGAAGATATCGGAAACAAATACGAGGTAGATGAGAAAGACGAGAATGAAAAGACCAAAGAGCCGGAGAAACAGCATGCAAGCAAATCCGTCTTCATTAATCCGCACTCGCCAAAATCGCCAGGGAAATTGAAAGTGGGGAAAGGCATTTCGAAAAGGTAGCTGTATCGATGACAAGGTTTTGGTCAAGTTGGAAAAAGGGTTCGCGAAGTGTTTCGAGAATCGGCGACTGAATAGAGGGCGACGAGTTCGAGATGATGAGCCGGAATCATCCACGTCCATCTGGTGTATCTCGCGTCGTAGATCCTCTTCCGACTGGCGGGCGGAACCTGAAGCTGAAGAGGCGAGGTAGTCGATACTAGAGCGGGCAGACTCCACAGTCGGTGGTTGATAGCCTCCATTACGGGTTGTACGCGACCGGTTGGGCAGACTATCATTGGATTCTTCATTTTGTAGAAGGCCCTGCCTCTCTAGGTCATCGCTTGAGTGTTCGGGTCCCAGATGCGAGGATCCGGACTGTGATGCGGTGGCTTCTTCGTATGTCGGAATGGGCAACTCCTCATACCGAACTTTTTCGTCCACCATGTCTCCTTATGTGCAAGCGAAGAGCTAGTAGCTCTACGCGGGTGTATCGACAGAAATTATATGGATCGAAGCATTCGAAATCATGATCTAGTAAACGAAGGTACGGACGAAAGACACATCGAGGCTGTCGACCAGCGAACGAGCGAGTGAGTGACTGAGCGGGCGACAAACTAAGAAACGAATGAGTTCTATTTACGCTAGGCAAATGCGAATGCGACTATGGACAGCGTGATGATGAGACATATGTCGAAGTGATGGTGATACAGTCAATCTGTTGTCCCTGAGGATGGCTGAGACGGAGATACGGCAAGTACGCGGATAGCGCCTTCCCGATTTGTCTTGGCTGAGGCTAGCACCGTTTGAGTGTGGCGCAGTCCATACTGCACGTGAGAGCGGGGCAAGTGGCTTGGCTGGCCGCCATTGGACGACCTACCAGTACGAGATGTCGCTGTCATCTGGAAGACGGGGAATAAAAGACGATATTTTCGTTCGTTCATATTCTTGCGACCTTTTGAAAAGCTAAATGGAGCTTGCTTATGGAAGATGGAGCAAGGGTTGCTAGATTTATCAAAAGGGCCACCGAAATGGGATTGATAAAGATGGAGAAGGCGAGTAGGCCTGGTTCTTGTTCCATTCGATGACCAGTTGATGAATAAGATGGACCGCGACGACACATCGTACATATGATGAATGCCATTGCCGACATTTGAGTGCCAATGGTATACATATGCATGCATCGAGCCGTTGACATGACAATGGAAATAGGGCGAGCTGGCTGCTGCACTGTGATTGGCGGGGCCAAAGCCAAAACCACACCTCCCGAGAATGATGGATTCTACGACGCACACACGGTACTGCCGACTTCAGGATGAAAACTACGACGCAGACGACAGACTGGCAGATACAGCGAGTTTCGGACAAAAGGGGGTTTTTCAGGGCTTCACCGACATTTGTTGCCGTAATTGTTTGGATGGATCCCACATTCTCCGACGTGCAAAGCTTTCAAGCCGAAAGGATAGAGGTATGGTATTCGATACTTCTTACGACTGAGGATTGTATTGTATAGCTTCAGGCACGAGGGCTTAGAAGAAAGAAATAAGCTCATGGCCAGAGCCAGACCAGGCACGGAACAGAATGCCTCAGGCCACCCTGTGTTTTGCTGCGGGAACGGGCATGGATGCCTGACAATGCCACCCCTCGCCAACGCCAAGATCCGATACTCTATTCCCTCCTAGGCTTAGTGCCAGGCCCTCCGCCATAGCTCAAGTGGGTCGCTGGACTCTTCGGGGCTGGTGATTGGCTGATGCCTGCATATCTCCAGAAAGATTCGCCTCCAACGGACTCCGGAAAATAATATGAGCATACGATCAAAGAACCACAGTAGACTAGTTACTGCGTACTATTAGAAAATAGACGTAGGATTCGATGATCCATATCATGTCACCCTACCTTGAAAGGCTAGTTAATTGATTGAATTGTGTCGCCTAAAGTAATCGAGCCTGCCAGAAAAGGGCTAGGCTGGGGGGCGGCCAGTAGCTATTTAATCCCTCTGTTTTCTTCCCACTTGGAATGGGAATTCACCCAAAGCCTTGTCAAACATTTCACAAGAAAATACATCTCTCACGGAGTACTCGAGTAAGTAATTTACCCTTGGCAGGCACTGCTGGCTGTTCCGTGGGTGGCTCCTGCCTTCCTGGGACATCGGGAACCCACCCACTACAATTGATCCACCGTCGCAAAGTCCCCTCCACCATTGATCTCACTCTCAACATTTCTCACTTTCGCCCCTTTTCTCTGCTGCTATATCTTCCGCCTATCGCCCATTCCTTGGACAATTGCTCATTTCTTCTACTTCTAGTTACTTCTAGAAAACCACTTTCCCCTCGATTGATCGTGTGCCCGCCACTATCACCTCATCATCCACGTACACATACATACAAGATGGCCACTCGACCTCAGAACATTGGCGTCAAGGCCATTGAGATCTACTTTCCCAGCCAGGTACGCTCTTACTCTACAGTTTACTCTACAGTTCTGGTACGATGTACTAACCAATTCCACCAGTGCGTTGACCAGGCCGAGTTGGAGAAATTCGATGGCGTTTCCACCGGAAAATACACCATTGGTCTCGGCCAGACTAAGATGAGCTTCTGTGACGACCGCGAAGGTGTGTATCATTCAGCCCTCCTTTCTCGTTGACGTTCATGGCTAATGGTTAATCTCCTAGATATCTATTCCCTTTCCCTTACCGCCCTCTCCTCCCTCATGCGCAAATACAACATCGACCCCAAGTCCATTGGCCGATTAGAAGTCGGAACCGAGACTCTCTTGGATAAGTCCAAGTCTGTCAAGTCCGTTCTCATGCAACTTTTCGAAGAATCTGGCAACACCAACATCGAGGGTATCGACACTGTCAACGCTTGCTACGGAGGCACCAACGCGATCTTCAACAGCATCAACTGGGTCGAGTCGTCTGCCTGGGATGGCCGTGACGCTATCGTCGTCTGCGGTGATATTGCTTTGTACGCCAAGGGTGCAGCTCGTCCTACCGGTGGAGCTGGATGTGTCGCCATGGTCATTGGTCCCGACGCTCCTATCGTATTTGAGCCTGGTCTCCGCGCCAGCTACATCAGCCACGTCTACGATTTCTACAAGCCCGACTTGACCAGCGAGTACCCTTATGTCGACGGTCACTTCTCCAACAGATGCTATACTCAGGCTGTTGATGAGTGCTACAAGGCTTATAATGCTCGTGAGAAGACTTTGCAAGAGAAGTTCGGTGCCAATGGCGTCATTTCCGAGGAACAGGTTCCTTTGGACCGATTTGAGCATGTTCTGTTCCATGCCCCTAACTGCAAGCTCGTGTCCAAGTCGTACGCGCGCATGCTTTACAATGATTACCTCACCAACCCATCCCACCCTGCCTTTGCTGAGGTCCCCGCCGAGGTTGCCGAAGTTGACTATGAAAAGTCATTGGCCGACAAGGTTGTAGAAAAGACCTTCATGGGTTTAGCCAAGAAGCGCTTCAACGAGCGCGTCCAGCCGTCTATCGAGGTTGCCACTCAGTGCGGTAACATGTACACCGCCAGTGTCTACGGAGGACTGGTCAGTCTCATCTCAAACGTCACCTTTGACACCTCCAAGCCCAAGCGAGTTGCCATTTTCAGCTACGGCAGTGGTCTTGCCAGCTCCATCTTCAGCTTCAAGGTCGTTGGTGACACTTCCACCATGGCCAAGAACCTTGACCTCCGCAACCGCCTTGAGTCTCGTCGTGTTGTTCCTCCTTCTGACTACGATGCTCTCTGCCTCCTTCGTGAACATGCCCACTTGAAGAAGAACTTCAAGCCCGCTGGTAACGCCGACAACCTCTTCCCCGGTACTTACTACTTGACCGAGGTCGACGACATGTTCCGCCGCAAATATGCCATCAAGGCATAAATAATTTATGAACACTACGTGGTTCCACGAATTAATGAATTGAAGTTAAGATCAAGAGCAGAATCAAAATTTCGTACCTTTGGTGCAACAGTGTTTGTTTGGGTCAAATGTTATGGGTTGCAATGGTTTTCTTTGTTCAAGTATATATGCATGACAGGTTGAATAGACTATATTAATACAATACCACCAATTATGGATTTTCTATCTCTTTCTCTTTTTTTCGGACCGACAGCATCCCTTTTCCCAAACGCCGAACCTCCGACCTCATCGACTACGTGTAGTAATCTCGTATGTGGTCACTCGTTTTAGATTGTGACTCACGTGTCGTAGTCGCGATGTTCAAGCATCGCCAAAAAGATGAAACACTGAAACGAAACACAACCCGCCAATCGAATTGCGATGCCGCAGTGTTCGCAGGAAGGATTGTGCGTCAGCTTGATTAAGGCTGCCTTAGCGCGAGCCCCTCGGTATGGTTTCCGAGTGCCTAGGGATCGAAGCTTTATTGTACGCTGATTGACTCTTTTGCTCGTTTTCTTTTCTTTTGGCGGGCGCCTGCACGGTCTAGTTTCTGCGGAGCCAATTATTGTTGAGGATTTGCTGTATTCTCTCAACGCGACACTAGTTTTGAATCAGTCTCAGCTCTCTCATAGGCCAGCGACTTCCAAGCAGCCAACCAGTGAGGGCTCGTAGCGCCGTGATGGACACCGGGCGCGTACTGTGACTATGGTCTGGTCCCAGATTCCTGGCGGCTGGTATCAAAATAGAAACAGGGAAATTCTGAAACTGTCGAGGTGTGTGCTCTGATTGGAGCAAAGGGGAAAATCTGGTGGACAAACAGGGTAAGAAGGCGCTTACACATACAGTATCAGAATAACTCCGAAACCTCCTGCTAACTATGCTGGCGCTTCCCCAAACAAAGTCAAACTTGATGATCTGATACTACGTCTGTACACTGCGAAAACTGACGCTTTTTCCTACAGAATAACCGACATGACCTTTTGCCGCTGATATCGAGCGTTTGATTTCGCAACAGAACAGACAAAAATAGACACATCTGCCAAACCCTCTAGCGCCCTGCCTACTCTCCCAAACCTCAAGCCCTATGCACCCAAATGTTATTAATAGTATCTTCTCCAGAAGAAGCATGTCAATCATGTTACTGATAATAGAAACAGATCGGAAGAATAACAAGGCTAAACCAGATCTGAGCACTTGAAACGTGAAAACTTCCAGATTTAGCATCCTCGACGCGCATAGAAGTCTATCGTGATGTTTCGCGCGTCGTTCTTCAACGTGAGGTACCTGTTCGTGAATGGATCGCGGTGCCTTTCTCCATGGATTGTCAAACATGATACTCCATGCTACTCATGCCAGATTTCATGATGGAGCCTCCTGAGATCCTCAATCCATCAAGGGTTGGTGTTTCAGGTTTCTCTGTTTGGAAATTTGTGGATTGAATTGTTGTTGATATTCACCTCATCGTTTGACATTTAAACATGACAACAATTCCACAGGTTGAATGGCTTCTTCTTCTCTTTCCCCATGCACTGTCAAGATCATTGATAGCATCCACTCGTTCTTTGATCATTGTCTATTGCTATTGTCAGTCATCTATCTCTGGAAGGTCTTATGCATCATCAGCTTCATACATAGCCGTCGTTGATACTATCTTTGACAATCAGTACCTAACGAAGCCGGACTTCTCATCCTATAGTACAGGTGCGTACTCCTAACATGATACATGAACGCGACTAMCCTGCCACTAGGTAAACATGTCTCTAGAAGACTCCTACTATCTACCAACAACACCACCCGGCGTGGCCAGAATGCATCTCATAGGCCTGGGACCAGGTACAGGTCCAGGCAGTGCCCACAGTCGCAATACATCCGGTTCCTCAGTGCATTCTCATGACTCCTCACCAGAGTCCATAATGACCAACATCACCACTCCCCGCACATCAACATCCCCAAATTACCAACACGGACCCCAACTACTTCCTAAGATCAGGACTCAGGATGTTGTTCTCGAGCCGGTCTCTTCTGTTGGTCCACGTCGTCATCGACGAGTGCTGTCAAACACCCGCAATCCGCCGGGTTATATGCCTTACCCGACTGCCAGACCTTCGGCATTGTCGAGGAATGTGATTGATGCCTCCGCTGCTGCAGATTGTAGTGGATTGATTTCCCCAATCTCGCCTGCTTCAACACATCCCGCTATGATTTCTTCTGGATTGTCATCTCCAATTGCGTTGACGACTTCTGCTGCCTCTGCCGCCAACAAGCGCAAAAGTATGCCCTCTGCCGGCCATTCTCGGTCTGGGTCTACCTCTAGCATTGATGAAGTCACTCTATCCCGATATGGGTATCCTACTTACAGACAACTTCCCAAATACGTGTCTCAATCTGAGGCATCCCCCATTAGTCCCGTGGATCCTTCTTCCTTTGTCTTTCCCGCATACAACCGTCAAGTCCCATCCGTGCAAGTCCCATCCGTGCAAGTCCCATGCCCCGTGCAGCTTCCGACACAACAGGCAGCCTACAGCGCCTTACCGTCTCCTCAAAACTATGACTATCTCAGGGTTCACAGCGCACAGCCGTCTCCTGTTGGGTTTCTCGCTCCCCCTCTYCCATCMCCCGCCTCTTCGACTACATTACTCACCTATCTAACCAACACCACGCCAGCCGTCAACCTAGTACGCACAGTCAACTACGGCCCCACGCGCGGTCTGAATGATTACTTTTGGTGGGATATTCGCCAACTCCGCAGCTGGTCCTCGTTCTCCTTGAACACATTCAACGATATCAATGGTCTGACACAGCTACTCAAAACTCCTATTCCGAGCCATCTCACCCCTCAACCGATGATTGCGTCCGCACGGTTGACACCCGAGAGCGAGAATGCACTCATCAACCTTGTAGGCGATATCTACGCGCCACGCATCAATGCCGCGTTACGAGTATCCCAGGGCTCGGATCATATGAGATTATACGTCTCGCCAGATGCCAATTCTTCCGGTAGTCGGGGAGCGAATGGTCCTCATTTTCTGGCTAATTACGCATCTGACACCGACGTTACGGCCTCTGGTGTTCGACGCGGACGTGTAGTTGGTATTGTGAAGAGCTTCGATCGCTGGAACACCGGCATGCGCAACGAGCCCCCTCATCGTCGCGTCGAATACCTCCGCGGTCTTGCACATCTACAGCGCTGCATGCGCGAACATTCCTGCCGCTACGGCTTCATAATATCCGAAATCGAGCTTGTATGCGTCCGCGCTGGCTGCGACGATGGCGACGACGTACCTTATTTCGGATACCTGGAGCTCTCCTCACCCATCGCCACCAAAGAATCCTCCTCAAACCACGCTAGTAGATGCGCCGACCAAACCTCACGAAGACGATCATGTACACCACCCCATTCATCTGCTTCTTCATCATACGGCGATGGTCGCTCCACCCACAGCCGAAGCAGCAGTCTATCCTCCCTCTCCTCACACCACCAAGACGATAACTCAGCCGAAAACGGCCTCGGTGGAGTCCCTCTAACAGCCACACTGGCCCTCTACTTCCTGCTCATGCTTTCCAAATCTATGCCTCTCCCCTCCCAACCCTCAGGCCATTTGAACGTCGGTGGTCCCGGCGCTCTAAGTCGTCAACGTATCCTCCCCGAACCAAAAGATAAATGGATTCCGGAGCCACAATTAGGCGAAAAGCGGGAGGCGAAGAGAGTCCGGGGCTGGATTATGCCGCAGGATGCATGGCATCGAAGAGAAGGCTCAAGATCTAAAAATAATACTAATGTTAATGGTGATGGCGGCAGAGGGAAAAGGGGAAGAAAAGAGCTTGCGATGCAGTAATGAGATGATGTAATTCTTATTTTCTCATGTTTTGTATATATTGGCGTGTTTTTGTTTGGCGCTGTGGGAATTTTGTATGAGGTTCTTGTGACTTTCTATGGATTTCTTATTCATTCATGTTTTGTTGGTCACAGGTGTAATAACATTAAGCAATATATACCACGTCATTCTATGAAAAGTCTGCTTCTTTCTTTGTTTAGGTATATATAGGTATCTTTTGTTGTATATCTACTAATATGCCATGCTGATACCTGATCCACCTACTTCGGTTTCCATGAGGGTTTTAGAACCACATAGGGCAGATTGATACATCGTAGAATTTTCCATCTAGGTACATCCATCCATAAACAGACTGAAGCCCCTATATCTCCACTTTACAAAAACATTATTGCATCATGATATCAGCCGAGAAACAGTTCCATCGGCAGATCATGATACATCTGATAATCCAACTCATTACTCCACTCCATCACAAAGCACTTCACGAGCGCAACGACAGCCATCGGCTCCAGACTCGACGACTTCGTCCATGATCCCGGAGTCCTCCAGAACACCGTCGCATCCAGATCCGCCATCTTTCGCGAGTGCTCCCACCACAGCAAAGCTATATCCGTAACCATTCGCACCACATCCCCAGAATTCCCGCTTCCGGCCAGGACAGCGCTGGCCGCCATATCGGCCATGTTTTCTCTTACGAAACGCGGATTCCAGCCCCTAGCGTCGAGTCTCTCGGTCGATTTAGTTGATTTCCATTTGGTATTTATATATAGAATTAGACGCCGGTATTAGGGGTCGACGGATGCCCTGAGCCACTCATTCGAGGACGGGGTCAGAGACGATACAATTTGGAAATAAATGGAATGGGATCAAAGAGAATGATATTGTAACCGGCCTTCATGCTTGGACTATTACATGGTCGTTATTAAAATTATAATTTAAAAAAAAAGTAAAGATGCTATCAACTGTAGGATTTTTCGGCATGCCACGAATATACTCGACCGAATCCTCACCTCCGTCTAGACCCGGTTTGACTTGAAGGACAAATTGATAGGAGGCACCATTTCGAACAACCTATCGGGCTAAGCTTACCGATTCCCTTTCGTGCTTGATATTGCATGATGGAGAAGGGAGGAGTGGCAATCGTTTTTGATGTAGATATAGCATCCGAAGTCCACTGCTGGGAATTCTGAATGAGACTCGAGCAGTTAGCGGAGTGTTGATATTTTGAGAGGCCGTGAACCTGATGTTGAATTATATTTAGGACACTGGGAAAGTTTGAAGCTTGGCTTAATATTCGTCTACGTAAGTCGAACCGGATCTAAGAAGTTACCTCCGTATTTAGCAGGAATCCGGAACAAACCCTAATCGAGAGACAGTTCGAAAGTTCTTCGATCTCATCAATTTGAATTGGTAGAATAAGAATGATTAATCCACCCCATGAATAAATGACAGATGATCGGCGCAAGAGATGAAATTAGGTTAACCCTCGCAAGACACAGAAAAAAATCAGCCAAACGCCTGGATATGATATGCTATCGCGAACGTGCTTCCTGTTACTTAGACGGATGCACATGCTCAAAATATAATGACAGATATAAGAGAAGAATATGAGAAAGAAAGACAAAACGGTAAACAAATCACTTCTTGAGGTTTTCCACACTCAGTGTAGGTGTTTCGACGAGTTCATCGCTCGGGACACCTTCTTTAAGACGCCGGTCAAAGAAGTTATCGAATTCTGTGATAATCGCAGCCCATTCTGCCAAGGCTCGTCCTGCGTATTTACTAGACACTATACGTTCGTCGCGTAGGATTTTGCTGTCTTCAATGTGCGCAAAAATGGTTGAATCTGTTTCTTCGTCGACGGATGTTTTGGTCGTTGCGTACGAGTTCCGAGTGCTGGTTGTCGATGCGTCAGCGTCCCGGCGAGGATCAATCGATTCTTCTGTAGTTGTTGTCGAGTGCCTTAAAGCTTTGGCTGATCGCTGGTGTTGGACATGATAAAGGGTCTTTCGCGGGAGCCCTGGCTCAAAAAGAGGTCTCGGCTTGGGAGGTTTGTGGTGCGGATTATGATTCTTGTGTGGGTGCTGATACCACTCCAAAGAAAATTTGAAATTGTACGGTTGATGAGGTGGTTGAGATTCGTATATACTATCGTCTTCTTCAGTCACATGGTTGCCGTTCTCTTCCTGCTTCTTCATGAGACTGTCGATGGGATTTATTTCGTTTTCATCGGACACGCTCCCAGGAGGCGTAACCTCTCCAGGCTTTGGATTCGCAGTTGTTCCAAATACACTCTTCAGTATATTCCACCGTCGTTTGGGCGCAGACGGAGAATCTGATTCTGAAGGCATGCCGTTGATATCAAACTTGAGTGTGCCGTGAGATTTATATGCGCTTTGATCGAACGATGGCGTGCTCAATCTGTCGAAAGACATGAAAGGACTGCTTGGGGACGGCTGCTGGTTGTCAGAGCGAATAATCAAAAGTCGTCGAGCAGGAGCTGGATTGCCGGCCGCCGCATCCAATAGCGGAAGCATTTCCTTTCTAGCTCTCAAATTGTATGTCAAATAGAACGCCCAGACTTGTTCTAGTTTGTCCATAAGCATCTCATAGACATCCCTATCAAATCATTAGTCACAGTGCAGATACGTTTAAGAATCGAATTCTGCTGGGTATACGTACGATTCAACTGGAGTAGGGTTGGCGCTGAAACGAGCCACCCTCCAACAAATGAGCCGCTGAAAATACGCTCGAACCATTGGATTCCAATGGCTAAAGTATGTATAAAAGTAGTCATCATGTAGCAAAAACTGAGAACATAAGCTGTAGTATCGTTCCTTGTTCGAGGTCCATGGTTTCCACATGGAAAACAAGAAAGAGAACAAGCGAACCTCAGTCATTGAATTCTGACTGAGTGTCATTTGCTTGCAAACATCGAGCCAAAATGGCCAATGGAAGATGTCTTCTTTGGCTTTTCGAGCGTATCGGTCGATTAACGGGGCAGTCTCTTCGACAAAATCGCACAAAACAAGACAGGCGTTGTGATTGAATAGTGATGTCTTGCGAGCCGCGGTTTTCAATACGCGCATGAAGGAATCAATGTACATTCTTCGAGCTGGGGCGGAATCTGGCGACGGCTCCGAAAGGAAATCGCGCAAGAGTATAATCAATCGATTCTCTGCCATCGACCGATGACAATTTGCCATGCCTATATGCATTGTTGACATGGCAGCATTGGGTCCTTCAATGAAATCGTCAAAAGTAACAGAGCTTGGCGCAAATGGATTTTCTGGTGCTTGTGGAGAAGATTGTCGGTATAGTGTATCCTCTAGCACCATCAAAAGATGGCCTTGCACAGACAACATCCCAGGAGCGAATAGTTGATGCGACGTATCTGTCTCTGGGGGTATAAAGTCACAATTGAGCGTATGAAAGTACTTGACGAAAACGTAGAAGAGGTCACTGTCCCGTCCACACCAGCGTGACACCCACGGTCCATGCCATGGGATTTGTGTCGCGCTCAATGGTAAAATCAGCGGTTGCCGTAAGTATCTGGAAAGCGCAATATGAGAGCAGAAGGCTAACGGTCGTACAGGAAGCGGGAACCTAGCAGCAAGATTCTGCGCGATGGCCCTACCTCCTAGTCCTTTGTATCCCAATGGATCTGCCAGCAACCGACGAAACGCATCCGAGGGAGTATTCCATAGCCGCACCAACATATCGGCAACGCCTGGGCAGAAATAGAACGCGTAAGCACATGCTTTTCCACAGAAAGACACCAAACTAGCCGGCGCATGCCGTAGGGACATTCTTTCCACAACGAAGGACATCTGAGAGAGGAGATTCTGGTTGAAAATATTGCGCACATTGTGGAATATCGATTCCGCCAAAAAATCCGAGGAGCTTGACTCTAACGAAGAATTGGAGGTATGGGCGAAGAAGTTCTGGGGCTGATATGGGATCCTCCATTCCTTGCGCATCATAATCCCTGAAAGCGCTTCCAAAAATACTGGTCGATCTGTGCCAGACACTGACTGATTATGTTTACCATGCAATAGTCCCAATAATGAAGTCCACCACTTGTTCAGGATGTTGACCCGCCGATCAAGGTCCTCCGGCTTGAGCTCGTTGAACGACGGATGCGATGCATATCGTTGAAGAAAAGGGAGCAATGACGACCGTACCACATTTACTTTCAGATTAGTAGATTTGGCGTGAAACTTCTGAAGATCTGCCTCAAGACCTCTGAAAACATTCCAGAGCTCGTCCTTTTTTCGACCAGGCTCTAAAGCGGGTATCGAAGAGGGAATTGGAGGATTAGGAAGAGGTGGTAGTTCTGGTCCACGGGCTCCTAGTTGGTCAACTGATTTCCTGCTTCGAAGTGATGGTGAAGGCGGGTCGGCTGATTTGCTTCTCGGGACAAAAGCACTTAATGGTCGACGCGATCTTTTACTCGAAGTTGGCCGTTTAGACTGCATGTCGTCATTGGTATTTGGTCGGGGTTCCTTGGTTTCGCTGCTTAAAGACAGCCCGTTTGTGGACGCAGGGTGACTTCTGGGGGTTGGAGACTGCTCTCGCGAAGACGATGCTCCTCTTTTTACATCACGGGCTGGTGATGGTGAACGAGAGCTTGACATCCATGAAACGCGCGCAAGCGTAGCAATCTTCCCGGAAACTGACCGAGACTTGGACGGTCTCACAACAATCTGCGGTGTCGAATCTTGACTTGGCATATCTTTATTCTCCTCAATCAAGCTCCCTGGCCTTTCTCTCGGCGCTGCATTATCTACTCCAGAAACCGAATTGGCAGTTGTAGGAATTTCGTTGGTCGATATGCGGCGGGKCAAGGKCTTGGGCTTATTCGAGGGACGGAGTGTAACTCGACGCAGTATATCCTTTCCAGCAGCAAAATTCTCTTTGACGGTCGACGATTCGTTTTTAGAGGACAGACTTGTATCGGAGAAGTTTCTCTTTACGCCGGGTGAGACGGGACTATCTTGGACATCTTCTTCGTTTGTAGACTCGAAGCTTGCTGCTCTATGGAGGAGAGTCGGGGACTTGACGTCCTGTTGAACTGGCGCATCATGTTGCTCTTGTTGAAATGGGGGGAAAGGTTGGACCTGAATTCTATCCACTTTCAATGCCATTGCTGGTAGTTGGGTTTATGTTTTTTGTGGTGACGAGTCAAAACAGTCCGGAGAGACCAGCTCTCCAGGAACCAGAGATCAAGCCACACAAGCTCAGATCATACACATTGCTCGAGGGGAGAAGGCGAATTCTTTCTTTTCCGTTGTGAGACTGAATAAAGCTATACAGTAAGGTGTGTTTCAGGATTGATAGCTTGGTCGCTAACAAATGCAATTCTCTGTAATGAACGCAATAAATCGGACAGAAATAGCGATGTAGGAATTAGCTGTCAACAAGGCAATCCACCAAGTAAACAAGGCAGGAAGATGGCGTTGGTGTTAAATTGCGAGGGGTAATGAGGTTGAAACGAGGGCTATCGAGACAGGTGATTAGATTAATCAGTCAAATCGTCAGCGGCACGATCATTCATTAGTCAAGTTTCAAGACGCGGCAGGATCGGAATTAAGGTAGTAGCATGTATTAATAGAATGCAACGACAAAAGAGAACAACAAAGCGATGGAATTGACGATAGTTGAAGTGAACGAGTGAAGGAAATGAAAAATATTCGAGCAGAGTAGAAAACAAAAACTAGCAAAAGGAGGTGGACAGTGCAGGCAGGGAAGGAAGCCAGGAAGCAAGTTGGAATGGAGGCGGGKACATACAAAGACTCCCCAGCGCGAAAAAAACCAGGCAGGGATCCCACCAGGTGGATAATTTATTTTCTTATTCCAGAACACGCAATGCTAATATAATCGCGGCTATTGATGTCGATGATTTCTAATTATCAGATACAAAAGAGAAGGAGAAAATAATCTCCCTCGCAAACACGCTGAACATTGAAGTGCCAGCTGCTGACCACGTAGTAATTATGATGCTACCCCGATCAACCACCCCAATAACGACACTGCGACTAGTGACTCTTAACGTACCGGTTAACTGACCAGTGGTTTGATTCTACAGGGTACAGGATTCGGATGAGATCTTCATCCTGTCTATTGTTTTTTCGATGATATGTTCTCTGCAAACGCCGGGCTGAGCATCTAGTTTGCCTTGAGCACAGCCCTGTCATCGCTTAACATGTACAGAACTGTACATGATGATCCTCAGCTCAACTGCCACGTCTGAACGCCACGCTGCACCTTATTCAGCACATAGAAAAATAATCTGGGCTCTAGGTTTGCAAATTGCTGGAGAACTACACCATACGAAGAGCCGCGCAAAGAGTGCGATTCATGAAGCACTGAAATACTTATGCAACACGCCAATCTCGGTTTTGGTCAGGACGGATGTCATTTCATCCAATATATTCGTCACGACGGCCCACTCGGCGCCATACTAAACTAGAGCTCTGAGCTAGCCTCTTAAGTGCCGTGCGTAAGGGCTTGAGTCTAAAGACGCCATCCGAACACCGAAGCACTGACAAGTCGCCCAACCACGACTTATGCGCTTACCAATGTCCGGAGTTATGCGGCGACTACTCAGATACTCGAGTGTCCAACCACGTATGTATTGTAAACATTGCGACCACTAGTTATCGAAAGTACGGAGTCATTAAACCCTAACCCGGCCCAAATCCCAAATGAACTCTGTGGCTTCCAACCTCGCTACCATGTACTCGATTAGTCTCAGCCAAGCGAATAAAAAAAGGGCTTGACTCTACTCCGTATTGTAATCGTACTCCGTAAAGGGCAATTGAGTGAGAGTATGAGCCGCGTTTACAGGTTCATCAAGGAAGGTTCAATAATGAATCATTGAAAATCAGACTGATCTCTTGGTGCGTGCCACGCGTGGCATGAACAGTGGAGTCGGAATGCCAGATGGAGTTCAAGGGACGCGCAGAGCTTACGACATACAACAACACGGATTCATCATTATGGGTGTTTAGCGCTTGTTGGATTGATTTGATTGTTGGGACCACTATAAAATCAATTGGCGGTCCACACACACACTATTCGCGAAGCATACTGATCCATCATCCGTCGACCTACATACCGGGACCAGCACCCAGGTATATAGGGGTTGACAGACCCGTCAGATGAGACGTATCACCTGTCATAGCGTTTTGCATAGTACGTATTTCCTCTGCCGATTATTCGACCTATGTCATATATATGTATGAATTCAAACGTGCGATGAATTACTTAGGTATGTGTTGTTTGCACACGATAGGTCAGACAGATACAGCAGCCTTCTAGAAGCAAGGAGTTCATCTCATATCAGCGCTACTTGTGCATAAGGCATTGTAGCCTGTGTGCATGGTATATATAGAATAGGACTGGAACATCTTATAGATTTGTTGTCCAGCATGTCGCACACCGACATACGACGTCAGATATCCAGTGTCCTTCTTTCGACTATGGACTGGGATAGACCTATGTACTCTTCTGCTCAGTCAATCGATCATGGTCTTAAGTAGAATTATCAATTGGACCTACATAACTAGGTACTGCATAACTTGACCTATGAGACGCAGGTAGGATATTGATCCTTTCAGATGTCGGTACCTGAACCACAGATACCGAGCCTCTTCTACTGCACGACCAAATCCAAACATCAACCGTACCTCGATATTAATCATTCCCTTTAAGATGTCACAGACGAAGACAGATGAAAGTTCGAAGCGGTCATATTTCTTAATTTACATTGCTTCAAGGTCTGACAAATACCACAAAAGAAAACAGTAAAGGAACCCAGCCACGACTCTGTAAGCCCATTCCAATGGTTCATGCAAAGTGCAGGCAAGTAGTTTTAGGTACCACCAATGTACCTCAAATATTTCCGTCCCCCATACCACAATAGTTCTCGGATAATGAGCACCCGGCGAGAGGCATAATCCTTCATCCTCTCGCATTCACACCCATTTCGTACACGCTCCACCCGCCTTCTCGAATTATATATCAATTGATCGATCGGAAAAGGGCAATTTAGTGAGCAGCAGGGTGAGCCTCCTCCTCGTCCTCCTCGAACCAGCTCTCTTCTTTGGGCGCCTCCTCACCCTCAACGGCCTGACCCTCAACCTCAACAGCCTGGGTCTCGTAAGCCTGCAAATCGCCGGCAAGGCTGGACTCTTCGGGGGATGGAGGAGGTTTGGGAGCGGTGAATTTCTGAACTTGAGCTTCGGCCTCACCTGCTTTGGCGGGCTTGGGCTTATAGGCGCGGAGTTCGCGGAGGTAGAGGTCTTGGACGGGGTCGGCTATTGTTTTGGATGTTAGATTCTCTGTTCCGTTGACATGAGGGTATCGCATGCCATGATTCAGGCGGTGGTTTCAAGGGAGTGTTCCCGTCTGACAGGAGATGCTAGAGCAATTGAGGGTTCATCATACCTCGGCGAGTGGCAGTGGTCATGAAAGTGCGGTATGAAACACCAACGGACTGACGGTTGACCCGGGTGAGGAGCGAGCGCTGTACGCAATTCGGACACATTAGCAATGCCATTCAATTCCACCGCCGACAGACCTCAACTTACAGAAGCTCGGACAGAGTGAGACAACATCGCGACGGTTGAAGAAGGATGACTTGGGTTGTAGAGAGGAAAGAGAAGTGTGGTCGTCGATGAGAAGAGGTTCGTTCCGGGCTCGGTTTGTTTGAAGGAACTTTTGACTTGTCCACTCGCGGATGGCTAGGTCTTGGCATGGGCGGCTTAGTCACCCCGTGATCATCCGAGTAACGTTATAAGTTATATCTAGCTTCACCAAATACTGAAATATTCCCCATGTTGTTTAATTATTGTTTTTCATTTTTTATTCTATTCAATTGCCTTTGAGTGATGATGCCTTCAATTAACTGTATTCATATTGGTATGCGATCTAACTCTATACAATCTTTCGGTGACCAAAGCCTACCACGATTCAACTATGAAACAATTCGATATGCAACTTTCATTTTATAAACTCCCCTTCATTCAACAAGGAAGTTGATAGATGCAATTCTGAGAGCAGAACATGACTCAACGCTCGCGCGCAAAAATGATATATCAGCAATCGAATAATGGAAGACCAAAATGAGCCACTAGCTCTGTGGTAGATTGGCTCTGTCTCCGTTCGCCTTAGCAACAAATTCATCGGTAATCAGGCGATCCTTCTCAGCATAGAGTTGTTTGTATGCACCACGTATAGTTCCATCGCTCACACCAACGACGGCCGAAATTTCCTTAGCCGACTTAGGTACACCGGCAAGGTGAGAAACCATATAGAGACAAGCAGCCACGATCGAAAGTGGTGAACGACCTGCAAGATCTCCAGCTTTCGTGACGATGTCGGACAGATCGGCTGCCGCATGCCATGTGCGATAATCTAAGCCCAAGAATGAACCGAAACGTTCACAAAGATCACTCGGTTTGGTCGAGGAGGTTTGTTTGAAGCCCGCATCAGATCCGACTATAGCCGTACGTTCGATGTTCTGCGCCGTGAAGAACTTTTCAAGGGACTTGTAGATTCTCCCAATTTCCTTCCGTGACACTTTGGTCACTGCAAAGATTTCGGAAAACGTTCTGGGAGCCTGGCATTGCCTGCAAGCAATAAATATACAGCCAGCGATAATTACGTCCTGAGATTTTCCCTTGAAAGCCTTGTGATCATCCACAATCTTGAACAGGTACTTGGCGGTATCCGCAACGATCTTTTGAATGTTAAAACCATCGCACAAGGCACCAATCTCCTTGTAAGCAGCCATGAGCGCTTTATTGTTCTTTTCATTCGAGAGCTTGTTCTGAGCACGATACAACTGCCGAGCAGCACCAGTCGCTCCACCCGCAATACTCGTCTCGAGCTGATTGCCGTTCAACAAGATATTGGAAGTTTCACCGACACGCGACGGATCGTCGTTGTTCTGGTCATCGTTGGAGAACGTTCGCCACTCAGAGTGTATATCGATTTCACGATCGGCCAGAACTAACCCACRSGAGCCGCAAACAGTTTCATGGGATCCGGGGAATTCGAGATTCGGAGGGAATTCTTTGCATTCAGGACAGATGACGTGCGCCGACAGATTCTTTTCCCATTTCGCTGCTGCTACACCGGTAGGCGCCGTAGTTGTCGCCATATTCAAAGACTTGTCCCAAATACTTCGTCCCACTCGTAGAAAAATGTCGCTAGACACTCTATAGAACCGGTGTCCGGCAAGAACTGAGCGAAGGGTAAGTGGCAATCCAGCGAGCAACGAAGGACAGGCGGCGCCACGACCGTAACAGCGTAGCAAAAACGAACGCGAAATGGTAGTGGCGCACTTTTCCAACTCAGCGAGGCCTGGTTATTGTCTTGCTCGTCTCAGACATATCTCGCTGAGCAGATATGTGAGAGCACTGAGAGGTATGGCGATGAGATAGTGGTGAGGTTGACCCAAGGCTTCGACGACAGCCTTGAAATGCTTAGCTAGCGACTGGCAGTCTAACCACTTTCAGAAAGGTTGCAATTAGTAATCTTCAGGCACCCAGGCAGCGTCCCGCAGAATGTTCTAGTTTCCCGGTTCGACACCTCAGGCAGTGAATACTAGGAACGCAGTAACCCTAATCAATTTGCAAATGCTCAGGTCATCCAAGTACCATTGAATGGTTTACTATCAGATTAGTCATTCATCGTTGCCTCTGACCATTGTTTCGTATCAAACTTGTTGCTTTCGTTAGTCTGCTATGGTTCTTAAGTCCGCCCAATCAGTGCTATCTAGCATTGAACATTTGAAGGGTTGTTAAGTCCGTTGTCTACATTTCCCTGATGATATCTCCGATGCCCACATGCACTATCCAACACCATTTAGATAAGTCTCTTCAATCTCTACATAGAGGGAAATTCAAGGTGAAATTAAATCCGATCAGATTTATGAATCCCTGCTCCACCGGAGAAGAGAGCACCCTTTCCAAGCTCAAGCAGAAACACCCGGGCGAAAAAAGGCAACCCTTCGCTATATAGGCATGTGAGGAGCGCATAGTCAGATTTGTCTGGATCTCGATCATTGGATCATTGATTCCCCTTAACTAGCTGTAAACTGAGGAAATAGCTAACTCCGCTCAGCTCAGCTCTTCAGAATGACCGGGTGTCTAGAATCTGGACGGAGATAAGCCTCATGGCTTCAACCCAGTCCGTTTAGCTGGTGAATTTTAGTTACAATGAGTAGTCCCTACTCTAATTTCACAACTTTCTTATTTATCAAGGTATATAAAACCTTCTGCCCATCTTGTGTTCGCACATTGAGAAAATTCAAGTTCTCGTTAATAACACATATCGACGGCTTCGGATCATTGCGTTATGGAGACCTTCAGCATCGATATAACCAGCGATCAAAGAATCACTGGCAGACATTGTCTGCCGAAAGTGGATCAGCCAACATCCGAAAAAGTTACTAGACCATTGCTCATATGCATACATGGCGCTGGTTATGACTCAAAATATTTTGACGCAAACGCCGATTACTCCTGGTCTATACTTGCAAATGCCTTTGATATTCCCATCGTATCAATCGATCGACCAGGTTATGGTGGAAGCACGGAGGTACCTGATCAGAATGTGCTAGGCGGCGCTAATGCACCAACTCCAACACAGCGGCAAGCTGAGTATATTAACAACAGCGTTATACCACGGATATGGAATGATTTTGGGTCAAGGTCTGGGGCTTCGAGTGTAGTGATCTTGGGACATTCTGTTGGTGGTATGGTGGCCATACAGACTGCAGCTTGTCATGCTACCAAAAAAACATCAACATATCCTTTATCAGGCTTGATTGTCTCTGGCATCGGTTGTGTTCCGCATCAAAGTTCTGAATCTCAGTCTCATGACCATGCATCAAATGGTCATAAAGAGAAAGAGGAACAGGACCCGGCCCACTCATTAGAGAAGACAAAATATATCACCTTTGAGAGGACCAAGAAGGACCTCCTCATGCTGGACTATACTGCAGACAGAGAGCCAGCAGATCTACTCATCAGCCCTGACGTCCTACAATTGACCGAGCAGCTCAACCATCCAGCTCCTTTGGCCGAGCTCATTGATGTTGGTAAATTGTGGCGGTTATACTGGCGCAGAGAAAGCGGGAAGGTTATCGTCCCAGTCTTCTATGCCCTGAATGAGGTTGACCCTTGGTTCAACTCCGCTGGTGATTCTGTTACTGCGTTCGCTGGTGGCTTTACCAGTAGTCCAAAAGTCATGCATGCCCGCGTTGCGAGAGCTCCTCATTGTATGGAATTGAGTCTGCAAGCCAAGGGTTGGATGCTTCAATGTGGTGGATTCGCTCTGGAGTGCGCTGTGACTTTTGATTTGAGGAATAGGCACTAGTGCATGTATATTGAATGCATTGTATTTTTTTATGTTCTGGCAACTGACACCAAATACCCGAGTGAGCCTCCGGCTGGCGTCAGTGACGGTTCTAAAGCCAATCTTATCTAAACCTCCTCCTGGTTTGCCCCGGATTCCGACCATGTACACAAAACAGTAAAAGGAATCATTAAATCATACTGTAGAGGTGTGAAAAGAAAGTCAACATTCCCCTCCGTTGTTGTTGAGTTGGAGCTGTAGATGGGGCTAAGACTAACTCGGCTAGCTGCTGTAGATCTTCTGCCTCAGGCATTAGAAAGTTGGACTGTCAAGCCACCGCCAATCATTCAATCTCATATTCAATCTCAGAACCATCGTATCAACAAGGCAGCTGGCCCCTGTATATTTAGGGCCAATGTTGCCCATCTGCAATCATGCCAGACGACACCAAAGCTAAAGCTTTTACCGATATTTCGTCAAAATTATCAGCACCACCAAAACGATCCCTCTTCGAGCGCCAGAAGGCCGAAGCAGAAGCAAAACGCGCTCGCGAGAAAGCCGAAACTGCCGCCGTTTACGAAGATTTCGTTAAGTCCTTTGACGATGATGGAGGAGATAGTGGCAGTAGGAGGACATCGTCAAATTTCAGGTCTAGCGGGCCTGGAAGTCTAGGTGGTCCTCCGCCAAAGCGTCACTTTACCAGCGCATCGTCTACTCGCAACAGCGGCCCTGGAAGTTTAGGCCCGGCGCCGTCTTTTGGGCGAAAACGAACGTACGACGGGTTATATCGCGAACGAGATCGAAATAATAGAGAACCAGGGAGTCATGGTATATTTGGCTACGATGATAATGATGCGCCAGCCGGTTTTCGTGCTTCTGATGACGAAGTGGACAGGGTTGTGGAGGACAAAGAAGCAGAAAGAGCTGTTGCAAAGCCTACGGTTTATCTCTCTTCGCTGCCTCCAGGTTCATCACCAGCTGTCATCAAGGCTTTGATTCCGGGAAATCTTACAGTAGATGCTGTCAAGATTATACCTCCGCCGGCCCAGCCTTCTATGGAGCGCAGATCTTTCTCCGCCATTGTGACTTTAGCGCAGGAAACAGCAGCTTCTGATATAGATGCCGCTGTAAGTGCTTTACAAGGCAAATATCTAGGATGGGGTTATAATTTATCGATTTCGCGCCACTTGTCATCCGCAGCAATTCATTCGGGCATGCCCGTGACTGTGGGTTCTTCCTCTAAGAGCTCGTTGCCTTTTGGTGCGAAACCCGTCAGTCAAGCTCCCATCGGCAGACTCAATCGAGCACCTCCGCCTGGTCCTCATCGCGGCGGATTCGCACCTCCGGCTTCTTATGGATCGCAATATGGAAAGCCTGCGTCGACAGCTGAGATAGAAGTTAAACCACCTTCGGACTTGAAGCAGTTGCGACTGATACACAAAACCCTCGAAAATTTATTGAAATACGGACCTGAATTTGAGGCGTTGCTGATGAGCCGACCAGAGGTACAGCGAGAGGAGAAGTGGGCTTGGATATGGGATGCTCGTAGCGTTGGTGGTGTTTGGTATAGATGGAAACTTTGGGACGTACTCACGAGGGCAAATACCGGTCATGGCCGACATGGGAGGAATACTGGTCCCGCTTCGCTAATATTTGAAGGAGGTGCTAGCTGGGTCACCCCGGAAATGCCGATTCGCTTCGAATATGCTACCACACTCGACGAATTTGTATCTGACGAAGAGTATAACTCATCGGATGAAGAAGGCTCCGATAACGAAGAGTCGAAGAGGCGGCATGCAGCAGACGATTCAATTGGGGGACAGGATGGTATTGGCTACATGGATCCATTGCAGAAGGCAAAATTGACACATTTACTTGCTCGACTTCCTACAGCAAACACTAGATTACGACGAGGTGACGTGGCTCGAGTGACATCTTTCGCTATTGAACATGCTAGCGCGGGAGCAGAAGAAGTGGTCGATATGCTTGTGACAAATGTACTTCGCCCGTTTGCATACTCACGAGCCAACCCAGATCGGGAAGAAGTACGAAGTGCCCTGAGAGAAAGCGAAGCGAACGCCGCTGCTGCCTCTGGGGATAAGGCTGACGCTGGCCCGGCCACTTCTGGCAGAACCGTCGAGGATACGTCAGCTGCGAAGCTTGTTGGTCTTTATGTGATATCAGATATCTTTTCGTCATCATCGACCAGTGGTGTGCGTCATGCTTGGCGATATAGGCAACTATTCGAATCCGCATTCCGGTCATACAAAGTTTTTGAGCATCTGGGCCGCTTAGAAAAAGACTTGGGCTGGGGTCGGCTTAAAGCAGAGAAATGGAAGCGCAGCGTCAATGCTATGCTGCATATTTGGGAAGGTTGGAGCGTTTTCCCGCAGTCAGCCCAAGATCATTTCACTCAGAGGTTTGAGAATCCGCCTTTGACAGAGAAAGAAATGGAGGAGAAAAAGAAAGCCGAGGCTGAGCAAGCCCAGTCTGCAGCCGGTAATAAGGGCAAAAGTCGATGGAAAACTGTGGATGAAGATGCACCTGCTGGTGGAAGGTTTGATCCAAGCCAGGTACCGCTACCTGAGCAATCCGTTGCTGCGCCAGATCACGATGACCAGGACGGTGAGCAAATGAGTGACATCGACGGCGTCCCAATGGAAGACAGCGATCTTGAAGCGGACGAGCTAGATGGGCAGCCCTTAGACATGGATGTTGATGTGCCAGAAACTCAAGAGGAGAGAGAGCAGCCCGATCAGACCTTAGAGTCAACCAGCAAACCCGAAGAGACCACGCCAGTCGGGCGAGCGCGAAAGCCACGCCCAAAGGCAGAGGACATGTTTGCTGATTCCGACGATGACAACAATTAGCCTTGTGCTGTATATGAGTGGATAAATGTATACTGTCAATGAGATCAATTGATACCCAGTCAGGGCTATCCCGGAGAAGTTTGTAGAAGGTAGAAGATAGAAGGTAGAAGTATACCCGATGTAAACAGCATGATCGCCCTATAGGCAGGAACGACCCCACCCGAGTTGAGAACCTCAGGCCCACAACACCCCTCCTTCCTTTAAAAGAAGAACAACAAAAGTTGCTCTCCGCGATTGACTCGACCACTCCAGCTTGCGCTCTTCCACTTGATTTCTTGTTTATCTGTGCATACTTGATCTGTCAATTAGCTCTCACAATGGCCGGTAAGCATTACAAAACAGCATTTCTTTTTCTGCTGCTTGAAGATGCGATTGCGCGATGATTACACTGCTTCTTCAATCTTCTATTATCTGCATCTAATCTTCTGCAGCCAGTCGCTAATACATCTATAGACTTCAACACCATTGCTCGTACGTCCTCATCCTCCCTGTCATGACCGCACCATCGTCGCAGTGTTTGCGACTCATTCTGTACCCCTCCTCCTAACCCGACTACCGCAAACAGAACAGTTCGTCCAGTTCTACTACAAGACCTTTGACGAGGGTCGTAGCAACCTCGCTGCACTATACGTAAGCCGTTCCAACTCGATTCTTGATCTGAGCGTACGCTTACATTTGGGTATTTTCATAGCGCGACAATTCTATGCTCACCTTTGAGAGTGATGCCAAACTTGGAACACAGGCCATCATTACAAAGTTGAATGTGAGTAGATGTTCCGAAGAACAGTGATTTACTAGATTCTGACCATTGTTTCCCCTTTGCCTTAGGAACTCCCCTTCCAGAAGGTCCAACATCAGGTCGCAACCCTCGATGCTCAGCCCAGCAACGAAAATGGCGGTATCCTCGTCCTCGTTACCGGTGCTCTCTTGGTATGCGCGCATAATCGTGTTGACTGTCTGGTTTGATTCTGACTATTGCGGTGATATAGGTCGACGAGGAACAGAAGCCCATGAACTACACCCAAGCGTTCCAGCTCCTCCCCGACGGACAAGGCAGCTACTTTGTCTACAACGACGTTTTCCGTCTCGTCTACGGCGCATAAGAAGTCAACGCGATGAGGGAGCAATGAATTTTACGTGGTTGGCTATGTATTTGGAGGATCAGCGACGGAAGATAATTTGACTGTGTCATAGAACAAAACACATCATGCCAATATGACTCCTTTTCAAGCGGTCTGAAACAGATTCGTATGTTGACAATAGTATCAGGCTGTAGATAAACAGTAAATATGGTTTCTCAGCGATTCTTTTGAGGCTATGCAAAGACGAATACTAATACTCATAAGTGAGCGAAGCAATATGAACCGGACAATGACGCGGCGCGTTTCTGAGACCTCGTTCCGAGTGGCCTTATGCTTGGCCAGGCTGCCGGATTCTGAAATCTGTTGCCTCCTAGACAAACCTTTGAACCACACATTCCTACGAAGCATCATAGACAAAAAACTGAAATTCATTTGTATTTAATTAAAGCGACAAGAAAGAGGAAAGGCGGAAATCCATTCTCCAACGGCTGCAGCGTTGAACCAATCACACCGCGACATCCGTAACATCCGTCCTCAGGCAAAACAATCAATTAATTTCAGCTAGCTCTGTCTCCGAGCACCTTCCCAACGTCGTTCAACTTCATTTACTTTCCATTCTTCACACTACACCAAGTCTCATAGAGGTACGTAGCGATACACGGAAACAGTGTTGCGATTATTAATTGATCACTGACACACATCGTCTTCATTCAACTACAGAGTTTCGCGAGCTCCGATCAACTAATACCGTCCACGTTGTTATTTCCGTCGATCATCGATTACTGTTGCAGTCACCATACGAGTACTGCGTCTCATATATCAAGAGGATCAGATCAGGAATCTTGTCGGCTTCGGTTTACTCAATATATTGACTGCTGTGAAGCTTGGTTGCTGTGATTCCATCGTTCATTGTTTATACGAACGCCTCCGTAACTGTCGGAACGACCATCTGGAAGTCCGAGCCTCAACGAGTCCACGAATTCAGCAACGGATATCGATCTCTCGAATCCATCGCCTCCAGTAGATATATACTCATTTCTGGATAACTTGTTTCTACGTCATTACAATCAGACTGCCATATCGTCAAGATGACTCTCGCTGAGGAATTCCGCACACGCAATTTCAGTATGACTTCCCGTTCATCAGCCGGATTGAATAGAACATCGTACTAATGTGGTTTCTACTATAGGCATTTATGGACAATGGTTAGTCGTCTCGCTTGCTTGACGTCCGATTGGATTGCAACAGGTCTCGATCTATCTCTCTATATATGATTTAACTGACGAATACAGGTGCGGCGTGCTTTGCATCTTCCTATGCTTTGCGCTAGGTGTCGCCAACATCTTTGCACCTATTGGTCGTATTCCATTCAGTATAGTGTGTCTGTAAGTTGACCATATCTATTTTCTATACCATTGGATGGTCGTGATGCTGACTCCGGCGATTAGAATTTGCGCCTTCATCATCGTCTTCATTGAAGTGCCCTTCCTCCTTCGGATATGTCCCACCTCCTCAAAATTCGACGACTTCATCCGCCGCTTCACTAGCAACTACATGCGCGCCCTCATCTACATTGGTATGAGCGCTGTGCAATGGGTCAGTCTCGTCACCGGCGCATCAAGCCTGATTGCTGCTGCCGTGTTTTTACTGATTGCCGGTCTTTGCTACTTGCTTGCTGGCGTCAGGAACCAGGAGTTCATTGGCAGTAAGACTCTCGGTGGACAGGGTATTGCGCAGATGATTGTGTAGTGCCTTCCACTGCCTTCCCATTGTTGCCGAAACAAAAGATTTGGTTCAGAGATGTCTACTTATGGGGCTGGTTTTGATTTTTTCCCCTGGTTTTTTTTATCTGTACCTGATCAAAAATACCTCCCCCCCTATCCCTTAACTGTTGTCGATCGACCCGTGTTACGAAGTGTATCCGACGTGCTCATGAGGATTCCGCTTGGCTATTTCCCGGCCAAGCATGCAAGTGTACTAGTGTCTTTTTTATCCTTTAGGAGTTTTGTATGGTTGTAACTTACTTATCAAGATATACTCTGTTTTTAATGTGAAAGCAAATGCTCTCAAAGTGCTATAATTTCTTTCGTTAGGTGCCAGAGACGAGCACTATATTCATCCTCCAATGGTCTCACCTCGCGGGGATGGTTTAAAAACACAGAGTTTCTCAAGAGTCTTATTCCATTCTGAAGTATATATGCAAGTTACATCTTGCGGATTCCGTACAGAGTGCTCATCATTTCGTCTTCAATCATCACGGTTCAAAACCTATGAAATAAATCACGCATAGGTATCCCAGGATCCTCACTCTTAGCTTATGTTTCAAAGTTTCTATAATCGCCACCAACACATCAAGATCTCAGTATTAATTGATTGACTTGTGAGAAGTAAAATAGACCGCTGCACCAAAAACGGAGCTCCATTAGTTTCACTGTCGATACCTCGTAACAACTTTTCGTACACACATTCAATATTCGACAGACATAATCCAGCGTGAGTATGGCAAACAATCTAAAAATATAGTCGACTCAACGTAGTCAGGTAGTTTCGCCATCTCACAGACTCGTCTGGCTGTAATGGTCTCGTTTCCGTTCGCAAGGCGTAACCGCCGGCGTATTTTGGGGTTGTGAGCATCCCCTTTCGACAAAAGGGTCGAGTTGGCGTAGGGGGTTGGAATGCTTCTTGGGTTGCTCATGACTCATTCGCATCGTGTCGATAAAGCGGAGCACAGACGATACACGAAATAGACCAAGATTCTCGAGATCGAAAGGATTGACCTCGATAATCCCGACGCTTGTTCAGGTAATCGGCAGCTGCCGAAGGGCAGTTTCGACGAGTAGCAGATCGCCCTGTATGTCGTGTTAGCACCGCCTCCTATGGATATTCACAGTAGCAAAATCGTGCCTCGCTAAGCACTTCACTTTGGTGTTCTCGGGTTATGGGAGCGTCATCGACGGCTCTGCTGTGTGCTATATAGCGTAATTTCAGTTGTCGGTAGGTGAAGATGGCTCCGAATAATCTGGGTTCCTGGTTCAGCTCGTGGCGGACCGCTTGCGTACGAATCATCGGCAAGCGGCGTAGCTCGGTGTTATGGATGAAGTTAGCAACCTCTGTAGTCGCACCCCATATCGTCCATGGGAGCTTTGCGTCGAGAATTGTGTTAGGATCGTTGAAGGCTGTCATGAAGGTGTCCTCGCTGAAAATGGGCCCAAAGAAGTTAAAGGTTGTTGGCAACACAGCAATCCAGATAGATGTCAAATGTCTGGTGTAGTTGGATGCCGACGTTTCATTCTTCTTTGCAGAGTCGACAAAGGCTGGCATATCACGCAGCTATGTATATATTGATGGAAAATCCTCTCAATCTCGCGGAATACATCACGATCACCCTCGCTAGCTATATCATACCATACTAGATCATCTAGCAAAAGCGCAGCTTCTTGGTCTAGGTGGTTGCACCAACATATACATTGTTAACACTAGAGGTCAGACTGGAGCTTCCGCAACGGTATCAGATGCTCCACCACGAGACCTCGCCATGTATATGAGATTGCGGAGGATCCTGGGGCGGGAACCTTGAATGATGGGACAGCCCAGCAAACGACGTGCTTCATTACCGAATGGAACATGTTGGCTGTAAACTGGCTCTAATCTTTCATAAATTTCATCCATGGAGGGAAAGCTCCACGCTCATCCAGTTTACGTAGTCGATTGAATAGATCGACATACTCTTAGTCGGACATGAGGGACAGAAAGTCGGGGCGTTGGCTGGGGTATGTCTCCCCTCGAAATACAAAGCCTGTCGTAAGTGGAACGGGTTCACCCCTTTTCGGATGGCAGGACCAGAAAAAAACCGCTGCACCAAAAACTGGGCGCCGTCAGAGGCAGACTGTTTGAAGGGTTTATAACCATGTTTTTGGTTGTTTTCTAGTCTAATACATCCCCAGCTCGGCGACAGAATGTCGGTCCATTGCTTTCGGATGTTTCCTGCTGATCACCGAGAATCCTTTTCCCAGGTTGGGAAGAAGAGAGCAAACATGTTGGTTTTAAGAATAGGTTAATCTCTAAAGCAGTATCGTATGTCTTCAGCATCAACGAGCTTCCTCTTGTTCTTGTACCGGTGCACAATCATAGATATTGATTGCATCGAAATCTGAGCGTGGAAAGAGTTGAATAACTGGTGTCGGCCATTTTCTTGTCTCTGCTGGTGGCAGGGGCTGTCGCGAGCCCCGACCAGATGTTTGTCCTGCTGTTTGTCAGGCTATTCTGTAAGCCCGTTGTCGTATTTCCTGTATGACATGTTGTAGTGCCGGTGCTCCCTTTGAATGCGGATGAGACCAGCCCATCCTAGCGAAGATGGTGAAAAAGGATTGCAGTGGTTACATTCGAAGACGCGAGTGAGTCGGCTGGTAACCTAGTACAGGCTATCCCAAGGTATCTTCTCAAATTTTTCAATGTGCTGACTCAATATCTCATGTGTCGGAGAGGCAAGTATGTGGTGGTCACAGAGCTTTAAGGAAGACGATACCCGCTAAAAATTGTAAAGGCCTTTTGCTGGATAAACAGCTAGACCCGAAGGAAGAGTATTAGATGGTTTGGTCTGGATAATATATAGCTAGCAAAGATGATCACATATTGCGTAGGCTGTAAACTAGGAAAGGATATAAAAGACGTGGTAAAGAAGATAGAGAAACAAAGTCAGACGCATGGTGAGAGGCAAGATAAAAGGCCAGGGAGAAAGCAAATCTCATATTATATGTAGAAAATGGCATGTGACAATTTCAAGTTCTTTGTCGCCTTTCAAGCCCTGAATACATGTACAAACGGTTCTGGCCTGTCGTGTGGCCAGGGTGCAGTTTCCCCGTAAACCGTCGCAAACCCCAACGAATATTCAGCATGGAGTAAAAATAATGAGGTGTGCATTGAGAACTACTCTAAGTTAAGGTTAGTATCACATCTAACAATACTTTGCTCCTTGTACAGCAAGAAGAACTCCGAGTACGACGTCGAAAAGGAGAAAAGAGAATACCCAACAAATCAAGACCCACTCGAAATGGTTACACTAGGTATGCGGCTTTTATATCAGTCAATAGTCGACCTGGAGTTCAGTATTGTAGAACTGGTCATAGGAATTATATAAATCACGCATATCTCAGATGTCCTCGTTATCCCAAGTTTTGAGGTTTTCGAGATAATATTTCCCTCAAGCAAGCCGACTGAGCGAATTGATTGATCAATGGCAGCAGCAGATCGCTCTACGTCATCAGATACTCTGTTTGGAACGTTACATGTACGTTACAGGACATACGTACATACGCGGGGCATACATGCAAATCTTTTGACCATAACAGCGGGGGACGATGCTAATGATCATTATCTATGCCAATTGGCCTCTTTTGAATAGTGTCCAGGTTAGTAGGTAAGCTACGTAAGGAGAGGAGAAGAACGAACTCGGGTATGAGGTCAGACCTGTGGACTATGTAATTAAATATGTAAAAGTGTGGGGGAAAAACCTTCATACTTCGGCAACTTACTGCCAACAACTTGCGAGGGGTAAAACTTTACTACTGGCTGGAGTACTGCTAATTAATCTGTGTGAGATCTTGGGGTCGAAACAATAATATGCCAAGTCGTTTTGATGCGCACACATGACATTATACGTGCGGTAGCTTGATACCAAAGCGTAAGTGTGGGTAGGACGGCCAGGCTCGAGGTATGCATGCATACATTCGTGAACTAGAAGGCACATACTACATATGTAGGGACTGTGAGAAACGAGGACCTTGTAACTATTCCAGTGTTCGATGTATGGCATTGTATGCATACACGATGTACGATACAGTGGCGAGATCCACCGTCAGTGGCGGACGGCCAACCAGTTCACGTACCTAGGCTACTAGACTGCAGGTATTCGATACACTCCTGTCCAGTAGATATAACAAAGCCGAAATGGATTGAGATGATGTGATGGTGTGAATCTGTATCGTGTATGTTTAGCTGGCAGCGGCAGTCCTTGCATACTGATATGTCCACGTTTTGACATGTACAGGGGTTCCTCTTGGCGGTTGTCCGTGTGCTTGATGTCCATGTATTGTTTGGTCAGTCGAGATGAGATATCCATCCAGATCCTCGTTGTCTTTGTAGGGTGTGTTGTTCTTTGTAATGGATGAGTCTAGACGGTATCTGTATTGAACATGCAAAAGCAAAGTACTCGACAGCCTGAAGCTGGACTGAGTATGAGATAATGTGCCACGTGATAGTTGAATTGAACATGAGAACACGATCCATGGTAAACCAGAAACCTGACGATGCGACTCGAAGCATCGTGTGCTCAAGGGGAGGCTCGAGAGAGATGATTGAGTCATTTTGTACCATCTGGTATGAACAATACAGCTAGTCCATGAAAAGAATAGCCGGTATTCTGTACCCATCCACTCAAGTGGCTCAGCTCAGCCCCCTGAGGCATTTTCTATTTTTGCTCCTTTTCTTTCGTACGCTGTGCCACTTGTCCGTGGGTTGATACGAAGGAGATCACTCAAAACTGAGTCGAAGATAGCAATGATAGGTAATATAGATAAGTACAAATTGGCTGTAGATATGGCAGTCCATACAGCGACCTCGATAGCAGACTCGGAGTGTGTCGTATCAGGCCTGGCCCACCTTGACTCATCAATCGTTGTAAGCAGCCCGCCAATCACACAGACTGTCTTGGTCAGCTGCTGGTTACGTTACCGTATGGTACCAGTCCACACGTCAAGGCGCGTCACCCGAGTCACACGACTGCATACAAAATGACCAAGTGGGCCGGTAAGCACGTAATAACGGTAAGATTCGCCGTTGCCGAAATACGTTAGACTTACCCAGCCAAATAGACCCAGGCCCAGACAGGATTCTCGCTTTAAACTACATCACCGTCTGTCCTTATATGCAATTAGATCCTTTTCTTCCACTCTGCCTTCTGCAATACTTCTTCTCACATATCAACACCATTCGTGAACATACTCGCCATCACCCTTTCCATTTCAATTGCGATCTCAAGTCTTCTCAAGTCGGGCCCCCGAACTCACAAAGCTATCCGTATTCGGTACTCGGTCCTTCCGTCCAATAGCAGCTCGCCTTTACTCCGTCGCAGCAGCAGCTATCGTCAAGACAACCCAGGTAAGCCGATATTCCATTAACACATTTAATGACCGTTCAATTGCAATTCCTTTTTCAATGTGACCTGAAAATATTTTACTCCCCCATTTCTCAAGTCAGCTGGTCTCGTTGCTGTGCAAAAGTCGACTCTAGGCGGTGAACATCCTCCTACTGATTGGGCCTCTGATAAGCGTCCGTCGATTTACTTGCATATCATTCTGGCCTCGACAGACCCTTGCAAAGGTTATTCCCAGCAAAAGGAACCAACGCCGTCGAGGGGTAGGGGGCTTGGCCCGTGACCAGAAAATAACTCAAGAACACATTTATTTGAGTTGTTGTCCCTGAAGCATTTGTATTCATTTTTCTTTCCTTTGACGTGCTCTTTTTGTTCCGTGTCATCGTCATCGTCGGCTAGATCCGGTTAAGCGTGGAAAGAGCCAGATTGACTGATACCGGAGTTGCCTCACGCTCAAACTCTTCACTCTAACTATACCTACGGGATTATCTTGGAATTGTTTTCAAGCCATTTGCATTCAATTCATCACCTCTGATTTTGCTATTTTGTGCCCGTTTCATTCGAACTGACGGGAATACGTACAGCCCACCTATTGTCAATTGCGTGCGTCATTGCCCACCACGGCTTCCTACACTTTTTTATAGCATCAACCCACCATGTCTGCTCCGTCAGCTCCGGTGATACCGCCCCGTCCGGCCAGGTCTCCCCGCCCTCTAGGCGCCGATATTCCTTCAATACCTCCTCGTCCGATTAATCGCCGCCTGGATCGCTCCGTATCTCCAGGCAGAGACAGCTATGCACCGTCACCACTGAACGGTCCTCCGGGACTCTCGCGCACAACGTCGAACGACCTCCCAGCTCGCCCTCCTAGCGTGACCATTCCATCTCTTGGCGAGGAGGGTATTGAATATGAGGAGCTGAGCAGCGAACCCGCCGAGACCAGAAACGTAGGCAGTGATTTGAAGCTACATGCCCCCAAGCCATCTTTGCCCACTTCGAGTGCAAAGGCCAGAGTACAAGCCGTTACTCGTACCGATTCGGATCAAGCTGCTGCTGCTGGTTTTGGCAAGTCTTCTTCACCAGCTTTGGAAGAACACGATCAGCGCAGTCGGTCCATACACTCAAAACCCAGTGGTTCGCGTGCCGAGTCCACTGCATCGAGCACTCGCCGTCAATCCATGCAGTTTGAAGAAGAGCATGGAATTCCCGAGATCGGTCAGCGTGTGCCCATGCTTGCCTATGCCGGTGACGTGCAAGCTCCTTCCCCCGCACCTCCCCGAAGCGGATCAGCCTCCGGTCAACGTGTCAGCCGCCATCATCACCGCACTCGTAGTGGTCGCGACGTCTTCCTCCCACCTGGCAGCTACGGTCTTCATGGCCATGGTGTTCACGCCGCCGACAGATTTGAGAAGGCCTGGTATGACAAGCACCCTGACGAGCTAGCTCGTGAAGAGCAGGGTCAGTACGGTCCAGCTATTGCTGAGCGATCTGCCTGGGCACTCAGCAGTGACGATCTCAACCGCTTGGTCAAAAGTTCTGATGCTGATACCAGTGTTGGTAAGTTTGCATTGTTTTCACAACCATCGCAGCGGATTTGGTTTTGCTAACACACTATTTAGGCACATCGCCCGCTTTCGCTGGAACTCCCGCCGAAGAGGTGGGCTACATCGCAACTGATGAGCTCACTCGTCAAGATACTCAACCTGCCGTGGAGTCTCCTCTTCGCCATTCTACATTTGCAACCTCCGAATTGACACGAACCAAGAGCGCAATGTCAACTGCAAGCAGTGATGGTGGCCGAGTTATCCATGTCGATGAGCCATACCATTCTTTACATCACCCTGATGGTTTCGCCCGTACACCAGAGCCACCATCAGTCCAATATTATGATGAGGCCGTCGAGGATGACGAGCCTATTCTTGCAGCCGACGAGTCTCGCCCAGGCTCCGCTTACCTCCATCCTGCTGTATCCCCCAGACGAGCAAGCACAGACTACCATGACCTCGAACGAGTACGAAGCCGAACTCCCAGTGCTCCAAACAGTCGTCCAACAAGTCTGCACGGTGCTCCTGCTGGTCTTACCCGCTGGAGTTCTCGTGGTGAAGAACACGATGATGTACACACACCTCTAGAAGATGTGGAAGAGTATGAACCGCTATTTCCAGAAGACGAGAAATCGAGTAAACCTTTGTCGGCGGCAGAGCGTTTCCAGAAGCGTACCGAACTTTTGAAACACCGTTTCCCCAGTCAAGATATTTGGGAGGATACCCCGGATAGTCTTCAATTACATGCCAGCGTGTCCACTCCAGACTTACCCGAAGACCTATCCAAAACCAAGTTCGAAACCCCAGAAGCAGAAGCACAACGCAAACGTGAAGCAGACCAGATTGATTCGCACAAGGTCGCCTCTCATATATTACACGGCCAAGGCACCCAAGGTCGCCAAGCGAGACCCGACACCGTGAAGCACCGGTTCCCGAGTCGAGATATCTGGGAAGATGCGCCGGAAAGTCACCAACTTATGACAACGATCGAACCTTCCGAAACAGATACAACGAGCCCTGACAAGGCCAAAGCACCGGGTATTCCGTCTCGACCGAGCGTTCCTCCTCGGCCTGCCAAGGTTGTAAAGCCGTTTGATGGCTCCACGGATGAGAAGAAAGCGCCCGTTATTCCAGATCGTCCTAAGCCTCAAATTCCTATTCGCCCTTCTAAGCCAGTTTCTGGTGATGCCGCAGCGCCTCCAGTCAACAGAAACAAACCCGTAATTCCTGCGCGACCCAACGCCGGCAAGATTGCCGGTGTTAAAGCAAACTTCTTATCCGATTTGAATTCTCGACTCCAATTGGGACCTCAAGCACCCAAGCCCGCGCCTGAGAAGAAGGAAGAGGAGGTTCCAGAGGAGAAAGCACCACTTGCTGATGCTCGCAAGGGTCGTGCCCGTGGTCCAGCCAGGAGAAAGCCAGCTGCCAGTTCATCATCAGAAAAAAGACTGCCATCTATTCCAGAAATTCGTATTATGGATGCTTGGAATGTTTGGGAACTTGGCGTTGATGGAAACTTGACAGTCGGGTTGTCCGAGAAGAAGGAACCTATTGTCGAAATCAAGCCTCAAGCTTCAGACGCCGACACCGAGTCGGATCAAACGGCCATGGCTCCTCCTATTGCGAAGAACATGGCTGGTGAAGACGCAGATCCGGTTGTCGTCTCGCCAGAAAAGAGCGTCGAGCCAGAACCCGAAATCCACGAGCCCGCAAAGACTGAAACTGTGGAGCACCACGAGGACGCCCAAACGAGCGAGCACGTGTCACCGAAGCATTCCGTCGACCAACCATCAGAATCAATAGACACGCAAGTCATGTCGATAGATCCCGAGCCAACGACTGATCAGATTATCGAGCAATTGGCCGCTACGGCCGACGGCAAGCACAAATCTGACGGATCAATCGACGCCGAAGAAACGGTTGCTTAATTTATGACCGAAGGTCGTTTAGTATGGCACATGAGAAAACTCCACAAAAAAAGCTTGGAGAGAAACGAAGTATGATTTCTATTCGTGGTGCGGTCGTCGATGTTTATCTTCACGATTATGTTTAATATAGCCCTTGTATCAATTCTTCAGCCGTTCAAGGTTGGAAAAGAAAAAGCTTATCTTGCGACTCTCACGTAATTACCTAGATGTCTGTCTTATATCTGTGTAAACCCATTGTATATGTCCTACACAATGAATAGATCTACATATGTAGGATTAAGATGATGATCCTACATTAATTCTGTCACATTAATCAATCGATTTTTCCTATTTTACTTGTGGTCGGACTCTGTTAGTAATCCATGGATGACATAACCTTCCGGACCCCCATGATACATGCATCTACGAGCTTCAAGCTAAGGTTCAACCTTCTTCCTCCTTGATTCAACTATAATAAAGTTTATGCCTGGGATATATCAAAGCTAAATAAAATGGCAGCTCAACTTCAAGCATTACTGCGCTTCCTCTCGCAAGATGCCAAGGTCCCGCTCGCATCTGCCATGGGCAAGATCAAGGAACTCCAAGAGGCTGGGCTTCAGAAGTATGTCCCCTCCTGTCTAGGTAATCGAAAACCAAACTCTCATTCGTATGACTGATTATCGTATAGTGTCGACGATATATCAAAATCAAATCTGGATAGCTTACAGTCTATATTCAAAGATGGAAAAGTTGCTAAACAAGTCCTCAATGCCGCGAAACGGGTGACCAAAGGCGGTGCCCAAAAGCGAGGCGCGTCGTCCGCTTTGGACGACAAGTCAACATCAACATCACCGAAAAAAGCAAGACGTTCCAATGATCTTGAAGGTGCGCATCGTACACCTTACGAAATAGAGTCTTCTCTTTCCCTTCACCTAGCCTCTGAGCCTGAAGAGACTCTCTCCAGTACCATCCTCAGGACTAATCGCGCACCACTCGTCCTCGCCTTTGCAGTTGCGGTGCTCAAATATACCATGCCAGAACAGCCGATGTCTAGTAGACTCAGTCTCGGCCAAGCAGTTGTCAGCGCGAATAGTAGAAGTAAAGCGATCAGTTTGGGGATCGAGCCTGCCTCTTCTCTTGATAATGGGGATGAGAAGGATCGGAAATTGGAAGAGGGGCAGCCGAAGGTCAGGGTCTTGGGAAGGGAGATTGCAGTGCTGAAGAGGTGGGATTATGATCCGGCTGAAGGTGGGCCTGGGAGGAAATATGAGGAAGGGGACGGTGCTGAGGAGAGGGTAGGCACGGGTCTGCCGCCACTTTGGGGTCTCGATCTTGAAGTTTTAAGGAGGAATGATAGTATTGGGAGTGCTGGTATGACATCGGGCCGCGCTCGGAACCAGACGATGTCGACGCTCCCGGTTCACACGCCGGAATCCGCGAGGTCGTATTTGCTCAAATCTTTTACTCTTTTCAAAGAGAATGATGACGAGAGCTCAACTAAATCGAAAAAGAAAATTGCAGACTCAACCGCTGAGAGGGAGAGATGTCTCGGCCTCTTACTTCAAGCGCTGGATACACTGTTCTCGTCGTGGGCATCAACGCTTTCGGCAGAAGAACTGGATAGACGAGCTTGGAGTTGGTATGTACGCGTACGACCAGAGATACAATCAGGTGTTGCAGGATGGGGAGAGAAAGGCAGTCTGAAGCTCGCTGATATACTATCTTTGAAGCGGTAGTCGCTTCTGACGGCTGGGAATGTATGCTCAAGTGCTATTGCAGTGCTTTGTTCTCTACGTTCATTTCATAAACTCAGTCACTATGTCCACATACATAACACTCCGACATATAATTCGATATTAAATATAGCCCGGAAGAACAAGGTTATTTAGCTTTGCCCTCGACACTATTGTGAGCTTCAAGCATATTCTACGAACCCTCTCCAATTCAATCTCCTTCTCCTTCTTGTTGGAGAAGGTGTTGGGTTGAGGTTGATATCGATGTCATGATCAGCGCCCCATGAAATCACTCCTGAAGATATTGACGAAGATGGGAAAGGCCATGGCGATGTGGGCATTACGTCGGTCTTGAATACAGTTCGTCGGTATTAAAACCACAGAAGTCAAGAAGAACTTACGATAACTGCTGCCATCATAGGTGGAAAAACCGGTCCTAAAGTAGCAGCAACAAGGAATGACCTCTACGCTTTGTGTGGCGACCCAATACACGAAGACTCATGAATAAGGTGGTAACGAAGCAGAAATGTCTCCATATCAGCATCGCGCTGCATTATGATGAACAGTGGAAAGGTTCACAGATTCAAAGCAAAGCACAATAATGAAAAGAGCAATGGATGCGGTGCCGTAAGTATTCATAGCTGCAATGATGGAAAACGATACAGCCGAGAAAATACACAAAAGAGCATGTATCGTGGCTTGAAGTGCTTGAACATCATTAAGAAACTGGCTAGGACATGGTTGAATGCGTACAAGCCTTGAGCGATGGCGAGAAGGCCGGCTAGATTATTGTCAGATCAAAACCTATTCCTGGGTGCTCAGCTGAAATCGGAAAAGGGAGGGGGTTATACAAGCGTCACAAGGCGACTTGCCAGCCTCCTCCGCGAAATTGATAGAATAGCCTGCAATAGTATGGAACAAGGAACTGTATACAGATTGCATTGGTTTGTAGGATGCGTGTCTTGTTATGATTGTAGAAATATCCGGGGCTGAATGACGCGACATACTGGATGCAGGACGAGATGCACGAGTTGGAGAAATGAGAAACATATGATCAATCCTTGGACCGCAGATTAGTTTCAATCTACTTTGTAGGGAGTATCCTATTCGGCACATTTGTGTTTAGATGTTAAAAAGAATGTCTATTTCGATGTGATTCATGATTCGATATTAGGGACACCACAATCTATGTTGGTTACATTTTTGCATTTATTTGACAAAGGGAATGTGTTGCATGTTGGTAATATGACAATGAGTTGGGTTTTTTCATACATGTAGGGAGTACTCCCCAGTACCTAATTGTTAGGCGTACGCAAATCCCCCTATTCCCCATCTACTGCATTCCCTTTCTTATGTTGTCGTACTGAGAAGCTGGGTAGTTGAGCTCATTATCTGCACGTTGGAGTACGCCATTTCCGCCGAGTGCATTGACGAGCTAATAGCAGGTCAGTCGAAATCAGAAAAAGGGACGAAACATCACCTACCGTATGAATCAAGCTGTCCGACCCAGTCTTATCACCACTGCTCTCCCAGAACGCTCCTCCACCAAGACCCTTTGACTTGATATAGCTCGCTTTGGTCTGGACAATGGCAGGAGTATCGTAGCTGACCATATAACGCTGCGCGTGGTCATAAGTCCACGCAGAGACCGACGAGTCCTCATGATACAACGTTCCACCGGGCCGAGGAAGCGCCTTGTAGTCCCAGACCCCATCCTGCCATGAACCTGGCCCGACGCCAGAGTAAGTCGTACCAGGCCCATCCGTGTTTTGGAAGGCCCGTCCGTAGAGGGGTAATCCCAAGTTGATCTTACTTGCAGAAGCACCGTTCCCGGTGTAGTAGGTAATGGCTTGATCGGTGTTGAACGGAGTCGAGTTGGGATATGCTGTTTTTTGGTACACGTTGGCATCCATTCCTGTAACGTTGTCCCACTGAACACATTAGATTTGAGTCAATAAATGAGTGGAAATACTTACACTGCCGCTGTAGTCGTATGCCATGAGATTCCACATGTCCAAGTACTGATTCATAGGAGAGATATGCAATATCTCATAGTGGGATGGCCCTGCAGGTACAGATGCACTAAGCAGGTAGTGATAACCAGGTGTGTGTGCAGCAGAATAGTTGTCCAAGCCCTACTTGTGTCAGCTAGCGCTCGGGAAAGTCAGTCAAGTACTTACAGCACGAAGTTCTTTGAGAAGGGTCACATAATTATCCGCCTCGGTGTAGTTGGATGGATACTATGAAATCAGCCACAATCGATGCATCTTGACACATAGCACTTACCTCCCAATCAATATCAATACCGTCGAACCCAAGATCTTGCACAAATCCAACAGCAGTTCTCACAAAATTGGCACGGTTCGCTTCAGTACCGGTTGCACCTGCAAACCGAGACGACCATGACCAACCACCAATAGACAACAACACTTTCAAGTTTCGGTTTTCTTTCTTCAAGAGGTACAATTGCTTGACACAGCCATAGACATTATGTCCATTGTCGTTCGTTGGATCGCCGGGATATGTTTTTTGAATGTCGGCATACTTGTCGCCGAGGAGGACTTCACCAGTGCTCTCGTCGAGATTGGCAAACGAGTACAGTATGTGTGTCAGATATGGCACCATGTCATGCAAGTCCTGGACATGGAAGTTTCGAGCATAGACTGCCTAGTCGTAGTTAGCAGAGATCATGTATCTGTATACATGTATCATTCACTCACCCAGTCCACATAGTATGCTACAGACCGGTAGTTGCCATCACGCTTTTCAGCATCGTAAGGGGCTGCATTGACGACTAATAAGCCAGAAAAGGCTAGTAGAATTTTTGTGAGTAGCTGCATGGTGAATCAGAGTCAGCTCTAGAAATCCACACTGTCTTTAAATAAAGCCTTTGAGCCAGAAATGTGCTGCAAGAAAGCACATCAAGATGAAGAGTGGAAAAAAGGGAGAAATTTACCTTGGTCTATGGCTGTCATGCACATTTTATAGAAGAATTTAGTGCGGCTTTTAGGCATAATACACTCTTGTTTGACATGTCTATATGTGGCATATGGAACGCCCCGATATTTCTGTTGGTGATGGCACCCGTTTGAGTATCTACACTGATTGGCTTGCCCTAATTGGCAGAAATGCCTGGAGTGAGGCCTTTCACACGACCGGTGGTCTCCCCATGGTCAAGCCATATTAGCGGCTTTTCCCTCGAAGCCTTTGTCGAAAATTCAAACAAGGGTATCAAACAAGACGCCAGATATCTTGCAGGTGAGGGTCAGGATTGGACAGCGCGCAATTCAAGAATATACCATCCGAACTCTGCCGCGAAATTTAGTGCCCCAGCTTCGCCGAAATTGGTATAAATGAAGAACCCGATGACAAACTCCATACTGTAGCCCTAATTACCGGAGATATGGCAGCAAGTCACACAAACAATCTTTGTTTTCCGAATTCGTGATATAGAAATGCCTCGAATTGCACGTATAGTCCTTGTAGCACAATTTCGGAGACTCGCCGTTTGTTTTTGCGGCTTTTTCCATGTGCCTTAGAGGTGTCACCTTGTCATTTCATGCCCCTGATATACGCGCCATAATAGTGTATACCAAAACACCAATGCATTTCGATGTAACGCTTTCGGAAGACATGCTGCTTGCAATTAAAAAGTTCAAGGCAGCAAGCACTCCTGGAAGACGAGAGACTTGTCTGTAATACTAACTGAGTTTCATAAGATTGCTCCGTTGATGGCTCCTAGTCGCTCGTGTAACTATGAGGGAAATGAAACATTACCAATTCTTTGATGAAGCTGCCATATAATCAAAGGAAAAGGAAAAGAAGTTATCCGCTTAATCTAAGTGAGATAAGATGGCAGGAGCCCCTTCCCTTCTTGTACAACACGTGATATACGCCATTTAATTACTGATAAATGCTAAATTACTTTCTCTTCGAACGACCAATCTTCTCATCCGTGATATCCCAATCGTTCAAATATCCCACCCCGAAATTCAAATACGTCGCAAACCCCAACCAGCCCAAGTAAGGCACCAATAGCCAGAAAGAAACATCATCAATCTTGCGATAATTATTCGCCAACGCTAACACACTTCCCCCCACGACTAGAATATCCGCAAGTGCAGTCAAGGGTTTGCGCATTCCGAAAAAGAGGGGCATCCAAATGAGATTGGTGGCTAGTTGGATTGTGTATAGTGTTTGCGAGGTGTACGCTAGTTCGCGGATCGTGGGAGAAGGTGAGGAGAGGCCGGCGATGGTGGCGCGGTAGCTGGCGTAGCCCATGGCGCTGTAGAGCATTGTCCAGACAGGACCGAAGACCCAACCGGGGGGATAGAGAGGGGGTTGGCGAAGGGCTTTGTATATGGACTGAGTGTCGCTGACTGAGAGGATGGAAGAGTCAGTATCTCTCCTTTGGTGACACGTCTGGAATACTCACCAGAAGTTGTCGTGTATCCAACCAGTGCGCCTGCGGTCACTGGAGTGAGGATCGCAGCGACCGGCGAGGTGAAGAATGCGGTGGGCAGGGACAGGTAGTTCCACAGTGAAGCCATTTTGATGTGTTGTGTATTGGTCAACGTAGGTCAAAAGCAAAAGGGAACGAAGGAGAGCTCTGTATAAATAGGCCGAGGAGCTATAATGTGGGGTGACGTCATGACAACCAATCACGGCGGCAGTAACAACCTTAATTAACCCTTATCGAGTTGAAATGGGCCTGGCGATCGCCCGTCAAATCGTGCTGATCAACCTAGAATTATTTGCAGAGATCGACAGTATTCAGAGGTGTATTAGTGATAGTACAGTGCGCGCTCTTCACATTTGAAATTTGGCTTGAGCAACAAATCCGGACGTGGGTGTGCACTTTGATGTATCTGATTGGATTCGTTTCGGTTCTTTATCAAAGATGGTTCTGTATTTTGATCGACATACTGAGCCCTAACCCTTAGGGTCGTATTTGACAAAGATCATCAGCCTTTTCTTGACTAAGATTGATAAAAGCTAGGATCTCTATCTTCAGACAATCGGAACATTTGAAATCACAAAATTTGCATTGGCACCAAGACGCCGACATGTATTTGAACTTGCTGGCCAATGTATCCATTTCAACATGGATAGTAGCTGTAGCCATCGCTCTACTGGCCAACATTGTGAAAAGCCGCTATACCTCACCAATCAGCGAGTATGTTCAGCGCTGCCCCTCTCTGTGCGTCGGACGATAAGCATACTCAATAATTTCTGTAGGAAGCTTCGTTCGTATTGGTAGAAGTCAGTATTTCTCATCCATATGCGGGGCAGTTATTGCTAGGAGATTGACGCTGCTTTTGACCCGGGACCTCATTTGTCTGTGGTTTTGTATGCGGATGCTTCCAAGCTGCCTTGTCTTCAAGCTTGTGGAGGGCAACATCCTAGCTTACATGTACCTAGAGGTGATGAAAGAGCATCGGCTGACAGGCCATTCTAGAATGCAGAATCGTATTGATATTATAGCGTAACTGCAACTGAACTTTCTTGGGCTGTTCCTGCAGCAGGTTTGTCCATTGATGACCATTATTTCACAGAGATGGTGAGCATATTCTCTTCAGATATTTACTTTCTACAGGTTTCTGGTTCTAGTAGACTTTATTGGAGCGTAAATACTTGGGTCTTTCACCGCAACCCGGCTCTATTCGGTCCGGATTGTGACGACTGCAATCCAGAGCGTTGGCTTGATTCAGAGCGCGCACAAAAGACGGACCCTTACCTGTTATACGTAGGTCTTTTTCTAGACAGCTACTTGACACATCGAACCGACGCAAACAGTGGGGAGCAGGCTCCAGACAATGTCCCAGCCGATATTTGGCGCATTTCGAAATTTTAAGGTCACTACAAAATCATTGCGAGACTATGATATTTGGCAGGTCGATCCCAGAAAGCAATGCAGATTTGAGACGCATTTCACTACCGTTCCGTGTGATTGGCCGTGTCGGTTGCAAAGGCGTTGAATGCGTGCAGTTGAATACGTGCATGAAATCGTGTCTTGCTAGCAGATCATACAGTGTATGGAGTGAGCTTATCTACCTCGATTAACCTCAATGATCGATAGGTAGGTATAAGCATGGCTGTCTCAAGTCCTAGCGCCTGTATCGGATTTGAGACATTCACTACAAATCCGGAAACGTGTCGCAGTATCTCCTTAGCCCTAACCCTTAGGGTTAAACACGGCCTTGAGGTTCGATTCCTGATAATCCGCCGAGTTCCGTGGAATAGTGTGTGCATGACTGTTTTGCTGGCTGTTAAGAAAAATTTATTCGTGGGTTAGAAAACCGCCCCATGTCTCATATAACTCAATTGTTCTTGCATTTATGAAGAACCTCAAATAAGCTTGGGAAGCGAATGCCGTTCCCTATCGCGCCGAGCTGAAGCCGTGTCTCGATCGCAGCACTGACCTTTTAGCTCTTTCCTATTTGTCTTAGCCTGGCAGCCTATTAATACCCAAGTGGGCTGTTGCTGGTCGACTAAGACTAGCGCGACATTATTTCTTGATATTTCCTTTTTCCTTGTTGACTTGGACAAGCAGCCATAAGGCGTCAGAACTGTAAGCTTTTGCTGCATCCCCGCGGTGGCTCAGCAAGCACTTAGCATGGGTCAGAAGAATTGTCTCGGAGCAAGACACCCAATCTATTTGTGTCACAGCAAACGTATACCATTACCAGGTATGGAGAAGCCATACGTACTATCGATTATGCGAAGAGTCGCGAGTGGACACTCATGACGTTGAGAGTCTCGGATGTCTTACTCTGTAGGTTTGTCTTTGTGATGTTGATGTTGATGTTTTCCCGGATGCTGGACGTTGAACCATGGGACGGACTCTGACTCTATCCAGTACGTAACAACAAACAGTAATACAGAGGTTGTACAACGCATTTTGTAGCCATTGAGGTCGAAATACGAGAGCAGCAACGAAGATAATTCGTGGGAGCGATCGCAGACTGACGCACGCCGGATGGAGCTGGCTGGTGATTAGCGTATGCGGCGTGTGGGCTGTTTACGAAGCGTCCGATGTTTGGCAACGAGTGGCTGTACGTCTTCCAGTCATTGCAGCGCAGACTCCAGAGTCATCCAGCACGCCAAGTCAACGAACGATCATCATTATAGCATACTCCGTATACCATGAATAATCAAGAGAAATCATCAACTAATAGTGTAAGATCGTCAACTGTTTGTTGTTGAAGAAGAAAAGAAAAGTCTCGGTGGGTCTCACCTCACAGCTCCACCGTAAATCCGGTTCGAGCATCAACATCCATTTACGTACCACCTCAACTTCTTATCTACTATTTATTCTGTTTATTTCCCCTGTAATCATCATCTATCCTCTTCTACTACGTCTGGCTCGACTCTCCACCACATCAACCACGCCGGCCGCCACCCGCGACAAGTCAACATGAGACTCATCTTCGTCTTCTCTCTTCTGGCCGCCAATGTGCTTGCCTTCGAGAGCAACACTGCCAATCTTCCAGATGTTGCGCTGTTGGTGAAACGTCAAGACGGTGGCAGTGGCAATTCCAGCTTCACTTCCGTCGCTGCAGCTACCACAACTGCTGCGGATACCACAACTACTGCAGCTGCTACGTCCATTTCGACTACGTCTGTTGCTCCAACAACTACCGCTGAACCAACATCGGTGGCTCCAACAACTTCATCCACCAGCAGTGCAACTTCAACATCGCTTCCACCTTCTGTTGTGACCACGACCTCGACATCAACCGAGCCGCCTGCCAGCACTTCGTCTAGCTCAACTTCTACCTCATCTACATCTGAGCCCCCCGCAACAACATCAGCAACGACAACTTCAGAGCCTGCTTCGTCATCTACTTCATCATCAACATCAACAACCTCAACTACATCGACTTCCGCCCCCTCAACAACATTCACATCTACAACAAGCAGGCATGCATCGACCACATCATTCTTAACATCCACCTACCAGTCAACCACCACCCTTCCCAACGGCAGCCTCAGCACCGTAACCGCCGTCACCGTCGTCGTCGCCACAGGCGCTGCTGACACGACCGGTACCTCCACGACTAGCGCATCTTCAACCGCTCACTTGCAGACCGGTGGTGCTGCTTCCCCTTCTCGTGGAGTGGCCATGGGCATGTGTGCTATGATTGCTGGAGCGGCTGCTTTTGCCATTTCGTTCTAGCGTTTTCTCGACAGATATTCGGGTGATATCGTCATGATATCGATACTGTTTGCATCTCATCGGCGTTTATGTTACATCTCTGATTTCAGCTCTATGTTTTTCCAGCCAGCGACTGCATCTCGCATTTACAATCCTTACACGAACTCACGTCTTATGACTAATGTCTCTCCTTTATAATGATGATGTGTGATCCGCCAGACGTCGATATTGGCGATCATATAATACCACTCCTTACATACCTACAGTTGATATTTTACATAGACTGCAATAGCGACGGGGAATTGGATTGAATAAGATCCATAACAAATTTTGTGTATAAATTTAATCAAATTTAAACAATTAATCGCGTGAAAAGGATATATATAAGTCGTGTTCCGTCATAAGAGTAGTCAAACGCATGCCTATCAAGAAAATCATCTTGCAGCAGGCTTCGCATTCCCCGGCGGACCCTGCCACCTCTCTTCCTCCGTCCAATACCGCACAATACTCTCCCACCCGGCGACATCCCCATCCCTCAACAACGCCGCTACATCCACATTGAGCGGCGAGTCCGGTCTCGGGTCCGTCAAAAGCTGATGTATTGCCGATAGCGTTGTGGAAAGTGTGTATACGGGACTCCAGTGCTCAGTCGTCAAAAGGGTGAGACATATTTCGCCTGTGGTGAAGCTGATGTTTGGGTGGGAAATGCGCGTTTTGAAGCGAATGGTGGGCGGGGAAAGAGGGTAGTTGGTCGGGATTTCGATGTGGAGTTGCCAGAGGCCACCTTTGTTTCATACAGTCAGCAGTCGGTTTAAGACTCCGTGTCGAGAGGATTGGTGGGTGATTACCTTCATATGGCGTCCCGTTGACGCCCTTTAGCACCGCCTCCCAGTGCAGCAGATCCTCGTCATTGATCGGTCCGAGATGGAGTAAAGCTTCGTTTGGATTGCTAGTATAGTCTTGTAGTTCTTTCAAGAGACGAGTTGTCGTGGATCGTGATGACGCCATGTCGCGAGTCTGACGAGTCCACGAGGATTGTGGAATGCGGGTACGCAGTTGTTGACTCCGAAGTTGAAATATAGAGACAAAGTACGGTCTCAAGGCAAGCGTGTATCTAGCGGCACGAATATATCACAAAGAAAGTACAATGCAATATATACAGAGTGTAAATGAAATATGTAGAGGCTCCTCAAAACAAGATGACTAGAAGAGAAGAAGACAGGCCGAGGTTGGACAACAAGCTCGAGTGGGTCCCCTTCCCCGTGTCGCGCTAATCCCTCCGAAGAAATCACATGCCGTTAATATAGCCCTAATTCAAAATTGCTTAACAAAGTTGTCCTCCCATTCATATTACCTTTATAACTTTTACATCTATATGATCTCATCAGGCACCCTCCTGCTAGCTTTCCGTAGAACAAGCGCGGCACTATTCCTGTGACGTTAGGGTGAGCTCCGTCACATCATAGCGAGCTGTCATCTAATGAAAAAGTTAATACATGTGTGATCATTAAGAGATTTGACGTATGATGGATCTCTATAAGATGACGGTGAGACCTCTGTAATATAATGGTAAAAGTACGGGTAAAATTATGATAGTGCTTTTTATATTTTATAGTAATATTACTATAGTTAAATATTATATTTCATATGTAATCACAACTTGGATTTAGCTATAAGACGCGTTATTCTTGTTGTAATAATAATGGTGACTTAAAAGAATCCATATCACTTCGTAATGCTGAGAGAGCTTCTGCATGATAAGGATATTCTCCTCTAGCGATAGGACGCACGCCTATGCTTATAGGTAGCCTACGATGTCGCCGAATCTTGGTAGCCTCGAACTATCATGAAGGATATTTCTTCATCGAGGACTGATATAGACCGACAGATGATTTTGATTTCAGCAATCTAGTATAATTCGCTGGCATCAGGATATCGCAAGTCTGCATGTTCTTCCAGGAATGCCATCCAGTTTTTCAAGAACTTGCTACCTCTAAAATTTGTGTTAGAAAATTCATATAGTCACCTACACACAAAGACCCGAATAAAACTTACTTGCTGATGGTTTCAGAGTCTCCGCAAACACAGAGATGTCTTTTCGGGCGCGTCATAGCCACTGTACCATGAACTATCAGTCATAGTTCAATCAATACGAGTTCAGAGAACGATCTCACCATTAAGTCGACGTTTCTCTCCTAAAAATCCAACTTCATGTTTCTCATTACTGCGCACCAAACTGACAACAATCGCTTCTTTTTCGCGGCCCTGAAAACCATCTACACTTCCAATTTCGATGCCTGGATACTTTTCCCTCAGTGATTGCGCAATCAGAGCAACTTGGGCATTATACGGTGTGACAACGGCAATATCCTCTGGTCGAACACCTGCATCAATGAGACCCTCGACATGTAGGATAGCTATTCTGGCTTCCATTTCGTTGCTCTTACTCTCGCTAAGTAGACCTCCTTTTATTGTGGTATCTTCATCTTCGGCTTTCTCGGGGAAGTCGCCGCCTTGCGTATCTATAAACACTAGAGGCTCTTTCGTGTCATCTGTTTCTTCAACACCGTATGGTAGATCTTTCAGTAGACGGTCTTTAACAAAATCTGCTGCAGTAAGTTTTCCTTCGTACAACTCGTTAGAGGGGAACTGCATGATTTTCTCGTGCATTCGGTATTGCGTAGTAAGCATCCGCTTGATGGATGGTCCGTGAAGAGCAAGTAATCGATCGAACATGGTTTTCTCAAGCGATACACCGTTAAGAGACTCCGATGAGTCTTTTTCGGCTTCTTTTGTTTTTGATTTGCCTATCTTCTTTGCGTCCATGTTTGACGACTTTACCGTGGGTGGTAGCTGTAGATGATCGCCTGCAAGTACAGCTCGCGAGGCAGTCAATAGCGGAATCCAGCACTGTGCTTCCAGAGCTTGACTGGCTTCATCGATGATGACGACGTCAAATTTCTGGTTTTTCAGTTGATGGCCTCCAGCACCATGCAGTGTAGCGAGCACCACTTTACTCCCAGTCACGAGATTTTCGACACATTTTGATTCTCGTTCGCGAAATTCTTTCCGTAACTCTTTCAAGTCTCCATAAATCTCTCTTCTTTCCCGCCCATTTCTTGTCTTTCGAATACTTGCTTGCTTCTGATCAATCTCTTTTCGCACATCTCGTACAATCTCTGCTGCTTCTGATGTTTGGGTTAGTACTTCTAGCGAGTGATCTAGTACGGACGGTAGAAGTCGAGCTGGATGCCCGACTCGCACAATTGGGACTTTGTGCGGTGTGAGACGTTCAACGATATTGTCGACGGAAACATTTGACGGTCCGCAAACGAGTATCCTCATATTTCGACGAGTCATTTGTAAAATAAGTTCAATCAGCGTATGCGTCTTTCCAGTACCGGGAGGTCCATGTATCAATGCGATCTCCTTTGATGCAAGTGCTAACCGAATAGCTTCCTTCTGCGAGTCATTTAGGGTAGGGTCGAAGAAATCAAGAGGGCCGATTGCGTCGTAGTCGGGCGACGAAGGGGTTGTATGCCCAAAGAGGACTCGCATAAAGTATGTATGCTCTGAATCGGACATCTTTTCCATCTTTTCCATCGTCTGGTTTAGTCTTCTGTGCGTGACATCGTTCGCTAATTTGACTCTTTTACGCCAGTCAGTTTCCGCCGTTCCTATACTCAACAGACGGTGCAAACATACAACCATAGTTTCTTTCCCCAGAGCTCATCAACCGACTCCTCCTCTGCTTTCGCATTTGTACCTCCACCACTCTGACCGAAAGCCACCGAAAGCCCCTTCTCAGATGCTTTGATAACCACACCTTCGGCACCATTCGGTTTATTCCCTCCGGCTTCTTTACCCTCTTTGCCGCCTTTCCTGCTTGAAGATATTTCAAGCACCCGAACGACATCCCCAACTCTTATACCATGTGCCCCGAAACGCGCCCTTCCATCACCATCTTCGGTCGATTCGGTAGCATATGCTGCGTCCGCCCCGAATTCGCCGACTATCCTTCCACCCATGCCCGTTCGGCATTGTTCTAGTACAATTCCAGTCAATGCATATCCGGTTGCCTGTAAGGTTCGCCGAGTCGATGGGGAAATGGTGGTTGTTGAGCTAGTCGCAAGAGCGGAGGATAGTTTTTCGGCTTCGTGTTCTTTTTGTAGCAGTTTGCGTTGGGCATCTGCGAACAGGGAGATAGGGACGGGAGTAGGTGACATAATTCAAGATATCACTATAGTAATCGGCCGCATAGCTCCAAAGTAGTGTTCTTTGATGAGCTGCGATAGTTACTGATGAGAAACACGTATTTTGGAGAGTTCCCCGCACGTTGGAGACATTCCCCGCAATCACTCGTTGCCTGAGGCACCCAAGGACTTCCACTAAATACAGATCTCTACGCAGGCGCACTACCTAGGTCAGCGAGTACATCATATATTCGAACTCATCATCTATTTGGGAGACAAAAAACGAATATTGATATTCAAACGCTTTATTATGAGCCTGTCTAGCTAAGTGGCATCATACTTGAGACAGATACAACACTCAATTGCAATGATCGCTTCTTCCTTTTATAGTATGCAGGTCTCTCTCCTTCAAAGTGGTCGAAAAGTGAAAGCAGCTTCCTACGCTCTGCCAGAGTTAACGGGAGTTCCCAAGACTCATGACCGACTGTTAAATCTATTGAAGTACGCTCAAACGCCTCTTTCAGCAGTTCTGCAAGACGTCCGTATTCTTTCACATTGGCAGCGGAATGGTACCCAGCCACCAACTTGATGTGTAGATGGCGAACGCGCCCAATGTGCCTCTTGGGAAAGCCAAGAGATACGTATGGCCTTTGATAGTTGCATAAACTGAGAAGCTCCTTTGTATCGAACTTGAACTTGTTCCGGGAATAAAATATCGGGCCGCCGAGCGCATGGAAATGTTTATTGGTCCGAAAAACAGGCACCGGGGACATGTCCACGCGGTCCTCGGGATTGAACATATGACGCACTGTCTCCGAGCGCCTCCATAGACAAGAGCATGCTGTATTTCTGGTAAGGGTCTCTTGATGTTTAAGAAATGAGCACATACAACATGAATGGCTCTGCCCGTCTTTTCCATTGCCTAGACGTTGTTGTGTTGGCACTGAACAGACCCAGGAGCGATCACCTCTGAATATCACTTGATCGGTGACCAAGACATAATGCAAGATTATCATCTGGATTTCTATCGGCAATTCCATGAAGCGAAAGGGTCCCGTCCGTTCAAAAGTCACCTCACGGACAAAATGTTCCGATAGCTGGGCATAGCGACGTGACAGCTTTGGCGATCTGGAGTCGAATGATGCGTAACATGTTGCAAGTCCTCTGAGGCTGCTGATGGCTTTACTGGCCGTGATCTCCTTTGCAGTTTCGACAGATCTCGGACGACACTCTAGGCCAAACCGTATCAAACTGCCTTTGAGATGTTTGCCAAAGTAGTCACAGAAATAATACCAAACAGCCAAGTATTCGGATTTTTCTTTTCCTACCGAGTAGACTAACTTCAAATGCAACCTCTTTAATTCCCCGTTTAGCGGTGGCATGAAGTCGAAACCGCGTAGTGTCTGGTCAAGCGCATCAACATCTTCAGCGTTCCTTAATTCAAAATGAAAGGACCCCTCCTGAAGAAAGGCTTTCAGAGTTATGAATCTTGCCATTCGCGAGACCTCGAGCATTGAGACACTGATTATATGTTTGTAACAAGAACCATCGTCAAATTCCGGTATTTTTCGAAAAGCACATGTCACCAAGTTTGTTGATATTGGCGTATGATTTTTTGGAGGTTTTTGGCGAAGTCTTCTGCTGGAAGATCTGAGGTTTTCAAGCCTGGTCGGTACCAGTGCAATATGGCACGGACATATAACTCCTGCGTAGCGGAATATCTTCTTCCAAATATGATAAGGGAGTCCTAGAAAGGAGATTTTATCTTCGTTGATCGGCCTACTCTTCGAGACCGAGCCTTCGTCTTTAAGAGAGGAGGCACTGTATTCATTTCTTCCGGAGATGATTAGACTTGGTCCATCAGATTTATCCAGAAATGAACCGCTCTGATGAAGCATAAGCCCTGTGGTAGACATGTCGTTTGTTGTAGGCAAAGCTGCGCATAACTTCCCGGAGCTGAAAAGTAAATCAAAAAATATTTCGGTTCTTAAATACAAATTTAGGTAGACATGGCTTTTGAGTGTAGATGTCAAAGTTGCGTATTGTATGATGTAGAACCACGAACAATGGTACGATAGCATGCCATGGTTGTAGTCTGGCAAATAGTGTGTGCAAACTGAATTAGTACGGGGATTATGATTAAATCTACAGCTATATCTTACGTATATTTACAAAAATGAAAAGCGAAGAGGACCAAAAAAACTGTATCATGCGAACTATACGGCCTCAATCTTCACTTTAGCCTCTTCTTTCACTTCCCTCTTTGTCTTGACTAACATGCCCCTAATCTCGCTCTTACACAATCCTGTACCAGCAAGATCGCATTCACCACACTTTCTTCCTACTGGAAGACAGGCTGTCTGCCCCAAACCAACCAACAACTTATTGATCTCATGCCACTTATCTCTAGGAAGCCATGACTGCAAAGCCATACGAGTCTCTTCGGGGTTCTTTGTGACATGCCAACCCCACAGATTCGTGATGCGATGGACATGAACATCGACACCGATACCCTCGTGTTTACCCCATGCAGCGCTCATGCATAGATAGGCCATCTTGGGGCCTACACCGGGCAGTTTCATCAATTCCTCGGGTGTTGCAGGGATATCAGAATCGTACTGATCGCGCAGAATCTCAGCAGCTTGTTTGATGTATTTTGTTTTGTTGTTGTGGAAGCCGACCGCCCAGATTATTTGGTTCAGTCGCTCTGGTGAGACTGCGATGATATTTTGAACTGTCAAGGTGCTACCTGTCTTTGTACTGCCGAGCTTTATACCATCTGTGTCGTCATATTCTTCTTTCTTGATGAAGTTTTTCGACGGTGACACGGTTGTCGAAGTCTGCTCCACCTCTGGGCCAAGCTCAGTATGCAACCGTTGCATAACGACAGCGGTCACTGTATCTTTTGTCTGAGATGACAACATAAGTGCAACAAGAGTATGAAATCGTTGTTCCTTGGGCGGTGATGTGCGCCAATGGAGATCGGCGCAACCCATGGTATCTACTGGAGCAGTCGGGTTTGCTGCTCTCATTTTCTTGACAATGTCATACATAGTCTCCCAATTTGACGGTGGCTGGACTTCGATGGAGCCATCTTCGCGTTTGATTTTCTTCGCTGGTTGTCGCCGCTGCTTAGAGCTGGTATTTTTGGCCTTTGTAGCCGGGATTTCCGTTTTGACAGTGACTTCCTTCTTGATCCGCTTTGTGGTGGAGACTGAGCTGATACTAGTTGTTGGTGTCTCTGAATTGCGTCTGCGCTTTTTGGCCAGAGGTTCTATGAGATCCTCAATATCCTCTGTGTTTGCAGATGATAGAGAGGAATCATCGCCCGGCTCTGGAGCTACTCGATTGTCGGAATACGAGAAATTACGCAGGGCAGATGCAGCTAAAGAGCTACGCGTTTGTCGCTTTGGAGGCGATATTGCGTGAACCAGTTTGGCCGTTTCTTGCGACACCCGCGATGTCCTCATCTTGATGTATATGTCCTTGTTCTTGATGAGTTTTGATGAAGTTCAAGGAGTTGGACTTCGCCCCTTGCGCGGAAATGTCCAGGATGATAGCTTAATCCTGAATAGGTCTAGCCTGGCAATAAGAATTGGCCAATGGCCGTCCAGCTGATGTTAAGCGGAATTTATAACTTCACATTTATACTTCTAGAAAATTTATTTAGTATTTTATATTCTAGGACTGGATAGTATATATCTTATTTTAATAAGCTCTGTAGATAATATAGCGAGGAAACTCACTAGATATGATAAATAAGATGACTAAATCTTAGTTATATTAGCATAAAACGTCTGGATATGACCAGTATCACGAAATCTGATCCTGAGGAAAACCTTGGCATCGGCCATCATGCTGAGTTCGAATGCCTTTTTCAGGAATATAATTGGAGAATGATTTTATGCTTCCGCATGGAGGCTCCGAGTCTGGATTATGAGTTACTAACCTGTACCATTCAAGTGCCTAGTGGCTGATACCTCTATTATAAGCTGGACCATAATGGTATCTAATCTACATCATCTGACGTGAAATGATATGTCAGGCTTCTTCGGCGATTTAGCCCATGGAAGATCGAAGATAGACTTAGGCGCTGGCGAAGGCGGCTTGTTGGCTTTTTCCTCCTCCCTTTTCAACTTGTCCACAATCATCCAGTCATCTTCTTTTTCCATAACTAGGTAATGTGAAGTTATGCGAGTGCACACAGTCCGTATACAATCCACAATATGACCTAAGAGCTCATATTCGGTCTGGGCTCGTTTAGCAAAGTCGCCGTACCACTCTTTTCTAGCACCTTCTTCCTTCTCGCAGTTGAAATAGGACATAAATTGTCGCACTGTCTCGGGTTCGTGGATGTCAAATGAAGAATCTTGATGGCGAACGACCCATCCTTGACCTTTCGGCATGAAAGCGTTATAAGGTCCATAAGGCTGTCGTTGAATTTGATGTTGAGCCGTGGTTCTGCGCAATTGAATATCAGCCTGTGAGTCTCTGACCTTTCCGTCTGCAATGAGAAGTTGTCAACATACTCCCGGAAATTAGAAAAAGCAATTTCAAATGATCTTTGGTCCCACTCATTTTTTGAGACATCAAAAATGGTAATGTCCATATTCTGATGAACACCCCATCGAATTGGACTAGCGATACTTCTGTTAGATATGTCCTGTAAAGCCTTACCACACCTATCTGCGAAGCTTTGGAAGGACTTTTGGACTCGTGCTTGAAATTCTGGCCTTGGATATTTTGATTCTTCGATCTCTGCAAAAGTGGCAATGTTACTATATCAATATTTCAGCACCAAGGATGGTGCAACGTACGTATAAACAGTAGGTTTGTATTGCTCTGTCCATCTTCCATTGCTTTGTCTCTACCCCAGAATAGATCAGGACAGTTTCCCAAGCCCCAGAGTTCCTTTCGAAGATGCTCAAATGAACTTTCGACCTGTGGATCCCCGATTGGGGCGCGAAATGATATCATTTCCATATTAGGGCTCGCATTATACTCTAGCCTTTGCGGTAAATGATGCTGAGAAAGCAATCCCATCTCAAGCCACGTACCAGCGGGTCCACCGGCAATACGCTCCCCTCGTCTCGCTTCTATCATAGATTCCACATGAAGCCGGTCCTGACCACTTGATAACACAAATTCATCCAGATTGTACTCAGGCTCTGTAGGCGTTTGAAAAAGTGGATGCTCTATTTCTGGCACAGATAGTGGTTGACGACCTAATGATTGAAGAGTAGAGATTTTGAAAGGTATATGATTCAGTGGAGTGGTGGAAGCTGATACCACGTTTGTTGCATCTTTTCGAATCTCCTCGATATTCTTTTCGAGATTCTGAGGATCACTTGGCTGAATTCGATCCTGGTTGTTGTTTGCCTGACAATGTTTCCAGAAGAGCAGACCAACAAAAAACATATCTTCGGAATCTTTGTCCACTTCAAGCCACTCTCCACAAAAATGAATCAGCCTGGACTCGACTAAAGCATTGCTGAGATATGAGGAAAATATATCGTTCCATTTGGACCTCAACCCAGCAATCTGATCCGTAGACGGCGCCTTGGAGAACTGAAAGGATACAAGCTCAAGATAACTCTGAGATGTGAATAAGCTGTCGACAGGAAGAGCAAGCTGAATGCATCGATTAGAAATGTTTTCAATGTAACCAAGCATCATACTGAAGCCTAAAGAGCGTTGAAAGCATCTCCAGCCACGACCACTATCCCACTGGATTAAAACGATTATTTGCTGGCATGACGAAGGCTGATCCACTGGAGCCCAATACAGCCCTTGGAATCCTGGAATTGTTGAGACGTACTTCAACGACTTTCTCCATGTTATAGATGCTAGATGCGATTGATCTGCGATGTCGACTCCGGACTGGAAAGTGAAATGCATAATACTAAGGACGGGGTTCGCCGGCAGCTGGTCCACATCTCTCGTGAAAAACGAGATCCTATTTAGATGGGGTGTGCCATCCACACGTCCAATGATCATATCGATATTCAAGATGTTATAAACACCCGATGGTTGAATAGATCCTCGTTAAGCTATAATTATGGTGACCTGGCGTTCTGAAGAGTATGTAGACCTCAGAAGTTTACCAATGCGTTGGGGAAATGAAGCGTAAAAAAACCAGACGCTTCGCGCTACATCACGTGCAACCACCATATCCAGCTACGTTTGCACAGCCCGTATAATTTCAAGTTTTGATGTTTGTTTATTTCCTATCAGACTTTGACACATACTGGCAATGCTCTTAAAAGCTCGTTGGAACTCTACTGTCCTTCAAGTGTCATTTGAATGGGTTTGTCTGACGTCCCGGAAGTTAATACATCAAATGATGGCTGTACCCCAACCTCCAATAACCACGTCTATTATATGTTATCCTAGATTTGACCAATAACAGCCAGCAAGCAACTAATGAGATTGTATTTAACTTGATACAAGTTACTTGGTAAACAAGAAAACAGGCTTATGGAGCTTATATCTGCTTCTTTCTAAGTGACCTTTATTGACCAGAAAAACATTGAATTCAACGACTGGGCCGATGATGTTACTTCCCGACTTCTTATCCATTTCTCAATAGAAATATCTGGACGAATGTGGAGTATCTCATGGCAAGCGAGCGTCGTCAGTCAAGTGTGAGTTTCGACATCATGCTCGTCAGGGCATCCTCATCGGCAGGGGKGGTATCAGGTGGTATTGTGACAGAAGAACCAGTGGACCAATCGCTCAATGACAAATACATGGCTATTCTTGAATGTCAGTGTACCCAGACCGAGCGAAATCAAAACAGGGTGAGCTTCTTACCAGTAATGTAGAAAGAAAACGAATCTAAGGGGGGAAAATTTTAGCACAAACCCTTTAAGGCATTAGGGAAGAATAGACTCAAGATCTTGGTCATATCATACCTGCATTGTTTAGGGCTTTGCTGGGTGTTGCCGCGAGTTGCGCTACGCAGAACCAACCGTACTCCGATTTTATTTGTCCATTATCGTTACATGACTCATCAACTGTTATTTTCATCTACAATAAGCAAATATTTCAAGGTGGAATCCCAAAGCAGGATGGAGGAAGATATACTTAGATAGTTTGGGCCCACCATGGCTGGGGCATGAGTGAATTCGTGCAAAAGAGCCGTGGTCAAAGTCAGACCCTGAAAGATTTCCAAGGAAACTTTATCTAAAGACGTTTGTGAGCAGCGACTTTCATGGTATTTTGAGCTTGGTAATTTGATACCCAGCCTGAAAGTGCGTTTTGGCACAGAGTCATCACAATCGGTTGTCCTCCTGGAGCCTGGCTTGAAGACATGGCAGGGTTCACCCACGCATAGAAAGCTGCATCGTCTCTGCAGATTCCTTGTGACGTCGAAAAATCTATTATAAGCCCGAGCGTAGCGAGGGTAGACAGCTTGTAAATCCTAAAAGAATATGTACATTTGCAAAGCGGAAAAGTACAAAAAGGTGAATTATCTCTGCATCGTCTCCGCGGATCGAGGAGAATTACTCATCCGATCCCGATGATTCGACAAACGCGTATAATATGGACTTGAAATGCTACTCTGCTCAGTGCTATTCCTGTTAGTCCAGCCGCTTTGTTCTGGCATTTGGTTCTGTTGCTGTCTCGCCGAAAAATTCGCTGTCCCATGAGATGGAAGCTGGTATTCACCACTACCTCCAAGCTGAAGACCAAAAACATCTGCCTCTGAATCCATAAAGGGCGCAAAGTTCTGCTGAAATGATAGTGGCAATGGAGGGAAAGCCAGGGTGAGCGAGGGGTCAAAAGTATTTGCTCCATCAGGGCTTTGATATTCTCCATACTGCTGATATATTTGATGATGGTGATGGGGTTGATTCATGGCTATTGTTGATGTTGTTGTTGTTGGTCCTGTTGTATGCATGACTGGCTCTTCATCTTCATGCTGCGAGGTCTCTGAGTACACTGTTTGACGGATATCCAGACTAGATTTTGCCATTGGAGAAATATTGTTATCTTTGGCTTGAACGAGCCGTTTGGCAAATGCCGAGGCTAGATTCTCTGTCCCTGCGTCATCGAAATCTCGTGGGCCTTTCCATCGTGCAGATATTTCAAACAAATTGGCAATGAGCGTATCCAGAGCCGGTGCGATTACGGGGTTTGCATTACTGTATCTCGAGGAATGCGTCAAGAGCATTCGACCAGCAATGAAAAGACAAAATGAGAACTGGGGACTGACGAAAATCGGCGAATGAAGAAGGAACTGCTGTCCGATAGTAGAAATATCAGACGCAGCCTCAATACATGTCTCTGCTGAAGATGAAGAGGGGAGCTTGACTGGCGATGATTTCCAGTGTAATGGTGGGTATGCAATCGCTTGATGGAGAAGGATCACTGCTGCATTATGAGTGATATGAGCAAGCGTCAGGTTTGGGTCCATGATTCCATCTGCATTCAGAGTAGATGCTTCACGCCATTTGGAGGGGAGAAATAATTTCCACCTATGCAATCAAAAGGTTAATCATGCTGCATGTATACAAGATATTGACAGTCAAGCTTACTGGACCAGCCGAAGATCTAGCTCCTTGAATCGCATCAGCCATAGCTGAGCTTTCTCGTTGTCACGCACATCCAAAGGCTGACGGACAAAGAAATTTGATACCAAAGAGAGCGACTCGGTTGCTTCTATACAGTATGCAAATCCTCCAATTGACTCTTGCTCTGCAGGGTGTGCCATAGTCGGACTTTCCACTAACAATGACCGATGAGGAGTTGTCGCTTCTTTTGTATCAGAAATTCCAAAATACGACGGTCTAGCCTCATCCTCACGTTCCCATAATGCCCCTTCGCAAGGTAATCGCCGCTTGACATCCGCGCTGGTAAGGCTGACATTCCACCCGGTAGACAGACTACAAAATCGATCCATTAAGAACACAGTCCAGAAGACGCGTCGTCGCTCCTCAATCTCGACCCAGCATGTCGAGGGTCGCAAAAAAGCCATTCGCCGAATAAGTGCCTCGCCGGTTTGGTTTCGTTCTCGGAGGTCATCTTCTTCGACGCTAAGTTGTAATTGTTCCACTGTTCGTGCCATGCTGCCGACAATAGACCATGAGGATGGGCCACGTCCGCGAGCTATCTGTAGAATGATTTAGCTTGTAAGTAGCGCTAGGAAATCTCAGCGAACGTACCGTGTCAAATGCAATTATAACCAGTGCCTGCAAGCTCTGGACGGAGAACGATTCCATGCTGCACAAAACAACATTTTGTCGACTAGCCTCGGCTGTTTTTGCTTTTGTCTCGTCATCACCTAGTCGCGGATCCTGTAGAAATCGGATCCCAACCGCAATGATTGCGTGCAGTATGTGAACGGCTTTTTGTCTACCTTCTGGGTGCTGAATTTGATCACGGAATCTGCGAACGTGAAGAATAGGAATCCAATGATGGATATTCTGGAAATAGAACTCGACAAAACTGATCATAAGGTCGGAGTCGATGATGTCGCCAGCAGTCATGTATTGTGGAATATCGTGTTCGACTTCCTGAAAAGACGACGATAAATCTCTGCGCAGTCTCTTTGCAGGTGGTGGCTGTAACATATCGACAGATGCGGAAAGCTTTCCAATGGCGAAGCTATTATCGTTACGACGATGGGTACTTGCTAAATCAAGCAGAGAGTTCTTTAGCTGATCGCGACGACCGCGAAGATCCGTCCCATTGCCATTAAGATCATTCCCCGCCGCAGACGGAACACCAGGAAATTCCAAATTGGGATGTAGCGTCTGCCACATCTGTTTCCACAACATCTCCTGACCAAGAAACATATCTTCCAGCGTCTCAATTCTGCGGGACAGATTGTCAATCACACCTGCACGAAGTCCCGGCTTGAGTCGTCTGCCATCGTAAATGCAAGGCGTATCGAGTTTCAAGCACTGCGAACAGGGCTGTTCTCGGCTGCAACGTGCCTTTTTGCGACGACATGCTTGGCAGGCGGGGATGTCGTCGTCCGATTTCAATGAGTCGATTTGTGGTCGTCGGCTTTGCTGCTCGATGGAGCCGCTGTCATTATTGTTACTGTTTGACTTGGTACCCATCGTGGAGATTGCACATTATAAATGCATGCATATGCAGACGTAGTTGAAGTAAGTAAAATCTGGGGAAGACAAGGGGAAAGGAAATTTAATGACCAAGGGTTTCCTCGAATTCTCCATGTGGATAATCTCTTCCCCGCACAGGATGGAATCCGGGGTCCGGACGTCGGGCGAACGGCCGGAGCGTGATCCGGCCTGTCGAAGCCCGATAACTAAGTGCACACCGTATGAGGTGTCTCTTTTATTATGTACTTTACTTTGTGATATTCATTGCTTGGTTCTGTTCATAATGCGGTAGCTACGTAGAGATTTACTAACGATTTATCAAGACACCCAAAGTCCGCTTAAATTACTTTAGTGCACACTACATACCATGCCCCAGGTACAAAAACCAAAGATAAATTAAACTGGTAAGACATCTGAATCACCAGCCGTGGCCCCAAACTCCTGATTACTTAGGTAGGATCAATAGACGTACTAGAAGATAGTTAGCACGGTACATTATTAACACGGTCCTTAGAGACGGAGATATCGACTTACTCTGAAGTTAGGATTCTCCTTATCCGTCATATCCATAAAGGCATACTCATGAGTAGTCTCACTTGTAGACTGCGCGGATAATTCGTTGGTTTCCTTTAGTTTGTTACGACGGACGAGAACCCATCGTAGAACAAGCAGGACAACATTAAGTAGGCCGTAGAGACAGAAGTGGGCGGTGAATCCCTTTTCGTATCGAGGGGCATCAGATGATTGGAAGACCTGGGGAAGAATGTGGAATCAGCGGTTGCCCAAAAACTTGGAACAGTCGGATGAGAGTGGGAGGAAATACCTGTGGTGCAGCAGCGTTTCCTGCTGACCAAGCAATAAATGTAATTGCAAGGGTAGTAGATTTTTTTGTTTGGCCGGCTACATTGCGAGATACCAACGAAAACAACATGGGGCCCATGGACCAGATAAATTGCGTGCAGTAGAAAGCAATCAATAGACCGACTCTGGTTGATGCCGTTGGCTTGATGGAGTATATGATTGCCGTGCCAATGATTGGAGGTCTATTATAATGAGCATTAAAGTAAGCACTTCGATACCTTAAACATGCCAAAGCTCAACTACCGGGAAACACGTACAATGTCCACAGATGCATAACCAAGACCGTCTGCTTGGTTTTCGTGGCTAGTGAGGCCGAGCCTAACATTACAGCAATAACGACGCCGCCCTGTGCAATATTGAGAAGCTGTGTTTGAAGAGTGGTAAACCCGAAACTTTTGATGATAATGTTTGAGAAAGTTCCCAAACCACCAAGAATAAGGGTACTTGTTACCTGCACTCCGACATAGAGCCATATTGCAGGGTCTGAGAAGGCCTCCAACAGCTGATATTTTTTGTAGACCTTGTTTTGGATACCGGTTTCATTTGCTCGAACGCGTTCGACCATCAAGCGCTTTTCATCTTCGTTGAAGCACTTGGCCTTCATCGGACTATCCGGAACGTACCATGCAAGGAAGATAGCCCAGGCGACTGTGGCTACGCCGAGAACGAGGAAGAGTAATTGCCATGAATGAATGTGGTGGCCGACGTAATGGCTTGTTCCCCATGCGAGAACACCGCCAACCTAAAGTTTGTAAGACATGATTATCGTAGGAATATATCGTAGGATTATAATACCATCAACTGTAGTCCGGTCACTACGTAGGATTAGTATTAACTGCGAAAGTAATGAAACTCAAGGATTCCAACTTACTGCAATTCCAGAACGCAAGGAGCATCAACTGCTCCTGTCTTGTGTACCACATCGAGGTCATTTGGACAAATATTGGCTGGACACAGGACTCAAGCACACTATACAACATTCAACATTACAAAGCCTATTATAAATATACGTCAAGGGAAAAACGAACCCAAGCAAGAATCGGACAACCATCAATGCGGGAAAGTTTGTAGCCGCCGCACTGCACTGAAGAGGAGTTAGTATCCATGAATGCTTTCGGACCGAGAAGCCTGGGGGAAGAAATTACTGAAATAACTACACCCCAAAGGAAGACACTGCAATCATTAGTCTCTCATGCTCATTCTCTAGAAGCCAGAACTCACTTTGCCGCCAAATATTTGCCAACTGGCAACTTCTGAATAAGCACATTGGTAGGGTATTCTCCAAGGAGTATTCCAATGTACAGAATCGTTCCTAGCCAGTTGTAGTCATTGCTGGTCAGGTGAGCATCCTTCTGGATGCCCATGATTGAGCTGAAGCCAAGTGTGCCCTTGTCAAGAGATTGGCAGAAATACGTCTTTTGGCGGCATTAGTCTGCTGTTCAAATGAAGTTGATCATGAAATGCTTACCCCAGTCATGGCGAGCAAAATTCGCCCGTTAATCTTCCAGAATAAGCGTCGGTTGGTCGCCGGGTCAATGAAGACAGGCGGACCATTCGCATATTCGGCGGTCTCCTGGTCGACGCCGTACTTGGACATGGCCTCACGCTTCTCGGTATTCAGAATAGTCTCGTTATGCTCAGAAACCGTGGACTTATTCTGAAATTCGATGTCCTCCATCGTGGTTGGGGTAATGACTAGACAGGGATTGTCCAAGGTAAAAGACAGGTTGTTGGCAAGAGGTCTTTTCCCGGTAGAAATCTAGAGCACCATCCCTTTTTAAAGTACTAACAGAGGAGCATCGTATGACGGGACAATTGCAGCACAAACTCAATAATACGTGAGAGCCATCGCTCGTGGCGACAATCTGGGGAGCTTACAGCTGATTTCCCCGCTGCAATTTGTGTTGCTGGGAAGTTGGAGTTATCCCTCTGTTAATAGGAACTACCTCCGGCAGTTGCTCCGCCTCCGGACATTCGCCCACATAATGTCCATGTGGCTTCATTCAACCAACGATGGAAATTAGGTTTTGATTATAAACTCAAGCACCGGTAAAGAGTCCGACACTTGGTCCGGTGTTATTCTGGTCTGAAAATTTTCATTTGTGTGATATGTGCCCTAACCCCGAGGGTAACGCGCAAACGCTGTATTCATCTACGCATTTCATACAAAGTTATGAACCTACACGGGACTTTAAAAAAATCGTCTTGGTCTAATTAGCAGGGGCTTTATGTTCCGGAGTCACATCCACGCATGCCCCGGAATCTTTCAAGCTGTGGGGAAAGGTCAATTTTCGAACTTGATATCAGCCTTTCTTCTGCTGTCAGGAAAGCCTAACCTAGAAGGGAATATAAGAAGAGAGAATAAAAGAAAGCTAATGCCTTTTACTAGCCTACAAATAAATATGCCAAGTGTAGAAATCGCCTATCTATCAACTAGACGTACGGTTCTACTGCAACTTCCCAAGGTATCTACTGATTGTGTCGTCTAGATTAGATGAATCTCACGAATCTAGGTCATTAACATCAACCAATCCCATCTCTAGCAACATGTTGCCCAACAACATAAAATAATAATCAGCATATACCAGCCCATGATCCGACCACCGTCTGGGCGCAAACTCGTAGTTGTTGATCGTGGCACCGGTAAGAATTGTGTCAGGACAATTGCTCGCAGAACCGCCCTTAGCAAAGCCTCTTTGTGAGTTCTCAGACGTTACCGTTAGGATTCCAGGCTGCTGTTGTTGCTTGGATAAGTTCTCGGGATACGTCGGCACTGTTGATGCCGATGTATCGACATTGAATTGAGGGGTTGACGGGGTCATGTAATTCGTGACTACACCACTGACAATCCGCAATGCGGTATCGAGATATTGCTGTGCCGCAATCGATTCTTCTGTATCCTTAAGAGCCTTATACAGCAGCACTAGACCGCAGCAAGCCACCATCGCAGCCGAAGTATCTCTTGGGCTTCCCTCGTTCATCGGCGCATCAAAGTCCCAGTACGGTACGTTGTCCTCTGGTAGTTTGCTAATAAAAAAATCCGCGAGTTTGCGTGCCGTAGTAAGGAATGATGGATCTTGCGTCCAGCCATAGGTCTGCATGAACCCCAGTATGCCCCAACTCTGACCGCGAGCCCAGCAGCTCTCATCGTTGAATCCTTGATTTGTGAACTTGGATTTGGGGAAGCCTGTCTCGACTTCGAAATTGACAACATGATAGGTGGTATTATCAGGACGGATATGATGTTTCTGGCTCGTTTTGGCATGAGCAATTGCGATTTCTCTTAATGAGGTGTCTCCCGTGTGTTTAGCGGCCCAGAACAGAATGTCGAGGTTGAGCATATTGTCAATAATGACGAGGAATTCCTTGGATGGATCGTCGTATGAATACCGTTTAGTGTAGCACACATCCCAAGACCGGAGCGACTGCACGCGAGCGTCGAAACGGCTGGCAAGCGAGTGCGCTGCTAGAACCAAACTGCTGTATGCCTGTGAGTCCCGATGTAAGCTCCACGCCTTCATAGCCCAGGGGGCAATCATGAAACCCAAATCATGGGTATTCTTTATGGTTGCGTTCTGATGCAAATTAACCGTCCACCATTGACATAAATGCTGAAGCTGTAACGGATGTGGTTTGGCACCCGATTTTGCAGGCCATGAAAACCGCATTTGGCGTTCTAAGAGGAGGTAAAGTGATCCGGGGAAGAAGCCGGAGGTCCAAAAATCAAGCTTGCGGTAGATATACTGAAAGTACTCCTTGTCCGTGTATTCAGGGTACAAAGTCGGCGGCTCAACGCTGCCTAATGCTTTCTGAGCGACGTTCCAAAGTTTGGCAGCCACAGACTCGGAGAACAGGGCCTGCATCAAGGCTTGTGGCACAAGTTTTGTTTTGGACCTCCTCTGTCGTGTCTTGCTCTGTTGATGGGCATTGTCTTGATGCGCTGAGCCGTTGATGGTGGGCGATTTCACCAGAGTCTCTTCCAAAGGCCTCTTCGATGGGACGCCGATGCTGGGGGCCATTATTGTGCAAAAGAAAGGAAAAAAAAAAACAAAAGAATAATGAAGGAATAGACTATCGAGAGCATTCAAGAGCATCTCAGATTTGCATTTGTACTTTTGCAGCGTAGGCATACGGACTGCCCCTTGCGGATATCGGGACAACGGCCGGAGAGTCATCCGTCATGTCTCCGGAATCTTACTCACAGCTAAACGATCTTCAAAATAAACCACGATGAAAAAAATTGCGAATCCAACTACTTACCATATGTAGAATCTTCATTGATCATATCTGGAGGTGAAAATGGGGATATAGATCTTTACTCAATGACTTATCCCTCAGACAGCCTGTTGGATTCGTTCTTTCTGCTAGTAGTTCTCACAGGCGCTTGACTTTACGGATGTTTCTGTTATTTTATCGCCAACAGCCAAATTTGTACAACTATATACCAGGATTATGAGTTAACATGATGAAAAAAAGATATCATAGTCAAAATATCTGAATCCTGCCTTGGCGGAAGATTTTTCCCACATATTACCGCCAGCATATCCATTCAACATAACCGGTAATGCCTTGAAACTTAGCATTCTTATCTTCTAAAGCTTTTACCAGTAGGGCAAACATATGTCTGAAATACCGAGGTCATCATCCGAGTAAGTGTTTCCATCAAGCCCAGTACGTTTTCTACATTCTACGTTGTCTGGCGCTATCAATCCTTGGACGATTCAAGAAATTCCGAACATCCAGGGGCCCGATGCTCCGATAAGATCATTATCTATGATATTTTTCGCCATGATATCCCGAATCTTGGCGAAATGGGGCTATGTGAGGAACTAGGTGCTACGTTCCATACGATGGGACGTCAGGAATGGGTGGTAACATGTGCACCTGGTATGGATGTGCCGATTATACTATTCCAATCGGCCAGGTTTGGTACTACCGCAAAATGTGACGTATGAGGAAGTGAATATGCCTGTGACGGTATTGATGGTCATCAGGCGTGGCTGTGACAGGGTGTTCTTTAACTATTTGGAAGAGATGTATCAAGCTGGGGCTGTTGTCTGAGGTCAAGACTGGCGTAGATACGTTCTAGTCATTAATTCCTAGGTAGACTGATATTAAATGTTAAGATCTTAATATTAGCTATTTAAACGACATTTGTGAATAATAAGTTGTTGTATCAGCTAGAACTGCTTGTTGTCTGGGTTGAGGACATGCAAATGGGCATATTAGGGTTCGCTATGCTTCCAGGTTCCAACCAGAACTCGAAATTATGTAAACGACTCTGTTCTAAGATTGACATCATTCACTGACTCGTGAACAGATCTAGTGATTAAAAGACCAGATATGTGGAAAACTTTACCTGTTGAGCCTGACTATGAGCACTCTTATCAGGATAGCAGCAGTTCGAAAAATGTGGTGTAGAGCCTCCTACCTGATTAAGCAACAAATGCTTCAAACCCGCAACTGACCCCGATCATGTATCATTTTGATCATGTATCACTTTGAACTCAGAAGAAGACGTCGATAATTAAATATAGACCGCTCTTCACTCATGACATGGTCAACGAAACAAAAATGCGAATCATATGATAGGTGGATAGTCACCGCGGCAAGTCACGAGTTTGATATTGACATCAACAGACTCATAAACACAAGATGACGAGAAACAAAACTATGCGAGCTCAAATTTTATTATTGTGGTTATTTTTAATTTTCGTGCCGGTATCTTCTGGCATCAATTCATATTTAAGCAATATCCTAACGTTTTAAGCCTGAGTCACCACTTACTGTTCCGGCGTCAACTTACACTACTCACACTCTCGCAATGTGTACGATATACCCTCGAAAATGGTTATGTACATTGTCCCCCCAACCAGACCCCACCGGTCTCTAATCGGTCAACCCATCATCGGCGTGGGATCACTATCGTCTTACTCAACAGCCTATACAACCTCATCATCATCTTCACCTACCTCCGGCAGCAGCAGCAATAGCAGCAGCAGCAGGAGCCGAAGAACCAAGTCCTCGAATACCTACTACTCGTCACATAACGATCTCTCGCCGTCGAATGCCAGTTTCTCGAGATACCCACCATGTCCGCCTGCATATGAGAATAGGCGCCTTCGTCGCCGCGATGCGTTTGGGGTCGGGGAAGCGGCAGCATTGACGACAAGAATGACGCCTATATCAATGGCAGGATCATCGAGTCGCAGGAGAACTGAAATGCCTATTGAGCGGATACCGGCCGTTGTGCGAGAGGCGCGACGGTCAAGGTATGATAATTATTACCATATAGACGAGGACGTGGATGATTACTACGAGGGAAGATACCCGAGGGAACATGGGAGAGATCATAGATACAGCAGGAGGCATGGGGAGAATCGACTGAGATCTTTCAGTGAACATGCGAGGAGTTCGGGACGACAGGAGCTGATTGATTTAATGGGGTATGCTTATGATGACGATGATATTTCGTCGTGGACGAGATATTGCCGGACTTGTTGATGGGTATTGGAACAAGACACATGATGTCCAAGGCTGAGAAGCGACGACAATTCAGGAAGGGAGCACTTCCACGTCAGCAGAACGGAGTCAACTTCATCCCACATACTAGGATGAGGACAACTGGTGGATTTTCCCACAGATTGCACGCGACTATCCGCCTATAAGTGGAAACATGGCCCGGCTTCGAAACCACGGTGCATTCGTGTTCTAAGCATCGAAATGTGAGTGGATCATCACGAGCCTATTTCCCCTCTCTTCGAATCTCAACTTCTCACACATATGGACCCGCAAACCACTCCACATATTGAAAGGGAGCTTGAATCATTTTGGCCACTTTTGGGTCGCTGTAATCTATTGGTATCGTTTTCTTATGTATATTAGCACTATGATCCGAGTATAGAAACATACAGACCGTTTTATTCACCCATGACCACCTTGTTTACACGAGCTGTATAAACCTTAAAGATCAAGTTGACCAAGATCTGCTTTTGGATAGCAGTCCAAAGACGCTATTGGTAGTTGACACTGGGAGTACCTATGTATGTATCAGTGTTATACACACGCTACTGCGTGTAGTGAGAGCATTTGCATGACTGCAGCAACTCCCGAATTGAAGCAGAAACTTTTCTAGAATCAAAAGCGACAAGGATCCAGGATGATATATGATTAGCTCATGCAGCTCATCGACTATCCTGACGTACAGATACGGTCTGCAAAGACTAGTCAAACACGATGTCAGCCATCGACGCTTTTCGCGCTGTGATTGCTTGGACAAGTGCACATCGAATCCTTTGACCCCGCATCTAGGCCGTATGTCGTCGCTCGTGTCCCGTCTCCAAAAATCCCCACCACCTATCAATGCCAATGTCATGCATATTGATAAGTGTGTCGGGCATCGAGCGAGGCTGCAAGGACTCAGATCTCACTTCAGCTGACTGTTGTGCTGCACGGATCATTCGAGGATGCTTCTGTGCATGCGGCATGAGTAGTCCCAATCGAGATGCAAGTGGATTGAAATACTGGAATTTTCAGCTGTCAGATCTGTTAGTACTAGGCATGCGATGTGCACGATGTGTATCCATACGAGTACTAGGGCGAATTGACTGACTCGTGGCATTGTCTTGGTACCGAGCGTTTCAGATTCTGCACGCAAGACTTCTTTATGTCATACTACGTACATGCAAACATTTGTCGTATCAAGTAGATGCCAGATGCGCTGTATTGAGAGATTTATGCTTAATGGGTTTGGTCCGAGCGATTGCCGTAGACTATGCTTTGACCGCCACTACGGTGTATCCAAAGCTTCTCGAACAGAGCACCGATGAATTCGAAACAATGAATCATCGAGTCAGGCGAGCATCGAAATGCAAAGTCAGCAACAACAAAGACAACAAAAACAACAACGTGGTTGTTCTGGAGACTAGCTCTTTTGGTTGCTAGACCCCTGTTGTCGGCTACGTAGCTCGACAGATTGGCTTTCGGCTACATCTCCACAAGACAGTTTCATGGCGAAGCCGGCGTTAGAAAGCGTCGCAGTGCTGAACCATATGTGATGAAGTATATCCTTCGATTTCTCTATACAACAAATCGATAAGATGTACTCCATAGTATGTAGTTGGTGGGAGCTGGACGGTGAAGGATCAAACATGGACGGGCCGTCTCGTCTGGGCCAGGCTGGCGTCTCATATTGACACCCGCTAGACCTTTTACGGAAGGAAGGTCTCCATAGTGGGCCATGTGGTCAATAATTGTCAGACCAAAAATCGTGATTGGTCATTAATTATTGGACAGATATTTTTCATTGGTTGCTGCCCTTATCGAGACCCATCCGCTCCGTCCCGTGCTCCACTAGGCCTACTACGTACTGAGTAATAGTACAAGCCGAAGGCCCCCATTGTTCGTACTTTCAGGAACCGAGTTCTTTCCTTCTTCAGCACTCAGCGCTTCTAGTCGATAATACCCAGATTACTATCGTCAGGGAAGCCACGATCGCTTCCAAGTTGCTGTGGTGAGAACGTCCAGCAGGTTTATGCGGTTGAGTGTTGACTTTCTGGTCTTATTCTCTTCGTCCGTCCTACTGACCGTGTCACCAGTGGCATGTTTTTACTAGGTACTCGTAGTGGTCAGTGACGAAGCTTCATCATACGCACAGACACCCTGACCATCTATCGTCCGGCTAACTGAAAACAGGTTTGTAGTTCCCTCGGTTGGCGTGCTAGCAGATTAGAGCACTGTGGGCTCGGCAGAGTTGGAGCTGTTTCGTCTTGTCTACCCCTGCAGCACGAACTAGCCACTCGCAGCCCCTGGCCGGATAAAGCGATGGCACGACGACAGCGCATGGTCCAACCGTTGCAGATAGACTACTTGTGCACCGACAATTACACCGGATTCTGAGCATTCCGTGGGCCATTGATTCTGCATCAAACAGTGTCTGACGTGGAGTCGAGTTCTTTCGTTCTATCACTCGGCATGAAATGCCCTAATCTATTGCTTACATAGTGCAGCAATTACTAAGAGGAAGCTCAAAGCCATTCGTTTTCAATCCGCCATTATTCTGCTCATTCCCTAACACCTCCGATCGAATTTCTTTCACTCGACTTCGAAGGCGGACAACGAGATCGGATATGGCGAAACGTTCTTTTTAGATATGAAGTTCTTACAGCCCTTCTCCCTCATACGCTCGATGCGAACTCAGGCGGCACGATCAGCTACATCATAATTGATATTCTTCACTTCGATTCTTCATTTCGGCGAGTCATTCGTTTTCCGTCGAGCTTCCAACATTACGAACACGCATTACACTGCTCGCAGCTACATTTTTAATACTTTATGCCATCGAAACAACACCTTGCTATGATATAATTGCAAACGACATGGTGGCTTTTTAGTTCATAGCGACGCCTTCTTTCAGACATATTTTGAGCAAATTGATCCGGTTTTTTTGCTGAGGGGGCTACACTGCGGGAAGATGGATACTACACTACCAAAGTCTATTCAGAGTGGAGGAGAAACAGGGCCGGGGCCAAGGTTGCTAGTTACACCGGATCAACAAATAACTGCACTACCAATCCGCACTTTTCGCGAATCTCACCCATCGTTGAACGGTTCACAAGTCAGGACATATGGCAGAGTACTATCGCATCATCCGCAAGCTTCACTTTCTTCGCCTCCATTGCAGGACCCCTTTTCGCATCGACGTCGGGGCAGCACTTTGAAAGTCGTGATGAGGAAATTGTTTGGTATAAAGCGACATAGCAATTTGGACGGGGAAGAAGAAAATGAGAGCCCGTCCACGGTGAGGCATCAGCCTATGGCTACACCTACAGGACCAAACCGGATACTGTTTGAGACGACACATCAATCAGATTCCAGCAGTAGAGGATCTGTATCTAAGCGCAAACAATCTATTCCTACCAGCCACCTATCGTCTGCATCGTCGGATCATATTGTCATTGCTCAGGATAATAGAATTGAGATTCCAGCTCACACCGTCAGACGAAGGGCAACTCTACCAAGCCTCATACTCACCGAGGACGATGATACCAAGGGTTCAATCTACTCGAACCTTTCTCCCACGAGTACACGACCAGTGAGTGTGGTCATTGAGAGCCATGAAGACCGTGAACACCAGGAGGATCACGAGGACACCAAATCGCAGCCAAGCTTCAGAGCACATCGACGATCGAGAAGTGCAGATGCACTAAGAGACCTTGTGCGACATCATCGGATGTCCCCAATCCAATGGCGGCGACGCAGTGACGAGATCAAATTTTGGAGAACGAGTGTACTTGAAATGGATGAGGGCGACGAGCTTGGGGGAGTACAACCTACTGATAACGGCCAACTCAAACCAAGGATGGACTCATTGCCAGAATGTGAGAAAACAAAAAGCGCCAATGATGACAGCCTTCCGTTACAAGATGTCTCTACGTCAGCGCCATTCCAAATCGAGAGTTTGATCGCCAGCATGGCGGATCCCGATGCAACGGTTGAACAACGACTAACAACAATCGAAGTTAAACTCATGGATCTGGAATTTGCAATCTCAAAAATCCAAGGTACTGACAACAACGTCTTCTCCAAGCCTCCAGTGAGCTCCCCGGAACCCACGAAGGAGTCTTTGTCTCCAATTCCGGCCCCAAGATCCCCCAACGATGCATCATCAATCGTCAGCGAAGCCACAACCCAAAGCTCCGCATCGTTTGGTGGCGGCGAAGATCGCCCCATCAGCACCGCAACTCTACGACCCAACATGGTCTACTCCCAACAGCCACCACCCTGGCAAAACAATTCCTGGTCCTCCATGAACCTCCACGGAATCTCCATCGAGCAGTACAGTGCCCTCGTAACGCTCGTCCGTCGCGAACAAACCGCTCGAAAAGCGCTAGAGAATCAAGTAACGCAACTCCAAGAAGAGATGCAACAGTTCCGCCGCGCGTCGGGTCTACCGGCTTCGCCGCCGGGGACGTTATACCCTATTCCCAGCCCGGATTCAGATGATGGCAAGTTTCGACGACGGACTGGCTCTTCGCGGAAGGATTCGACTACCAGTGGTGATACGAGGATTTCCGATTCAAAAAGGCGAGACAGTATGAAGTATCGACTGACTAGAGAAAGGCATGACTCAAACATGATTTGAGATACCTACTCTTACCACCATTTTTCTTTTATTCTTTTGATTTTGTCGCGGCACCGATGGATGCCGTTCGATATGCGAGTTTCTTGATACCACTAGCCGTTTTTTGATGCAAAAGACTACTCCTTTCATTCTCCTTGTTTTGTTTTTTTTTTCGGGCTTTTGGGAAGTGCCCAAAAGTTTATTTTTCTCGTTACCCTTTTGAGATACGTTGATGCCGCTCTTGACATACTAACGGGTTAGTCTATACTAGAGTGGGCATGGAATGTGATGATGGCTGGCCAATGAGCTAGATGCCAGGCACAGTTTGGATGGACAGGATGTCGAGATGAAACAAACTTTTTGTGAATAATGAGCTGTTAGACATGGATAGTCCAATATAATCACATCTATCTCCAAGGCCACAAAACAATTTCGAGCTCTGTGTACGTATATCCATAAGATGACGAGATATTGATAGGTGAAGAGTAGTCTTAGGTCATGCATGAATAGCGTCTCGATACCACGTCCGCAGGTAAGTGCGTAATTGGGTATTGGTTAGGCATGGTAAAACAGCATACTACGTGCATTTTGTCGTAATCCTAGTTTCGAGGTTGGCTCATAGCATTAGCTTCCCTCCACAGAGGTTTGACCTTGGTAAATCTTTTCAGGCTAAGATTGGTACATCATTAAATCGAATAGTAAGAGTCGCTTTCGTCTTCCGGATGCTGTGTGTCTAAGCCCTAAGTCAATCTCGGCTTTGCCTAATTGAGAAATAGTCCATGTCTGAACCTAATTAAGCAGTCTGAGTTCTGGAACCCTAACCCAATAACCCAAAGAAATTATATTACCGAAAATGGAATCCATAAGTTCCCGATTTGGTCTCACTGCGCCTTGACTGGTCCCCCGTGTATGTATCGACTACAACAAGCATGGCTTGCCTTACTGCTCCCTACTAATGTCCCCAAAGGGAAGGCTTTTCGACACATCATCCCGAAACCACAATTTCATCACCCAGTCACTGAGCTCATCCCCGTCCATATTCAGCTCCTGAAGCCGTGGGTTCGACTTGTATCGATAAATCTGAGACGTTGAGTGCCTCAAGTGATGTAATATCCATCCGTCGATGAATTTGTAAATATTGAAATCTCTGGCTTGTGCCTGCTCGAAAAAGTTGAAAGGTTCATCTAGCTCAGAGCGCCATAACAGATCTCTATCCTGAGGAAGACCTTCTTTGATATCAATATCTAGTTCTGTTTCGACTCCCCATTGCAGATTTGTCGGAAGCGATAGACCTTCTTTTTCGCATTGTTCACGTATTGAAGCAGCAGTACTCATTCCTCGTGATATTATTTCCTCTAGCTCGAGACGTTGTGACTCGAAATTGTCAAGGAAATATCGAGAGCCTTCGTCAAGAGACATATTTACAAGAGCTAATGAAGCCTCTCGTCCGGTTACTTCGGCATGTTCGAGCAAGAGTTCGCCGAGCCTTTCTTGATACATCCGGACTTCTCCTATCTCAGAGAGATACTTTTCGACTAATGGATGTAATTCCATCGGAGCGTTTATCGTGCCCGCAGTATTCGAATCGTTTTCGCTCATTGCCCACATATCCTGAGTTCCTTGATCGACATCGCGACAAGGCAAAGTCATGTCCAACTCGGTAGCATGATCCTTCCTAGAAAAGCCTTGTAGCATTTCTGCTACATGTGCCTGTTTTTGTTGTAATGAATTCTCTTCTACCTCTAATTGACGTTGAAAATTTTGATACTCGTTTTCGCGAAGTAAGTAGTCATCGGATTGCTGGTTTATTGTTTCAAGGGAACGTGCTTGTAGTGTTACAGCGTCTGGCTTAGTCTTTTCTAATGACGCACTGCTTAGCGTTGACTTTATTCGTTGTAAAGTATCTGCCCATTGATATATTTGGGCAGTCCTTTTTTTGTCGAGATCAGAGCGCAGTTCGGCAAGTTGAACTCGCATACCAGAGACCTTTTGTTGGTCTCTGATCACTGTTTGAATAGCCTCTGAAATTCTCCGAGGCAGATCTGAATGCAGGAAGTCATTGTTTAGGAGACGTCCTCCCTGAGGCAATCGATCCTGGCGGTCACTGTTTCCCACTGTATTTTCCTTCGCCTTGAAGTTGTTCAAGCCATGTATAGCCCTTTGTCCAAATTGATCTAAGGAATTCCATCTAGTTGAGATTCCATTGTGAATATTGACACCAATTGCCGCTTGATGACTCCCTAATGATAGCGGCGATATTGGCTCAATCGGTATGAGGGGCTTCTCCGCGGCCGGTGGTTGGCTTATGTGCAGATCAGCCGGGCGAGGGGATGTAAGTCGCATACTGTCTGCTCTTCTCTTTGACATGGTATAGGATAATGAACGGTGCTTTGGGCAGTGTTCGTCCCTGGTCTGAAAGTCGAGCGGCATACTATGGCATCTTCGTAATGTATTCATCCTCGTTGTTTCAATATCAGATAGATATTGTCGCTCGTTTCTTCCTAGCTTAGTGTGCCAGAAAAGAATTAGAACATTTTAGCGATGGTGTGCATCAATGCTGCATGAGTTACTATTGATCCAACACGTGAAAAGAAGACGAGAAGGTCATAGCTTCCAACCTGATAAGGCAAGCAGCGGTTAAATTACAGAGAAAGTCAGCTGATCAGCATGGTGCATTTACCATGTTACGGTCACAATTCCAGTACGACGTACAGTACTTACGGGCATAATTCCAGCCCGAAACGAAATTTACGCCGTGGCTTCCTCAGGCGGCATTGGCGCACGCGGACAACTAGTACAACGCCCTTCCTAATTAGGAAGGCATTTCTCTCCCTTCTCCTCATTCCCATCTTGTTCCCCAACCCCGATTGTTCCGAGTCCTATCCACCCCCCTCCCCTCCCCTCCCCAGTCATGCACCCTATCACAAACTCCCCATGCAACGCTGCTGTCCGTCGTTTCGTCCAGAATGCGAGATGACACCATCTACCGCATATCTTGCAGCGTGTCATCGCTGCATATCTACTCGTCCAAGTTATTCCAGCAGATTTAGCGGCTTTCGTACAGCTCGGCGCCGCTTACCAAGAACCTCATTGGTAGATTCGTACTTTCACCGTGAGATATCAGGCATCAAGGCGGGTGAGCAAGTACGCAGCATATAAGATGGTGTCTTGGTATCCATCAATTGAGCCTCATTCCCGTTGTTCGGGATATATGAGCAAGGAAATGATGTATCACCAAGGATGGAGCTTCTTATCTGGTACATTTGTGGAGCGCGCAATTGCGTTGTTGATACGGGCCCAACTTTTGTACGCATCAAGAGTGGGTATATGCTTGTATATGTTATCAATATCGAAAGCACTTGGGCCTTGCTACCTGACCTCAAGCGGTAGCATTTATTACCTAGATACATAGGTGGCAATTGAATATGGCTCACCACGGCCACCAATATGGTAATTCACCCTCAACGTACCCAATCATAAGCCAATATTCTTGTGAACAAGAAACATAGACGTGACTGATATCTGACCATCGCGAGTCATAGGCTACCAATATTACCCTAATCAACAGCCTTACAGGCACGACTTTGAGCCCGAATACGGCAATCAGTGGGTAACTCTAATTTATAGGTCTATTGAAATGCAGCTGATTTGACTAGCAACAATGCTGGCCGTGAGCCACCTCCAAAGCCACCACCAAAGCCAGACGTTGACAGGGAGCCATGGGGTCACAGGTCCTCTAATGGTATGACTGAGACACATTTTGCTGGCATGGTGCCTCCGCAACAGTTGTCGCCAACGGCTGATTTCAATGAACGAATGTGGTATCAACAGAATAGCCAGCTACCCAACAACCACTATTTGACACCAGACTCGATTCCCCGAACCCACTCTGGTCGCAGACATAGGCACCGTCCCTCTCTTGAAAGGGGTAAGTAGCACTGAAAGCGTCGTAGATGGATTGGTGACTGAGTGTAGAACAGTGTGGACCAGGATGTCGAATGATTATTTCACGCCAGGCAGGGTGAGTAACTTCCATGCCTCTTGGTTGTTAACGTTTCGAGGCTAATTTTCAGATCTTTCTTATGCGCTGGGTTGAAAATGCCGGTCAAACAGAGGGGACAAGGAGTGGCAACAGTGAGATCATCACTGATGGGCACGGCAACAGATACTTTTGCACTCCGCGTCGCATGATTGTATTATCCACTATGCCGGGCAGTAACAGTTCGACCTGTGTGTAAGCAAGCCCGACTCTGAAATTTCATTCAGTGGATGGAGCGCTAATTAGTCAACCTTGGCTCATCCAGAGGTATATACACCTATGGTGGGCAAGGATTAGCGAAGCCTGGCATCCATGTCGAAAGCCATGCGGTTTTGTACGATGAAGCAGGAGAAGGGCCACGGATGACCTCCAGAGAGCCACAATTGGAACGAGATCCACTTGCTGTTACTCTTGATTCACCTACAGAGCGGCTGGATCATATGTCTCGTGCGAATTTCGGAGACTTACATACGATCCAGCACAATATCAAAATCTGCCACATCGGCAAGATTTCCGGTGCTTCCATGCCCACATTCTACGCCTATGTGAATGAGAGGCTCAATGCGCTTCGCTATCCGTAGGCGAGATCATATCGCACTCCTGTGGCCGGTCCGCAGACTTTCTCACGGACATCATCAACTCGATAGTCATGCATCGAGTATGCAGACTATTTTCTTCTTACATCATCTTCTGTCTCCTTTTCGTAAAGAAATTTGCATGCAACGATACGATATCCAACGCGCTTGATTAGTGATTAGTTTATGTTCTTTGATTTATGATTTTCGCGCAATTGCTCAGGACGCAATTATCCAACGGAACGACTTTGCAAGGCAAAGATTCAGGTATACGACAGAATGGCTGAAACAAGACGAACAATACGTTTTTTCGGTTTGCTTCTTGTTTGAACTTGTACTCAGATTGAATGTCCTTAGATATGAATCTCATGATGAACACTTTTCGATGACAAGAAGATGAAATGTTTTGATAAAGTAGACAAGTGGAGTCGGTGGGTCGTAGGCGGTAAAGCGGAAAATGTGGCGGGCCGGATAAGTTCTGTAAGCTTCAAAAATAATTTTCTTCTTATCGAGCAAAAACATCGGCAGCTACTACTGGTTGCAGCAAAAGCCTTGACACGATTTGATATAAATAAGCAAAGATGAAGCGCAAGCTAGATGCCAACGATGTCCCCTCGACAGATGCGACCGAAGGAGACAATGAATCGCAAACCACATTTGAAAATCTCGCTCTCGATCCGCGGTTACGCCAAGCGTTGGTGAAGGAAAACTTCTCGAAACCGACTCTCGTTCAGTCCAAGGCTATACCTTTGGCTCTTGAAGGGAAGGATATACTAGGTACTATATCATGGACAACTATTGGATTTGTGCGAGTTTGTGCTAATTGAATGTGATCAGCGAGGGCGAAGACGGGGTCGGGAAAGACTGCAGCATACGTGCTTCCTGTGTTGCAATCGATCTTGCAGAGGAAATCGGTACGTTATAATCTAAATTCATGGAGCGAAGAATTGAAACTGACTGTTTCCGTTGACAGAACGACCCTTCCTTGAAAGCAACCTCTGCTCTCATCCTAGTCCCCACCAGGGAACTCTCCGAGCAAGTCCAACGAGTCATCACATCCTTCTCCTCATTCTGCGGAAAAGATATTCGATCCGTCAATTTGACCCAGAAAGTGTCCGACTCGGTTCAACGTGCCATGCTCGCTGATATCCCCGACATTGTCATCTCCACCCCGGCACGAGTCGTCTCCAACGTGAACAATTCCGCTTTATCTCTGCACCACCTCACTCAATTAGTGATTGATGAGGCTGATTTGGTGCTTTCATATGGTTACGAAGATGATATCAACGCTTTGGCCAAAGCTGTTCCTCGAGGAGTCCAGACATTCTTGATGAGCGCAACTCTTACATCTGAAGTCGACACGTTGAAAGGCTTATTCTGTCGAAACCCAGTGATTCTCAAATTGACCGAAGCCGAGGATGAAGGCGGCGGTATTAGTCAATTCGCTGTCCGTTGCGCTGAAGACGAGAAGTTTCTCCTCACATACGTTATCTTCAAACTACAGCTCGTGAAGGGTAAATGCATAATCTTTGTTGGAGACATTGATCGTTGCTACCGTCTCAAACTGTTTTTGGAACAGTTTGGTATCAAGAGCTGTGTTCTCAATTCGGAACTTCCGGCCAATTCGCGTATTCATGTTGTTCAGGAATTCAACAAGGGTGTATACGATATCATCATTGCCGCCGATGACCAAGAAGTCCTCGGCACGAAAAAGATCAAAAAGACAGCTGCAATCACAGATGCTGACAACAACGAGAATGGCGAGGACGCCGAAGCTGAACTCGAAGAGTCCAGTGACGATGAGGTCCCAGCCGAAAACACGCAGACCAAAAGTAACAAGAAGCAAAAGCTCTCCGGCAAACAAAAAGATTACGGTATCTCGCGCGGCATCGACTTTCAGAACGTCGCCTGCGTCCTAAACTTCGATCTCCCCACAACCTCCAAATCCTACACTCACCGTATCGGCCGTACGGGCCGCGCCGGCAAGACAGGTATGGCACTCTCCTTTGTCGTCCCCAAGGACGAATTCGGCAAACACAAACCCACCAGCTACCCAACAGCCAAACACGACGAAGCCGTGCTCGCCAAGATCACCAAACGCCAGGCCAAACTCGGCCATGAAGTCAAACCCTACCACTTTGAAATGAAACAAGTTGAATCCTTCCGCTACCGTATGACCGACGCTCTACGCGCCGTCACGCGACTTGCAATCCAAGAAGCGCGTGTCCGCGAAATCAGGCAGGAACTTATCAAATCCGAGAAACTGCGTCGCCATTTCGAAGAGAATCCCGACGAACTGCGCCATTTGCGACACGACGGCGAAATCCGCGCAGTGCGGATACAGCCTCATCTCAAGCACGTTCCGGATTATCTGATGCCGTCAAAGGGCAAAAAGGGCCTTATGGCTGAGGATTCGCAGCGACGCGTGGGAATTGGGAAGACGAGTGAGAATCGTATCCGGAAGGCGAGGGAGAGGAACAAAGCCAAAGGAAGAAAGGCGGGCGGTGGGAAGAAGTCTGATCCGCTCAAGACGTTCAATGCGAAGGGGAGGAAGAAGTAGATTAGACCATGATGCGGGTTAGGTATAAAAGTATTTGGAAGGTTAATTGTATATAGGAAATGGAACCGGTGTTCATGCATTCATTCACAGTCGCTCTTAATTTATAGTCTAAAAGTACAGTGGTTTGTCATGAGTCTATCTTGGCCAATACCTTCTCTAGGACAATTTGTTCCTCAACTCCCTCCCCACCAAAAGAGAAATGTATCCATTTCCCACCGCCTTCGCGACGTACACGATGAATATGTTTCTCAACCCGACGAGCCTTGCGTAGAGTTTCCTCATATGCTTTCCGCTCATTGACTCGACGCTGCTGTTCGCGCGCAATCGCGGCCTCCCGCAGGTCTTGCTCCGTAAGAACAGAGGTTAGATCATCGTCTGGGTTTCTCGCTTGTCCAGGTTGCCGCTGAGATGCCGGTGAATGTCTGGATGCCGCAAGTGGAATGAACGAAGGACCCAAATCATCCATATCCACCTTCTGCGATGGAATCCAGCCAGGACCAAGTCCAATCCACTCTACGTCTCGCCATGATCCATTCCATGCTGACGACAGGGTCTGGAATGGTTCATCGTCGTGCAAAGTACGCCCGTCCCAGCTAAGAGCTTCGAACCATTCGCCACATCCTTCCAAATCCAGCCATTTGAGACAATATGTCGCACGAGATAGCCTTCGTAAGATATTGACAGCTTCGACCCAATTATTTTCATCGGCGCTGTATGTATCCGTTCCACCGGCGGCGAATGACACGGATCTCATGGTTGGATGTGTAATTCTCTCATTTATGAGATTTGGGGTAAGTGTCGGAACTGGCCAGTGAGCCAAAGATAGGTGTGTGAGCGTAGACATGTGTGAGAGTAGATTAAGAAGCGAGCCCCAGCTGACTGCTGTGCGCCTGGGATGAGCAAATGACAGGTATCTCAAATTCGGGAACCGGAGAACTTCGGTCGGTGACTTGAATAGAGGTGACTGCGGTGATGAAAGCGAATGCGCTTCAAGTTCATCGTCATCTATCGAACCCTCACTGTCGTCCCATGAGGCGGGAACGATCGTCTCGCTCTTTGTAACCGGATCATTTGTTTCTTTGCGGGTGAGTAGTAGCTGCTTGCTCAAGGCCTTCATGCTAATCCAGTTCCCGATAGCGCCACTCAGATCCAAGCGAGTAACATACCCGACTTCGGCTGCAGATGCTTCTGGCGATGCGAAAAGGAAATCGAGGGTGTGTGTCGGAGACACACTGTCAAATCTTGAGGCATGGGTAGCAATGTAACTCAATATGAGGAGCTTGAGGCGACTCGGGACTTCCATAAGGAATTCATTATCATACTCCAGATGCCACGCCCAGTTGATCGCCATTGACTTCATCACGGCATGTTGCAAGCTATCCTTCGGCGGAAACTGCACCCCCGGTAATCGTTCAAGTCGGTAAAGTACTAGATCGTGGCCTAGCGAGACACCCTGATTCCGATCCGCGCTCTCATGCGATGGTGCCTGAGTTTGCAGCCAACTGGATGGTGGCGGAGGGCCGGGAGTTCTTCGAAAGAACCGCCCGCCCACCGGACGCACATTTGATCGCGGTCGTGGTGGCGGCGTCTCTGGAACATCAAGTATATTCCGGAGCGACGGATGAAGGCTCCGCTGCGTCACTGTTCGAGAGGTATTCGAAGGTCCATCGTTGGGCGAAGTGACCTGGGTTCGACGAAGATGTTGAATGAGGTCATTTACCGACTGGTTGTCAGCGGTTGACCGTGAGGCGCCGCCATACTGTCGCTTGGTGGTTGAAGATTCTAACGAGGGATGAACAGTACTAGCAGGTTTGATAGAGGGGTACTTGTTGTGCTTTTTGGGCATGAAGGACAACAAGCCGTAGGATGGACTGTATGGGTAGAAGGAAGGAAGATAATTCTTGCCATTGGAAAAAGAAGTAAGTAACCGCGCAGCCTCAACGCTAGCTATACAATATCGCCGCCACCTTCCATATTGGGTTACTTCGTGATACGACTTGATTTTACAGTATCCATAAGAAATTGAATTATTTATAGGCCTCGTCTAGCTGTGACCAAAGGCATGATCTATATTATACAGTTCTCCCTCAAGTGTCCCGCACCCAAGAATCATCAAGCATTTTACCCTCCCTCTTCGGACCTTCTTGCGCCCAAGTTTGCGCGAGACTCGCCTTGGGATCCTCATCTGAAAGACCTCTCGACCGCCTCAACTCAACCACAAGCTGGCGAACTCTGCTGGTGCACTCTTTTCGTAGCTCCACAGCTTCTTCTCCGAACATTAACTCCTCATTCAAGACACCAAGTGGTAACTGTGCTACTGATGCGTTCCGTTTCGCCGCTTTTTCTTTTAGTTTTTGCCATCGTTGTCGCAAGTCTCCGAACACAGCTTCTGTGTCGGCCTTATCACCAAATGTAATGCTAATACGCTTGAAAAGTCGAGGCAAGAAGCGTGGAAACGCACGATCTTCATGCATGACTTCGTCTGTGCCTTCTATCCATATCGGTACCACATCGGGACATTCAGACGACTCCAGGATAAGTCGCGATACTCCCCATTTGAAGTAACGCATGACTTTCTTCGGAGACTGGTGTATCATTCCTTCCGGGAAGATATGGATCCATGAGTACGAATTGCACGCATATGATGAGGGAGCTATAATCGAATCCTCGCCGGTGGTCGTGTACGCAGTGGGAAGATCGGAGAACGGATCGACGCAAACATTTTGCAGACTCCAGCGTTGGCGCTCGATATTTGCAAAATGAGGATCGGCGGGGAATGGTCCTTTCGAAAGAAGCCGGATTCCCTGGGTCATTGTTGGTTGAAACAAACCGCCGTAGGGTGAGTAGGCAAGACGGTGCGTTGGCAGAACCTGTCCTAGTGTGAAGAAGGCTGCTCCGGCACTTCCAACCAGTCAGCCACATCGTTGCCAACCCAGTTGTAAGTCGTGTCCTTACCGAGTAGCCCAGCAAATGTCATGACTTCCAAATCCCCATCGTCGGTTATAGGAAGGAAGGTTGAAGTGGTATTTGAAAGGCAAAGCTCCCCACATCAAAGGGTCATCCATACTGGTTTCAATATCAGCGACATGTTGCAGTTGTCGATTATAGTGTTGTTTGACGTACGTACACGCTAATATGATTCGATACTATTCGCAAATCAAGCAATTAGTCTTGACATCATTGCAAAAACAGTCGAGAAACCAACCTGTAATTAACCCTCTCATTCTTTTTGAAGGATCTCGGCGGGCGTCTAGTAATTCCGTAAACTTCTCCAGACCATTGACCTCCAATTTACTCAATCCCAGCAAAAAGCCCCGGCATAGGGCGCCAATTTCGAACATAGTCAGTGACGAGCAGGCCCGCCACCAGGCAGAAGGCCGGTCGGTTGTTGCTCCTAAAGACATGATGGTATAGCTGGTTGGCGCCCAGTTCACGCACGAATGGGCTAGATCCCCAGTTCAAGAACAGTTCAGAGCATTGAAATACAACAAATATAATAAGACAAACTCGAAGAGAAAGAGAAGAGAAAGGAGCGACTGCGACTGAATCAGAGGAAGAAAACAATTGTTGACCTGACTTGCGGGATCTTCAAACTGGCCACTGACGATTGGAGCCCGTGACTCGTGGATGCGCGCACGGGCCACTATTCGTCCTCCGCGGCTTCTCTGACTTCGCTGCAAGTTCCGACACTTCACGATCCTCTCAGAGCTGTTGACTGTGCAGCTTCCACCGCCATTTACAATGTTTAAAGTCACTTCCCCTCTTTTAGGAGGTCTGCTATGGTAATTCTTCCTTCCTGCCTCAAGACTGCATCCCAGAACCATCCCAGGAGAAAGCATAGCTAACAAAAACTTTTTCTACGTCTACAGGAAAATCCCATGGCGCCTCTCCAGTCGCCAAAAATTCCGTCAACGCAAACGTCTCCGCGCAGTCGATAACGTCGTTGACACAGTCGCTGCAGCCCTCGAACGCAATGGACTTCCGCAAGTGAAAGCAGTGGAGCGATGGTACGCCGAGATGCCACGGGAGGAGGAAATGTTGCCCAAGGATAAATACTCGATATACGACCGGAAGGAGAAGACGTACCGCAAGGGTATTCACAGTAAGTTTTTACCATCAGAAAATGTTGCTGAAAAGAAACAATTGTGGGAGAGCATGGTGTCTAATATATGTTTGTTGCAGAACTGCCCAAGTGGACGAGGGTCAGTCAACGTGTCAACCCTCCTGGTTTCTAAGCTGCGACCACATCGGAATTATTTCAGATTATGCATATCAATCGCATACCACACCGATTGTCTCCCAAACTTATGGCAAGGACGATCTAATACCCAGGTGGTTTGGACGGTACGCCGGACCTCGATTGCCATTGTACTCAAACATCCTACTGTATATTACTGGCTTTGATGAACATCACCATCAAGCTGCATCTATGTCACTTTTAAGCATTTTCTAGTTGGAATCGTCTTGGGCGTTGAATGTGATATTAAGGGACAGGTTAGCAAAAAGGAAATCTATGCAAGGTTGCTTTCTTGCCGACAACTTTATTCATCGTCTAATCAGCACTTACTATCATCCAAGTAGACAAAATAATATCTTGCGGTATTCCATGCACGAATAATAATACGAGGCAATCCTTCATTTGGGCTCGCAGGGAAAAGAAACATAATCATGAACAAACGACCTCGGCATGGTTGCGCAAAAACTCTCTCTGAGCCTCTTGTGAACTTGCAAAAACATCCATTCGTTTCTTCCATGCGTCAGCGGGGTCATCATTGAGTTTACCAACCACCTGCCATTCCTCGAGTTTCGCCCATTCACCAATACCACCATACCAATACGCCGTTTTCTGCCTGCTTGGCATTTCGAATCCTTGCGGTGGTCGTCGAAGCATCCAGTTTGCTGGGTCAATGACTGCGTCGGGAGTATCTTCTGTCGAACTTGTGAATATCTCAGCTGAACGCACTCTTGCCATACCGTGTTGTCCGCGTGCTTTATTGATAGCAGCTCTCCAAGTCTCAATTGATTCGGCGCGCAATCTCTTTCGGTGTACTATGGCCAACCCTTTCTGACGATCAATTTCCTCAAGATAGCCTGCCCCAAAATCACATTGTGCGTACCGTCGCATGTATTCAACTGACGCACCGCAGGGATTGGTGTAAACGAGCCATTTCCCATTGTTGGCCCAGTTTTTTGGTAGTATGGGAAACTTGAAGCCACGTTGGCCAGGCCGACACTCATTATCTACCCACTCAAGGTGTCTATACAGTGTGTCTACAAAGCGCCATTCGACATCTTCGATCTTGGACTCTTTTTCTGCGCGAGCTTCGGAAACCGCGACTTGGTCAAGGTCAATCTGTTTGGAGTTCGGCAGCAAGTTGCCTGGGGGATTCGACGGATTAGAGTGGACGGGTTGCACCTTTCTGGGGATGTCGTTCTCATCAATAACGATTTCAGAAAATGACGCTATTCGAGGGAACGATATTTTTCCTAGGTCTATCTGCTGACTGGAGTCGCTGTTGCTGTGCATTATAATCAACGGACTTCCTGGTCGTCCCAAGGTTCCCGATTGATGTGGGAGAATTGATTGCAGACTGCCCAATTCTAATCGTGTCGCCCATATTCGGAGATGGTTCAATTGCCGAGTCTTGCGGACCATAGAACGAGTGAGAGAATCTCCCTTTGATACCTGATATCTAAAGGAAGTATGTTCTCTGAATCCTCTCTGCAGAACGCTAGCGACTCTTGGGATAGGGAAACCAGAATTATGATCGACACTTAGTACCTGATTGTTAGGTTTCAAGCAAAGGGGGTATGTGAGGTATGCGGATGAAGGCCGATGTGATAAATGATAGGTGTTGACGGCACTGGGAGCTCGCGGCATTTCTTGTTGCGTAGTGACACGATTGACAACAATCCGACCTGACTTCCGATTTACTAACGAAGTTCGCCTCAACCGTGATCGCAATGAACCAGGTCTACTTCTGCGACGGATCTGATCTCCTCCGTGATCCGAATCCCACCATAGCTTGCTGTAGTCATCCTTATCATCCCACGAAAACCAGTCCTTGAAGTTCGAATATAGACCCATCCACTTCAGCTTCTTGGTGTCGTATCGATCTTGTGGAACCCAGCCATACCATGTTTTGATATATCGCGTTTCGACCGGCTTTCGTTCTCTGAGGATTCTTCCCAATGTAAACTGGCGAAACAACGATCCAAGCTTCCAGATCAGAAATCCGAAACTGAACGCGGCGGATGTGCCAAGTAGGATGTATACGAGAACTCGGAAACGACCCAATTGATGGATCGCTGCAGAAGCTGCCGACTTGACTGAAGCAGGAGGGGGAGGAGATCTAAACCGCGGTTCTGGAAAGGGCAACGGCGCCATATTCCAATGCACGATTCTAGAATTTCGCCATAATGATACAGAGGATAATTGTCGAAAGTGAATAGAGACAGAATTATGAATATTTCTGTCGTTCGCACTGTTCAACACAGTGGTTCGAGGAAGGCAGGAACGTGACGTTCAGGAAGGAGCTAACGTATCTGTTTGACGACATATGTTTCCTCCTCACCTTGGATTACTCCAAAGGATATGAAAACAAACAAATCGACAGTGTAGGTGAGAGTCCAAGCATGATATCATAGTCTCCATACTTCCTGGCCAGACGGAACGACATCTATGTCGTATAGGCTAGGACTCAAAGCCTTTGCTAGCCAAAAGGATGCCGAACAAACCATCATAAAGATCTTCGTTTACAAATTTCTCAGATGAAGAACAAAACTTTCAAAGGCCTTGATCTAGTTCTATTGTTATTCCTAAATAACTCAATACAAGGCTTTGTTATTATCTGATATCTGCTGTAAACTATTCATTCTTTTGGCCAGATGAACTGGAATAACACTTACGAGTATATGACGCGTATTGTGCTAAATCACTGTCCATAATATGGCATATCATAGCTAAATAGGCGACAAAATGGATTAAAAGCGGAAATATGAATATTTTTAACACCCAACAATACGTCCACCACCAATCTCATATGCACATAGGCTCGTTCGTAGGCTTAATATATATTCGTGCCCTAGATTTGTATGTGAGCACTAAATTCAGCACCAGAATGAGGCCTCGTACGTGAGCGTGTGTCAACTGGATTAGGGGTTGGGGAAATTCGCGCATTTAATTAAACCTTACAAGCCTTCTATAAGACTGCCACAAGATTAATGACTTATAATATAGCTAACTCTCGTTATATATCCATGCTATGACAAAGGGGTGTTATCTTTCTTGGTTACAGTGAGGTGTTGATGGTTTATATTATGACAGTAGGCTTATAGAACACATTTCTCAATCACTGGGTAATTACCAGGCAGGAACCCATCGCCACGCTCTTATAACAAACCACTATTTGCCGCTATTTGTATGATCTATATTCTGGTGTCGCTTGTCTCTTAAAAATTTCACTGATCGTTCGGTTCACCGAGGAAATAAGACTGTTGATTTTTCCGGCTCATTCCGTAGTGTATATACTTATGTAAAGGCAAATTGGTAAGTTTCGGGGTTTAGCAATACAGGTGCAAGAATACCCGCAGCTGCACTCGACCTTGCTCCAGCAGGAAGCATATCATAGAAGACATCAGCAGCAATAGCCTGTAAAGCGGGCATGTTGCCAATCAGGCCATGTGCAAGTTGCAGGTGGTTGCCGTAAAACGCCTCGTGTGAGGTAAGCCTCTGTCAAGTAGTAAGCGTGAATTCCCTTCACAACAGATGTCCTTTGGATTTACTTGAGCCTTTGCATGTAATTTTTGGCTACCCATTGAGGATTCGGTTGACTGAGGGACATTTGTCTCTGCTGTGACTGTTTCGAACGCAAGCTTCTCAAGTTGGATGCACAGATGCAGCATGGGCTCAACGTGAAGCACTCCACATTTTTCGACATTGACCAGAAGCTTCACAAAATCACTAATGTGTCTTAAGTGAGATCGTGCTCGCACATCAGTGGGGTGCTTAAGCACAATTCCTACTAGCGCAATAAATGCAGACAGAGGATGGAACAGAGTCTGCCTGCAAACCATTATATTTAGTATTAATCGATACCCATGAATTACGTACATACCAGAGATCTCCAGGTGCTTGGAGTGGTAGTAACTGCAGAAGTTGTATTGATTCGTGAGCCATAGTCGCATGAATGGAGTCTGAAGAAATGGATTGTGAAAGGAACTTGACGTCGTTAACAGGCATGAGGTGCATTGCGAAACTGTGAACTGCACTCATAGCGCGATAGTAGACAAAATGTAACGAAAGGATAGGTTCCCTAAGCGGACGTACAGTCGACCAATTGATGTGGCCTGGCTGTATATTTGAAGGCACTTGTCCTTTCCAGTCCCCAAGCCGGTAATCCAGCTCCGCGACTGCTTGTAAACACCTTTCTGCACCGCACGTAGTGGTCTTTTCGGAATACAACTGGTTCTGAATGGCTGATTCAATCACAGCTAGCTGGGCTCGCAGTCGAAAGACAGTAGCTTCCACACGTATTTCTGAGACAACAATCTTTCCGGGACAACCGAGGCAATCAGAACTTGTATATCCAAGACTAATATCATCGTCGTTATAAGCGGAAGGCATTCCAGTTTTGATGGAGATATCTTTGTCGAGTATATATGCAATCCAGAACGCACGCTTGTGTCGCTCGGCTGTGATAGGCTCCATACCCACGTAGAAAGAGCTTTTATGAAAACCAAGAGTTGTGGACAGCCTCGCAGCGTCAGATATTAAAAGTGAGGTTGTGCGCGCGTCACTTGAACCTTGCATGAACAGCGCCATTGAAAGAAGCGCCTCCAGGGCCAGAATATCTGTACCGCGAGAAACAATTGCTGGGAATACGCTGAACGAATTTTTGAAGAAATGCCATGATAGATCTGTCATGTCACTATATGAATCCTCTGCTGCCCTGGACTGGATTGCAATTGCTATGGCAGAGTTCAATAGAGCCCAGCGTGCAGGGATTTTGTGAATTGAGGAGCTATCACTTGCGTATTGCTCATCTAGGAGCGGTATCAGAATAGAAGGGTCGAATAATGGCCACTGGCAGTTGATATTGTTAAAGGATAGCTCGAACAGTGATTCAAGGTGGGCCTTTGGAGGGAGATCCGTGAATATAGAACTTATGAACGGGCCACGGCGAATCTGGTCACGGAGCCGTCTCGCTGTGTTTTCGCCTGGGAGCGATGCAAAGAACTTCTCTCGAACGGCTGATATCTCACTGTTTGTTCCAATCGAGGATTTCAGCGTGGGTAAATCCGATCCCGAGATACTTTTTTCATAGGCCTGCCCAACATTCCAACTAGTCAAGCATTCCTCAGTATGCGGCGGAGGTGTACTAGATCGCCCGTATGTATTCACTAATGGTCTTACATCGCCAAATCCAAATTCTGAGGTCGAGCCGAGTGTCTTTGTGGCAATCTCATCTGAGCGGTGATCCGAAGCATAAGATGGTCCGGAGCTACCTTGATCTTGTATGAGCCCGGAGCGAAAAAGGGAATTTTCCAGACTCGCAATCTTCCTCTCTAGGTTTTGGACAGATGCATTCCTGTTTAGAAGATTTAGACCAATCTAGAGCATTCACATTATCATGTTAACTCACACTTTACCCCTACCCCGCTTCCTTGCTTGCAAATATATACAAGACAGCCCCTGCTTCCGACAAGCAGAACAACTTGGCAGATTCCCATCGCATCGCCTCTTTCTCGTCTTGCACGGTTGGCACGCCTAGATGCTTCAGATGATGGACTTGGGACCAGTTGGAAACTTACGTTTTCAATTCTCTTCTTGATATGGCTCTTCGACCCCAGGTGACCTTCGCTAGCAGATGTAAGCTCCATCCAATCAAGTTGGCAGGGTAGAGAAATGTTTGCTAGTAGCCGGTGTTATTTCGACCTTGAGAGCAGACTCCTGAGTACGATACGTACCTCAGGTCTGAAATTCAGCTTAGCGTTCAGGCTTCTGTTGCACTACGAGGGATGCCGAGAGTCATATAGTAAGGGTAAGTGAATGTGCCAAGCGTGCTCGTCAGCTTACTATGGTAATGAGGAGTGTGTAATTTTTGCGTTTCTAGGATCAATTGAAATGATACAAGTGTGGAAATTAGAATAACTAATCTTACTCTTCTCTTAATCTAGGCTGACTTTGAAGGGTGATTCTCCGAATTGGTGGTATTTTGGCGTATGGTAATATTATAAATCAATATCCGAATGCAAAGCTTTCCGAACCGCTCATTTGCCGGGCCGCTTACCAATTGCTGCTGACCATTAACTTACTTTGCGGATGCATTTTGCATCCGCAATAAAATGGAAAGTCAACGTAGGCCAGATACGGAATTCTTATATATTATGTAAGGCAGCCTATGCCAGATATTTCTTTCCAAGATAGATTATTATACAGAATAAAACATTCGGATTCTCGATTCGCATTGAGCCAAGATTCTATATTTCTGGTCAATTGGGAGCACGACTGACAGTCATGGATCGCAAGAAAGTCCTAGTCCTCGGCGCTACTGGGCCTACTGGGATTTGTGTGTTAAGAGAGCTTCTCTCTCGAAATGTTCCAGCATTGGCTTTTTGTCGAAATCCCAGCAAAATTCCAAAAGACCTGTCTGATAACGCACTGCTCGAGGTATGTCATGGGAGCCCAACTGCCAGAATCGTCTAACTTCTTATTGTGCAGATTACGAAGGGGGATATGACCAACAGCGAGGAATTGTCTAAAGCAATTTCTAAATCTCGCGCCATAATATCTTTACTCGGACCTAGTGCCGAGCGCCTACCACGGGATACTTTCGCCGATATCTATCGAATAATCGTCCCTTTGATGAAGCAACATGGCGTACACCGCCTGGTAGCTCTCGGAACAACCGCAATCTATCGCCGCGATGACAAGAAATCTATCACGCGTGCCCTTATGGCTGGCCTCATTCGGGKGATCGTAAACAGCGCGTACCAAAATGTGATGGCTATCCAAGAATACTTCGAGTCGGTCAATGATCCGTCGATCGAGTGGACAGTATATCGCCTAGGGTGGCTCTCTGGTACGAGTGAGCCAGCTGCGTGGTCTGAGGACCGGACCAAAGGGGAGGCTTATGCAGGACCTGTCGCAGGACCAGGTTTCACATCTGGAGTCAACAGAAGTATTTTGGCCAAGTGGCTGGTCGATACGTCTTTGGACCCAAACGCCAAATGGGCGCACCAAATGCCGGCTGTTAGTAACCTGCACAATTAGGTGACCACCAAACATTGGGGCAGGGGGTTTTTGCTTTATTTTGTGCTGTATACCAGGAAGTGGATATGTGTGTAATCTCAGACAAAACTCCAGTTATATTCAACTTTAACGGAGATGAATTGGACAAATTCTTTCGCTAGCTTCAACTTAGGTCCTAGCATTAGGCTGTACAATGGCATCCTACTTTCGTACTTGTAACACCTCAGCTTTTTCTGCGGGCGGTGTTGATACGACTTGATTCTGTTTATGAAGTCGCTCTTTGAAGTGATCTCCTCGATCTTCGTATATTTCTGCGTATAATTCATACAGAACCACCATATTTCTGGGTTAAATGAAAATTACGGTATCATATCTTGTAAGCTACCAAAAGCGGACTGAAGTGTTTGATTGTGTTTGATGATTGAATCAAGTTACATCATGGTGTTTCGACTGCGCATTTGCCAACAGCAATGATAATAAAACCTCTTGGAGGTTACGTGTTATTACTTGACTGGTAGTCTGAAAAATGAAGGGTCACCTGTGGCGAACCAACATTGAACACGAATCTCTACCCAAATTTCTTGCAAGAAGAGCATTTAAAATTTCAGTATCCAAGATTGGGAATCTATTTGAAGTCGATAGTACGGTATGTATCTGAACGCAGAAAGCCAACAATTCCGCCAAGTGGAGAGTCCGAAGAGTCCTAAATGGCATAGGTCTATATACGAGTAATAAGAGCAATTAGCTTTCTAAAGTGACTTCATAATACACAAATACAGGTTCTTTGGAAGGAATCAAACCTTCTCAATCTACATTTCACTACCGCTGTGATGTGTTAGATGATTCGGTTTTATCTAAAGGAAACGATGGCCTAAAATCGAAATTTGGTCAAGTAATATCATGTATGCGGTACATCAGATTGCCATGATCACATCCGTGCTAATTAGACGGGATATAATGTGACAGCTTGGTAGTCGTTGAGGTATTTGACATTCAGATATATAGACGTTCTATTCCTCAAAAAGGTCTGGTAACGTATTCTCGTCACAGTTAATAGAGAAATCGTTTCTAGCTTTTGCAAACACATCTAGGAAGGCCGGAACATCTTGTGCACCTCGCACAATATGTCGCCCCTGAATGATGAATACAGGGACACCAAAGATACCCTGACGCTGTGCCTCAGCGAACTCTCGGTCTACATCCGTCCTAGCAATGTCGGATTTCAACCAAGCGTCCACGTCTCCCGCATTCAGCCCTGCATCTACAGCAATCTTTCGCAGGGTAGCAGGAGAACTAATGTCCTGTGCCAGCTCGTGGTGCCAGTGAAAAAGCCCTTCTACCAATGCATTGGAAATATCTGGATTCGAGAGTTTCGTTTGAGCCAGATATACCAATCTGTGTGCATCTGTGGTGCTTCCAGTCATTCCACCAACTTTGAACTTAATCCCACTAGCCTTTCCCAGTTGCTCCATATGCTTTACTACTGAAGTAATGTCTTGCATGCCAATTTTCTGCCTGATGAGGTTCGTTGTGGTGGTCTCGCTAGGTGCAGCGTCTGGATGAAGATAGTACGCTCGCCATGTGATAGAGAAAGGGTCAGAACTTTCGCCATGTGTCTTTTTCCACAGATCAATGGCTTGCTCTAATTTTCTTTTGCCGACGAAACAGAACTGTAATACTGTTAATAAGCACCTTCGGAATGACTGCTCAGCCAAAGGAAGTGAATGAATTCTACCCACTGGACAGGAGAAGTCTGAAATGATATGAATTGTAATGACAGCCATGAATATAGCAAGGAAGGTGAGGGATGTGGTGTTTGGCTAAGTTTCTCTGGGCTGCATGATTGAGAATTTTTGAGTGTGATTGAGAAAGGCGGTATTCAATAATTATGACCTATTAACGAAGCTATCTAGGGGCATATTTGTCATCTGGCACTGCTTGGTAATCACTGAAAGAGAATCATGAATAGTGGTGACAATGAACGGATTCTATTGCTTCCGCAGCCTCTGCTAACAATGTAACCATAACTCAACTGCTCAAATTGCTGATATAATCTTCGGAATCTGTTGTTCAGGGTGAGCTAAGTTGGCATCTACTTGCATCCGAAGTAATTGTAACTTCGGCCAGGGGGAACTCGAGTTTCCGCAGTTTGCTATAGGATACCATGATTGGCTTGCCAACTGACGCGCACAATATCTAATTATCCTTTAGTATTTCATGCCAAAGCAACTTACTTACTGGAATTTCTGACCGGATCATGGCCGTACAGCTCGGGAGCAAAAAGCGGCCGCGCTTAATAATTATTTCACAATAACATAGGAATAGACACAGGTAGTTACTATATTAAGTCAACCTTCGTCACATTGAAAATGGCTATAGCTTAATAACTGTTTCTTGATATTCTTTCATCTAAGCAACACGATGTCACCTATTCGAAAAGTCGCACTCATTGGCGTAAGTACTCCCAGGAGTAAAGCTGGCTTTTTCTAATACATCCTCACAGAAAGGCATATTGGGCACTGCTGTCCTCGAGCAACTGTCGAAAAATGGCTTTGAAGTCACGGTTCTGAGCCGCAACCCTTCTTCTGTCGGTACACTCCCTGCCGGGGTGTCGGTCTCCGCGGTAGATTACACTTCCATTGAGAGCTTAGCCAGCGCTTTACAAAACCAAGATGCTGCGGTTGCCACCATTGGAAGTGCTGGGATTCTCGGGCAGAAGGTTATTATCGACGCTTGCATCAAAGCTGGAGTCAAGCGCTACATCCCGTCCGATTGGGGCTCGATCACAACCGATCCTGCAGCTCGTCACCTTCCAACAAACTTTGCTTTAGTCCAAATCCAAGATTATGTAAAGGAGAAGGCCGAGAAGGGCGAAATCGAGTACACGATTTTGTCAGTTGGTGGCTTCTTCGATCTTCTCTTGGATGTGCCGTTCCTGCTGGACCTCCCTAATTCATCTGTCGAATACTTTGACAAGGGAGAACATCCATTTAGCGTAACTACCCTCGACGGCGTGGGAAAGGCCGTTGTGGGTGCACTAAAAGCATCGACGGAAACTAAGAATCAAAACATTTTCGTTCATCAAGCTATTATAACACAGGCACAAATAGTTTCCATCGTGAAAAAGCACTGTTCACCTGGACGTCAGTGGCAAGAGACGCACTTGGACGCCGAAACCAAGTTTCAGGAATCTCTGGATTTAGCTACGAAAAACCCTGGTGATTTCCTGTCTATTATGGCATTGCTCAAGGCCACGCTCCTCAGTGGCAAATTCAACTCTGCATATTCTACAGTGGATAATAACTTAGTTGATCTTCCAATGTTGGGAGACGAAGAATTGGAGAGTATCCTGGCCGGCAAGCTTCGCGAGAAGGGGCAATAACTGTTCGCGCCCTATATCAAAGAGAACGGGAGGTTTCATGGCTGCGCTGTCTACTACGGCATCATGTAGAGATGTTTCTGTTCAACGGCAATACCCAATAAGTCAATTCATTCTTAAAGTGAAAATCATTCTTCTGTTCGAGCGCATTTCAGCATTATGGCCCACCAGAGACCCGCAGCAGAAACAAAGTAATAAGGAAAAAGAGGAGATAAAAAGAAGTTGAATTAAAACAGTGATAGACGCTCATATTATAGATAGACAGCCGGTCTCGACGCCATCCCCGAACGGACTGGACACTAAACAGCCCCGCTTTCACCAGGACAAAGATTATTAATTACATCTATATTTATAAAGCGATTCGGATTTGAAAAGTAGGTATAGTTTTGAGAAATCGGGCGGCAGGTGATGACGACCGACAGGCGGTGAAGCATAGTAAGCGGTAAACCGGTACCCAAACTACCGATCATCACGAGGGGTGACTCCTCAACTAAACCGACGACCAGCAACCCTCTGTGACAAGGAGGATAGTAAGTTATCCCAACAACAACATTTTAGTCACAAAATGGACGAAATGGAATGACGAAGTCGCAGATTCTCGGCCAGGGACCGAAATGTCTGTCAATAGTGACGGCCAGAGAAGACTGGCAAAACAAGCGTGCGTCCAGTGTTATACACAAAAGCGAAAGTGTAGCCGCCAAATACCTCAATGTAATCGCTGCTTGACCAAGGACAGGCATTGCGAGTACCCATCGGAGACATTTGGAATTAATTTCGATTTGACAACGCGCTCGCTGTCAAATAATGTGCGTGTGTTACTACCAGTCGCTTAGAGCATCTTGAATCGTTCTACGGAACGAGAAGCCGTAGGACCATACTGATTTCGAGCTACCAGGGGGTTTCCCATGATCCATTATCAACACTCTTCTTCCTTGATACATGGCTGTTCCGCAATCGTGGTCTCTCAATGACCATTCGTCAAGCCCGAATACCTTCGGAATTCGGGGTTGCTGTCAACTCGGGGCCTGGCAGCTTCAGCGACCACTTAGATCGGTACTTTACGATGGTTCATCCATTTTTCCCAGTTTGTACGCGTGCCACCACTCCAACCATTCCGTGTGAATCAAAACTATTGCTTAGAGATTGTACGGGCTAGTATCCAAAATAAGGACTTACCGGCTATGTCTGCACGAGTCATCACTCGAAGGGGAGAACATAGATCCTGCTCTTGTTTTACTTATGTTGGTCATTCATCTTCTATCTACTACGGCTTCTCAGGGTATGTCAGGAACCGGAGAACTGTACGCTCGAGTGAAGCGCTGCTATTCATTCGTCGAATCTCTAGGAATCATAACTCCACGAGTCTTGCAGGCAGCCCTACTTATCGGTTATTGGGAGGTTGGAAGCGGCGTATATCCTGCGGCATATTTATCTGCCGCTCTCTGTGCCAGACTTGGGCACGCTCTTGGGATTCATCGCCGACAAAAGGCGCCTCAAATGTTTCCAAGTTCAGGTCAGCAGATGATCTCAGATCAAGACAACGCTGAGTTCTCCTTTCGCACTTTTAAAATATGACATCAGGGACGTCCTGTTCTGTCGGAATTGTTCTAATACCCGATGTAGGGTCCTGGGTGGAAGTTGAGGAGCTCCGTCGTGTCTGGTGGGGGGTCATAATTCTCGACAGGTGACCGACCATTCAACTTATCTTAAAAGTGATATTACATGTCTCTGATTGTAAGTCCATAGATACGTTACAATTGGCTTAATCGATCGACCCTTCTCGTGTGACGACGCTCACCCTGAGGATATGCTACCCACGACAGACAGTACGTGGGATCAAGGGGTACAAACACCATCGACTACTTGTCGAATACCACAATCTGACAGTACCAGGAACCGAGCGTGAGCCCATCACTTGCTGTTTCGGGAGATGCATCGCACGCAATATCATCGTTCGCACGACTCTGTCAAGCCTCTGACCTTCTTTCTCGGGTTCTTCGCCATATCAATGAACAGCCATCCGATATGCAGTTTTGGTACAAGGAAGGCATCCGCCTTCACCATCTTCTGAATTCATTTGCAACAGGATTGACTCTAAAGAGCTCGCAACGTGATAATAACAGCATTCTGATTTGTGACAAATCTTTACACCCAGCAGTCGGTGTTGTGTATAGTGCCCAAATGCTTCTTTACGATATGCACACCTGCGCAGATTTTGACCACCTGAGCGGTGTCGGCATTCCAGAGCAGCTCGAAATGCAGAAAATTGCATTGGAAGGCGTTAGAGTAGTGTGCACCGCTGTCTCTAGCTTTGCTCGTGGAATAAGGGCCGGGGGAGTCGGCAATGCCGGTACAAGCCCACTAGTCATTAATTGTCTGTACGAGGCTGCAAAGTACCACTTCTGGTACTACCGCGAGGTGAACAAGCCTGAACTGCTGCATGAGGTGAATGAGATTATCCTCACTCTGCAAGCCATTGCTGGTACATGGGCTGTTGCGGGTATGGTAGCCCGCCCCCTCTTATTCATAATTCTAAGATTGTTGTCTTTGGACTATTATTTCAGCACATTGCCATGCATGCGGCTAAAATACCAGCAGATAGGTACCTCTCGATTCTGAATGGTGATGAATTCCGGCCTCATGCCATGCCAGGGGAATCACTTCCTTGATGCCTCTTGTCAAAACCTGCTAGAAATGGTTACATGCTGCAGTATACGAGCTTTTTTCCCTAGTTACTTGTGCAACCCATCTCACCGATTACTCAGTGGTCGTTGACAAAGAATGAAATGGAGGCCAGATTGAATTATATTCTTCAGGTTATATGAAAACCATCGTCCATCAGCCCGACAAACTATTTAGACACCAATTAACTAAAAGCAACCGTCATCCAAGCAGACTACAAATAGCCCCTTTCCTGAAACAATTCGAAAGTCCACTCCCAAAGTCTCTCTGCCAACTGGTCATCTTGAGCCTTCTGGCTCGGTTTTCCAGTTTTAGCGTATGGAACAACGTAAGCACCAGATTCAGTGAAGTTCAGGTCTGCAATCGCAAATAGTGACGATACCGCCCCTTTGGCCTCGTGATCTAGGATTCCGGTGCATCTCATGATTGGGGTCATTATACGTAAAACAGCGGCTGGTGCCATGCCGGTAGCCTGTTTGTTAAGATTTCTGTCAAGTATCAGCTACCAGTCCGTCCTCATGTTTACCTATAAAACAACAGTGAACGGAAACGAGGAAAGGAATGGTAGTGACGACTTACGTGTCAATATGCCCTGGATGGACTGCAGCTACTATTATACCAGATGATTTCTTCCCCTTCGGCCCATACACGGCGTTCAACTGCCTCGTATGTAGGATATTTGCCAGTTTTGAATGTCCGTATCTGACCATTGCAGACTCAGACTCCAAGTTTGGATCGTCCAGCCGGATTGCTTCCTTCAACGTGAATCTCTCGTGGCCATCCGATGTGACATTTACGATACGCGCGGTCCCTGGCTGCGACAAAGCTGTCGATTCCAGTAGTGGGAGGAGATGATAGGTGAAGAGCCAGTGGGAGAGGTAGTTTGTCTATATAAATCAGCGATCATTAGTTTCGTAACGAAAGCAGGGGCCATGTGTATATAATAACGTCGACAATACCTGAAATTGGATTTCGTACCCATCTTTCGTTCGTGAAAATGGCACACCCATAATACCGGCATTATTTATAAGTCCATGTAGAGCAGTCTCTTTGCTAAAAGAAGTCAGTATGTTTGTCACTTCTACAGATCATGTCCCGAGTTATAGATTGGAAGACATACCGTCTCAGCTCCCGAGTTGCCTCGACAACAGACTTAAAATCAGTAAGGTCGAGCCTCAAGAAAACGATGTCAGCTTGTGGATTTCCAAGCTCTCGTTTAATATCTGTGATGGCATTCTCAGCTCTCTCTGCGCTCCTCGAACCCATATAAACCCTTGCCCCACGGCTAGCTAGACCAGCGACAGTTGTTTTTCCTCTGTTGATTTGTTAACGAACTCTTCGCTATACTTGGGTTAGCAGCAATGGAGTACGAACATGCCGGCATTTCCGCCTGTGACGACGTACAGTTTGCCAGTTAGGTCTGGCAATGAATCCACAGAAAAGACATTGTTAACCATGGCTTGCTGTTTGTACGAGATCAATATCGAGTGCTATGAGCAAACTTCCACAGATTGGATCAAAAAGAAATTATATTTCATGTATGCTCTGGTATTGCTGGAAACGTAGGTGTCAAAGACCCATGGCTCGGTATTTATACCTATTATTCCAAGGTTCTAACCGGAAATGTCGCTCATATCTGTACCACGACTGCAACCCAGTCGCTCAACGGTACCATTATCATTCAGTCCAGTTTCCGCACTTCGTCTATCGCGTCGGATCAAATCCACCGTTGTCCGCTAGCGTCCGACAGCGTCCGCAAATGTCTCTACACATAGCGCATTCTCGACAGAGCAACATCTGAAAGATCCGCCTCGTAGTCCTATAAAATCGTTCGATTACCCTTAGATACTCCGTAGTCGTGCAAGATCGTGATTAGCTGCTCCATGTGGGCTGAGACAGTCAGAGTAAAGGGATCAGCGCAGCATGTTTTGAAGAGAGTATAATATTTAGGAGTCAGTAGTAGAGTCATTAAGTTATAATCTGTACAGCTTAGCCTAATAATGAACTAACATTGATATTCTGGTTGCGGTCTAAGACTACTGCCGCTACCCCCAAGTGGTTGTCATGTCCCGAGGCGTCGGAGTAGACCACTCGGTGGGGGTTTGCGAGAAGGGCTGCGGCGTTCTTTCATGCCTTTTCTCGGTCTAGGTTAATGTTAATTTCCTTAAAAGCTAGTGATTTCCATAGGGCTGTCAGTTTTGGATTGATAGCCTCTAATCCATTGAATTGTTCAAGACCCATAGTTTTCATAGCTTCAGCAAGAGGAAATCGCGGGCCGCTGCCATTGCCACCGTTATCCCACCGCCTTCTGGCCCTCAATAATACTCCTTATATCGGATGATCCCACGGGAGCGTGAGTAAGTTAACAATAGTTATCTACGCTCTCTAGCAGAGATAAAGACAAGTCAGTAGTGTGTACAGTTCAACTTCCATAATAATGGTCACTACAGACTTAAAGGCTAACAGGATTCGAATGAGCGCTGATCTCTGGACTATGTTGAGAGCCCTGAGATGCATATTATCTTTTATAGGGCTGTGCCAGACTGTGGACGCGTAGTCTAGAATAAGGGTGACGCAGGTTTGATATAATTGTCACTTCGCAATTACTAAAAGCGCCTTTTCCTCTTTCGTCTAGCGCGCACTAGCGTCATGCAAGCCAGTTCGTAACAAAATCAATATCGCGTACGGAGTACGGGTTCAGGAAAAGTGGTGACCCGTTTACAGTGGTGGTTCGCTTACCGATTACGTTAGTTACCCGTTCCGTATTGGCTCSAGCCTATTCGACCAGTGAGTAGTCTGCGTTTACTGAGATAATAAAAAAACATGTACACGTTTGTGCTATCCGTCTAAAATAGTACATAGCTCTGCTTTGGGTTGTCCTCCCTCAACCGGCTGGAGTTCCATATATACGGAAACATTGCACCCTTCTCACAAGAACGAAAATAGAGGCTATTGCGAGTTCAGACGGAAGATGTAAAAGATTATACAAGAACTCTAGTTACAGGTTTAGTTTCTCTAGACGTAATTAATCTCTCTCTCATGCGCGCGAGCATTCCCAACGCAAAGCTAATGCCCTAGCTCTTGAAATGGAGAACTTTGTTTTTAATATTCACATCCAAGCCGTCGTTACATTTAGCCTCACAGAGTTCCTAGACACTTGTGTATAATATCTATTGTGTGTGGATGTGGCATAGCTGCAATAAAACGATTTCTTTATTGAACTAATTTCAACTACAAGTATCTCAGTTGGCAGATGAAGCCAAGGATTTCACTCAAGCTGAGTACTTCACGTTCTCCCCGAGCAGTCTGACATTGTCCTTGATACTCTGCTCCAAAGTTCTCCAGCCGGTCTGATTTTCCCATTTCTTCAGCAAATGCAGAGGCAACGTGAGGTCTGTACTTATGCTCAGTCGCTGTTGATCAGGGAGGTCATCAATGAAGTGACGCTGTGGATACAGCCTGCGCAGGATGGCAAGCATGTCGTTCCAATTGCAATTTTCGGCCCAGGCTTGGAGGCGCTCATTGTTGATCTTGGGATCTACGATAGCGGCCACGTGCAAAACTGCGACGTCCTTGACATCAATGTGGTATGCTAGGTGGATACAAGACATGGTTAGTTCTGGATTCATCATTCAATAGGTGAAGAATACTGACTGGCAGAAAAGTTAGCCAACCGGGATATATCACCGTCCCAAAGCTTTTTGATCCAGGCTCCAACAGTCTGAAGATGGCTGTCGTTGAGAGGTTCGCCTATGATCATAGCCGGATTGACAGAGTTGACTCTGAATTTGGGCCTCTTCTCATCGACAAATTTCCATACAGCCTTCTCCGCTGCAACCTTGCTTGCCGCATAGACAATGCTGCCTTGAGTTGGGGGATGTGGTGGAGGAGACCAGGCCAACTCTACAGCCACGTCATTCCATGTGTTCCGACTTACGCGTGTGTCATTCCCCGGCGCAGGGAAGGTGCTGGCTACAATAGAACTGGTATAGACAAATGCCTTTACTGAAGGCTCGTTCAATGCTGCCTCCATGATCCGGGTAGCCGCTTCGACCGTTTGAGGTATAACGGTGTTCGGGTCAGAATCAAATGTAACGACGGATGCCACATGCGCGATCGCGGACACACCCTTGATCGCATCATCATAGACATCTGCAGCAGTAAAGTCTTTGATAGTGACAAGCTCGAAGTCACCGTTCTTGACATAAGCTTTGAAAGTATCCTTCGCGAGCCACGAAGTTCGTCCAGAATCTCTCACAGTGCCGCGAACCTTGAAGCCGCGTAGTAGAAGCTGTTTGGCGATGTGGGAGGCGACGAATCCATTGACCCCAGTGACAAGTACAGTGGAGCCTGCAGGGATATCTGTTGGTTCAGACATGATGGAAATAAGAATGATTTTTCGTAACTTTAATGCACTGGTTGCTATATAGATCAGATGTGTTGTCTCTGGGTTATTCTGGCTTGAGGGGAATTTTGTCTCCCTATTTATGCATCTGGAGAGTACTATACCTACGCTCCTGACAAATCAAAGATATTTCGACAACATTACATTCATAAGGCGGTCTCCTAAACAGGAAGGACCAATTCTTGGCCGATTACTAAACGAAGTTGTCGCTGCGATAGTAAATTCACCAATTGCGCCAGAAATGGCCAAAAAAATGCTTTATAAGCTGGACACTATTACACTTTTCTAGCTGCGAGATCACGAAATGTTTCAGCACAGGATCCAGGTGGATGTCTATCTTGCAACTCCGATAACAAGCCTACTTCATCCACCCATTTATTGAAAACAAGCTCAAGGAATCCATCCAGCCCAAGAGTTTGGTGACCCCCATTAAGTTCCACCATTTTGGATGTGCCTCGCATGTGGTTCTGGGCCATTTCAAAGTCACCGAGTGCTACCTGGAGAGAACATTGTTAAAATCCGGTGTAAAATGATTCAGCAAGTAGACTTTCTGAGCGGGATGCAAAACCTACTTCGTCCTGCGCCAAAACCATTACCAATGCAAGAGTCGAATCATTGAATTTTAAGGATTGCTCTGCTCCAATTGACATATTCAAGATCTGGATGCACGCTATCTTATATTGCATTGCCTGCTGGGTAAATCTGTGCCTCTTTTCTTGATCGTGGTCATGCAGCATAGAGAGATGACGACTGGCTACAAGTAGGAGCCCATTAAAGAAGCCAGTGCTTGTTAGAGCGAGGCGTACCCACTCTCTGTTCATTTTCTCTGTATACCCAATCTGCCCACTGAGCCGTTTACAGCTGGTCGATAACAAAGGTATGACCGAGTGCACGTCTAGAGCGTGTGAGTTTCTTTTCTTTTCTTTTCTTTTTTTGGTCTTGATGGTATTCCTAGCCTACAGTGATGAAACAGGAAATCGTCGAGAGCCTTTGCTGGAGTTTCAAATGCCCCACGCGATATGATGAGTTCGGTTGAGAGCCGACTCAAAGGAGTCGTGATACTGCCGAGAGTGTCTGACCGGGGAGTATGTGCATTTTCAATAACAGCCATCTTGCGTTTCTGTTGTGTTTGCTGGGCTTGGAACTGCTTTGTTTGACGGAGCCTTGCCCTGGCATGCGCTATTCGAACAGCATGGGAAGCCATCATATGCCTTTGCTCCTTTTTGGAAGAGCCTAGTCCTACTGGACGTGAGGTATTAATGAAAAGTAGTTTTGGAAAGTCAGGTAACGACATCTGTCCACTGGGAAGCATTATGGGGGTTAGATGCAATGACAAGTAAAGTCTGTTGAAGGGTTATTATGTGTCAATGAAGAAGAGGTAAATAGTTGGATAGTTTGTTAGGATGCATTGCTAAGACTTGAGCCTTCCAATGTAGGCAAGGCTTGCTCGTAATGTAAACTAAGCTTGATTTCAAAGCACACGCTCAAGTACACGTTCTGAATTTCAAGAAGCTTGCTGACAAATTGCCAAAGACCGTTCTTCCCAAAAAGGAAATGCCAGGTCTTGGCAGTTTTGTGACTCGGACTGACTGCTGAGGAATCCCCTAGTTCACCGCTTTCGGGTTCCCAGACAATGATTATTTTACCGTCATCTATAACTTCAATTTTACCTCCGTACCACTGAAGTCCTTTAATACATGAATACATTTATGGTTTGAATTGATCGTGAAGATTTGATAAGCCGCTTTTGGAGAGTAGTTTATACATGTATAAGTATATAAATTATCCAAGGTTCCGTGTGAAGCCTGAGAGAATGACATAGTAAAAATAGCGTAAAAAAGGAATGGATGGATAATTCCGATCTACATGTTATAGCCGGAGTTGATTACGTTCAACGAAGACGAGGAGCAAATCGAACATGTCAAAAGACTCTCTCAAAAATTTCCCCAGTTAGAAGACTGTTTCCGTCCAGATCGCTATAAAGATGACTAGGAAAAACCACCTACTTACTGTGTCCGGTTCATAAGGGAGGAGAATACGTTTGCTCACGTTTACATTCGGCTCCTAATTCCTGACTTCTTTCAGTCTTTTCATGTTTCTTTATTATTAATCTTTCTCATTTGCTCTTTTTTATCTGATCTAAACGCCTTTTCCGGTTTTTCTGTAGTCGAGTGCACTAAAGGGATGCTGTATTAGCTAATTTTTTTCTTTTTGATAATATTATTATCAACGCCCGGTGACAGAGGGCTAGCCCAAGTCAAATGTTAAATAAATTCAAGCCTATATGCAACATCTGAACCTTTCAGGGGTCCTGGCGTTAAAATTTGTCTTGAGACTTGAAGCGACAAATAGAAATAGATAGACTGCGATATTACGACTGCGAATTGATAGCCTTACCTCATACTTTGAAAAGTTGGGACGTACCGACCAGGCGAGCTACACGTCTATGTTGTAGAGTGATGAAATAGTCTGGACGAAGGTAGATATTAGGTTATCCTCGTCTCCACATCTTCAGGAGTATATGAAGAGACGGGACTGTTTGTGTCACTTAACCTTGAGTCAAGTTGATTCATAGATGACCGCAATCTGCTTCATGACTCCGAAGGATTTGACTCAAAGTTGTACATAAATAGGGTACAAGTCAATATCGTTTTGTTATTTCTAAATATTCTCTTGTACGATTTAATAGTCGAAAACAGTTTCTTCTGTTAATACAAAATTAAGAAACACAAAATGTCAGACTCTGACATATCCCCTACGACAACAGAGGCCCAGCCTTATACAAACGGAAATCCCGTGCCTATTGATGTGGTGTTGAAAGTGGACGCCCCGGAGCAAGTCCAACCTGGAAGCTGGCCATACCCTCTCATTGTAGAAGTGGCCTGGAGGGACCCGGTCATAACACACGGCTCGCCAATTATCTGTTTCTGTGAGGGGTTCAAATACGGTAGTGAAGATGTTTTGTTCAAGAAAGATGGTCAAGAGATAGGTGGACCCACACAGCATGATGGCATACAAGCCAGACTTTCGAGTTTCATTTTTTTCTATCCAGACGACTGCTTTGACGAATGTGGCCAATTTAAAATTCGCATGACAATGATAGTGAAGAAGAATGGCAAAGATCTACCACCAAAAGTGATAGAGTCAAGATCCTTCACTGTCACTGAGACCATTTCAGACTCTGATATTAAGCTAAGCAAGCATATCTTCAATCCAATGGTGGAAATTTGTGCTAACAATAGAAGTCTAGGCCAAGAGGAAATACAATTCGTTCGAACAGAACGAACCCGGATTTTCTCGCTCAGGTATTGGCAAAACTTTCAGCATCGGCTGTAATCTTGGGGCATATTATTCAATTACTTCGGCGAGTAGATTTTGACAAGATGCCTCCATGCTTGTCCCATATCCCAAGGATCTACGAGTTGGCATATGCTCTTTTTCCTTACCTCAACTGGATTTAATTATCCGATCCGTCCGTTCCTTTCCCATGCTACATGCACTGTATTAATTTATTTGTTAAGATCCCGCTGGTACCGGAGATTTTAGTTTACATAGATGAAAAATACAGGCTGGCCCTAATAATGAAAATTTGATGCAATACTTGTACATTGACTTTAAACATATATCCGCGTACAGAACCGATTTGGTCAACCAACCATCATATGACCTTGGTATTCAAAACATAATGCTTATACTGTTTCACATCAATTCAAGCTACACACGGCTAATATAAGAGCCTAGGTGGTTCACGTAGGAAAATGGCGGTGTACTTAGGGCTATTATTGTCAGCTGTGGCACATGTGGAGTGAGCATTGTGGCTGAGGAAATATTCTTTCGCTATTATAGATCGAAATCAACATGTGCAGGATCTAGACAAAAATATTCATCATCAATATCTTGGGTATCCTAGTATTTGTTGATGTAGCCCCATTATATCTTTAGATATGTCTGATGCTGTGCATCACCTGTATGAACGCTTGATAGTGTCGACCATCATGTTATGTAGATAATAATTGGTATGATTTGCTGTGTTGATTTGAATCCAAATAGTTCTAGTCCGCACAACAATCCACCTACAATACGACTTTAATAAACCGAATACTGCATCAAGCTTCAAGCAACTACCGTGTAGGTCTTATTGGTTCATGGTACCCAAGGCGGCTAATTGTGATAATTTAGCCCTAATTCGGGCCCACTCGGGCCAATGTGGCAAGATGCACCCAGCTATATATCTAATTTGTAGCATTAAGTAAGATACTCTTATTATTCAAATGATCCAGATCATTTGGTTTAATGGTACGTCGCAAAATCAAGGAAAATGCTGCGGCTGCAAAAGCCGAGTTACAGCGCAAATGCACTGTAGAAGGCTTGGTTTTACCCAAGCAAGAGGCAATATCATTCGATTTGCTAACTGAATTACGCAAGGTTCACTTTTGGGGTATATATCCCGGACTTTACTCTCTATATAGGCGCGCCAAAGACATCGCTGTTTCCGGGGTTGTGGTTCCCTCTGATGTGCAGCTGGGTGGCGGTCATTCGGGTTGTCGTAACCTCCGCTTCGATCACGCACTACAGAAAAACCCTATAGGACCCCGTCTCCATTATAGACACCTGATACAGTGCTGCGGAAAGAGCCACTGCTTTCTTTGCAGGTTTCAGCTAGGCTCTGGCAAAGATATGTGTCAATATCTCGGCTACTGTCATCCGTGGTGCAAATGATATGGTGAGTTTATGGCCCAAGTATATCAAAAATAGACGCGGTGCTATTATCCTGACGGTGTTGGGTGGCTGGGCTTTGGTTCCGTGGAAACTTTATAACCCTGGAATATCGCTGCTCAATTTTAAGAATTAGTTGGGAATCTTCTTGTCTCTGATTATGGTATTCCAAATGCTTTATCCCCTTGCACACGTTGTTTATCTCAAAGAGTACTCTCTTTGAACATCAAAGTGATCAGGGCATACAATTTGCCGACTTCTTCGTCATCAAATGTCAAGCATTCAACGTTCCATCAATCTATGAGCCTCACAGCCAATACGCCTACTGGCACGAAATCAATTGGCATGCATTTGCTGCAATGGCAGCAGCTGTCGGACCTACTCTTCCGGGACTGATCAACACCGTGAACCCCAGTATTGATATGGGAGGTGGCGTATAAATTACATACCTCAATTGGTATTATGAAATCTTCAGCGCCTTTGGCGTTTACTCCGTGCTGAGTCTTCTGTTCCCTGCTCATGAGTCGCTGGTTCGGCATATGGAGCTTACATCTGAGGAACATATCGAAAATGGAGAGGATTCGCTGCAGGCAAAAGAAGAGAAGAACGAGACGGAAACGGAAAAAGGCGGAGAAGCTGTTACTGTCTTGTGTAATGTCGATGGATAGGTCTATCAACTGGTCGATCTGCGTACAAGTTAGTTTTTGCCGCACACGTCTTGTTGGTAGAGTTTTGGTCCTGTTTGATGGTACGTCACCGAGACTGACACTAGGAAATCGAGATCATTTGAATGGCGAATTACTTAGATACTGAATTCTAGATCAGCTGGATCGACTATCGACATCTTGTTCCAAAAAACGAGATACATTGCAATCTACAGCCAGACAGGTCTAGGGAAATCCTTGTACTATTACAAATACATAGATATCCATACCGATTTCAAAATAGTATAGCTCTCGGATTGCATATGCTTCAAATTTGCGATTCTAACGGAAAATTGTGTCACCATGCATTGCAGATTCGCCAAGTGTATGTACATTCATCATTGAATGCACTTTGTGGAGAAGAGCGGTGTGACTCGATCTCAAGTCTGCACTATTTGGTCATTCAATGAGATCTGAAAATCTATACGACACATTATGCAAATATACCTATTGAACAGATTATGATGATTGCTTGACATTACATACGGCAGGGATTTAAGGATCTGGAATAAGTGTTGACTTTGCCTGGCATGAAAGCTAGGAAGCGATTTCCATTGCCGCTTTCTCTCTGGAGATTTCATGGATTGGCTGGGTTTCTTTTGCTTTTCCTGTCACTCATCATCTATAGCTTAGTCTGTTACAGAGCTTGGCCAGGGTTCGCTATATTCTAAGAGACAGGATTTGCGATATCTACTAGCAGATTGGTGCCTTGATCTACATGCAGGAGCCTGACTTATGCACAGTTATGCTAGATCGCAGCAGCATTTGAGACCTATCATAATTCTATACTAGATTTTTCACGCTATCACATCAAGCTGGTGGTTGAATTGAATCGTCATAATCTGCATGCGTCTGCTACTACGTAACAGTCATTCAATTGATAGGCTTAAATTTATGACTAGTCACTCACCAAGAAAGAGATCTACCTTGTTTTGCTTCAATGTGCAGCAAGAGAGTAAACGCTATAAGCTGAAAATCTAAAATTAATCATTCAGTGAAAAGAGAGCAAGATTAAAGGCTCTCTCTGCTCAGAGCTGAGATATTTAAGCAAGAACTTTCCCATACCCCTCCTACAATATCTGATTCGTATCTGAAATATATTTCCTGTGTATTTCACTCCGTATTAGACTCATATTTCCCACTTTTCTCTCTATCAGATCCTTTACGATGTCCGAATCGAAGCCAGCTAAAGTCCCCGAGGACAAAAGCAGGGTGATCTTCCCAAATCAGGCTACTCGAGTTTTTTTGGTGATCGAGGGCTAACACTTATTTTGCATTAGGATGTCTACTACTCTATTAATTTCGTCCGAGAAACTATCGCACTCTTCAAAGAAGCGGTAGGACATTTTTCCAACAAAAACCTTGAACTTGTGCGGATTCTAGAGAGCTAATTCTTTTTATCTATCATTTAGGACACCGATAATAATAGTATGCGATCCCACCACAAGAAAACCGAATCATGACAACACCAGGCTAAGCTTTCTTGACCAATATAGATGCCATTAGCTTTGATGAGCTCAAGGCAGTTGTGAAGAAACGGGATCCAAAAAAGACTGACGCGGAGATCAAGAAAATCTTCGAGACATTGGATTTCGATGATAACAAGAAGATAACCTTTGATGGTAAGTGAAACAAATTTCTTTTTGCTAACATCGCTGACCCATCCGCGTCTGATCATAGAATTTCTGATCTTCGACTTTGCACTTGATGCATACGGATACGACTATTCGAATGCCATCATTATCTAGTTTACATAAATGGAAGCCTTCAGTTCAATTGTGCTTGGGATGAGTTTATCTGGAGGATATGCTCTTACAGTGCATGCACTGTCCCATTGATAACGGGGCTTTGGCGAGTCGCTACGCGCAAAGGTAGCCTTACCTTACACATAATGATATGTGTTCATGGGTATGGAAATGGTTTCATTTCGCTCTTTATATGAACTCCTGTTTCAAGTTTTTATCTGTCTTTAGCTACGGCTTAGCTGTACGATCACAGGAGGTGGCCATCACTAGGCTAAAGTATGGTATTCCTCAAATATGGTCCTAGGAGCCTCATTAATCTGAAATCAATTGCGATATGCCGTATAAATATTAAAATTCTTCAAGAAAGTTAATATTCCTCAAATACGATGTATGAAGAACGTGACCGTCTACCCGACGTATCGGGATGATCATCTGAGGGGTGAGCCCTAGCGCAGCAGACCCCGAGAGCCCCATGTTGCACTCAGAATATTGGAAGGCATTCAACGCGTGCCGTATGCACGTGGCTCATTGGTCCGATGGGCTATACGGCATGCTGCTTGTTTAACGTTACCTACGAGTTTCGTCGCAACCTAAGATTTTCATTTCTTTTATAAACAATCCACAAATGTAAGCTATTTTAATTTATTAACAATATTTACGCTTCCAGTCGTTACCGGAGCAAGGACTTTGAAAACTTGTCGGTGTCGTTAACATATAGAAAGAAATATATGGACTCGCCCGGGACGTTTATGGAGATGAAATTACCATCTCCAAGATCTGTGTGATATTTTACCACAGTGTCTGGACAAAGCGTAGAAATCTGGACACTCTTGCATGATTGCAATACATAAGATCCAACTCCAGAAAATACGCACATCATGTCTGTCCGTCGACACTACTCATGGCCATTCAGTGGCTCTGCTTCCGGCGCAAGAGCCGAAGAGTTGCGATACAATCCGCGAAAGGTTGGCTCGTTGCTTTCTACCTCGAACCCACAAAGGTCCACCAAGCGATTCACAGCGGTTGACCAACCTTTCGGCCCGGCACTGTCATTGTACAGTTCCTCAGAAGAAGAAGTCATCCTATCTTCTGCGGGCATACTAGACTCCAAAATCGAGAAACGTCAATTGCGACGACAGCGTCGAGAACGACGAGCAGAACACAAGCGGCGAAGACACGAGCGGAGACAGAGATCAGCAGAAGCAAACAATAACGAAGACGGTGCCACAGAAGAAATTATAATATCCTCAATCACCCAGGCGAACGAAGCCCCAATCGCGATCATGCGTCGGTTCGTTTGGCCACATCTGGAAAAAGCGAGGCACTTTTTCCTTTCGCTCCACACTTTTCAGTACCTGACTGGATCTTGGACTTCACACTTGAGACGTGTTGGTCCTACGGATAAAAAGAGCCACGAGATCAAGGCACGATATGCCGCCAAATTGGCGAGCTCAAGTAAGCCATCTTTGTCGCCAAAACAACCCTCGGCAGATGAAGGAGGAATGTCACTATCAATACCCGATCGGAATGAATGGATGTTGCGTCCGGAAAGACGGCATCGTAGATGTCACTCTGAACAACCACGGGCGTGGAGAGAGCCTAACCCGGGGCTGTGGACATTGGCAGAGGAATAACTTGGAAATTAAGTCTTGGGAGCATCATCGTTTTAGCTCGTAGACGCGGCATGGCAGAACACGGGGAGATACGGGCTCAAGAGATTGTCTTTGAAAGTTAGTGTCAAGGACTAATTAATCTTGTCAAGTCCGGACATATTCTCCGGTCGTGTCGATTCCAGTCTCTTGCGCTTATTCCTGTTGATCTGAATACGAGCGAGAAATGAAGTCGCTTTGTACTGAAGGTAGAGTTCGCCCTGTCACATTCCGGTGCTGGGCATTCCAAGGACGTTCGTGTAAATAGACAAATGCTTTCTCCGTACCAAAATGCATAGCACTGTTTCCATCCTAAGTTGGCTGGCCGATCTTCTCGCAACATACATAGTAATCTTGTAATTGTGTAAGATAAATCACTCACCATCAATCAAGGGACCAATCAATCGGGCGTCTTCCGGAATGTCACAAGATGATCCGCAGGGCACGCAGTCACATGAACAACTATCAACATGGCCTGAAAGGTATACAGTATAGACCAATGAGACCGGTGCCCTGACATACCATGTACGTAGGAGTCTACATAGTAATGCACGGATAAATCGGAAGGAAGCAGTGACGGCACAATCTCCGCGAATTTCTAGCGGCCTTCGAGAAGACCGCTAGAAGGACGTATTATGTAACCAGCGGGTCGCGCTAGCCATAGAAGTAGATTTTATTTGGTTAAAATGGTCCCGCTACGGGTCCCCTGCCCCGCCTCAGCTGAAAGCCTGAGGCAGCACCATTACTACATACGTACGACGAATAGGATACGGTCTCACATTTCTATTTTAGTATTACTTGCATCATCCCAAGGCAAGTTGGGTCTCTATCAATGACCATGTGACCATCGCTAATGCTTGTCGAATAAGGTGTCAGAGAATAGTCCTTTTCCAAGGTTATTATTTGTAATGGAGTCTGCGTGAAACAATAAGCAATAAACAACAAATAAATGGACACGGTGAGTCACATGGGTCTCCGTACGAACTCCGAAAGAAGAGACGAGGGAGGAGGCTCTTTAAAACAATACCGTACGGAGTTCCCCGTGGGTTGTATCTGATTGAGTCTCACAGTCCATACGGATTACCTCCCTGCACACACTGCATGTGTAGTATGCGTTGGCAAGCCTTGGCGTTCGGCCCCAAGCGGTGAGTTGAGGGAGTGTGTAGGGCTCTGTAGGCCAAATTGCGTGCAACAGGCCTCGGAAGTGCAGAAATCAGTGGCCTGTGAGTGAGACAGTCACTGACAGTCACCGACTCGTCACGACGGCCCAGCGGGGCACCATGCAGTAGTGTCTAAGTTACATAGTAAAACTAACGAGGCTAAAGACATGCTACTGGAGGCCGCTATGCCCTTCGAATCACAGGGCGATGGCCGTGGCCTCATTTCATTGGGCAATTTGCCGTGCTGATTGGGCGATTGGCTACAAACATTCCTGCGATTGATCGGCGACGTTTGTTTGATGCCGGGTACTCGGTTCTGTGGCCCGTGGTATAACAGACACAATAAGAACAAAAATCTTAAATACGAGGATTCCGCTGTTGCAATCAGAAATATATCGACCTCGAAACTTCTACTCATTACCCACGTACTCGTGTACCTATACTTGATTGACATTGACACATTCAAAAGTCAACCCGATTCTATCAATTCACTTGTTGGATGGAAATGCCAGACTCCCTCCCCGTCGACTCTGACGCACCAGCACCGAAGCTTGACGGTCTTTCCCCGTCTAGTAGTTTGTCCTCGGATTCCTCATCATCTTCTCCAGCCACAAAGTCTCATCACCGACGATTCCTATCTCTTGACAACATCGAAGAAACATCCTCCAGAATCTTGACCCGTATCCGCTCGCGCTCCCCTCTACCTCGTTCCTCTTCTCCGACAGCGGACAAGAAGCGCAGGCGCAGTCCCCCACCTCTGCAACCTTCCTCTGCGGCGTCTACATCGCCTATATCACCCTCATCCGTTGATCGGGTCTACTCGCCAAGCGAAATGTCGCCTACATCTCAACACTCGCAACGACCCAGTATGGGTCATCGGGATGCATCCAGTAGCACAATTGATTCTTCGGAACGACCGAGAAGCGATAGCTACAAGAGATACAGCGGAACAATTAACCACTACGGCAGGCATTCCAATGACTGGCTGTTCGGTGGCTTTAGCGTTCGCGACACGCTGAGAGACGGAATTGAGAAACTGAAAGGACACAACGAAAGGGACAGCTAGTCTAGCCCTCTAAACGTTGTCCATCCGTCGCTACACATTCAATTCTATTCTATGTTTTCTTCCCTGTTGATGACGCCGCTGGCACAGTCTTGCTGGCGAGACATAATTTTCGGTGAAGCTGGGCTTTGAGTCATCCAGGTTATCGTCTCTGAAATTCTGCATCTACCAAGGAATTGGAGAAGGCGGTTTTGATATCTGTGGCAGTTACTATCTTGTGCTATACTTATGTGGTTGTATTACTTTGTTATACCTCGATGACTTATGACTTGAACGAATACAATACGAAGACTTGCAGAACAGATTATGATACAACTAGGCGATGTAATCTTTCCTGAAATAGTAGTTCGCGGGGAGTTGGTGCCTTATTGCCTGAAACGAGACCCACTCGTAAACTCCTAGCGTTTCTCCGCTTTGTCCAATTTCCTCGTCTTTCGTTTGCTTTGTTTACATCGCGACGGCTTGCTGACATCGCCGCTCTTTAATTTAACCTGGATTGCTACTCCGTACAAAGCGTCAAATCAATAACGCGCGAAAGCAATTTAGCGATTCTAAGTCTCGAAGCATTGACGCTTTTAGCTGACAACAACAACCGAAAAAAGGGGCAACAAAGAAAAATCGCAACCATGGCGGATTTAAATTCTGGTTTCGTACTCGACACACCCACACTCCTCTCCATTGGATTCGCACTCTCCTTTATGCCAATTGCATATGGCCTGGGAACATCTTTAATTCCATCAAATCAACTCCGAAACCGTGCCCTGTTCATGTGGCACGCTTACGACGCGCTCACCCATCTCTTCATCGAAGGCTCATTTCTTTACGAGTGCTTTTTCAGCTACGTCGACATCATCAACCCTGCTGATACTCTTCTGAGTAAAGACCATTCTTCTTACTTTCTCGGTCGAAAAGATCGCGTCTACGGCGCAAAGTTCGGAACCGGACCCAGCGCGCGTTTGTGGCAGGAATAMGCCAAAGCCGATCATCGCTGGGCTGTTGCCGATACCACTGTCATCTCACTCGAACTTTTAACTGTTTTCCTGGCCGGTCCCGCGGCGATTTACATCTGCTACCTGCTTCACAAAATCGCCAGCAACAAAAACTCTTCCAAAGCCGAAGCCCAGCAACTCGGCGCAACCAAGGGAAAGCTCTGGCTCGTTGCTTCTGCTGTCGCAACGGGTGAACTTTACGGCGGTTTTATGACTTTTGCGCCTGAATGGCTCAGCGCGAATTCGCAATTGGATGGGAGCAACCCGGTGTTTTTGTGGTTGTACCTTGTCTTTTTCAATATGCTTTGGGTGTTTATTCCGTTTTGGGTCTTGGTCGAGGCGTACAAGGAGTTGAAGGGTGCATTTGTTGATGCGGAAGTATTGTCTCTGTCGGTGGAAAAGAAGAGAGCATAGTTGACGTGTTGGCAGGTTGCACAGCTCAATCTGTTCGTATCAACCCTTCGTTGGAAAAATATATTGAGTATCATTGCCAATGTACACATATTAAAGTTACATCACTAAGATATATGCGCAAAGTAACAGCGCAATATAAAACACATGTTCAATTCGCACTTATTACAAGAATGTTGATGCTGCGCCACGGTGGCTCATGGATAGCCCCCCCGCCAAGAACGCCTTGACGCTCAGCCTTGTTGGGCCTGGCCCACTATTATTCAATTGGCGGCTCCTCATTGGATGTAAATATGCCATGACGCACTGTCGTGCTTGCACCTGAGGAACCACGACTAGACCTTTCTGGGAACGAGGGCTGGCGGGGTGTTGCCTTAGATGGTGCCCTTGATGCTATATAATCAACAACTCCTTCATCTCTCTGCCTCTATATCTCTACCTCCATCGAGCCTGTGGTCATTCTGAACAACTCTATACCATTGGGCATCATATTTCCTCCCCTTTACCGACACGGTCAAACACATTGAAACATGTCCTACAATAGACCCCCACCTCGTAAGCATTCTCTCGACATCTCCTATTACAGCCAAATACTAACATTGAAATTCAGAGCCTCCGGCTGGCTATCCTCAAGGTCACTCTCCCTACCCTCAGCAGGGGTACGGACATCCTCCACCAGGAGCTCCTCCAGGCGCCCCTCCCCAAGGAGGATATTACCCTCCTCCACAACAGGGCCACTATCCTCCTCCTGGCGGTCCTCCTCCCGGTCAGTACGGCGGTTATCCTCCTGGACCACCTCCTCCCGGTCAAGGATACCCACAACACGGAGCCTACCCTCCTCCGCAACARGGCGCATMCCCGCCTCAACAAGGAGGTTATGGTGCGCCACCACCAGGACCTCCCGGTCCATACGGAAATCCCGCCCCCCCAGGTCCTTACGGAGCCCCTCCTGCCCAGCCTGGATACGGCGCACCCCAACTCGGACCACCCGCTCAGCCTTCATTCGGATACATCCCAGGCCAGACCGCGCCAGGCGACTTCAAGCCTCAAGCCGACTCGTTGCGCAAAGCCATGAAGGGATTCGGTACTGACGAAGCCACTCTGATTCGTGTCCTCGCTCCCCTCGACCCTCTCCAAGTCGCCGCTGTTCGAGAAACATACMCCCGACACATCAACCGCGATCTATACAAGGACGTCAAGAGCGAGACGAGCGGCTATCTCGAGCAGGGACTATTAGCCGTCATCGAAGGCCCATTGAACCACGACGCCGAACTCGTGCGCGAAGCCGTCAAGGGTCTAGGCACAAAGGAATGGCTACTAACCGACGTGCTGGTGGGACGCTCAAACGCCGATCTGCGCGAGATCAAAAATGCATACCAGCGCAAATTCAACCGCAGTCTTGAAAAGGATGTCGAAGATGACCTGTCCGCCGAGACGAAGAACCTCTTCAAGCGCATCATTTCAGCAACTCGTCATGAAGAATCAACACCGCTCAACCCGGCAACTATCGAGAGCGAAGTTAAGAGTATCCACGGCTCAACAGCGGGGCGAATCGTGAACAACGTCGCTGAAGTCTGTGCCATTTTCGCGCAATCCTCCGACAACGAATTGCGGGCTATTTCGCACAAGTTCCATGAACGCTACCAGGTTGAACTCGAGAAACACATCGCAAGCCAGTTCTCGGGACACATGAAAGCCGTGTTGATTCACATGTTGCGTACAGCCACGGATCCCGCACACCGCGACGCAGCTCTTTTGGAAGAGGCCATGGCCGGCCCCGGAACGAAAGATTTTATGCTGGTCACTAGGGTCGTGCGCTTGCATTGGAACAAGCAGCATCTCGACCAGGTCAAGAAAGCCTATCAACACCATTTCAAGCGCGACTTGCATTCGCGGGTGAAGGGGGAGGTTAGCGGCGATTATCAGAAGTTGATGTTGGCTTTGTTGGGTTATTAGTCTCTTCTTCTGCATTGTTTCACTTTGGAGGCAGGACTGCTCCAACTGTCGTTCTCGCTATGTTGTTCATGATGTCTGAATMCCCGCCATTCTTAATCTACTGTATATAGTACCCTTTTTTTACTTGACTACTAAGTCAAGATTTTGTCCGTTGTTGGACTATCACTTTGACGAGTCGGCAAATGAAAGTGATGATTGCTTGACATTCCTAAATTTTTTAAACAGTGTAAATGCTCAATATGTAAACGCGCCTCAAATGATCATGCAAACAGGAAACAACATGCATTCATCTCATACTCAATCATAACTCATAAAATCTTCAATCTTATACCCTGATTATCTCTCTTTCATGAATCAACCAACCTCCCTGACCAGCGAACAATACGCCCCAGGAAACAACCCTGTCTTACCCGCATAATATCCCCAATACCACTCATCGTTTATGTTCTCTGCTTCCGTAATCTCCGCTCCACGCGGGAACGACAATTCATCCGTACAGGATTCCTCGGCGAAATACGACCAGTTTGCGCCTAGAACCAGTCCATAGCCACCATCCGGTGGGATTGTAGCTGCACCGCGACGGTCAGCTGGGGTTGTGGTTGATGTCGTTGGAGCCGGCGTTTGCGAGGATGGGGATGATGATGGTGAATTCGAGTCTAGTGCGGTACGCGCGCGACCGGCCTTTTTGCGTTTTGTGTTGCCTTCTTTCCACAACCAATCCCCCGTCCCGAGTTCGGGGGACGCGACGGATCCCGACGATGATAATGATGATGATTGGGATTGATTGTTGACTTGTTCGTCCTTGAGGGTGTAACCGCCTACTATATCGCGGACAATGACTCGTCGCTGTCCCTTTTCGTGGTCTTCGTAGCCTATCACGATCATTCGATGACCCTTGAGGCAACGACGCCAGCCGCTGTGACCGTTTTCCTTGCTGATTTTGCCAGATACGACTGATTTCAGGTAGCAGTTTGTGCATACATCGTAATCGCCTTCGTTGCATTGCAAACAGTGGAACCGAGTTGACGACGGGGCGATGGGATATTTGCAAATATCGCATTCCGTTGAAAATGACAAGACTTGAAATGTCGCGCCTCCCGGCAGTGCTTTTTGCGTTGGTACCGGTGGAGTGATAGGGCCCAATGGATGAACGTCGGTTGGAGACGGTGTCGGAGATTCAGATGATATACGGCGAATGGGTAATAACGGATGATTGCAACAGCGTCCCTGGTTTACGCAGCGTCGACAATAGCCCCATTCCGATTCATTGCACTCGTCACACTGCCAGAAACATCCATTGGCGGCAGAATGGCATACATCGCAGAACATCCCCTCCTGCAACCTGCCGGATGGGTTGTCGTTCGTCATCTGCTTCCCATCAGATGTACCCCGTGTTGAGGCTTCCTTTGGCCGTCGATAACGCTGCGATTTCATGACATGGGGCATTTCAACAGCTGATCGAAGAGCAGGGTGATGGACTTTGTTGAAGTTCATCTCGCCAATGCTGCCCACGCCGTAATAATGTGGGCAGCCCCGGTCGACACGATAGCAATGCAGACACACGTGATAATTTCCATCTTTACACTTCAAACAGCGCTTATGTAACTCGTACTGAATATCAGTCTTGCCACATCGTTCGCAGGATATGGAAGGCTCGGCGTAATGTGTAGATGGGACCCTATTGGCCTGCCTTGCTGGTCCAGATCGTGTTGCCGTATTCCGACGACTCGATGACTGCACGTTGCTCGTAGCAGACTGAGTGTCGTTTGTTGAGACTCCTGGTAATGAGGTAGCGGAAGCTGAGAAAGGGCGCTCGGTAGGCGTAGTCGTAGACGGGCTGTTCGTTAGCTGAGATGCTACTACCTGCCTAGACGCAACATTTTGCTGCGACCCAGTAATTCCAGCCCATAGATCAGAGGCACGTCCTTCAGGCTCGGTCGAGCGTCTAGTCACAGAAGCCGTCGAGGAATCTCTGGTTCTCGGCCTCGATGGAGAAGCACGTGGTCTTTGGCTCGAGATATCGCTAGATGAGCGCAATGCTGGTCTCAAAGCAGTCTCAGATGTAGACGCAGGAGCTACTGGAGTTGGCGACGTCCTACGCCTTCGTGTCTCATCAGAAGCCCTTCTTCGGTGATTATGTGGATCAGAGGACACCCCTAGCAGATGCGGCCGGGACACAGGCGGACGTCGAGAGGTATTCTCAACAGGAGTCGAATTCTGGGGCTGGCTTTGCAATGTCTGCGATCTAGATCGACGATGTTCCGGTGCTATTGTCCTTTCTGCCTGATCACTACTCCTCCGCGGTTGACGTGATCGATCAGGATGCCTGCTGAGAAATATCTGCACAAGTCGATCACTAAGTTCTTCTTCTTGACTCTGATCCAGACCACTCAAATCGATACCGTCCAGCAAGCCTTCCTCCATTATCAGGCGAACAATTTCCTCTTGAGTATTATCTTCGACATCCGACGCACTTAGCAATGACCGCAAACTCGACTGATGCTCGATCCGTCTGGTGGATTCATTATTGATCCCAACGATAGCTCCCGTTCGAGCAGCATGCCTAGCAACATTGTGATGATGATGGTCCCGATTATCCGCACTTCGTTGCCGATGACCATCTCCCGAACGACTAGTCGAAGCCCTTCTTCTCCGACTATTCGTACCATCCGCTAGCAGTCGTCCATCGCCATCAGATTCAGCGTCCGACCCACCAGGTGAAACCAGCACCTGATCACCTGGTTTATATTTCTTCGCAATCTCCTCTTTTTCTTCCGCCGTCCTATCTCGCTCTGGGTTCGCCACCAAGACCATATCCAACAGCGTCGTCACCGTAGCATTCGGTCTCGTTGCACGGACAGCAGCTCGACATGCCGGGCACGTGAATCGTGACGCTGAGCCGGACGATCGCGACCGAACCGCTTGCCATGAGAACCATTCTTTGAGACACGAACCGCAAAACGTATGAAGGCAATCGAGTAGAGTTAGAGGCTGGTACAAAAGTTCGGTACAGATCTATCCAGGGAATCGGGTTGTTAGCGAAAGAGCGGAATACAGTTAGTTACCCACCCATGTTCCCCACCATATTGACCAGATAACAGATAAACAGTGAAATATTCTCCGAAATTCAAAAATACATACCGAACACACTAGCTCCTTTTCTAAATCTCCGAGTCCAGGCTTGGGAGCACTGGGCTGGGTACCACTGGTTGTGGCCATGCCTCAGTGACGGTGTCGATCTGATGCGAGCTGAGAGTCGAGCGGAGGATGGATAGATGTCAGGTCAGGTTGGTTATCGGTATATGTTTGCGACTAAATACGTCGCCTAACCCAATCCTGACTAGCTGGCGTCTGAAGCTATATTGATATTACCACTAATCTAGTACGCTAACTGATTACAGTAATTTTAGGTACAAATATCGCAAATTGCGTGTAAAATACAAGCGAAACGTATTTTGCATTTTACGTTGCTCTTCAATGCATTTTAATGGCTCTATTCATGAAGCTGAGTGCTACTTGGGTTTTTAAAATGCATAGTATGGTCCTCAAACGGTGATGACACGCTGTTCAATGTTGCCACCTGACACTTCAACGGCCGGGTTAGCAGCTAGCGACGAGTTGAATGTTACTGTCAGGTCAAGAGACTCTTGTGGAAACAGAGTTACATAGTTGTCTGACCAAAAGGGAGGGTTGATGCTGTCGTTCGTGTTTGAGTCAATAAGAACCAGTCGGATAAAGAACACTGGAGTATCGGTAGACTTGTTCTCTAGGTGCACTTGGAGTGTCGTCGTTGATCCACTCGAGGAGTTTTGTTTCACAGTCGTCACAACATTGGCTTCAGGCAGATTCTGCAAGGAAGAATAATCGGCGTATGTAGAAATAGGAGTATAGAACCAGTTTGAGTCGTCCCAATTTAGTACATCATTCTGAGATGCAAGCCAGTATACATTTCGACTCTGCACCACTTCAGTTTTGGAGTCAGACGACAGTATAAGACGCAAGAATCCCACGTCCTTGATTTTGCTGATTGCTTGAGCAATATTAGCAATCTCTTGAGAATAATTCGGCCTAGTATGTAATTGAAGTCTTTGATGATGAAGACTTTTACCAGCTGTATCAATGAGATCAATAGTCACCCAGCGGGAGCCGCTTTCTCCATGTTCGAGAAAGTTCAGCCGGTTGATGAGATGAACGGTGCCATTGTCATAACTGAAAGAAATGTGCTCTGGGCGGGCTCCAACTTTGGATCCAAAATACGAACCAGCAGGGTTCAGATAGTAATCGAAAAATTGCCAGTGGAGATTTGGCCAGGCACTATTCATCATCCAATAGATCCTTTATGGAAAGGTCAGTCAGGATTTCATTATTTTGGGAGTATGCCAATAATAGTCTGCTGTGACTTACACTCCGGTTGAAGGTCGGGAAGCATCCTGAAGCGATGTAAATCCTTCGAATTCGGCGCGAGTTGCTTCATAATCCATTATCTGGGCCTTGAGGAGGTAATCTTCCAGATTTTTTGGGGGGCCGTATCGATTCCACAAAGCATCGTTATATATCGATCGATTATAAAACGACGAAACATTACTAGACATGTGAAACAAACCTTTGTCGGGCTGTGTCCATAGATCGTTCAAATCGCCTTCCGACAGAAACTTTTTTAGGCTGCGAATTTCTGGAGTGCCAACGCCAGGTCCTTCTTCTGATCCAAAGCCAAAGGCCGCTCCCACTTGACCTCCATACCAATAATTAGGTGGAACATAATCATAGGGTCCATCCATCTTCATCCCTGAGGATCCTAGAGCATCTGGAAACCCTAACTCACCAGCCGATGCTATGATAGGGTTCGGCCAATCCCAAGACTTCAAAGCGTCTAAGTATATTGATGCAGCTCTGTCATTAGGCCAGTAGTCTGACCCCACCAGAAATGCAAGGACACTAGGATGGGTCTGCATCATGGAAGCTTCATGAAGCATTGAATAATTTGCGACCCAATAATCATGATCGGTGAACCGGACATACTCCGGGACATCTGTGTTGTACTATTATCACGCAATTAGTCATTCTGCAGAAGTCCAATCTAATAGAGATTATGTAACTTACAGTCCATCCCTCCCACCAGTCACAACACTCCCACCCAGGCATGATCATGAGGCCCATTTCATCTGCTAGTTCAAACAGTTCCGGGTGTTCTTGTTTGCCTTCAAGTCGCACAGTGTTCATTCCCATATCGATCATTAACTCGAATTTTTTTCGCACATATTCTGTGTCCCAACGCATGAACATATCTGGACTATAACCTCCTCCGAGTGGAAGGAAACGAAGGCCATTGATGCTAAACGTACGGTCACCATGGTCGTTGAGTCCAGACTCAACGTAGCGGATGCCCACACGGCGTGGCTCGGCAATGTCTGAAATTTCATTCTTCACAAGAGCTGTTACTGTGACGTTGTACAAAGGCTGATCACCCCAAAGCCATGGCCACCAGATTTGTGGATCTTGAAGTTCTCCAGTTATTGAAACAGTTTTTTCTTCATGCTCCGCGAGGGTGAAAGGCTTTGTGAGGGCTAGTTGCTGGCTTCCGAGTACGATCTTGCCGGTAAGTGTTCCATTGATAGAATGGCTCTCGAGATTGGTCGCATTCACTTTAATGGTAACCTTTGTCGATGTCTTTCCCGGTGTCCAGTCGTGTATAAATCGGATTGGTGCAAGAGAAACAGGTCCCGTCTGAGATATCTCAACATCACGCCACACTCCAGTTCCGTTATCAGGAGAGTATGGGTTCCAGTCAACAAAGCCCATAGCCGAATCTAGCAAGTAGTTTGTCTCAAATGCCTGAATGAGAAGTGCGTTTACACCAGACTGTAGGTATGGGGTGACTTCGTACTTGTGGCCTCCATAGGAACCCTCTTGAAAATCCTTATCGACCAGCTTTTTGCCATTGAGCCAAATGTCGGCCTTGGAGGTTATTCCATGGGTCACGAGGAAATAGTGCTGCCCTGCTGAGGGCTCAACTGTAAACTCTTCACGGTAGATCCATGGGGTATTGAAAACTGAACGGTCGACAACCTCGTTGAGGTTATCCGAAAACCACAGGTTGCTGTCACTGTATACGCCACTCTCAATGAGTCCGGCCATCACTGTTGTGCGAGGACCCACTCGATACCAGTTGGCTACACTAGCACCAGGTTGTGAAAGCCCTGCGAAATCATTCGATGCGTGAAGTACCGATTGCAGACTCCATCCGGGAATCTTGGACGTCTGGCCGGGCAAAGACACAATCGCTGGAGGAGTACTTACAGCATGCCCGACGGCAAGAATGGCCGTGATGATGGCCGCTATCGATGATATGCTCCGCATGGTGTTTCTGCTCCAGCCTTTGATGACAAGGAGACATCAAGGAAATCTGTTGGTGTTATGTATACATTGAAAGACTATCGAAAAGAACGCGGTTGGCTGAGAGTTAATTGAGAAGAGGAGAAAGGTAACATCCATGGGCGCGCTAGCAACTGTGTGATGTTACTCGAATGGCATCCAAAAGGCAGGTGCCAGGGCGGCAACTTGGCAACGGCGATCATCTCTGTTTTGTTGCCTCTCATTGGTTCATTCCGTGTCGTCTTGATTAATTACGGTAATGTTACCGCGTAATACCGACTAGTCGAGGGTTCATAGAGACGAATTTCCGTATTAGGAAAGTGGCAGTCGATAATTCCATGTGCTCTGACTAAGAAGCAGATCTTCTGTGTGTTACAGCATGCAATTCCTGAGGGGAGATTCCGTTTTGTGCCTAAGTGACAATACACGATAAGATAAGCTTAATGGCGAGTACGCCATGCCGTAACAGGAATATAGTGGGTCTGTCTATCAGCCTCAGGCCGCTCTTCCCCTCACTCTTATCGGTTGTTGATTGCTGTTCGCGTTGCTATGTACTTCACACATATTGCATTTTACAATAGTAATCCACGACATAAATTAATAAGCTATATTTACTCACGATGCCAGTCAGCCATGTGGTTATGATCAAGTTCAAGGATGACGCAACCCCCAAAGAAATCCAACCTGTAAGCTATCCACCAAACGCGGGGAAACGATAGCTATCATCAGGCTGGTTACTAACGGGGGAGCGTCACAGATTATCAGCCATATGCTCGACCTGAAAAACCAGTGTCTGCATCCAGGCACGTCCAGGCCATATATTATTTCCTCAAAAGGAGGACGCGAAAATTCAATCGAAGGGCTACAGGTATGTCTGTTGCTCTGAGCGGTTATTGTGTAGAGACGAAACTCTTATTCCTCGTGTACTAGAATGGCTTGACACATATCTTCATACACGAATTCAATAACACCGAAGACAGGGACTACTATGTCAGAACGGATCCGGCGCATCTCTTATTTTCGCAAAGGGCAAAGAGTTTTATTGATAAGGTGCAGGTTGTGGATTTTGCGACTGGCGCATGGTGATTTACCGCTCATAGAAGCTTGTGGCGTGGACTTGCGGGGTATAACATGATGAATATTATGATCTCTGATGTGCTATATTTTCTTTCTTTTTCTACTTTGAATCTAATCTATACTTAATTTGAATGGTTTTCAGATCATGTGAGACTTTGAAGACGTTCCATGGGTCGTAGTAAGATGTGTTTGCAGTACCATCGCTACCCGCACTGACAGCAACGACAACAATAACAAAGACGTCACCATTGACCCAATGTCATTCGATGGTATTGGCCAGATTCTTCTCTTTAATTCTCCATGTATCAGCGAAATTCGCGAAGTTTCGTTGTGTTCATTCTTGACGGTCGCGAGACGATGGTGGCAGTATGTCGTCGTTTCTAGAACAATCCGCGCTAGGCCCGTTAGGGCTATATAAGCCCTCATCCAACCCAACCATCGATCTATCAGTCATCAGAAACAAACATCAACAAAATCAATACGCTAGCAACACAGCATTTGAATACTTCTGTTCAACGCTCAATCAAACTAAACAACATGATCCACCGCAGTGCACGTGTTGTTCCTCGATCGGCCGCCTCTCGCCGGCTGTCCAGTCCTCGCCGCTCCATTTCCCTCATGCCACGCTTCTTCCCTCCATCTCCATTCTTCTCAAATAGAAGCGGACCATCTGGCGAGTTCTCATCTATATTCCGTTTCCTAGATGATTACACCGACCACGTCACACGCCGCTTCGACGACTCCTTCCCCGATTTTAGCCGCAATCTGACCTCAACTTTCGCGCCAAAGTTCGACATCAAAGAGACTACCGAGGCGTATCAACTAGACGGAGACCTACCTGGAATTGAGAAGGAGGCGCTTCAAATCGAGTTCCTTGATGAGAATACCTTGCAAATCAAGGGACGAACGGAACGGAACTTTTCTTCAGGCAATCCTTCCTCAGATGCCGAAGATGTGACTATGACTGGAGCCGGCGCCGAATCTGACGTAGAAAACAAAAACACTGTTGACTCAGCATCAACTCAAACCCCGGCTGAGACATCAGCAACGGAAGGCGCGGAAACTACCAAGGCTGTTGCTCAAACCGCTGAAACCTCCAGCCCAGCCAAGACGGAGAATACCGGCAATGAACGCTACTGGGTTACTGAGCGCTCCGTCGGAGAGTTCAGTCGCACTTTCTCCTTCCCAGCCCCGATCGACCAAGAAGCCGTCAAGGCTAGTCTGAAGAATGGTGTTTTGTCGATCACAGTACCGAAGAAAGTAGTTGAGGAGCCTGCTGCTCGCCGAATCACCATTGAGTAAGGGGCCAACTACGCTGATGGCCTGAACATATCAAACTCTTGTATAACAATTGTCATGTACATTTTTGATTTTTAGCCTTGCATTGGATTGGTGTTTATGTGTGTTGGTCAATCATTCTTTTTAGCATGTCTATTCCAATTACGATAGCTCTTTAATCAAACTGATTTGTTAAGTCTATGAAAATCCCTGACTCATTCATGTAGACCAATGTTTAAGTAATCTCATCGCCTTCCTAGCAGCAAATGTGAACATTCTATGAGCTAGTAAATGAGTACGTATGAATGTGTTCAAAGCTGGAAATCAATTAGTATTACATTATTTTTTGGCTGCCAAAAATGCCGCATTCTTGGTCGACACTGTAGAGGTATCAATCTAAATCTTAATCTAAATCTATATCTAAATCTAAATCTAAATCTAAAACACTTTTGATTTCATTTCTCATTAACCACCAAACCACTCATCAACTTGGTCATCTCCGCTTGCGCACAACTGCTATGCGTCCGCAAGTGGCCATTGTGGCTGCTACTGCCCCCACTTGAAGTAATGGTATCATGTGAAGAAAACGACGAACCACTCTTCGAATCGGGCCTCAAACTGCTCAGGGGAGTCAGACTCCTCGACAAGCTCGGAATAGCGGCTTTGCTAGCATCATACTCAAAGGCAGCCTTGCGTGAAACCAGTTCGTGCTTGATTTGGAATGGAACTAAACGTTCGCGGAACCATGTTTCGATGGGACCGGCGTCTGTATTGCGTCTTTGCCAGAGCTTGGCCGAGTCTTTGAAGGCGTGGGCGATATCTGTTCGGCGGAGGGAGTCGTAGATTTGGAAACTTGTTTCGAGTGGGTAGTCTATGTGATTGGAGACAATACGGGCGAGAAGGATGGCATCGTCGATGGCATATGCAGCGGATTCATCACGAGGAAGCATCTGATTTGGTCAGTAAACTGTGCGAAGAGAAAGGGGGTTGTGGTACTCACAGCATGTGCGGCATCCCCTAACAAAATGGCCCGTTTAGTATACCAGTTCCCTCCGAGAGGAACCTGGTATATAGGATACATCATCCAATCGACCTCTGGCGAAGTAGCAACTTCTCGAACGAAAGGAATGACCGAATCTTTGAATCGACTAGAAATTTCGTTCCTCAAAGAATCGTTGATCATGTCTCGCTTCCACTTAACCATATCAGTATGATCCTTGACTGATTCCTCCCGACATTCCACCATTGCAGACGTGAAAATCTCCTGGTGCTGTTTCTCGTGGAATGTAATAAGTAGTGAACCGTTTTTCGACAAGTTCATCGATGAGTTTCGGAAATGGGGGTTCACTTTCAAACTCGTTGTTTTCACTGTTCCTTGCACGAGTGAAAATCCAGTATATTTAGCATCTCGGCCCGGATCAATGAACTTTCTGCGTGTGGCAGACCAAACACCATCACAGCCCAACAGCAAATGGCCCGTTGCTCGCGCTCCGTCCTGAAAATGAACTTCAATCCGGTTTTCATCTTCTAGTTGGACTGCTTTGAGAAATTTCTTCCCAAACACTATTTTGATGTTCCCTCTCTTCTCGGTCGCGGCCATCATGGCCAGCGACAGATTAATCCTCATGACTCGACGAGCTCTGTATCTTTTACCGGTCTCCGCATCACCGTATCCCAATCCCTGTTTCCCGCTGAAGTCTAGATTAGATATTGGCTTGCCCGTTCGCGAGGAAAAGATTTCAACTGCATCGACGTCGACTCCTGACTCTGGACCGTACTCTTCTAACTCATCTAAGATGCCCAGGTGGTCGAAATGTCTAAGTGCAACGGGTGAAAGACTGAGAGCGCCTCCGGATGTTGACGGCACGGGATGAAGTTCGAATATGGTGATTCGCAGGTCGGGTATAAGTGGCGTGAGGTAATGAGAGAATGCAAGTGCTGCAGAGAGACCAGAAAGGCCGGAGCCGATTATAATGATATCTCGTAGCATTATGTCGGTAGATACAGAACTTTTCTTCAAAAGGATTAGTTAGCTGTCATGATACTAAAGCTGTAGAAGGTCAATGTATTTGGAGCTGCCGAGGTCAAGGTCGTATAAATAGGGGAAATGAGAGATCCATTTTGAATCGTGAACGTAATCGAGTCGCCATCTATGGCTACCGGAAACGAAAAGATAAAGTGCGCATACGACCAGTTGCATTTTCGATATGGGAAAAAAAAAATATAAAAAAAAAAGAGCTTCAAGATAGGAAAGGAAAAACTCACGCTTTGATATGGTTCAGCCCAAGCCCCAACTGACCCTTCCGTGGACCCTATTTGGCCGCTACTACGTAGTACACTCAGGAACAAAGCTTTCTTCAGTTGGAAAAGATTAGTCTCGATTTCTTAGGTAGGGATATATTTAGTTTGAAGAACAACGCATGGAAGTCTCCATTCCCACAGCTTATACATAGTAGTCCGAGGTCCAGTCTCCACCAATAGGAAAGCGAGGATGGCCCCGAGAAACTTACGAAAATCAGCCGGGGCTCCAGCATCAGGAGATGCTTTTTGCTCAAAGCCGAGAATTACGTAGTTTCGTCATTATCGAAAATTTCTCCCCGGTTCAATGTGAAGATTCGAATTCGCAGCATATTCCATTTATCATCCGAATATTGATCTTTTGAGACGGAAAGAGCTTCACGCCTCGTTGTTCACCGCCGTAGTACAATGCCTTGCAGAATCAGCTTGATACTTGCAAACTGACTCTCCACCTAGTTCACTTACCAAACTAAACTAAGCTAAGCGTTAACAGGCTTAGTACGAGTACGGTACAATGTACTCGTGGCTTCATCGTGGCGATTTTATGAGCTGCGCCATTGATACTCTATGCAATTTGAAACACCCACAAAGGTGTGGCTAGTGCCGATCGACTATCCTCCCTGCCTGCTAGTACACGAGCTTGTACGAGCAGAAGGTAGGCAGCATTACAAGGCAAAAAACTCCTTGGTAGAAGTTTGTAGAATACGTTAAATATAGCTAGTGTAATATTCCATGGTATACAAACACCAGCTCCCCTAGGAGCCTCTTTATTATAGTTGCATCAAACATAGTGTATAGCTAACGTGTTTCGCAACTAAAAATCAATTCAATCACGGTTTCTTCTCTGTAGCAGCTCCACCACTGCCATTTCCCCATTCTTTTCAGCCCATGACAGTGGCGTCCAACCATGATTATCCTTCGTCTCCAGCTCTGCGCCTTTCTTGAGTAGCAGCTTGACCGCTGCCTCTTGCCCATTCTCTGCAGCCCGTGACAGCGGTGTCCGACCATCATTATCCTTTGTCTCCAGCTCTGCGCCTTTCTCGAGCAGCAGCTCCACCACTGCCATTTCCCCATTCTTTTCAGCCCATGACAGTGGCGTCCAACCATGATTATCCTTCGTCTCCAGCTC